AAAAAAAGTGTAACTGAGAATACAAGAAACGGGAACGACTTTTTATTTTTCAAAGAAAAGCAACTTTTGAGCGGTCCCTTTAAGATATCAGAAGTGAAATTTAGCCATCATTCTAGAACCACGATTTTTGAAAAGCTAGCCTTGAAAACCTGGAATGAATCGCTTGGTAAAGACGAAACATTTGTGCGTCGTGTTAAATTCTGCCTTGTAAAAATAAACACTTTATCCGACAAGTTGTCGCTAAAATTCCATCAAAAATGGGGAATACCGGGCCAAAACAACTTTTTCTCATATTATTTTAGAAAATAAAAGGAGTATCTACCAGGCTAAATGGTTGCTATAGTAACTTGGTGGAACAAATAGATTTAAGTGCAATAATAACTCGGTAATTCTTTGACTCTTGTGTTTTAGCACCAGCAGAAACGAAGTGATAGAAAAAAATGATTCATTAAACCAAAGATGTTGTAAACTTCTTAAAAACCATTCCAATCAAAGATATTAAAGAAATTAACCCACTTATCTGTTTACAGTTTTTGGTTTCGGACGTAGGTAAAATCCAAGTTTAAGTATTCCATGACGACCACACATATATTCAAACACAATAACTCGCTATTAAGGGCCGGTTATTCACACGAGGTCTAACCCAAACCATAGCTTTACGCAAACAGTGGCCTCAGGCTTTCTCTATAAGGGGGTTGCTTTAATTAAGTAGAAATGTCTTTCCACTGTTAGCTCTTGGCTCTCTTGATGCTGCTTACAGATTCAAATGTTCAGACTGAATTAAGGATTTTTCTGGACGCGGTTTTGTTAATCAACGGCTAAACTTTGTTTTTGATTATCAGAGATAACTGACTGACTTTGCTGACAGTTGTATGTCTTGCCTTCCTTTCATCCTTTCAATTCTTGATTGTTCTGCTGATTTCATTCTTTGCTTGATACTAACCCACAAATAAGAGAAATGTTTTAGAAGTAAGAGGGTAATTTAGTGTTATCAACAGAGTTGATGACGTAAATTGGCCACCATAAAGAGTTTTGAAGCTGACTTTTCGAGCGTTAGCCCTTCGATCGAAACGTTTCTCTCCCACCGACGTAGCACCACAGTTTCTCCAGAAACTTACCTCTTTATTCATTTATTTTAGAAATACTTTCATACCAATTCTTTGATTAACCCTTTCACTCCCAATATCTCATAAGTGATCCTCCTTACTGTCTGCCATGCAATTCTTATGATCTTGGCCAGGAGAATTTAATATCTGAATGAATCAACTAATAATTCCTTAACTGATATTTTACTATGTTTCTGTAACTTCGTTTCATGCACCCAATCTAGGTTTATGTGTTAAATGCAGATTATAGTTACAAGCTTAAATGAATTTGATTGTTTAAAAACTGAATTACCAACCTCCTAGGACGCTAAAAATGTTATCCGTTCCTCCTTAGTCAGTTCTTTTTATTGAATATAATGCTTGACGCTTTCCTGGAGACAAAATATGAGAAATACATTAGGAATTCAAGCACGCTCGTATTAAGTTGAATACTCCTTATGAATAAAATAAGGCGAGATAACTACTTAATGTTTAAAACTCGTTCAGAGAGATAAACAAGTAAATAAGCGAGCAACACACTAGCAATAAAGTCTATTTCCCCGAAAGCCTCGTGGTCCCAAAACGACCAACCATGGCGGTCGCCATTGAGAATTTCTTGCGCTGTACTATGTTCGAGCAAGCTTTCCCCCATATTAGTGTCTAGAATTTGACGGTCATAGACAAGAAAGCTTATCAATTATTGATAAGAATCTTAAAACGCGATAATCAGCTACATTTGTTCAGGAGACTTGAACAATGCAGCAAGAAACAGATTAACTGCGATGGCTCAATCGAATTCCTCAGACTCTGTCAGAACTTTGACCTAACTCCAACTTTCGCTAAGGTCGACAAAGCAAGGCGTTCTAAATGGAAGCACTCTTCCGAAACCTTTACAAGGAATGTCATCTCTGAGGAACTAAATGGAAAGATCAAACAGAGTGTTTATCTAAAACGCGCGATCAATTCCATCTACGATGAGATTCGCCGAGCTGTAGTTTGTTTCGCTACACCTGCGTTCTACGCACCATGGTTAGCCTTAAAAGAAATATCATCAGGAAGTTACGAATACTCACACGAAGAAGATCTCACGGCTGCTCAACATCGAAATGGATGTTGACGAACATATTTTGAACCTATCATCCTACAACCTCTCCTTTTTTTCAGAGACTGGTCCTTTGCCGAGGATTAACATTTGCCATTCCTCAACGTGTGTCTCCCATGGACGTTAAAGCAAGCTTTGAAAAGGCCTATTGAGCCTTGAACCCCACCTCAATGATGATAATTTAAAGGAATTATCTGCAGCAACGTTACGTTTCGTTGCACTCAATTACATCGAACGCAAGAGTCCGAAACCTCCAAAGACATTGTTGAGAGCTATAGAGGAGTTAAAAGGACGCGACGACATAGTTATCACGAAACCCGACAAAGGGTCTGGTGTTGTGGTTCTAGACAAAACCGAATACTTGCGATTACTTTCTGAAGCCTCAGTCAATGATACAAGCAAGTTCCGTGCCATTCCCCTGAGAAACCCAAGACCAGGGGCAGACCATCCAAATATTACCACCCCTACTACAGAAAGAGAAGATCCTAGATTCCATTGTTCGTAGAATTCTACCGAAGACCATTGCAGATTCCGTGAGCCCTACAGGTTCCAGATTAGCACATTTATATGGGTTGCCAAAACCCACAAAGAACCATTGGCTATGAGGCCTATATTATCAGCCACCGACACGTACAATTTTCCCCTTGCTAAATGGCTCGACGAGAAATTGAAGCCCTTGTCCCTTAATCAGTATACAGTTACTGATAATTTTGATTTCACAAAAGAGATTCACGAGCTGAAGATCAACAAGGGTGAAATCTTGGTTTCGTATGATGTCTCCTCGTTATTCACGAACGTGCCTTTGGACGAAACAATAGAGATCTTGGTTAACAGAGCCTTTTCGAACAATTGGTTCAATACTACTCACAATCTTGCCCTTACCAGAACAGATCTTATTGACCTCCCAAACGTAGCCACCAAAGGCCAACTATTTCAATTTAACGGAGCTCTATACGAACAGACAGATGGCGTTGCTATGGGGGTCCCCTCTCGGGCCTTATTAGCAAACGTCTTCATGTCATCCATCGAAGATACCCTTGAGCGACAAAGAAAAAACTTCCATCCTATTATCGTCGATATGTTGATGATACACTCACTGTAATGCCTGATCTAGCAACAGCAACTACCTTCTTGCATACCCTCAACAGCGCCCACACTTCGGTCAAATTCACCATGGAGGTGGAGAAGAACAGCAAGCTTCCTTTCCTTGGCACCGAACTACTCAACCATGCACCTCGGATTGAAACCAAGGTATATGTGAAACCAACAAACACGGGCCTACTATTACACTACCAAAGCCATGTAGACAATCGCTACAAACGGAGCTTGCTGAAAACTATGCTGGATCGCGCACACCGATTATCTTCCTCCTGGGCCCATTTCTCTGATGAGTGTGATCGCCTAAAGAAAGTTTTCGCACGGCTTAAATACCCGGGGCGCCTGGTAAATTCTACCATTAACACCTTCTTACAATCAAGAATTGTTGGTACGCAGCCCACACAGACGCCCAAAGAACCAATATCCATTGTTCGTGTGGTCATACCTTTCAAAGATCAAGAATCAGCAAATTATGTTAAGAAAGAGCTCAAGAATCTTAGCATGAAGGTGCAGACAACTGTCCAGCCAGTATTTGTTAGCCGCAAAGTAAGCCAAGATCTTAAAGTACGAGAAATCAAGCCACAGATTGTCAACCAACAACGCGTCGTTTATCAATTTCAATGTGACCTGTGTGATGCGGGTTATGGGGCTATACACGCGGACACTTACACACACGCGTGGATGGACATAAACGAAAGGCATCTTCAATATATAAACACTACCACGAACAGCACAGCGAAGTCCCGAAAGACCTACTGAAACGTTTTAGCATTCTGAAAAAGTGTAGTAACAAGTTCGATTGTTTGGTGAACGAAATGCTTTTCATCAGAGACTTAAAACCCACTCTGAACGTGCAAAGCGATTCAATTCGCGCAAAAGTATTTGTTTAATTAGCTCGTAACATATTTATGCTAATTTAATGTTACACTTTGCCACAAACTTCATTCTTTATTTCTCCTTGACAATGGCGTCATGATGACACCGAAACGTCGGTTTTTATCGTTAGTTTTTGCTAGTCTTTGCATTTCTAAATCCTTATTGATAGACAAGAAAGGCTACAAAATTCACTGCATCTCTAACAAAATTCTATTCATACGCAAGTTATTTACCTCGAGAAAGTTTGTGAAACTATTCATCAATCCTCGACGTCGAATTTAAGCCCCTCGTCAGCAACCTCGAAGAAGCGGGCAAACGCTGGTCTTGAAAACGTGGACGATATCCATAGCAATATCATTAAATTCATATGTTTGGCTTCAAAGTAGCTGAAAAAAAGCTCGTACATGTCGTAAGCTCTCACCACGTGCAAGTTTTGAAGTAAATATGAATATTAAATTCGAAAGTTATTTGCAATTCTATGAGCTTCCGAAGTTGAAGGGCGATCCGAAAATTCCCGAAAAGCTCTTCGGCCAGTTTCGTTCAAACTGAATGACCTGCTATCGGCTGATTTTAAACTAAGAAAATTTAAAAGATAGCCGCCTTTATCTTCGTAATTTTAAAGTGCTAACTCGACTCAGATGCACTCGTTCTTTATTTCGATAGATTTTTCATATCTTTGGCGGAAATTTCGATTCAGCGCGCAGGCATCTATTACACTGCACTGCCGAAGCGCTAATAACAAGGCGTTGCTCGCAGGCTACTCATCTCAATAATAACTACACTCAAACTTTAATCTTAAATATTCACTATTTTTTAAAGTTACAATGTTTTTTTAATGACATATGATGGAGGAAGATGCTTGGAAATTTCTCTGTGCGAAGAAAGCCTCGGGCGTGGTAATTCAGCCTCAGCTCATGAGGGAAATAAAAGTGCTCGGAATTTTAAAACTGCCGGCAACTTATAAATACAATTTTTCATGCGAACATTGCTCACACGTATAATGTATTTGCACTTATTTTGGTAGTATGTCTTTGTAACTTAGAGACAAGATGTACATGTCCTCATTCTGTTGTACTCTACCTTAGTTTTTTCCAACACCTTTTGGTCTGAAACATTCTAAATATCACTTAAACCTACCAAACTTATCCGACCAGGCTCTCGCGAAGCCTGCGCTTTTCGAGTCAGCGAGAAATATAAGTGCACGAGAGGTTCGCGCAAGTTCTGGCATAAAGAGTGAGATCTCTCCTAGATTTCTCGCGTGCTCCTCTCGCTCGCTGGCTTGAATCTCGCAGGATTCGCGGCTGCCCGCCGTAGAGAGTCTGCTTGAAGGCTAAATTTTCTAATGTCCAATGTCCGTGATGCTAACAAGGCAATGCAGCGTCCTAATTCATTCTATTGTCATTTGTTATTTCCGTCACATTCCCTTGAAAAACGCCTAGGACAGTTTGCAGCCTTCTTTTATAGGCATTGCTGTCACAAGTTTCACAGCCACATTCGGTAATAACCAAGTACTTCAAAACTTTAGTACTGCCATCTGGGCATTTCATTGACACGTTCGCGATGCTAAAATTCTTGGGTTTACAGCAAGAACATTCGATGTCGACCCAAGATGAGGTTATGTTCAAGACCGCGGTTGAGTTGCAAAAACCATTGCAAGTTGTCTGTTGAATTGGATGAGTGTTAGAACAGCCGGATTTGTCAACAATACTTCTTGGCTCTGAAGTGATATTGCATCGTGATATTGGAGCTTCAGCCTCTGTAATTTCCGTTATTGGTTGAATGGATGTTGTCGGCTTTGTAGTCCCTGCTATTGAAGAAGTTTGTGGAAAGCTCGTGCTTTTCGGAACGGCTTTTGATGTTATTGGTTCCGCAGTAGGTGTCACCATCGTTGATGGAGAAACTGTTAGAATTGCCCCAGCTGATGTCGGCTTTGTAGTTCCTGTTTCTGAAGAAATTTGTGCAAAGCTCGTGCTTTTTGGAAGAGCTGTTGATGTTGTTGGTTTTGAGAGAGTCGTCGTGATAGGTGTCCCCACAACCTTCGATGCGGATACTGTCGGAACTGACTGAGTTGTTAAAGAGCTCACCACAGCTGTTGATTAAAACAAAAGAAGTAAGCAATGATTGTGAATATATGAAACTCAGATATGTAAACTGCGGATTGAGACATGATTATTAAAGCGCTCTTCGCAATAATGTTTCAGTGACTGAAAAACTGTAAGCATAAGATTATGATAAGATAATTTTAGTCATATGATTAACTGAATTACGTATGCATTTGGATTGATGTATTGAAGGTTTGACGTATGGATGACGTCGTCATTAACAACATTTGCTTTTTTATCATAGGAAACAAATAGATTCTTTGTTGTTGTGAGTCTGACGTCAAAACATCAAAATGTGGTCAGAACAAAAATAGCTGGTTGCACAGAAACAAGAGAATATAAACAGTTTATATTCTCTTGGCAGGGTATGAAAGGGGGGCCATAGAACATTTGAGGCCAGGAGGGGGATCATTAGCATTCTACAATGCCTCAGGGGAAACCAGGTAAAAATTGTCGTGGCAAAACCAGAAACCTTCCCCCCCCCCCAGATAATGAATGAGGAGCGGTCCCTTAACCCTAACATTAGCTAGTTACTGAGAATTAATGACAACTCAACTCCAAAACGAATCCCAGAATATTTACAGAAAGTTTCCAAGTGAACTCACAAGGAGAGTTCCACTTACACAGCCTTGGCTTTTTACGAAAAGAAATGTTTACAAAAATTGGCACTTACAACGGGTTAAGTTATGCATAGTAAGAATGCACTATACTAGAGACTGACCAAAAACTATAAGGTCTAATACGATAATATTGGTGATCCCTTAAATGTAGGAAGATCTTCCCCATGACTTAAAAATGATAATATCCTTTCAAATAAATTTACTGGTTTCACTATGGGAGTTATACTAGTATCTTTTTTAAGGACACTATCCTTAGATACTAATGAACGAAATTATCCTTTTAAACGATCTCGTAAAAAAGTTCTAACCTGGTGAAGGAACTTGGATAATTGTGGCGGACGTTGCGCTTGAGGCGCTTGTTATTGTTGTTTTTCTCACGAAAGATCCAAGGGCTGATATTTCCGGTATCGGGCTCGATACCTTTGGTGTTGCTGACAGTTGTTGTTTAAAAGACGTAAATGTCGAACCTATTGGCCCTCCCACTTTCTGTATCATTGATTCCTCCGTGGCCATTGCTGTGGTCGAGCTTGTCTCCTTTGAAATTGTTCTCGATTTTGTTGGAGATAACGCTGTCTTAGTCAAACCTGTTTCCTTTCCAGTTGTCGCATCCTGAGTGGTTATTGTTGTTGTTGTTGTTGGACTTGTCGTTTTTGCTGATTTCTCTGAGGATACCGTCCATGTTGGGGATGATAACTGTGTTTTAACAAACTCCTTTGCAGATACGTTTGCTAGTGGACTTAATGACTTATACGTTGATTCCCGAGTGGGTTTTGTCGATATCAGACTGCCCACAGTTGGTGTTCTTGTCAATTCTTTTACAGATGACATTGATGAGGTTAGAGTAGTTGTAAGACTTGTTGAAACTGCTTTACTCCCTCCCTTTACTGAAATTAGCGATGTCGGTTCTGTTGTCTTTGTTTGTTTTAGCTCCTTTTCGGATATTGCCGGTGTCGCACGTGATAACTCTGTTGTTTCTGGCTCTTTAGATGTGTATGCCGTTGATTCCACTGTTGATAAATTTACCACTACCGTTTTTATTTTTCTTGTTTTTGTTGTTGTTGCTGTTATCGTTGTTATTGACCCTCCCGAAGGTCTCGTTACCATCCAGCTTCTTACCCTCGTTGTTTTGGAATTCTCCGAAGACTTTGTCGTTGGTAGACTCGCTATGTTTGACACCAACAGAAATTGTTGGGTTGATATCGTCATACGTGTCTTCAATAGTTGACCCTGGTTTCCTGGTCGAGCCGTTTCACTCTGACCTGGCAACAATATTCCAATCGCTGTCAAGAGAATTATCCGGTTAAAATTAGACACTAAATAATGTTCTGATTATCAATATAGTTTGTTTGAGGCTTTCTTTAACCAAGTAAACTCATTTCCTTCAAAGAAAAAGCAAATTAGGATCCAAAACAGCCTTCTCTCAGCGGGAAAATATCCACGGATATCTTTTCTAGATCCGACCTCAAGGAAAATAACGAGTGACGTATAACCACTAGCCTTTCTTTTGCGCGAAAATATGCACGAATATTTGTTCGTGGACATTATTCGTTTCTAAGAAACGAAGAGTCTTCCGAGAGCGAAGCCTAAGGAAGAGTGTGAGCTTCGAGGACATGATAATGTCCAAACTGGGCCATCTCAGACGTTCGGGGTGCTTTTTAAATCTATGAATGATGTGGGTATATCTATACAGTACGGTATGCCAGATATATGTTTTCGATGTGATGTTGCTATATTTTATGCTGGGAAATTTTCATGAATTTTCACATTGTTAGCGTGCATCATCTTTCAACTTTTTCACTCTTTTGAGGTGGCAATGTGCTTACCTGCCGAGGATAATGAAGGGGACGTTGTATTTTCCACGCTTATTGTTAAACTATTTCCAGTCCCCAAATACATTTTGACTGTGGTTGAAGTCCCATTTATTAACTGACACCAGCAACAGTCGGCTGGATTTTCCGGCATAACGAGTTTATAGCCCTGAGCAAACAAAACAAAACAAAGAAATTGAGAGGCAATTATGCAATCATGTTTTCAAAACTGAAATTTTTTCGAATCATTTTTGTCGCTTTGATTATAAACCAGTATGCGTACCTTAGCACAAGACAGCGTACATGTGGTTTTGCAGACGGCTGTTGTTTGGTTGAGGGTGTTGGGTTTCCTCATGCACGTACACACGCGGCACTCTCTGTCATGTATTGTTTCCTTGATCTACGAAAAAGTAAGTATCCAGTTTATAAGGCTCTTCCATAATAGTAATGGACCTGTCATAACTTATCACCGAGGATGGAGGATCTTGGGGGATTGCAGAGAATTGCCTCCTAATTGACTGCAGGTCAGGTAAATTTCAAAGTGACACAACCAAAATCCTCAACCCCCCTCTCTCTCTCTCTCTCTTCGGGTGAAATAATGAGCAGTCCCTTAGTGATGCTAAGTTAGATGAAAGAGTGTTAGTACTTAATGATTGGTGCCAAGGAAAAAAATAAGTTTTGCTTCCCCGATACCCATAAGAATAATAAGGGCACGTATGGTTTCTCTTAGGAGTTTGGTTCGCCCTTGGGAATAATCGAGTCTCGGCCCACGGCACGTAACATGTTCTTCCCCAATCGCGGTTGTTTTGCTTTTAAGTTTTTCACATATCGATGTCAATTTTATTAACATCTAAGGTGCTCTAGTAGATTATTCGACTCAGTTCCCCGGCTCATGTTCAACAATGCGGACGTAGGTTTCCAAGGTACAAAGCTATTTATTAGAACAGGTTACTCCTATTTTTAAAGACACTAAAAGGGAGAAGAGTAAGTATGAATATTCTCTTCCTTAAATACATCACAGCAGCCTCACATTCATTCAAACGTAGTCCTCTTCGTTTGGTTGCTTATTTTAACTTTACCGGAAATTCGTGTCCTTTGATGTCACATAGAGGCAAGCATGGCTCAGGCATGGGTACAACACATCGATTTTGCCACTTTAGCGTACCATTGTCACAGATGCAAGATGGACAATTGGCATCACGTTTACAATTGATTTTGCTATAGCAGTCCATCCTACAGATGCATTCTTCTCCGCACTCTGAAATGAAATCGTTGCATGGAAGGTAAGCAAGGAACAGAATCACAGGAGCCAGTTACTGTCAGTATTCGTGGATATTTACATGTATTTATGAATAAACTAGCTTGCATCAACCTTAAAAGTATTTGCATTTATATCATGTGATTAAGGGAACATTCCATAATCTACCAGAGCCTTGTAGAATCAGTGCTGCAGCCTTACTTAGAGTAAAGAGAACCTACTATCTTCACGCTTACCCTTTCTCCTCACCATTGAGGTGCCAACAGACAAAGTTGAAGGTGTTATGACCATCTTCGTGCTCTCTGGTAAGCTAATAGAACTCATTTTTGCTGTAGCTTGACTAGGAAGCGCTCGTATCTCCGTCAAGGGTGACATAACCTCCGATGTGGTTGACATAATCTCCGACACATGTGACAGTAACTGCGACACGGGTGACACCGTCTCCGACACGGGCGACATTATTTGCGATACGGGTGACACCATCTCTGACAACGGTGACATCATCTGCGGCACGGGTGACATCATTTTTGACACGGGTGATATCATCTCCGTCACGGATGACATCCTAGTCGACACGGGTGACATCATTTTCGACACGGGTGGCATCATTTCCAACACGGATGACATCCTAATTGACACAGATGACATCATCTTTGACACGGTTGACATCATCTTCGACACGGGTGACATCATCTCTGAAACGGGTGACATCATTTCCGTTGTTAATCGAGGGGTCGTAGTTTTGCTCGGGGAACTTCGGTTGATGGTTGAGACGAGAGTTGCTATCCTTGCCGTTACCCGCAGGGTGGCATGTGTTAGAGTGCGCGTGATTCCTGCTGAACCGGCTGGAGTTGGACATTGAGTCTCGTCCTGACCGTCTGAACAATCCTTGTGGCCATCACATAGAGATCTATGGGTTTGATTAGAATCACGTTAAATTTCAAATCTTAACAGAAAGACTTTTAAAATCTAAAAGCCATCACAATTTACATTTTATTCTGTAAGCTTCGCACGAATGTCTAAATGTGTTCTGGCAGAGGTTGACAGGAATACAGCCCCTTCCATCCTGGTCTATTTGCTTGATGAAAGCAGACAAGAACAATCCGTGATTGATAGGGTCTACAGGTTTTAAAACAGGGGAACCTCTCTCTCGGAACACCTTCGACTCGGGCAAAGGACACAAACCATAGCAGCCGATTAAGAAAATGCTTTCATTGGCATAATGTTTGCCTCCATCATTGAAAAGACACCTTGAAATAGGTCCAAATTCAACTGCCATGAAAAGTAAATATCAAAATATCATAGAATCAATTATCTCCCACCTCCTGGTCTGAGTAATCTAGGGTTCACGTTATCCATGTGGGAAACGAACGGTATAAGAACATTAAAGTTAACAGATAATGAGCTACAAGAGCAGTTTTCAGGAAGGAGCAATATTTGTGTCCCCAAAATGAGAGTTTTACTGATCTGAGGAGCCACAAAGGATGGGTTAGAAGGTCGTAATATGACGTGTCAACTCCCGTAACCGCTGTTCAGGTTTGAGATCCTCAGTGAGTTTGCGATAAAATAAAAAGAGTTCACTGCAATCGCAAATTTGTAGACATACGAATGGCCCCAGGTTCGATCAAGTGTGTGGACTGAAAACTTACTTGAAGGAAATGCACTTGGTGTTGTTATCACAGTGAAATTCTGCACATGGTGTAGAAGGGTTGCATGTCATCTCGTCTGAGCCATCACCGCAATCATCTCGTCCGTCACAAACGTTCTCGTGATTAATACACTTACTGTTGTTACATCTGCATCGTAAGGGCAACACGAACCATTAACCCGGCTGATAAGATACGTTGATATACCAATTGTGAGCGTAAAACACTTAAAGGACATGATAATAGTCCTTATGAGAGACAAAAACACTTGTCCGTTCGCTGGACTTGGAGCTAAAAGATCCGGTCTAGAACACTGACCAGGGTTTTGCATTGTGCTAGACACTTTACGATCACCATTCCTTTTCCCCACCCAGGCGTGTAGCTACTGGCTGACTGAAGAGTATAGCTACTGACGGACTGAGGAATATAGCTACTGGCGGACTGAAGAGTATAGCTACCGACAGACTGAGGAGTATAGCTAATGGCGGACTTAGGAGCACAGCTACCGACGGACTGAGGAATATAGCTACCGGCAGACTGGGGAGTATAGCTAATGGCGGACTTAGGAGCACAGCTACCGACGGACTGAGGAATATAGCTACCGGCAGACTGAGGAGTATAGCTAATGGCGGACTTAGGAGCACAGCTATCGACGGACCGAGGAGTATAGCTACCGGCAGACTGAGGAGTATAGCTACTGACGGACTGAGGAATATAGCTACCGGCAGACTGAGGAGTATAGCTACTGGCTGACTGAAGAGTATAGCTACTGACGGACTGAGGAATATAGCTACTGGCAGACTGAGGAGTATAGCTACTGACGGACTGATGAGTATGGCTACTGGCGGACTGAGGAGTATGGTTACTGACGGACTGAGGAGTATGGCTACTGGCGGACTGAGGAGTAGGGCTACTGGAGGACTGTTTGATTAAGCCTTACAGAATTCAAGGGAGAGCTACCCGCGAAGAAAGAGCCATTCCCTTTAAAAGGAATTAAATACCCCATAAGCCTTTACTTCACAGAAAGTGAGATAGGCTCCGATAGCTCTGTTAGTTTTTCTCTTATTCAGTAATTGTCCAATCTGCATTGTGGAAAACATATTACTGATAACCCAAGCAGACAGAAAGGTTCTATAAAACTATCAGTTTGAAGTCGTCAAACATATGAAGGACCGGATCCATTCGTTATTATTAACTTTGTCGGCTGCCAGCGGGTGAGGAAGGTTTTACTTTTTATCGAGCCAAGAGAAGGAAAACGGCAGGCGGTAACAATGAAGTCACTAACCTAACTTCAGGACAAATAGGTGGAACGTTGACCTTAATGTTGCAGCCGTAGAACTCCAGCCGCAGACATGGATCGGTGTGTGACTGGATTGGGTACACTCGCAGGTAAAGAGCCTTAACTGGCTGTGGAAACTTGTTTGTAACAACGGAAGTTTGGTCCCTGTTCGCGTGGAATGCCTGCCGGAAAAATTGTACCATATAAATATAGTGCTCGGCTAACTTAGCATTCCAATTTCGTTAAACAACAAGACGCTTCGGCGCTTCTTATGTCGGCATTTGTACTGCACGCAGCGATCAGACTAAGTAATAAGGACAACAAAGGTCCAAGTAAACACAACCGTGTTTCGAGATTTCCGATTGTAGGATAAAAAATTTTGTTAATGATTAAAATGAAAAATATGATTCAAATGTTTTTGTTAAGGGGAAGAGTAAAAGGAAAATGGAGAACATAGGCGGAGGGTTTACGGAAATACTCGGTGGATTACCGGGAGAGGCGATTTCGCCTGAATAAATAGGGTTACTTCCGTGACTGAAATTCGTTAATGTAAATGACTGCGTAGGAGTGAGCACCGACACGCCTATTCTATCTCACATTGCACAATCAGAAGGAAAATGATACAGTTAACGGCACCTTTTGTATTTTGGTCCAGGTAACTCCATTCCGACTATATGACATTCGAAACAATGTCACCCATTTGTGAAGAAATGGATGTCCTTGGGTTGCTACCGCGGTCACCTTCCGTAAGGAGTCCAGCTGGACCTGCAGATATGGTTCTGTATCGTCAGGTTTGGGGCACCAGGAACCGTTTCCCTTTCCTTTAACATGAGTATTATTAAGTCGTCCCTCACTCGGTCGGTAATATACACTGACAGAAGACGAGGCTGCGAAGGAATGATCTGGCGCTCGATCTGACAATCCTAGCAATGCAGAATCAAAAATTATCCAGTAAAGAAAGGAAATTAATTTAAAACCTCTGATTACGTTGCTAGCTGATAAACACTTTCGCTTGGCTAAAAAATTGCAGTGGCATTTACCCGTATACTTTAAACGAAAGATTATCAAATAAGCTTACCTAAGGATGCAAAACACGGTGATATACTGGTGGTGCAATTTCCCTCGTCTTCGCCGTCTTTACAATCATTTTGTCCGTCACAAACCCAGTGTTTGGTAATGCATTTGCTATGATCTCTGCATTTGTACTCGGGTGGAATACATTTTGTTTCATTTTCAGGTACTACACAAGATTGACAGCATTGTCCAGGAGATATCAAAGCCACGGAATTGTTAGGACAAGGAACGAGCTGGGGAGGACAACGAACAGGTCGGCAGATGACACTATTATTCCAACACTGGCACTCATCACAAGTATCATTCCATGTGGCGCCTGGATCATAGTACTTTCCTTTATGGAAGCAAATGCAATCTGCTGGTTTAACACAATTTGTGCCATTAAACACTGTTTCACCGGGGCACTTGCATCCGGGTACACAAGGTATTGCAAGTGTCTTTCTGCACGTGTTGTTCATGTACTGACAGGACTCATCACAGATTGATTTACAAGGAGTGTACACCATGTTGCGAGGGCATTGCAAAGGAGTAATTGTAACAATACTTGTATTTTGTGGCTTGATGTTTGTTGAAATTAATAGTTTTGTTGTAATAGTTGATGCTGGTGATGCCCTTAATGCTGTAGATGCTTGTGATATTGTTGATGCTGGTGAAGCTGTTGATGCTGTCGTTACTGGTAATGCTGGTGATGCTGGTGATGCTGCTAATGCTGTCGTTACTGGTGATACTGTTGATGCTGTCGTTACTGGTGATGCTGTTAATGCTGGTGATGCAGGCGATGCTGTTGTTATTGTTGATGCTGGTGATGCTAGTGATGCTGGTGATGCTAGTGATGCTAGTGATGCAGGTGATGCAGGTGATGCTGTTGTTGCTGGTGATGCTGTTGATGCTGGTGATGCTGTTGATGCCATTGATGCTGGTGATGTTGTTGATGCTGTCGTTACTGGTGATGCTGGGAATGCAGGTGACGCTGTTGTTACTGTTGATGCTAGTGATGCTGGTGATGCAGGTGATACAGGTGATGCAGGTGATGTAGGTGATGCAGGTGATGATGTTGATGCTGTTGTTACTGTTGATGTTGTTGATGCTGATGATGCAGGTGATGCTGTTGATGCTGGTATAGCAGGTGATGCAGGTGATGCTGGTGATGCAGGTGATACTGGTGATGCTGTTGTTGCTGGTGATGCTGTTGATGCTGGTGATGCTGTTGATGCCATTGATGCTGGTGATGTTTTTGATGCTGTTGTTACTGATGATGCTGGGAATGCAGGTGACGCTGTTGATGCTGGCGATGCTGTTGATGATGGTGATGCTAATGATGCTAATAATGGAGTTTCTAATGTTTCCTTTGATGCTGGTGATGCTGTTGATGCTGGTGATGCTGTTGATGCTGGTGATGCTGTTGATGCTGGTGATGCTGTTGATGCTGGTGATGCTGTTGATACTGGTGATGCTGTTGATGCTGTCGTTACTGGTGATGCTGGGGATGCAGGTGATGCTGTTGTTACTGTTGATGCTGTTGATGCTGATGATGCAGGTGATATTGTTGATGCTGGTGATGCAGGTGATGCTGGTGATGCTGTTGATGATGTTTTTACTGGTGATACTGATGATGCTGTTGTTACTGTTGATGCTGTTGACGCTGTTGATGCTGGCGATGCTGTTGATGATGGTGATGCTAATGATGCTAATAATGGAGTTTCTAATGTTTCCTTTGATGCTGGTGATGCTGTTGATGCTGGTGATGCTGTTGATGCTGTTGATGCTGGTGATGCTGTTGATGCTGGTGATGCTGTTGATACTGGTGATGCTGTTGATGCTGTCGTTACTGGTGATGCTGGGAATGCAGGTGATACTGTTGTTACTGTTGATGCTAGTGATGCTGATGATGCAGGTGATGCAGGTGATGCAGTTGATGCTGTTGTTACTGTTGATGTTGTTGATGCTGATGATGCAGGTGATATTGTTGATGCTGGTGATGCTGGTGATGCAGGTGATGCTGGTGATGCTGTTGATGATGTTTTTACTGGTGATACTGATGATGCTGTTGATGCTGGTAATGCTGTTGTTACTGTTGATGCTGTTGATGCTGGCGATGCTGTTGATGCTGGTGATGCTAATGATGCTAATAATGGAGTTTCTAGTGTTTTTGATGACGCTTTCAGTGAAATTGTTGACTGCACTGTTGAGGCTATCACTGTGGTAAGGGAAGATGCAGTTTGTTTTGGCATTGGTGGTACGGAACTAATTGTCATATTTGTTGGCCGCACTGGCGTTGGGAGACTTGCTGTCATCTCTACAGGTACTGATAATGGCAGGGAATTTGTTTTTACGAGAGATGATAAGGCTGCAGGTGGAGAGCTTGCTGCCACCTTAATGCCGGCTGATTTTTGCGAGGCACTTGCTAACATTTCTGGTAATGCCTCTTGTGCCGAACTTGTTTCTATCCTAACTATCGCTATTTTTCGGGAACTTATTGCCACTTTTGTAAATGGTACCAGCTTTAGGGAACTCTCGGTCACCTTTGTAAATAATGCCTCTGGTAGAGAGCTGGCTGTCACTACTGAACTTTGTCCTAGTGAGGAAGCGGTATCTGTTACCTTTGTTTGTGCTTCTGATGGGAGTATCACTGTCTCTTTTGAAGGTTGTGTTGCTGTTAGGGTCAATGTTGTCTCGTCAGTGGGTGACATTGCTGATGAGGAACTTAACCTCACCTCCGAAGGTGATGCCACTAGTTGGGGGTGTGCTCTTACATTTGTAGTCAGCGCTGCCGATAGGAAGGTTATGGCCCCTTTTGCAGATGGTACTGATGTTAGGAAACCTTCTGTCCCTTTTGTAGTTGATGTCGCTGGTAGAGAACTTTTGGTCGCTTTTGAAGGTGGCACCGCTCGTGGGGAGCTTTCTATTACCTTTGAAGATTTTTGAGGTGGAGTTTCTAGAGGGGAACTTCTTAAGAGTTGCGTGGCCTTTAAAGGAATCGTCTTTTCCTTTGCTAGAGATGTTTCTAGTATTGTAATTTCTTTAGCGGCTGATGCCGTTTGTAGAGAGGTAACAATCACCTTTGAAGAAGGAACTAATGTTGGAGCACTCGCTGCCAACTCTGAGGTTCGTGTTGTTATTAAATAGCTTGTCAGCACTTTTAAAGGAGATGCTACTGGTTTGGAGGATGCTGGTGCCGTAGAGAGTAAATTTTCCGTCACTTCTGAACGTAATGTCCCAGGTAAACTAGCTACTGTCATATTTGAAGTTACCCCTCCTGGTAAGGAGCTTTCCGATTTTCTTGAACTTGGTTCTGCCAGTATAAAACTTACTTTTCCTTTCGTAGAGGATGCTGCCGGAAGTAAAATCTCTGTTTCATTTAAAGATATTCGTGTCGGCAATGAACCGTATGTTACTTTCGAAGGGGAGGTTGCTGTAAGGTGGCGTTCTGTCACATCTGAAGGTTTTGTTGCTGCTAGAGATATTCTCGTCACTTTTGAATGTGGAATGGAGGGTGACGTTGCAAGTTTACCACTTCTGGTTACTCTTGGAATGATAAATGTTGGCACTGAGGAGCGTGATGCTTTTATTAGTGAGAACACTGTGACTATTTCGTGCTGTACGGCTAATCGAGAACTTGTGGTTACTGTTATGCGTGATGATATTGTTGGAAAAATTGCTGTTTGAAAAATTTCTCTTGCTGTTGAGTATAATGGCGTCACCATAAGGGAACCACTGGTTGCTATTTCACGTGGAGCTGCTATTACGGAGCTTGGCAATGTTACGTGGGCTGCTGCTTGTTGGGAATGTGATGTCCATGTAGTTTGTGTTGCTGTTAGAACGAATAAATAGTTAAAATCATTTTCACAGCAGTTAAAAGCTTTTCTCTAGTTTGGGAAAGAAATACTTTTGGGCTAAGTAGGCGCGCGTGCTGGTGCCTTACTTAGGTTTAAAGATAATGGCTTTTCGTACCTGATGATCTGCAAGAAGGACCAGTACATGAAAAACATCCAGCCTCACACGTACTAAAAAGAAGATAATATAAAGAATTATTAAATCAATAGTGGCAGCTGGAGTGCACTGAGTTCTTTTCTTGAGCATTGCGTGCAATCTCTTGAGTTAAGTCGCTAGGGTAAGGGTAATAAGAGGTGTATGGAGCGAAACGCCTTTTTACTTTCTAGTTTAGCTCTTGTTTCACATTTGGCAAATAAATCATAAAAAACTCTATGATTCTTTGGAGGATCCCTCCTCAACTGTCTTACCATCGTTGACAGTTTATCACCACAATTGATCCAGGTTCATGGTCAATCTCATCCAAACTACACGGACAGCTTTTGGGAGAAATGCACTTCCCATCATGCAGCACTGTTCCATTTGGGCAAGAGCATCCTTCAAATGTTACGGGACAACGGGCAGGATTGGCTTCACACTGGTTTTCACATGTCCTGGGACAACCTGCAGCACAGGGCGTGTACTCAAAGCAATGACCGTCCTCGCTAGGACATTGGATAGCTGTGTTTGGAAAAAAGGATAATAATCATTGGCGAGAACAGTCCCACCCACAGGCCTAAATATATTATGTAGTTCAAATTTAATTGATACTTACAGAACTGCTGTAATACGGGTATTTGAGCCAACGTAAAATCATAGAATGAAACAAGTAATTCTTACGGTAGAAAAAGGAATTTAACATAGAGAAATAACCGTGGAGGAAAGAGGAAGGTTACGAGAGAGAAAGGGTAACCTGTATTTGTAAAGAAAATTGTGAAACGTTCAGGCTCAAGTTTTTAAGATGCAACAGCCGTGTCGATGATTTTTAAAGACTTTACCCTTCCGTTGGTTTCCAAGGTTACAGACTGCTTCTATGAAGTTATTTTTCTCGGATGTATTACAGTTTTTGACTGTTTCGAATTTCGTTTGTATGCAAGATAAAAATTCAACTCGTTTAACATCCCTACGATACTTACGACACAATTCTTGCGTTCTCCATTTGATTGGCACACTATGTTTGCAGCACTCATGGCCATAGGAGGCGATTGCTGTACACAAGCACTCACAGTCACCACCGCTATCACAAGCACAAGCATCGCGGTAGCATGCATCGTACCAAGGATCAGGGTTTACCTGAGAGTTAAATGTAGGACAAAACTCGGGGAAAGCTCAGCTTTTCTTTGATAAAGTATGGAACACGTTGGATTAAAAATGACCCACGTTCAAAATTTTTCGTCAATGCAATTTTTAAATCAAGTAGAGTGTGACACGACATCTGCCATAAACCAATGATTAGTTACTGCCGTTGGGGGAGGGGGGAGGGGGGGGTTTGGAGGATACGATAAATTTTATCCCATCCCCCACAAGACTCTTTAATGTTCTTATGATCTCCCCCGCCCCGCCTCATTGGCAGTTAATCGGCAGTGAATTTGCTCTGATTCCCCTTTATGCTCTGTTGGCGACGACTGATCCCTCTGTTCCCCCTGAAAACTATGTGACCCCCTTAAATCCTCCAATACCGACCCCACCCCCTCTCCCTCCCCCTCCCCCCCCCTCCCCTCCCCTCCCCTCCCCTCCCCATCTCCTCAGGTGATAAATAAAAACTGGTCTCCTGTTCGAAATAACCTTATCAACTTATTTTGTGTTACAATAGGCCCAGGACTTACGACTTCATGACAAGGCTTGAACACATCTGATCTGATGATGCTGCACATCTTGTGAGCCCATGGTGCACGATGCTTATTTATCACGCAGGGATTCCTGGGTATGACTGCATCCGGGCATGATGACTCGACCCTCCAGCTGTCGCCAAAGTCATTCGCTAAGGTCTCTGGCAACATTTGTGGTGTCATGAAATCGTCATTTCTGTCACCGTTAAAATTGCCGCATAGCCCACACACTCGCCCTGAAAAACAAAGATGTGCCATGAACATGTCACGTAATGCAAACGACGGATAATTGACTTTTGATATTCAAATCTGCAAACGCCAATGAGGCAAGGCTACAACGTTTTGTCGTCCTAAAATACCGGTAGGAATATTCTTTAAACTTGAATGTAACTCATTGTCAGAGTTGTACTGAGACAGGTCTTGGTGATCGTCTTACCTGGAATAGGGAATTTACTTATCTCAGGTAAGTTATTTATCATATGGCACTTGGACCAAACTTGTTTATTTTGAATCAACCGGCTTTCGCGAACAAAAACACGCGGCTCAAGACCTTTTACGTGGAAACCGTCTGTATGGCAAAATTCAGACCCAGGAAGAACCAATAAGAGCGCCTAGATTTTAACTCAGGACTACCTCGCCAAATAATGATGAGTTTGATTCTCTCATGCCATAGCAAACACCAATAAAATTTCCACTCACCTGTAAATTTGGGATCCAAAGTGATATATAGCCTTGTTCCTCTGTCCCACGTGATTGTTAAACCAAAGCCAGTCTCTAACACGGTAAAGAAGTGATGCTCTCTGATTTGAAACTCTTCAATCATGCTCAAGGCTGCAGCACCCGGCCTCGAGGATATCACGGGATGCTGATCCCTCTCAAGAGTGACCACCGTGTTGTTGAGCGTGATAGTCACTTGCTTTGTGCACGTGACGCCACTGTTCCCGCAAGGGACATTCTGGGCCTGGATTTGGAAAGTACGTGAAGAGGCGTCATTACAAGAGTCCTGAGCAAGGACATAATCACAGGCCCCACTGAAAGTGTACCTCCTGTCGTCGAAGGTGATGTAATTCAGTTCACCGTAAACGGAGCATGTTCCAGGGCAAACGTGGTCAGTACATGACCATTTAGTACCTTTGCAAGAACTAAAATAAAACAAATAACATCTATCTGAGAACTCAGAGATACGTAAATTCACATGAATAAACTACTTTTTCTTAGCTTTAAGTGAGACAGAAGTAATTTTTGGTGGCTATTTGTTGCCAAGTTCCAAAATAACACTTTCTTCAACTTGATTATCTACATTCAGCTTCCTGTCTAGACAGCAGCATGATACTCAGTCACTCCTAGTTGTGATATTACCCCCAAACATGTGTAAAGCCTTTTTCAAAACTTTGTCTAAGACAGGTAGAATTAGGCTTGAGAGCTTCTGATTAAGAGTCCCTTCTATGCGATTGGCTGCAATTTTTCTTCACAAGATCGTAACACCATATTTATTGATTTTAATCAGATAGACTTCTTCAGCTTGTTTTTTTTTTTTTGTTTTACACCTCTCAGGTCTCAAGAGAATGTAAATTTTGCGTACATATGCACGTCAATTATCGAAGGGCCTTAAATGGATAAGCTAAAGAGGTCTATTGTCTCATGATTGTTGAGCACAGTGTCCTCTTCTGTCATGTGTTGTGGAACCCACGCACATTGTACAATTGCGTTCACGGTTCGAGGTTATTGTTCTTTCCTATTCGTTATTGCGCCTATACGCGGTTGTATTTACGTTTCTGTTTCTAACGAAATACGTGATACTCCTCGTATACCAGGCCAGTAGATTGTAGCATCTTCGCAGTTCAGTGCTCCAATCATCCGGTCTGTTTTAGCTGTAGCCATTCAATGTAACCCACAGACAACTTTGGTGTTGTGAGTGGTTTGTGTTACCTTTATAACATACCAAGTATTGCAATCCTCTTTAATCTCTTGTCCTAGCCTGTAACTGTGACCGCCGCGATGACAGAAGCACTGGGAAGAGTTGATACACCGTTGACCATGTAGTACTGTGCCCTCCGGGCAGACACAACCTTCCTGGCACTTGGTCTCCAAACATGGCATATGAAAATTTTCACAGGTCCTTGCGCATTTTGCACCACAGCTTACCCACTTTTGTCCAGAGGGACAAGCTGAGAAAAAAAACTAAGTTACATTTACTCTAGCTCTAAAGAACGAAAGAGCGAAAAAGATACCATATCCGGAAGTTTATTCCACAGCTAACCCTGGGAGTATGTAGCCTAACTCTATAGAAATTGGCGTTCACGGTAGCTCAGAAATATAGAAGCACGTAGGATTGGCGGTCTGCAACGCTCTCCAAGAAGTCCCCCCCCCCCTACCCTCCCTGCTAGCGTAGCCTACGCCCGTGACTGATGGATGATCTTTACACTTGTCTGGAAAAAAGAGCGCGCGCAAAATCCACCGTCTTTTTTTTAATCTCGCTAATTATCCTGTCCAGGAGCTTCTTTCCTGTCTAAACTTGATGAACTTTTAGAAAAACTAAAAGTGGAATAAAATAAAGCGCTGTTGATTTAACAGATGTAGAAAACGAATTTTCAAAATATTAGTTTTGATTTGCTTGTAATTGAAAACAATTTCAACATCTTAAAGATATCTCAAATTGTTTTTTTTCGCAAATTCTTTTAATGAAATATAACTAGAGTAGTTACATTTCTGCGAAACAAACTGGAAAATATTTATTAAAGTGTATGAAAAGGTAAAGATCGAAGAAAGTTCCCACACCGGGAGTCGAACCCGGGCCGCCTGGGTGAAAGCCAGGAATCCTAACCGCTAGACCATGTGGGAAATCCTGTTATGTTCGAATATGAAAAATCCTCGTGAGCAAAATATACGTTGAAATTTCATCCAAATATAGGTTAAGATGGCTTTCAAACAGTTTGATCGATTTATACATTCATTTGTAAACACAATAAAAACCTAATCAAAGCTAAATTTATCTATAACGTATGCAAAATAACGCTTTTAAAAACAAAAGATATCTAGCTAGATCCTCCTGAAAGCGAAAACGTACAGCACTTTATTCGACCGTTGCCTTTTTTTTCTTTCCGTTGCTGTCGTTGTTATTGTAAATAATACTGGGCCATAGCCTTGAGGAGGAGGACCTCCTGGATTATACTCCATCAGCAACTCCTTCCCGCCGCACGAATACGAGAGGGAGAGCAGCGGCATTGGATTTTCATATAAGGCGCGCAAAATTTAAACATGACCACTCTTAAAATATCCATGCTACGTCTCTGTGATCTGAATTATAAGAAAGAAAAACGATCTTACCTTTGCATGATGTTTTGGTACAGTTAAATCGTCCGCTCTCACAAACGCTGGGGAAAAAGAGAGTCATTAAGACTCTAGAAAGGACAGATTATCACGCAGTAAGAAGGATCATTTCATAGGCCTCTCGCAAGCTTCAATGTTTTGGTTTTTTTTTGCGCTGCACCAGTCATACAATATTTTTTATCAGCACCAAGAGTGACTTTGCTCAGAAAGTTTTTCAAGACTAAAAGAACACAAGGATTGACCAATCACCTGACGCGCTGAGTGCCACACCGGTTCTTTCATAAGAAGCTGAGAGTTTATATTATCCTTTTAATAGTATTTGATATGTTCAGAATACTTACAGCTCGGCTGTTTGTCTAAAAAAGTGTTATTGCATATGTATACCGCATTGAAAATGTTTACTCGATTTTCATTTGAAGAAAGCGACTCGCTCCCTAAGTGTTCTTGAAGACTCTTGAGATGTTTGTAAATTGCATAAAACGTTGAATGTTTGGTAGACTGTCTTAATTGAAGAAAATTAAACTTAAGGTAACCAAATATATTAAACTGAAATTGGAAAATGGGTTGGACATTAAACCGTTGAAATTGGAAAATTGGGTTGGACATTAAACCGTTGAAATTCACAACATACGGAGCCCATTTCGCAAAATTCCCCGTAGTTATCTTCTCCGAAAAGATTCATTATGTGAGCCTTGTTCACCTTGAAAATCGAAATATTTTAGAAAGGTAAAAAACCTTACCATTCTTTGCAGTGGGAGGGTCGTATCACAGTTCCAGGTTTATAATAATTTCCATCGAGAGAACAGGGACATTGTGAATGGGGAACACATTGATTATCCTCTGTGAGTGCCATGCCCCTTGGACAGTTACACCCCTCAACACATTCCTCTTCACAAGGGAGGTCCATGGAGATTTCACGACACGTCCGCTGACATGAAGAGCCACAGACCTGGTGCACTTGGCCGGGAATGGAGCAAACTGCGTCTAAAAACGAAAGGCGTGTAAAATACAGATCTTTTATAGGCGATCAAATGGAATATCTAGTGGACGTCTTCAATTATGGTCAGCTTTTACTACATTCGTGCATTCCAAATTGACGGACATTATGTCTGGCTGGCGAGTGATAGGGAAAATAGATCAAACCAATGATATAAATGACATGAATGAGTTTGTGAAGGAAAACCCAAGCCCGCCTGGAGTAATAGTGTTGTATTCTTAGGCAATACTCTCCTTAAAAATCAGGGATTAATATCAGTATCTGGGCAACTGCCCACCTACCCCTCCCCTAACCCGACATTAACCCCAACTTGTTATCAATTAACTGTTGTTGAGTTAGAGGAGGGGTAGGTGGGCAGTTGCCCAGAAACTGATATTGATTCAAAATCAGTGCCCTTCCAAGTAATTAGTGAAAGGACACTAACAAAATGTCAAGGAAACCTGGCCAACTGAAGGGATGGAGATGCATTGGGCCAACTTGACTAATTTGTGTAATAACTACATTTAAAACCGTTCGCTGTTTTAAAGAGACTACAAATAACTAAGACAATTATTATATAGTTTTTTTCTCAGATCTGAACAAAGGGAGGTTCCTTAGATTTTAGCAGATCAGAAAGTAAAAGGGGAAGAGTCTACGTAAGTTAACTAAATACTTACCACATTCCGGCATAACTTTAGAGTTTATCCATTCAATCACGACCCCATGTCTTGCACAGTCGTGGACATAAGTAGCGATAGCACTACAAAGGCATTGGGTTCCCTGTTGACATCCACAGACGTCGTACATGCAGCTAGCGATGTAACCGCTAGATGGGTCCACTGTGTGATGGCAGCTGCTAAATGGAGACTGCAGTAATCTGTTGCACAATTTTCCCGCGGTAGCCTTTCTCTGTATCTGTACTTCACAAGGATGCCTTAACGGCTGCGTGTCATTACAAGCTGAGCTCACCTTCCACGAGTTTCCGAAGGCTGTCACGCTTGTTTCGATAACGCTTTCTTTGGTGGTGAGTTCGTCTTTCTGTTTGCCATTAAAAGTTCCGCACAAACCGCAAGTCATATCACGAAACTGAGGCTGTACTGTCACATAAATGCGCGAGATACCGTCCCACTTGACATCGAGGCCAATGGGACTATGAACTGACGTCATTGATGACGACAATTGTTTAATGATGTAACCTACGAACATAGCATACTTACAGTTATTTCTAATGAATTTAAAAGCTACCACAGTGAAAAATGCTGTTATCGTCAACTATTAATTACAACTTTACGTATTGCACTTCGATTTAAAAATATCTTTTTTTACAACGTATTCTTGCATAAATTGTTCACCGTCACTACTCCATTCGGGCTGCATTGAAAAATCTAAACTAAGAGAGATAATGGCGTTATTTAATTGCTTACGAATTTAATTAAGAACCCGGCTAATTTAGCAAGCAGTAAGAAATCTATACCATCAAAAGCTTCTTGCCTTTCTATCATACAGCGTTTTTCTTCCACATAGTGTTAACAGTTAAACAGAATTTCACAAAGCTCTACATATAATCACCCCTTTCCATACTGTAATTTAAGGTTTTGTATCAGGGAATCAATGTCAGTATTTGAGCAACTGTGCACCCACCCCTCCCCTAAGCCAACAACATTATCCCTAACTTGTTATCAGTTGACTGGTGTTGGGTTAATGGAGGGGTAGCTGCGCAGTTGCTCAGATACTGACGTTGATCCGATGACTTCTACTCACTCCCTGTTGCCATAGGGAAATTTGCCAATCTGTTTCCGTTAATGAGAACTGTCCCTCCTCCCCTGAGTGTGATAGTTGTCCCATTGAGAAGCACATATACGTTCCTGGTGCAGGACACTGAACCAACGGACCCGCACGCCACGTTGTCCACCAGAACAGTGAATGAATTGTTGACACAGTCCTTGGCCAAAATGTACTGACATATACCCATAAAGGAAAACTCCAGCCCATCAAATGTCCTGTAGTGTGGATCGCCAGTTGCAGAACAAACTCCTACACGAACAACATTCAGGACGATCTTAGAAATTTTTTCACTATTGTAACGTCTTTTGAAAATACAAACCGAGCCCCAAAAACTAATTACTAGCGAATCTGTTCAGGACACTTCTATAAGCAACAAGAGAATACATATCAAAAACTTCAACGCGTTGAATAATTAATCTTACATGGGGTCAACCTTCGTCGAAGTCTGAACCTGGGCTCGTGCAGTATAGTTGTAAGTCTGAAAATTTTTCTCGTGTTCATTCATTCCAAATTACATTCTTAAAATCAAAGCGAAACATTCTTACCTTGACAGTGGAGTTTCGTGCACAGCCATAGGCCATTAGCGCATGTGCTTCAGGTTAAAAAAAAATCAAATCACTAAGCTTGGAATAATTTTTTAATTTTCACGCAATTTTCAAAAAAAATGCTTAACGAGTGATCCTACATCTCTAATTATAAGTATCGTTGGAAGTTGGAATTTGAACAGGAGGTTGCAAAATTGTCGAAAAAAATCTCTTTTCATCATGTCATGAGCTGTCGGTAAAGGCTTCTTAAAGGAGCTTGCATACCAAGTTGTTCGGCAAGTTGTGACCCTTTCACATGAAATAAGTTTCCTTAAAATAGAAACCCTCTTATTTCAATCGTACTCTTTCTTTAATTTGGCAGGTCAATGATTCACACGGCAAAATTTTACTCGACATTTTCACGTTCTACGGTTATCTAAGGGGCTTCAAATCGCATTACTTACCAGTTGTTGCAGTCGCGCTTAATGACAGAGTTTGGTGGGTAATGCTTCTTATTGTGAAGACAGGGGCATTGCTGTATAGTGACACATCGCTGACCATCATACACCGTCCCGTTACGACATTGACAGACATCAAGACATCTCTGTGGACAAATGTAATTTCCGTTTTTGATTTGACACGTCGGAGGACAGGAGGATGCACATTCGGTGAACTGCTGAGTTTTTGGACAGGTAATAGCTACGAATTCCAAATACAAAATTAAATCAATCTCTGCTCAGTTTATGTAGTAGGGACGCGTGTGCATTACGACACAGACAGATGGAGCGAGAAGCCGCGCAGAAGTGTAGTGAAAGAAGCTCCTTCGCAGCTCGCAAGCCTCTGCCTTTGCCACCATCAACAAGTTACATTTACCATCGCTCCCGCCTCAATGTATCAGCGCCTGTCAAGTGGGCCAGTTTACCCTTCTCGAGCAAATCATACCAGGAACACGTTCATAGTCATTTTTCACAGACAGTGGCAGTATCAAAGAACATGACTTTTTCATTTATTTTTCTTGCTTAGGAAAAAAATTTCTATCATATCGTATAGTTCGTTTCCCAACTAAGAGGTACGTGCTGTTCCTTTGCCATCGGGTAAAGCCCTATTGTAAGCCCTTACAAAGTTTGAGATGACCGCCTTAGCCTAAAATTTATTTCCGTAGGAGAACTGCGACAAAAATCATCTTTAAAATTTGAACTTCTTTTCAGTACTTCTACTATTCAAAGTTTTCATATTGCACAACAAAGCTTTTTTGAAAATTAACAAAAGATACCAAGTTAAACTTACGGCATAGATCATTTGTTCTCCATTGTACGGCCGCCTTATTCCGCGCGCATGCTCTGGAGTACTGCGTGAAAGCTGAGCATGCGCAGTCAAGCCGGTCAGTCAAATTGCACTTGCAAAGTTCTTCCTCACACATTTCGATGAATGGCGAAGGATCAAGAACCCCGTGACAAGGAAAGAACGTCGCATTCCGTAGAAAGGAACAAATACCTTTTATCTAGGGACAAGAATTAATGAAATTACAACATCGAAGGAGCGGACTTGGAGGGATTATTTTGTGGTTCCTCTTAGCGCTTAGATCAACACCGTACTTCAGCTCATTAAATAGCAATTAAAAAAATAGATTCTATATCGCTTTGCGTCCGTTCTTTCATAGATCACAGATGAAGTCACCAAGTGTAGTCACATAAAGTCGAGGCTTATTGGTATACTACAGCAGTAAGATAAAGCAAACAAGAAAAAAAAATCCTTCTTTCGAAATCGGACTTTTCTCTTAATTTCAAAACATCCTTCCTGAAGTGCCTGTCGCACAGTGGGCCTTAAAACAGTGGTTCAGAATTATTATTTTCCCTGTTCAACCAGACTTACGCTAAACTTCGTTTTTCATGACTGACATCCGGAATAATTAGGAAATAAGGTCTGGGCTTGAATTTTTGCCACACACTCACCTTCGTCACGTTACCTTGCGTGACCATACTGCAAGGACTCTTGGTTTCTTCTTCTCGTACGTTGGGACACATGTCAAAAACATCAGTCATGCGCCAACTATTTCCAAATTTGGCGATAGATGAAACTTGTTGACGTCCTGACGTCCTGATGTCATCATCTGGTAAGCCATTGTAGTTGCCGCATAACCCACAAGTCTTATTCTTGTGATTGGCTGAGACATGCACGTAAACCGCATCGATACCATCCCATAATACCGTTATCCCATTGTAACCGTACGTAAGAACATAGTTGGACACTTTTTCGATGACAACATTGTTCACGATGTGAGGAAGGGAAACGTTCTTGTCTGCCACTGTAACTTGGTCACGTTCTCCTAAATAAATCTGACGGAATTTTTCTCATTACTGGTCTACTTACACCACTTTCTAAACTAACCATTACATTGATAGAGATGATGGCTAAGGTAAGTTTTCCCCCAGAGCGACCCTGTAAAATTTAAGACTAAACTCACCTTGATGTCCACTCCTCCCAGGTACAAATTGACCGAGCGGCGACAGCGTGTGAGATTCTTACACAGAGGGTCGCCAAAAACGTGAACGGAGAAAAGATTATCCGCACAATCATGAATCAGTTTGTATGTACAGCGACCCGGAAAATAAATGTAGCGGCCGTCAAAAGTCTTGATGTGTGATCGCCAAGAGAAGCAAAGGTCTGGCTCGTTCATGGCACCGGAGGGAACTGGTAGGGAAGAAATGAAAAATGTGAGTGAAAGCTCATCATTGAACAACGCTGGAATAACATCAGAAACAATACATTTTGAAAAAACTAAACTGATTCATTTTATTGTTCCCTCTCTCTAACCATAATCTAGCTTTTTTTCATTTGGCTGAAACATTTCTGTATTCTGAAAAGCGGTTTTTCATTCGCAACATAAAATTTGTGATTCAGATGAAAAAACCTTAAAAAGATCTTTGGTGGTGACAACGCCCAATATACTATTTTATTGAGAGTTCCCCTCTTCCAAGGAACTCCCTCCTCGAGTCTCCTCTTGGTGGATTGGATACTTACGAGCGTCTGACAGAATCGTTTGTCCTTTGACGTCTATGACATCTGGAAAATTGAATCAAATTTTATACTTCAACACTTAAAGCGAAGCAGCACCTGTTATCAAAGATTTGCTGGCATGCGCGTAAATAAAGAAGTTCTGCTATAGAGATCGATAGGGCTTATCTTACAATGGAGAGCTTCACAACAACTCAACTGACAGAGCATTGCATTGGAGAAGTGAGAGGATTCAGATCCCTTAATGGAACTTTTTTTTTATTCGCGCTTTTTTCCCATCTTTTACAAGGAGTTTTACTACTCTAAACTTTTGAATGTATGGAAAAGCGTACATATCGCAGGAAAAGCCAGTTAAAAGTTCTCTTTCCCTTAGTGCCATCATTGCCACTTAATTAGTTTAAATGTTTTATTCTTGGTAAAATTCCTTTATTCAACCTTCTGCGCTTTACAAGTATATGTTTATTTTATATGGTCTCGTTGATCACGAACGATTCTTAATTCGTAAGCAGGCAAATCATGTATGGAGAACTTGAATTAGATACTAGGTTTCAGGTTCTTAGAAGCCCCCACGCTTGGAGCGAAAATTACCGTTGATAATGATTGCATGATTGCGAGGAACCACCCATTTATTTTCAAAAGCGATGTACATGAATTCATCAAACTTTAAAAGCTGGGAGCAAATCAATTTTACCGTGAAGTGCATACCTTGATCACATGGTACATTTGCTGGCCAATCACACTGATTTATAGTGTAGTTGTACCTGAGGCCAGTGGGACAATCTTTGTAATTGGTGAGGCCATCAGAACATGATATATATCCATAACAGTTGGTAGGATCTTTGTAATCTCCATCAGGCAAACCAGAGCAGAACGATATTCCTGGAAGTCAAATTTGAAATCAGAAAACCAATAAAGTTAGAAACGGTCAAAATTTTTGATAGGAACCCCACGATTCTGAAAAAACATCTGACACCTTAACTTATTGTTTCGTGATATTTATAATATATCTCCACACAAGACATAACTTGCCTATGATAGTAGCATGTAAGATACCTGTATGTCCCTCATAAAATTGGTAAATGGTCAAACCAAGCCCAAGATTCTGAAAATTTGTTTTGTATTGCAATCATGCAAAAACTTTGCATTCTATCTTAACTTACCTAATTGACACTGAGAGCCTGTAAAACCAGGAGCACATGCGCACTTTTCAGGCGCGATACAGGTGCCATGGTTAGCACATCCAGCAATACACAGAGCTTACGGGAATGAAGTGAGAACTTCGTTAGTTTTTGCCTTGATAAGAAGGAATTATCCGGAAAAGAAGGAGTTAAATCCGAAATTCTATTTTTGAACTTTCTTCTTACAAATCTATGTATAATGACAATTATAATCATTATTTGAAGGAATTTGGGTTGAATCTCAGTTTGATCGAGCGGGGAGGAACGATTGGAAGGTAGCTAACATAAAAATGAAGAAAAAAGAAAAAATTAGTAATATTCTATCTTGATTCACTTTAGAGTGTAGTGGAAGAAGTTTCCTCCTCTGTAAAGTGCGTGCTATCACAAACCTGTTTGACAGCGGTCTCCGCTCCAACCAGGTGCGCAAAAACAGTTTCCATTCAAACAGGTTCCGCCGTTGCTACATGTCGGATCACAGAAATCTGAAGAGAGAGAGAAGCTAGTTTGTTATATATGGACAATTGCTTACTTAGTTCACTTCTCTCTTAATCTTAGCATATCACATGATTCTGTATAAGATTTGAAAATGATTCATGAAAAAAAATGAATGGATTTTCCATCCTTCCTTTCTTTCCATAACCAACCTGTTTTGCACGTGGGCCCTGAGTAACCAGGCCGACAGTTGCAGGTGTCAGGTGCCACGCAAATGCCACCGTTTTCGCACGGGCTGGAGCACAGTGCTACAAGATCAATTTAAGTAATCCATTTAACAAAAGTATAAAAATTTATTTAATTTATACACCTATCACTTGACTGGCGCAGTTTTTTTCCTCTGACGTTTTCGTGTGCGCATATTAAAGAACCATACGAATGATAATTGTCTAACATCTAAAACTAGAAAACATCATTGCAAAAGAAAACAAAATAATTGCAATTGAAAAAAAATCAACTTTGGCTCAAATTCAAAGAAAAAACGACTTTATATAATCAAATTCACGTGCAGATCACGAGAAATTTGTAAGAAAAACTCAGCATTTTTAATGACAAAACATTGTTAAAGAAGAAAGAAAACAAACCGTCACTTCTTACCTTTGCTGCATCTCGGTCCATTCCACCCGCTTAAACACATGCATTGGTTAGGTTTTGAACAGAAACTACCGTTCAGACAAGTTGGAACACAAACAGCTAAAACAGAAAATTGATCAAATTTTTCATTATTATCTGTCTGTTAGTTATATCTTAACACGAACATTTACTCTTCATTTGCAATCATCTGGACGTAAGCGAAATGTCTGTGCTTTAAAAAGCCTGGAATACTACAGCATTAGGACATGGATTAACCACTTATAGGCCGAAGTTTTCCTGAAACTCCATTTTAGTCTGCCTATTTAGTCTCCACCCGATATTAGTCTTTAAGGACATTTTCCAAAAGACTTCGTTTTTCGATAAGAAAGAGCACTCTTTTAAAGAGTAGACCAGGTGCAGCGAAAAACTGTTCATTCAGATTTGAAGGTCCAGGGCTTATTCAGCCACTTACCTCGTTCACAGGCCCTTCCGGTGTAACCAGCAGGACAGAAACAAAAACCATCTGAACACAGGCCGTTGTTGAGACAAGATGGTGAACAGGTCTCTGTGGGAGGAAAAAAAGAACATCTTCAAGTTGAAAGAAAAGGGACCCTCATATAACCCTTAAGTTGAAACACCTACCCCTCCCCTAACGCTTAAACAGTCAACTGATAACAAGTCAGGGTTAATGTTGAGTTAGGGGAGGGGTAGGTGCACAGTTGTCTAGATACTGACATTGATCACAAAAGCTGTAGCTGTTATCATGGCAAACAAGAAGATAAGATGCATAATAATCCGGCATAAATTGACAACAAACTTTTTCTTTCAGATCCCAGTGCAGCATTAGGAGATAGGGTACCTTTTATAAATAGTACTTAATGTGAGGTACTCACTAGTACATTTGGTGGCATTCGCTCCATCAGCTATTGAACCGTTAGGACAAACTAGACACAATGTCTGACCGCTGTGAGGTTGATAAGTATTCCCACTACAGCCTGTACACTCTCCAGCATGTAGGTCATGATAAGAACCAGCGGCACACGGAACTATACACACAAGTAAAAATATGGGACATGAATTTATGACTCTTAATAAATCACATACAGCGCGTTTAAGGGCTGTCTATCTCTCGCATGCTTTAAAAAGTATAAGTTTGTTGCAAACGCTTCTAACATTTTTTTTTTGTATAGGAAGTTCCTCTCGGATTACGGGTAACCTGACCATGGGAAGTAGCAATTGTTGCCAAGAAAATTAAGATTAACTCCGGTTCAAGATTCCACTTATACTCTCGAAAGAATTAAAAATTTTAAAGGATAGAATGTTTCTGGTTTTTTTTATAATTTTGGCGTGACCCTTACTTGAAGGTCAAAGGAAGCCTGGTGTGTTACGATGTAAAGCCAAAGTTAAATGATGCGCTCTATGTTTATCTAAATATAGAGGAGTAGGTTACACTTGCTAATTCACTCACCACAAATGCCACTGTTGTCTACGTGACCATACTTGCAGCACAATCCACTCGTGTCATAAGTCACGTCAACTGCATTAGCTGAGTGGCCATTGAACTTTGGTGCCTTGCGCTCAGGTATAACTTTGAAATCCCTGAAAACCCCGGATTCTTTTACACAGTCTATGTCGACGCTTGAAAGAGAAGTGGATGGTGAAAGCTTGGATCGGAGATAGAAAACTGCAGTTATGGATGTCACGTTGATTATGCGCCTGATGTGAACGTCACGCAGTTCCACCGTCACGTCTTGACACGTGTAAAGCCCAGCTATCGCCTCGCCGGCTATCTTTCTCATCTCACTGATGGCCTGGTTTCGAGTGATGTTGGCATCATTATATTCGAGAGTTATATTGACTTTCCAGCACTTGATCTCTTTAGAGATGGAAGCTTTCAATAAATAAAAATAAGTGAATCAATAACAATAGCCTCAGAGATTCATCCGTCAAGGTCAATATTGATGAGGTTAGTATGGAGAATTTTTGTCTTGAAATACACCAGGTACAGGTCACGAACTGTTTGGTGGGACTTTTTTTTCAAGTGCTCCCAAAACTAAGAAATAACAGCCTTCAAACTATTTTTCTGGTTATGACCTAAATGACTTTGATCTACCCAACTTACTGGATGACTTTAAATCCGAAAACTGCCTCTTTTGAGTCAAAGAGTCATCTCCTGCAAAAGGATATTGAGCATCAGTTCATCTAGATAACCATTTAACTCTCAGAAGTGATTAACATGTAACTTCTCCCAATAAAATCAATACATTATCCAGCAAGCATGTATTGAGGATTATTAAACTTATCAAGTAAAAGTCTTAATCTTGATCAAACATCAAATTCTCGTAACTAATTTATAGGAAAATGTCTTGCAGCTAGAGGGGAGAGTCAACGATCAGATCTCGGGAGTTATAGGTTAAGTCCCTATGAATTTTCAGCTCAACGACCGAGAGTGCTTAAGGATATACAAGTTTCCGACATGACGTTTTAAAGAGGCTCCTCTTCAGAGTTCCATCCGATCAACGAGGCAAGAGAAAACAGCTGAGGAATAGAAGCAAAAACGTACGCTGATTGCAGTTGATGCCTTTCCATCCACTACAGCATCTCTGTACCCTTCGAAGAACTGTTCTGTCAAGGTCCTTGACTGCAGGCTCAAATACGACCCTACGATCGAAGAGAACAAACATACTGCTGAGGGAGAGTCCCATGGAGATCAATTTTGCCCGCCCGCGCCAATTTCCCGCGTAAAATTTCAAAGAAAACACAATAAACAACCGTTGTCTCGTAAAAAGAGCCGAAGAAAATTGGATTGTTCATAGAAGTCTGTAAGAAGGAGCAAAAACTAAAAAAAAAAGGAATTATCGAGACTTAAGAATGCAAAGCTTATTCAAGTACGAGTACCCTGTTGATTTACCGTACTCAGTTAGCTTTACCGAAAAGTTAAATTGGCTTGCGTGGTTGTTTGTAACTGGTGACATGCAATTTAGCTTTGACAGACTAAAAACGCACCACCCTGTAATTACAACATTCGCATATGCTGTGTTGAGTGCCACGAGCCAGACCATGAAGGATTAAGCAGAAAAAATAAAAAGAGAGAGAGCGAGCTTACTTACTTAGCTATTCAATGTTCGTGCTTTTGGTGCAGTGTTTTTTTTTAATTTTGTATTTAACGTGGGAAATGGTTATTTTGGTCAAAAGTGGTATATGAAATAATTAGGATTTTGACTATTCTTGGACGAGGGAATCCATACCATGAAAAACCTCATTTAATAACCCTTAACATTGTTGTTGTAGCAGCTCTTAAGCCCTCTCAGGGAATAAGACTTACGAGCCTGAAATATTTTATTTAGTCGCGAGCCAAAGTCGCGTGCTTCGCTGACAGACAAAAACTTGGTTTTACTAATTTTTTATTATAATCCTCCGTTGCGGCTGTCATCTATCGTTCCATATTAGTTGCGTGTTTTTTCCTTTCCTGCCAAAGCCGGACGCTTGGCCATTTTAAAAACGTTCCTTTCTATTTTAGTCTGTCTGGCAGGAATGCGATTGCTGACAGTTACACGCCAGATCCAGATGCTTAATTGGATGCTCTTGCGCGCAATCGGAAAATCATGCACTTTACGCGTGGTTTTTCGAGCAACCTTGCTGACTGATAGATCGAAGAATTGTTTCATTTAACTTGGAAGGTCGGGTGTGCTGCTTGTAAAGGAATCGTTATCAAAAGAGCTTTTTTACTAGCACATTCAATGTTTGCTGCATGTAAGATTCAGGGAATTCTCTGCATCAACATACGTTTCCGTGTTTAAATCCAAGCTAATTTTACAGCCACGTTAAATTTGGCTGTTTGACTTCACTTGACCTCAGTTTAGAAGAATTTATGATTTCTTAAGTATTCACTTCCGATCTTCCGTTATTAAAATAACAAAACTTGAATATTTTTTTCGATGCTTGCATGTTCCGTCTCTTTCTTAAACGGGCCAGGATATGACTGGCACGATTTACTAACAGAATGAACAGCACTGCTTACTTGACATTACAGTTTGAGCCGTAGTTTTGCAAAATCTTTCAAGAGTGGACTGATAGCCGGGGGGGAGAAGTACTCAGCCGCTGGCCTCTCAGAACCCCTACCACATTGTAGTTTGTTCTATGGCCAATTATGAACCCCATCTTAGCCACCTTTGGATAAATGAACGTGGCAACTTTTGATCCGGAATCTTCCCATTTTTCAATCCCTACGGAATTTTCTTACCCCCCAAAATCCTGAAAAGGTGCGACCCCATTCTAGAAACTCTATTGAAAATAGAACCCTAATATGGTCAATCCAGGCGTGAGAATGTGGCCCCATTCACCGAGACATCCCTATTAGCCTCTGACTAAGAAGTCCCCCCCTCCCCACCATCCCGGGGCTAAGAATACCCTTGAAACCAAGTTAACACTCTGCAAATTCTTAAAGACGAGTACGTTCTGTATTTTATGAAAACTCATTCAAGTTTATACCTGTACTGAGTGCATCGTTTAACGATTTCGCCCAGCTGGCAGGGCACTTGAAAACTCTTAACTGTTCTCCTTCTGAACTCTCGACGAACACGAATCTTGTGTGGTACGTAGAAAGTGCAGTAGTGTCCTTTTCTTTTACTTTCATCAGATTTCGACGTCGTTTCAGCAAGTCTGTCAAGTTCATCTAGACTGAAAAATCAGTGATCAAGAAGATTATCATGCGCTGTTCCAGTGTACTAAAAATGGATAATGTCTTTGAAATTGTGATCGGTATTCGCAGCTACCGATATAGCATAAGGGTTCTCTTGGAGCCACCCATGAATTATGCGTGGTTTAGCAATATATTATTATTCGGAAGTTCTATTAAAATATGCTCGGCTGCGTGGTTCATATCCTTCTCTTAAGCTGCTCCATTGCGGTAAATTCTAGGAGGGGGTGGAGTGGAGGAAATAGGCGTTACCAATTCCCAGAAATTGTTTGTTTGCAATTTATCCACTGTTACATCAATAACACTTGAAATTCATGTCATCCTGATTATATTCTTGTTCAAACGAAACGAAAATCTCCTGGCCGACGGAATATTTCATTTCCCCTAAACCTTCGCATACCACACCGCAATATTCTCGTGAAGGACCAGGAAAGGTCTAATTAGAAGAAGTTCTCTGCAGTATTTTTTCTGCCAACAAAAAAACAACTGATCCATTTTAAACTTGTTTACTAGACACAAAGGAAGAGCTTTAAATAATTAAAGGTGTCAAACGATCAGTTTCCTTTCATACATATCGTATTTATAGATAAAATACTTGCCCTAAAGACCCCACTTTTCCTTAACGAGATTAATGCACATGTTTTATCTCTGAAGCGATAAAAGTGTGTTTGTTCACTCATATCACTTGACACAAGGCTTGCCTGCCGAGAAATGGATGATTTTCTTAGCTTAACACGAACGAAAACTTTTTAAAAACGTTTGAAGCTGTCCCTCACTCGAATGTTGATTAAATAGACGATTCAATTGAGGCCTTGAGCCAGAAAATTTCTTTCCTTCTCTGACAATGCCGTAGATGGACGAAAGCATGGAATACAAAAGAAATACAAATGCTCAAGGCCTCAATCGAATCGTCAGTGAAAACCTTTGAGTTTAAAGAAAACGATGCATTAAAAAGGTTTTCCAAAATAAGAAACCACTGCGCTCATAAAATTCTGCATCATTCCGAATTTTTTTTCTTTTCATTTTGCCGTCTTTGAGGAAGTGTCAGTTGACGAAAAAAGGCTTAACTAATCAAGAAACAAAATTAAACGTAATCAATTAAAATCTTCAGCTGTAAGAAAAGTAAAACTTTGATTGGTAATTTGTACGAACATGAAAGGTTTACCTAAGGTGAGTTCTTTTTGAAACAGTTTCAACTTAGTGTGACTGTCGATAGCTTTGCGGCCAACAGCTTATTACAAGGTAAATCACGAAATTGCTTCCGATACTTACAAACCCAAGATTTCTTCTTGCGATTGCATTTCTCCGTAACTTGTTCCGGAATGTCCAAGCACCAACAAGATACCGTAAACCACAAGAAAAACAACATGGACAAACTTCATGATCTGAAGGTCCACTCCTGGTCAGACTTCACTTCGGAGAGAAAAAATTTGAAGTAGAACCGACGGAAACCTCTACAGATCTGCAGTTGAAGAAACTCCTCTGAATTCTCTAGAACTCAATTCACCCTTCTATACCTCTGTCCTCGACCAGTTTAAGAGGTGAACCCTATGTGGTAACCCTTCTAAGTACTTCTCGAAATTTTCCACTGGTATTTCCTCTTTTAACATTGGTGCACGAACAAATCTTTTTGCCAATTTTTATGCTTCGTCCTGATTGGTCAAACCCTTGACCAAACGACGTCATCACCTGGTTAGTCTCATCTTGAGCAGATTAATCTCCAGTTCATTGCATAAGTTAGTTATGATTCCGAAAACTTTTGCCCTTCTAGTTTGGTTTCAATATCTAGCCCTGAAGGGATTTGTGTTACAGGAAGTAGAAGGACATTCAAAGAAAAATTAAAAGAAAAATACATATTGAATTTATTATACGATGAATTCCACTTTCACTTCAGTTCTAGAAATTAAAGGCAGTGAGGTTATTTTAACAGTCTCCACTAAAATATCGTGATGGAGATCACTCACCAACAGATTAAGAAAAAGATTTCTCTCAAAAAATCTGCGCCAGGCAGACAATAATCTGATTTCCCTGGAAACAGGAAACATTGATGCATTGAACGACTCGGTTGCATGCAATCAGCCTTGATTAACAGGTTATTTTAATATAGTGGTGCATGTTTCGGACACCTCTTTTTTGTCTCAACGATACTCAAAGGGGCGCATAGAGAGGGTGCTCATCACGGTAGTTCTGCACAGGAGTCTCGCTAGAATCCAAGACCAAATCGGAACGTCTCTTACTGAACACACACCAACAATAATAACAACAACGAAAAACAGTGGATACTTTTTCATAATGGAGGTAAGGGGTCAGCAGCACCATAGACCCTCGCTAGGATCAGATAAATTATGCCGGCATAATTGTGGGCATAAAGCTACAGTCAAAGTATCGTACAGAACGCAGGCATAATGATTAAGCTTCTTAAAAGTTCCCTTGATAAGATGAATTCTGCAACCTGCTTATCTTAGTTGAACTTCAAGATTTTGATCCAATAAAATGTTACTCTGAAGTTTGTTGAGCCTTTCATTCTTAATAAGTTTTACCTGTTAGTAGTAAGAAGCATAGAGGGGGTAGGGGAGATGATGAAGGGGTTAAGAGGCTCTTAGGAGCATAATGAATAGAAAAAATTGAGCATAATGAAAAAAATTTGCACATTTTCTCGAGCATAATGCCATATTCTTGAGGGTTAGGTTCAAAAGCATAAATTTTCAGCATAAATGATCTAAAACTAGTCCCCACCCCAATCAGCAAGTGGTGAATCTAATCATGACCTCTCTTGACAAACATCCCCCACATTTCCTTGTTCACTGAGCCACATACTCACAACCATTCAATCAATTTAGTTTTGGCCCAGAAACGACAAAACTGTCGAAAAGCTTGTTCTGTGTCCTTCCTGTTTCCCTATGAAGATTTCAAAGAACTTATCCTCAAAGGTAGACCCACTGATATTGCAGAAATTAGGGAAGATTTTCAAACCTCTTTCAAAGGTCTAAGACCAGTTGAGTCTTATCGGGTGAAAAAAGAACATTCTTGCTCTTGTCAGTGTCAAACCCGAAACGTTAAAATCATGATTGATACTCAAATCAAGGTCTTAGAACTTCAATTTATTCATTTAAATGTTGTAAAAAACAGCACACGGCAAGTGTATCAACCCACAGTACATTTACAAGTCTGAAAAGAAAAGAGCTGTTTATTGCACTTCCTCTGCCAGTCTCTCTGCCTTTGCTACAGCCTCACTGATGTCCCCTACCATGTAGAATGCAACTTCAGGCAGATGATCATATTCACCTGGAAAAACAAGAAGACATGTAAGCAAAAATATTCAAACCTTTGTGACTAAACAGAACAGTAAAGATTTAAAAATGAACAGAAAGAGAGATAGAACTGGAAAAGTGCGGCAAACAATTTCCTCTTCTAAAAAAGGACTGAACCTTTCCAAACATGCTTTGTGTAATGAAGATATAAAAGAAAAACAAATTCTGATTCTTTTAAAATACATGTAGTTCAACCTACCATGAAGGATTTTCTTGAATCCTGAGATAGTGTCCTGACAAAGGGGAAAAAAAAAATTAAGAAAATGCTGCAGAAGTAATCTATATGTTTCAAGATGCAAACACACAACTGTAATTTTCAATAATTTTGCACCAAACCATTTCTCTCTTAAAAATTTACTGGCCTCAACTAACACACATCTGTCAGTTTCCATGGACAGAAACAACTTTTCTCAGTTGCATAACGAAAGAGAAAGTGAATATCATTATTGTTGTACCGGTAAGGGAACAAGCTTGCCATCGTGGCCCGTGAAAACCTCAGCAACCTGGAAAGGCTGTGAGAGGAATCTCTGGATCTTCCTTGCACGAGCCACTGTCAGTTTGTCATCTTCAGACAACTCATCCATACCCAGGATAGCAATGATATCTTGAAGAGATTTGTGATCCTACAAAAAACAAACGAACAAAATTAACAATCAAATGCGATGTACAGTTAATAAAGGGGGTAAGTTTCTAAAGTATAGTTTAACAGGGTAATCTAGTATTATCAACCGAGTTGATAACGTGAATTGGCCACTGTAAAGAGTTAAAAGGCTGATGTTTAAGCATTAGCCCTTAGTCAGAGCAATTGAGGAAGGGCTAACGCTTGAAGTGTCAGCTTTTTAACTCTTTACAGTGGCCAATTTACATTACCAACTCAGTTGATCATACTAAATTACCTACATGCTGTATTGTTAATTAACTGCAATAACATGACTTACTGAAAGGATATAAATTAGGTCCAAATCTTCCACAGAAGAAAAATGTTATCATTACCATAAGAGATGAACTTTGTCTTACCTGCAAAATCTTCTGTACGCCTCTTGCTACCTCATAGTGCTCTTGACCAACTACATTGGGGTCCATAATACGAGATGTTGAATCCAGAGGGTCCACAGCTGGGTAAATACCCAGCTCAGCAATGCCTCGGGAAAGCACAGTGGTGGCGTCCAAGTGAGCAAAGGTGGTAGCAGGAGCAGGATCTGTCAAGTCATCAGCTGGCACGTAGATAGCCTATCAAGAAACAAACAGCCTTTTATCCACATGGGCAAGATTTTCTCTTTCCTTTACAATCAAAGTGGCTGCAAGCCATTGAACTCAGAAAATGATTTATGCAGTGGTGAGAAGTCATAGTCTATTGAACTTATATGTACTTTGTATTTTAAAACCTATTGTTCTGAAAATGAATATCTACTCCCTAAAAGCACTCCTCTTCTATGTCAGTTATGGGTTTAGTTCATTCCAAAGTACTATTCATCGCTGTTGTCTTTACTGCAACACTTTCAACCTTTTGTCAAGTTAAAAATGATCATTTGAATTAAAAAAGTCTTGCTAATGGCTACAGAATTATTATAATTTACCTGTACTGATGTGATAGAGCCCTTTCTTGTGGTGGTAATTCTTTCCTGCATAGTACCCATATCAGTGGCAAGAGTTGGCTGGTATCCCACAGCTGATGGAATACGTCCCAACAGAGCAGACACCTGCAAAAAAAGAGAAACAAGAATACTTTATTTGGCTTTTCAATTCCATGATCAATATACAAAGCATCCTGGGAAAGACATATATTAAGTGCTTCCTGTGGTAGGTTGAAGCTAACTTATTTCTGTCTCATCTTCAGCTCCAATAAAACATCCTTAGGGTACTTTGAATAAAGCTAAACTGTACCAAGGATTCAATTTAAGGATCTGTAGATGTAAAAAATTCCTCAACTAAGTTACTCTGTTCAACCTGGGTGAAGGGCTACTTTATAAAGCCAGTGCCCTTTGAACATAAATAGTTGTGCTACATCACTGTTACACACACCTCTGAACCAGCTTGAGTAAAACGGAAGATGTTGTCAATGAAAAGCAGCACATCCTGTCCTTCCTCATCACGGAAGTACTCAGCTACAGTCAGGCCAGTCAATGCTACTCTGGCACGGGCACCTGGGGGCTCGTTCATCTGACCATACACCAGAGCCACCTAACAACAAAACAAAATCAACACATTACAAAATTGATGATCAAAATAACCAACATTGCTGTATGAGATACCACCTAAGTCCTTGACTTAAGTTGAACTGTTGATGTTAATTGGGCCCTCTGAGATTAAGGTAGCTTTCATTTCATGATTTTCGCGAGTGTGATTTGAATTTAGGCTTTCAGTGAACTATAACAGCTTATGCTCTCTTTGATGCTATATTATGCTTGTCCTGAGCAAAACAACATACACTTTTATTATTATCAAACATAACTGAGCCCCATTTGTCATGCATAGTAATATAATTAGAGGTGCTTCTTTACCGTTTAAAGGACCAAAATGTATCTTTCTACAAAGAGCATTAGCAGCCTATTTTGCAGTCCACAGAGTTGACAACTAACTATTTCACAATAGGTTCCTCAAAATTATCTGTCAATCACTACCTTGGAGCTCTTGTCTTTCAAGCTGATGACACCAGACACAATCATTTCGTGATACAAGTCATTTCCTTCACGTGTTCTTTCACCCACACCAGCAAACACAGAGTAACCACCATGAGCTTTTGCAACATTGTTAATCAACTCCATGATCAACACAGTCTTTCCAACACCAGCTCCGCCAAACAGACCTGTAAATTGTCATGAAAAAGAAAAGGGGAAAAAAAAACATAATTCTTGGCAAAGTCAATCACAGGTTAGTCAGGATGATTTTGTCAAATAAACAAATCTCTGCTGGTATAAAGCCACAAAAACTAGAATTACAGTTTGGGTGAACAAAAAAGTACATGTAAATAAGCAAAACAATGGCTAAGAAAACATTTTTTAAAGATTTCTTTACTACATGGACTTTAACTACAAAAAGTCAAAGCAAAACCATCATATACAACAAATAATTGATCATACCAATCTTTCCACCCTTAGCATATGGTGCAAGAAGATCTACCACTTTAATTCCTGTTACTAGAATCTCCTGTTCTGTGCTCATTTCCACAAATTCAGGTGCTTCTGCATGAATGGCAGCACGTCTGAAAATAGTCATAAGAAAAATAACTCTCTTTGCCATTAGAGCATGAAGTAATACATAACACAATTTCAGAGTCTCCGCATATCTATTACAATATTTCATCTTTTCTTTATCCTTTTCCTCATCAGTTAAAAGCCAATTACTTTTTTAAGGCTCATCTGAAGGAAAAACAAATATAACTTGTTTGACTGTCTGCACAACAAAACGTAGATGATGTAACTTCTATAAAAAATTTTGTTCCTGACAGTGATTGGGAACTCAAGTTTACTATACCTTAATAAACAATGTAATCACTTACTTGTCAGTATCAACAGGTCCTCTTTCATCAATAGGCTCTCCAATAACGTTAATAATTCTTCCTAGTGTTTCTGGACCCACAGGAATTGTAATAGGCCCACCAGTATCCTTACATATTTGGCCTCTCACAAGACCCTCTGTACCATCCATAGCAATGGTTCGCACAGTGTTCTCACCTAAAGAAGTTAAGTACATGAGTTACTAAGACCATCCCCACATAAGTTTCTTTCTCGTGGCCAGACTTCTTCCCCCTCCCCCCTCCACCCTACACAAGTAAGAAAAATTTGACGCCAATCTTAATAGTTCACTAAATTCAATTTCTCAACTTTATCTTGAAAGCAATTATAGCAAGGAAAAGCACATATCTAGGCTTTTCCTCAATTCAGGCTCCTTCAATCACTTTTCTTCACTTCTTTCCCTTTGTTTTTGTGAGGTTTGATTCATGGGGATTAATTTTTCAAATTCTAATACACTGGGAAAGTAAAATACCCATGAGTTATAATACAATTGTGCATATACATCCTCTTTTCAAAATTTTTATTTTTTAGATGGCAAAATGATTCTTAAACTGATTGTTGGCTGTATTTACAGATAAAATTAGACCTTAGACCCTCTGTAGACTTCACAGAATTTTTTGCATTCAAGGAAAGCTAATGAATGATTTCTGGTCACAGCCATTTTTGATTTTCTAAACATGTCATGTATTTTGCTGTCAGAGACAAATGTTGAACCGTCTGAAGCAATGTAAAATGAAATAGTTGGGGGGGGGGGAAAAGGGGAACAATACCTATACTGTGGAAGCCTGAAGAGTTTGATGGGTGTTTTCAAATCACAAGTATGTGAAACTTTCTGGATAATGATAAAATAAGCAAACAACAACATTAGTTCTAACGGGCTAAGGGAATCCTTACCTAAATGTTGCGCGACCTCTAGAATGAGTCTTGGTGATCTACCCTCGACCTCCAGTGAGTTCAGAATAGGAGGGAGGGCCTCGTCAAATTGTACATCAACAACGGCACCGATAACAGCAATGATTTTACCAACTGCTCCTGGTGCAGCGGCTGGGGCTGCTGAGCCTGCCTTTGGTGCGGCAGCCGATGCAGCGGCCGCGGCGGACACGGGCTTATCGGTTGAAACATATCGACGATTATCTGGAGGAGGTAAGTTGGACATCAATCTTACTATACAAGCCGACACAATATCATCATGCAAGTCCACAAGGAATAGAATGGAAGCACATAAAACTACAGTGAAAAACGGTTGGAGACGTGAAAGTTAATTCCGGTCACTGTTTAAAGTGAACTTGAAAGTAGGAAGCAATCATTGCTAAACATGAAGTACAAAGTCAGTATCGTAATCAACGTGTCTTCCTACAAATGCCGTCCAAAGAACTCATTCCTTTAGCTAAAAATAATGAATGAATTTTCGTAATTTTTTTACTTACATAGTTGCGAACATACTGGAAGTGTTCTTTGTTGAGTTTGTCTTAGAGTGCGAGCGACAAAGTTAGGTCTGAGAGCGGCTCTTGCCGCACGCCGTAATCCGTGGACCAACATGGCGGCTGAGAAGAATGGTGAAGGAGCTACCGGTGACCATGTGACCAACGATGGTTTTTGACGGATAGTAACGAACCTTTCCGAAACATTACGGATACTCTTCGAGCGCAGTCCCCATGGTCAGCAAGCACAACATGACATGCACACGTGATTAAATCATGATATCAACAGCAGATATCGATTCCATCCAATAGAATTCGACATAAACACACGCTCCTCTGTCTGCTGCAATCAGCGATATTCAATCATGTATCTCACGTACATGCAAAAATTTTCTTTCTCTTGGCTGTGTCCCAGAGAGGAGTCTTATTGCTGTACGAAACTGCGTTAAGTTTCTCTTCGGAGATAAGTGCAGGAAGAAGCGAGTTTCTTTTGACAAAGTGAGTTTCTCTTGCGTTTGAAATCAACCAGGTGCGTTTCTGGGCCCTTCAAAATTTGGCGGGAAGAAAATACGCCTGTACCTATAAAACGTGCTCTTAATTGGTTTGCAATGCTCCTCGCGAAAAATATTGGCATGATGTCAAGAGGGTGATAAAATCAAGATCATGAGAGAGCTTTGATTCTAACAATTTTTACGAGTTTGAAACTGTCTCGCTAAGCACTCACTGTTTATACAGAGGATTAGAATATGCGTTTCAAAGTCGGTTGTATTCCATAGTTCGAATCAGATTGTCATGGAATGCCTTGTTCGCATTTGTACTGTAAATGTCAACTTTAGTACACTATATATTATGGTTTCCTAGTTTTTATTAAATCCCTTTTTCTTGATGTTTCATTTAACAGATGTGGAAAGCGTGATCTACAGAACCTATGTAGCGGCGAAAGGAACAGGAACGTGTTTGCATTTTGTAGGGAAATTGTCTACTTTCTCCAATAGATGACACATGATTCAAAGATCAGACGAGCAAAGAGGATATTTTTTGATGAATCAAGTTAAAATGAAGTTTTTAAGGAGGAATTCATAGGCCTGCATAACTCAGCTGACTGAATGCTTTATTCATTGTCATGGAGGCAGCTGATCTTGTATCGTAGAAAATTAATTTTGTCCGCTCAGTGAGGGATTTTTCTGGTGGTGCATGCATGTACATTATGGCTTACAAATTACCAACACGGTATTTTATGCTGTGTTCTTTTATGATTCTGATGTTTTGGATGTTATTAAACATGGTTTCTTTTATGTATTTGGGGTCGAACGATAAATATTTAACCAAAGGATACGGTAGACATCTTCAAAACGACAGCCCGTCGGATGATTTCGAGAGAGAGATGATAGCGCAGGAGAAGGACCCTAGCACTTTGGGTTTAATTCGAAATAAGGAGGATCAGAGAATTAGAGAAAACGGTTACGAGAAACACGCTTTTAATGAACTTGTTAGCAACAGATTGGGGTTTTACCGTGAAATACAGGACACTAGACACGAATTGTAAGTAGCCAATTTAAATGTATTTAACTGTTGACACAATTATGCTATTTGTTGAACTCTATAATCTTATAAACCATTGCTTACGATAACTGCTGCCTCCCCCTAAGTGATGGAAATCTGATGGATGAGTTCTATGACTTAAGCAAACATATGGTAAATAGGGAAACGCAAGATTTCTTTTGATCCAAATTTTCATAACAGCATTACAGGTGATTACAAGCAATCCTATTAGGGGGACATCAGTGGGAGGAACGCACAAGGGTCATGTCATCCGTTTAAATGATCTTGAGACACTGCTGCTTCATAGTGCTCTCCAAGTGCTACTGTGCTAAAATCTTCTTGCTCTCTCTCCCAATTACTGAGCAATTTTTGATGGAAAGGAAGTTTTCCAATTTATATTGCCCCTCAAAATTCTAAGAATGCTCTTTTTTTTAAAAAATCTATGCTTGTTTATTTAAATTCTCAGCCATTTCCAAATGATCCATAAGCCAAGTAAGTTTTGAAGACCCAGGATTCAAAGAGAAACTTAAGTCATTTTCTTGTGGCTGAATTTTGATAAAGGAGGAGATTATTTCATTTATCTATTCAAAATAATTGTTAGAGAATTTTCTCAGGGGAAGCACATTTATAGAGCATCTAGGAAAGGCAAGGTCCTCCAAGCCTGCCAGAAAGTATGCTAGAGATGATTACTTCAACCCCAGATATACTCCAATCAATTTTCCAAATTAATTGTGTGAGTACTTAATAATTATTATTCCTCTTTATTATATTGCAGGTGTAAATCAATGACATACTCTTCAAATCTACCATCAGCCAGTATCATCATTTGCTTTCACAATGAAGCATGGTCAACATTATTGAGAACTGTACACAGTGTCTTGAACAGAACAGCGGAAAATCTAGTTCATGAAATAATCTTAGTTGATGACCATAGCAGCTTAGAAACATTGAAAGATGAACTTCAAAATTATGTAAAAAAATTACCAAAAACCAAACTATTGAGGACAGCTCGGCGTGAAGGACTCATAAGAGGGCGAATGATAGGAGCAAAGAATGCAATTGGTGAAGTGCTAGTATTCTTGGACAGTCATTGTGAAGTGAATAAAGATTGGCTTCCACCACTTCTGGAGAGGATAAAAAAAAATCCAACTACAGTTGTTTGTCCAGTGATTGACATGATTAATGCGGACACCTTTGATTACCAGTCCTCTCCCTTGGTGAGAGGCGGTTTCAACTGGGGTCTTCATTTTTCTTGGGAGCCTGTGCCCAAGCATTTGCTTGTGAAGCCTGATGACTATGTTCTGCCCATTAGGTAAGGAAGAAAGGTTTTTAACATTTCTACTTGGTTTACGGTGGTCAAAAATGCGTAATCTAGTCTAGTCTGCACAGAATTTGGATAGAATTTGTCACTGTACTTATATTATTGTCAATAGACCATGTTCTTGCTCATGAGTAAAAGATTTGCATTTGATTATTTTTCATCCCTTATCTCACATTTTCCTGTGAGCATAACCCTTTAACTCCTAAGATCTGATTGTTTATTCTTCTCTCTAGCTGCTACATATATCCTTGTAAATTAGTTATGAGAATTTGGTATAAGATCAAGACAACAACTTCTACCTGATGACTTTGAATATTCTCATTACCTGTTTGCTGGATAGTGTAAGGATACTATAAGCAGGAGTTTAATGTTGATCACTTCTGGGAGTTAAAGGGTTAACAGTGAAATCAGATCACAAACTGGATATCCTAGAGTGCAGATCTCAGCTGAGATCTTGGGTGTTTAATCTGTGGAATGAATATTTGGAGTCAAACCTTCTTTTGCTATTATCAGTCAATTAACAATTATTTCAACTTGTTCAGCTGAATGTCCTGCACTTCATGGTTCTAACTTGGCTTTGCTTTGAATTCTTATTGGCTCCTAGTGATAGTTTCCTTTGTAGAAACGATAAACCATGAGTAATTAATTTGTCTTAATTTTAATTTGTCTCTATTAACAGATCACCTACCATGGCTGGAGGCTTGTTTGCCATGGATCGTAATTATTTCAATCAGCTTGGTCAATATGATGAAGGAATGAATATTTGGGGAGGTGAAAATCTGGAGATCTCATTTAGGGTAAGTAATACAAGTATCGCACAGATGCAACAAAAACTCAAGAGAAGCTTCACCAGCTGTAGGATTGATCAGTCTCTTTAACCCTTTGAAAGAGTGGCTAAGATCTATTACCTCTAAATCAAACATTAACCCTTAACCCCTTAGAGTGACCAGCTTCCAATTTCTCCCAACAATATCACCCCTGAATCAAACATAAGGTCACAAGAATTAAGGAAATGATCACTAACTTATAAAGTTCTTGATTTTTAAACAAATTCTCCTTGTCAGCACTTGAGGAAATGTATAGAGAACATTATGGAGAAAATACATACTGATGTTAGGGTGTTAAGGGTTAAGGTCATGGGAATAAAAAAATAATCACTAACTGAAAAGCACTTATTTAAACTTTTGGCTGAAAGGAGGACAGGGGTACTTATTGGAAGGAGGGAGCTTAATTGAGGGTGGTGCTTGTTAGGAAACTATTAATCTGTGATTACGGTATCTGCTGCTTTCGCCCCCTATCGAGTTCGCCCCTACCTTATACCGTGTTTGCCCCCACACTTTTCGAGTTCGACCCCATCAAGTCGAGTTCGCCCCTTGATTGAGTGATATCCAGATGAGTTGATTCGTAAGTTGATGAGTAAATTCTTCAGTCTTAATTTCATAAATAAAGCTAAACGGGTACAAGTGTAACAACTTAAGTAATTCTGTCGCGATGAAAGCGTGGTTTGCATCTTCTCAAGTCTGGTTGTTACGATCACCACATTTCGTGTTCGTTAGATAAACGGTGTGGTTCTCTTTATCACAAGTTCAGTGTATACAGTTATTTCTGGTAACCCCAGATCCCACGCAGAGTATTTAGATGATTCCGTCAACCCAGTTCCCATTAGCAGGTTCCACGCAATTGCCGAAATTCAAAATGGTCGTCGCTGACGTGACATTTGGCACATTCTGCTAGTGCCTTTGTCACAAATCGACTCATCTGGATATCACTCAATCAAGGGGCGAACTCAACTTGATGGGGTCGAACTCGAAAAGTGTGGGGGTGAACACGGCATAAGGTGGGGGCGAATTCGATAGGGGGCGAACACAGTGCAATTTGTGCTTACTCTGCAGTAGTTGAAGCCTAAAAAGTTAAAAATGAGGTGGCAATAGAAACAAGTTTCCTTGTATCCCTCATATCAAGAAAGTGCAGGAGGAGGGATGGGACACTTATTCAAAGGGGTGCTTGTGTGATGGGAAGGTGCTGATTTGTGGGGGATGGGGGGGCTTATTCAAGGGAAGAGGATAATTTATGTAGAACGCAAAACTTTTTCTCATTACTGTATAGATCTGGATGTGTGGTGGTTCCCTTGAGATCATTCCCTGCTCTAGAGTTGGACACATATTTCGTAGATGGCGCCCTTATGGATCAGATTCACAAGGTGACACTATGTCGTACAACTCAATGAGGGTTGCGGAAGTATGGCTTGATGACTACAAGAAGTATTTTTATCAAATCAAGAAAGATCTTGTGGGTAAACCCTTTGGAGATGTAAGTGCAAGAACTGAGCTAAGAAAGAGGTTGAATTGCAACAGTTTTAAGTGGTATATGGGAAACATTTACCCTGAACTGAGACTTCCTGAGAAAGGTGCTGGTGGTAATAGTGTTATCTGGAATGCTGCATCACGAAAAGATAAAGTGATTGTTAATAAAGGAAATGTAAGTAAAAGATCAGTTTTGTCAAACTTTTTACTCTAAGAAAATCATAAAAATGAAACTTTCCCTGGCAATTTCAGATCACTGTCAGTATCTGATCAACTATGCACCTACCCCTCCCCTAGCTCAACAATAACCCTAAGCTGTTATCAGTTAACTGTTGTTGGGTTAGTGGAGGGGTAGGTGAGCAGTTGCTCAGATACTGACATTGATCCACAATTTTGATGAATTGTCTGGCAAACTTGTAATGAGAGTTTACACATCTATCAGCTGTATGGTTGTACTCCTTATGATAGCAATATTCTTGCTATGAGAATTTCTATTTGAAACAGTTGCTGCAGTGAAACTTTATGTGACACCAAAGTTTTTGAGCCATGAAATTTAGTAGAAACAATTGCAGTACTATATACAAGTACAGTACTGCTGACTTGTTTGTGCACAAAAATATAGTTTTTAACTTTTAGATCATTTGTAGTAATGTGGTAAAACAACAGTCCAATTTTAAACTACTGGTTTGCAAATGCTTGTTTAACCCTGGACACCTAAGGGTGATCAGCTTCTAATTTCTCCTAATAAATCTCCCTGAATCACACGAATAGAGGAAATAATCACCAACTAATGAAGCTTTTCATTGTTACACAAATTCTCCTTGTCAGGGCCTTAGGAAATGCTTAGAGAACAGTATGGAGAATATGCATTGTAATGTTAGGATGTAAAGGATGAAAGCAATTCACCTTAGCAAAAGGCATCAAATGAACCATTGAACTGAATGCAATTTAAGTTTTTCTTTTGAGCCTAGAAGAGATGTTTACTGCATCTAGGATGGTTGTATAACAACGGTCTTCTACATCTGCATGAGGCCACATTGGCTGTCTTCAAATGAGTTTTGATAACATAGAGATAGGCTAAAATTAGCCTTTAACTTCGTACACTTGTTGTGACAGCTCTTTGTTTTATCTTACAGCTCCAGAATGTTGGCAGCCTCTTGTGTCTTGACATTCCTGGACAGTCAAGTGAGAAGCAAGCCTCTGCTTTGCTACGCAATTGCAAAGAGACTCATGCCAAGGTTAGTCAAAATCACGAATTCTACCATGCTTGAGGACACAGTTGCCATATGGGTAACACAATGGACTTCTGATCAAGAGGCCTGGGTCTGAGCCTTGGCTGGGTCGTCATTTTGTATTTTGGGGCCAGACACTGAATACTCTATCAGGGCCCCTCTCTAACCATAAGTGGGTATTAGTGAACTTTTAGCAAAATTTGACAAAACACTGCCGCACAATCTACCATAGACTAGTGTCCCATCTAGGAGAAGTAGACATGTACTCCAGGGAACCAGTAGATGGCTGGCTGCATGGAGTGGATGGGTGACAATTTAAGGGCTCTTTCCCAAGGTCTTAGAGCATGCTTCACTACAAAATATTATTTTTGAAATGTAGAGGCTCTGAAATGCTATTTTATGCATTCTCTTGGAAACCATTGTCAAAAACCTGAGGCCTGTCACACATAGCCCAAATGGGAACCTCTGCCCAGTTGCTTTAAAGAGGGAAATTACAATTTAGAGGGTAAGTGTTGGCCAAATGTGCACTGAGCCTCTCACTCGATTGAGAGTTATCCAGTGCATATAGCATTATCCACCCTTCAAACTACTGGGGTCTTTAGGCTGTCCCCTTGACAGCATTTAGTTTATTACAATTTATAATCTTTTGATTTCACAATGGACCCTTTTGTAGGTTTGGTCACTCAACCAAGGCAATGAATTGAAAGTGGATCGCTTGCTCTGCCTTGAAGTAACCAGACATGAGATGTTGAAAGTTATGAAATGTCATGGACAAGGAGGAGCTCAAGAATGGCGGCATAATAAGGTACGTACCTTATCATTCACAATGATGACAAACATGGCGTTCAAATTATAAGCTGTAAATGACCAGGCTGTGGTTTGTTTGGACTAAAAATATTACCTGAAAGGATCAGAATCACCTGTGAGAATTTGTATGGTTGCCCCAATCATACGGATTAGAGCTTTGGGCTGGATTGTTCAAAGCTGCAGGCTTTAGATAACCCAGGATTAGTGAGAAATCTGATTTCAGATCTGAAAGCTGTAGAATAAAATTCAGTCAAATTTTTTTTGTTCAGAATATGATTATTGGATGCTCTAAAAAGAATGCAGAAAAGTATCCCAAAGGGGCTTTTGACTTGAGGAATAAAGAAACCTGGATTCAAATTTAACCTTGGGTTAGTGCTAATCAACCTTTGATCAACTGGGTCTTGTACTCTTTTGGTGATTTTGGATTCTCTTACCCTTAGATTTTCCAATTTTAAATGGAGATTGTTTTCTTATTGGTCTTGATCATAAAAACAAAGTTTGATTCCATGGTGTACTTGTCTGGTGAGCAGTTAGGAAAGGACTCTTGCTGATGTTGGTGATTGCAAAGTAATCACCAAAGTCAGGTGCTTGACATTCACAGTTCTTGTCACAAAAATTCACTACTCTCATTCATTGATCAAGGAAAACTTGGGCTCTATCTCTTGAGGTTAAACTCTTTATTTTTAACTTTTCTTTAAGGTCAAACATTTTATTTGTGACAGGTTTACTTTTCAGGTTCAATGTTTAATTTAATCTTCCCTGTTTATGTTTAAGACTCTGCAGTTGTACCACAGAGCATCTGGTTTGTGTATGATGTCTACCAAAAAAGCAACTGTGAAGATGGAAATCTGTGATGATAGCCTCACCCAGAAATGGTACTTCACAACTGACTAAGGAGGAGAAACTGATATAAAGAAGTCTGGCAAACTCATCTGTGGGAGAGTATGTGATATCTCGAAATAATGCCAATCTGATAGAAGGTGGAAACCCATGTTAGCTGTCAGACCATTTTGCACCAGCTATGTTTTGAATTGTGATTATATAGAAAATGATTATTTTTTAAATGATTCTAACATCAATGTATAGCCAAAGAAAAGTTTCTCAAATATGTTCCCGAATGCTGTAAATCATATCTCATCACTTTACTATTTATTGATATTGTGAGAAATTACTTTTTTTGGTCATTCCTGTTTGTGAAAAAGTTTAAAAAGGTTACAATAGGCTTAACTCTTTAACTCCCAGATCAAATTTGTAATTCTCCTTACTGTTAACAATACAATTCTTATGTTAGTTCAGAGAATGTAGTTCTGGATCAACTAATCATCCTCAAATTTATATTTTTCTTTATTCTCATTTCTTATCTATTAGATGTTGTATTGATATTGTAAGGAGAAATTCTGTCTTGGTCACTCATGAGAGTTAAATGGTTAAGATAACACTTTTGAACTGGCTCACTAATTTTATATTCAGACTTCCAATTAAGTGGCCTTTCCCTTCAAGGTTACCTGGACATCTTGATGTAAAACATGGATACTGCCTCAAAAACTGAAAAATTTTAAACAAGTCTACAGACTATAATATGTAAATTAAAGGATCTCATGGTTATATTTTTGTCCAAGAAAAAAGAACTTGAAAAAATTTGTTCCCTTCAATTTCTACACAAAAAATGACATTGAAATTTACCACAAAGTCCTCTTTTCTCTATTGAACCTTATGATGTAAACAATTTATCATTTTATGCTTAATTCATGGAAGGAAATTATTGACTGTAAATTGTATTCTATTTATCAATGTTACACAATCATATTTTCAACATGGATTAGGTAGTAATTAATTTTAACTCAAGATGCTTGTATATTAATTGTGTAATAAATATTTGCTCTGCTAAATCTGTTTTGAACAAATATGGGTGTCAAGCGTAGGATGTTGTCCTTCAAAGATGCCACCTACATTCCCTGATGATGCTGTAGATCGGCGAAAGCTTGAAAACCAAATTATCATAGCAGACCCAGCCTCACTTGATTCACATGTCTGACTAAATATGCATGTGTTAGGCTAGATCCAGTTTAGGTCTTGTAATCTACTGGGTTGAAGTGTAAGTCCAGTGCTCTTCCACAAAAATCGTGGGGATGAAGTTATCTGATAGTTTTCATGGATTATTTGATTTGCAAATTTTGACCAAATTTTGTTGTTGTTGTATCCCAGCCTTACTTCTTGACATCAGTATGCATATTCTCCATACTGCTCTACCCTTATTTTTAAGGTATTGACAAGGAGAATTCATTTAACAATCAAGAGCTTTCTCAGCTGGTGATCATTTCCTTCATTCTCACGACCAATTATTTGATTCACCAGTGATACTGTGAGGAAAACTGGGATGCTTGGCCACAAGAAAACATTTTTGACAGAGAAGGCCCAGGTGTGTGTTCGTGTTAACCCTTCTGCAGAGCAAATTAAGAAATTGGGGGTTGTGTGAAGTCTGTAGAGTAAAAGACAGAGCAATGCTATTGGTGGAAACATGGTAACATGAAAAACACAAGAATAACTTGAATGTAAAACATTGGTTGATACTGTGAGGAAAAATAGTGCTCACATGAGAGATAAATTTTTTTGGTTAAGTTTAGAGACTTTCTGTGCTGCCTAAATGCAGAGAAAGACTGCATGTTGCTTAGAATGATTAGGGAAATTTTGAGTGTATAGCGACTGACTTGGATACCTTTTCATCATCTTCTCTATGTTGCAAAAGTTTTCTTGGGAATCAGTCTCCTAATTGTCTTCCTGGGTTGCATTAACAATACTCAGACATTTTCCTGACCTGAAATTTATTTTGATTAAAACCTTTATCAAAACTCTACAAAGTGGAATAATAAAGCAAAACAAGAAAAATTGCCTCACGTAATTAATAAGGAATTTATTCGAAAGAAACTAAAAATCCACTTGTTGAGAAAGCTGTCTTGAAAGAGACATGCACATGCAGGGATCCCATATACATCAGCATCAATGCTCTTTCAAGAACTTTCCTCAAAAGATCAAGATAAACTACTGACAGCTTAAAATATAAATGGTCCAGATACAAATAGTACTACTTGCCCATAAATGGATGTAAAAATATTCAACATCTTTTCATTTGAGAATTTTTTTGGGAAAGAAAGAGGATATACAGTTGTTACGGCAATAAGAGAGCAAATTATGGCCAAAACAATCTGACTGAATTACCTTCCTCTATCCTTTAAAGCATTGGTCAGTAACTGGAAGTGACCCCAGTCTCCACCGACAGAGAGACAGAAATGCAGAAAGCAAGGGATTTAAGTCAACTTAGTTAAGATGAAAAGGAATGATAGTTATCCATCATGATTCCTTGAAGTTTCATGGACCAAGCCCATGATAACTTGCATGCTTAATGAAATAAAGAAAACCTGCTTCAACCCTTCTTAATTAATACATACAATACCTTAACCTCAAATAAAAGTCACAAAAGTTTGCTAAAAGTATAAAATTCCCTTAACTTAACCTATTTCCAAACTACAAGATCCCAATCCTTCTTCAAAACCATTTCTATTTTTGCCATCTACCTAATATGTCTCTCTTTCCTCCACTGTTGAAGAACAGTGGATGAAGAACGCACTTCTTGGGTCAATTATACTAACAAAAGTCAAGTAGATGTAGTAAATGCCCTGGTTTTCCTTTCCAGAGGATTTGATCAACTTGGAATCAGGTGATAGCATGTAACTTGGTAAATTAAGCATTTTTTGCCCATTATCTTTCCTGACAGATTTGTCTCCCACCAACTCCTCTGCTACATTGATAACTGCTGTATTTTTTTATGTAATCAGCACCAAGCTGATTATTCCATAGGCCCAGGGGCGTGATTACTGAATGCTGTGAGGAAATGAATAGCATTATCAAGATAAAGTTGTGATGTAGGGAGGGGTTTGCAATCCAGTTGTAAAAAAAAAAAACAAAGATATAAGAAGAGGAACAAAGAAAAGGCAACAAAAATGAAAAGAATTCCAAGCTACTTATAAGAAAAATAGAAAAGCATAATCTGAATTAACTAAAAGATCTTCAAGCAAATTTACTCTGCATAAGCGGGGCACTACAGCAGCACCTGGTGTAACAATTGCAGTTCCCAAGGAGGCATATGAACGAGTGAACACCCAGGACCAAGAGATGATGAGAAAGAAAAAAGACAAAGGGGAAATAAACCAGGAACAAGACAGAAAGCCGGCAAGGAAGCAATGAGTTAATAAGGATCACAAAGAAAAAAAAGAAAAAAATTAAATGAAGATGAAAGAGAGTCAAAGGAACAGAAGAAAGGATGACAAAACAAAGAAATGAAAAACCAAACGACAAGGTAAAGCCAAGGAGTAAACAAACTAAAGAAATAGAAAAAAACAAAGAAATGAAAAAGGGGAACAAACTGCATACTTACATGTTCCCTGCAAAGGTCTCAACACCAAAAACTTAAGAATATCTGACAGAGATAACACCCCAATGCAGTGACCTTCTTTATCAACAATTACAAGACGATGAACCTAGAAGCAAAGATATCAAAAACACTGTTAGAGAGTTTCTTAAATTTAAAAAAAATCACAGACTAGAATGCATTTTGATTGCAAATCCCAAAAGCATTGTAAGTGACTGGCCTAGGCAATAGCTAAGGAGACTATATACTGAACAGCCTAGCAGTTTATACTATCTTTCTAAACTGAGCAGCTGGCAGGGTTAAGTGCGCTAAATGATGAGCAGCAAAGAGGCCTGAAGAAAAAAAAAAAAACAAAAACATTCAAAACTATTATTGTCACATGGCAAATGCTAGCCACCACACTGGAGTACATAACACCTCCAGCTATGCAAGCCACTATGTTGCCTACCCCTGCATCAGTTAGTCTGTCAATTATGGTGTGTAGTGTTTCATCCAAGCAACATGTATGGACTCCTTCAAATCCCTGCAACAAAGAAAATATTGTTTGAACAACTTTATTGCATCATTATGATTGACTGAAATCGGTAATGGCCAAGAGACATTTAGTCTACAGAGTCAGCTTCAGTTCAGTGAACTTCCTTTGTAAGGAAAATTGCCCTAGTATCATGTTAAAAATGCCTGAATCAAAATGTCTTAAGCAGGGCAGGAAAATACAAACGAGCAGGTGGCCATTGGTTTCAGATTTGTACCTGATCTGTTGAAAAGGTGGTACAGGTTTTCTACATAAATCACATAGCACAGTCAAGCAAAAACAACACAGTCAAGGATTACTTTCAACATTCATATTAACCTTTTACACATCTAAAAACAGTATGCATATTTTTCATACTGCCATAACTCCATTTCCTTAGGTGCTGACAAGGAAAATTTGTTTCGCAATCAAGAGCTTCCCTGGTTGATGATCATTTCCCATGACCTAAATGTTTGATTCTGGGATATTGTTGAGGGAAATTAGATGCTAGTCACTCTTTAGGAGTCAAAAGATTAATTAAAAGTGCATTGTTTAACCCTTTCACTCCCAAGATCTAATTAGTAATTCTCCTTACTATCTGCCATACAATTCTTAAGATGTTAGTTCAGAGAATTTGGTATTGGATCAACTAATAATCCCATAATTGAGATTCTTATCTATTCTCATCACCTACCTGCTTGATATTGTATTAATATTGTAAGGAGAAACTCTCTCTTGGTCACTTGTGGGAGGGAAAGGGTTAACAGTAAAATGATAACATTTAGGAATGCTTGGATATTTTGCTATTCCATTTATCACACCAGACTTACATCTGCTCTGTGCTCAAGTGCCTTCTTTACAGTAATATCCAGGTTATTGTAAGTTTTCTCAGCAGCCAAATTCTACAAAGAAAATACAATCATCTTTGGTTGACCAAACCACTTCAACAATCAATTGAATACTAATCTATTTTGATTTAAAATTGTTGAATACTTACAATAACATCAAATCTTGCATAAATATCAACTACAACCCCTGAAATAAAAGTAAAGAACATTGAAATAAGGTTCAAATTACACCTCAAGTTTCAAAGTTCACTTGAGAATGATGTCAATTACTGAAGAATTGCAATTATCACATGAAAAAATTCTCTTCAATATTTAAGGAGACACCCCTACTCTTAGTCTAAAGTCTTTCTTAAGTTACCAAAGTGACAAAAAGTATATCAAGCAAATGTTGACTGAACAGGCTTGGTTATTACATTAATTACAGTACCACAGTACTACAACTGAGAATAAATGCTTTTCAAAGAATTTTGCATCACTCTTTTTAAGAAAATTCTTGACTTCAGCTTGTCTTTGTTTCCTTAGTTTAACTTTCCTCAAGAATGAAATCTTAAGAAGTGAACAGAGAAAACAAATCATACCACTCTCGTCAACCACTGGTAAAGCAGAAACTCTCTTTTCAGAAAACATATGGAAGGCTGTTATCAGTGGAGTCTCAGGAGATATCTAAGAAATAAAATTACTCACATTTAAAGATAAAAGCATAGACTTTCTAATTCTCTTGGATCATTGTCCACAGCACCAGCAAAACGAGAGCCACAGAAACACAAAATTTTTCTCTCACTGCCCTCATTGTCACATGCTGGCTCTCTAAGAAATGATACAGCCAAACTAAAGACCAGCATATCTAAGGATTGTTTGTCAATGTTAAGAAAGATGACAGAAAAATAGGAATAGCAAGTAGGATAACATTGAGTATATGTATGCATCATATTAAAAGACCAAGGTAAGTAATCAGAAGGGGTCAGAAATTTCAATAGTAATTGCTAAGTCTTGAGCAAGTATTAACCCTTAATGTAAAACAGAGATAACAGCAACAAAGTATCCACTTGTATCTGAGTTTAAGAGGCCCTTCTGTCATGGTGTCTAGATTCTGATCAGGACTAACATGCTCGCTTTCCTTTTTCACTTCCATTGTGATGAAAATCATCATGACCTCATATACCCCAACAAAACAAACAGGGAGAAATTCTATTGTAATGTGATGCAGCCATAACCATTTACACTATGAATACCTACCACAGCTACATCATGGTGCGTTCCAATTCCAAGTTCTTTAAGTGTGTTATTCATGAACTCTGGTGGACTGGTTTGTGTCAACTGTCAACAAAAAGTCATGCACTTATTTGAATACAAGTTGTTAAAATTTAGCTTACTACTAACAAATCCAATTACTTTACACTGAGCACTGGATAAAACATTAGTAGCTCTTCTAAACAAGCCAAACCATCTCCTTATTTCAATTTTCCACCACACCCTTCCTAAAACTCGGAAACAAACCCCACAGCATTCCTAACAGTCAACCCAGTAAGTCTCTATCACATTATATTATAGGCATGCATTTGGTAAATATGCAAAGATTATTCAGCTATGGGTTTCTTGATGATTAACCCTGTTTTTGTTGGTTTTTTTTTTAGCTTTGTCAAAAAGTTATACCGGTATAAAACACCATGGCTTGCAAGGTCATTTATATGTCTAGTGAGGCTACATGAGTCTGAAAGCCTGAATGCACACCACCTAGCCACTTAAACAATCGTACACGTGCAGACGTTTGACTGCTGTGTTCTTAAAGCTACTGTACATCTCAACCTTTTAATCTTACCGATGAAAACATGAATCGCAGGATTCTCTTGTGGGTCAGGATATAAAGAGCATTTCCTGTTACAGGATCAAGTACAGGAAGTCGATGGATTTTATGCTCCACCAATGTCTTGACAGCATCAAGTAGACTGTAAAATAATGTTAAACCACAACTTACTTCAGGTGCATATGTAGCCCACTAACTTTGAAATAATATTAGTCTTTCTTTACTCGGAGATCATTATTGTCAGTACCTCTGCATCGGTGATATTTGAATCAACTCAGGCCTCAAGTTGGAATCATCATAATCTTCACAGAAAAAAAAAGGCATCAGAAACCAGAAGTTATGAACAATAATATTGCAACCACAGTTGTAAAAGATATGTGATGACAAACAGGGTGAGTTTCTAAAAATCTGTGGTGTTACATTGGCGGAGGTACAACAGGATAATTTGGTTTTACCAACTGAGTTGATAAGTAAATGTAACTTGGCCACTGTAGAGCGTCCCCAAAGCTGATACTTCTGAAGAGCTAATGCTTGAAGACTCCTAAGATCTCATTTATTTTAAAAAGTGATTCTCCTTACTGTCTGCCATACAATTCTTAAGATGTTCTTATATAGAATTTGGTATTGGATCAACTAATAATCCCCTTGTTCATATTGTTCTTTATTCTCATTGCTTGTCTGCTTGATAGTGTATTAATATTGTAAGGAGAAATTCTGTATGGATCACTCATGGGAGTTTAAGGGTTACCTCGAAAAGCTTGAATATCATATTCCTCTAATTCATCTATTTGGACCTGAAGAATAACAAAAGGTTATTGACTTTAGATTAAAACTATTACTTCTGTGCAACACATGCCTTATGCACACTATAGTATAACCAGCACCTATTAATTCAATACAGCTCTTACCAATGGTGACTTGTAATAGTGCCGAAGAATGTTGATAAAGTCTGAAATAGTAAGCATTCCTGCAAACCAGAGCAGAACACATTAACTTTGTAACAAAGAATGTTCTCCATGTTGTCCATTTGTACATAAATACAGTAGAACACAAAAGACAGAATTGATGACACAAAGTCCTGTTAGTAATGGAGTCCAATTTGGTCTGTAATCATACAACTGATTAACAAAATCGGGTAACTGCAAGGCGGGAGTCAGATTTTTTAATCACTTGTTTGGTTACAGAGAGAATTGATGACACAAAGTCCTGTTACCAATTAATCAAAACTATGACAAAATTCAAGAAAGAAACTAGGTCAAACTAGGCTTCAGCTTTATGTTTTCATAAAAAAAAAAAAAGGTAACTTAGCAAAATGTGAGACAACAATGCCAGCACATGACATGTTCTGTCCACTCACACAGCCATGGAGTGTTAACTCTCCCTTTAACTCTCCTATGACACTGTCCAATTACAAGCATGACACGTACACTGTCCTATTAGAGCTCAAATCAGGCTGGTAATAACTAATCACATTCAAGAATTTTTTTATAGTTTTTGATTGACCTCGAAAAAGTTCCAATTTCCCTTGATCCTGTTTTTTCAGTCATTTACTAGCTAACTCAAACCCCTGACAACCTCAAACCATTTTTTTGTTTCCCTGGGGAGTTTGAATTAGCAGGGTTTTACTGCAGCCTGTTCCAAGTTTTCAGCAATTAAAACAGTACAAGTAAACCATGCAAAATCAGTGTGAAATAATAAATAGCTTAAAAGAAGCAGTAGAGAGAAAACAGAGGGAGGTCTGGATCTGGTTGGGTCCACTTACCAACAAAGGTATGTTTTTCACTGTCCCAGAGAGGTGCAGATCTAACACCTAACAGAAAAATACAAACAAAACATTTGACATCCAGCAAATAGTTTAATCTTGTCTCATGACTTAAACATTCTGGTACTTAGGGCATAAGCCATGTGAATAAGCTGAGAGACTAGACATTAATAATGCACATATTTCAAACAAAGTTGTTCGTAGAGTGCTTACCATTGGCAACCAGTCCAAAAAATGCTTTCTTAACCTAATGCAAATAAAATTTAAAAATTAATTATAAAATATTAAATGCAGCTTAAGACAACAGACAAACATTTCAATGACATTTCAACAGTAAGACAGACGCAACAACAGTGCAGTACTATCAAGTGACTTAGCTCACCCTTAGCTTGGTATCAAACACTACAATCTTGGAGCTTTTCGGCATGATGTCGTAACAAGTTCTTGTCTTGAGAAAGTTGGTATACATGTAGGTTTCATCCTCATCTGACAAGAAGGAGAAACGCAAATGTTTATAAGGGATATTGTACCACAACAATCAATGGGAGAGAGGGTGCAAGTTGTCACTGTTGAAGGCTAAGACGTGTAGATAAAAAAATCTGACAGTTACTTTTAAGGGCTGAAAGAGTCCAAGGTTTGGTTATAAGAGAGGCCATTACAATTGTACTGTAGAACTTGACATCCCACAACCCTTTCTTTTAAACAAATCCTCCAACCACAAATTGAAAGAAAATAATCAATTTGTCAACTATTCAGAAAGTTTGGAGAGGCCAACTTAAAGTCCTTTAAGGCATCATTGTGGCAACTGTTTGCTACATGTTACCTTTTTTACAATTAGATGCCATACTGCTGTGTGTTTGTTCAGTAATAGGTTACAGATGAGGTCAGCTGGAACTCCTTTACAAACCTCTTAAAAATTAATGTTTTACATATGTGAAGTCTGGGCCAGGGTTTTGGAGGGCAAAGTACTGTTCAACATTCCATAAAAAAACTTACTAAACTTACTTAAGATTTTCTAAACATTTTATGATGAAAAAAATAACTTTCCACAGAAATACACTATAAGACAAATTCACCTGATGTTGCATATTCCATCATGTCCTCCACATCATCATCTTGAGCCTTAAAAAAAAAAATGTTTAAACACATCAAGACTGGTACATTGGTCAGTGGACAATGTCTGCTCAAATACAGGTTTTGTCCACTCAACTTTTTGGATGGCAGGACATTTTGTCCTATTGTCTGTAAACTTAAAGAAAAATTTAATTCCAAGCTAAGTTCAGGTTTGAAATACCACTGTATCAATTTTTCCTGCATTGAACTTGAGACTGCATGTACAATAAAAGTGTAGCAAAAATACTTGTTTTATAAAGAGGATGGGATTTCTTGAGATATGATGTACAGTAATTGATGTTTGTCGAGCCAAAAGTGCCTCATATCCAAGCAAAAATAAGTTTGACTGGATAACTTGATTGGCACCAGCTAAAAAACAATTTTGAGACTTGTTGTGAAGTACATGTACTTTGAAAGCCAAGCATTCAAAAAGAAATTTCAGATTGAAAGCTCAAAAATTGTTATCATTTGCTATTGTCATGAACTCCCAATTTTGCTAAACCAAAGTACACTGTAGCTCAAACTTACAAAGACTTGACCTGCTCCTCTGCCATCATCTGCGATCCCTTCATCGGATGTCACCTCACCCCTGGTCTGCCTCATTTCCATGAGTTTCTTGCTTGGTGAACGTGACAAATTCTGGATTTCAAATGGCTCACTTTCCATCTGTTCCTCTTCCAGACCTGCTGTTCTTGGCAATGAGCTACTACGAGCAAAACTCCCTGATGGCGAATCTGAGTTTGTTTCAGGGGCTGATGAGCTATTTGACCTCTGCATCTGCTGAAGATAGTGCTCAACCTCGCTGGTGTCACTTTTTCTGTTCCACTCCAGGACCCATTCCCTTGACGACTGTTGTTCTTGCGGCAAACCATCATCATTTGAGTTGCATGATTGTGGATAATTCAAGCCAGGAATTACAAATGCATTGTGGTCATCATTAACGTGTAGATTCTAGTAAAGGAAATATGCAAAAGCATTCAGTCAAAAAGGAATTGTTGTTGGGTGTTACACCTCATCTGGCCTGAAATCGGCAGTACATATTTCTCCTTTAAGTGCATCACTATAAATACTCCATGCAACAGCAGAAAGTATTGATGCTAAAGCCATGCAGTATCAAAATTTCTAAACACAACAAAATGACATTTTTTGCATGGTGACATGTTTGGAGAAATTTGTATGCATGCTGGTGCAAATGCCATTTCTTTAGTCCAAAATGGCATCAAACCCTTCTTTTACATATAAGGGAAGGTTAATAAAATAAAATACATTATTAACAGATGAAATTTTTCAAATTCACTAAAAAATAATAACTTACAACAGATGAAGAAACTGTGATAAAATGCAGTGAAAAAGTTATTTTCAGTTGACAAAAGTACACACAGATATATTTAATAGCTAATTCATGAAGAGAGATAAATCAATTGTTTAGTAATTATTAAATGTTTTATCACCAGCAGTTTACGGAAAACATGCAACATGACATCTAGACATTGTTGGTAATAAGGAATTGCATATTCTTCTGTAACTGCATGAAGTTAAGTTTAGTTATTGTAACAGATAAAAATACGAATACAATTTACATTGTTCTTTTGTAGATTGATACATTCTTCTAAAGCAAAAATTTTAAGACAGCAGCTGTAGTTAGGAATTGACTTTACAGTTGTATTACAAACCATTTTTAGAATTCAAGCATACATGTCATTATCCTATCAGACATTACTAACAAATTTCAAGTTAGTTCAAGTAAATGAGTGTTTTATCATTATCACAAAAATCATCATTATTTCATTATTTGATGGATGTCACCTTTAAAACACTAAATAATTCCCCCATGAATTATAATTAACCCTTTAACTCCCAAGATCTGACTGTTTATTCTACCCCTCCAGCTTTTACACAATTCCTGACAAATAAGGTAAGCAAATTTGGTATTAGATCACAGTAACAACTTTCCCCTGATAAGTTTGGGTATTCTCATGTGCCTTTTGCTGGATGATGTATGGATATTATAGGGAGAAGTTTCATGTTAATCACTTCTGGGAGTTAAAGGGTTTACGATGATAATAAATAATTTTTTTTTTAATCAACCTATTTGTTAAAGTGGCACTTTGCCCATCACTGTTATGGAGAGCTCTGCAGACAACACTAAAATTAACTTACATTTAGTCATTTGCATGTTGTGGCTCATGATAAACTGTTAAATGGAATAGGTGTAGCATGTTACATTGTCATTTAAGTTATCAATGAAATTTCCATTTCAATCATTCTGATATTGTATACAGAGATCTGATCTTCTCATGGATGTTCAGGATAAGAATAAAAATATTACTGGGTGCACAGTAGTTAAAATGAAATATGTGTTAAGTAGAGGCATGAACCAAAGAACACAATTAACTTTATAAGCAAAAATCTAATTGCGGTTTTATCTCCCTTACTCATCAAAACAATGTAGTTGCTGCATCAACATGGTATCATTTCTTAGATGGCTTTTGCCTGACAGGTTAGCGCTCATAGTATCAAGTCTACTATTTCATAAATTATTCTTAAGTTACTCTGACCATTCCCTCAGTTAAGATGAGATATTACATAGTTAATCAGTAAGCAATACAAGTATGGGAAAGGGACGCAAAAGACTGAGAGTCTAACTAGAGATTCAACTCATGCTGAAACAATGCAAATCGCATTTTCCTCTCAAAGTTTCTTAATTTTCTTCAGCTTATCTATTGACAAATCCTTGCATGAAAAATAAAAAAATTATATTCAGATGTTATTATTTATCATGCTACTTTTGCTCACCAATCAAAGGTCAGTAAGATGTTAGACTTAGACTTGTAATACTTAGAGAAGGGTTATAGATACAGAACATATAAAGGAAAAGTTCAGATAGAATAAATGTCTAAAATATGTTGCACCATTTCAACAAGTTCAATACAAATTTATCAATTATTTGTGTCCATATAAAGCTGTTAAATTAGAGAAAATTCTTAGTCTTGTATCTTAGTTTTACCATCCGTCTTTAAATATGAACTGGTGTGAGGTTCCATTGTTACACATATCGCAATATTTGAATAAGGACACAAAGGAGCGGAAAAAGTCTCTTTGAAGTTAAACGAAAACTACTTAAATATTCCATCTGTTTCTACGATGAAGTTAATAACCAAAAATTAATTTTTAATAAAATTATATACCTTTTTCTTTCTTACAATGAAAAAGACACTTCACATTTCAATGATGTTACACCAATTAGCATTACATTACCTCCATTTCAGCACTTCTCCACAATCTATCTCCTATTGAATTCCTGTTTCCATACTGTTCCTGTTTGCAGCATAAATGTGTATACACACAAAAATAACTATTACTTAATTTTACTTTCATTAACTTACTTTCTAGTTTACTACATAAAAATGTTGAATCAACAGCTTCAGAAGTAATAATTTGTGTACCATACTACAGTGAGAAGTGCACTTCTGCATTGGTTACAATGGCAAACAAGAATTTCACTTTTTTCTATACAGGACTTCCTTAGGAATGGTATTCAAAAGAATGCCAAATAATTTATTTTCAGCAAGTTGAGATCCTTCTTTGGTCAAATAAGGTTACCAATACAAGCAAACCAACATCCTTTAAGAAACACCTTTAATTTTAGTTTTACATGCTTGCAGCTCAAAAATGAGTAAAGTTAGCCACAAGTTTTTTTTTTTTCCAATTACCAAATTGCAATTAGCATATCAAACTTCACCTGTCTAGAAACTGTAACAAAATCTGCAAAATCATGTACAATTCAGACCCAGTTAAAATTATTTTTTTATGCTTAGGGTGGCAAAGATTTTTACAGTTTTCTTATGCAGTTCAACCATTGAAATATGGAGGAAAAGCAACAATCCCAAATAATAGCCTTGTTTTTACTGAAATCAGAGTACTCTAGCTGTACAAAGGAGTTGAGCTTAGGAGATTTGAAACATCCTTTTAAATATTATGAAATCTGAATGAATAAACATGTACATCCAAGTACAAGTCATGTTTCATGTATATATTACTTGTGGTTGTTAAGTATGTACATGGCTGTATACAGTAACTGAATAAAGGGGTTAAGTTTCTAAAGAAACTGTGGTGCTGTGTTGATGGGAGAGTATAACAGGATAATTTAGCATTATCAACTGAGTTGATGACATTAATTGATCAACGTAGAGAGTTTAAAAGCTGATGTTTCAAGCGTTAGCCCTTTGTTAGAGTAACTGGTTCAGTAAGTGGTTCATTTACCAGATAAAAAAGTAAAAATTTGAACTGCAGTATCAACTAGACAATAAACTGGTTCAGCTTAAAGACAGCCAGGCTGAAAATACAATACCAATTGTGGAAAAAAAAAACATGAATCAGTAGAGTAACTCTTAGTTACACTTTAAAGTATGGCTTGAAAATTATTCAGTAAAGCTAGGTTCACTTCACAATAATTATAAACCAGTTTCAAAATATTAATTCTGATTTCATTACTTCAAACAAAAGATTAAATCTTACCACACACATCTTCATTTGGTACGTGTATGTAAGCGATTTTTCTGTGAGCTTTTTTAATGGAACCCATGAAAAAAAAAATTTGCTTTTTTTCAGAAAAATCACCCTATTCTGATACTAGTATGATGAATCAAGCACTTCTTGAGGGTAAAACCACATCCAAGATTTTTTTTCAATACATTGAAATGAAAAAAGCTCACCAAACAAAATTTCCAATAATTTCTGCGGACTGCCACTGTGGTGTCAGCCATTTTTTGCATGTGAGAAGATTGGGATGAACCTTGAAGTGACCCAGTTTCCAACAATGAAAGCCTTTAGATATAAAGTAATACAGTTCTAAAACAGCAGTAAATTGCCAATGAAAACACTACATGTATTTAGAGGAAATGGTACATCTGTTGGTCATTTAAAGCAGGAGACAATTGCACAAAACAGGAAAACAACAGGAAATCAATATCTCATAGCCTTTTGTAAAACATTGAGTCATGACATGTGATTGTGGCATGATACCTTACTGACTAATTTTTTTCCTCTAATTTCCTGTTTTTTCACATCACAAAAATCAGCTAGGGAACAGAGACCACATCTTTAGAAGTACATCTATCCCAAAATTAATATGACGGCACATTTCTTAAATTTTCAGATGTCTTATTTAACAGTTTGTTCCCTGTAATTACTTGAAAATCTAAATGTAATGAAACTCCAATTGTGTTTGAACTTTTGAAACATGAAACATGAAACTACATGTTTGCAAAACATGAGAACCTAACAGTAGTTCAAAGTTTACATTTCATAAGGTACACCATTATTTTATTACATGTTAAGTCATTTCAACTCAGACTTGGTGTTAACTGTTCCTGAAACAAAACCCTATGTAATAGCCAAAAAACTCCTCAATAAGAATAGATATTTTCAAAATTAATTATTAGTCGTACTTTACAAGGAATAACACTTTTATCCCCTGTTGACCATATGATGAAGTTCAGGGTTATCATGTCTCTAACATGATATGACAGGTAGCTTTAAGCAGTCATTCCCCCACATAAACACGCTTTTAATAGTTTGATCCAAATGATTTTCTGGGGGTTCAAGGCAAATAAGACAAATGATATGTCTCATGTCAATGATTTTAAATAGGCCATGATGATACAAAGCCATCAAATTACAAAAAATAAATTAATAAACACCCATTCAAAATGATCGACTGTATTCTTTAATTTCCCTTATACTTCTATTTAAAGAACTCCTTCTAAAATTACCTCTGAGTCATCACTCAGCAGTAAAACCCATTTTAGGCAATACATTAAATTATGACATACTCCCTGGAAAATCATGCAAAAAATTAATTAACTGCTGTAAAATGACCTTTCCAGATTGAAGGTCATACTTTAATTGAAGAAAAACACCTCAGATTACTTTGCATAGGCAGAACTTATTCTTTAACGCAACAAAGAATCTCAAAAAGAAAATTACATGATTAAAACCGATTCCATGACAGTAGAGGTCTTAAAAAAAGTTTTGACTCATAGAAAGGAATTACAGAGAAACATGACAGTTAAACTCATTTATTTAATCTTCAACCAGTGAGTGGGACAGCTTTTGATTAAGAGCTTTCAATTAAACATTGTAGATCAAAAAGCGGATAGAAAATGTCCGTTTTAACTCCATCCTGTAGCTCTTGAGTAGCTATAAAAAGCTCTGATCTCAAAATATTTTTGGCAAAATAAGTTAGTTATATTCCTGTTGAGGGAGCTAAGAGGTGAAAAGGTTTTAGAGCCCCTAAAACAGTTCTTTCCTTCAAATTCTTAAAAATTCTCAAAATCCTCAAAATCTCTGAACGTAAGGTAATATGTTCAGATATATGGATCATAAGGCAAGTGTGTGGTGCATCTTTGAACAGGAAATAATAATAACAGTCGAAATGATTTCTGGTGATAGACATTCATCCGTATGGACTGATTACAAATTAATTATAACATTCATTTCAACTGAATTATAAGCTGTGTCAATGTGTAAAGTTATGTTACTTGTGCAAAAAAAGTCCGATACAAACAAAAATAAAAATAAGCTCGGCCAAGCTCAATTTCAAATAAGCTTTTTCACAGTTTAGGGTTAAGCTCTTTGCTATTACATGCAAATACATAAGCCAATTATTAGTAAACAAAGAGCGATAAGACAGAAAGCTATTTGCATTAGGTGAACAAATAACGGTATCAAGTATTTTGCAGACACGTTGACAGAAACATTATGAGCTAAAAAAAACCTTAAGCTGGAAAACGCACAAGTCGATGGTATTACACATTCAAATCGCGAAAAAAGTTACTTTCTTGCTCTTCCCAAATACGCCGATTACTAGATGGCCGAGACCACAGACGACCACATAGACCAAAACAAAAGCATAACAAAAAAAACAATGAATTTATGCATCTATAACTAAAAAAGAACTCATAGAATTTGCTCTTGTAGAAAAATGCTCCATACGTGTTAAAAATAAACTTATTTAGAAGTACTTCGTGACGTTTTATGTCCTCGAGTTGGCGCAAAGTCCACACACCAGTTAACCCTCGCGGCCGTGCTTCTCTGCACACATGTAGCACTAGATTGATTATATATTAACAGGAAATGTGAAAGCTGAGGGCCGTTTTTTTAACATCAAAATGAGCTCCTAAATTGCATATCTTTGTAAATCTTGCTCGATAATACCTTATCGGCGGTTACTTCCATCCCGTTCAAGGCATCAGACGACATCGTTCGTTTTGCAATAACAACTCCGCGATGAACAAGTGTGAAGATTTCTCTACACAAAACAAAACAATGCATGAATTATATAACAACGCGAAAAAAATAATATAACTCTAAAATATAAACAACTTCAGCGTAACAGAGGGAACCGGATTTGCTAATAAATTTAGAAACAGCTGGAAACATTAATTTAAAAAAGTTTAAATTTTGTTTTGGTGTCGCTCCATTGCTCGGAGTAATATCAATTTAAAATCGTCACTTTCTCTCATTAACTACAAATAAATCACCGTTACCTACCAAAGTGTGCTCATCTTAGGGACAAGGTTAGCAATCGGTCGCCACAACAGCTACTTAATTGCTGTTCCTGTAAGCTTTTTTAAGGCCACCTTAAACCGAGAGTCTTATTACGATTTCCCAGCTTAAGTGATACGACGGGCGCCGTTTGGTTCAGTGGTCTCCCTATTTGATAATGCGTGATTGTGTTGGTTGCCATACTAAAATTCGTCCCTCGGGTCTTCGGGTGCAGCCACGGGTGTTAAACATGCCTGGGGTCATGCACCAGATTATTGTCATTCTGGAAAGAGATGACGGGAAGGAAACGAACTTGTTTGAATTTTAAGATCAACCGTTTTCCTTCTTCTTGCTTTTTTTAAATTTTTTTTTCTAATTTTCCATGGGCAGTAAGGGCAGCATCACTAAGAGCCTTTGAGGTCAACCTTGGTCCCAGGGCCCTCCCTTGAAGGAGAGGAAGAGAGGACCCTAATAGTGACGTAGGAGTACACAGCTGAGCCACATGTCTTGACCATTTTTTATTTTAAAGAAAGAAAACACCAGCAACAACAACCAAGACTTTTTACGAATGTGGGACCACAGTTTAGCTACTGTCACTGTTTAATTCATTACTTGTAACAGCAATGTTTTTATAAACCCATGCACACAGGCCAGCATGAACACCCAACTCTTACAACAGCCTTTAAAAATGTATATGGTTGTATGGATACTTCTTGGGAAAGGGATAAAGGGAATCCAATTTTGACTGCAATGGTCATCCCTCAAGAACGAGCAGCAACTCGCGACAAGCAAGCTTGTCACCTGCACATACACTTATGAATCTATGATGATTGACTCACAAAATTATGCCACCTGGCCCTCTGGGTGTTTCCAGTGATATATAATGGCTCACTGGTTGTTTCTTACAAAATCAGCCATTCCTTCTTTCTATTCTAAGCTTTGTTTGTAGCATCCTGGACTTGATCATCATTACCAGTTGATCCCTATACTCATTTGTTGTGAACCATTTACTGCCCAAGAGTGACATGCATCTAATTTCTCCTCCCAGTATCACCCCTGAATCAAACATCAAGGTCATGAGAATTAAGGAAATGGTCACCAACAAAAGATCTTGATTTTTAAACAAATTTTCCTTGTCTGCACCTCATTCAGGAACATATAGAGAAAATTATGAAGGATATACAAACTATAATAGGGTGTAAAGGGTAGACCCTTTAACCCCCAGATCAAATTTGTAATTCTCCTTACTGTCAACTGTACAATTCTTATGATGTTAGTTCAGAGAATTTTGTATTGGATCAATTAATTATCCCCAAATTGATATTTTTCTTTATTCTCATCACTTATCTAGTTGATATTATATTGACATTGTAAGGAGAAATTCTGTCTCGGTCACTCATGGGAGTTAAAGGGTTAAAAGATAATAAACAGAGACAAAGTAACATCATGGGGCATGCTGCAAAGTTAGGAAGGAAAGAAGCTTGGATTGCTGAAGTGTAAACTAAAAATGTCACAGGCAATATGCATTTACTAGTCAGGAACTGGTATCAACTAACATCTGGAGACCAACATCAAAAAATTTCGTAGAGCTTTATTTCATAACTTGTGCAAATTTTCATCCCACAATTCTAATAATAATCATAGCATGATGTGCTGACTGAGACCAAAATAAATGTATCAATAAATACCATTAAATCATAAATACAATGGCCAATTGTTAAGAACCAATAACTACAGACTCATCAAAAACATTTCTGCAGAACAGTTACAGAATTCCTTAACATAACTTACTTGTTACAGGCCACACATTAAAAATTACAACACACTATCAATATAACACAGTAATACCAAAATGGTGTACAAGACTATGCAGAATGATTCCCAAATATCTAAGATCTCAATAAGTATTTTAAATGATGTTACTTCCTATCAGTTGAGGAATTCCAAAAAAAAAAAAAAAATTGGTCCTGCACCAATCATTTTAAAATAAGTTTGTCTTACAAAGGTGCTGAGGGACAGTCTAGCATAACATCTGCATTCTGTAACTTCCTTAAGTGATTTCAAATGCACACAATGTCATCACAGCTTCAACTGAGACAAAACAAAATTCACCAGGAGCCTTAATCAAAGAAGAATTTGTTTCTGAACAAAGAAGAATAACACACAAACTATTGCATTAAAGCCATGATGAAGAGGATGAGAGCCAACAGAGAAATGTTGGGGACACTGGTGATGCCAATGCCTTTCACTTTCTTAGATGGATCCATCATTAAACAGTTGGAGTAATCAGCATCCGGCAGGGTGTATTTGTACGACTCTCCCCACATCTTCTCGCAAAGGTTCTTACCATTTCCATACATGGCCTGGTACGACTTACAGCTACTGTTGACAGGACAGTAATTCTCATCATGTTTGGTGACGTTATAGTCCGCAAGAACATTTTCAACACAAATCTGATCTTCCTTACAGGCTTCATACCACTCATCACAAAATCCAGAACAAACTGGTACACCTGAAAGGTAAATTTTCAAAAGTTGTACAACTCCCAATGCAATAAGTATCAAATAACAAAATAGGAACTTCTGGCAACTTTAATCCATTTTTTTAAACAATTGAGAACTTCTTTCATTTGTGATCATTTCTTTTATTCTTGTGAATTTAATGTGTGATTCAGGAGTGTTATATTTGTAAGGAGGAATCAAATGCTTTACAATCTATAAGGGGTCATGGAGTTACAATTAATCTGGGCCATTCATAAAACCCACCTTCTTCAACCTATAGGTACGTGAAATTTATCACAGCATGCACGTTGCAAATGGTTGCAGTTTGTATCAGTAAACACCCTGTTGATTACAGGCATATCCACCGCACACACTATATATTGTATTTTACATCCTGTCATGCACCAGAGAAATTGATGGCTACTTTTAAGTGTCAGCAAAAGATTGAAGAATATATAGAGTATAAAAAAGATTAACCAAAGAAAAGATGACGCTTAAACACAACGTAAAGTCAAATTAAGAAGGCTACTGCGACGACAGCATGATAACATCTGGCTTTGTTATACACCTAAGCCTTCACCCAATAAAATGAGCACTGTGATTGGTTGATTCTTGGTCACGTGCCCCTGATAAATGCAAATGTATCCTGACCATGATACAATTGCGCAGTTGTTGCCTGCGTGCCGAATACAACAGCATGTTTTTGCCATATGATTGTTTAAGGGAAAGTCTAAATATATAGCAAAGCACATAATGTATGGGTCCCAAGGGAGACTGTTTTGTTTTCCCTCTTGACCATACATTAAGTGTATAACACTAGTCTTGAAAACATGCCTGAAATGTGAAATGCAGAGAAAGTGATCTTGATCTCTTGCCAAGATGTCTGCTCAGATGTAAGTGGAAACAATCATACATTGTCAAGCATAGTAAATTAGTATGCTATCTTGTATATTACCTTTCAGACCCCCTTTAAAATTTGGATCTTCATATCGGTAAACTTTGGGAGAACACTGATAAAAACATTCCTGAAAAAAAAGAAAAAAAGGCAAAGTCATTAAAACTCAACAGACAGGAAAGATTCCGGCATGACCTCGTACTGTTCTAAAACAAAGCCGAAGTCCAAAAGGCAGTCTATTTTGGCTTTGTTTTTTTTTTTATCCGAGAACTGTATGCATAATGACATTCGGGATTGAACAGAAATTTTTCCTTTTGGGGTGGAATAGTAAGCTTTCAATTAATGATCACTCTGAAATCACAAGACGTTTTCCTGTAGCTTCAAAGCAAAGCATGAACCACTGTGACAGCCATGACCGGAGCTACAGTAAATCTTTTTTACATTTGTGTAAAAGATAGGAAAACAGAAAAAGTAAGATTTAGTAAACCTGGATTTCTACTCAATTTATCGTACGCAATCACCAAGTATTTTGATATTCCTGCTAAATTTAATTTTTTTGGTCAAAATAACACTTGACAGTTGCTGAAAATCGCGTGACAAATATTTAGTTACCACATGGGTCAATGTTGCATAATCAATCATAAATTTTATGCGGAGTGCCTTACTTGATACTTAAAAGGCTTAACAAAATTAAAATCAGAAGCCGGGCTAGTTGTCCAAATCGGCCTTTGTATAGCTGCCTAGTAATCGAAGTGAATATCAGAAACCTGCTTCCCAAGATTGTCTTCTGATTGCTTCTGTTCAGAAAAAATCACTGCGAGGCGATAGCAACAGGTGTGTTTAACGACCTTTCTTCAACCTGAAAACGAAGCATATTTATCTGATCCCCGAGTTTACCTGCTTAACCCAAAAGGATTGACATTTTGCTGAGAGAGTACCGCAGCGATGCCAGGAATGGTTGTACAAATTGCGGGTTTCGTTGGCCATCAATTCCACCGTAAAGGCTGCGTTGCAACAACTGCTTTCTTTAAAGGCATGGCAAGTTTTGAACTCGGCTGTTTCGGGAGAGGGCGACTCTTTGTGCCACTTTCCTTCTATGCACTTGTCTACATACTCCTCTGCATTTACATAAAGGGTTTGAAGGAATATTGCAAGGAAAATAGACAAGATAAATTTCGCCATCGCCAGCGCCTTCCTTTTGTTTCGAAGTCCGTCAGCACATGAATTTGTAAGGGCAGAACGCACGTGCATGCAACGATGAGCATTTCCGAGTACGTAAACATGTTGAAGCAAATATCGTTACCCTACCCTACCCTCCAGGGGTATGAGTAGACTATGAGATAAAAATATTATAGATTAAGGTAATAAAATAAAAATTAAAAAAACCCGGAACACCGAAGCGATAAGAGTTGATATTGTTATTATATAATTTCCCATCTTGCAAAGATTTCCTCATCACTCAAAAAAAAAAAAAGAAAAATTGAATTGTTAGCCGCAGACCCAGGGGTAGACAGGGGAATTTAAGGATCGTGGGAACCTGGGATTTTGTGTCCAGTCCTTCTGGTTCTAAAGAGCAGCCTGGTGGAATTTAGCCAGGTGCAGAAGTTCAGTGGCGATAGAGTTTTAGGAATTGTACTGTCCAAAAATCGTACTTTGTAGGCCCAAAACGACAGCAATTGAGTCACCCTATGGCGTAATATACTATTTAGGGCGAAACAGATGGTTAAAGGATCGAAATGAAAAACCAAAAACGAAAAGCTACCGACTGTAAGTAGTGTTACAGACAAGTTTTATACTTTGAGATGGGTAGTATTTTGTTCATTGAATGCACTCCCATTAATTGCAAGGCTTAGATAATAGCACTTCATGAAAATCTTTAAACAGGTATGACCCAAATAAGATATTTTAAATGAATTTTGTATGATTATTACAAGCAATATTTATAGTAACATAAATACTCTGAAGTGAAGGTCGTGTCATTATCTTATCTGTCTGACCTTACAGCTTCGAAAACATCGAGAAAGGCCAAGAAAAACAAGGTATCATGTTAAAGAGTACCCTGAAGTTAATTTTTTATTTGTAATTGACAGAAAGTCGTGGAAAAATCGTAATAATTCTCATGTTGAAGACACAAGTATGAGTTTTAAGATTCAAGATGGTGATGTCTCAGTTGGACATATTTTTAACAAAAAAATGCGTCGTTATGAGTGCAATTTACAAGATTGTTCAACCAGGTGTTTGAGTTAATAGAGGGTGGCAAAGGGGGGAGAGGAAGGGGGGGTCTTGATCCTGTTTTGCACATGACTTTTAGAAAAATAGTATTTTACATGTCATGAGTGTAAAAGGAAAAACTTCATATCTTGCCTTACCTCACATTTCTGTGTGATTCATTGTTTTGATGATAAATTCTTCAACTTTTACAGATTCGAAAACAAAAATACAGACACTAAACATACTGTTTTTGTCTGACCTCTTTGACTGCTGAACAACAACTAACACTGACACAACCGATTTGAATTTTAATTAGTAAGGCTTAAATTCTAGCATGCAGTGTTTATTGGGCTGTCCCAACGGATGGCGTTAATGTCAATGATCAAGTGCTCACCAGAACATTCATTTGTCACCTATTAGCTTTGGGCTTAATCATGCATCATGTATCAGCAGTCACTCTGAATTGCACCCCATTGGTTGCCATGGAAACTAAAAATGTATTTGGCGACTAACATTTTGACAACAGATTTGAAAAAAAAAGGAAAAAGGAAAAGCAAGAAAAGTTTCAGTCCCTGACTGAATCATCAAACAAACAAATGAAAACAAAAGGTTCTGGAACTCTAAAAGCAACCAAAATATTTTTTATGGCCACCATTTTATGACTGAAGGTAGCCAAAAGGTGACACATACTCTTTGCCACCTGCTTAATTGCCATTCAAGGCCAGGCTGTAGTTTATTCTTCACCTTTCTTTAACTTATCTTCCTACCACCACATAGCAAAAACTGATATCAAACCCTTGAACAGTACAAAATTTTGAAACCTCACATCACATGCCTTTGGTTTTGGTAATTCTTCTTATAATTAGGTTGAAGAAGAGGAGGAGTTTGTAGATGATGAGCCTGTAGATGATAGTATGTATATGTCTTTTTAATGGTCAAATTGTGCATTGTAATCCCCCTTGTTAAGCCAAGGTGGTTTTGGGGAAAACCTTGAAAAATATGTTTAACCCTTTAACTCCCATGAGTGACCAAAACAGAATTTCTCCTTACAATATCAATACAATGTCAACCCAGCAAGTGGTGAGAATAAAGAAAGCTATCAATATGGGGATAATTAGTTGATCCAATACAAAATTCTCTGAACTAACATTATAAGAATTGTATGGTTGGCAGGTAGGAGAATTACAAATTTGGTCTGGGAGCTAAAGGGTTAAATAAAAAAAATTGTGAAAGCCTAAATTTTGAAGATGTAGATGACTGAAGTTTCAATATCCTGTTTTTAAGGGTCTCTGCTAAATTATGTTGCTTAGTTGTTCCTAAGTGAAAACCAGTTTGAAGAGAAATCACATGTTTGTTAGGATTACAATAACATTTTGGTTAAAGGCTACAAGCAGGAAGCAGGCACATTGATTACTAGCAGGTGGATGTATCTGCTATCCCACTGCTGATGAAACTCCAGATCTTTGTCAACTTGTGACTTTCTTAACCCTGTTACGGCCTTAGGAATGACTTCCTTAGTATTTCTCCCAACAATATTACCCCTAAATCAAACATTTAGTTAATGAGAATAAAGGACATGATCAACATCTAAAGAGGTTCTTCATTGTTATACTAATTCTCCTTGTCAGCACCTTGGGAAATGTATATAGAACAGTATGGAGAATATCAATACTGATGTTAGGGTGTAAAGGATTAAAAAGGCTATGGAATAATCAATGGTGACATGTTTTAATTTAATTCTAGGTGAGGTTACACCAAAATCGTCTTCTGCCACAGTGAATGATCAGGCAAATGAAGTGAGTTTAGGAGTGATTTATTTTCATTTGATATCTAAACCTGACATGACTTTTGATACAGAAATACCGATTGATGTCAAAATGGTTATCTATGAAAATCCTTAATAATTGAATTATGATTGCTGCTAGGATGAGTTTGGAGCCAAAGATTATCGAAAGCTGATAGAGCTCAAAGCAGATCATTCCTCTAGACCTCTCTGGGTGGTGAGTAGGAAGTTATTTCTGGCATAACAGATTTTAATCAGTCTTAATTATTTATAACTTAAAAGTCAATCTTTGAAATTATGAAAAAGATTATTATTAATAACATTTTCTTTACATCTGAACAAGTTAGATTAGCACTGTGATAATAATATTGGCTAGAGAGAGCCCATGATCTAAAACCCCTTGGGTTTTTCATGGGCTTCCCTATCAGCTGAAGTCTTAAATTACTTATTTCAATTGTAATTTGATAATTAAATTTGTGCCCAAAGAAAAAGGAGAAGGAAATAGAAAATCCTTTGTTTTTCTCTTATCAGGCTCCTGATGGTCACATTTTCCTGGAATCTTTCTCTCCTGTGTACAAACATGCCCATGATTTTCTTATAGCCATTTCCGAGGTAGGTCTGACTCATGATATACAATGAACTAGAGCTCAATTTAAGCTCACAGTTATATGAAAATATTTTAAGTCCAGTTTTACCATAGCCCATTGGAAAGATTTTTTTAATAGTGTGGAAAGATTAATTCATTTTTGAATTTTCTTTATAATTAATCTTTTTAAGTGCACTTGACATTGATTAATTATTTACAATATCAAGTAGACTAGTGATGAGAATAAGTAAAAGATTTTTTTTTTTTTCAAAACTGTTTGTATAAACAGCCAGTCTGCAGACCAGAACATATTCATGAGTACAGGTAAGTACATACTTAAATTATTATTATTATTATTATTATTTTAGTCAAATTATGATTTTTAAATTATTGATAAATTAAATTAATGAGTTATAAGTGTTAGATAGCATCGAATGATTTCTCTTTCAGTTTGCCGAAACTTAAAAAAAAAAGACTTGTAATGAGATATGCTTCAGCAATGTCCTGAAACCAAATGGGATTTGCTCTACTTGGTGTCATTTGTAATTCATTTAATAGTTTAAAATGATCTAACCCAGATTGATTTGTTTTTTTCTGTCATTTCTTTCTTTCTTTCCACGTTGTATAATAATTGATTGAAGATAAACTATTCTCAACTGAAATAAAAAAAATGTGATCATTTTTGTGTGAGGTATTTAACATGATATCCATATAAAAGACACTTGTGATAGTATGATTCAATTTTTGTCACACTGTTTTTCTTAAAGGTTGACGGCATATTCTCTCTATGCTGCTGTCTCTGTTGGTCTCCAGGTGAGGATTGTAGTCTCTAGGCTTCAATGTACACTGTTTTGTAAGAGAATAAATTAGAAAAAAATAGATTCAGTGCCATTCTTATTGAATTTTGTAAAATTTCCTTATGAATCAGAGCTTGAATAGGAAACTATTTTAAATTTCTTTTAATAGCATGTTTGTTATCTCCTTTTTGGTCTCTCTTGTTTGTGTGATGTCTTTTTTGTCATTCTTTTGTTTGATATGACAGTTTATGATCCATATCATTTCTTTTGTTTGATATGACAGTTTATGATCCATATCATTTCTCTTGTTTGATATGACAGTTTAAGATCCATAAAATATTTTGGCTTGTGTGTGATTGGTCTGAACCCAGCACATGACCAAATTTCCCCCTTGGAGCTAAAACTGGGTGATATCTGAGAATATCACCCAAGGAGTATTCCCCAATTTTCAAACATTATGTCCACTACAATAAGTCTTTGTTTCAAATTTAAATCAATATTAGCGAGAGTTTTGTGGTTGTTACAGAAGAAGGGAAATCTTTTTTTTGTTCATTATGTTGTACCAGAGAACAGTCTCAAAAGAAAATATCCCACACTGCATACAATAAGCTGTTCATAATTTTTTTTTTTTTCATGTACGTTGCAAAATATTTGCAAAGAAGAGCATTTATGTAAACAATAGCCCCTATTTGGTGCAAAAAATATATGTAGATATTTGTTATGGAAATTATCTGTTCCTGAAAGATCACAGTTTTCCTTGAGCTTTGCTCTAGGGAAACTGATTGCATCATGAAACAGGTTATGTCTGCATGCAAATATGCATACATATTTTCATGCCAAATAGAGGCTCTTGTTTACATTATTTCTCCTTGCAAGTTGAATACAATGTTTTGACCTGTTCTTTCATTAACTCAAGGTTAAAATATATTAAACTAAATAAAAAATATATTATTCATGATGTGACTCTAAAATTCACCACAGCAAACAAAATGCTAATGATATCCTCTCTTTTTCAGACAAGTGATATCATTGAATATTTAAGACGACTCAGCAAAACTACAATCCCTGATGGCATAATCCAGTTTATAAAGGTAAATATGAGTGGGTATCTTAACTGAAAACGAAAGATTTGATAGAATGAGAGTGTAGAGTAATGCAATTAATGTCCTCTGCTTCCTTGAATTTATCTTTCCTTTTAATCAATGTTCTGCTCTTTATTTGCTTCTTTTCTTTGTTTGTCTCAAGTTGTGCACATTGAGCTATGGAAAAGTGAAGCTGGTGCTGAAACACAACAGATACTTTGTGGAGAGTAGCCATCCGGTAAGTGAATATTCAGAGGTCTTTGAGATTAAAACCTCTCATCTTGCAGTATAGTTGATCAAGGGTATGATTAGCATGTCCGTACACTGTCCCAATGATGATGATGTATATGAAAGCATTATTTTAGATATGGAAATACAATTTTGTCTCAAGAGTTATGAAAATTGCTCAATGTCTTTACCATTTTAAGCAATCTTGGATCTCCCAAAACATATGCAATTGTGCCACTTAGTTTCAAGGCAGAAGGGAAGAATGTGGAAGCTCACCTATCTTCCCCCCCCCCTTAATTAAGATTACTTTAGAGAGTGTACCCCTACCCCTAATTTTGAGGACCTCCCCTCTTTAAGATAATAATTAAAAAAGACTTATTTTAAGAGGAGACCTCCATCACTCTAAGTGTTTTTTAGGGGGAGTCCTCTAAAGATTAAGCAAACCAGAAATCTTTAAGAATAAAGCACAATTTAACTATAAATTTTTTTAACTCTGCTGATTAATTCCTAGACCATTGGCCTGAGTTAACCTGAGTTATAATCATTGATTTTCAATTAGGAAGTCCTTCAGCATCTTCTCAGAGACCCACAGATTCAAGAATGTAGAAAACGAACAGAGGAAGACATGGAACTTGGCACAGGAGAGGACCAGCTGGTTAAATCTACTGTGAGCGGAAAGTCATCGTTGAAGGTGGATAAGGGGAAACTTAAAAAGGCACTTGTGCCATATGCTTAGTTAGCCAGGTTGAATTTTAAACTGTAATGGATGTATCTAGTAGGTGTTTAGGGCATACCAATATGTTGAAAAAAGTTATTTGGCTTTAAGTTAGTAACTTTATATCAAATTGGGGTAATGAGGCTGATTAGGCCCCTGGCAGTACATGCTAAAATGCTGAGAAAAGTAAAAAAAACCTGACAAAAACTGTTACACAAGTGTCCTATTTTAGAAGCTGAGTCTGATTATAGAAACTAGCATTCAATTGTAGACACCAGTGTCTGATTTTTGGACACTAGTGTGCAATTCTAAACACTAATTTCCAACACTAGTGTCTGATTGTAGACATTGGTGCATAAAATTATTCTGCCATTTAGAGGTTATGAGTTACAGCTTCATTTCCATCTGTTTACTTTTCTTATTTAAAACAGTTGAATAAACCACAAGAATCTAATGGAGACTCGTCACAAGCAGCAGAACAGGTGATTCATGTTCCGTGTTATAGAAATTTTTTTAGGCGTGAGAAGAAAAACGAGCAGATGCCCTTTTGAACATAACTTTTCAACTGGTCCTCTTGTAGTTTATAACACATGAAATATCATCAATGAAAATTTACCTTAATCCATTAGGATCAGCCGTCAGAGGGGACATCCATTCCGACTGACATTTCAGATTATATTGAGAGAATAGACCAGGACGAAGATGAAGAAGAGGTTGGTAAAGAACCGTGTGTTTGTGTATGTTTGAAGAAAAGAAACATTGAAAACCCACTTGTATGACTTCAAAGGTAAATAAATTTTGTTTATTTCTCTTTGAACCTAATTGTTGTGTCATCCCTTTCCAGAGTCAGACTTACTCTTTTGAAGTGGCTCAAGAACACATTGAAATCTTGCAGAGAAAGTAAGCATTTTTCACCTCAACATCCGCACAGGTTTATCTCCTCCGAGAGCCACGCCTGCTCCAGATATCACTAACCCAAAAAGCTCCTACCTCTCTACTCTCCTAATTTACTATCAGCTGCATTCTAGTTCATTTACACGGAGAAACGGGCCCATCACGCCAGAGATACTTCCGCTCCCTGCTCATCGATACGCATGCCCGGAGAAATGCATCGTGTGAGTAAAATGACCTACCCAAGAACATAACACTAGGACTCGGCGACGACTCAGACCCAGACTTCTCGCTCTGGAGTCCTGCGCTAACTTACAGGCCACTCTGTCTCCCATTCAGAAACCTATAGATTGACCTAAAGAAAGCTCTTTACTTTCTATTTTCAGGTGCATTGAACTGGACTATCCTTTACTAGCAGAATATGATTTCAAAAATGACGCAGTCAATCCTGATCTGAAGTAAGTGACGCTATCAGTTAAGGGTTTATTCTAAGGCGCGGCGTTGCGAGATTTCCGGCCGCATAAAATTCACGTCAAAATTGAACTTGATCCTCCATTAGGGGTAATGGATGGCTCATTTACAGTTGATTGGAGTTGATTTTTTAAAGTCTTAAAAGTCCGTTTGGAAACTACTGATCCCCTTTCCCCGGTCTCTGGCGATGAAAATGATTGGCGATAAAAATGATTGTCCTTCCTAAACGTCAAATGTCCCCCAAATTTGTCCCCCAGTAAATTGACAAGTATAAACAAATTTCATTTAATTGGCGTATTTTGAACCTTTTTTTCTGACAGCATAGACCTAAAGCCAACTACAGTTTTAAGGCCATATCAGGTATGGTGACTTTTACTCGAGTTTTACTTGTTTTACCTGTGCATATTTGTATTATTTAAATCTTTTGCAAAGTTGTAGATGACGTTTTGTATTCTCATAGCGCAAGAGGCCTTTACGGTGTGAATCAACCTCTTGCTGCTGTTCCCACAACACTCCATTTGTATTTTTACTTGGCACAAGCGAATTTGAAAGGAGCATCGTTGTGCCCTTTTGAGTCTCGTGGCTAAATAGAATCACTCCATTTTACTGTGCGTCTCCAATATAGATTTCCATCTACCCTCCTTTTGCCATCACTTTCAGTGCCAAATATTTGTTATTTTTTTGTGGTCGTTCATTTTTTTCCCCATCATCCTTCATCTGAGACAGTGCCAGTGTAGTTCATGTCAAATAATCCCAGTTTTTTTCCGTTAGGAAAAAAGCCTTCGGAAGATGTTTGGTAACGGAAGAGCCAGATCTGGTGTCATTGTCTTACCTTGTGGTGAGGTTCAAAGTATATTAAAATTCTGCGCCTCAAATATGCAAGCGTAGGAATTAATCGCAATTTCCAATCAGGAAATAGGCAAATATTACAGACCTGGGGGAAATTCAAAATATAAATAAACAAACTGCTTGAAGCGCGAGAAAACGCAAATAACCAAGTCGCCGTAGGTGTAACCTTGTTATCTGATTGGTTAAGACGATGGTACGAGTTTTCTACACCAACATACGAGCGAAGTAGAGAAAAGTCAAACTCTGTTAAAAAAAAAAAAAAAGCGGAAACTGATCATTTTAACCCTCTGTTTGTATAAACAGGAGCTGGGAAGACTCTTGTAGGAGTGACGGCTGCATGTACTGTGAGAAAGCGATGCCTTGTCCTTTGTACTTCAGGTAAGACGCACGCCCACGTCCCTTATTCAATACTCTAGTGTCAATTTCATAGTCTGTTCGCAGACCTTCCACTTATTCTCCTATTATCGTCCAGTGATGTAAAAGCCGCCTGGGATTTTACGCACACGAACGTGAGAGGGCAGGTTATGCGCTTTTTCTCTCGCGCTCGTTCTGCGCTTATTCCCTCGCGCCTACTCTGCGCTTTTCCCTCGCGCTCTTTCCGAGCTACCTCGCATGACTGATCAAATTTATGGCCCAAATTAGTGGCCAGCTTGTTTGATTAGCTAGTTTCCTTTAAGTGTTATTTGGAATCGTTTTCCGGAGAGGTTTCAAATATAGACAACCTCAGAATCTCCATTTTTTCCCTGCCACTTTTGCACTTAGAGAATGATATACGTTTCTTCATTTCCTCGAAGGTGTTGCAGTAGAACAGTGGAGAACACAGGTGTGGCTAGTTATATGAAATTACCAATATGAGAATTAGTACTCATCACATTTCAGGCACAGAGCTTCTCTCTATCCGCATGTTGTATTTTTACGGTGCCATAACGTTATTCTTGTGAACAAGACATTCACTTTGAAAAAAAAACCGTCATTCTGACTCAAGCGGGCTGTTGGCATCCACCCTATGATTAACTAGAATTTTAACTCCTGTCATGTTGTAGACATCTCGCCTCATGTATTTACGGTGCTGCCTCCATTTGCTTTTTTTTCACTCTAGTTTAAGATGTGGTCAACCATTGATGATCGCACAATCTGCCGTTTTACTTCAGACGCGAAAGACAAACCTGTCAGTACGTATCTTTCATGATTGGAGAGGTTTCGTGAGTGGGAAATGACTTTTGCTTCCATCAATAAGTGTCATAACTGATACTAAGGCAGACGCCCCGTACTCATCTATAAAGATATACCTAACTCTCATATTTTCTTTTTTAACAGATTGTAATATTGCAATATCTACGTACTCTATGGTGTCTTTCACGGGGAAAAGATCCTGGGAGGCTGGCGAGGTTGGTATCGTTTCGATATGTCTTCTAAAGGTCTATGGTTAAGGCTTTAAGAGGGCGCACTATTTGGTATCTGTGCCCCTTCTTGCAGAGCTGGTTTTTTTTCTTTTGGCAGGTTATGAATTTTATGCAAACACAAGAATGGGGCTTAATGATTTTAGACGGTGAGTGTTCCACATTTCTTGTTCCTAAAACGAGTATCCACTGAAACGCGAAAAAACGTCATGCCTTGATAATCCGTGTTTACCGTTTTTTAGACGGCTCTGTTAGTTCCTTTTTTGGATTCATGACATTCACTTGAAAACCGTCCACTTTAAAAATGCATTTTCAATCGAGTGTCGTGAACCAAAACCTGGCGGCTGGATTATGAAGAATACCAAAGGAACCATTGTCTGAAACCTCAAATTCAAAAGCAAAATACCTAAAGCGCCAGAAGACGTCGGTAATCAAGTCTTAATTGATTTTGGTCTTGCATCTAATTGGCTGAGAGGTTGGCGAAAGTTTTCTGGACCAATCACAAAGCGCAGTGAAGGGAAACCAACAAAATTGCAGACTACTTCCAAACTCTAATCGACAGTAACTTTGTAGAGGCCACTCGCTTTCAACAAAAATTGCTTCCTGACGTAATTTTTGTGTTTTCTTTAGAGGTTCACACTATCCCTGCCAAGCAATTCAGAAGAGTTTTGACAGGTAAGGACAAAACATTGCTACAAATCCTCTCATACACAACTGCACTTTCACAGAAAAAATTATGCGAGACGTTTAGTGTTGGCCTTTCAGTTAACATCTTCACCTGTGTTTCCTAATAGTTGTTCAAGCGCATTGTAAACTGGGACTCACAGCAACTCTGGTGCGAGAAGATGATAAGATTCAGGTTTGTGTTCTCTCATCAATTCCTAGGTTCCATTCCTGGACCGGGCCTCACATGTGATTTGAGTTTGTTGTTGTTTCTCGACCCTGCTCCGAGGGTTTATTCCCAGGCCCTACTGTTTCCTTCCCTCTGACGTCGATGCCCAGGAAACTCCGCTATTCTCATATCCAGTCCTCTCACTGTGATATAAGTGAAGAGATTTGGTGACGAAATGAATAGAGAGGCTGTTTTCAGGCGCGATTTTTGGATGTGCCAGTGATCGCTGTGTCCAAGAATAATCGATATATTTATCAATAATTCTCTCTTCAGGATTTGAACTTCCTGATTGGACCCAAACTTTATGAGGCCAACTGGATGGAACTTCAGAACAATGGATTTATTGCACGAGTCCAGTGTGCGGAGGTATCTGTTCTGCCTACTTCTATGCTTCTTCGTGTGAATTTACTTAGGTCTTTTATTGGGGGCGGGGCTGGCGCAGAGGTAAAAACGCTTGCCTTCCATCCGCTGTGGCCTAGGTTCCATTCCTGGACCTGGCTTCACATGTGGTTTGAGTTTGTGGTTGGTTCTCATCCTTGCTCCGAGAGTTTTTTTTCCGGGTCCTTCGGTTTCCCTCCCGTCACGAAAACTAACATTCCAAATTCCAATTCGACCTGGAAATAATGGACAAGAAGAGCCACCTCGTGGAATATCCACTGCTTAATTCCCATTATTTTCATAGTTATTATTATTATTATTATTATTATTATTATTATTTTTTTATTACCAATGTTTCTTTTATCAGGTATGGTGCCCTATGACACCCGAGTTTTACAGAGAGTACCTCAATATAAGGACAAGAAAGAGGAAGGTATGACAGCAAGAAAAAAGTTGTGCTGAATTGAATGAATTGTATCGTTTTCCAAAGGTCTTAAGGATATACTTATTTCTGAAGCCATCGCGTTCAAAGGTATGCCCGGTAAAGTGGTAGGTGACTGTTCCCGAAAGCTGCTTCGATTTGTAAGTTTTCCAATCTTGCTGACAGGTTCACGGTTTCGTTTTTCGCGCAAGTTGAATGGAGAGATCATTTTCTTACTGTTGATTGATCAATATCCCGGTTGCTTGGTTAATGTGGTTTGCTTCGTGAAGAGTTGTGCTTAATACGCATATTCTCCATACTGTTCTCTATACATTTCCTATGGTGCTACCAGGAGAATTTGTAGAACAATCAAGAGCTTCTTAAACTAGTGATCGTTTCCTTTATTTTCGTGACCTAAATGTTTGATTCAGGGCTTATATTGTAAGGAAAATTAGATGCTGGTCACTCTCAGGGGTTAAAGGGTTAACTTAACCTTTTTTGTTTCAGTTACTGTATGTGATGAATCCGAACAAGTTCCGGTCTTGCGAGGTAAGATAAGATTGTGTTGAATAATAAACTATAAAAACCAACTTTCTTTCGCCTCTTTTCGTGTCGGTGAAAATGAAAATTATATCAAGCTTCTCAAGCTTGAAATTGTAAGGTGAACGAAGAAACGTTTTTGTCGCTTCTTGGGGAAGAATATTCACCCAGAAGGCGAGAAAAATTTATCGCTGTCTCCCTAAGTTGCCAAGGTAAAAAAACTATATTCTAAAACTCTTTTATCAAATCCCTCTTTACTGTTATCCTTTCGATTTCAAAACTTTTTCCTTTATTCTTTTTCCTTGCGCAGTTTCTGATTCGTTTTCACGAAAGGTGAGCATAAAATTTCCAGTGTTGAAGTTAAATGAATATTTTTTTTTATGCAAAGAATTAATGTCATTTTATGCAAAGAATAGTTATCCTGAATTATAGTTTTTTACGTTTTTGCTGATGAATTTTTTGCGTCTTTCTCTTAGACGAAATGATAAAGTTATTGTTTTCTCCGACAACGTGTTCGCGCTCAAAAAATACGCCGAGAAGCTTAAAAAGTGAGTATTATAATGACACATGAGTACATTCTGCGCTCTTGAGGGGCGCAGAACGAGAGGAGCGGTAGACTAGGCTAGACGGGCAGATAGCTAGGCTGGCAGGCAGGCAGACAGAATGCCTACAGGCAGGAGCCAAGGCAATACAAAATTTAACGAGGTCTTAATTTTCTGAAGAAGCCGTGTTGCTGCGTGGGCGGGAAACTGTAATAATTGGTCGGTTGTCTCTGAACTATCAGTCGATACAATAGGTAATCGACCGTAATGAATATTGGGGAAAAAATGACGTTAAAAAAGTTAGATTTTCGCGTCAGAGCAAGTCGGAAGTAGGGTGAACCCTCGAAACGTCAGCTTTTCAAAATTTCGCTACAGCATTTACGAAAGACAACATACATTTATCAGCTTATGGTACCTTGTTGTGATCTTATTTCTCTTTCTTCAGACCGTTTATTTATGGACCAACTCACCAAGGAGAACGGATGCAAATCCTACAGAACTTTCAACATAATCCTTTGGTTAACACAATTTTTATATCGAAGGTAAGAAGAATTTTATTTTCCGATTTTTTAAGAAGCAAAATTTGGAAATGTATTTTTCTCCCAGTCCCTGAGAGTTGAAAATGTAATCCAAGAAAGAAACCTTTCGGATTCGCCAACAAACAGATTTGTCATTTTGGCCAAATTTACCAGTGTATCAATCCTCTCTACCATTTTTGCTATATTCGCCAGTAAACAGATGGGACATAACTTCTTCAGTTATTTTTGGCATTTTTGTTAAATTTCTTATATTCGCTAAGGTATCCTTGCCAAAATTGCCATATTTTCCATTAGTGATCCTTCGCCAAAGTCCTTGGCACACTTTCGCCAAAATCGCCATTTTCGTTGCAACTTTGATTTCTGGACATAAGTGAGGTTTTTAAATATTAGAGATTAATAGCACTGGGTTTTAACTCGTCTTTTATTACTTTGTAGGTTGGAGATAACTCCTTCGATCTCCCAGAGGCAAATGTGTTAATTCAGGTAGGCTTAACTTCAGGATTGTTGTCGAACACTTGCAAGTTCAATCTAGCCTAGAAATCTACTTCTCAAGATCCATGACATTTAAGAACGTGTTCCTTTTTTTCTTTCCAGATTTCCTCGCACGGTGGCTCAAGGAGACAGGTTAGGCACCAGTCCTTATTCATCACCTGGGGCCTGGGAGCGGGAGGGGGGAAGGTGTTGGAGGTTTTGGGTGGGAACAGAGGGGGAGGGGATCGGTCGTCACCAACAGAGTAGAAATGGGGGACTATAGGAAATTAACTGTCAATTAACCACCAGTTAGGGGGGATCTTTAGAATATTGTAGAGCCTTGCGCGACACAACCGAAATCCTCCACTCCCCCCCTCAGGGAATTAAAAATGAATGGTCACTGTGTAATTCATTATGGAACAACTTCGGAACAGTTCAGAAATTTAACACGCATATGGTTTTCGCGATGTACGCGGCATGACCTTGTGTGATACAACGGAATTTAAATAAAAGCCCTTTAAGAGAACCTAAGAATTTGTAACATATTGCAAAACCTTAATTACAAAACCACCCCCTCTCCCCCTTCTTTGTACAATACCGTTTAGGATGGCTTTGTTGCTCAGCTCCGCCTTACCGTAACATTTGTGTAATTTTTAACAGGAAGCTCAACGTCTCGGAAGAATTCTCCGGGCAAAGAAAGGTATGAGTGAGTCTGTTCCCTGCACACTTAATCTCGTGGATTCACCCTGTGACCTCTTAGAGTGACCAGCGTCTAATTTCTCCTTACAATATCAATTATGGTCACGAGAATAACGGAAATGATCACCAACTAAAGAAGCTCTTGATTGTTAAACAAATTCTCCTTGTCAGCACCACAGGAAATGTATAGAGAACAGTATGGAGAATATGCATACTGGTGTTGGGGTGGAAAGGGCTGGGCCTTTACCTTTCATGTTCTTAAAGTATCAATTCATAGAATCTGTTTTCGTATATTCTCTACGTTTGGGAAATTAGTATGGGGTAAGAGACGATTTTCGGTAGTATGGCATAAATCAGAGTTCTTACAGAAGGAAATCAGTGCAGTGAAAAATTTTACAAGGAGCAAGTGAGGAGTGAGCAATCCGACTTAAGTATAACGGAGATAGCTAACGGCGTGATTTTAGTGGAGAAGTAAAAACGACTGAAGACCTGGGTCGGGTTCATTAGGCGACTCGACCCAAATCTCCCTTTCATTACTCCGCCATTTTACTATCGCGCTTCGATTTACTAACTTAAAGCCTGGAACAGGCTGTGTCAGATTGATCTGATTGATGAGGAATGTGGAGCGAGTTTTCTTGTTTTGATTAACCACAGAGTCAAGTAAGGCAAACTTAAACCAGTCCCAGATTAAGTTTCGTATTCGGTGGAAAATTACCCCATCCAAAATTTATTTGTTCCTTTCCCCTTTCTCTTTTTCGTAGATATGGCCGCGGAGGAGTACAACGCATTCTTTTACACTCTTGTCTCTACGGTAAGTAATTTATTTGAAAATGTCTCATGAGATTAAAAACAGTTCCTCTTGGAGTCGAATTGTGGCCCTTTTTATGTCAAGAGGACTGAACCAACCGGTTTGAAATCCCTTATACCAGTTTGCTTCCTCTTGAACTTGAATGGTCAGCGGGAGTCATGGTGCAAGAAGCGTGAGACTATCCGTGCGCATGTTCAGCCGTTCTGCAGCCGTGTCCAGAGTTCAATGTATTTGGACGCGAGCAAGGAATCTGGGTCTGGCACATGAAAGAAAGGCTTGCTGGCAAACTTCCGTGGAAAAATAATGTTGCGAGACAAATCCAGGCTCTTCTTATTACGGGCTATTTTTTTTTTCGGTTGTAGCGAAGAAAAAGATTTGCTTGACGAAAGTTAACATGGTGAGAATTGAGGGGTCTTGCACTAATTCCAATTTTAGAAATAAACCCTTGGTTAACAGTTCGTAACAACTTTCTTTGCTCTGCAGGCTATTGAATAGATATACTTGCTAATTTTTCTCTTGATGTTACAGGACACTGAAGAAATGTTTTATTCTGCAAAGCGTCAGCGTTTTCTGGTAAATCAAGGGTACAGCTTCAAGGTGAGCCCATTCTCAGCTCTACACATGTAAACCGCGTCGGAAATAGTGTTACCGGACGTGTTATATCTAATCCCGGTGAATACCAGCCAAGAAACTTCTTAAGGACACTCCTTTTTAAGATCTTGCTTGAGAATAAATCTCCACAACCCCTTTTCAGCGTCTTTAATAAAGAAAAAGTCTGATGAGTCAGTTTTTTGTAAAGCTGTGTTGTCAAAGAAAGACTTCTCACACTGTTTGTATACACCCAGCGGTAGCAGAGAAGTCGTATACGACCACGACAAGCGCGACTCGTTCTTAAGACTGGAAATACATTGGGCAGCATTTAGCGAATCCTGTGATCAGATTAGCTGCCAAAGTGGGCAAGATGGGCCTATGTTGTACTCTAAGGATTGCCCGATTTGATTCCATGCCAAAAAAAATTGCGTGAAGAAGACTGACAAATTTCGTACTTTTTGGACAATGTCGGCAAAAAATTCGCATTATGCGGAAGGGGACAGTAAAACCAAAGAAAACACAAACGAATTTCTTGGGTTTATTGTGCTCCAACGCAGTTGGCTTCCATTCGTGGCTCTTTCGAAATAAACAAATCATTCTTGATTCCCATTATAGTGAGACCTTCTTGCTTTTTAATAAATCCTTTTTTAACCATGCTTTCTCGGTCAAGATGGCTGGAGATTGGCCTCTTTCCTTTTTCTGGCGTTTTCATGGATCTCGACTTCGTCTAGCCTTGTTAACCTCATGCTTAGTGAATATCGCATATATGATAATCCTCCGTTGCCTGAGCAACATTATTAAAGAAAATGAGAGGACAACAAACAAAGCCAAAAGTATTTTTGTTTTGGAAATCTTCAAATATTTTTCCTTCTAAACTGTCAACGAAAGCATTGGTAGCGAAAAAATCGTCAAGGAGTAGTTGCCCAGAGAAACTTGGCTCTTTAAAGTATTCAGAACGATCAGGAATCCTTTTGTCATTATTCTACGAAGTAGCCTTGTACTACGCGCGCTCTGATGGGTCAAAAATTCATCTTTTATCCATCTGATAAACCTATAGCTATTTGTAAGAGTAATAGATATTACTGTATGTCGGTTTGGCCTTTTGATAACGAACCAAGGATGGGTCTTTTCAAATTATATTTAATTGAATTTTGTTCTTCTTTTTTCCTTGCTTCAAGGTCATTACACGGCTGGCTGGAATGGAAGAGGTACCTATAAATGTAGACTCTATATCAATTATTAATTTCATTTTAATTGCACTTTTATCTTGCAATCGTGTTCAAGGTGAAGGTCGTGACATGAAGTGAGCTGCAAGTTGCTGATCCCATAGTATTTTTCACTACACTTTTCGAAATTTCATGGGGGATTTAGATTTTTCTTTGTCCCCTGTTTGTGACAACGTTTGATATCTTTCTTATCCGTAACATTTGCTGTTTTGCTCCGTAAAAAACTATTGTCAATTCAATTAAAAAAAACCTTACACTATGAGCAATGGAAGGGAGGAAACCATCAAAGAGATACAGATGAACAAATTTGGTGCGAAGGTGAATAACGACTGGGAAGATTCACACGGATTTCAGATGACTTGTTTTCATGATAAACAAACCTTGCTGCTGATGCTTTATCAAGTAATGGTCTAATACTTTTCGTCGTCCTTGGTTGAACAGGAAAATTTGGAGCTTGGAGACAAGAGAAAACAGCAGGAACTCCTACAGCAGGTATGTGCCGATAATTGCTTGCGTTACCGCGAACGACAACAAAGTTTATGGTTCTCTGTCGAACGAGAAGAGTGCTGTTTTGTTTGAAGCGATTCTACAACGAAGTGTTTCTCATACTTTGATATTATAAACTCGCCTTCAGTTCGTAAATTATTTTCTTCCAATAATTTGGCTAATTTTTGAACACGTAAAGGTTGATCAATCACCAAGAAACTCTTCTCTTCTAGTGTAGTTGATCCACATTGAAATATTTCGTGAACTGAGATGTTGGAGTTTTGCATATTACTGCGAGAAAGATGCAGTTTCATGAGCGCATGGCACCGACGGCAAAATAGATGTCAATTTAATTGATTTTATACTTAAAAGTTATGTACTTAGTCCTGAAGACAGATTTATATAACTATGGATAGTCAGAATATGTTCATTGATGAGCCCTATACTTGACACTAAAGAACTGGTTCATGCTTAGCGTGCGTATATCGAGTTATGGACACACGAGGTAATTTGTACCATAATTCGCATCGCTTTTGGGATTGAAGTATCGTCTATTTTTCGACGCTTGAAAGAGCTACATGGTCATTGTTTTTAGAAACGGGTATAATTGAGCATATTTTCCTTTCATTTGAGTTCGAAAAGGTCCATCTCAGTCGGGATAGAACGGAAAAACAATCTTGAAAGGTTTGAAACATCGCGGCTAAACTCGATGGAAACTTTCAGCCGAAGTGAGATTGCACACGTCGTGTTATGGATACACGGTCGTGCGGTACATAGGGATTTTTGTTATGACAGCTCCTTAGGAAATAGGTTGGCCTTACGCGCGCGCTATGATATTATATAATTTGGGTTTTGCGACTATTTGCAATGAATTTGTCCCGGTAGTAAGGCCAGTTTTTTATATACGCCCAACAAAGAGTTTCAATTACTTTTTCGACTATGACATATTTATTGGCATAGGGTGGAGGACATCCGGTTTTTGCACCGAAACAAAACAATGCTTTGAGTAGCCAGCTCTTAGTCTTTGAATGACTGCCTTACACTTAATTGTGGTTACGTAAATGTGGATTGAATAGTGACTGTAGATTGAAGTATCGAGGGATTGAAGTAGTCTCTTGTAAATCCGCTGATATACTGCTGGCGACAAAAGGAAATGAGGAAGGCAATATTTTGTTCAAGTTGCCAGGTTGTGGATCCTGCCAACCAATGAAAGTGAGGAAGAAAAGCGAGCTGAATAAACTTTTTAGAATGATCTGGAATACGACTGTTCCTAACAACCAGCGTGTTTAGTCATAGAACAACAGTGGGGATTTAGTTACCTCATTTTGTGAATAAATAAGCCGTTACTGATTAAATTTTCCCCAATCCCGGTGTTCATTTTCTCTAAATCCCTTGCGCTAGCTCTCTTGAGGATGATCTGTAACCCTTTGACTCTCAAGATCTCATTAGGAATTCTCCTTACTGTCTGCCAAATGATTCTCATTAAGTTAGTTTGGAGAATTTGGTATCGGTTCAATAAGTAACCCCATAATTGATATTTTTATTTTTTCTCATCACTTGTCTGCATGATAGTGTGTAGATATAGTAATGAGAAATTCTGTTTTGGTCACTCACAGTAGTTAAAGGTTTAAGGAAGTCTCATTCAAATTTATGAAATTAGTGACATACTACGAACGCCCTCGGTCGAATTGGACAAAAACCTATTGTTTATTTAGCCTGCAGAACAGGCATATTTTTTTTGCGTTTTTCAGTGGAACAGGGGTGAGCACGAGCGCCAAAAATTTTCCTTTCGCAATCCTACCCTCGCGCGTGACTCGCGCTCGGTTAGCGTTTGTCTCCGTTCGCCTGTTACATGTAGAAATTTACGCCGGTTCCGCAGGCTACCCGAGGTGTTGGAGAACACATTAGATGTTTGTAAATCTTTTGCATCTGGCTCGTGATTTTCAAGCCCTTCTCATGGTCTCCCAACATTCTGCATGGGTATAACGTAAGCTGATATTGCTTAAGGCCGTGAAAAAAGTCGTGCAAGTTTTTATCAAGACGATGTCAACCCCCTGTTATGAGCACTATGCTGATATTAAACTCCTCGTGTACGTGACTCGTGACAATGTATCGTGACACTAGAATGACATCCTTTTGTGTACAAGCACTTGAAAATTTTATTTCATGGGGGTTATTAGAGTTGTCGGGAGTTGCGTGACATTGTAACGTGACACAGAATTGCATTTCCCTTCAGGTGCTGGCTGCTAGTGACGCAGACGCTGAGGAAGAGAGAGTGGGTAATGAAATAAACCGCAGTAGCTCGCAGGTACGATGCAAGGGCGTGGCTAAGTGAGAAGGGGGAAGTCAAGAGGGTGTTGGACCCCATTCTTAGTGATGCAAAACACCACATATTCGTTAGACGTTGATGTAGGATGCCTCTTGAGCTGCAAAACTCCACATGCTCTCTTGCGATATTATGTGAGGGGGAAAAAAACATGTCCTCAAGGAAGAGAGAGGGTCACATGATTCTAGACGGAAGATTGTACGGGTACATTTTTTGTGTCTCAGGGGAGTAGGTAGTCTCTTCTAAGCGACTCTAAAAGGCAGGGCAAGAAGTTTACAAGTACTTTCCATATTTATACAAGGGAACGAGTTGAAAGGGAGGGTCAGAATTACTTCCCATTCGGACAAGAGTCACGTTAGTTTTAAGAGCACTCCACAGCTTACTCTCATCAAACCAAAACGAAAGATACTACTTCGGCCGATCGGAGCAAAGGATTCAGTACAGGTTCTTCCCGTAACGAACCTTTGTCTTTGGGAGACCGGTATGAGCTTGTTTTTAAGAAAACTTGCTACATAGAATTGGCATTCCAGATTTCTGAGATAAGAATATCCAGCCCTTTCCCAGCCTTGACTGGACAAGCTGTTGCTTTTAGGATGATGTGCATCTTTTCTCCCATGGGCAGTTGTTCTGAACAGTGGTATCAGGGGTTTGGGCCATCCTGCAAAGCTCACCACGTGACTTCGACTTTTTGTTGGTTTTCATTTATACTCGAGTTTTATAAAATAGATCGGATTCCCATTATGTTCAGAACTATGGAAAAAATTCCAATGCTATAGGTTCTCCACGAGAGGAGGAAACATTATTGTAGCTTTACTTACATGGGTTAATTTTTTTTCTCTAGAGCTCTATAGTATCTCGGCGCCAAGGCTCAATGGCTTCCATGTCTGGAGCAGACGATATGATGTATCTGGAATACAGGAGTAGTTCAAAACAATCCAAGTCTAGACATCCCCTGTTTAAACGTTTCAGAAAATGAATTGGAATGAACTGAGTCTAGCATTTTATGCGGCTATAAAAGATTCGTTCTGTGAGACTAAAAGATTGAAAAGAGACATTAGTAGACCAAGAAGGATCAGAGATGGCTAAGGATGAAAAAGTTGAAGTCACTTTGCAAATAATTCGCTAGACTTCGAGCAGTCCTTGCTTTTTGGCGAAGTTCGTCACACGAGTCAAAAAATCAGTTGGAAAGTGAAAATCGATGATAGTGCGTCGCGCGGAACCCTGGGAGTGATGCGCACGAGTTCTCGCACGGCGGACTTAGCTTAAAAGCAGGGATTGCTTTAGTCTAATAAGTAGCTTTTCCTGTCAGAAACGAAGTAACCTGTTGACCGCAATGGAAAACGTTTCAAGACTGAAAACCTCTGCCTTCTTATGGATAGAAGTCGATCTATTCGTGCAAGGTGTTGAGATTCACGAAATTGTCTGTAATAAAAGGTGTTGCTGAAATAGTGTCATTTTATTGTCAAGTGTGCTGTTGCGTAAGACAATAGTATCGAAACGAAGTGCGCTGTCGTAAGTAGAGGAAACCGGTTGGGTCAACCGAAGAACTTAAAGGTCAATGGACCTCTTGAGCTCGTATGTTTTTTAGACACATTTTAGGTCTCAAGGGTATTCCCAGCTTCAACGTTGATAATTCATGCGTACATATGCACGTAAACGAGAGGAGGTGCTCTTGAGTACGTATTAATGTGAAACAAAACATACAAGCCTGAGAGGCAGAGCTCTGACTTTTGACGCACCTGTCACGTGACCTTTATCGTGCTCAAGATAGTAAGATATCGGCTGGAACCAGTGTTATCAACTTTGATTTGACTCTCACACCATTTGGTAACGATGTAATACAGTTCAAAGTCCTTTTAAGCCTGGTTTCCTATTTTATCTCCCAGATTCTCTTCATGTTCCCAGTTTTTTTTCATCATTTGTAGCATACTTTGCGACGTTACTCCGCCCCAGTCGTCTCTGCTCAGTATCTGCTGGCGCGGTTGAGGTGGGATTGAGTTTAGGTGACACGCCGTAAAGAGGATGGTGGGATTTGCTAAGGATTATAAGTTGCATTTAAATGGAATCTATTAAGTCGGTCTCGGCCTGAACGCAGCACAGTGCAATTTATTTAGTTATTTAACTAACGAAACTTATTGTCAACAGCTTCAGTCGATAATTATTTCAACTGTTCTAACAATTTGATTGATCTTCAACAACAACATTTCAACTTGTGACTTTTAGCTAGTTGATTTTCGTCTGCTAAAATTCACCAATTCGGATTAAGTGAATGAAATAATCACACTATCACTGATGACTGTCAAGGCCAACATTTCCAGCGACGTGACTAAAACACTTATGGTAAATTCAAATGTTTTTTTCTTTTATTGATAGGCCTGGCAAGGAATGTTCCGTGAGCAATTTGCTAATGAGGGTTCAAGGTGGTACGCTTCCAATGATTTCCAAGGTAATTCCTCGTTGTTCACAACATCGTTCTGGTAACTCCTGTGATGGGGTTGGTGCCACATTGTAACATTCCTTCCGAGGGAGACGCTCAACAGGGTCCTCTCTCTTTACCCTTAATGCCCTAACATCAGTAAGCATATTCTCCATACTGTTCACCGTACATTTTCTAAAAAGCTGTCGAGGTGATCAATTCCTTTATTCTTGTGACCTTAATGTTTGATTCAGGGGTGATATGCCCAGGAGAAATTAGTTGCCAATCACTCTTAGTGGTTGAAGAGTTAAACCTTGAGAGAGGAAAAGAGAGGACCCTGGGAACAAGGTTAAAGCCTTCCTTAGCCTCGTAGCCTCGCTTTTGTGTATATGCATGACGTCACCCGGAAACTGCATAGTATTCTGAAAGCAGGCTTATTTTCAAACGTAGGCATTTTGGTGCTGCTGCTACTCAGAAACTGAAAGCTTACCAAAAGATGTCAGGACCAAAGAGTGAAGTCGTTAACAGACCATCTTCACTGCTTAAACAGTATGAAAATGACGAAATTTTTAGTATGCTTGGTCGCCGTTGTGTGGTAAGTTGAAAAGAATCAGCTCCAAGAGTGGCGTTGTAGCAAGTTCGAGCCTCGTTCTTTTTCCTTATTTTTATCATGACTCTTTTACAGACTCTAGCGACATCCGTAGCCCAGCTTTATATTGCACCGCCTGAAAACCGTAGAGCATGGAAGAAGAAAGTTACAGGAGTAATTTGTTTTGTGAAAGACAACGGGAAAAAGTCATACTTTCTTCGAATGTACAGTCTTGTGGTAAGCTCAGAACGTGACACTTTACAACTGCACTTTAGAAAGACATCATATTGGCCCAACTCTGTGTTGATTTTAATTCTACCTTCATCGTATTGTAGACAAAGTCGTTAGAATGGGAACAGGAGTTGTACAACCAGTTCAAATATACTCCTGCTCGGTCTTATTTCCACGCTTTCACCGCTGATGTAAGTAGAAGTTATTTAGAATTTCATTTGTCTGATCTACTTTGTTTTCAATGTTACAATTTTAGTATTTTACCGATTATAACGTTACTATCTATCTGTGGGCAGTTAAACAAAATTAACTGGGATTAAATGAGCAATTGCCTTTGTTGTGAGATTTAAGAGAGTTTAGCTTATGTAATAAATTTCTCTATGTTATTAACTGATGACTAAGTGCTATTTTTGAAATACGTGCTATGATTGGTCAATATAGCAACCCTTGTTCCACAGTAGAGGATATTTGTCCCTTCCTGACTTGAATGTCTTTGTTGGTTTTGAACAGAAATCATTGGATAGATCTTCATTTGGACTTGGTGCTAATATAATAATGCAAAGCAAAGTAGAGAAAACCAGATAATTTGCTTTATCAACTGAGTTTGCAATTTGTACATGTACATTGGCCACCACAAAGAGTTTCTAAAGCTAATGTTTCCAGCATTAGCCCTTTGTCGAAGAAATTGTGGGTTTCTATACAGAAAAATCAAGCTAATCTAAAGGTGTTTAACATTTTTATTAGTCTGAACATGAAAGTGATCTTCACAATAATGAACACCACTTAAGCAGTAGTGAAAATAAGGTCTGAAAAAAATTCAGGCCTGTACTGGATTTGAACCCATGACCTCTGCAGTACTGGTGCATTGATCTACCAAATGAGGTAGCAAACCAACTCTGAGCTGGTCATTATGTTGGTTTGAAGAAACCCGTGAAGTGATGAAATGATTACTTAAACTGCTGTTCACATATATGATTTTCATATATCTACAGTCTTTTATTAATCTGTTTGTGATGTGGCCACTCTGTGTTGTAGAGTTACAATGCTGGTCTAAATTTTGCAAATGCTGAAGAGGCCCAGAACTTTATCAATGTGATTGAAAAGAAGGTGAAGGAGAGGGAACAGAGACGCGTAGGTGAGGGAATGATTAGATTAGGTCAACATGTACATGCATTTATACAGTCACATGGCTGAATACACCATGAACTGATAGTCAGAGCCGTATTGTTGGGAAGTGATTAAAAGGAGTAGTTATGTTTTGGTCACTACTAGGAGTGTGCGCATGAAATAGTGTCCAGTGAGGAAAGCTGATACATCAATGCTAATGTTTTAATGATTAATCCTTTAATTCATAAGGGTGACTAGTATCTAATTTCTCATTAGAATATCACCCCTGAATCAAACATTAAGGTCCTGAGAATAAATGAAATCATCACCAACTTAAGAGGCTCTATATAGCTAACCAAATTCTCCTTGTCAGCACCTCAGGAAACATACAGAGAACAGTATGGAGAATATACATATTAATGTTAGGGTGTAAAGGGTTGATTGTGTTTCAAACATAATTGATTGCTGTTTATTGCTGTCTATTAAAAAATTCTTCATCAGGTTGATGTTGGGTTTTTTTTACATTTTATGATCAGCAACACTTTTTAACAACCATTTTACAGAAGCAAATGAATCTCTTTTGTGTGATTTGTAGAAAGAAAAAAAGAGAATGCCTCAAGGCATGGCAAGCAGCCTCCTCCACCCCCTGCAGTAGGGGGGAATGTGGACATTGGAAAGAGGAGTTCTTTACAGGCCAATGGTAAGAGTATGTGTAAAAAAATTGGTTGACTGTTGAAATCACCTTCATTTGCTTTTGGTTTTGCATGTACGACACTGAATAGATGTATGCTCTTTAAATCATTATTTGTTGTTGTAGATCTCCATCTCTGCTAATACAATTTGTTTTGGTATCTTTTTTGTACAAAGATAACTTTAGCAATATGAGTCATTCACCATCACAGACAAGTCTTTCCTCCGTGGATGGTGGTCCTTCTCTGTCTCGGAAAAAGAGCAAAGACAGAAAAGACAGCAAAAGTAATGCATCAAACAACAAGAAAAACACCAAGAAAAGGATTACCAAAGATGACATTGGAAAACCAGAGAACTTCCAGTGAGCTGATCTTTGAATTGTTAATTTACCTTTTAACCTTTTAACTCCCATAAGTGACCAAGACAGAATTTCTCCTTACAATGTCAATGCAATATCAGGCAGACAAGTGATGAGAATAAAGAAAAATATCAATTAGGGAATTATTAGTTGATCCAATACCAAATTCTCAAAACTAACATCATAAGAACTATATGATGGACAGTAAGGAGAATTACTAATGAGATCTTGGGAGTTAAAGGGTTAACTCCCAGAAGTGATTACCATCTAACTTCTCTCTACAATATTCATACATTATCCAGCAAACAGGTAATGAGAATACTCAAATACATCAAATGGAAGCGGTTGTCTTGATCTAACACCAAATTCTTGTAACTGATTTAAAAGGAAGTATGTAGTAGCTGGAGGGGAGAATTGACTATCAGATCTGGGAGGTAAAAGGTTAAGAATGGAGGCTCTTCTTTAGGACAACCTTTATTCAGGGCACACAAGCATAACCCTTTGACCCTTATGATGACTAATATCTAATTTCTCCTTACAATATCACACCTAAATAACACATTAAGGTCATGAGAATAAAAGAAATGATCACCAATCCAGAAGCTCTTGATTTTTAAAGAAATTCATCTCGTCAGCACCAAAAGAAATGTGTAGAGAAGAGTTTTAAGAAAATGAATACTAAAGTTGGGATGTAGACAGTTAACCCTTTAACTCCCAGATCAAATTTGGAATTCTCCTTACTCTCAACCATACAATTCTCATAATAGTAGTTCAGAGAATTTAGTATTGGATCAACTAATTATCCCCAAATCGATATTTTTCTTTATTGTGGTCACTTATCTGGTTGATATTATATCAATATTGTAAGGAGAAATTCTGTCTTGGTCACTCATGAGAGTTAAAGGGTAAGTCCCCCAGAAATGTTCATGTAACATATTGATTTGCCTCTGTTTAGGAGTAGTGTACATGTAATCTTGAATGCAATCAATGGTCATTATCAGAGTGTTGTTTTTTCTTCAGGTTTCTTTTTGCAGAACCAATTCTACTGTATTTCCTTAAATAAGCACCCACACTCTATAGAGGGTCATCCCCTAGATAAACACCCACCATCAATGTCATAATGTCAGACAAGTGCCCCTCTTAAATAAGTGCCCCCCCTCTCCTCTCCCTTCTCTCTCAATTTCTTAATTAGTAGGGATTTAAGGAAAACCCTGTTTTTACTGCCACTTTATTTATAACCTCTTAAGCTTCAACTACAGCAGCATTAGCACAGAAGAATGATGAGCACCCCCTTGCTTTAGCATCCTTTTTCCAATAAGTGTCCCTCCTTTTAGGCAATATTTTAAATCAGCACCTAGTGCTTATTTGAGGAAATACAGTGATAAGAATTTTTTTGAAATTTCACTACAGGCACATTGGACATATTGGCTGGGATCCACAAGGTGGATTTGATGTAAGAAAACGGTTTTAATGTCTTTAAAGGGGGAACTTAAAACTTGACTACCAATGAGGGAGGAGGTGGGGTGGATATCAAGTGAGTTTTCTTGTGACACAACCAAAATCCTCCAACACCCCCTCCATGGTAAATATTGACCAGTCCCTAAGATAACAAAATCTTCATTAAAATTTTTCATTCAACAGTAGACTATGAGTTCAAGATTTCTTTTGGATGAAGCAAGAAGCTTGATTGTTGCAATTGTCAATGACGTAGACCACAACTTTGTGGGTGACTAGTTGCCATGGAGATGTTAATCAAAAAGAAACTTTCAGAGCTGAATGCCTAAATTTCTTTGAAACATTCTGGTGATCAGTTTTTTGTCTTTGTTAGGTTGATAGATTGGATGATAAATGGAAAGAGCTGTTTTCTCTAGTTGGTGTTACTGCTGAACAAATGCAGAAAAAGGAAACGATGGACTTCATCTATGATTTTGTCGAAAAGAGAGGAGGAATTGACAATGTTAGACGTGAAATAGAGAAGGAAAAAGCTACAGAACCACGTAAGCAATCAATATTCCTCTTTTTTTCAAGCTGATGGATTGACATGAACTGTTTAAATTGGAAAAATGTTCCAAATACCAGTGAGTTTTTTTAATCTATGAATTAATTTGCAATTTGTTAACAGGCTAGCTCAGTTTAGCTTTAAAGCTGGTTTAAATGGGGGCCTGTATAAACATTAACAAGGCCAGATCACAACACAGAGAGCTAAATTCCCCACTCTTTGCCAGAAGAGAAGATGCAGGAGAAAGGGCCTACGGTTTTTTGTCCTTATCTGAGAGGACTAGAATGTTTAACCATTTGCAGATGTCATAGCCAAGGCAGCAAGTTCTTCTCATACATATGTTGGCACTTAAGGGGGACATTATATATATATTTTTTCTAAGTAGGGACATAAATCAAATAAATAATAAATATTACGATTTTAACACGTTAAATATTATGTCCTAGCTCCACCAGCACCATCCAGAGGACAGTCAAGAGGACCCCCACCACCCCCTCCCCCCTCACGTGGAGCCCCACCACCACCCCCAGCAAGGATAGGAAATGCCCCACCACCACCCCCCTCCATCCCGTGGTGGGCCTCCACCACCCCCTCCCTCACGTGGAGGCTTACCACCACCACCCCCTCTTTCCAGGGCACCACTTCCTCCTGCAGGGGTACCTCCGCCTCCTGCCCCACCTCCTCCTCCACCAATGGGTGGTGCACCTCCTCCACCTCCACCAATGGGAAGAGGTGGCCCTCCGCCTCCTCCTCCCCCCATAGCTAGCGGTGGTGGCCCGGGTCGTGGAGCTCTTCTTGATCAGATTTGTCAAGGAACCTCCCTGAAGAAGGTAGCAGCCGAGGAGAGAAGACCAAGCAGTTCAGATGGTCGAAGTGGATTGCTGAGTGAGATCAGGAGTGGCAAGCAGTTGAAGAAGGTGGGGTTAACTCGTGCGTGACCTCCAGATAACTCTACTTTTCCGCAAGGAACCCAAAAAATTCAATGACTTGCTCATAATTGAATTAATCTCTTTTACTACTTAAACGCGCTTTTGCTATGATGCAGGAATTTAATAAGTTCCAGTTGAGTGATTGCGTGTCAATATCACATATTTACTCTCTCCTGTGAGCATTTTTTCTGTTACACGCATTGGCGTGTAGTAACACGCAGAGTGCGTGTACTATGCGTGTAATGCGTGGGAATTGCACGCGCGTGAAGTGCGTGTGCTGCAATACACACGAGTAGTACAATATATCAGACTTGCTGATTGCGTGCTAATTTCCATTTTGTTAGGTATCAGAGGCAGATGGACCACCAAAAAATTTGAAGTCTTCATCGGGAGGTGGAGGGGGTGGAATCTTAGGGGCCCTTCAATTGGCACTGGAGCAAAGAGAGAAAGCCATCCATTCTTCAGGTACACCAAGTGATGAACATGTAACTTTTTCTTATAATATCCATACATTGTCCAGCCAACACGTAATGAGAATACTCTAACTTATCAAGCTACTGTTGTTATCTTGATCTAGCACCAAATTCTTGTAATTAGTTTACAAGGAAATGTGTAATAGCTAGAGGGGAGAATTAACAATCAGATCTTGGGAGTTAAAGGGTTTAAGCTAAACCGGCGGAAATCCAAGCTGTCGATAATGGCCGTTGTGCACACCGCGAGGTCTTTCTTTGATAGTAGTTAATTACTTGATTCATTTGTTTGCAGAGAGTGAAAGCGAAAGTGCATCTGAGTTTGAAGACGACGAGGACGAGTGGATGGACTAGGGACTAGCACAGGCCACAGTATATGAAGTGCCAATTACGTATATTAAAGCGGGAAGACACTTGACTTTCGAATATATAAGCGTAACAATTTACTCTTAATATCTTATAAGTAGATGAATGATTTCTAGTGTAGTGTTTGATCTCTGGTATCAATTGTGATTGGAGAAGATGGGCTCATTTCTTACATGCGTTGTGGAGGGGAGGGGGGGGTGGGGACGGGAGGGAAGAGGGGCGAGGGCGGACACGTGCACTTTTTGTGATGTGTTTTCTCCCTTGTGCGTGTGTCGCCTGATCAGTTCTGTCGCCTCGCCTACAGAAGGTTAGGACCGATAAACGGCAAGTTGAACTTTAGTTGTCTATTTTTCCGCTATCTGTGTATAAATGTGAAAATGATGGAATTTTTGGTGAGAAAGAAATGTCCCAGTTTTCTGTTGATTCCTTGAACGCAATAAGAGGTACCTTTTTCCCAAGAGTTTGTAAACCTGTCGTAGCTTCCTTTAAGGCTTTCTCCCAGTTCTTCGCGGTCAATCGATTCTGGTGACTTAACCAAGGAGAATGGGATGGAGAAAGTTCACTTTTTAAGAAGTAGGAGAGGGGATAACCGCGGCGAAAATTTTGGGCTTAGGTACAAGGAAATCTGATGAGGAAATCTGATATCGTATGGAAATGATGTACAATTTTGAACGAAATCGTGATGAGGCTAGGGGAACTGTATGAGGTGAATTTTGTAACAATTGTGAAATGCTAAGATTGTGTGTCGCCGTTGAGACATGTTCAGGAACAGAAGACACACTTTAATGTATTCACCATTTAGGTTAAACAATAAAACGCGATGGAAGGATGAAAGTTTTGTCAACTTTGCTGATTATTTTGTTGAAAATCCTGAGGAGAATTTAGATTCCGGTCCTTGGTACAAATTGCCTGTCGTCAGGCAAGCATGCGCGGCGGTGCTTGTGCTCAGTTCTCCGCACCCTATTTTGGCGAGAAGAAATCTGGAAATGAGAAAAAATGCGAGGCGATCTGGAGCACAAACTACATTTTGTTTATTAATAAGGTGTGACAGATGTCTCGTAGGTGTCGGGTAAATTACAGCTCGAACGGAAACTTGCGTCCTTTCGGTTTGATTTTGTTCAGCTGAGGCGGAAGATAATCGTAGCTATGTCGGTGACGGTGTTTGTGAAGGTGAGTTGCCAACGTTACAGCTATGGGGTCGCGCTTCTGGAATTGAGAATTAATTCATTCCGTGAAAGCGGTGTTAATTTCACAAAATGTTGTGTTTTGGGTTTAGGGATCTAACGACCATTTTAAAGTTCACAAAGAGCTAGGAGATTGCCCTTCCAGTCAGCGAATTGTGATGATATTGCGACTGAAAGGTGTTCCGTTCCATCAAGAATTCGTCGATCTGACGAAAAAAGATACGAAAAAGTGGGATGAATTTGTGCGAAGAACCCAGGGAAGATTAAAACCACCTGTGCTTATCCATGGAGATTTGGAACCGATTGAAGACGCCGACGCGATCGTGGGATATTTGGAGGAAACCTTTCCAGAGCCTGATTTGAAGAGTTTGAAAGCGCAAGCCAACATCGCCGGCCGCGATTTGTATTCAAAGTTCGCTTTATTCATGCGGAACAGCATCCCAGACAACGATGCTAAACTGCGCGCCGCGCTCGTAAGGGAACTTAAAAAGTTGAATGAGTTTTTAGACAAGGAGAGCCCAGGTGCTTACCTGGACGGAGACAAATTAAAGTTGCCAGACTGCAATTTATTGCCTAAACTTATGCACATCAAGGTGGCTGGAGAGCTCAAGGGGTTTACGATTCCGGAAGAATTTGAAGCCATTTCGACTTATCTGAGAGAGACACACAGACAGAAAGCATTCAAGGAAACATTCACCGAACCGGTAAAGCACGACATAAAACAGGGTTGGCTCAAAAAGATGGGAAATTCTATGGGTACTAATTCGCATAGATAAACCTTACCGGAACCTTTTTTTAAATTATATTAGCGCTGAATACTGAGACAACACGCTGAAGCCGTAAATGTTATTACTTAAAAATCCGAAAGATGTTCTCTTAAATAACAAAAGAAAGAAGGGGTCGTTTGAAACAGAGTAAAATGTTTGAAGCTCGCTGTAAGCGATACTTCGTTAAGTCACACTTAACGTGTTATTAAAATGGTAGACCAACATTTGAATATTAACAAATTTCTCTTGTTTTTAATGACTTTTTTCGCACAAATAGAAAACGCTGTACTAAAGGCGGAACATTTTTGCAAAATTTTCACACAAAATAATTTTTTCTACACCATCCGAAACCAACCAGATCGGTCTCGTTTTCAAAGCTGACAGCGGTAAATTATTCATTCTTTCAACATCAACACCAGGGGTCGAACCGATCTTCTGAAAATAATATCAGTATTGCTTATTTTTTCTTTCATTTTAAAGGAAAACACAACCGCTTCACTTACACAGTAAACTTTTTCAACTTGAAAGAACAAAATATATGAATAAACTGCATGCATTACTAATTACTCCACGGAAAAACTAGGCGTTTCGAAACAATAGAAATAAGTTATGCTAATAAAAGTGTGTGGTTTGGTTATCGTAATTTGCATGCGGTGGAAGCAAGATCATGATTTGAGGTTTTTTGCGCGTTCTTGATCTCTAATAGATATAAATAATTTTAAGTTTTCGCTTCAAGTTATATTCAAATCTTCGAATAAAGTATTATCTTGCTGTTTTTTCAAATCTCATATTAAATGCTTCTTTGTTTTAGCTGTATTTACTTTTAATACAAGCCAAGGTCTTTTATACAAATCCATATAAGGACAGATAGACTGTCTAGAATATTTACTTGAAGGATACAAATTTCTTTATTTTTATTCAGTGCGTTAACAAAATAGAGACTTGAGAAGTTAGGAGCGAACTCACGAATGGCGAAATATCTTTCGAAAATTTGTTTAACTTTCGGATTGAGTGCGAATGATACACATCCCAGTTTAAAGTCTTAAGATATGAAGCGCTTCATTTGAAATTTGGCAGCGTAACTGAGTAAGACATTGCAAAGGCACCCCATCTTCTCAGTAGGAATATTCGCGTTTGCTCGCTAAAATTGAGGCCGTGTTTCCCATTACAGCTGTTTTCCGTTCATTCTAAACCAAAGTAGTGAATTTTTGGCTAGTCGGTAGTCTCCTTGCGTCTCGGAGGGTAATTATAAGGCCGCAGTTGTCAACGCAGAGCTTGCAAATTTGCCTGTTATGAAAAAAGTAGATTTTAATTGCTTGTCACAAGTGACATACATCTCACTATACGTCGATTTGCCGTAGTTTTCGGGCTTTTATTTCTTTATGGAAGTTTCTAGAATTTTAAGTGCAGGTGTACTATCTTCAACTGTTAATTTCTTCGGACACCTAGCGTCACCTGATCGAGAAGAAGCTTTTTTCTTATTTACTCCTATTTTAATATCGTTATAAGCCCTCGCCAGCGAACAATGAGTTTTGCACTAAACTTCTTTTCAAGGCGGTAAAAAAACAGTAAATTGTTATGCAAGTTTTTGTTGACTTTAAATGGGTTTTCTGAATGTCTTGGCTCGGAGACAACTTGTATTTTAGTTAACAGCTGGTTCTATCACTGTTGTCATGCAGATATAGGGGGACGTCTCGGACGAATTATCGTTTCCTTTGGGACCAAACATGAATAAACCAGCGACAAGTCTGACACCCACGCTTACAATTACCTGCGCGTAAAATACATAGGAACCACTCATTATTTATCAACTGAAGGAGGGAGCGTGGAGTATTTTAGGGGGGTGTCACATGGTTCTTTGGGTGAAAGGAGGGAATCAGTGGTCGTTAAGAGAGTATAAAGGGAGGACTGTAGAGAATTGACCGAGAATGAGGAGGGATCATAATCATATCCCAAAACCTTATGGGGATCATTAGTCCCCAGTATGGCTTGAACAAGCGAATTTAGTAATTAGTTTATCTTATGGCACTCGGATCAAACTTGTTTATTTTGAATTTGCCGGCTTTCGCAAACAAAAATACATGGTTTTTGACCGTTTCCGTGGATACTGTCCGTATAGCAACATCCCAATCAAGTAAGCACCAATCAGAACGCTCAGATTGGGTCTTGGTTCAATGGGTCACTTTTTGCTGGGTTTGTGCCGCTGGCCTCTTGGAACCCTTACCCCGGCCTACCCTGTGGTCAAATTCAGACTCCATCTTGGTCACTTTTGGTAATACGGAAACAGCTATTTAACTACAAATCTTCCCATTTTTAATCCCCACTTACCAGAATTTTCTGATCCCCAAAGCACCGAAAGAAATGCGCGACCCCATCTTCATAACTCTGTTGAAAATGTAATCTCATTAGTAGTCAATCCAGCGACACATTACCATAACTCTGTTGATAAGAAGTACCCCCTCCCCTCCCCCCGAAGGTTAACGTGTACTGTTCAATATCATTTTCAAAGCAATGCAGTTAACATGAGGTACATCCACGCAGTTTAGATGTGTTACTGACTTCCTTTTTGCAGGTTCCGTTCCTTTATCTTGAATCTGATACCTCTCTCGATCATTGGACCGGATTCAGTAGAGAACCTGCAAAAAAATAAAACAATTGTCTTTATTTAAAGGTTAAATTCGATCGGATTGGTTCGCACGTCTTCTTAACTCCGATAGGCTTAAAGTATGACACTTGAGTGGTATATTGAAAAGAAATACTGGTGGCCTTCCAAATAATAACAGGTGGAAAGAAATTCGACAAAAACAAATTTGCCCAACGGAGAAAAAACAACCACTGGCGGAAAGATGGCGGGAAGTACGCACAGGAATTACCAAGAGGATGAAAACTGGCAGACAGAAAAAAGAAACATTGTGGAGCGAAATCGTTACATGTTCAACAACGAACTTATGAGCGATGTGCATTTTCTCGTCGGAAAATGCGATAAGTTGAGAATTCCAGCGCACAAGTACGTAATGGCGATCAGCAGCCCAGTGTTCTACGCCATGTTTTACGGAAGAATGGCCGAACAAGGAGAAGAGATAAAAATCGGCGACTGCGAAGCAGGCAGCTTTTTAGAGCTGCTGCGATATATTTATTACGATGAAGCAAAAATCGATCCTTCGAATGTCTTCGGCATTCTATACTTGGCCAAGAAATACTTCCTCCCATTTTTAGCCGAGAGGTGCGTGGTTTTTCTGGAAGAGAACATCGACCATCAAAATGCCTTCACGTTACTCGCGCAAGCGCGCTATTTCTGCGAGCCTAAACTGGAAGAAAAATGCTGGGAAATTATCGATAGGGAAACAGCTCGAGTTTTGTCGTCCGAGGCGTTTACAGAAATCGATCATGAAACATTGCTAGCGGTGCTAACACGTGATACGTTGACGGTGCTCGAAGCGGATCTGTTTAAAGCAGTAAAACGCTGGGCCGAAGGGGAATGCAATCGTAAAATTCTTCCACCGACGCCAGAAAACAAACGGAGTGTACTGTCCAGCGCTCTGAATTTCATTCGCTTCCCCGTGATGACTCTGAAAGAGTTTTCAGAGGACGCAGCACAATCCGGAATTCTTACCTCTGAAGAAACAATCAATACGTTTCTATACTTTGGTTCCAAAGATGATACCAAAGTAAAGAATTTTCTAACTCACCCTCGTCCTGGAGCGCACCGGGCTTATCGTTGTACGCGGTTCCCCACTTATGGTCAAGATTGGCTTTGCGAAGGAACAAACGTCGATAGTATAAAATTCACTGTCGATCGAGACATCACTGTCCTTGGTGTTGGACTCTACGGAGTAAGTAACAAAGAAGACTGCTCAAGTCCTTTTAGCGTTGATGTAGAGCTTCTGGATTCGCACAATGATGTTATGTGTACGTACGAGGGAACGTTCTTCGCTGATGTTAGCAAACGCGTCCATGATATTCTCTTTGATGAGCCCGTCATCGTAAGAGGTCATTGGCCGTACATCATTAGAGTCTTGCTCAAAGGACCGACCACGTTGGGGGGTACGGACGGGATGAGAGATGTTGTAACTGAGGGGATAAGATTTAGATTTGACGTAGACGAAGCCAGCTTCAATGGGACTACAACAGCTGATGGACAAATTCCAGATATTGTGTTTAAAATTTAAGAAACGAGAGGGAAGACTGTCGCACAACAAGGACTGTAATTCAAAGTTGCAAGATTTTACACCCCTAGGCACAGGTCATTATGAATCGCCTGGGAAGGGGGGGGGTTTGAAGGATTTTGGTAATGTCACGATAAAATTAAATTTACCTGATTCTCCTCTCAATGGTAGTTAATTGGCTGGTAGGTTTCTATAGTCTCCTCTTTATACTCTGTTGGCGACGAATGATTCCACTCTCCGTTCTCCCTGAAAACCATTTGACCCCCCCCCCCTCAAAAAAAACCTTTCATTCCCCTTCCCCCTTCCAGTCGATTAATAATAACTAGTCCTTTACTTTACCTTTAGTTCTACTTTGCAACAATAGGGAAGAGGGGAGGGGAGGGGTCGGAAAGAGGTGAAGAGGGAGTGATTTAAGATAAAAAATTATAAAAAAAAAACTCAGACGAGTTTTTCTTTTATTTCAAACCAAACGCATGTTGTGGCCTCGACGGTTTATGTTTATAAGATTTTCTCAAATGCTCTCTGTGTGCAATGTGACCCCAAAAAAGCGTATTATTAGATTTTTCAAAAATATGGTGCTCGCTGATCGCACTGTAACTTAAAAATATGTAAATAAATTCAATTTTTTTCGTAGGTCATATTGTCCTAATGTTCTCTATCGTCGTCACCATATCTGCCCATACTCTCTGGAAATCCCACAAAAGCAAATCACCGTGAAAGATTTGGGGTTTTTTTATAGTCTCTCCGTACTTTCACTATCAGACTTTCAAGAGTGTACGTTTATTCTAAGTTTTTGTATCACTTTCAAGCTGAAACAAGATCTTACAATACGGATTTATGGCTTTCTATATCTATTTGTAAAGCGTTGCACAGTTCAAGTCAATAGAAAGCCCTGAGCCTTCCTGAACGTTTAGTTTTAAATTTCAATTGTGATGACACTTTCCTCATTTAGAGCCTTTTCGATTGAGTGTCATAAACCCAAAACCAAAGTAATCCCAACGACCAATTAGAAGATGGGAAAATGCATTTTAGAGCCAATGAGAACTAAAAATAAAACCGACCAAACCTCCGAAAGCGCGGGAAAACGACTAAACCGTGATTGGATTTAATGTTGCGTCTGATTGGCTGAAAGAGTAGCGCAAGTTTTCTAGACCAATCACAGAGCAAAGTAAAGGAAAAACGATGCAATCCCAAATTACTTTGGACACTTAATTGAATATTACTTCGAACTGATAATAAGTTGGAGTTAAGCTGTAGCATTTGCACGAGGTGACTTTACGTCCAGTGTATTATCTATCATTTGGAGGGCCGGTTTTTTGCAGAGGGAAGAAAACCAAAAAATTCTGAGGAAAACCCTCGGAGCAAGAACGAAGAAACAAAAAAAAAGTTAACCCGCGTATGACATCAGTATTGTGAAATCGAACTCAGGCTTCAGCGACGGGAGGCAAGCACTTTCATGATCGCGATACTTCTGCTCCACTAATTGTGTTTTAATTTGATTAGTAAATCACCTCTTCTCTGTTCACTGAAGGTTTTTGCCTCGTGAATACGATCAACAAGAAGTAATTCAGACGTAGAATTTGTTTTATCACAGAGCTGTCAAAACTTACAGGTGTTCTTTTCAATGACGACACGCCTGAATTCACCCGGTTGTTCACTCTTTGCTGGCGAGAGTGCCCAAAATAACTTTTTCGCAAAGCAGGGGAGGATTATTGAACTTCCTTTTACCTTTCGTTGCGGAGTTCGATGGCCTTTTGATCCTCTTCGATGTCTAAGTACGTGGATTTGCGGTTATGTTCGTTCGATGGATGGTTTTGGTACTTCTCCTTTTGCCCTTAGCATCGAGCGCGTCGGCTCCGCCGAAATTTGAACATAAAAAGTCCACGATGCTGTCATTTGATTTACGTCGAAAAACCAAACATCACAGACATAGAAATACGACTGCAGTAACTACAACACCTGCACCAACAGCAGACAGCGATCAAGAGGAAATGGAATTTACACTTCGCGTATGTTGTATTATAATTGTTTGTTATTTTTTTTAGTGATTTGCGTGAACATGTAATGCAACGCCCAAACGCGCCTAACACTAATTTTCTACTCTATATCAGCTTTATTTTCGTTTGAAAGCTTTATATTTGACTGGTTTCTTGCAAAGGTATTTCTATCAGCGTTTTTACATTTCTTTTTTTTTTTGTTTGTTTTCCCATAGAGCACCTCCTATGCTTATGTTATCGAGTTGGATCTAGGCACACCCCCTCAACGGGTAATTGTATTTGTTCATCATGAGAATGCAAATAAAATGTGAACTTGCTTAAATCGTTATCGATAGATAATGAGATATGTTGTTTAACAGAGTAACTGGTCACAATAGAAGGGAAAGCTAGCTGCTGAATAACTTAAAGGCGGAAAGACTTTGGTCAGTCGAGGAGCGTACTGGACCCATAAGCGGAGGGGGGGGGGGTTTCAAGCTATGATCACCGCACATTTCACATAACTTTAGCTCTGCAAGTCTATTTTCCAAACGAGCAGTGTTTCCCAGTTTAAACTTTTCTTTCTTCTCGTTGCCTTTCTGTTTAACAATGTACTTAAACGTGATCTTTTTCGCTTTATAAAATTGGAGGGAACATTCTCACGCCTAAATCGAGTTTAATCCACGAATCTGACTTATTTAAACAAAGGCCTAGCTAATTTTCCCATTCTATTACTTTAAAGCTGGAGTTTTTGATTGATACTGGTTCCTCCAACATGGCTATTGCAGGTAAGAGTTTGGCTGAAACATGATGAAAAGGATCTTCGAGAGTTGATCATTTCTTTAGCGAGTGGACGAAGTGAGATACTGTTTAACATTAATCTAAAATACGGCCGCCTCGTGAAGACCGCTGAAAATATTTTCCGTCTTTTAAAGTGCTTACATCAATTCTATTGGTCTGTTTAATCTACTAGCTGCGTATTTTCAGCCTTACGAAGAGGAAACCTTAGTCAAAGAGATTGTGGCTAGGGCAATGTCAAATTCTGAGCAACTCGTACCCACCCCTCCCCTAACCCAACACTAACCCTTACTTGTTATCGATTGACTGTTGCTGTATTAGGGGAGGGGTAGGTGGGCAGTTTTTCAAATACATACATTGATCCGTGTGGCCTTATAGCTGAGATTTTTCAAACAGGTGGTCGCCCAAAGGTGTAGGAGCACGAAACAAAGATGTCACGCCCTGCACTTCACACCTTTGCCCGGAAATTTGAGTGCCTGCGCTTCAGACATTAGTTATAATATGATAAAGGTAAAAAGTTAAAATAAAAAATAATTCAAATTGTGTCTTCTTTGTGTCTCGCTTCTGAAGGCCCAGAATGTCAAGATGAAATGGATCATGAGTGTCAGATAGAGACCTTCTATCATCCAGAAAAGTCCAATACATCGGTAGATCAACATATTCCAGTGAGTGCTTTTCGTATTTCATCTTATAATTGAAATACCTTTCAAAGTAAAATGAAAGAACAGTCAATTTTTATCGCCTGGGAGTGGGCTGAGTTGGGGAGGGGGAAAGTCGAGCATTTTCAAGGGATCACATGACTTTCCGGTGGAACTGAGGGGGAATCAGTAGTCGTCAACATAGTATAAGGAGGGGAATATAGAAAATTATAAGGGGGGGAGAATCATTAAAATATTACAGCGCCTTAGGGTGGGAGTAAGTAAATTTCATCGTGACACAACCAAAATCTACCACCCCCCCCCCTCAGGCGATAGAGGATGACTGGTCTCTTATTCCAAGGGATTTTGTCGAGTGCTTAACAGTCGATAAATGTATGAAAGATCATACAGGTGTGACAAACCTGTAGCTGGTTTCTTTCTGAATTAGGATATTTTTTCTTGTCCTGCAGATCGAAACAGAGTACGGTAAAGGGGCGTGGTCGGGGGATATTTATCTCGATGTTGTGGCCTTCCCAGGTGAAGGTAAGATGAATTTGATGCCTACCAAGTTAAAAACCACAGGGTAAAGGGATTTTTGATATATGTGGTGTGTATTGTGAATCCAGCCGCTACAGAATCTTTCACCTCTCTACTTCTTGGTTGTCGCCTTAACTTGTGAGACAAAAAAGTTCAGCAACGAGGCTTTTCCGCATCAATGATGTTTGGGTTAAAGAAAAACGGGAACAATGTCAGTATCTAAGCACCTATGCACCCACCCCTCCCCTGGCTGACCGGACAACCATCGACTGAAAACAACTCAGGATAAATGTTGGGTTAAGGGAGGGGTAGGTGCGGAGTTGTTCAAACCAATTCTTTTTCTTAGCCACCGTTATTTCCATGTTGTTCTTTACTGTTGTGTAAATCATTTCAGCAGGTCGGGTATGCGTCATACAAGGAGGGAGGGGGGAGAGAGGGTTGAAAAAGGAAATAGACTGGTGACGAGCTTGTAAGATTAGCATGACACAAAATAGGTGTTCAGTGTTTAAGGAGATTCTTTTCCCATTTTTGAATCCTTTAGGTCCGAGGACGACAGCAGAATTTGCGGTCATAAGGCACGAAAAAGACTTCTTCCTCAGTAAGATGGAATTGAAGTAACAGTTTTTAAAATTTGTTTTTTAAAACAATATATTTGCTTACAAAAACTTTAAAAAGTTTATGCGAGCAAATGTGTTTGCTTGCACTTTGTAATAATTTATGCGACGGTCGTTAACCATTTTAATTCTCGAAGTGACTAGCAACCAATTTTTCCTTACAGTATCATCACTAAGTGTGAACTTTTTTATGACTGTAAACGGTTAAATTTGTCAAGTTTTACACTTAACAGTCAACCTGACCCATTGAGACCCTCTAAAATGTTCTTAAATCACGACGAAAAACTGCAGGTCAACAGGCATTTCGATCTCGATAAATTCTCTTGGTATTCCGCTGACACTGAAACAGACGATATTGTGGAGATTTCAAAACTTACCACCAATTCGACTTACTTCGTTTTTCACCTCATCAATGCAGGAAATTCCATAAATGAGGGGATTCTTGGCCTGGCGTATAAAACCCTGGCGACTGATGATGTACAGGTACTTATTAGTTTTCACCATTGCAAATATTTGTTTTTCAAAAAAATTCTGCTTTAGAGCTTTTGCTTGCAAGCAAAAGCTCTAAAGCAGGAATTGGCAATCAATTTTTATATGTCCTCTTCATACTCTGTTGGTGAACACCGATCCCCCTCCGTTTCCGCTGGAAACCATGAGATCCCCCCCCCCTCCCCCTTACCGTTTCAGGCGATAAATAATAATGACTATTCCAAACTAAGACAAAAGTTTTCTTTCACATTTTTCTCGTAGCCATTGTACGATCAGCTCGTCCAGGATAACAAAGTTCCAAATGTATTCACTCTAGGGCTGTGTAATGGAATGGTGAGCGAATTTGATCTCTATATTTTATCTGTAATTTTTTGAGTAGGTTAATCTACATAGCTTGGTTAGATTAGTCGTAATCGTTTCCGAAGGCGTCCAAATATTACCGATTGGTTCCGATGAGTTACAAAACAACCTCGTCCTTAGTTTTCTCCCGATATATTTCAGAGGTTTTGAGGAAAATGGAATTATTTGTTCCTCCCTCTTTCTTGATCTGAGTTGATTTGATTTTATGTCTGTTTTTCAAATATATGCTTCTTTGACATTGATTGACCGTAAATATGAGCTGGTGTAGCGTGAACAGTTTCGTTTCGCATGTGTGAGTGTTCATGTCAAGAGGTATCTCTAAAAAATGAACATTTCATTTTTCCAAAGGGTAAACTCTGGCTGGACGCTCCAGAACCGTCGGCGTATCGCGGGCCTATTCACTACACGAGCATTAATCAAGAGACCTGGTACAGCGTTTCCATGACAGGCATTGTAAGTGAGTCTATCGTTATGTATAACAACCTGATGAATGTGAAGTCAGAAGAAACCGATTGTTTAAAAAGACCATACGTATCATTTTTTACTTGTTATCCTTGTACTGGACATGGTTTTCCTAGGTAATTAAGTGTTATCAACAGAGTTGACAACGTAAATTAACGATCGCAAAGAGTTTAAAGGCTGACGTTTCAGCGTTAGCCTCTGACAAAGGGCTAACGCTCGAAACGTCAGCCTTTAAACTCTTTACGTGGCCAACTGACGTTATCAACTCAGTTGATAATACTAAATTACCCTGTTACACTCTCCCGCCAACGCAGTACCACAGTTTCCCTTGAAACTTACCCCCTCTATGGCTTTCCTAGCTCGAGTCTACCTAACTCGAACGTACGAACGCACAAGTAAGCCTGCATTAGAGCGCTTTTTAATTGTATTGAGAGTCGAAAAACCAAAAACAAATTAATTCCAGCGACCGGTCAGAGTCAAGGTTTATATTATCATTAGCCAATGAGAACTCAAATTAAAAACAAGCAAACTGCCTGAAGCGCGGGAAAAACGCGAGCGACCAAGTGGTAAGTGGTTTAAGTTTTGCTTTTGATTGGTTGAGCGAGTGAATCCATCATAGAGCAAAGGAATAAAACAAAAGCAATCCCGGGTTACTTTCTATGTTACTAAGTAACGTATAACGCTTCTTCATTGTTTCTTTCTGTTCCCGTGTCATTCCTGAACTATGATATTTTGGAGAACTAGTTAGGTTTTCTCAATGATGACAGGAAGACGCATGACCAGAAATACTACGATTTCCGGTTGAGTGAAACGCGACAGAAGTTTGGCGACCACGTTTTGATGTTAAAATCTTGTTGTTGTCAGGAGCAACCGGCTCTGTTTCCAATGGCAACGTTTCGTTTGACCGCTTTTAGCAAGCTTTCACGTTCGACGGTTGGGGACGGACGATTTTTGAGATTCGGTCACTACTGGAAATAAGGAAGATCGCCTTTAGACAAAACCGTAATTTTTACCATCAAAGCCCCGTTACCAAACTTACCCGCGCCTCACTCAACTGATAATCGTAGTACCATTGCTAATTTTATTATGAACTCTTAAACGCGAACAACAAGAAAGTGCAGGTCTTGCTGCCCTTACCCACTTGGCCGCAGAACCAGACAGCTGATTTGTACGGCTCTTATATTCATCTTTCAGGATGTTGCTGGCAATAGTTTAGGTTTTTTACCTCCTAGTTTCTCAGCCGCCATTGTTGACAGTGGTAAGTACTTCCATGGTGCACATGCACATTTTGTTTTCAGTGAAAGATTTCCCCTTTAATTAACACTTTTGGGAGCACTGCGGAGGTGTTCGCGGGCTCGCTCACTCGTTGCTTGATGTGGGCGCATGCTACTGATTCTGCTCAATTAACAAAGAACATTTTCCTTTTTAAGGCACAACGGATATTTTATTACAACCTGAGATTTACGCAGCAGTTATAGCACAACTGAAGGAGGTAAGAAATTATTTTTTTTATTTTTTCGAGACAATTTTCTTACTAAATGATCCTCTGGACGATCACAACTTGCAAAAAGGGGTCAGTCCCGCATATAGAGATCTGGTATCCAGTCCACTCAATCTACAACCTTTTCATTTTAGAAGTTTCTTCAAAATGGCAGCACTTAACAAAGACTGATTAGGGTTCTGGGTGTAAAGGTCCAGTTGGAACCTTAGCCGAGTTCATTACGCGTTTTGTTCCTGGAAAGACACTTTATTTAAAGAGTGCGTCTCTCTTACCAGGAGTCTAAATGAGTATCTCTCCCTTCTCCCCCCCCCCCCCCCCCAAAAAAGAGTCATGGAAAGCTATTAAATTGTTGGACAAATACCCTACCATGTTGCGGTTTTCCCTCGACTGAGAGGAGGAAAGGGGTTAGTGCACGTGATCGTTGAATCGCATCTTTCGATGCAAAGTAAGCTCCGAAAATAACGTATTCCTTAGCGAAACTGTATATCCTAATTGTTAATGTGTTTCTGCCCTTCTTTTTTCCTTTGTCTTGCCAGCGTGGTCCTCCTGTTGATGAACGCTTCTGGAAGAGTTACTGTGTTGACACAGATCCCTACCAGTGGCCTTACATTACTATTTACCTAAAAGATATGAGTAAGTAAAGAATACTTCTTCCCTGTACTAGATTTGCCTTTTCTTAAAATAAGGCAGCTTCATGTCAGCTTTTCCCTCGCTCTATTTCATAATTTATAGGATTATAAGTCGTTTAGTCGAACTAGAGATTACAAATTGCTTGCAGAGCACCTTCTTAAGATAACGAAATTTTCTGGCGTTCCTGCTTCTTCTTAAACATAGTGCTTAAGCTGACTTAATCCGGCATTTTCTCTGCTCTTAGAGCGTGTTGCAAAAAAATTCCTGCCTGGATTCGATGGTAACTTTAAGCTTGTAATTAATTATCAATGTGGTTTTTCTAGTCGTCTTACTATTTTCGAAGTTAACCTTGTTATCATTTTTTGTAGTTGGAGGCTCATTCGGACTGACCGTTCTTGGAAAGCATTATGTCAGAAAACAGGAGTAAGTCATTGTGTAATGTCATTAACAAATTATGAATACTTAGAATTCTTATAACAGTTACAAATTTTTTTGAATCGCTGTTTCAGTTTCAAAATGCGTAAAATGGGAAAAGATGTTGGGGATTACAACGAGTACGAAAATGTTTTGCTAATCTTCTCGTAAAATTGCAGTGTTTTTCCCATTCCCGCATGCGCTTCAGACATTCATGTTTGAGAGGGAGATTTTGTGAGTCCGACGCCATTGACGGCTATAGAGTCGTGTGTGTAGCTTAATGCATGTATGTCTACTGATTTTTGAATATATTGGACTTACAACTGAGCACCAGATGTTGTCCGAAATTGCGTTCATTTCATTTTGCATTGTGACACTCTATGATTGGTCTGGAAAACTTGCGCCACTTTCGCAACCAATCAGATACAAAATTAAAACCAACTGCAGGTCACTCGCGTTTCTCGCGTTTTACTCTTACTGCGTGTTGACTCCGAGCTCTCATTGGCTCTCTGCGGTTTTTTACTTGTTTTGATTGGCTGTTGAATACCAGGATGTAATTCCTTTTTTTTTCCTGTTTACATCTCTCCTCAGCGAGTTTCATTGCCTTAGTATTGGTGCCAAACCCTCAGGGGCTGTGTTGGGTGAAGTTGTCATGGAGGGGAACGTAGTAGTGTTTGATCGAGCCAATCAGAGGATTGGATTTGCACCAAGTAACATGTCCCATCCTGACGTTGGACAATGTGGTAAGAGAGGGCCTGGTAAAGGTTTTTATTGGTATGGGAGTGTAATACTAGTTGGTTGCTCGAGACTTTTACAACCAGCAGCAAGTTAATTGAGACATTTCAGGCTTTTCTTTCCTTTCCTGAAGTGGTGTTCTTCCTCATTTTCACCCCCTCCTTACATATTCTTGAGAAAATTTGTCTCATATTTAGGTAGCGTAAGATTTCTGCAGGGTGCCTCTGACCACAAGAAGATATGATAGAAAATTTCAAACAAAACCTATAGATTTAAAGGGTCTCCAAAAGGTTTTCTTGTTGTTATTTATTCAGATAAGACCTTCAATGAAATGTGTTCAAGACACGATGCCACTTGCATTTCACTTGCACTTCACTTGCATTTCACCTAATCAGTTCATTCTTCCTTCTCAATTAGGAATTCGGTAACTTACTCTATACTCACACTCTGATATTAAAGCATAATTTGCAAATTAATACCAAACATCAATTTTTTTTCCAGGGAATCCTATTCGTGTAAACAATACTGTCAAAGGTAGGATCACTGTAACAAAATTGAGTGAAATTTAACGTTTAAAAGAAGCTCTTCGACGCGATCACCAGGGTATAAGTAGCATCATCATAACGGCAGAAGTACCTACCCCTCACAGTTGACTGTTGTTGAGTATAGGGGAGGGGTAGGTGCGCAGTTACCCAGATACTCATATTAGTCCGAATTATATGCAATTTCTGTAAGAATTTTCACGTCCCGTCGTCGTTTTAGTTGTCCATGGGTTGGCGGGCTACTTTAGAAATCTACCATTTTAGTCACCAGTGCCTTTCGGTTGTTGCAGGTTGATTTGGGGGTTGTTCGTGGCAGCTGATTTTTGTCTGCAGGTTCTCCAGGTTGGGGTGTTCGGGCTTCAAATTACTCCACCCAGTTTTGGTAGCCATTTTACCCTTGTAACTTATCTGTTTTTAGATGAACTCTACATTCACATTTTTTTCTGCTTCTAGGGCGTCTACACAAGTATTGCCGTGCTCCCAACATGCCCCAGGAGACGTGTTTTATGGGTTGCAAGCCTTGTATCGAATATGGTGGCGTGTGGTGCCCTAAGGGTCACGTGGTTGTCTGGATTAATGGAGTCAGGTAGACCATCAAATTTTCGTTGTCATTATCTATCACGGGGGGGGTGAGGCGGAGGGTTTTGTGTGGGGGGGAGGGGTCACGGGGAGGATCTGCTGTTGCCAACAGGGTGTAAAGGGGGAACCATAGAACACTGACTGCCAATTAAATTCCAATGGGGGGGAGGGGGAATCACAGGAATTTTAAATAGCCTTAGGGGGGAATCAAGTAAATTTTATCGTGACTAATCCAAAATCGTCCAGCCCTCCGAGAGGATAAATAACGACCAGTCCCTTAGTTGTAATTCAACGGCCTGTCAGAACCCTAATTCTGATTGACAGTTATCAAATCGAAAATATCTTTTTTAACTTTTTTTCAATCGCAGATCTGTTCTCAGCACCAAAAAGGGCTTCTGCTGGCCAGGTAAGCTCTGGTGCGTGGAAGAGGTTAAATAATCGGAATCCTTCTGAGCATAGCCTTTTTTTCCACGAAGTGCCGTCTTGGTTTTTCTGAGATGTTTACAATTAAACTTTTGTAAAATTGTTCTCTGCAATATAACAACTTATTTCATACTCAACAGGAGGCCTTTTCACCTTAGATGATACGAAAGTTCAAACCTTTCTTACGGGACATGGCAGCGCCGAATTCCAGGCATATTGCGAATCGTTTGTTCCGATGTATAAACAGTGTTCAGGTGAGCAAACCAAATCAAAGGTACTAGTAGCCTAACTATCAGTCCTTCCAACGGAAGGGAGAGTGGGGCTGAGCGAAAGTTAGCCCTAACCCCTCCCCCCTTGGAAAGCCTGGTACTTATGATCAGGCTATGGAATCACGTGCATAAGAGGTTGTTACTACTGAAAAGAAAGCATCAGTTCTTGCGCCAACAACGTCAATAAACAGTTCATATGAAAGAACAGCTCAGTATTTCATGAGAATTGATAAAATGGTTGGTTACATTTTAACCGATTTTAGGATTGCACGCACAGACTTAGAACCAGCAAATTACATAGTACAATATCAACGTACTGCCTAATAGCTTTGTCAAAAAATAAGGCTGTTCTACATGACAATCGGTACTGCATTAAACTGCCGCTCTTTAGCGCTCACCGTAAGGATGACCGACTCTCCTTTTAACAGGACTCAAAAGCGCCAATTCAAAATCCCATTCACTATTTCTCATTTGAAGAGTTACATGCTTCCAGTGAATAGGGTTTCTTCAGACCTTACAGTTGACACCATAATGAGCGTTAAAGCAAAAAATTTAAAACACCATTAAACAATGTTTTTATATCAAGGTTACAAAGAAGGGTTGTATTCTGTTATTAAGTCTTAAAACAGAGAACCATCTAAGCTCAATGAACAGTAAGCATAATTGTTCTTCATGGTAACAGGTAACGTTGCCTCCTTACACGGTCGCCCCAATTCCGTGTCCCCCTTCCCTCAAGTATGTTTGAGAGCCCCCAACTTTCCAACGTATTTTGTCAGAGGTTGGTGGCTACCCTTCTTCAAGCTGGGGGCGATGCAATCACACTTCGGGGTGACGGAACTTCAATTAGGGCGAAGAAATTTGAGGCGACCGTGAAAGGGCGTAGTCACTTACATTTGTCTTTATTTTACTGATCGTACTCATGGTTACATAAACAGTAACTAATGACTGGGATCTTTGTTTAATTGCCTCATTTTGTTTCTATTTCAGTGGAGGGTATTTGGGTTTTGCTGATGAGTGGCACGGTTTTTTTCATCCTTTGTTCACTGTTCTTGTTCGTGAGCTGTCGAGGAAGCATTAGAGCTAAATCGATCAACAATCGTCAGAATCCAGGAAATGACAGCAAATCTCCAACACATCACAAAGAAAGATTTCCATCCAACAGATGACATCAACTCCTAACATTCGCTACAACGAATGCAAACGTGTCTATCTGAGTGAACGTTTGGAAAGAGCGGTGAAGTTCAGCTGATTAACATCACCGTTTATCAAGAATTCCGAGCTCAACATGATTGATTTAATTTTTTGAAGTAAAAAAATTGCGTCCTAAGGGTTTTTTTCCCTTAGTTAGCTTTTATACTAAATTTCATATTAATATCTGAGCATGCGCAACTGTGCACCTTTCCCTCTCAGATAACCTGAACTTGTTGTCAGTTAACTGTCGTTTGGTTAGGGAGGGGAAGGTGCGGAGCTGCTCGTATATTACCATTGATCCTATTCCTTAATATTGAAAATTTATTGAGGACCTTTTGGATTTAAACAAAAACTGGTTAATCAAATTACCTTTAATATTTACTAGATTATTTCCATTTCACCAATACCATGCCTGCAAGCAGGAGTGCTTTTATATTTTCTGGTCAAGCGTGCAATGAGTTTTAACGAAAGTCGTTTCTTTCAAGGTTCCAAGTGATTTGTGAAAGGAGATGTCTAGATATTTTTCAAATTCAAAAGTTTACAGCATTTTGGGTTATTTTTTCTCTAAATATTCAGTATCATTGTACATAATATTGTTATTATTGTTTTTTAATTGAATTTATCTACTCAACAACTCTTGATTGACGACCAAATACAATTTATTTGTCAGCCTGTCTGTCTGCCTGTGTGTCTATCTGCCTGTCTATCCGTCTGACAGCCTGTCGGTCGGTTGGTCTGTCTGTCTGTCTGTCAAACTGTTTCTGCATTTTTTCGTCTGTATGACCGTTGGAACTCCTCTTGAAAGTAGTGGTACCCTTACAAATGCAAAGGCTGGAGTACAAATAGGAAAGCTTGAACGTGAATGTTAAGTTCTCTGCTCTCTTGATATTTTCTTCAGGCCACGAAAATAACAAAGGTCCTGCTATCTAAAAAACAAATTCATTGTATTCTCGTAGACAGTTTCAGCGAGTGACTGAACATCTTCACCTCGGCTTCCCGCCACAACCTCTAACACTTGTCTAAAAAAAACAGAGACAAGGAGAAAACAGCATCGGCCTTCGATAAAGCAAGAACACAACGACGACATTTTAAATCAAAATGAAAGAAAATTTGGGAAAAGAACGCTTCTTGATTGTAGAGGCAAATGGGAAAATTTCGTAGAAGTTTTTGATAAAGCTCAAAACGAAATGTCAAATTAGCAGGATGCCCATGTTTAAATAAGCGTTGTGTTTGAATAGCCTCGAGTTTTTCTTTGCCCTACCTCGATTTCCTTTTCCAGATTGTTACGTTTCAATCTTTTGGCATATTTCACGTGACATTTTTTCCGAGTTTCCTGTGAAAGTTTTGCGCGGGAAATTAGCGGTCGGCTCTTTTGATTCACTTGCGCATGCTCCTGTGTTGTATCTGTGTTGTTGGCTTAAGGTGTCTGATGGGATACTCACACAATGTTCGCGGGCTCATTACGTCCTTTCACGCACTGTCCTGCCTGCCATTTCTCCTTTTTCCTGCTCTCAAACTTTGTTTTAACGTGTTTAAAGCCAGCATGTGTGGGACGGATATCACACCAAGGCGCATCTAAACAGTGTATAAGAGGGAAGTGTTATTTACGTTCAATTATGGAACGCATTCACGGAAGGAAATTAACCGTTTCTGACAAAATACCTCTTCTCATGGGACTCCTTCGTTTAAAGGGCCTTGGGACCGAATCGTAAGAAGTGCCCTATTACCATTTGTATCTGTAATCTCCCTTGGAAGGACACCTCTACTGAGGCATTTGTTTTAAAATTGGGATCAATGTCAGTATCTGAGCAACTACGCACCTTCCCCTCCCCAACCCAACATTAGTCCTAACTTGTTATCAGTTGACTGTTGATTGTTTAGGGGAGGGGTAGGTGCGTAGTTGCTCGGATCCTGACATTGATCAGTAAATCTTGTTCTAACCTGTTTCAAGAAGTAATCTTTCTGAAGGAATTGACTTCATGACTTCGATATTTTCGTCTGTCTTTAACGAGCTACAGAAAGAAAAAGAAAATAGTGATTTCAAGACAAAAAATTAGGTCATCTTCGCTCGTGCTGAGAAATATAGGGTATTGGATCTCACACCCTGGTGATGATTTAAAGACAAAGGCTTAAGAAATAATCACCCAAACGTAAATCTAACTCTTAAAATTAATTAAATTTTAAATGTTACCGACAATTCTGCCGGGAAAACGTACCAACCCGTGATACCGATATATAATCCCTGGTCCAGATAATCAGATGCTTCTTCCTTGGTTCCAGTAAAGCAGTGAGCCTGAAAAAGAAATTTAACGTACGTCTCAATAGTTCGTTCTACGAAAGTATAAGTGAAATTTTGGCTGTAAAACTGTTCGAGTTAAGCGTATTCCATGAGTACTACGACAAACAACTCACAACGAATTCTAAAACCATTAACGCCTTAAATCCCAAGATCTAATTGATAATTCTCCACACTACCTAACACACATTTCCTTGTAAACTAGTTACGAGAATTTGGTGTTAAACCATGGTAACTTTACCTGAAAATTTTGAATGTTCTCATTACCTGCTTTCTGGATAATGTACGGATATTATAGGGAGAAGTTACAAATTAATCATTCTGGGAGTTAAGGGGTTAACAGAAGTTTGCATCAATATAGGAGACTGACAAGCTCGTACTTAATCCGGTTTCTCCCGAGGGATGGGACGCTATTTTAAAGCAGGTATCCCCCCTCTTCCATCCCCGCCCCCCTCCACAACAATCCTATTTTTTCACAAAGCTTCCCTGACAATTCACTTGTACCCAGTTATACTCCTTGGGGGCGAGGGGTGTGGTAATTATTTATCACTTGGGGTGGATGGAGGATTTTGAGGGGTATCACATGGTTTTCAGGGGTACGGTGTGGGATCAGTCGTCGCTAGAGGATAAAAGGGGGTCTATAGAAAATCAACATCCAATGAGGGGGGATCGCAAGAATTTTACAGGGCCTTAAGAGGGGATCTAGTAAATTATATTGTGACGCAACCAAAATCATCCAGCTCCAGTGCCCCTTCCCTCCCACCCCCGTGATAAATAATGACCGGTCCCGAAGAGTAAAACGACCAGACCAAGAACCAATAACGTCTCGATCCAGACCTTTCGATCTAGACCCCAGGTCACCTCGTTCGTACGTGTGAATTTGTGATGTAAGCGCAATCACCATTGACAAAACTACGCAGCTACGCCTTCCACTGGAGAACGAGTTTACGGAGATTTTTGAGATATGAATTGAAATTTTCAGAAAACTAATTAAATAACTCCACGCCCGTTTTGCTGGCAAAATCAACTCGTACTTTAAAGATAGAATTGATTTAAGAATCTGATGTCTGGGACTCACCACACCACCCACAAATCTATCTCTATTTCGTCTGATGATTTCTGCAAGAAATGTTGTAGAACACTGTTAAACAAATGATTATCAAAAGTTTTACCAGTGATTTCGTTGACGCGTGTTGATTTTGTAAGCGACAAAACTCCACTGTATATTATTGTACTCTTCCAGCACGTTATCTGAGAAAGACGTTCAGTCCCAGTCAATGGAAAAGGCGAAGGAAAACAAAAATCTTCGAGGTATTTTACACCAGAAAAGATTGGAAAAATCTTGCAAAGAAAAAAAAACATAAAAATTGCGTTTCATTGTTTCTACGTCAAAAAGATTCTAATACGTTCTATGTTAATATTTTCCTGGTTTAAAGTTTTAAATTTAATGATGGACATTGATCCCAACATTTCAATGTAGTTGACTCGGAAGAAGCAAGATGGCAGCTAAAGAGACACTTCATTATAGATTGACAGGTCGAAGGCTACAGCTTCGAGTCTCAAAGAAATTTATCGACATGCTCAAAGTGTTTGTAGAGAATAAAGGGGTTAGGTTTCTAAAGAAACTGTGGTGCTGCGTCGGTGGGAGAGTATAACAAGGTAATAAAGTACTATCAACTGAGTTGATATTGTGAATTGGCTGCCGTAAAGAGTTTCAAAGCTGACGTTTCCAGCGTTAGCCCTTCTCAATTGCTCGAAACGTCAGCTTTTAAACTCTTTACGGTGGGCCAATTTACGTTATCAACTCAGTTAAAAATACTAAATTATCCTGTTTGTGAGAAAGTGATCTTTCCACACGCACAAGACAAAAACTGATCTGCCTACCAATGAAATCTTGATGTGCACTTCTTGAATGTAGAAACATAGGTAGCTTGGTTTCTTCAGCTAAGTGAAACTGTTTCTCAAAATATCTGTAAAGAATAACCAAAATCTAACATGAGCGGTGTTTTCATACATTAAACCTTGTTTCTTGGTGAATTTACAATACGTCATTACGTGAACGGAACCTGTCCTGGCTTTCAAACAGTCCGCAAAACATGAGCGTATCATGACCAGCAGCATAACAAAGTTTTTTTCGATTTTGTGCCGCAAAACCAAAACTAAAGTAAGGAGAAAAGAAAATACATCGAATATCCAATGGAAACGTAAAATAAAAACGAGCGAACCACCTAAAGCGCGGGAAAACGCGCCAACCAAGTAGTCATTGCTGTTTATAAAATAATTCAAATAGTCCGCGCGCTCTGATTGGCCATAAAACCATTTTACATGAGCGTATGTAAACACGGTTTTCGTTCCTCTTTCATTAGTTATTTTATAAAAGAAATGTAAAATAGTTTCCTTGTTTACATAGCCTGATGTAAACACGCGGGAGGTTGGGAGAACACGAGATAAGCGTAGGAAACCTCGACGCGAAGCGGAGTGGTTTCCTGCTTATCTTGCCCGAATTTTCTGGACCAATCACAGAGCTGATTTGACACTTTTGACACTCAATTGGAAACTGCACAGATCCGAATGGCCAATCAGAACATAGTAAAATATTACAAGGATTCGATGAGAACTCAAGCTAAAATTAAGCAAACCGCATAAGCGCAATAAATAGCACGTGTACAAGTCGTACTTGACTTAAGCTTTTAATCTGATTGATTGGTCGGGAATATGGTGTGAGATTTCTAAAGCAACCAAAGAGCGCATTTAAATGCAATGACATATTACAGACTCCTTCATATCTAATATCCACACCAAATCTTAGATCATTACTTTACTTACTTTAACTGAACTTCTTTTGGACAAAAATGGATCCTGTCATAATCTGGAAAATCAACAAAAGTTGCTCTTTGTTATTTCAACATTCTAAGACGAGTTGAACTGGCACATTATGAATCTCCTAAATACTGACATTCTTTGGTTGACTGCTTTAACCCTATACAGCCTACCATCAAAATGCATATTCTCCTTTCTGTTCTCTATATATTTCCTAGGGTGCTAAGAAAGAGAATTTGTATAACAATCAAGAGCTTCTTTTGGTGGTGATCATTTCCTTTATTCTCGTGACCATTATGTGTGACTAAGGGGTGATATTGTAAGGAGAAATGATATGCTCGTCAGGGGTTAAAGGGTTAACCTTAAGGTTAAAAGTAACCAGAAAGTCCTAAACCCCATGGCCTTGAAGAAATCCCTATTTTGAACTCCCAAACAAACTCACTTTTTACATCTTTCTGAAACTGGTTAGCTTCCATTAAGACACTTCTGCTTAAGGGAATCTTCCTACAGAAGTTTTAGATCAATTATCACCCCTTAAGCTGAGTTGTGTGAACCATTCTATGGCTGTCTGAATCTTTGACTGTCCTTCAGCACCTGCCATCTGTTTGTCTCTTGGATCGTGTGTCTACTTTGGTCAGTTTGTATTCATTTTTCAAAATGTCTCACTGCCAATTTGCCCAACTGCTTCTGTCTTTGAATGTCTGCTCGTCTTTCCGTCACTATCGGAAGCTAATTTGGTTTTATAACTTAAGTTCATAACCATAAAGGGTTCTAAAGAAGACATTTTAAGGGTTAGCCCTTCATCTGTCTGTCTGTTTGACTTTGACTGTCTTTAAACCTATCAGTTTCTCATCAGGTGATGTTCTGCCTATATGTTGGTCTCTAAGGGTGACCACTAACAACTTCTATTTCCAAACCTCTCTCAGCACAACTCCCCGCATTTACGTTGAACTGAACATATAACAGAGTTTTTAGCTACACGTAACAAGAAATATACTTGCCCAGGCCACATTCCCCAACAGCAACAACTTTTCCTTTATTTTCCTGTGCTACTGCAATCAACTGCTGCAGGTAGTCAGTAGGGTCTTGGCCATCCTGATCAAATTCACTGCATCGAGTTGGGTGACACCCAACTGTAGAGTGGAAAAATTCTACAGAAAATGGCAAGAAATCAAATGAAAATAACTGTTCAATGTATGAAACCTAGATTTAATAAAAATCTTCCTTATCCACAAAAACCCATTCCTGTTTTGTGTTCATCTAAGGAGGCTTAACCTTTTAACTCTTTAACTCTCAAGGTCTTGTTGTCATAAACTGTTAATAACATAATACATTGCAAAATGCACCAATCAGAGCTGTTGAAAAACAACTAATCACAGCAGAGCATCATGCTTTATAAGATCACACATGACCAGTCAACCTCATCGCCTGAAGAAGACCAACAGTATGCAGTTGAAATGTCGCGATCTACATCACACGTGACTGCATCGTGAGACAAACGAAAAACTTAGCTTTTATTGTTATTCACCACGATGAATAACCACAACCTTTTCTACAAAATTAAATTAAAAGTTATTCACTTCTGGGGTTTGAGGGACAAACCCTAAGAGTGATCAACAAAAAAATTCTCCTTACAGTAATACTGCTGAATCATAGTTTAAGATCATGAGAATATGGGAAATGATCACTGACCTGAGAAGCTTTGATCATTAAACAAATTCTCCTTGTCATTGCCAAAGAAAATGCATAGAAAAGAGTTTGGAGAATTTGGTTACTGATACTGGGGTGTAAAGGATTAATGGAAAAATAGTTACAAAAGTGCAGAATTGTAGCTCTGATTATTACCCTTTGTTTGTGCAAGCTCCAGTGCATTGTGACTCTCAGATAAATTTCCTGCTGTAATTATCATCTGAAACAGAAAGTAGACAAAGCTAATTCTTAAATAAAATGTTATTTTTTTGATTTTTTGAAATATTTTTGGCAAGACTTCATTTCAGAATATATGTCCTTGAGAGCAGAATGTTTCACTGTCTTGGATATATTTATTTAATTTGTAACATATTTCTTACCTTTTGCACACCAGTATCAGATGCCCTCCTAAGTACCTCTGTAAAATCATCTGCAAAAAAAGCATGGACATCAGTGGGGTGGTAATCTAACAGTAATCTGTATCTAAGACCTTTCCTTTTTACTAAATCCTAAGATCAGTTTTAAATTCTCAAAACTGAGAGCCACGCATTTCCTTAAATTGCAACGAGAAAATTTAGTGTTGCAAGTTTGCATGAAAATGTATTGAAATTGTGGGAAAAAAATCAACGCAAATCACTTCTTTGGGTTGAGGGGTTGATGCATGAGTAAAAACTCTCTCCAAAATACTAGACAAGCATCTTGAATCTATCATATCACCTCCTACAATTTTCTGTAAAAGCCTCCTCACAAAGAATGTCGTAACAAATGATGTATATTAACAGATTCACCGATAATTAACAGACATCAAAAAAATTCTCTTAGACTTGCCTGCATGAGCTTGCTTTCCATGATAAATTCCTTTAAACATTAGATCTAGAAAAATTGTAAGGTACATACTTAGAAAATATTATACTCCTCCTCTCTCACTCTTCCCAAGATCTGATTGTTAATTCTCCTCTCAAGCAGCTACACATTTGCTTGAAAATTTTTTAGGGGAATTTGGTACTAGATCAAGATAACAATTTCTACCCATTAAGATCGAGAATTCTTATTACTTGTTTTATGGATAGTGTATGAGTAAGTTGAGGGAGAAGTTACATGTTTATCACTTCAGGGAGTGAAAGGGTTAAAATCACAGAGATGGATTATCAACTTAAGTTATACGAAACAAGTTAAACTACTTTAAGAAACAATTTCCATTGAAAAATATTTCTCCTCCGAACAAGTTTTGTTCCCCATTGTTCCTTCCCAATCCCCTAGTACAGATATCTTGTGTGCACAACCATAAAATATAGGGGTACCTCATTTCTAATGATCTGAATTTGGTATCTTAACCCTTTAACTTCCAAGATCAGATTGTTAATTCTCCCCTCTAGTTCCAACACATTTCCTACTAAATTGGTTTGGAGAATTTGGTGTTAGATTAAGAAAAATAACTTCTACATGATAAGTTTAAGTATTCTCATTACCTGTTTGCTAGATAGTGTATGGATATTATAGAGAGAAGTTGCCTCTCAATCACTTCTGGGATTTTAAGAGTTAAAATACACTACAATTACCTATTTTGAATATTATTAATACTATTACTATTATCATCTATAACTTTAACTTTCTGTGTGACTTCCAGATCTCCTGTTCCATTTGGGTGACATTCCACATGATGCCAATCCCATTACAACACTTGACTCACTCCCACCCCCTCCCCCAGGGGTTGGGAACAAGGAAAAGGAAACGAACTTCCCTGCAAGCTGAAGGGGAAGGTGGAAGAGGAACGTGAAGTTGAAAGACGAGCAACCCTTTAAATAAACCTGAAAAAACTTGAACACGTACAGCAGTCTTTTCTTAATATGACGGATAATATCCAAATACTCAAAGATATTCACGGCTTTAAAATATCAGCTCAGCGAAGGGGGCAAATCTTACCTGTTAAATTAACTCCGATGTCTTTTAGGGGGAATTGTTAATAAAAATAACATATGATTATATTGAATCGTCATTCTATATCGAAGATCACCTTGTATGCTGTATAAAGAGAAAAACAATTTTCAAGTAAACTCAACAAACCAATGAACCGGAGCGACGCAGCCGCCATCTTGGGAATCATGGATACAGTCTAATTGTGTTACATAACAAAACATTGTCTTGATATTACTGCTGACCGTTACATTGCATAATTCTTATTTCATTTCCATCGAGTAGGTGACAGAGTGAACTGAACCATCACCAAGATCCAAACTTCGATCTTAAAGGTAATTTGAGTCAAGGATTTTTCTTCCGATTCATGAGTGCTCTAATCCTTTCTTAAAGGGTTAAGTTGACGCACATACTGCGCTATGCCAATACAAGAGAAATCTGTGTTTGTTCTCAAGATGGAAGTTCCTGGTTACCTTACATTTCTTAAATTTATGTTCTTAGCTTAGTTTCAGTACGATTTGTTTGATTTTCCAAATATTTTGTTTGTTTGTAACTTAAAGTAAACAGCGTAGACAAGCTTATTGTTTTCTTTCAAAGGATAAGGTTATTATTGATCTTTTTCCTTGTCAAGTCCTTACCGATCAGACGAAAGGGAACTCTGAGTACTCGGAAACAAATTTTAACAAACATTAAGGATAGCTGTTTAGAATTAGCGATGCATATTTTGCGACAATAATTTCGACAAACGCCGTTAGCTACTGTATTTGGTAGATCTTGGTATCAATTGACGCAAGCACTTCATAAAAATACTGAGCTTTGTTCGAATATTGAAATATTCCGAACTTTCTTTTAGTCGCACAACACTAGCTTGTTGACGACATCGGGAATCTACCAGAAATAACCACTCAGCTATGAATCGTGCAGCTCTCACGCTGATTTTTGGGGTTTTACTCTCATGTTTTTACCTCGAATGTGAAGGTTAGTGCAAGAGACATTGATTTTAGGTGGAAAGATTCCGTACGTACACTTTTCTAAAAGCCTTATAATATATGTTATTTCGTAGTTGTCAAAACTTGTGATTGCTCACGTAACATCCTAAATATTTGCGTGCAATTTTTGCTACAGAGATCTATCTACTGTAAGATTGTTTTAAACTTATTTGAAATATAATTCCCGTTGTTTTTCTTTATTCGTTAAAGGAGTTTTCACCAATCATTAGTTAATACAGGTTTGCACTGCAACTCAGGAAGTTTGCGGCAGTTAAATTTTCGAGAAATATTATGCGCAATTATGTATGCATGAACTTTGTTTTGCTTTGTCATTCTTCAAGATCTGTTGTCGTAAGAGCAGCGGCTGTTGTTTGTTTGACACGGCAACGAATATTTTTTTGCGTCAAAAGACTGCGAAATTTTTTCAGTTCTTCAATCGATGTGCAAAGCACCTACGTGCGAAAGTTCTTTCGAAATGTCACGCGATCTTAAAAAGGAAAGATTGATCACCCCGTGCGATGACGTGAAATTCAAAATAAATGTTCTGTTATCTTTTATTTGACTTGTCCTCTTAGCCCTTCAGTATCAAGACTCACGTCACAATTTTCTAAGTTCTCTCTTGGAAACGGACAATACACTTGATTTAATTCGCCATGATCACCATCGGTCCAGAAGAAATCTGGGAGGAGTGCTTACTAATGACTCAAAGGATTGTGAACAGCCAGAAAAAAATTTAAACTGTTCAGGAGTGGAGGTAAGTGTTGTGTCAAGAAGCTATTTGTTTTTTTTCCTTCTTTTCTTGTCATCGTGTTATATTGTTTTTGCAGAAGGGTCACAAATATCGTCATGATCAAACATTAAATATTGCAATATAAGTTTGTTATCTGCAAAATGTTTTGGAAATTTTTGACACAAAAGCTGACAAAGTTTAACTCTTTGGCTCCCAGAAAAGATTAACATGTAACTTCTCCCTGTAATATCCATATATATTATCCAGTAAGAATATCCAGACTTCTCACATTGAAGTTGTGTTGTTGATCTAACACTAAATTCTCGTAACCAATTTAAATATGTAGCAGCTTGAGGAAAGAATCAAAAAGTAGATCTTGCATTTTAGTTTGGTATCTGTTTCAAAACTCCTTCCCTAGTTGGATAAATGGTTTAAAAATCTGGATGAAATGTTTAGAAAGTTAAGGAATAGATCAATACATAAAAATAACAGTGCTTCAACCTGAAAAAAAAAAAGTTTCAGAATGTAGAAAAGAGGTGCCTAAAAGTTAAAGAATCAAGGTCTTTTCAAATCTTTCTCACAGATCTCATGCAATATTGACAACCCTCAGTGGTGGCCAAATATTTTCTATTTATGGAGACTTGTTTTGGAAACACATAAATATTATAATGTACAACCCACATTATTTACATGTTGTAAGTCAAACTCATTATCATACATTACATTACCCAAAAACAAAAGAAAAGAAAATTTGAACCAAGGGTAAAATTGAACCACAACATATACATCAAGCAAAAATTGCCGTTTTTACTCAAAATATGTGACCCTGAAAGGTAAAACAGACAATAATGGAAAACCATTCGAATGTCAAAAATGTACGCATGAAGAATGGTTAACAAATGGTACTTGAAGCATTTGAACAGTTTGCCTAACTGTTCAAATGGATGAATAAATTATTTGAACAGAAATCAAGGTTCCAATGTGTAATGCTGTATTGTCACAATCCATTCTCTTGTATTGATCAAGATATCTAAATCGCTGTTTAGTTGAAGTACCATATTCACTTGTGTATGAGTCAAAACTCATTAGTTGACCCCCCATTTTGAAAGTCAAAAATTCTTTAATCATTTCTAATTAAAGAAGTAAAATTTAATTAGAAATTTCCCAAAAAGTTAATCTCTTCTACATGTACAGTATATTTCTGTAAAGCATGATAAATACAGTTCCTTGTGATACTATTGTTGTTAAAAAATTGGAATGATGATGAAATTTCAAAGCAATCATATCACTATTTTTTGTTTTAGAATCTGATTATACTACAGTGTTATTTATCAATGACAGAAGGGTATTTCTTTCTTTTTTTTTTTCTCTTAGGTGCATCATAAATACTATGTGTCACAAATTATTAATAGTGGAAAAGACTACTGGGTTGATGTCCAAGGTAATCGTAACCATGAGGAACATTATAAACTATCCGACAGCTATCTGTTAAGAAAGGTATTTCTATTTTTATGCATTAAATATTGTTATCAGCACTAACAATAGATGGCAGTGAATGGCTGCTCTTAGGGTCAGTGGTCGATTTAAGACAAGGACAGTTCCCCCCACTTGTACATGTGGAAGTTTGTTTACTTGTTACAACCTAACATCAAAATAATTTATGTATTCTCCGTATACTGTTCTCTGTACATTTCCTAAGGTGCTGATGAGGTGAAATTGTTTATCAATCAAGAACTACTGTAAATGTAGTTGGTGATCATTTCCTTTATTCTCATGACCTTAATGTGAGATTCAGGAGTGATGTTGTAAGGAGAATTTACTTGTAGATGCCAGTTGCTCATAGGTGTCAAAGGGTTAACTCTTTAACTCCCAGAAGTGATGAACATGTAACTTCTCCCAACAATATCCATACATTATCCAGCAAACAGGTAATGGGAATACTCAGACTTATCAGGTTGAATTTGTTATCTTGATCAAACACCAAATTCTCATAACTAATCTATGAGGAAATTTGTAGTAGCTAGAGGGGAGAATTAATGATCAGATCTTGTAACTGCTAGAACATTCAGGGCAGCTTATTTACATGAAGGCTTAAAGTTATCAGGCTGAATTGCACCACAATCACTACTCATACTATTTTGATAATCAGTGCTTTAAACTTGTGAAATATCTTTCATTTTTTGTAGCCCTATCCATTAAATTTCAAGTTCCCCTACTATGGTCACTTGCTGGACTCTGTGGTGCTAACAACTGGAGGTACAATGTTCATGTAACTTATTAAAGAGAGTTTGTGAAATGAAATAGTTTGCTCTATAGTAAGTTGGAAAACTTTGTTTCTCTTTTTTTCTTAACCCTTACACCTCTTGAGTAGCTCTTGCTCTCTTCCTTTTTAATTTTCTGACTTTGTATCTTTTTTCCTTTTTTTTTCATTGGTGGGTCTGCTTTTTATCTCTTACCTTTTCTTTCCCTTTCATTCACTCTTTCCCTCCTCTCAATCCCTTCCTTTTATTCACTTCCTCCCTTCTCATAAACTTCACCCCCTAGAATTGATATTGGCACAAATGCTTCTTTTGATACATGTAGATTTAAAAACCTGTGTTGTCCATTGCATGATATCACTTCTTTTTTATCCTTTTTTGTGCAACAGGGTTCCTGTACATGGATGTCCATGACACAAGGCTAATGACACAAGTTCAGTACCTTGCTCCACTGATGGCGTACTTTAATCCTCATTTAGACAAAAATTCAAAAGTCCTTACATTACATGATGGCAAGTAAAAACTTATGGAACACTTGATGGTAGAAGCATAAAACCTTTCACTTTCAAGATCTCTGTTTGGTTATAGTATTGGTGGCAGATACTACTGATTGTAAATTTTTTCATCCAAGACTTCTTGTGACCCATGGTTGACCAGTAAAGAATTTCTCCTTACAATATTAATATGGTATCAAGAAGACAAGTGAATGAGAATAAGGAAAAAATTAATATTAATAAACTAAGGAGGTTATTTGTTGATCTAATTCCAAATTCTCCCAACTACCATCATAAGAATTGTATTTCAGACAGTAAGGAGAACTACTAATGAGATTTTGGGAGTGAAAAGGTTAAGCTATGGATTCTCATTTTTTCCTTTGGTCTATATTTTGTGTGATTTGCACTTCTCCAAACTACATGTAGATCAGTTGTAAGGTTTCTAAGAAATATTTCCTCTGCATTCTTTTTCGCTGGTGCACACTTTGCATGGCTAAATCTTTTTATAAGTGCAGAATCCTGGAAGGCTTAATGATCCAACATTTGAAGCTTAGTTTGAGTGGAAAAATTAACTTCTACATTTCAAGACTTTTGCCATTGGGAACAAAGAATTTAGCAGACAGAGCCCATTTCCCTTAATGATGAGCTAGTGTTTTTACCTTTTATAAATAAATATGTTTTTCCTGATAAATTGCTCATTTTTATTTTATTTTTTTGTTTTTCAGATTCCAAACTGACAGTGCAGTGGAACCAAGTTCATTTACATAACAACAAATCTGGTAGGTACATGTTCAAGCTTAGAGTAATGATAAAAATCATTATCTTGTATCCTTTTCATTAATTCATGTCAGCCTGTTTGTTGTATCTTGTTAGATTTTCCTTGGATTACCATACTACCGAATTTTTATGAAACATTTTAATATGCAGATTCTCATTATGGGTCTACAAATTTTGACACCATCATGTGCAATTGTATGGATAAGTCAGAATGAAAATTGTCAGTTTAGATTTTCAAAAGCTGGTAACCCCTTCTGATCTGTTATGCAGGCATTTTTTTTTTTTATTATTGATGCATTCAATCATCTTGTTATGGCTTGCTTATATGCTGCTTTATAATACATTCCATTTTTTTTTTCAGCTGGACCATTCACGTTTCAATGCACTCTGCACAAGAATGGCACAATCTGGTTTGCTTACCAAGCGGTAATTGCATTTCATCCTGTGCTTCTCATTACATGAAAATATTGAGATGGTCCCTCTGTAGCCACCCCTATCTTTTCCTTAATTCTTCTGCCCCTGCCACTTTCAGTCCATTCTTTTCATCTCTGTCTCAATCCTTTCACTCTTTTAAAACTGTCAGTATTCAGTCACCCCATCATCTTAGGCTTATCACACTCTGATTTCTCTGTTCCCATACTGTCATTCACCCTCATTCTGCTCCCTCCTGTCCATTTACTAACCACTCTTCCACCCTTCTTCCATGGATCTTCCCCCCATGACTAGTGGTATGAAGTCATTACTCTCCCATCAGTCCTACTCTTTCCGCCAACACCTCCTTACACCACCACTTCCCTTTCATCTAATCTGCAACCCTGCTTCACTGCACGTCCCCCTCTCTACTCTTGTAGACATACATGTAGTTGTACAAGAAAACTCTTAACCTGTGGAGGAGTAGATGACTTTTGATATCAGTAGTAAAACTCTTGTGTCTCTCCATGTCATAGATCCCTGTTAATGTGGCAGAAATTCCACATTTACCATACCACCCTGTCAGAGTCGGCATTGCAGATGCATTTGTGATTGAAGTTAAGAGAGGACAGGTTCGTTACCGATATTTCTACATCTACAGTACAATCAACATCACTATGGAGAGAGTGCAAAAAAATGTGGCAGTCATCATTAAACCTCAACTTAGTAAGTTGTAACTTTAAATAGTATTGGGTGTAGAAAGATTGAAAAGGAGAGTACGTGCAAATTTTGAGCTCTGCTGTTGGTTAAAGGGGAGTGTTAAATAGGCGATACAAATGAAATTACACAGATTAATAATATTAGTAATAATTATATATAATGGTTATAGGACCAAGTGGAGTCCAATTCTGTTGGTAGTCATGCAAGTGGTTAACAAAATCGGATGACTATGAAGCGGGAGTCTGATTTGTTACCTAGCAACATGATTAGACAGAATTGGACGATAAGAAGTCTTGTTACCAATTAATCAAAACTATGACAAAATTTTAGAAAGAAACTAGACATCATTCAGTTATACCTTTTCATTAAAAAAAAAACAACAACAACAACAGTTAACTTGGTGAAATGCAAGACAACAGTGCACGCACATGACGCGTTCTGTCCACTTACACAGGCATGACGTGTTAACTGTGCCTTTCACTGTCCTATTACTCTTTCCAATTACAAGCATGACTCGTACTGTGTCTCATTAGTGCTCAAATTGGGCTGGTGATAGCCAATCACATTTGAGAATTTTGTTATGGTTTTGATCACTATTATTACAGATTGTGTGAGTGCCCAGTCATGTTCTCTCTGCATGAAGAGGACTGAACAGTCTAACTTCACATGTCAATGGTGTCCTGAATTGAACAGGTGGGTAACTTATCACTTCCAAATATACTGTAGATGATGTTTCACCTGAAGAGTTGGAGCTTATTCCTGTATTTGTAGGACCAATCAGATGCATTAAGGAAGGTGTCCAAGTTTGGATGTGTAGGTCAACACAGTAAATCCTGGAATTTGGGACTGTAATCTTTGAAATTTGTCATTTTGGCAAATATTAATGTTACGTTGATGGGCAGAGAATTGATTGCTTGTTTGTAATTATTGTAGATGCTCTGATGGAGTTGATCGTCATCGCGCAGATTGGGATGCAAAGAATTGCCCGAAAAATGCCGTCAAAGAGGTAACTAGATGCATGTACGTGTAGGTTATGTTGCAGTCTGCCAAGGTGCATTTCATGACAGTAAGTTAAGCTTTGCCATGTGGATTGCGTTACAACCAAAACTTGGAGGCCTGAGCACAGGACTAAGAGCTTAGACTGATGATATTCAACACTGAGTGAAAAGTGCCTTAGTGGAGAGAGCAAGGGAAGAAAGAGCGAGCTTTCATTGCTTCTCCGTTGCAACAAGTCATTCTAAGTTAAAGATTTAAGGTGGCAAAAGTAAGATGGTTCTGAAGCCACTCCATAAATTTTGTGAAAACCATGTAGGAAGATAAACTGTTACATGTTGATTAGTTGTTTTTCAACAGCTCTGATTGATGCATTTCAATCCTTGCTGTTTCATTCAGTGATTTGCTCCCTCGGCGGTCTGCTGTCGCACGGCTCACCTGTTGTTATGTTTTTTGATCGTGGGCATCCATGCTTCCGGAATTTCTATTCCACTATCCCTGTTGATGTTGTCAGGGTAAAGTCTTATCTAAATTGCCTCTTTGACCCTGCGCGTGTAGTAATAAGGGTTACGATCAATAAACTTCACTTCGTTCCAGAGTGGCTTGTGTCCGATGTTGTGGGCATGCTCTGAAACGGCGGAGGTCTCGGTACGGGCGAGTCGGATGTCTCGATCGTGCTCCTTAATTCTGTCTTAGATAGGTCTTCCAGTCTCTCCGATGTACATTCAACCTTGCCGCATTCACAGGGAATCCTGTAAACTACGCCGTCTTGTTTAGCCGGGTCGACAGCGTCTTTTGGTCGTACTAACTGAGATCTTAACCTAGTCTCCGACTTAGAAACAGCGCGTACGCCTTGTTGTTGTAGGCAATGGCAAAGCTGTTCGGACAGACCTTTGACATAAGGTAAAACCGCAGTAGCTTTGAAATCGTTGGCGGGTTCGGCACTGTTGTTTGGTTTTCCGGTCTTGGTAAGTTTCCGCAAGAAAGAAAGAAAAGAAAAAAACCAACCAGAGCCGTTGAAAAACAACTAATCACAGCAGAGCATCATGCTTTAGAAGATCACGCATGACCAGTCGACCTCATCGCCTGAAGAAGACTAACAGTATGCAGTTGAAACGTCGCAATCTACATCACACTTGACTACATCGTGAGACAAACGAAAAACTTAGTTTTTATTGTAATTCACCACGATGAATAACCACAACCTATTTTTACTAAGCTCTGTGTTAGACAGTCACCAAGATGTGTGTTCTTGCAGGCTTTGCTGACAAGTTCTTGACCTGTTCGGTCCTGATAATGATCAGTATCCTATTTCTCCTTAGAGTATCATTACTGAATTAAACATCGAAGTCATGAGAATAAGTAAAATGATCACCAACTAAAACTTCTCTTGATTTTCGAACAAATTATCCCTGTCAGTCTCATTGGAATTAAGTGCGTAGAGAGGAGTATAGGGAACATGCATACTTATGTTAAGTTATAAAAGGTTAAAGGAGAGAAGTGTACTAGTTCACTACTTTGGGAACATTTCATTTTTATTCTTTATAAAATTTTTGATTTGATGCTAAAAAATTGTGGTATCCACTGATTGTCTTGCAGTTGACCAAAGAGTGTAAAGCCAACACAGTAGGCAAAACAGGCTTTCATGGGTCAGATGAGAAAAAAGGAATCGGTGCAGGAGCCATCGTGGCCATTTGTTTCGTACTGGTGTTGATAATCGGTGTGGCTGCTTGGTGCATGTATGCATACAGGTATCCCACCTCTAAATCTGGACTCTTCCTCATTGAGGTAAAGATCATCTTTCAATCCTGTTGTTTTCAACAGCATTGGAAACAACATTTGAATTTTTCTCTCCTTTGAGGGTTTCTGTCTATCTACTAATAGATAAAAGCAGGATTTTTGTTCAATTTTACTAAAAAATGCACTAAAATCATTAAATCCATGAACTGTGAACATTAATGGACATAAGTGTGAAGAGAACTGAAACACTTTTGGTCATTTTGGCATAACAAAGATATTTACTCGTTTCATCCTCCACAAAGTGAATTTGGAACAGCTCTCCAGACATGTGACGCACATTTAATTCTACCAGGAGCTGATGTTAACTGTGATTTCCTCCAACTGTAGCTATGCATCTCCTCTTCAAACATGAATTCAGGAGTATGAGTACCAGTTGTTATTTATGCCTTTGGGGGTGGAGGATTTTTTTTTAAATTTGGGGGGGGGGGAAGGGAGGGAGGTCACATGGTTTTTTTTCAGGGGGAAGGGAGGGGAATCAGTTGTTGCCACAGAGTATAAAGAGGGACCACAGAAAATTGACTGCTTATTGATGGCTAGTCAGGGAAGGGGGGGTGGGGATGGGGTCATATGAATGTTACAGAGTAGTGTGAGCAAATTTCATTGTGGCACAACCAAAATCCTCAAACCCCTCCCTCCCATGATAAATAATGACCAGTCCCTAAGTCTTAGCTGAATGAAGAACATCTTGCTCAAAAGTTATTTTTATTTTCATTGCTTTTTGTGGGACAATCTTACATGTTTATCACCACAGGAAGTTAGAGTTAACTTGGATGCAGCCATTGCTTCTGCCCTGACTGAAAATTGACTTATGACCCCTAGATCTCTGAGGATGCCATTTATTGTAAGGTGGACAATTGTCTTATCACATTTCCCATGTTTTTTCACAGGCCAGTCGCCGTCCCAGGGAGCTGTTCAAGAGTAGGTCTGATGGAGGAAACACAAGCCATGCAGCGCCCTCTGATGTAAAGCCTCAAGTGCTGTAGAATAGTAGTGGATATTTCTGCCATTCATAATATGGCAGAAAGAATGATATTTGTCCAATCAATAATGCAAAAGCATAATTTTCCAAATCAGCACACACATGCTTGTTGAATGTATTTTGTAACTATAATGCACTTTTTAGTAAGAAGTTTTGTAGACTTGTGTTTTTCATGCAACAATTTCCCTTAGTCAACGAGAAATTCAAAAGCAAGAGTTTTGGTAGGGAGCTTTTCACGTTTGTGTCAAAATACCTTATCAACTTATCAATTCCATGCAAATAAGGGTTACAAAAGCCAGGAATGAAGTTGCAATTGGTTTAAATGCTACATTTAGGGCATGTTTACATAGAGGTGAGGGAACCCAATTTCTCTCAGGTAACCCACTCATTCATTTAATCTCTTATTTTATCTTGATAAAATTTACATGATAGGTGGAGTGACTTGCCAAGGCAAGTTGTCCAATCTGCTGGGTAGGGTGATCCTGTCAGCAGGGGTCACAATTTGCTGTGTCTCCAGGAGGGGTAACCCTCCTAGCAGGGGTTGCGTTTGTGTTATATTTGCAAGCGCACCAACAACCATGAGAAACTTCACCCAGGGATGCTGGGGTTGTAAGATTGTACGTAAATGTAGGCTATTTTCTGACCATGGCTAAGTGGGTTGCCTCACCTACCTGGGGGGCCCCCACCTCCATGTAAGAGGTTGATTGAGATGACAATACAACTTCTTAACCCTTTAACTCCCAGACCAAATTTGTAATTCTCCTTACTGTCAACCATACAATTCTTATAACGTTAGTTCAAAGAATTTATTATTGGATCAACTAACTATCCCCAAATTGATAGTTTTCTTCACTCTCATTACTTGTCTGGTTGATATTGTATTGGTATTGTAAGGAGAAATTCTGTCTTGGTCACTCCTGGGAGTTAAAGGGCTAAAGCCAATAAATTGTCAGTTTTGCTTGGCACTCAGTTGGTAAGCTTTCTACTCTGGGTTTTCGATAATAACTGAATTGTTTTTCATCAACACAATCAAAGTGATTTACTGCAATATTGTTATGTGGATTGAAAATAATGTTGCCCTGTTCCTTTTTTTCTCCTAATTACAAGCTAATTTTCATTGCTTGTAATATTTTGGTTGTTAACTAATTTTTTTCATGATTTTTTTTTTTCGATTTAATTTGTCCTTTTGATAAAAAAGACCATAAAATCTGCAAAATTGACCAAATTGAGTGGAAGCATATTGTAACGGACTTAGTCCAGGTCAAAGGAACTTTTAATCTGTCCTTGACCCAAAAAAATTGGTTTTTTGAAACACCTATTTAAAGCTATCCTATTATTTAGTACTATTTCAACTTAGTTAAATTTACTGCGAAGTTTCGTCTTTTTTTATCGTATTTAAAAACCGATGTAGGGTTAATTTACGTGAGTGGCATTTTGAATGCATATTTTTTAGTCTATTAAGGTTATTGTGTACACGGTAGAAAATGGTTTTGTGTTATGATAAGTTTTTGAGCTTTTTCTTTAAGACTATTTGAGCTGGAACGTTCATGAAACGTTTAGCGTTTTTTCGCTTGTATATTTCAGTTACCAGTACTCTTTTAGCTTCCCACCTGAAAATGAAATTAAAACAGTCTTGTTGCTTATCTCTGTTGTCGTATAAGATGTACATGACATTCGTGGAACACTGATCCCTAAATACAAGTAAATATCACTGGAATGCTGCCGAAATTAAGTGGGAGGGGAGGGTAGAACATGCTTAGTGCGTGGCTTTGTTCTTACCACATTTTGACGTCATCTGTGATCTATTACTGAACAGACGCACGCCAACTTGGAATCTATTTGTTAAGTTTATACTACACGGATAAATTAAAGTTTCAACTTTACCGCTGACCCTCGTTGTCGAGGCAGGATTACAAAGTGAGTTGAGCGATAACTTTTCATACCTTCAGTGAATTTCGCGCTGAGAAATCTACTGCCTTTCGTAAGGAGCTAAGAGATTTGACGGTTATACTCGTTGCGCTCAGTCAATATGAGAAAGGAGTTGTTATTTGTTTTCAAGATGGGAGTTCTTGGTTACCAAAGATTTCCTACATTCATGATCACTACGATTCGCTTTATTGTCACAATAAAGTTTAATGTTTATCTTTAAGTTTTCGTTTTGGATTTAACTTTAAACGAGTCTCAAAACAGCTAAGTTTTAGTTTTGAATTGTGAAGTTTAAGTTGCTCTTATAGCTTGACTCTTCTGCGGTATCATCAGCAGGTGAAAGAAAACTTGGTTTTCATCACCCAAACAGAATACAGGGGAAACGCAGCGAAATAAAATATTCAGTAAGCAGAATTAAGTTCAGTACGTGTGCTTCAACCGTTTTGCGTTTCAAATAACGCTCCTCTGCAAAGAAACAAAGTGCAATCGCAAAATTTTGCGTAGAATACACAGGAAACTTCGAAGGCGAGTTATGCACGTTCCTCAGTATCAGGTGTTAGCGTATCATTGGGTATAACCAAGTTACAGAGAAGTTTGCGACATTAGTAGTCACACTGAAGGTTGAAGGGCTCTCAATGTAAAGTGAAATTTTCAACTCGGCATTTTCTCTTCTCAATTATGTTTATCAAAAAAAAGCTACTGATGGTTTATTTCGAAATTTTTGACATATTTTCAAATCTGTCTCACGCAGAATGAGCATACTAGTTTTCTTGTGGCTTCCGTGACCTTACGTCCATGACTCCCTTCGTCCACAAGAGGGTAGTGCGCACTGTCTCTAGGCAGTGTAGCTTTTGTTGATAGCTGCTGTCTTGATGGAAAGGCAACTCTTGCTAGATGTTGCCTTTACTGTTATGAAGTATCATTTTGGTTTTTAGGCTCTACCTGACACATTCCCTCATTTAATTTGCAGTGCAAATTAAATGAGGGAAGTTTACCCTTCTGTTATTTAAGCGTATCTGGCACTTTCTGGTTCCACTTACTATTCCCTTTATTTTGCTATGTATTGCTCTTCACATCTCTTTTCTTTTTCTTCCTCAGATGTGTTTGCTCAGGTTCTTATCGAAATCAGGCAACACCGGGAGTCAGCTTCTTGCGGGGTCTGGCGGACAGGTTCAAAATTACGGTCCTTTCTCCAGAGGCGTGCATACAGCAATACCCTTCAGTGGCACCGTGCGTGCCACAAGTGATAACAAGTTCGCGGTCTGTAAGCGTAAAGGAAATAGTTTTCCCGCTGATCATTTTCACGAAGCTCTTTATTTACAGTATCTTGTGAAGCAGTTCCAGTCTCATAGCGCGATTGACTTCATCTTAAACGGCATCAAATGGTACCATGTTATGGTTAATGTCCTATTTCCGACTGACAACCCTGAAGTCGACGCTTTCAGGTGAGAAAATTCTTTGCACTGCTACTGTCAATCATAAGGAACATATTTCCTCAGATTTGATCCGTAGAATTTTTAGCCATTCTTACTAGGATAACCCCGTGGATTTGCAGATACTTTTTTGCTGGCTTTTGTTGTTTTGATGATATTTCTCGAGTAAGAAGGAGTTGCAGAATATTTCAGTGTTTTCCGAGGAGGGGGGGGGCAACGGCCGTCTAAGCGAATTTCGCTCTTTCCGATTTTCCGGAAAAAGTATAAATAAATCTCCAAATGCGCTACTGTCGTCGGATTCTCGATGCTTATGGGCAGAGGCCCATAAGTCATCATGCAGAAAATTTTGACAATTAATTGCTCTCTCTCCTCATACCCAAACGTATTCTTCCCGTACGGTATTGAAAAGCAATTATCCTATTTTTGGGCTTATTGAACATATCCTTCATATATATCATTCATTTACTCATCACCTGTTTGCTGAAGAATGTATGGATATATATCATTCATTTATTGCAGTGTCGATATCATCACCTGTTTGCTGAAGAATGTAAATGGATATTGTGAACAGGAGTTGGTGCCCTGGCACTTTACCCACAAACCACTTGTTTTGTCAATCATTTCAAAATGGCGGACGGTGTTAAAGGGTGTGCCATTTATTGCAGTGTCGATATCTTAAACTTAGCGTATTCCGTAAAGCCAAAACAACAGGAATAAAACTGACCAAACCGGAACCAAAACCAGTAGAGAGCGAGATAAACTAGTTTTTAGTTACTGTAGTCTTAAAGAGTTATAACAGCGCTAACCACGGATGGACGTATTCAGAAACGGATATTTCACATGGGGGTAGGCAACTAAATTTATGCTATGATGCTTTTCATAACAATACAATGTGCGATGTGCTGTCATAAGTCGGAATAAAACCGGTCAGGCTCCATAAATAAACAATGACCTCTATTTTGCGCAAAAATATGTACGGATATCTGTTTGTGTAATAATAATGTAATAATACGTTATTTGTGCCAAACAGTTTCGAGGAACAGGTAATGTCCAAGGACAGATACATAAGCATATTTTCGCACAAAATGGAGGTTCTTGCGTTTATTATCCTTCAAATGTTTCTGCAACTGGTGCGCGGGAAAAAAATGTTGCCGAAAAGCTCACCGTTTCCTGCGCGAGATGTTCACTTTTCAGTGTTCTCTAGTACGACTTTCTAAGTAAAAAAAGAGCGGTTTTTTTTTTCTGTAACAACCGTAACACGCTCTCTCATCTTGAATTAAATCTTAAGAGAAAACTTCCTCCGGGACTTGAGTTATGAAAACTCGGGAATATCACCTGGGGTACAACCTCGCCAGTTTTAGCTGAGCATATTCAGCTTTGGGACCAATCGCGCACGAATAAAATTATTTGATGGATTTTAAGTTTAATTAAAAAGTCTAAATTAGTAAGCTTTAAACTCACAAATGATTTCCGTGGCAAAAGCCCCTATGCAAATAATTAACGTTAAGCTCATGGTGCCCAAGCAAAAGAGATGTGAAATAAATCAATGTATGATTTTTCCCACTGATACGCTTTAAATCGGTGAACGACAAATAATAAGCTTAACAGCTACGAAATATTTATCAAGTGATGCAAGGTGAAAACATTTGTGAAGAAACCAGCGGGCTATTTCGAGTTATCAGCTACCACGAAAAGTAGGCTGAAACCATTTTGGGACTTGCTAAAACACATTTGGTGATAATAAAAAATCTTAATTGATTTTTTTTCAATCACTTTGGGTAAATATTAGGATTTGAGCCGAGCTTAAGGCAAATCCAGTTGATTAGGCGACGAAAAGCCCTCTTGGAATCTGTCCTTTATGGTGCAATTGTGAAAGTGTGTTCTGAGACGTCATGCGTAAGAGGTGCTTAAAGTACTTACTCTTTTAGGTTTAAAGTTCGGTACTTTTTACGGCAGATCATAGTCAAAACAGCAGTGGAAATAAAGAGGTAATCTCAACTTGATATGGTTGACTTACATGTCTTCAAACTCAGATGTGGTGAAATTCTCCTGGGCCGGTTTTAGAAACGTGTACAAACTCATAAACCTATTTCTAATGTTCATTTTAAAGTTTTCGGATCAATATCAGTATCTGGGCAACTGCCCACCTACCCCTCCCCTAACTCAACAACAGTCAATTGACAGTCAATTGACAACAACTCAAGGTTAATGTTGGGTTAGGGGAGGGGTAGGTGGGCAGTTGCCCAGATACTGATATTGATCCAAGATTTCTATGTATCCTGTCATTTTGATTTTAAATTCTTGGTTTTGCTGAACGTTTCATTGAAAGCGGTCAACATTATGAGGAATTGAACATACAAAAAACAGGATAAGGATATTAGAGGCGATTATTTACGTTATCAAATGACTAACTTCCAGGATAATATTCACTGACATTATGACAATATTGAAATATTGCTGATAGCATTTTCGGAAATGTCTGATTGTTTTTCTCGTTATGCATGAAATGATATTACAGGGCATCAAAAGCATTCGATTTTGGTTGGGTTGATATGTCATTAGACTATGTTCTAATTACTGAGTAATTAACATCATTTTAAATATATTTTGAAATGTCAAACGATGTTATGTAATGTTTGTGAAGCAAAATGCGACTATAAGCAATTTGAAATTAGCAGAATTGAATTAAAGAATTCCTTTTGTATTGAAACTATAGTAAAAGTGAAAATTGTACGTTCACTCATGAACTCAGTAGATATTTAAACCACAAACGGTTGAGCGGCACACACATTTGATACAAAAAACTTGAAACTGAATTAGTTAGACAATTCGCTAAGGATTACATAGTTACAAATGAAAGTACGTGAGAAAATGTCAAATGGAAACACATGCACACTGGAGAGGAGCATGTCCATCAAAGCCCCCGAAAAAAAACAGTTCTAATCCAACACACTGATGAAAGAGGTGCGGTTGATCTTCGTTACGTATATATCGACCTCACTCCTTCGGGTTTAATTTAAAAACCGGGGATCTGAAAAGATGGCCAACCAAGAAGGCGACGCAGCATATGTACTACTGGAGGTAAGTTTCATCATCAGTATTATCATTAACAGCATCGCCTGTCCCTTCACAGTTGTGCTCAACGCGCGGGTGATAATGGCCGTGAAAGAGAGACCCCGACTTCGAACCAACAGCAACATTCTGCTGGCCTGTTTAGCCGTGACTGACTTATTCACTGGTCTTCTTGGCCAGCCATCGTTTATCCTCTGGAGGGTATTCCAATTCTTGGGTCTCAAGAGCAGTCGAACAGTGGGAAGTTTCCATTTCGATGCTCTGTCCGTTTTTGTAGTGGCTTCATACGTTCATCTGATGTTGGTTACGTTGGAGAGGCTCATAGCAATCAAATTTACGATGCTTTACTCAAAAATTGTCACTGGTCATAACATGAAGATGGCAGTGTCAGTAGCCTGGATCATTGCCTTCATATGCGGGGTTTTCAGCGTGTTAAAAATGTACCATGTGTTACTTCCCATAGGAGGCCTCATCACTTTTTCATGTATCGTTTTTGTGGCCTTAGCTTATGCGATTTTGTATCATGAAACCCGTCGCCACCAAAGAAAAATAAAGGCACAGCTACTTCCCAAAGAAGAAGTGGAAAGATTTACCAAAGAGAACAAGGCGCTTAAAACGACTGTCTTAGTAATAGTTGCTGTTGTTGTCTGCGTTCTCCCTCTTTGTTTCTGTCAGATCTCGATGTCTACAGGCCTTTATAATTATTGCCCCATTAACGTGTCAGTGCTACAAACATTTGTTATGTTTAACTCACTTCTTAATCCACTAATTTACTGCTGGAGACAAAAAGAAATGCGAAAGTTCATATTTAGAATGCGAACCCAGATTGTGCATCCAGTTATCCAGTGAAAGCGGGAAGGCGGAAAGACAGAAAAACTGGTTAACTATTTATGAACACTTTGCTAGCGCATTTTCCATCCACTTGATGAACGAAATTATGAACGAAACTATGTTTTAAGGAAGATATATTTTAGGCTTATTTACTCCTTACCAAATCTGATTCTTGAAGACAGAAAGGCAAATGTCCTCGACAGGAGTGCAATTTGTTAAGCTTACTTTTCTGCACTTCTGGATATGCACTACATACCAATTTTTCTTCTGTTTTATTTATCTATTTCATTCGACTGAATCACATTAAAGGAAATGTTCATTTCCTACTTAATGGTTTAAAAAAATCAAATCCCTTACAGGGCTGGATTTTTTTTAAGGCTTTATTTTCACTACTGCTCGTGTAGTGTTCATTACTGCGAAGATCGCTTTAATATTCATGTCTTTATTGGCAGTTCAAATATATGACTTTCCTATATCCACAGTCGTTAGTTATTTTTGTTGTTGTCGCTTGACAGGGTGTTCAGAACCTTGCCAATGCACTATTTTGGAGGGTAACATGAATGGCTTTATACCCGTTGATTGTAAAGGAAAACGTGCACTCAGTTCCACCGAACATACCAGAAACTACGTTAAAACTGTAAGTGTTTTAAGTCGCCACACCGAATGTGCTTCCGAAAAAGTGTATTCTCTTGAAGCAATACTTGTAAAGAATAAAAGCACAACTTAAAATTTATAAAAATCTCTGGCTTAAAGTGTCACTTCGTGTTAATATCACTGAGTCGATAACTGTAATGAATGATGAATGAAAAATTGGGGATTGCCAGTTTTGCTACGTGAGTGATCAATTGTTATCGATTTTTAAAGTTCGTTATCGATGGTCGCAAAATTTTAACTAGGTGTGCAAATGCGACACGCAGCTCCAAAGCCGGTGTGTCATCTCACTAGCGTGTGTATGCGTTCACCTTATTCCTTGTTTTCCATGGAGGGTCACATATTGAGAGGATCTAACGTCAGAAGAACTAAGTTTTACGGTAACTTCTTAGAGAACTGTACAGTTTTGGAACACGATATTACAAGAATCTATTTGATTTGAACTTGCGGACGTAATTGCCCTGAATTAGGAGCCATCGCATGTACGAAACTCTTTTTGTTTTTTATTGATCTCTTGTTTTATTTATTTTTTTCCAGTAAGTTAGCAATGTAAGAATTCCCTTTCAAAATAAGGAGAAACGTTTTTAGTATCCAGCGAATCTCGCGTAACCTCGTTAAGCGTTTTTTTTTTCTCTTTTACGACTTATTGGTCATAAGGAATGGTCCATAAATCATTCCCAGATCCGGTTACATGTCGCAAGCTGATGTATGGCAACCGTTTTTTATTAAACAATTGAGAGATATGATTTATTATCAGGCAAACATTGAGTACAATCAAATTTTCCATGGATTACTGATTCTTTGAAGCAATATCTTTTTAGATGATGTCATGAGTTCTGTCAGGGTATCTAGCGTGTAAAAACCATGCTCTTAAAATCCACTAGTGCATAAAGAAAAAGAATGTTCATTGATGGTAAATCATTACCAAAAGACCGACACACAACAAAAAACCGAGTCAGGCTTCATTCACCCCTCCCCTCTTCTGTACCATGATGGAGATTTCACTTTGTTTCATTTGTCTGAGAGTTAAGCATAATATATTCCTTGTTACATCAACAGATTGAAGTCTTGCAATAATTATGACCTATATTTAAAGAGGATAAAAGTCAAAGCCGTCAGTTTCTAAAACAAGAATGGCCTAAAACGACCTAAAATGACCTAAAACGACCTAAAATAAGCTAAAATGAGCTAAATGACCTTTTAGAGTGATTTCTGAACTGTTCTAAAATGACCTTGATATTTTGGCGTCGACAAAATCTGGATCGGAACAGATTGGATCGGATCACGGATCGGATCTGGGACTGGATCACGAATCAGATCACGGATCAGCTCAAGGATCGGGTCACGGATCAGATCACTGATCATGGATCTGATCATGTTAAATAAAATTTTGCGCTACAAGCCAAAATAAAGTCTGCGTGACATAATAGAGCGTAGACCCCACTGAAAGTTTTTTTGCCCAAAAGCCCCATATAGTGCCACCATGGACGAAGGCAAGCGAGAGGTACGTATTATTTCATCAGTCAGTTAAGAAAAACATAACACAATCCACAGTTTCTTCTTAGAGTCCTTGAGCTTCTTCCGTTGCCTGTGCGTGAGGCACGTTGGAAGCCATGGTTCGCAAATTGATCGACCTAAGTGTTCCACATTGCAAGGTCAAAGTCTCGGGCTACAGGTCCTTACGATAGTTAACCGGCAAGAAGTTATCAAATCACTCAAAGTCATTTCATTCCACGAGTTTTCAGTGAAACAAGATTGCTGTACAGACTGTAAGTGCCAAAACATATTGCAAACAAGAAGGGAGTCAGACTGAAACAGACTGAGTACTAAAACGTCCACTTATCTTATTTTTGCTACACATGTAACTGCACCATAATTATTATACTTCTATTTTAATAATCATTATAATATCATTCCAATGATGATTATTATTTTTTGCGATTTGCTTGGAAAAACAAGTTGTCCATGACATAAAGCATGACAAAACTTTTCTGTACCAAACAAGTCTTGTCATTAGATGCTTTCCCTTCGGAAAATATACCAGCAACTTTGTGAATTTTCTTTCACACATTTCTACATGTAACAAACATTTAAGCACAATATGGAACAAAAAGTTGAAGTGGAAATGCAGATGTGACAGTATGACAGATCAATCAAAAATGTAAAGGCAGCAATTACAAAACTCTAATATTACTGACAGAGGTGTTACCAGCTTAAAACCACTTTTATACAAAAAAAATTATTCCTTAATTTAGTTTATATTAATTCATAATCAATAGTCCATTTTATAGCTGCATGCTTGGTTGCCAAGCCTTCGAACAGAAGTGAAACTAAGGGCAATGATACAAACCTTGCTGCTTTTCAAATGTAAATTATTTTAATTGTTATCATGCAAACTAGATACTGGCCTCTATCACAACCAGGTCACCTTCAGCCTTACTCCAAATCACAGGCTTGGCAACTAAGTACACAACTGTAAAATGGCCTACTGGTTATCTGTTCTGAATGCTATAGGTTTGCCGCCTGCATCAAACCCTAGGATAGTTAATACACAGCCATGTTCCCTGGGCAGCAATAGGCTTGGTTTGTGACCATTACCACTGACTGTTGGCAAAGGCAGGACACTGAGCTGGCTGTGCTCTGTAGAGATGAGCAAGATGAACACACTGGCTGACATTCTGACTGCATTGCTTCCATGTGTTTCTCTATGGCAACAATAATTTCACCAGCCCAAGAAAGTGCATCTGGTCTGTTAGAGGCACCTCTAACAACCTGTTAATGTTGAATGAGCAATGAAACTGTCAAAGGTAGAGTACACAGTACAGTATGATTGTGAACACCTGAGAAGTTTAACATTTATGTGCATGACCAATCACATCAGATATCAGGACACACATACAAACCACAATACCAACAAACTCAAGGGGTGTGCAAAATGATTCCCTCATTAAATTTTTATATGGCCTCAAATTCTCCTTATGTTTTAAATAAACAAAACAATTTGGAAGGATCTTGCAGTCTAACTGGAGTCACATAGGGCTTTTTTTCCAGACACCTCTTTACTACAGTTTTAAAGGGTTTTTTTTGCACCAACAGATGGCCATCTTTTAGAACCACAGTACATGTATGTTTGAATGGCATAGACTAGGTATTTATATCTATTTTTGTGAACAAAAAGTCAGTTTTACCTGAAGCAACTGGCAGACAGATTTGTAGAGAGCCGTTGACCTTCATGTTCAAACAAAATCATAGTTAATATAAGAACAGATTTATGACCTCAGTATTTGACTTCTTTCCTTGTTTTCCTCAGTCTCCAGATTCATTATACAATGTACATGTACATGTAGCTCAACTGACACCTTTTATTAAGACACAGGAGTGAAATTTTTAACCAAAAATTCTGAGTATTTCTGAAGACTACAGTATATAACAACTATACTGAGGATTTCTAGCGATAAAAAATTACCAAAAGATGTTTTGAGGAAATCCAAGGTACCAAAAAGGTAATTCTTGTCTAATGAGTATAGCCAGATCCCTCGAGATTTTCACTAGCTAATATTCGTGCCATAAACCAGAATTAGGAAAACAAAATGTGGGAAAAGGCTTGAGTGCAAGCTTTTCTCATTGTTTTCAATCTTCTTAATATTCTTTTGAATGGAGCTCACAGATTTTAAAAAGGAGGTTTTACATTGTGTCTGAGCACTTACACAATGTTCATACATACACATGTATCTTGTCCAAATAGATTTTGTTATCAAAGCCCATTAATTAAATGGCAGTTAAGGTACTGACAGTAGTATTAAAATATTCATGTATTATAATACATCATCTCTCAAATGAGTTGTCAAGGGTTCTATATTTTGACCTTGAAAAACCCGTACGTTGTCATATTCTTACTTCTCTTCAATTTGCTTGGAGTCTGAAGGTATGTACATTGCTTTGACCAGCTCATCCACTCTGGAAGACAAACATTTTTCAGATTGCAAAACTGAACATCATTCTGTAATATTTGCCAGTTTCCTTCTAGGCAACCATGCTTTACAAAGCAAAAATTCAGACGCTTGTCAACAACTCTAAAACCTGTAGGATTATAAAAGTTAGTAACCTAAAAAGAGAGTATTTAATCGTAACACAAACTTATTCAAAGTATAGCAAAACAGGAATTATAAGGTAAGAGTCACCAAATACCTTCCATATTGGGAAAACAGATTATCTGAAATATGCAACACTTTACGGCTCAGAGGTAAATAGCCAATGCATACACAATACCTTTGCACGTTTATGATGTTTTGTGCATAATAAAACAAGCACCAAATTGCATGTCTTATGTATGTTTCTGCTAATGTTATTCAATGCAATCAATTTTTTTGCTTTGATCTGAACTGTTTTGCACGACTAAAGTTTCCTGTTTCAAAATGCCAGGCAGTCCAGGCCATCAAGAAAAGTACAGGATGCTTTAACTGTACATCACCTTGGCCTAATTTCCTTTGCTGCAGTCACAATTTTATCCATTTCTGTTGGTGACTTGATTGTTCCACTGCTCTCCATTGTGTGGGCAACAAGCTGTTCTGTTAGTACATGACAGGACTTCAACCAGTCAATGCAGTGTGATATCAGGTGTCTGAAGCAATAAAAATTAGACAATCAAAAAATGTATTGAAAATAAGAGATTGTAATCCATATATGTGAGAATGATAATGATGAAAATCATTGATTTATAGTAACGTTTTAATGACAAATAACAAAAATGATGATAATTACAACAATAATGATGACGATGGTAATAACAGTGTGACTGTGTAACCTAAAACTTGTGCAACCAGCTAAACCAATCAGATAACTGTTTCTTCTGTTCATACAATGTAGCACTTGCTTATTGTGAGATTTTGTCAAGTAACAGACTATGACACAATATTTAATTTTCACCCTTATGTTTTCACATCACTCTGTTGAACTTACTCAGCATCGCCACTCCAATCTGGATCCAGAAACATTTCTGGCTTAAAATTGAAAAGTATGAATATCAGAAATGCCAAGACATTTAAGTAATTATCGTAATTAATACAATCAAATAATACTGGGTCACCTACTGTCCTCTTATTTCTAATCCACATTCTATTACCTAACCCTTTAACTCCCAAGATCTGATTGTTAATTCTCCCCTCTAGCTGCTACACATTTCCTTCTAAATTGGTTTGGAGAATTTGGTGTTAGATCAAGAAAAACAACTTTTATGTGATATGTTTATATATTCTTATAACCTGTTTGCTAGATAGTGTGTGGATATTATAGGGAGAAGTTACCTCTCAATAACTTCTGTGAGTTAAAGGGTTTATCCTGACGACTAACATTTATCCTGATGACTAACATCTAATTTATCCTTAACCTTTTGACTCCCATGAGTGACCAAGACAAAATTTCTCCTTACAATATTAATACAGTATTCACCAGGTAAGTGATGAGAATAAAGAAAAGCATCAATTTGGAAATAATTAGATGATCCAATACTAAATTCTCTGAACTAACATTATAAGAATTGTATTGTTGACAGTAAGGAGAATTACAAATTTGATCTGGGAGTTAAAGGGTTAAAATATCACCCCTGAATCAAACAGTAAGGTCAAGAGAATATAGAAGACGATTACCAACTGTAGAGGTTCTTGATTGCTAAACAAAAACACCTTATGAAATGCATTGGGAACAGTATGGAGAGTATGTATACCGATATTAAGGTGTAAAGGGTCAATATTCACCAGGTCATCCTGTGGAGAAAACCCATCCAAACCCAGTTCAGTATGAGATGTGTTCCATGCCGCCTGCACCAGCTCTGCATCCTGCTTCCTTGAAAAAGATAGAAAATAACTACTTCAATTATGACTCATTTTATTTCAAATGTCACATGAAAATTCAAGTTGATTATTACTTATTTCCTGAAACATTTTATACAAAAATCAACTGATCACTATTTGAATAAAGTTCTGCATAATCTTTTCAGTAATCTCAATCACTAGCAAGGAGTACAGTCCACTCCAGGTGTGGCAACAACCTGAGCTGTTTTAATCAATACTTCAAGATCTTCAATACCCCTAAAAGCATCACAGAATAATTTCAGCCATCTTGTTTCACTCTGCATCGTAGCAGTCAGTTATCCAGATGAGATTGATAAGAAAAGTTTAAATTGAGTGTTAAAAGCAATTTACATCTAGGATCATCTTAGTTTTGCTTTACTTCCCTCTGTGATTGGTCACAAAAATTTGCACCCTGCTGTCAACCAATCAGATGCAAAACTTACACCAATCACAACCAGGTCACTGATGTTTTCCTACACTTAACAAAGTTTACTTAAAGAGCGTCATCGCCCTATGGGCATTTTCCCTAATTTGCTGTCAGTGACAGGCCATTGATATTACTTTGGGTCTGGGTTTGCAACAATCAATGGAAAATTGTTCTGAGAAGAGAATCAAGAACGTTGGACTAATCCAAATTCTACCTTGTATGAGTCGTATGAACAGGTGTGGTACATGCAGTAATACGCACAGAGTACGTGTTTTGTGTGTGCGATGCAAGAGATTTCTGATGTGCGTGTGTGATGCAGAGGTACATACAAGTGGTACTGTATACGATTCTATGCTGCAACTGGACTACCGATCTTTTAATCATTACCTGGTATTGAAGGGGAGAGGGGGATTCCCTTGTTTGTCCCAAGTGGGTTTATGTGCCAAGCAGGGTATCGTTTTTGAGATCTTGATTCTTAAAACAGGGTGTGAAAAGTCCAATTTCATTACTAATCCTCTTGTACGGACGTTTTCGCAAATGATCTTGCTATCTAGGAATATGCTATCACCCTCTGTGTCAAATCATTCCTCTGACTCATTAATTAAAGTTGCCAGTCATATATGAAAGTTTTGCGATAATTCCTGTATTTAGTCGAGGGTCTATCAAACATAAGCGTTAAACTATCAAAATTAGCAAAAGTAAGTAAAATTAAAACCAGCACAATCAGGTGGAACACTGCATCTAACCTAATTCCTCTAGTCAACTGACAAACTACATAACACTCAAACTCACTGATATTGCTGTTGTGAAAATTCAGCTTTCCTGCAACGCCGTTTGGTACAAATAAGCAACAACAAAGCGAAAAGAGAAGCCGTGAGAACTGTTCCCAGTAGGCTAACTGCAATGATCAAGGTCGGAGTCATAATGGCCACGAGTGTGGAATCATTCACATTTCCCCTTCCTTACATAGTGTTTTGATTCGGATCTGTTCGTAACAGGCGCGAATATTGCCGCGAGTCCGAATACAAACAAGATCTTCTGGGGAAACCCGAGTTATGTCCGACAAACTCTCGGAGAGCGTTTGTCTATTTTAATTGGACTATCTGAATCGAGAGCATTTCGTAAACTTCCCTTGGGGTTTACCTCCGAACTTGAAAAAAAAAATCACTAAGCCGGGGTAGGGTCAGTTTTTTTCGGTACGGTTTAAGACGTTTTATGAGAAAATATTTTTGCTGTTATATTCTTAAACTTTAAATGATGTTTGAATTGTATTGAAAATTTTCTCGGTTTTTAAAGAGAAAAAATAGCTGGATTGTGTAAAAGAGGGAAAAAGAATCGTATATTAATATCGGAAGAGATAACTTCCCTCTACCCTCCCTACAAGGGGCTATTTAAGACTAGATAAGTGCAAACCCATTCATCCGACGTCTGAAATTACAATAGATGGTAAAACTTTTGCGGAGAAATAGCTGTTACTGAAAGCGAAGCTGACTTACGTGCCTTAGCTCAACATTTGCCCCAGCGAATTCTCAAGAAATATTTTATCATGGCGCCTAGCGAACGGGAGTCAATGGGTTCGCCATTTGTTTTTATCCTCTCTGTGGGCGCGATTCAAATTTTCGGGATCTTGGCCATGGTTCTCACTGGCATATGGATGGGAAAATATCTCGGTGGATTTGCTTGGGATGGAACAGCTTACGAGTTTAACTATCATCCTCTATGTATGGTTATCAGTATGGTGTTTTTATACAGCGAAGGTAAGCTCAGAACGTTTTCGCGTTCGAACTCTCACAACAGCCCTTTTACAATTACGTCTTGAACGCCCACGAAAAGTTGATGAGAATTATGTAATATTTCACTCTCAAAAATGCTGCTCAGAAGCTAATACTTTTTACTTTAATATCTGTTGAATTCTTTTTTATTTTTAGCTGTGTCGTTATCTGAATTTGTTTCGTGAATATTTAATGTCATTTTCAAAAGGCCAGCAGCTGAAATCTTAAACGCCCCAAAGGATGCTGCGATGGCTCCGCTTAATCTTATCATCATAGTGTTGACGGGTAGATGGTGATCCACAGAATTAAAAGAATAGGATTAAAGTAAATAACAGCATTTAAAATTTGAAATGTTCTGAATTTGAGATTGCTCCTTGTACAATGTACATGTATCTATGTGTTCAAGAAGTACGAGTTGCAATCGTTAAATATGCACGGGTATCCAACCAAAACAAACGTAATCAAGGATGTTATACACCTATTTTCTAGAATCTATAACACGGAGAGAAATCAAAACTTTCACAATTTCTTTAATTGCTGCTGGTACGAAATGGGGCGGCTGTCATATCACTTCCCGCAGATGCAAGCAAAACTTGATTCAATTTTATTTTCGCCTGACACTCAGTTACCCATCTGCAGCAAAGGCATTCATTGTGTGTCTTAGCTACAGTGCATGTTCTTAAAAGATTGAATGAGAACCATGGTGAAGTTTGTTATAAAGGGTTACCGTGCTGCTTGTCAGATGTTTGGTTTACAACCTATAGAATCTAATTTGCCTTTACTTTCACATTTCTCCGTACGTTCATTGCGTTCTGAGCTACAGTACATGTACGTAAAAAATGTTTTGTCATTTAGCAGGAAACTGACGCGTGCCATTGTAACTGCAGCTGGGTTTTCTTAAAGTATCAACGTTTATAGTAAAATGTGGCTACATGTTGCAGAATTCTCTAGTTTAAATAAAACTCTTTTCACCTGAACAGTAGTATTCATATTGTTCACACTGTTTTTTTTTTTTTTTGTTGTGTTACCAAAAAGGAGAATTTGTTTGATAATCAGCAGCTCCTAAAATTGGTGATCATTTTCTTTATTCTTGAGACCTTTAAATTTGATTCAGTGGTGATGCATTCAGGAAAAATCATAGAAGCCAGTCTCCTTTAGGGGTTGGTTTTTCACAATTATCTTCTACCATTAAATTTTTTAATGAAAACCATGGTGAAGTTTTGTTATTAAAGGTTACATGCTTGTCAGGTGTTTGGTTTACAACTGACCACTTGTAATTTCTCCTTACATTTTTACCTTGCTGAATCACACATTTAGGTCATTAGAATAAAGGAAATGATTACCATATAAAAAAGCTATTTATTGTTAAGCAAATTCTCCTGGTTAGAATCTTAAGAAATCCTGAGAGAACTGTATGGAGAATATTCCTACTGATGTTAGGGTGTAAAGGGTTGAAATAAACTAGAGAATAATGGCACAGCGGCAAAATGAGTGCACATGCTTGTAACACGCAAGAAATTTTTATGCACGCAAAAGAATGGGAACTACAATATTTCTGTAGTAACACTATGGAGGCAAATGGCTGCATTTTTAAAATTCTCATTGTTTGTTTTCATTTCATGGGGATAAGCCCAAATCAAAACAGATAAGGTTGCCATTTTCAGGAAAGTTTCTGTCAAACCTCTTCTGTCACATATCTCACTCAACAAAAAAAAAAAATGCATTAAGGGGTAGAGCATCTGTATCATGGCAATGTTGGTCATGGCACCTGTTATCATTTAAGCACTTTTTGTCCTTTCCTACTCAGTGGGCAAACCCCCTGGAAAAAAAAGTTTGTTGTCTCAGTGAAAAACAGCACACATCAGTTTTGTTTCCAGAGAAATAATAATGGCAACTCTGAATACTCAATTGGCTCAAGTAGCTGTTAGCATGCGCACTCATTTAGCTGCTGTGTTGAGGGAAACAAGGATGATTGAGAATGGAGTTAATGAATAAGTCTTGTGATTGTCAAACATAAAAACTGAGCTGCAAAAATCATCATAGCTACTTTAAACTATATCAAATTTTTCAGAGATGGGTTTGGCAAGCTCATATTACAGTATGCTATCACATTCCCTTTTTGCAGCTATGATTGTGTATCGAGTGTTTCGCCATGAAAACAAATTCTTCATCAAGCTGGTTCACTTTGGTCTTCAGCTAGTAGCCTTTGTAATTGCAGTCCTGGGTCTAAAGGCCGTGTTCGACTTCCATAACCATAATGGAATTCCTAATCTCTACAGCCTCCATAGCTGGTGTGGGTTGTCAACCATAATTCTCTTCTCTTGTCAGGTCAGTAAGTGATGTGCATGTTGTGAAAGTAGATTTGAGAGATATAAGTTCAGGAGGCACTGCAGGATAGAATTAATCAAATTAGTTCTGTTTTCAGTGATGTATCTAATCAGGTGATTAAACACATAGAATATCATATTTACCTGTGTATAATGCGCGTTTTTTTTCTATAAAAATAACCGTCATATATATATATATATTTATATTATTTATAATTTTTAATGAATAATAATCTATTTTGTTAACAAGTAGCTAACCCTTTAGTATGTTATGTAGCATAAACTCACAGAGGCTGATCACGAAGTGGGCTCCCAAACATTTCATCAAGCTTTGCAGCAGGGGCAGCATTAGAATTTGGTCCCACCCATAATTTACCTAGTGCTCTAAGATTGAAATTCACCATTTTCCCCGCATTTAGGAGCACAAACTATACTTCAGTGACCCAGAAGTTATCACTTTTTAGAACACGGAAACAAGATTTGATGCAGTACCCCAGTGCATAATTAGTTATGGATTAGATCTACATATTTTGCTAGTTGAAATGGATGTATTTTATTTTTTAGAAAATATGTGAGGAAAATGTCTTGTAATTCTTTGGTTGAGATTTAGACAGCAGTTCCACAAAGTTGTCTTAACAGCTGGTCAATTTGTACTGTGCCTGGCCCCTTAAATGAAACTCATTGAAACCACGAATTCTACTGATAGACTGCTGAACAGAATTATGACTGGCTAAGGAATTTGTCCTATTTGTCTTAATTACTTCAGCGCAACTGAATTGGTCATACCTTTTTTGCCTTTCTCTCCAGCTTCTTTTTGGTTTTGTGAGCTTTCTTTTCCCCAAGCTGCCAGACGGTCTTCGTGCAGCATACCTTAAAGTACATGTGTTCTTTGGTATGTTTATTTTTATGATGGTCATTGGCACAGCGCTCATTGGAATCAACGAGAAGCTTTTCTTCCAGTTGAGCACAAAGTAAGTGAGTCATGGACTGGTCATTCAATCCTTAAACTCCCTTGAGAGACCAAGACAGAATTTCTCCTTACAATATCATTACAATATCAAGCAGAAAAGTGATGAGATCGAATAAGGAAAAAATTCAATCAGGGAATTATTAGTTGATCTGATACCAAATTCTCCAAACTAACATCATAAAAATTGTTTTTTAAACAATTGTAATTGTTAATTACAATAAATCTTTGTATGAACCCTTCCATGAAGACATGAGCCTCCTGTATTATTTAGCCTAGCTTTTTCAATGAATTCCTATTAGTTTAAGGGTTTTTTAGAGTAGCTGGCAAGTAGGTGCTATTGAGGTTGATAATACATGAGCCTTTAGCTCAGTTCCTTTCAAAGATTCCCTCTCAATATTTTACTTTTTTCACATTGTTCTTTTTTTTTTTGCATTCCATCCTCAAATCCTCTGACTTCATTCTGTGTTGAGAGTGGAGAAAGACAAACCAGTAGTTCATAGTCCTCACAACATTTAAAATAGAATACACACAGTATATATGCTGTAGAACTTGTCAAGAGCTACATGTGATACTGTAGGTAGGGGAAGGGTATATTCTCTCCAAATAGACACAGTACATACAGTATACATGTGGGCACAGTGTTAATTTATGATTTGGGTGTATCATGTTGTAAGGAGAAATTAGATACTAGTCACTCTTAGGGTTAACCTATTGACTCCAAAAGTGACCAAGTGATGAGAGTAAAGAAAAATGTCACTTGAGGGATTACTAGTTTATCAAAATTAATTCCCAAATTCTCCAAACTAATTTCGTTATATTTAATATTGTAGAGAGTAAGGAGAATTATTGAATGGGGGTTCTTGCGAATGAAAGGGTTAAATCCAAGAGGTTATATGGCTTGGTAATAAAATCAGTTTTGATACTGGTGATGCAGCTAGGCTATCTTATGTACTTTAACAGTAGCCAAGCAATTAGCAAATTCTTAGGCTCTTAATTTGAATAACAAATGGAATTGGTAGTATTGATCTGCCAGTGGAATGTGCTTGTTTTTTGTTCTTCCACTGTTTACTTTTCTTCTGACTACACCTTTCATCTACCTTTCATTGCCAAATTGAGCTGACAGTAAGTTAATTTTTGCAGATATTCCACACTACCTGCTGCGGGGCAACTAGGCAATGTGCTGGGCATCACACTTATCATTTTAGCTGGCACAGTCATGTTTGTGGTGACAAACTCTGCATTCAAGAGGGTTGACACAGATGAAGAACGTGTGTCCTTGATGAATGACAAATAATTGAACAATATTCATTATTTTACAGTGGAGCCTTGTTATCTTGAATCACCAGTATAGAGAATATATGATCACACTTTCAACACATTATCCAACAAAAAGGTAATGAGAGTGAATAAATATATGAGCTGGAGGCTGTTTGCTTGATACAAAACCAAATTCTCTAACTTCGTTTAAAAAGAGATTCATAGTGGCCCGAAGGGAGAATTACTAAATCATGATCAGATCATGGAATAGTTGAATCCACCCCTGAAATGTGTCCTTGTGTGTGTGGTGAGAAAAAGGTTAAGATATTAAGGGCTTGAGATATCCAGACTCCACTGCATTAAAAATATTGATTTTAAAAATAATAGTTATTTGAAGGATTGTTTGAGCCGCAAAAGAAAAATAATCTTTACTTAACCTTTTAACTCCCAAAAGTAATTAACATGCAACTTCTCCCTAAAATATCAGTACATTTTTCAGCAAACACGTTATGAGAATGTTCAAACTTATTAGGTAGAATTTGTTGTATTCATCTTACCCCAAATTTTCACAACTAATTTACAAGGAAATGTGTAGCAGCTGGAGGGGAGAATTAGCAATCAGATCTTGGGAGTTAAAGGGTTAAGAGACCAGATAACATGCCTTGAATGGAGTGGTGTTCTGAAAACAGATTTTGCAGTTTGCATTAGGGACCTATAATAATTTTTACAGTTGTCTGTTCAAGCAGCTTAACGAAATTAAAGAAGCAAAATTGTAACTTTTTCAAATTTTGTGACTTGTTGAGTTATGTAGTGAGGAGCTTCCTGTTTCGTCAACTGGAGAAGTGCATTGTTAGTAAGGTTGAATGAGCAACATTCAAATCAACACATCAAGACTAATAGAAGTATTTGAAAGGATTTTTTTTGGGGGGGGGGAGGAATTTTTTTTTTTACAGATTAAGAGCAATCTCTGAAATTGACAAAAATAAAGCACTGTCAATTTTATCATGCTCCATCACCATGGTAACAGCTATGTACCCAGTGGATAGTGATGTTTATTGTCTAAACAGTCAGGACCAATGGTGGATAAATTTTAGGTATATATTAAATTTCCAGTCATAAAAAATTGAGAATACAGTATTATAGAGCTTAAAAGAGGGATGATTAATTTATTAGTTGCCCATAAATGACTAACCAGGAAATGAAAAACCATTTCATTGAATTCATTGTTTATTTTGTAATTTGTGATGGTCTGCTAGTGCTGATAGTAATGGGTTTAACTCCATGAGCTATCATTATGTTAATGGTATTTTAAGTAATATTTTTCATGCTAATATACGAAAATTGTTTTGTTTACTGAAATGGTTAAAATGAGTGCCATCCCCTGGACAAGAGGCTTGGCCAATTGTTACTTTATTTATCTATTTATTGATGTCTCTAACACATACATTCCATTACAAAGTTGTGGTGTAATTGTCTCTCAGCAATTTCAAGGCTTACAAGTGAAAATTTAAATGTAGTTTCTATAAATGTTCCCATATTTGCTAGCAGAATGTTATATTATGAAAATTAAGTGTGCCCTTTGAAAGGGCTTGCAAAATCATTTTAGTTCAGAGGGCTCTATTCCTGAAAAAAAAAAAAAAAAAAAAAAAAAAAAAAAAAAAAAAAAAATGAGGATGAATAGTTATGATTGTTTTTACATCAAAAATAAATGAGAACATACTTCCATTACCTCCCCAAATAAATTATATGCAATCTTCTGGACACTAAGATTGAATTATTATGCTTGCCACAGCCTGTTTAAGGCATTTGAGTTGTTTATATATTTACTCTTTTACTCTCAAGTGACCAGCTTCTAATTTCTCCTTACATTAGCATACCTGAGTCAAACATTAAGGTCATGAGAATCTAGGAAATGATTGCCAACTTTTAAAGCTCTTGATTTTTAGACAAATTCTCCTTGTCAGTGCTTGAGGAAATGTCTAGAGTTCAATATGGAGAATATGCGTACTGATGTTCAGATGCAAAGGGTTAAAGGTAGGCCATGGGATATTATAGTAATAATTATTGTAATATTATTATCATTAGTCAATTATTTTCATGTTGTCTGAAAAGATCTGATTCAGTATCTTAGAATAGAATAAAGATGACATTTGATGTCTAAAAAGGATTTGATGTTGAGTATCTTGAATCAATTTTAAACTGTTTGTCACTCCTAGGTGAATTTTATTGTGCTCCTGTCAAAATTATTTACCCCAGGTACCATAAACTGCCACTTATAAGCCACACCCACTTATAAGCCCTCATCTAGCTTTTCCTGTTTTTTACAATGAAGCAGGAAGCATCACTGCAGAGAATCATACATAATACATTTAAATTTTGGTAACAGGAGAGCAAAATGGACTTCGAGGGGAAAAAGTCTTATCTTGCGTTTTGTGCTGTTCCCGTTTTGTTCGTGTTGTTAATTTTGATTCTGTTCCAAGAGTATCGAAATTAATTCGATTCACTGTGATGTTTTGAAGCTTAATTAAAAACCAGTTTTTTATCAGCACTGCTGTAACTCGTTTCGTAGCACTTTCTATTCCGGATGTAAGCTCCTTCGAATATAAGTCTTTCCGTTTACAATCTTAAAAATCCTTACGAAATTGTATAAGCCCAGGGCTTCAGCGGCAGTTTACTTTATCAATAGGCTATAAAACTCTATGCTAGAGCACTGATTAAGATGACTAACCTCAATTGTTATGCGTGAAAACCTTCCTTGTAATCTGTTACAACGTGAAATTTGATCCAGCGTTGCAAGTGTCACACTCCTTCACATAAATCCGTCACGCAACGCTTCCGGCTGCGAAGGAACTAAATTGGTGGTTTCCACTATACCTGCTCCACCATATTTTAAAATCAGCATATACAGAATAGAGAAGTAGTTTCTGGCACCCTAACCAGTCCATTTTGTTTCGTCACCTTATATAGTTTTATTGTGGGAAATTCAAAACTTTTGAAACCCCCATCTTGAATGAAAACAGAACAACTTCACAGGCCCAATAAGTTACCGGGATCCACCCATGCCCTTGTCCTCCAAAATAAAATAAAACGAGAACTGACCGACATTGCGCTGTCTTGGAAGAATTTTTAACATAAAAGCCAGACATACTTCTCGGTCACAGATATTGGACGAGAAAACTTACCGTCATCATGCCCACTGGAAGGTCTCAATGGGGTTAATCGATTGCCGTTTAGCATAAGATTTGACAAATTTTAAGGAACAGTCGTAAAAATTAATCGTAAAAAAATTACAGGTGACAACAATGGAACGATATTAACCTTTTTTCCATAAAATCCATCACTCACTGACACCCTTTAACAGTATGTGCGATCATTAGCTCTCTTTTGCTAACTTATCATTATATAATCTACACCAAAGTGATCAACATCTCCACGGTAGACAGCTCAAGCGGCGAGCCACCTTGAATAGGCAAATATTTCCACGTTGCGCAACGCGTGAAACAAAAAGATTTGCATGGGAATGAACGGTCGTGCTCTCAACATCATTAAATAGGTCTGGATCAGCTCTGAATAAGGACAAATTTACCCCGCTCAAGTGGTTGTTCTTTTGCATCGTGTGAATTTCTTGGGCTGACTTAGGGTCATTACGCTCGGTATTAGTTCGTCTGCTTTGCCCTTACATAACGTCTGAGAGTGACTTCATATTTATTAAATGAGGAGGCAGCACCTACCTTACCCCTCCCTACAGGGGGCTATTCGTTGTTTGTCACATGCTTTTTCCTACTTCCGCTGAATGTAAACTAAAAATAATCGACAACACTCAAGTACGGATAAAATTACCGAATTTTCCAAAGTGGCTCTAACAAACGTGCCTTAACCTAAGCTTTAAGCGGCGAAGTGAACAACATTGTAGTATGGCTCCGTATGATCAACATCGCACATCTTCGATGCGTTCTTTGTTTGTGTTCTCCCTATCGGTTGGTGCAGTTTTAATTTTAGGGATGTTGGCGATAGCCCTGACCGGTACATGGACAGTGAAATACCTCGGAGGATTCGCTTGGGATGGGACAGCTCACGAGTTTAACTACCATCCTCTTTGCATGGTAATCAGCATGGTATTTCTCTATAGCGAAGGTAAGTTTCTTTGCAGCTTAACTGAAGCATTACTGCCGCTTTGTCTCATGTCAGTGGACTACATTATGTAAGTTTTCGTGCTGTGTTTTGTTCTTGCGATTTACTTCGAAGTCTTACTTTCCTCCTATGTAAATCTTTTTCCTCAGCTTGCCATGAGCCAGTTAAACCTCTGGTTTTGGCTTGACTGTTAGGAAAAGAACCACTAAAATGATGCAAAAAGTTGTACTCGAAAGCCGGTGTTAATTTTAGATTATTGCATGATTATATTCGCTAATTTTAAATACCCCCGGTGCAGAGGTTACCATGCATGTTGTAATTAACAAGGTAGTCGACTAAAGAGCGCATATTAAGACGGGAGATAGTGCGCACTGCGTGTGTGTGATAATATTCTAGAGAACTTTCCTTTCAAATTTCTTCTTACATACTTGCGTATGTACGTCTAATTTACAGTAACAGTTTACAGTAATAAGGCAGGGAATTCCCTTGAGACCTGAAAAGGCTAAACAAAACATACAAACTAAAGAGGTAATTAAGTTTTAACAACTGAGTTGAAAACGTAAATTAGCCACCGTAGAGGGTAAAAAAGCTGATGTTTCGAGCGTTAGCCCTTCGTCAGAGCGGGGCTAACGCTCGAAACGTCAGCTTTTTTACCCTTTACGGTGGCTAATTTACGTTTTCAACTCAGTTGCTAAAACTTAATTACCTGCTATACTCTCCCACCAACGTAGCGCCACAGTTTCTTTAGAAACTTACGCCTTTATACAAACTAAAGAGGTCGGTTTATTGAGGAACTCGTGCTTTGTGATGTCACGCAATACTGAGAGATCACTGCGTGACACCACTAAAAACGACCGGGAATTAGACTTCGTGACAAAACGACCTCTTTCAACCGATGATGTCATAGTGGAAGACGTAAATAACTATAGCTCATTACGTTTAATATTTGTAAACCATCAGACATTTCATATTCTTTGCGATTAATATAAACACGTTACTTTTTCGAATATGCAACAGGGGAGTATTTGTGATATGCCCTTAGTGATAAGGGCATATCACTGAGGGCATATCCTTGAAAAGTTGACTCAAGTTGGGAGAGATTTCCCTAGACGGGACCTAGACGTTTGTAAACGTTTTGTTCCGATCACTGCAAAAAATGTTCCGATGGCTGAAATAATAACCTCTGTTTGGCTTGAGGCTGTACGTACTCATATCTTTGTCCTTGGATATCATCGTTTGAGCTTCGCTCTCGGTAATCTGTGGGGGAGAGGGGGAGGCACATAAAAGGTATAGAAATAATTCAAAATAAATAATGGGTTCCGAGACTTGCAACTTATTCTAGGTTTATAGAAAACCTTTGATTAAAAAGCACATTCGCCATTATGAGAAGCACATCTCGTTACCATGACAATCTAAAGGAGCTCAGTAGATTTTGTACCTTTTTTTTCCAGCCATGATTATATTCAGAGTCTTACGTCACCAAAACAAATTCTATGTAAAGCTGGTTCATTTTGGTCTTCAGCTGGTGGCGTTTGGAATCGCAGTCTGGGGTGTTAAGGCTGTGTTTGACTTCCACAACCATATGGGCTATGCTAATCTCTACAGCGTACATAGCTGGTGTGGATTGTCTACCGTCATCCTCTTCGGTTGTCAGGTCAGTTATCCAAAGCCATTTTCTTTCTCCTCATCGAGGCAAAACAGCAGTCAAACGTCTGTGCATGTGCAAACGTTCATATGGCCAGGTGGCGGGCTTAGTTAGGGCCAATTTGTCTTACTGGAATTATAAACAACCACAAAAACCAGTGCGTAACGAAATTTTTAAATCACAAAACATTTTTGATAAAGCTCAAAGCAGAATGGTAAATCGACAGGATACCCTGGCTTAAAGGCCCATTTTCACCCTTAATGGAATGCGCGCCGCGACCCAATTTCCTGTAACATTAAATAATTCCCAGATTACTGAAAACCTTCTGAAATCGTCTTTCTCAAGAGCTATCATGGACATATAGTCAACTGTTGCATGCAGATTGAAAAAAATATGGTTTTAGAGCTTACTTATCCCTTAAATGGCTGTACCTGTTTTTTTCTCTGCTAAAACCGGTTATTTTCTGACATTTGACAACTTGACGACCGAAGTCTCGATGACGTTCTAGGAGAACGTAGTTCTGTAATTGTTAGATTCACAGAGCATATCATTTTATTTTCTTTATTGTAGTCATCTTTTTCTCCCCAGATTCTGCTTGGTTTTGTAGGCTTTCTTTTCCCCAAGCTGCCTGATGGTCTTCGCGCAGCTTACCTTAAAGTACATGTGTTCTTTGGGGTGTTTATTTTTATGATGGCCATCGGCAGTTGCCTATTGGGAGTGAATGAAGAGCTTTCTTTCAACCCCAAGTGAGTACTTGTAAACTGACGATTTTAGTAGTTTTAATGATTCAAGTACAGATTTTTTTGTTGATACCGAAGGAGTACTGGCCTCTAGTGGTTAGTTTTCTTTTTACCAATCCTTCACTTGTTAACTTTGATAAAATGGCGCGAATATTTTCAAAACAATCCCTTTTTTGGCCAAGTTAATATCATTGAAAAAAAGGCCATCGCAGAACGCGTAGCATTCAGGACAGTGTAATACATTCATGTGATAATATTTACACTCTTAACTTTTGCAGCTACTCAAAACTACCACCTGTAGGAATATTGGGTAATTCGTTGAGTGTCATACTCATCCTCCTAGCTGGCACAGTCATGTTTGTGGTGACAAACTCAGCATTCAAGAAGGTAAATACAGGTGAAGAGCAAGTGTCGTTGATAAATGATAATCTAGCCTCTGCTTGACCCATGGAGCACTTGGATGATGCCCAATGTCTCAAACATACCACCAAGTTGGCAAATAGTCTCACACAGACATCAGAGCGCACTTAGAAGGTGCCCAATGTCTGCTACATACCAACAAGCTGAGATCCAGTCTCACACAGACTTCATAGCGCACTTCGATGGTGCCCAATGACTGTAACAAACCAACTAGTTGATATCGAGTCTCACACAGACATCATAGCGCACTTAGAAAGTGCCCAATGTCTGCAACATACGAACAAGTTGGCATGAAGTCTCACACAGACATTATGCGCACTTAGATGGTGTCCAGTGTCTGCAAAATACCAACAAGTTGATATCCAGGGTCACACAGACATCATAGCGCACTCAGATGGTGCCCAGTGTCTGCAACATACCAACAAGTTAGCATCAAGTCTCGCACAGACATCATAGCGCACTTAGATGGTGCCTAGTGTCTGCCACATACTAAAAGTTGGCATCAAGTCTCAGACAGACATCATAGCGCACTTAGATGGTGCCCAGTGTCTGCAACGGATCAACAAGTTGATACGGAGTCTCACACAGACATCAAAGCGCACTACGATGGTGCCCAGTGTTTACAACGTAACAACAAGTTGATATTGAGTCTCACACAGACATCGTAGCGAGCTTAGAAGTTGCCCAATGTCTGCAACATACCAACAAGCTGAGATCCAATCTCACACAGCATTATGGCGCACTTAGAAAGCGCCGAACGCCTGCAACATACCAAAAAGCTGAGATCCAATCTCACACAGACATCATGGCGCACTTAGATGGTGCCCAGTGTCGGCAACATACCAACAAGTTGGCATCAAGTCTCACACAGACATCATAGCGCACTTAGATAGTGCTCAGTGTCTACAATATACCAAGAAGTTGATGCCGAGTCTCACACAGACATCATAGCGCACTTAGATGGTGCTCAGTGTCTGCAACATACCAACAAGTTGATATCGAGTCTCACACAGACATCGTAGCGAGCTTAGAAGGTGTCCAATGTCCGCAACATACCAACAAACTGAGATCCAATCTCATACAGACATCATGGCGCACCAAGATGGTGCCCAGTGTCTTGATAGTGCTCAGTGTCTACAATATACCAACAAGTTGATACCGAGTCTCACACAGACATCATAGCGCACTTAGATAGTGCTCAGTGTCTGCAACATACCAACTAGTTGATATCGATTATCCCGTAGACATCGTAGCGAACTTAGAAGGTGCCCAATGTCTGCAACATACCAACAAGCTGTCAATCTCATACAGACATCATGGCGCACTCAGAAAGTGCCCAATGTCTGCAACATACCAACAAGTTGGTACCGAGTCTCACACAGACATCATGGCACACTTAAGTGGTGCCCAGTGCCTGCAACTTACCAACAAGTTGATATCGAGTCTCACACAGCCATCGAGGGTCACACAGACATTACAGCGCACTTAGATGGCGTCCAGTGTCTGCAACATACCAACAAGTTGATATCGAGCGTCACACAGACATCATAGCGAACTTAGTTGGTGCCCAGTGTCTGCAACATACCAACAAGTTGATATCGAGGGTCACACAGAGGGTTAGATGGCGTCCAGTGTCTGCAAGTTGATATCGAGCGTCACACAGACATCATAGCGTACTTAGATGGCGTCAAGTTGATATCAGCGTGTCTTAGATGGTGCCCAATGTCTGCAACATACCAACAAGTTGTTGATATCGAGATGGCGTCAGTGTCTGCAAGTTGATATCGAGCGTCACACAGACATCATAGCGCACTAAGGTGGTGCCCAATGTCTGCAACATACCAACAAGTTGATATCAAGGGTCACATAGACATTACAGCCCACTTTGATGGCGTCCAGTGTCTGCAACATACCGACAAGTTGGCATCAAGTCTCACACAGACATGGCGTCCAGTATCTGCAACATACCTACAAGTTGACATCAAGCGTCAGACAGACATCATAGCGCACTTAGATGGTGCCCAATGTCTGCAACATACCAACAAGTTGATATCGAAGGTCACACAGACATTACAGCGCACTTAGATGGTGCCCAATGTCTGCAACATACCAACAAGTTGATATCGAGGGTCACAGCCATCATAGCGAACTTAGTTGGTGCCCAGTGTCTGCAACATACCAACAAGTTGATATCGAGTCTCACACAGACATTACAGCGCACTTAGATGGCGTCCAGTGTCTGCAACATACCAACAAGTTGATATCGAGCGTCACACAGACATCATAGCGCACTCAGATGGTGCCCAATGTCTGCAACATACCAACAAGTTGATATCGAGCGTCACACAGACATCATAGCGCACTTAGATGGTGCCCAATGTCTGCAATATACAAAAAAGCAGGCATTCAGTTTTTCGCAGACATCGTAGCACACTTAGAAGGTGTTCAATGCGCGTAAGATACCAACGAGCTGGCATATAGTCTTGAACAGACCTTATATCTGTTGTTTGACTTCGTAACTGTGTTTGCTGTGCGGAGCGCGAGCAGAGAGGATTATGAGCAAAGCAGCAACTCTTTATGAACCGATCATTGAGGATCCCCCATTTCAGTTGCATTCTAGAAAGTCGGACATGTATGGCCTGGGCACTGAAAAGTTTTTTTCATGATGACGGCGTTCGTTCGTTCAATTTTCAAAAGGCTAGATCTCTGTTTGGAATCTTAATCAGCTGTAAGAAGCAAACTGGTGAAGAATTCTTTGTAAACCAAATCCTACCCGTGTAAATCATTTTTATCTTCAGCCAACTTTGTTCTTCTTGTTTCTTAATTCTTTGTGTTTCTCTATCCTATTAAAGTAACATTTTGCAGTCATTTGCAATCCGTTTTAGTCATCTTCATCCTCGGTCATCCCAGTTCCCTCAGGGTCAAATATCAAATAAAGATAAAAAAAATCGTCGTAGGTCTGTCTCCTTCATCTTCTCTGCACTGATTAAAAGGGGACGTTAAGGAGCCCGTGCACCTCTAGCAAAGAGTAGGGAACGTGACTCCCGCGTCAGTATCGGACAGCGGTACGCTAGTTATAGGCATACGTGGCTGTGCGCTTCGTTCTGTTCTTCTCATGTCTGTAAGCCCGCTCGTTCTGTTGTCATCATACCAGTTTCATTAAAGCATCACTTGTGTTACTTATCGTGTCATCAATTTACCTCTACTTCATTAAATGGCGCCGGTGTTGTGGTTTAGCCTTGTTAGATTGTCTATATAGGCCCCAATTTAAACCAGTTTTAAAAGCTGAACTGGGCCGAACTAAGATTTTTGTTCAAAATTAACCAAAGATTACAAATATACCTGGGAAATTTCCGACACTACTTTGGCTTTTCTAGACATCAAAATTTCAATTGAAAGCAACGGCTTATGCACTAGTGTTTACTACAAACCCACAGATTCACATAGTTACTTGTTGTATTCATCTTCACATCCATCACACGTCAAGAACTCCATACCTTTTTCACAGTTTCTCAGACTTCGTCGTTTATGTAGCGACGACTCTAATTTTTCCGAAAAATCAGAGGCAATGTGCCAGTTTTTCGATAAACGTGGCTATCCTGTTTCTGTCGTTCAAGCGGGCCACCACCGTGCCCAACAAATTGATCGACAGTCAACACTACAAACGGCTGAGAAGGAAAACACTGACCGCATTCCATTTACTCTTACATTTCACCCTCACAACCACGCAGTTAAATCTATCATTCTTAAAAATTTTAAATTACACCAAAACGATTCGGAGACTGGCACTATCTTTTCGCAACCCCCACTTATTTCATTCAAACGTGACAAAAACATAGGCAACTTTTTAGTCAGGAGTTCATTTCAAACCAATGACCAATCCGGAACTTTTTAAATGCGCTCGCTCACGATGCAAAACTTGTCCTTTCATTCATAACGTAGAGAAAATATCGGGACCCAAGAGATCCATCAAGATCACTGATCACTTTACGTGTACCTCCCCCAATGTTATTTACTGCATAACTTGCACTTATTGCAATAAGTTATACATCGACGAAACAGGAAGACGACTAGGTGACCGATTCCGAGAACACCTTCGCGACGTGGAAAGAAATGACAAGGACGCATCCAAACCAGTCGCTAGACACTTCAATCTTCCTAATCATTCTAAACAGCATATGGCAGTTTGCGGCCTTTCCTTACATCTAGGCAGTTCGGAAAGCCGTAAAACGCTAGAACAAAAATTTATCTTCCAAATCGGCACCCTTAATCCCCACGGAATCAACGAGCGCTTTTCATTCAACCAATTTATTCCTGTTTTCTCGTCACCATATTCACACCAATGGCGTAGTTCCACTTTCTGCATATAAACCCACACACAACCCACAATTCCTCCAATCGCTCTGACGAAGAACTAACGCTCGAAACGTCAGCTTTTTTACGTAAATTTACGTTTTCAACACAGTTGTTAACACTAAATTACCTGCTATACTCTCCCACCGACGCAGCACCGCAGTTTCTTTAGAAACTTACCCCTTTATAAGATTTTTGTTGTCATTTATAACTCATGTCAACCTTCTCCATCCTAAGCCATTCTTTCTCCTTCTTAGTTTCTTTTGTGGCTCTTTCGTGTTTTTATTTCTACCCTATCTTATATTTTGTAGTCTCCCCTTGAAGTTGAACGTCGCTTTGCGAGTCGCAGAGAATTTCTGATAGGCCAGCAATTTGATGATTAATCTATAGAAAATTCTTTATGAACCAATGATCAGATGATAATTACAACCTTCCGAAATTGATATACCGCTGTTATCACATATGTCTTTACGTGCTTTGTTTATTTTTACCATCAGTGACAGACGAATCGACACAAAAAAAAAAAAAAATAAGCGAAGCAAAGCGGCAAAGGAGGGTTGTGACTGGAACACGCTGCTGCTACAATAGACTTCAACAGACTTAGAACTCCCCAAGCCAAGACATACAAAATGCAAAATAAGACCTAACATACGAAACAAGTAAAGCACAGAATGTGAGACGGATCAAGGCAACCAAAGGTCCAAGAAAGTGAAAACTAGGCAAAAAGTACGAACAAAAACAATTACGTAATGCGGGCGCTTACAGCTGTAATTGGTGTTTTGGTCGGCCCTTACTAACAGATAATTTGTTAACAATAGTCATTCATTTAAAGTGGAAAGAAAAAAAAAAATTGACTTGTAGGTAATTGTGGCATGATTTCTTGTATTATGTAATATGCAACCGTCAAGCACGACTTTTGAGCACAAAACTAACTTTATTTTTGATCGATGCCATAAATGCGTTGACAAATGGCCTAATAGAATAGTTATTGGCAGATGGCACACGGCATCCCCGGAATTTTAGGCGAAATCAAGTTTAAAGTCATTTTTATAACGAAACAAATTTCAATCAATTAATCAATCCATCAATAAATCGTTTATTTACCCACGTAGCGTCCAGTGAGCTGGAAAGCTCGTTCAAAATACGTACGTTATAATGTAAAATGGCCCTAAAACATGCAGAATTAAAAATATATTACATATCTATAACAACGTAGGTTTATCATAAAAAAGCTAACATGTACAACTACGAATGTCACTATATTAGGATTAAGATGTCTAAAAACTGCTGTAAATAAGAATCGAATATATAAAAGCTGATTCTAGTATACCAGATAAAAAACGCTACAATAAAATGAAATAAGAAATGGAATTAAAATGATTTATTCTTAATCGACGTCGCAAACATGGATAGTTCTCCTTTCCTTAAATCGGGTTCAAGTGATTTCCAGATTTAAGCGGCTCCGTAAGTGAAAGAGTTCTTCATCCAGTTAAGATTAAACCTTGGCATGCTAAGATTAACAACACAACCTCTTAAGTTATAAGTTGAGTCTTTAAAACCAAAAATGTTACGGATGTACCAAGGTCCGTTGCAGAGAAAATTTAAAACCTAATTAATGGCAGAAGACAGTCTTGGAATCACCAAGAACCATATCGCCGCTCAAAAGACCTCTCAAAATGAGAGTGACCAGCATCTAATTTCTCCTTTCAATATCATCCATGAATCAAACATCAAGGTTATGAGAATAAAGGAAATGATAATTAACTGAAGAACCTCTTGATTGTGAAACAAATTCTCCTTGCAAGCACATTAGGAAATATATAGAGACCAGTATGGAGAATATGCATACTGATGATAAGGTGCAAAGGGTTCAAGACTAAATAGGAAAATTAGATAGAAAACAGGTGCCTTCTGAATTAGTGGTACATGAAATTCGAATTCGAATTTTAAGAAAAGTTGCCTGTTAATAGCGGGGTATTTCTGTGAAGTTAAGAAAATCGCGTGAGGTGATGTCATGATCTCTCAAAGATGGCTACCGCTGAAGGTGATAGCCTGAAATTGTTCTAAAAGTTGGTTCTATAATTAATGATGATGATGATGATGGCAGATTCTTCGTAGTCCGACGATCAGTGGGAAGAAAGTCCTTACTGGGGGCGGCATGCCCTCTGATGACTGATGAGTCCAATTCTGGATTTACATATTCTTGAGCAGGTGGGGTAGTGGAAAGTCTGATCGCTGCAGGACGATGCTTGATTGGCAGACTCCTTTCATTATATATGATTATAATTATGTTATATATAATAAATAATTACAAGAATCACCTGTATATTCACAAATCGGCTTAACGAACTGGCTTACAATTTATGTGATTCATGCGTGGAAATTTTCAAGTGGTCACGGTAACACTCACCAAAGTGGTGGATTATCAAATTCAATATTACAGTTGCGATTCAACAGGATGAGTTGATCCGTTCACCTTTATTATTCATGCCAATCGAACTGACCAACTTCTTCTAGCTTGATTTTGCAAATGCCACAACTATGACCAGCTCGGAAGGCAACGCAAGTGTAGTTTAATTTTGTCATGATAATCATTATTAATAGCATCGCTTGTCCCTTCACAATTGTGCTTAACTTGCAGGTAATAATGGCTGTGAAAACAAGTGCATGACTCCGAACCAACAGCAACATCTTGTTGGGCTATTAAGCACTAGCGGTGACTGATGCATTAACTGGTCTCATAGTGCAACCATCGTTTGTCCTGGAGAAAATATTCCAATTACTTGGTGACGGAAACTACAAGAGAATTGACATCTTTCTCTCCATTTCTTTGCATGTCTTGTTCATGAATCTCTTCTCTGCTTCATTTAGTGTTGGTTACGTTCGAGAGATTAATTGCGATCAAATATTTACGGTGAAGTACTTAGACATTATTAATGAGAGAAACATCAAAATGGCAGAGATAGAATCTCCAAACTTTCAGGTCTTAGTTCGCAAATGAAATGTTAGATTAGGGATTTTCGATGAAACTTTCCAGAGTTATAGCTTTTAGCGACTGCAAAATAGCAATTCTAAAGAGGACTTTTGTGCGAGTCCGCAGAGACCACGCTCGAGGTCCTCGAGAGTGCAGCAGTTAATATAAGCAGATACTAGAAGATACGAATGCCAAGTCCATGGCATTCCTAAATCCTGTAACGAAATAAGTGTAGTTTACTCTGTACGCTCCACTTGTCACCACTGTATCGGATCGATCAGGGTATTAATAACTGGAATATGAAAATGCATCGGTTTCGACAGTTTTGCCTGCGTTTTTCGGTTTTGATCGAATTTTTTTCGGTTTTTCGGTTTTTCGGTATTGGATGATTTTTCCTACGGTTTTGCGGTTTCTAACAGACCCCAATGCCCCCCTCTTTAAATGATAGTCGCAAAAAAAATTAATCGTTAAAAAATTACAGGTGACAAGAATGGAACAATATTGACCATTATCCGTAAATTGGCCAAACTTTTAATTTTTTGCCGTAAAAGCAAAAAGCAGCTCTCTTTTGCTAATTATTAATCTACACCAACGTGATCAACATCTCGACAATAGACAGCTCATAAGCAAATATTTTCACGTTGCGCAACGCGTGAAACAAAAAGATTTGCATGGGAATGAACAGTCGTGCTCTCAACATTATTAAATAGATCTGGATCAGCTCTGAATAAGGGCAAATTTACCCGCTCAAGTGGTTGTTCTTTTGCATCGTGTGAATTTCTTGGGTGATTTAGGGTCATTATGCTTGGTATTAGTTCATCTGCTTTGCCCTTACATAATCAGTCCAAGAAAACGTCTGAGAGTGACTTTCTATTCATTGAATGAGAAGACAGCACCTACCTTACCCCATCCTACAGGGGGCTATTCGTTGTTTGTCACATGCTTTTTCCTACTTCCGCTGAATGGAAACTGAAAAGAATCGACAACACTCAAATACGGTTAGAATTACCGAATTTTCCAAAGTGACCCAAACAAACGTGCCCTAACCTAAACTCTAAGCGGCGACAACATTGTAGTATGGCTCCAGGTGATCAACATCGCACATCTTCCATGCGTTCTATAATTGTGTTCTCCTTATCGGTTGGTGCAGTTATAATTTTAGGGATGTTGGCGGTAGCACTGACCGGTACATGGACAGTGAAATACCTCGGAGGATTCGCTTGGGATGGGACAGCTCACGAGTTTAACTACCATCCTCTTTGCATGGTGATTAGCATGGTATTTCTCTATAGCGAAGGTAAGTTTCTTTGAAGCTTAACTGAAGCATTACTGCCGCTTTGTTTGTTGTCAGTGGACTTCATTATGTAAGTTTTCGTGCTATGTTTTGCTCTTGCGATTTACTTTAAAGTCTTGCTTTCCTCCTATGTAAATCTTTTTCCTCTGCTTGTCATGAGCCGGTTTAGCCTCTGGCTTTGGCTTGACTGTGGTGAAAAGAACCAATAAATTGATGAAAAAAAATTGTAATCGTAAGCAGGTTTTAATTTTAATTTTGGATTATTGCATAATTATATTCGCTAATTTTAATTATAATGAAGTTCGAATATAACACGTGCTGTCATTGCCTTGAAGTGTTTGTTTTCCACTTGTCATATGAAATACTTGCGTGTTTTTGTGAGCTATAATTCGGCCGAATTTCACCGAACATTTCACTTTCAGATTCTGTATTAGAAACTAAAAAACTTCAGACAAGTGTTAAATTCGACACGCCGAACTATTTTGGTCTGTAAACTATTGTAGAATGTGAAACTTCTGAAATTTGATGGTTTGACATTTTGACAGCTTTAGTTTTGTACAGCCAATCAGATTATTTGAACCATTCTAACAGGGATTCTGATTGGCTTATTGTAGCGTGCTTTGTGAGAGTATAGAGCATGCTGACGACGTTGTTGTTCGCTTTGGAAATAAAGTTTGTTTTGAAAATTGAAAGCAATTCTTGGGGAATTTGACGGATTCTTTATTATAAAACAAATAGAGAAGCCTTGACTGTGCTCTGTTCTGTTTTAAAGCACTTAGGAAGCGGCTAGAGCACTCAAGAAGTAGGGAGACACACTAGACTACGTCTCGTGTTTCCCTCTACACTTCTTTCGTGCTCTAGCCGCTTCCTGCGCGCTTTACAACAGAACAGAGCACGGTCAAGGCTTCTCTATTTGTTAATTATAATAAATTTCGGATAAAACGTGCGCTGTCATTGGTTGAAAGAGCGTGCTCTATGAGAGTATAGAGCATAGAGCTTGGCTAAGGCTGTCACGCCATCTGCCAAATTGTACCATGTCCACCCTTTTCCGTGACTTTTCTCTAGTTTTTTTTCCTTAATTGAAAGTGAATTTCGGAGTCAACAAATAGCAACAGAACAACCAAACAAAGGTTTGCAAACATGCCAGGTGCCGTAATTGACGTTATTATAACGTAAGCAGAAACGAAAATCCTCAAAGGGAAAACGAAATGGACAGTTCAAGTTTTCATGGTTTTCACACTTAGTTAGATTGCAAGCTTGCGTACGGTAATAGAAATCAAACACAGCTAACACTCGTGTAGTTCATGTAGTTTCGTGTTCAAAAGCAAAGCAGAAATGATGAAAAAATATAGCCAAAGTGGCATAACTGTTAAGATTTATACCAATCATGACAGTGTCAGAGCGACCGTGATCATGCTGAGGTCCAACGCGGCTAGCTCATCACGGCGATCTCCGGTCATCGTAGTGAAGCAAGCCTCAGAAATTACATCGGCCGCTCTTCGAGTGAACAACCAAGAGCTTGCTCTCATGTCCTTTCCGATGCGTTGTGTGGAAAGCCACATTCAGTCACTGCAAACAGATTATTTGAACTATTATGACAAGGATTCTAATTGGCTTATTGTAGCGTGCTCTATGAGAGTATAGAGCATGCGACGACACTGTTGTTCGCTTTGGAATTAAAAATTTGTTTTGAAAATTGAAAGTAATGCGTGGGGAATTTAACGGATTCTTTATTATAAAACAAATAGAGAAGCCTTGACTGTGCTCTGTTATGTTGTAAAGCACTTAGGAAACGGCTAAAGTACTCAAGAATTGGAGAGAAACACGAGGCGTAGTCGAGTGTTTCTCCCTACACTTCTTTCGTGCTCTAGCCGCTTCCTGGGTGCTTTACAACAGAACAGAGCACAGTCAAGGCTTCTCTTTTTGTTAAATACTCCCGATGCAGAGGTTACCATACATGTTGTAATTAACAAGGTAATCGACGAGAGTGCATATTAAGACGGGAGATAGTGCGCCCTGCAAAAAAACGTCCTTGCTTAGCGTTTATCGACTTATGGATGTTCGCAGGCAGTTTGAAAAGCAGGAAGTAGCTCTACCTGCCTGACTGCTTTCCAATCTTCTGTAGTACATCGGTAACTCTTTTTCGCCGCTCAAAGCCTCTTTAGCCTGTATTTTCAGGTCATGTGATAATATTCCAGAGAACTTTCCCTTCAAATTTCCTCTTACATATTTGCTTATGTACGTCTCATTTACAGTAGCATAAAGAAGGGAATTCCCTTGAGACCTGAAATGACAAAACAAAACATACCAACAAAAGAGGTCGGTTTACTGTGGAACTCGGGCTTAGTGATGTCACGCAATACTGAAAGATCACTGCGTGACACCCCAAAGAACAGCCGGGAATGAGACTTCGCGGCGATACGACCTCTTTTAACCGACGATTTCATGGTGGAAGACGTAAATAACCATCAAAATTATCTGAGCTCATTACGTTGAAAATTTGTAAACCATCAGATATTTCATATTCTTTGCGATTAACATAAACGTGTTATTTTTTCGAAAATGCACCTTCTAAAACAGGGGAGTACTTGTGATATGTCCTTAGTGAAACGATTTGTTCCGATCACTGCAAAAAAAATGTTCCGATGGTTGAGATAATAACCTCTGTTTGGCTCGAAGCTGTACGTACTCATATCTTTGTCCTTGGACATCATCTCTTCTTCGAAACTCATAGTTTTCCTTGAGCTTCGCTCTCGGTAATCTGTGCGCCTCTCAAGACAAAAACTTTTACTTGAAATGGGAGAGAGGGGGAGGTAAATAAAAGGTTTAGAAATAATTCAAAATAAGTAACTGGCGTCGAAACTTTGCTACTCATTCTAGGTTTATGAAAGATCTTTGATTAAAGAGCACATTCGCCATTATGAGAAATTCATCTCGCTACCATGACAATCTAAAGGAGCTCAGTAGATTTTTTATCCTTTTGTTCCAGCCATGATTGTATTCAGAGTCTTAAGTCACCAAAACAAATTCTATGTAAAGCTGGTTCATTTTGGTCTTCAGCTAGTGGCGTTTGGAATCGCAGTCTGGGGTGTTAAGGCTGTGTTTGACTTCCACAACCATATGGGCTATCCTAATCTCTACAGCGTACATAGCTGGTGTGGATTGTCTACCATCATCCTCTTCGGTTGTCAGGTCAGTTATCCAAAGCCATTTTCTTTCTCCTCATCGAGGCAAAACAGCGGTTAAACGTCTGTGCATGTGCAAACGTTCATATGGCCAGGTGGCAGGCTTAGTTAGGGCCAAGCTGTCTTACTGGAATTATAAACAACCACAAAAACCAGTCCGTATCGCAATTTTAAAACCATAAAACATTTTTGATAAAGCTCAAAGCAGAATAGTAAATTGACAGGATACCCTGGCTTAAAGGCTCATTTTCACCCTTGATGCGATGCGCGCCGCGACCCAATTTCCTGTAACACGAAATTTCCAGATTACTGAAAACCTTCTAAAATCGTCTTTCTCAAGAGCCATCCTTGACATATAGTCAACTGTTGCATGCAGATATAAAAGTATGGTTTTAGAGCTTACTTATTCCTTAAATGGCTGTACATGGTTTTTTTCTAAGCTAAAACCGGTTACTTTCTGACATTTAACCACTTGACGACCGTTTGACGAGATAGGAGAACGTAGTTCTGTAATTGTTAGATTCATAGAGCATATCATTTTATTTTCTTTATTGTAGTCATCTTTTTCTCCCCAGATTCTGGCTGGTTTTGTGAGCTTTCTTTTCCCCAAGTTGCCTGATGGTCTTCGCGCAGCTTACCTGAAAGTACATGTGTTCTTTGGGGTGTTTATTTTTATGATGGCCATCGGCAGTTGCCTATTGGGAGTGAATGAAAAGCTTTCTTTCAACCCCAAGTGAGTACTTGTAAACTGACAATTTTAGTAGTTTTAATGATAAAAGTACAGATTTTTTTGTTGATACCGAAGGAGTACAGTCCTCTAATGGTTAATTCTCTTTTGACCAATCCTTCACTTGCTAACTTTGACGAAATCGCGCGAATCTTTTAAAAACATTTTTTTTTTTTGGCAAAGTAAAGATCATTGAAAAATCACAGAACGCGTAGCATTCAGGACATTGTAATACATTAATGTGATGATATTTACACTCTTAACTTTTGCAGCTACTCAAAACTACCACCTGTGGGAAAATTGGGTAATTCGTTGAGTGTCACACTTATCCTCCTAGCTGTCACAGTCATGTTTGTGGTGACAAACTCAGCATTCAAGAAGGTAAATACAGGTGAGGAGCGAGTGTCGTTGATAGATGAGAATTTAGCCTCTGCTTGACCCATGGTGCACTTGGATGATGCCCAATGTCTCAAACAAACCAACAAGTTGGCAAATAGTATACACCACATCAATCAATCAATCCATCGTTTTATTTAGTGATGCAGGTTACAAAAGTGGCAGCCATCAGGCTGATGTGGACCCACAATTAACTAATAAAATATGAAATAAACGAAAAATTTGTAAAATCACTCTATGGTATTTCAGTTCAGTACAAGTCAGTAAAATGAGGTTCATTGACAAATAAAAGTTACAAACTAATCTAGAAATTTACGTACAGTATAATAATACTTTAAAAAATATACAAAATCTCGGTCTTTCATAGCTATCATGGGTGCTTCGAATGAGAAGCTGTTTATGTTTTGTGAGAGCCTACTTAAAATGTTCTTAAAACTGTCTTTTTGAACGTTTGCATTAAAATTTACCAACCTATTATGCTGATTCCTTTCCCACTTTGTACTCCACCCTGGGGATTTCAATCTGTAACCCTCCCCTGCGTGATGGCCTGTTGACTAACTTCAAATTAAAAGGGGGATATAAGACTTTATCATATAAAATATCATGCATCAGGAGAAGGAGTCTTCTTTTATATGTATAAGAAATTGGCAACCAATTTAGCTTTTCAAGACTTTTTATCCTGGTGGATAACTCGTGCAGCTCTCGCTTGAACAAGGTTTAAAGAGTTCATAAAAGGGTAACTGCAGTTTCCCACAACACAATACCATAAGTTACTGCTGGTACAATGGATTTGAAGTATATTTCCTCCAGCACTTTGACAGGAAGCTTCTTCGTTCTTTTTAATGCGCCCACTTTCTGTACAAAAGATTTCTTCATATGGTCTGCATGCATTGCCCATGAGCGCACTTAGAAGGTGCTCAATATCTGCAATATACCAACAAGCTGAGATCCAGTCTCACACAGACATCATACCGCATTTAGATGATGTCTAGTGTCTGCAACATACCAACAAGTTGGCATCAAGTCTCACACAGACAACACGGCGCACTTAGATTGTGTCCAGTGTCTGCAACATACCAACAAGTTGGCATCAAGTCTCAGACATCACAGCGCACTTAGATTGTGCCCACTGTCTGTAACATACCAACAAGCTAAGATCCAATCTCACAGAGACATCATGGCGCACTTCGATGGTGCCCAGTGTCTGCAACATCCGGACAAATTGATATCGAGTCTCACAGAGACATCATGGCGCACTTAGATGGTGCCCAGTGTCTGCAACACACCAACAAGTTGGCATTAAGTCTCACACAGACATCATGGCGCACTTAGATGGTGTTCAGTATCTCCAACATACCAACAAGTTGGCATCAAGTCTCACACAGACACCATAGCGCCCTTAGATGGTGTCCAGTGTCTGCAACATACTAACAAGTTGGCATCAAGTCTCACACAGACATCACGGCGCACTTAGATGGTGTCCAGTGTCTGCAACATACCAACAAGTTGGCATTAAATCTCACACAGACATCATGGCGCACTTAGATGGTGCCCAGTGTCTGCAACATACCAACAAGTTGATATCGAGTCTCACAGAGACATCATGGCGCACTTAGATGGTGCCCTTTGTCAGCAACATACCAACAAGCTGGCATCAAGTCTCACACAGACATCATGGCGCACTTAGATGGTGTTTCGTGTGTCTGCAACATACCGACAAGTTGGCATCAATTCCCACACAAACATCATGGCGCACTTAGATGGTGCCCAGCGTCTGCAACATACCACTAAGTTGATATCGAGTCTCACACAGACATCATGGCGCACTTAGATGGTGCCCAGTGTCTGCAACATACCAACAAGTTGATATCGAGTCTCACACAGACATCTTGGCGCACTAAGATGGTGCCCAGTGTCTGCAACATACCCACAAGTTGGCAGCAAGTCTCACTAGACATCATAGCGCACTAAGATGGTGTCCTGTGTCTGCAACATACCAACAAGTTGGCATCAAGTCTCACACAGACATCATGGCGCACTTAGATGGTGCCCAGTGTCTGCAACATACCAACAAGTTGATATTGAGTCTAACAGAGACATCCTGACGCACTTAGATGGTGCCCAGTGTCTGCAACATACCCACAAGTTGGCAGCAAGTCTCACTAGACATCATAGCGCACTAAGATGGTGTCCTGTGTCTGCAACATACCAACAAGTTGGCATCAAGTCTCACACAGACATCATGGCGCACTTAGATGGTGCCCAGTGTCTCCAACATACCAACAAGTTGATATCGAGTCTCACACAGACATCACGGCAAGCTGAGATGGTGTCCCGTGTCTGCAACATACCAACAAGTTGGCAGCAAGTCTCACACAGACATCATAGCGCACTAAGATGGTGCCCAGTGTCTCCAACATACCAACAAGCTGATATCGAGTCTCACACAGACATCACGGCAAACTGAGATGGTGTCCAGTGTCTGCAACATACCAACAAGTTGGCAGCAAGTCTCACTAGACATCATAGCGCACTAAGATGGTGTCCAGTGTCTGCAACATATCAACAAGTTGGCATCAAGTCTCACATAGACATCACAGCGCACTTAGATGGTGTCCAGTTTCTACAAAATACCAACAAGTCGGCATCAAGTCTCACTCAGACATCATAGCGCACTTAGATGGTGCCCAGTGTCTGCAACATACCAACAAGTTGATATCGAGTCTCACACGGACATCACGGCAAACTGAGATGGTGTCCAGTGTCTGCAACATACCAACAAGTTGGCAGCAAGTCTCACTAGACATCATAGCGCACTAAGATGGTGTCCAGTGTCTGCAACATATCAACAAGTTGGCATCAAGTCTCACACAGACATCACAGCGTACTTAGATGGTGTCCAATTTCTACAAAATACCAACAAGTTGGCATCAAGTCTCACTCAGACATCATAGCGCACTTAGATGGTGCCCAGTGTCTCCAACATACCAACAAGTTGATATCGAGTCTCACACAGACATCACGGCAAACTGAGATGGTGTCCAGTGTCCGCAACATACCAACAAGTTGGCAGCAAGTCTCACTAGACATCATAGCGCACTAAGATGGTGTCCAGTGTCTGCAACATATCAACAAGTTGGCATCAAGTCTCACACAGACATCACAGCGCACTTAGATGGTGTCCAGTTTCTACAAAATACCAACAAGTTGGCATCAAGCCTCACTCAGACATCATAGCGCACTTAGATGGTGTCCAGTGTCTGCAACATACCAACAAGTTGGCATCAAGTCTCACACAGACATCTTGGCGTACTTAGATGGTGTCCAGTTTCTACAAAATACCAACAAGTTGGCATCAAGCCTCACTCAGACATCATAGCGCACTTAGATGGTGTCCAGTGTCTGCAACATACCAACAAGTCGGCATCAAGTCTCACACAGACATCTTGGCGTACTTAGATGGTGTCCAGTTTCTACAAAATACCAACAAGTTGGCATCAAGTCTCACGCAGACATCGTAGCACGCTTAGATGGTGTCCAGTTTCTACAAAATACCAACAAGTCGGCATCAAGTCTCACACAGACATCACGGTGCACTTAGATGGTGTCCAGTGTCTGCAACATACCAACAAGTTGGCCTTAAGTCTCACACTGACTCCTTAGTAATTGTAGCATGATTTATTGTATTATGTAATATGCCACCGTCAAGTACGACTTTTGAGCACAGAACTAACTTTATTTTTTCGATCGATGACACAGATGCGTTGACAAATGACCTTATAGAATGGTTAAATTTCAATCAATCAATCGATAAATTAATCGTTTATTTTTCCACGTAGCGTCTAGTGAGCTGGAAAGCTTGTTCAGAATACGTACGTTATAACAGAAAATAGCCTTAAAAAATACTGAATTTAAAATATATATGTGTAACAACTAGGTTTATCATAATAAAGCTAACATGTACAACTGCGAATGCCACCATATTAGGATTAAGATGACTAAAAATTGATCAAAGAGTTTGGCTGTGATCTTGTGAAAATTAGAACAGCACTTATTGTACGAAAATGATTCACATGTCTGCTGGTTAGTATTAGATACCTAAGCCATGTCTTGTTTTTGCATTTGATCCCTCGAAATCATCTTCTGTTTATGTTTTGGAATCATTTTTTTTTCTTCCTACCCACCTCTTGGTTGCATGCTTTGTACTGGTGTGCCCTGGATCTCATTCACGGCAACCGCAAATTTACCAAGATTGTATTGGCCACGATCCCCTTGTCAAAATCAAAGCGTTTTTACATTTTTATATTCTGTTAACCAGTTTTTGCCTTTTGCAATTGTTGTCCATATTGTCTATTTCAAGTCTCAAGCTGCGAAATAAACGTGATACTAAATTCCTACACCCACCCACCCCCCCCCCCCACCCCCTTAAAATAATGGGTAGGTTCTTGGGGGGGATCATGCATCAGTAATTTAAATTTTGGTAAATAAAGGGCTTTTACGTGGTACATGTTCGGCACCAAATCCTTCCCAAATTGGTCCGTGATAATAAACAATGGGCCCGCGAACCGGGCATGGAGTACCTAAATTATCCATCCAGGTTCGTGAACTCACAGAGAACCTAGACCATTTTGCCTCAGATATTGTGATTTGGGTGTCCATCAGGCGCTTCAAGGCATCATTCATTTCCTCCGGAAGTCCCGTGCTAACATGGTGCCCAGCCTTCCTTTGACTGAAATGGTTGCTGGTGTGCTGGTGTCCCATGACACAAGCATCATACAGCACTTAGATAGGGTAAAATCTCTGTAACATACTAATGAGCTGTATACAGTGTGCTGCACGAATTGTATTAATACAAAAGAAAATAAGCTAAGAGAACTAATCCCCCATACATCCAATGAATTTTTTTTTAAATCTCATTTTAGTGTACGTACCTGCGGAGCGACTATTCTGAGAACAAAAGCTGATGTTTGGCAGGCGGGCTGCGCTTTGTGCTTTGTGGTGTTCGTTATGATGACGTGATGACATTTTTGGTAGAGACGGTAAAAACAAGGGCTAAGAAAGACTAACCTCTGAGCGCTACTCCTGAAGCCTAAGTTTTTCTCCCCCTCTACTACTCCACAAGTTAGGATGTGTGGAAGATGTTTCATCTGAAGGTTTGATTGGATGAACTAAAACTTTCGAAATGCTCGATTCAGGTAAATTACCTCACGGGTTATCGATTCAGCGGCAATGGCGCAACATAACACATTTTCCAGTCTACAGAAAGTGAACCAGCTGGATCTTGATGATTTCTTAATTTAAAAAAATTAATGCCGTTGATTGCTCACCTCTGTGCTTGATTAGCTATGTGACTCCTACCTCGACCCTCGACCAAGAGACAGATTTTTATAATTTGGTAGAGAATTAAATAGCATATGGCTGTTTACAAGAGCCCCTCTATGGTTTGAGAGAAAATAAAAACATTTTAAAATACGAACTAACCGATAGTGGGAAATGATGACAGTTCTTAGAATACAAAATTAACTGGTATATATTAGAACCCAAATTCAGGAATACCTTGAGAGGAAAATGGAAAGATCTTGGATATGCGAATATTTAGAGTAGATCAAATACTTCTACAATGCGTACCACTGAAGTTAAAAAAAATGTTAGGAAAATTTGCAATGTAAAAGGAGCGAAATTTCTTGTACTGAAACCTTGAGTTTTTTTTCGAGTATGACCACAGATGTGATTTTTAACTGATTTTTATTGCAGGAACAAGCAATAGGTGAAATAAAGATGATTGGGCTCAGCAATTATTGCAACGTCATGATATTTAAAAGCTGGTCACCACAAGTAGCTCTATTCAAAGATGAAGAGAAAACAAATGTAGTTATTTCGCAACGGTAACAAGGCCACATTTTGTTGTCTTTGTCAATGTGTTCCTAGTTTCAGTTGGTTACTAGCCCTCTTTGACTGAACAACTGCCAACAGTCAATATGGCCTTTTGTTGAAAACACGCTTGATATTAATTAGTGGCGAGATCCTCCGGTTACAAAATGATGCTGCTGCAGTTTGATCATAATGGTATTCAATTAACACCGAACGCACCCAAAACTGGCTGCTTAGAACATTTGGTGGGCGATGAATGTGGTGCCAGATCAATCCAGCTGACACGAAAAGCAGGTAAGAACGCTTTGATACACTTTGCAAGAAATGCAGTACTTTTGTGTCGTAGTTCTGAGTTCAAAACGACAAAGTCTTCGGGTATCCTAAAGAACACAGTTGAAATCAAAGGTGCTTGTTAAAGTATATGCATGGCAAGAAATTTAAAAACATGCTGCACAACAATCTCTGAGGCAATTTCACAGAACCTTACAGGCACTTTCCCGGCTTTGAATATCCCACCTAATTTTATTTTACATTCTCATAATAAAATCCTTTATTTGGTTTTAACTTCTAGAGAGGATTTGACCTATGATATCGTCAAATCCCTTGGTTTTACAACTAGTGTTCAAAAGGAAAGTATTTGCGTTAAGATGTCATTCTTTCCTGAAGAATTCGCAAACGACAATATATTTTTTTCTCAAGGTTCGATCGTTTAGATAAATCCATTTATTCGTGCAATCCATCTTTCACAGAACACCTCCCATTTTGTTACGAGATTATAAACTATTTATATTATCTTGATCTTGTACAATCTGCGGATATTCCGAACTTTGAGTTTCTAATTACTGCGAACTTTTGGTCTCGAATTACGAAGAGCTTATCAGTGGGTGAATTCAAGTTGCTAATGTCTTCACCTGGTCAGAATCTTAATGGGATTTTTGCCTTAACTGCGATGGAAAAACACCAATCTCACCACATGCCGACCTTCTGCTAAACAGAAGGTTATATTTGTGAATAACAAGTGTTGAACTTGGAATAAAAAACGGCGACAATATATACAGAGGAATCGTTAGCGATAGCGATTAAAATTACAAAAGAACTTCGAAACCTTTCATGAAAGACCTTTTAAAATCATCAGAGTCCCAGAATTAAGGGACGAAACGTTTGCACGGGTCCAGAATAGAGCCAATACTTCGAGTTTCTCGAAAAAAAAGTGAGGGTCATAATCTAAGTGTGGGGTGATTTACTAACCAAGCCGGAGTTATGCCACAAGTGAAAATAGGACAAGGGGAGAATAAAATTGTATGTGTAAAATCGAATGACCTTGACCACATTGAAAATTAATTCTCTTTACACTTGTCATTTACGAGTTACAAATTAGCAATGAACACTAAAAAAAGCCACCATTTGTATATGTGACCAGAGCTAGGTAGAAGAAAACGGGAGAGAAACAAGCAATACTCAAAATGAATAAATAAATAAATTATATTTAGTTTTACAGAGTTGACGTTTGCAATGACGACTTCACCCTCGGTCCTCCTCATGTTGTTTCTCCTTATTCACGAGTTCACGAGGAATCATGATACCTCAGCTACTCAAGGTGAACTTATTTTATTAGTTTTCTTTTCCTCAACACAAATTAAGCTCTTCTCCCTATAAAGGAGAATGGAAACATTTTCTTTTTTCATCTTGTGCATTTTCGGTGAGGTCATTTTAAAACATTTCCACTGAGCCAAAAATAAATTCAGCGCTGACCTTTCAAAGAAGTATTCAGATACCTTAGGATTGGGTTTTATTTTCACACCGATTCAAAACCAACCGTTTTGTGTAACAGAAGATGTTTTGAACAAAGGAAAAGTGTTATCCATCTCACTCCAACGGAACTACTCCCCCAATGATCATGCTTTTCTGTGTTGTTATGATATGATTTTTGTCTCATGAAACAAATTTATTCGCTATTCTATCCGTGTATTCAACACAAGGAAAGCCAATATGCCAGCCATTAGGCTGAAATGAAAGTCATTCTGATTTCACCGGATCAAAAATTCAAATTTAGTGAAGGGTTTGTTCTGCTTGTTACCCATTGTTATAATTTTTTTATCGAGATAAGAGTAGAAAAAATACTTCATCACAGTCAATTAATGTCAAACCATTGATATAAATGTTGCCGGTCCCACAGCTTCTACAACGACTCCAAGTCTTAAAAAGTCTTAAAAACTGCAGGTCCTATACTCTTCTGCAGGTTCCAAACCTGCAGAACTTACGAAGACTAAACAGTCTTATAAACACTACAACCTCTACAGGTCCTATAAACACTACAGCCTCCACAGGTCTTATAAAAATGCCACAGGCAAACAACAGAGCCTCAGGTTCTCTTCAGCCTCTACAGGTTCTATAAAAACTACGGGCTCTGCAGAACTTACGAAGACTAAAGCCTCTACAAGTCTTATAAACACTACAGCCTCTGCAGGTTCTACAAATTTTACAGCCTCTACAGGTTCTACAAGCACTACAGCTTCTACAGTTCCTTCAAACACTACAACCTTTACAGGTCCCACAAACACTACAGCTTCCACTGATCCTACAAACACCACGGCCTCTGCAGGTCCTACAAACATTTCTGCCTATGCAGGTCTCACAAATACTAAAGCCTCAGCAAATCCCGCAAACAATACAGCCCCTACAGGTCCTACAAACACTAATGCCTCTACAGGTCCTACAAACATTACAGCCTCTACAGGTCCTAAAAACACTACAGCCTCTACAGGTCCCACAAACACTACAACCTCTACAGGTCCCACAAACACTACAACCTCTACAGGTCCCACAAACACTACAGCCTCTACAGGTCCTACAAACACTACAGCCTCTACAGGTCCTACAAACACTACAGCCTCTACAGGTCCTACAAACACTACAGCCTCTACAGGTCCTACAAACACTACAGCCTCTACAGGTCCTACAAACACTACATCCTCTACAGGTCCTACAAACACTACAATCTCTACAGGTCCTACAAACACTACAACCTCTACAGGCCCTACAGACACTACAACCTCTACAGGTCCAACAAACAATACATCCTCTACAGGTCCTACAAACACTACAACCTCTACAGGTCCTTCAAACACTACAGCCTCTACGGGTCCTTCAAACACTACAGCCTCTACAGGTCCTACAAACACTACAGCCTCTACGGGTCCTTCAAATACTACAGCCTCTACAGGTCCTACAAACACTACAGCCTCTACGAGTCCTACAGACACTACATCCTCTACGGGTTCTTCAAACACTACAACCTCTACAGGTCCTACAAACACTACAGCCTCTACGAGTCCTACAGACACTACATTCCTTACGGGTCCTTCAAACACTACAGCCTCTGCAGGCCCCACGAACACTACAACCTCTGCAGGTCCCACAAACACTACAGCCCCTACAGGTCCTATAAACACTTTAGCCTTCACAGGTCCTACAAACACTACAGCCTCTACAGGTCCTACAAACACTACATCCTCTACGGGTCCTTCAAACACTACAACCTCTACAGGTCCTACAAACACTACAGCCTCTACGAGTCCTACAGACACTACATTCCTTACGGGTCCTTCAAACACTACAGCCTCTGCAGGTCCTACAAACACTACATCCTCTACAGGTCCTACAAACACTTCAAACACCACAACCCCTACAGGTCCTACAAACACTACAGCCTCTACAGGTCCTACAAACACTACAACTTCTACAGGTCCTACAAACACTACAACTTCTACAGGTCCCACAAACGCTACAGCCCCTACAGGTCCTACAAACACTACAGCCTCTACAGGTCCTACAAACATTTCATCTTCCACAGGTCCTTCAAACAGTGAAGCCTCTACAGGTGTAACAGATACTTCAATTTCTACAGCTTTTACAGGTACAACGCATACTATAGAAACTGCAGGTAGTGCACGTTGTTACGATGTTAGCTATGGGTGGGCAGTGGCTAAGTGGGAAATATAATTTATCAGTTTATCAATGCTAAGAATACAAAGAATGCTAATAATGCATAGGAATGATTTGTTTAAGTCTAAAATCGGGATTTTAAAGATAATTTATTTCCTTATTTTTACAGATAATTTGTTCCCAGTAGTCTTTTTAGATAATAAACCTTCCTTTTTCAATTGTCCTCCCACATTGTATAAATTATATTTAAGAGCTCTTCCCACCAAACTATATGGTTATTGCGAAATCTTATCATGGAATGAAAAATCTCCAAAATTTTGCCAGTGCCTTATTCAATGAGAAGCAGTTTGTTTCATAGGTTTAAGTTGTCCCTCTGACGAAGGGCTAACATTCGAAACTTCAGCTTTTAAACTCTCTACAGTGGCCAGTTTGCGTTATAAACTCAGTTGATAATACTAAATTACCTGTTATACTCTCCCACCGACACAGCATCACAATTTCTTTAGAAACTTACCCCTCTCATTCTCGAGTGAAATTACTCGTCTGCCATCGACATGGTTAGAAGATTCTCTCAGCCGTATATTTATGCATAGTATTATACATGACTGTACAGATGCTACAAGTCCTACCGACACTACTACGGATACAACGCCTACTTCAAGGCTACAGGTACTGCAACTATTAGAATAAGGCGACCTGAGATATGAATATTGATCCGTTACCCATAAATCCGCCAAGAAATAATTTATCCAAGCCTGAGGAAGGGAATTTTTTACATAAATTCTTTCCATTTTTCTTCGATCCACCTTCCCTCTCTTTAAGCTGTCTTGGTTTGCGGTCTCCTTATGCATGAGCTGGGAAGAAATGAATTTCGGTAGTTTGTTATCACACCTGGGATAAACAAAATCGGACTTCCGCAGCACGGTTGTCGGATTTTGTTATTACTCGTATGATTACAGACCGAATTGGACTCCACTCAGTCCTATTACTATTACTTATTATGCACACAAAGAATTAGGTCTGACTTGCGTAGCGCGCGCGAGATTTGAACTGCTCTCATACTATGAAAAATAAATCTGAGAGTGGCGGAGTTGTGATTCGATAGTCCGTCGAGCAAGGAATCGAAAGTTTCCCTCCTTAACTTTCTCGCTGCTATTTTCTCCTTTCAAATGTTTTTTTCGCTGTCTCCTTGGAAAATCATGATCAGACAGTGTAGAGGGGGACTGCTCGTAGTTTATGACTGCATGGTGAACGCCTCGCTTCCTTGGCTAAATGCATACTCTCATAGTCAGTGCCTAGCGTAGTACGTCTCTGGATAAATAGTTAAATATATCTTTGGCCAGTTGAAAGCAAGATAACAGCAAACAGTGGCGATATCATAGTTGTAAGCTAGCGCCTTCTAAGCTTTAATATCGTTCACCTTTGTGCAACCGTCGCCCCTACCCGTCCCCCGCACCATTGTTATTTGCACTGAACGAATCCTACCAGTATCACCCTCCCCAGGGAGAGAATTTGTCTTTCCTTCAGTCTTTTTGAGCGTTTAAATTTCCTGCTGGTGTGCTAATCGGAAACTTCGACAAATCCCACATGTGTTCTGAAGCTGTTGCGCCATTGTTCAAAAATGGCCATATAGGGTCATTTTTCGCTTTAAAGCCTATTGTTATCAATGTTGAGCCACTTTCCTTGATACGATTTATATTAGTATTTTGCCTCATTATTTGTAATTTCGGGAAGAGAACTTAACTTGGCATCAATCAGAGATATTTAATATAACATCTAGGATGTTTTCCTGTTCTTAGAAAAGAGTTTTTGGCTCGTGAAACAAATCTACCAACTATCCATGAAATCAATCCAAGGCTAACGAATGCTAGCTCCTGGGCCGAACTGATTTTTAAGGGGAAGCCCACCCGAATAAAGAAACACTTAAACTTTCCCATTATATTTCAACAGGTCAAAATTTCAATTTCAATGAGAGGGATTACTTACAAGAGTAATTACAGCTGTAAATAGAGCAGAAAAAAAATTCCTCTGGGTATTCACGCATGCTTTACTAATTTTGCAGAGTACCCATGTCAAAGAGGAACATGTTCTGTAGTTCCTCAGTTTAATCTGGCTACTCCACAAAGTCTACGACAAGCGAGTACCGATCTTGGTAGGTGATAAAGGCTTCCGAATCTATAACATATCATAGTGTATTAATAAAGTGAAAATTGAACCGGTTGTAACTACACTAAAACCCTGCAAAAACTGATCCCTGAACAACCAGGGTCCAACTAGATATTAATACAGAAAGGTTTCAAACAGGAAAAAATACATAACTTCACGTTTTCATGATCAGTTTTATTTTTAAGAAAACTAATGATTAGCTTCTCGTGATAAAGCGATCGAAGAACGTTATTAGGAAGGGGGTAAGAACCAACTGAATTTTGCCTGATAAACCATGATGCTGATGTAAAGTAAATTGAAGAGCTCGCAGTATGTGGCCAGATTCTCTTTCTTCTTCCTCAAAATGGAGAGTGGGGCCTTAGGCATTAACTGATCCTGCACCAACTTCAGTTTTTCGGTCCTTTGAAAACTACTAACACTTCGTCCATCACAAGCTTTCTTTAAGTAAACTAGAAACTCAAACATGCTCCTAGTATGCACTATCCTGTTTGAAAAGGAGTTTTTCCATTTGCAGTATGCCTTGGTTGGCTTAGATCTTTCTGAGAGAAAGGCTTTCTTCCAAAAAAGTCTTGTTACAGAAGCCTTTTTTTCATCGTTCCTTATTATTAGGATTTCCCTGTAGTCGTGGATACAAATAGGGAAATATTTAGGATATAATTCAACATAACTGCGGGTCGTGTCAAATACAGGATCTATTTTATTTAAATTAACCAATAGGCTTGAAAATCACTCTGCTAAACTATGTGGGCCTCATATATTTCAGGTACCATATTTAGAGCATACACAAGAATTCCTACAGAAAAAACGACTCCTTTATCTCCTACATATACTAGTCCAACTCGAGCGCCTACAGATACTCCTCTTGCGGCACCGTCTCCAGATAATCTACCCATTGCGGCTCCTGAAGATGCATTAGCTGGTGCAGCTCCTACAGATACTCCTCCTGCTGCCCCCTATATAGATGCAACACCCACTGCAGCTGCTGAAAATGCAGCACTTGGTGTAGCTCCTGCAGATACTCTTGCCGCCGCACCTTCTGCAGATGCAATACTCATTGCAGCTCCGGAAGATACTGCACCTACTACAACTCCTGCAGATACTACACTTACTGCAACTCCTGTATATATTACAGTTCCTACGGATGCTGCAACAGCAACTCCGAGAAAAGGTACCACACCTACTGTGATAAAACTTAGGAAGGTCACGGCTCCAAGGAATATCAGACTAATCAGTTAACCATGAATTGATTGGCTCATGTCTGAATTCAGGGATTTTTGAGGAATCCTTCCGCTCTTTCTTTGATTCAAATTAACAGTCTGTTCTCTCTTCTTCCCCTGGTTATGAGTTGTCCCCTAGATCCTATGATTGAAAGATATTCCCCCAGATTTTGTCAAACAATCGTATCTCGAACAAATCATCTACGGTAAATATGTCTTTGTTAGCTTCGCAAGCTGCCTACAGGCGATTGAATACGAAACTCTTTTACATATCCTAGTTTCTAAAAAAATTATCGGAAGCTATGGAAACAGCGCAAAGGATCAATAGAACATTTAGTTGAGAAATGACTTGATGCGAGTCTACTTTTTTACCTATGTTATGCATTTCAGTAAATGTAAATTTGTATTATCCGCTGAATCTCTCCCTAACGAATTTGCATGTTGCGAGTTGGATTTTTCAGAACACGCATGTCCTAAAAATCTCCAAGAAATGTAGACGTAGTCAGTGTTATGCGATCAAATTCGAAGGCGATTCGGCACAATTTTTTTTATATATATATTTTTAACGTTAAAACAACGAACTTCAGTTTTTGAAAGAGTAAACCAAGGCGTTATTGCCATAAGCTATTACGAAAAATTTTCCAATGAGGTCACTGCATTAAGGAAATCGCTCTTGAATATGACCTTTTTTTACTGAAAATGACCAAATTTTGAGTATTTTCAAGTGAAAATGGTAATCCTTCTACTTCGTAAAAAAACGTTCATTTTAGGTGCAAATTATAGATACATCTTTCATCTTCAAACAGCCGTGCGTTGATTTAGAAGTAAGCTCTTCTAAAACTCATAAAAGTGAGTTTTATGAAGCCTTGTAGGCCAAATTTGGCCCATTCTTCTCTAGTTCAGGGCTCTCTAAGGCGAGGTCGCGTTCAAATTTGCCGCTTTCTCGGTTTTGAATAATTAATCATGTCCACGCATTCTGCCCTATGCATTTTGCCTTTTTCGAAGGATATTGTTACCGTTGCAAATATAAGGGAAAACAAAGTATGTCTTCACGGCAAAACAAATTTGCAGAATTATAACTCGATATCATCTACACGCATCACGCTTATCTTAAATCAATTGGCGAAAATTTGTCAGGACAAACCGTACTTCGAATGTTGCCAAGCTTTGGGCGGAAACTTGAATATCATGAGAATTAACAAGTATATTAACTAATACAAAAAACAACGCTGTAGATTCGAGGTTCCATTTCAATCTAAAATGAAAATCGTTTGGCTGTTTCTAAGCTTAAGGAATCCATCCGCTACACAACTTGTACTTAACTTATTCAGGTCTCTTGGCGACTACAGATACCACATTCCCGCATTTTGCACTTCCTGCGTATGTTACGGCGCCTAAAGATGTTGCCACTAACACAGGTTTAGCAGATACTGTATAAATATTATACAACTAAAACGAATTGTGAAAAAAATTGTTGAATGACTAAATTTTACTGCTGGCGTACAGTAGACTGACCACGTGTTCGAGGATGTTTAACTACCTTTAACTTTTCAGCGATGAATTTCTCAGTCTCATGCCTTCATGGTGTGAAAAAAAGTAGAGCTCGAGAATGATATTTGCAATTCATGGTAGTAACTTGTAACACTGAGATTTCTCTAGAAGAAAATGACACTTGTAATACTGAAAATTTTAACGTCCTGCAAAAAGCGTAATGAAAGGAGGGACCTGTCCGAATCATATAATTTTCCCGAGTTTCTGCCGAACTTTATTTCTATTGACTCATTCATTATTTTGATCCACAGCAAACAGAACTGATTTTTACAATGCCGCTACCTTACATTTTATTGATGGTCCTCCCAACATATCGCTGCCTACTGTTGTACAAACCCTACCAGGTTACAAAGTGACGTTTTTAGTGACCGGAACGCCTCCGATAAACACAGTAATACTGAGCCACTTGGCAGTATTCGTAGACACAACAAACACATCAGTGGCTGTTCAACTTGAAGAAGGAAATTTTGTTTGTGTGGCCACCAACAAGTTTGGATTCGACTTGAGAATGTTCTCTGTAACTTTTTCGGGTAAGCACCTCAACCTTAAATAATCTTAACTTCGATTTTGCAGCAGTAAACAACCTGCTAGAAGCGTCAATTCGCTTCACATCGTAATCATTTCATTTTTAGCCTGGATCGGAAATCATTAGTGATGTGAAAATCAAATCACACCACCTTTCTCATGTAATGCAATCAGGTTTTGACGTAATCAGGTGATTTTGGTAATTTTTATAGACAAATTTAATATTGCTGGACGTTTTCTAGATTGCCTGCTGGCGATTATTCGAGGTAAGAGGAAACGTTGTGTAAAGTTTCTAACCTTTACCGAACTATCGTTTCAGATAACAGGAACTTTCACTTGTGCTATGCCTAAGTTAACAGGGGCGTATATGAGAGGGAGGTATTCTTTTTCAAAAAGTGCACAATACTATAATTCCAAATAAAAATAAAAGTTATTAGACAGGAGAAACTGGTTCATCCCTACTTTTGAATCTTCAGAAGGTATCCTCGTAGCTCAACGTGCAAATGAGGATATTGGCATACCCTTTCTTGGACGTAAAAGGTATCGTTCAAGAGAATGTTTGTTTCAAATCTGTTTTTTGTTTAAAGATTGCGGACCAAGCTGTTCTTCTGAGTGGAGCATCTCTCACGGGAATACTCTCTCTTGCACAAATGTAACAGGTGCACATCTCAGCAACTGTCTTCCAGCTTCGACTGAAAAACTGTAAGATCATATTACGAGATAAACTATCCACACTCACTTGCTTCGCGTCTTTCTTAATTAATAGCCCCATCTTTTTCTGTTTCGAGTCAATGGTCAAGATGTTATGGTTTTGTTCGTATTGGAGTAAATCAATCAGTATCTATTTGCAGATTATTTCTTTATCGATTGGTCAAGAAGCCAAATCATCGCCATAGGTTTAATAAGGGCATATCAGTTTTGATCGATATTTTATGAAGTATCGTTAGTAATTGTACGTCTCTCATTCGATTCTTTCCCAAACACGTAGAGTCTACTCATCACTGATTTGATATACACGTACGGTTGCAGTGTGTGATTTTCTTATTTATATTCAGTCCTATGATACCAAGTGTGAGGCAAACCTGAATCATGATTTTCACTCGTGAATTATCTACAGTGTTGGAATTTTAAATGATTGTTATTTAATCGATTATGCACCGTTATCAAAACCCGAGCTGAATCGTTTTTAATGGAATTGATACATATAACTTACAAAAAAGATGCAATGGTACAACTTGATCTATTTCTGTATATGTATTTATCTTCATTTCGTTAATATAGTTATTCATCTTCGTTTCGAAACGTTTTTTTTAATATTATAAACAGCACATTAAATTAGCATTCCTAGAAACAAGAAATAAGAATTAAAATAATAAGTGAGAAGGTAAATTTGAGCTCGAAAGTGCAATAAAGTCCAGCCCATTCATCTTGTTATGAACGTGGAATGAGAAATGGTACCTCAGACCTTTGGCCTCCTACGCCCCTTTGCTGTAGCACTGTGTCAAAAGTCCGAACATACTTAGCTTCATATTTGGCACTTGTCCTTCATGCTGCTAAGATTTTGAACGTCGAAAGCATCATGTGAGTAAAATGGGTATGAAAGATGATAAATATAGCTGTACTTTTTTCCTAATGAAATAAAAACTTTTTACTCGAAATTTTCTGTGGCTCTATTCCAATATTACCATAAGATTTTTCTTAATTTTACTATATTATTAGTCTAATAACTGTGAATTCCAATGTACTTGTCGTAACTACATGTCCTAATTCATTTTCCAAAGCCTACAAGCTTCCCATCAAATTCATTTCCATGTTGTCATTGCCTTTCCCTTCAACTGTGGCAAAATTATGCATTAATTCGTCTTCATTAAAAAATGAAATATTTTTGCAGGAATTTGTCTTCAAATGCTATTACTTCTCTACCGGAAGGATTGTTTGCCAATCCAGTTGACCTAGTTAAACTGTGCGTACCATGAAAAATGCTAAGTTCACCCCGAAATCTCTATTTCTTATCATTTTTTTAAAATCTTATTGGAATATGACGTTAGATAGAAGTTAGGATACAAACGCAATTGCCTATCAGACAGATTTCATTTCCTTTTCACACGACTGTCTTGTAATAAAAAAAACAAACAAACAAACACTGTCTATTCCGTTAAACATTTGCTATGTTTTTATAGATTCCTGTCTTCAAACACTATTACTTCTTTACCAGAGGGATTGTTTGCCAACCTAACAAACCTCTATAGACTGTGCGTACCATAAAACATATTACTTTGTTTGCTTTCGAAATCTTCTTTTTCAGCCTTTTCCTAAACTTCGTATTGAAACCACTGAGGTGTAACGACTGCGTCAGGATTCAATTTAAACGTTTACTTCCTCTCTATCAAATTCTATGCCTCCACTTGGTTGCTCCTGGATTAACTTTTTAATGTTTCTTCATGGATTTGTCTTCAAATGCTATCACCTTTCCCTTTGTCTCTTCCTGAAAATCGTCCTGTAATTGAAAAAAATTACACTATTAAAAATATCTAATGTTTCTGCAAGGGATTTGTCTTCAAACATTATCACTTCTCTACCAGAAGGATTGTTTTCCGACCTAACTAACCTTTACAGACTGTGAGTACTATTAGACATAATAAGTTTACCTACGAAATCTTTTCTATATTTTGGGACTAGAGGATGAATCATTACATCATATATTTTATTACGTACGTTAAGGTACAGGTACAGGCCTGAATTTTTTTTCAGGCCTTATTTTCACTACTGCTCTATGAGGAAACACTACTACAATATGTAACTCCTTTTTCCTCGGTTGAGAAATTGGTTTTTTCACAGGGATCTACAAAAAAATGCTATAGCTTCTTTACCGGGAAGACTGTTTGTCAACTCCTCCAACCTGCGGAGCCTGTGAGTAACACGCAATAAATCTAAGCTATCCATGACTGTTTTCTCTTCATAACATTGTTAAAATGTAATTGGTACGTCGTACGTAGGATAATTGCGTGTGTCACCTCTCCAACGCTGGGGAGATTTTTCCGGTTACCAAATTTCCCTTATGGACTGTGTGTGTAGATTAACACACCAAGTTTTTCTGTTAAAAATTTCTATTTTTCCGCAAAGAAGTAATATCATGGAATTCTTTCTTTCTTGAATTAATTTCTTTCGAAGGGACTTGTCTTCGAATGCGATATCCTCCTTATCGGAAGAATTGTTTGCCAAGCTCACCTTACTGCGGCACCTGTGCGTTAAAATGATATAGATATAACTAATGTGGTTACTATGGCATTGCAGAATTAATTCTACTGATGAGATTGAATGTTTAAACTTACAATTCAAAACATTAAAAACTCTTTACCAGAGTTTTTAAGCTCTCTTTGTTATAAATGTTTTCGTTCATTTCATACGTTTCCGTTAACACCGTAGTCTCACCCATGATTTAGGAAAGAAAACTATTTTCCTGCCATTGTTAAAACAGGGAATCCGTTCTATTCATCTCACATTCCTTAAATACAGTCCTATTTATTTGGGAAAGTCTTTCAAAAGTTCATCTCATCACTTCTGGCAACGATTAAAACATGGGATGCTTTGCAGTCATTGCTTTTTTCTTTTTGCATCAGATAATACTATTTGTTTCTAGCTTAATTCATTGATGTTTTCAAAGGAATTTGTCTTCAAACGCTTTAAGTTCCTTACCAGGAGGACTGTTTACCCACCTAGTCAATCTGGGCTCTCTGTACGTAAGATAAAATATACATAAAATAAACCCTAAAAAATTTTACTCTCGTGGCAGTTGTGACCAAATTTCTTCAATGCAATAAGGTGTGTCATTTCTATGTAAAGGCTTTTTTCTCTCCACCAGCAGCTTTTTTTTAATTGGAAACCATCAAGTTCAGTTGATTTAAACAGTAATGTCTATAGTAAGTTATGTGCGTATTGCCAAGTATGTAAGTAATTCGATCAATGTCAGACGTGGAAACTGAATTTTAGAACACTAGTGTCTGCGTTGTGGAAATAAAATGAAATGAATGAATAAAAGAAGGCTAGGTATTGATCATAATACAAGGTAAACAAAATAAGACCAATTACATTCTCTCGAAAGACCGTGTTTCATCTTGTGTCGAGCCATCGGCTAATTTTCAGTAAGTTGATTCAGATAAATATTGAAACGTTAACATGCATATCCTTTAATTTTTATCTTAGATCAAAAGAAAAATGAGCCTATTATCATTTAATGACATATATATTTTCCAACTCAAATTATATGGCATATTTTTTTTGTTAGCTACTTTCCCAATTAAAAACATTATCTTAATTTTAGAATCGATTATAAGCTTGCCTACCAAGTTGCCACAGCTATTTGTTTCCTCCAGGATATGAAGTGATTAAAAACCTCTCTTTTTTCCTGTATTGATTGAATGATGTTTCTACAGGTATTTCTCTTCTAACGCTTTAACCTTCTTACCAGAAGGACTGTTTGCCAGCTTAACACAAATGGAGGCCCTGTAAGTGAAATGGAATATAACATTTGCCTTTAGCAGAAATGTTTGTCTTGTCATGGCATTGCTTTTTACCACGATTTTTATTTACTAGTCTTCCCTTTTATTTCAGATTTTTCTCGTTAACCTAAAATCTTACACATGAATTAATAAATCCCACTGGAATTAGATGAAAATCTTCGTGTCATGGTTGAATTATGCCTTCGTGTCTATTTTTTTGGTTGTTTGTTTATTTTTCAACTTACCCAAACACAGTCTAGTTTTTTCATTTGGAATATACTTGGAATAGGTTACAATATATCATGCTATTTTCATCTCTGTTTTCCCCTAGTACTTAAACTGGTGGAATTATTTTTCTAGGATTGATGAATTATTGTTTTCATAGGGGTTTATCTTCAAACGCCATTATATCCTTACCAGAAGGATTGTTTGCTAAGCCAACTCGGTTGCTTTACCTGTATGTAAATGGGAAATATTTATGTCAAAACATTCACATTTCAAGTTTACAGATACGGCTAAATTTTTTATCGTTTCCTTTCAAACACTCTCTCTTCCAGTGGTAAGCAAGCTGGGCTATGGCGCAGTTAGGCGAACACGCACATTGCTAAATCATGAGAAGTCCCAAGTGCGCATTAAGATTATATATCCTGCAGCAAACGCGCAAGAATATCATGGCTAACTAAGCGCAGTGCATCGGGGTGAGCGCGTCGGATGCACATCTTCCGGAGCTTGTGCATTTGAATGGTTAAAGATTTGAGCACCTATCGGTTTTAGAGAAATCGCGTGCGCAATGCAGATTGCCGAGGACGTACGGACTAACTGTCGTAACGTTAAAACATCACAATCAAAATTTTTGGCTCGAATGATCAGCATATTTTCTTTGATATTGGCACCACTTGCGCGCTTCACGCGTGGGAACTTATTCTAAATTGTTAGAACCGTACTTCACTCATTTATGCATTAATCTGTTAATGCTTTATAGGGATTTGTCTTCAAACGCTATAACCTTCGTAACAGAAAAACTGTTTTCCAAGTTAACAGTGCTTCATTACCTGTACGTGAAATAGAAAATAACCTCAGAAATTATTCTCGTGGCGGCATCGTTTAATTTCACTTTGATTTCTCTCTCGAGAGCCTGAAAAAGATTGTACTCTGTACAATTATGTAATGTAGATGGACCTGCATGCGCTAGACAAAAACAATAATTAAACGGTAGTGATTGTGAACCCGGACTGAAACCATCGTTCCCTCCGATCAAACTGCAATATATCTAGCTCGAGCCAGTAGGAGCTATCTCTTGAAGGGATAAAACGTAGAGTTCTGTTTCCGTGTTACGAAGCAAGATTCTCTTTGTTTCGGTTTAGATTGCTCAACGGCAACCGTTTACGACGTATTCCACATCGAGCGTTTGCTACCATGAAAGAACTGAAGATAATGTAAGTATGGACGAATGGACCATTTGCCAAATCTAACACATACACCCTTTACTTATCATACGTTTCTCTTGCTTTAATTCTGAATGCCACTGAATAATGTTAACATGCAGTTGATGTGCGCCCATGTGAACAGAATGCATGATCGAAGAATTCGAACCAGAACGTTGATATAATCAAGGTAATCCGAGCAACTCAAGAATTATCACAGATTATTTTTGTACCACACAACATATAACGAACCCCTCGGGTAAAATAACGAGATAACCAGATTGCTATAAACCAAAGAGCTAGCTCGGAAAAAATTATTGCATGGTCCATAAACATATCTAAGTATTTACCTCATCCATTCCTATTTTATTTCCAGAGCGCTTTCTCAGAATCCCATAGAGACAATTGACCCAGAAGCGTTTCATCTAGGTGGCTTCTCTGATTTCAGATTGTAAGTTTTTCCACCAAGCAGCATTGTTTTGGGTGATAGGGAAAACGTTCAAGAAAAACTTATTAGACATGAGTTAAAAGATATATGTTTACTATGTTGAGTGGAGGAATGTCGACCTCCTACTGAGGGGGGGGGGTGTGCCAGCTACTTTTGTCACTTATTTTAGTTGTACTGCTTATAGTTTCTTAGAAAAACGAGATAGAAACCTCCATAGGGCCATAACTCAGGGATGTACATAGATACTCTGGCGTGTCCCTTGAAATAATCCCGACAAAAGAGCACAATTAATGATTAGAAACAAAATTTGAATTTGTGATCACTTAGTGGACATGCATGCCTTCTAGTTACCATGCTTCCTGAATGAAACTAAATTAAATGAACATGTTTGAGATCAAATCTATCAAACTTCAACTTACCGTCTAAAAGCTACGTCAGACCATGCGTCACTTCTGTGTAACTATGCGACCGCTCATCTGTGACCGCACGCGAAAAGAGCACTAGGACCGAGGCTGCCAAAGAGCAGTCTGGTTCCTTGACTTCCTACTCTTTTAAGTAAAGAAGTAAGTTTCTAAACTGAGTTTCAACGCTGAAGTTTCGAGCATTAGCCCTTCATCAGCTTAGTAGCTCTTTACGGTGGCCAATTTACGCTATCAACTCAGTTGATGATACGAAATTACCCTGTTAAACATTATTTTGATTCGATTTTATCAAAAACTGATTTTGAAACATCGTATATGCGGAGTAATACCTTCACAGAAACTTCTTTTAGATTCTGTAACTAGCAAGATTCAAATGTCTTCAACAAATTTAGCCTTCTTTTAGAAACTAATTGTTGTGTTTTAACAGATTTCTTTTAGGAACGAAATTGAAGAGATTTAACTCTGACAGTTTTATGAACCTCAAAGTTGAAGATTTTAAATTGTTAAGTATCACGTATTTTCTATAATTTTTGGGCCGTATGTTTTAAACGCTTATATTTATGACAAAGGCATTGAACTCCAGTCGAACCTGTATTGGCCGGTCACCCACGCGGAACGGCAGGCTGACCACTCAATATAGGTTTACCGCCTCGTACAAGTTCCTCCGTAAGGAGGTGTCATAAAAACGATTAAAAACGCCATTTTATGCCGTACGTTACCGCTTATGTACATGAACAAGAGCCCATCATGGGCTCCTGACAAAAACTCGCTCAAAAACACTTATTTCGAGAGATAAACATGGATTAATAAATATACTTAAAAGCCTTTTTCAGTTGTACTTAAGTGGTTCCGCTTTAACTGACCGTTCAATACAGGTGGAAGACAATACATACAGGCCTGTAGGATTCAGTAAAAGGGTGACTACGACTTTCGGGACTTTGACAACCGACCGCTCAATACGGTGCCCTTTAATACAGGTTCCACTGTACAATCGTTTTGTGCAATTTTTGGGATAAGTTGATGGACACATGTATGTTGCCAACAGCCTTCACAAAGAATCTGTCTAATCACATACGTAGCTCCCTCAACCAGACTGATCTCTGAAAAAAGGTTGAGAGGATCGCTGTACTAACCCACTCTTGCGCATAATTTTCTTTTAGTAATTCGTGGACAAGAATTCCTCGGATTATAAAGTACCGTCGTTGGGACAAAGTCAGGAACCCGACGACCTTGGAAGTACACCTGTAAGGATGTTGTTGTATGAGTCAGATAAACAAATAAACAAATGACGATATCAAAAGTTTCCCTGCACATATGCAAACACCCAAACAATGTCATCTTGCTCAACAGAAAGGCAGTTTAGACCGGTGAAAATAGGAATCAATTCTGGTGCAAATGAATAGAATATATTGTATTCAAACTTCACGACAGCCCACATACCTCGCAGAGTTAATACAGCTTTACAGACAAATGAGTTGTCCCTTCTTTTTTCCTCCTAAATATGCTAAAAAGAAAAATATTATGTGGTCAAATTTCCACTTAAAAGCCGCAATTTCCTGTCAAAGGGCGCTATTGATACTATGTCCATCAATTATTTCAACTCATTTCGCATTTCAGGTGAATTATTTGGCAACAAAGTAGACTACTGGGTCCACCAGTAATTGTGATAGCCATTGAAGTCTATTTATCCATTTATAATTTTGCGTCCAAAAAAAATATTCTGGCTGGCTGTTCTGTTGCTCTCAAGAACCCAGGGAGACCTATGCGTTTCGAAGTTGCTTGCTCTTGTCCCAAAGTCTCCATGCTTATCTTAATAAATCATTGATGGTAAATAACTTTCTGTCCCAGGAATCCTGTCGATCAAAGCGGAGAAGTGATCAAAGTCCATCAAGATTTTGAGAACACTTATTGGTTTCGCATTCTTCAGCCCACTATGTTGACCATGGGCTTTACGAAAACTGCCTTTGGTTCTGACATGTTATTTCTGCCATGTCCTTTGGGGACGTTCTCAAATTCTTCCGTACCAAAACATGACAAGTGCACAGAATGTCCACCAGGTATTTTATCGAGTATAATTCATTGTTAGGTAATCAACCTTCTCTAAACGGCCACTATAGAAAATGAAAATGTGTTTTCCTGCTAAGAGACCCACAAGAAGAAGATGCTCAGTTTACTGAAATATTATACCATCTGAAGTGTCTACACATGCACCAAACAGCGAAAAGTCAATTGTGTCACTTGTGACAGAGATGTTATAAAGGTAATAACCAAGAGTATTTTTGAAGGTTATATTCACAGGATAATGACATCTTTTATTAGGTGGTTTCTACTCTGATACTCTTGCTTACGTGGCGGAAGGCTGCAAGCAATGTCCAAATGGATCGTATGTTCCATTTGAGAAAAAACCTGGCAAATCAATACTGGAATGCAAGGCGTGCCCACTCGGTAAGTAATTTAAAAACAAAATAATTTTAAACAGCACTATTTTGTGCAAAGAGTTTTGGCCGTGATAGGGGAAAGAGTGGTTCCGAGGCCCGCTCCCTGTAAGTTCCAGATCGTTGACGATAAGGACGCCAAATATCAATGGAATAATGTACTCATTATTTGTATCAAGGGGAGCGTTACTACTTCACTCTGCCGCTTTTTTGGTCAAGAAAAAAAAGCAGAAACATAAAGATTTACCTTTTATCTGTTTAGCCTTGAACGACAATGATCATTTTTAAGACAAACTGTAAATGAAAGTAAAAAATTTGACGAATGTAATTTCAATACAAGTTGACTCACTTGGAAAACACACTGACTTAATTTTCATTGGATTTAACAGGAACGGAAAGTGACTTTTTTGCTGGATACCGTGCTTGTCCTTGTTTGGAAGGATTTTATCGAACCCATCTATTTTCTGGATGTCGCAAATGTGAAAAATCTGGCGGACTGGTTTGCCAGGATGAATATGCCTCATTAAAACCTGGATATTGGTGGGAGTGGCGTAATGAGTCATACAAACTTCGCTACCAGGATTTCATAAAGAATCTTTTGGCTTCCTCTCCAGAGTTAGATGATTCTTCCCTACAGTACCCGCATGCGATACCAGCACCATACAGGTGCCCAGTAAAAGAGTCTTGCAAAGGTGGCCTGGACTCCCCCTGCGAAGATGGATACGAGGGTCCGCTTTGTGCAGTTTGTTCTTTAGGGTACTACAAGCAACTGGAGTCTTGCGCGAAATGTCCCTCAAAGACGTGGATTGTGGCACAGTTTTCGATCATCTTTGTCATTATAATTCTACTTGTTGCATTTTTGATGTGGAAGAGGAAAGCAACGTTATCAAAGGACCGAGGCCAGTATCTGATAGACATGTTTTTATCCAAGCTTAAGATAATAATCGGTTTTTACCAGGTCACGCACGGCTTACTGACAGTATTCTCGTACATCGAATGGCCAGAGTCACTGCATGTTGTTTCCACTTATTCCGGAATACTTCAAATGAATCTGCTTCAGATCGCACCCATTCACTGTTTATCATCAGGGCTACGCGTGAACGTCTTTGGAGAACTGCTCCTGATATTAACTGTGAATGTCACTGCCATTGGTGTAACAGGTTTTGGTTATATTGTGTTTAAGACAATAATTGTGAAAAATCACAACCTCAACGACAAAGAAAAGTCGACCAAAATCTCGGAAACGAAACGCCTGTTTTGTAAGAATTTGTTTTTCTTCCTGTATGTGACATATCTGGGTACTTTTTCCAAGACAGTCAGCGTTTTGCCACTAGCTTGCCGAAAAGTCTGCCGGGACGACGAGGAAGAGTTGTGTAACATGTACGCCAAAGCAGATTACAGCTTAAGATGCCAAGGAGCCACATATGACTATTGGCTTATCTTGGCATACATTTCAACCGCGTACGTAGTTGCCTTGCCCGTTGCCTCGTTAACTGTACTTTGGAGGCAGAAGAGAGTGATAGTATCTAAAATAGACAATGATGGTGGCTTTGGCATGGAAACAATTGAAGGGTTGAGGTTCCTCTTCGAAAACTACAAGTCTGAAGCATGGTATTGGGAACTGGTTGAAATGTCACGTAAAGTCGTTCTTACTTCTGGTGTCATTCTTGTCGGACAGGAGAGCAGATCCTACATTGGCCTCACTTGGGTTGTTGCAGGCATGTTTGGAGTGCTTTTCTGCTGGGTGAAACCGATCAAAGACGCTTCTGAGAACTTGTTGATGTCGGCTTCCCTCGCTGTTACAGTTGTAAACCTGGGCATTGGCGCTGTAAGCAGAATCCCAGCAGAGAATGTATCAAACATAGTGGATAAACACAAAGACGTAATAGCAATGAAAATACTTATACTTGGTGCAAATACTCTGGTGATTGGCCTAATTATTGGTGAGTGATGCTGAAAGGTAAACTGTTGTTATATCAACTAAACATACGGAACCCCAAAACAGTCGAGTGACATTCTGTTCCGTTGCTTGCTTTTAGGAGAGGGGATAACTTTTTAATCAGCACGACTTCAAATTTCAAGGATAAAACATTGATAATTTTATTGCCTTTTATTTCTAGGATATCAAGTGAACAGCAGTTAAACACTTAAAAATTAGAATAGGAGATAAACATTATTAATTTTTCTAACTCTTTACTTTAGCACAAGATAATTAGGAAAAGATGCAAACAAAGGCGCGGAACGCTGCCAAACAGCCCCCGTGGAAAAGCCTCTGCGCTGATAACAAACTGTTTTAAAGTACATCGTAGTCCAATACACAATCATTTTGAATGACGCAAGTTGATTTTATCACTATTTCAGTGCAATACTTGACGTTTTTGTACGGGTACTACAAAGAGTGGCGCCAAAACCCGCAGTGGTCTGTTTCTTGTTGTCTGGCTCTGCTTCTCCCTCTTGATGATTTGCAAGGAGAAGTTCATGGTATGATTGGTGATAACTTGATGAAAACCCAGATTGACACAGGAAGGACGGAGAAGCCGTCGTTTGCTGCCACTGTTAAAGACAGCGGAGCTCTAAGTTTCACTCTTTGCTGTGAAGATGTCGAAGGAAACGATGATGAAATCAGGATGGAATATAATGAGCCAAACGTTGAAGTTGTTGACTACACCATCAACAGATGTCATCGCTGGACACAAACGAAAGTCTTTGTCTTACCGTTTGTCTCAAACGCGGAACTTGGGTCTTTGGAAGATAAGCAACAGCGATATAAGTGAGTAGAAGGAAAACTTTAAAATTGTGATTAAATGATTTAAAGAAAACCGTACAACCAAATCCGTAAAAACTACCTTACAAGGAAATTTCGACGAACTATAACCTTTCCAGCTACCAAGTTGAAATAATCATACTCTTTCTAGACTTTCTAGACTAAAAAATTAACTTGAGGTTAAGCGTGAGGCAAAAAACCCTGCATCACTCCATCCCCCCTTCCTCCCCACCGCAAAAAAACTCACTATTTACCTTTTAATAACCACTGTATCTAGACACCAGACGCCTGTAAATAAGACAGCTCTTGTTGACGCTGCAGAGAGTGGTGTATCAACTAATCAGAAGATATGCATGAACAAGAAAAAAGACAGTAACGAACCAGCAGAGCAGAAGAAATACAACGAAGAACGAGGCAGCGAGTGAAGATTATGATTGACACCTGAGTTGTATATAACGTGACTGTTGGCTGTGCTACAACCCGCTTAATTTACGGCAGAACCAGATAGAAACAAACATGGCAGAACTATTACATTTCTTATGCAGATAGTTTAGGCGAGCACTCATATGAACTTTGTTTTATGATAAAGAGCTGCGAAAATGAAAATTTTGTAATCAAAAGTAGCCTTTAATGTGTACAGTGCATATATAATACGGCTGCATCACATGATATAGTATTTAACACTTTATTCAAAATCACTCAGGTTTCCTTATCTATTGCCCTTGCATTATCCTGTTTTAAATCGTTCGAAGTTGTTCGGAACAAAACGTCGGCTTTTTTTGTGGAAACAATTCAGGAAGTTGAAAAGAGCAAATGTATACAATGGTAGATAAATGGGGTAAATACGATATATAACTTAACACTGTTATTCAACAAAGCCACCTATTAAATAAAATGCTGAGATAGAATCGAAAAAAAAACGAGAAATAAAGTATACCAGTAATAGTCAATTAGACTTTCTTTTATCTCCAGCTACAAATGTTAGATAGCAACAAGTTCGAGTAAATATATGAGCCAGATACATATGCATTATATGAACTGTACACTTAGTATATGTGAGTAATGGGTTCTATACGATTTATGGCAAGGCATTATTTCACAACGAAGTCAAGCATCGAATGAATGATGAGTAATATATAGTAGTTAATTTATCTTCAGATTCAAGTCTTAGATAATAACATCAAGATCGAGTAAATAAAGGAGCCAGATACATATGCATTATCTTACCTGTGCACTTGATATTTGCGTGTATTGGGGTAAATATGATTTGTGGCTGAACGCTGTTATAGAAAGAAGCCACCTAGTAAACAACATGCTAATGTAGCATGTTATAATAGTCATAAAGCTCCATGATAATCTTCCTAGTTTTTCTAGTTATTATTATTTCAATTTTGGCGTTATTTTTTTTGTGTGTTTTGCACCTTGCCTTAAATCTTTTCCTCCTCGTCCTTGCCCCCTCCCCCGCGAGGTTTTTAATTGGTCTGCGATATTTTGGTCACTTGGGCAGCCCTTACCTTTAACTACCGCTTATTTCTCATATCCAGACTCCTCGCGAAATGGGCCTTGAAAAAGACTGGGGCGGTAGATAATCTGCTCTTAAAAAGCTCCTTAGGTACAGGAAAGTAGATATTGGAACTGCCTTTGCATTGTAGAACCGAAAAAATGTTTCCTTCTCATATGTCTGTGAATGATCTGGGTGTATTTGCAGTAGTGATGGTTTTTGGTTTGTTGATTGTTCTTTTGTTCATGTTTGACTTCGTAAGTATGACAACTTTCCTTGCTAACGTTGGTAGCGCGCGTGGAATATTTATTCACTTAATTCACTGAATGGCATTCAATTACAATATCGATTACTCCATTTCACTCGAAACATTTATTTTTTTGTTATAAGGGCTGTGCCTGTAAATTAGTGTATAGTCGTGGGGAGAATTTAGTTATCATTTCTTGTAAATCAATTTCAGTGCAATCAGCCGCGCTCCGTGTTCACAGCTACCACGAGCTAAGTGGTTTAAATCAAAATTTTCAGATGCTCGCACAAATATTTGACCTTTGTGCAACTGCGGTTGCGGTTGCTCAATAAGTAGTGTTTGTGTGAGTTAGAACTGTCTGGGTTAAGATTCCTGCACCGCGCCATACTTTATTATGTATTCAGGTCTTGCAATAAGAAGACAATAGCGAAAACAATAGGTTACATTGGCTATGAGACTACGGCTTTAATTTTTTTCAGAATTGCGTGGGGTTATTCGGAAACCCTTCCTTTTCTTTCATGCTGGAATTTACGTTGAATTTATAATTGGTCTATAGCGCTTTAGAGTCTTCTGAAAGAAATTAATAACTGCAAGAACACTCGCATAATTATCCTTTAAACAAAATAGACTTGGAAAGATTTCCATGCATGTAACCCCTACACTACTGTAAAACAATGCCTTGGTCCCAAAGGCAATCTTTTGTTTTTAACATTGTCTCTGGTAATCAAGGATTCTAGGCATGATTAAGTATGGGGCTGTGCAGAAATTCTGTCCTAGACTGGGGATATAAAAAAAACCTTATTCCTTTTTAATCTGAGTTATGGTAAGAAATTGGAAGGGTATGTGTAGAATATACCACTCACATTAATACCCCTTCTTAGTTAATAACAGGACACTGAGTTATTTCTCTTATAAGCACAGAAAACCCATTTGTCCATTAAGACTAAGGTAATACATTTACATAGAGGTACTAAAGGAGGGGTGGGGTTGGGAGAGGGGTCCTTATCCCATTTCACACACAACTTTTAAAAACATTTCTTTCTTAAACAGTATGTCACACTTCACAAATCTAAAGAGAAAACTTCAAATCTCTCCTTACCTTGTATTTCAGAAAACTTCATGCATCACATATTCATTCAGGGCGTAATCATATGTCACATATAAACCCTTTGCACTCTTGGCAGTGTTTCAGCTGGAATATTTTACTTGAAGGCCAGAGTGGTCCCTGAAGACCATTTTTAGGGACCTTTTAAGAAAGGGGCCAAGAGGCTCCGTAAAGGCACTTAAAGTCCAATATCTTGGATAGCACAATGCCTTAACTCTCAGTTTAGTTGTCTTTGGGAATTAATTCTTCTATGTGAAAACAATTTCCATTGTCCATTACAGAGGGGTACATCAAAAGGCCCATCAATTCCAGGAGAGGAACCATCAGACCCAGAGTAAGTGATTTGATAAGTACTCACATTTTCTGTGGAAGACATTTCTCTCCCCAGGGGTCAGGAGTATACACTCTGAAGTGTAGATTGAAAGGGTGTGTAAATCACCAAAACACACCTGCATGGAGATATGCCAAAGATTGCAACACAATGGCTCAGGGGTTTCATCAAGGTTTAGAGTAAGGGAAGGGGGGGGGGGCATCTGACTTTAGCAGATTAAATACAGATGAAGACAATACAAAAAAGCCATTGCCATTCAGTCAAGGGTGACCGTGACCATGACCTCATGATAGAGGTGATATTACAGTAATTAACTGAAAACAATTTGGGACTTTTACAATCAACTGCTTAACACAGGGTGACCACTTTATACAGATTCAACTTTAATTACTTTGAATTCTTGTAAATAAATTTTTTTCTGAATTCTAAATTTCAAGGATGGGTAATCTGGGTGATATGGGAAAAGCAGGCAGCCTTCACCAGTACATGATGTTATTACATGAGAAGTATGGTCCTATAGCAGGATTCTGGTGGGCCAAACAATACGTTGTTAGTTTAGCAGCTCCAGAGTACTGGAAAGAAATAAAGTCAATCTTTGATAGACCTGGTAAGAAAGAAAAATTAAAGCTGAATTTCCTTGAACTGTTTAAAGGATTATTTTGATTATCCTTATTACATATGTGAACCCTAAACTCCCAAGATCTCATTAGAAATTCTCCTTACTGTCTGCTGTACTTTTTCATATCATGTTAGTTTGGGAAATTTGATATTTGATCAAGCAATAATCCCCTAAATGATATTAACTATTTACTAACCACATGTGAAGGCCATACTCTGGAATATTGGCCCAAGGTTGTTGCTATGCCAAAACAAACAATTAAGGGCCAATTTTCCCCAGTAACTCTTGAGCAAGCAAGGTTAGTAAGTAAAGGGGTACGTTTCTAAAGTTCTGTGGTGCTGCGTCGGTGGGAAAGTGTGACAAGGTAATTTGGTTTTATCAACTGAGTTGATAATGGAAATTGGCCAACATAAAAAGTTTCAAAGCTGATGTTTTGAACATAAGCTCTTTTTCAGACACTCTAAGGACGAGCTAATGCTCAAAATGTCAGCTTTGAAACTGTTTACAGTGGCCAATTCATGTTATTAGCTCAGTTGATAAAACCAAATTGCTAGGGTAGTATGTAGTTTTTATTACTAGCAGTTGGCACCTGGACCAAACTAAATTATCTTAAATTTGTTGGCTTTTATGAACAAAAATACATGACTTATGACCCTTTCTGGGAAAATGATCCATATGGCAAAATATGAACCATTCAAGAACCCATCAGAATGCCTGGATCTACCTCGGGACTGCCTAGCTATATGATAATTTTCTTTATTGTCATCACATGTCTTCTTGTTATTGAAAAGGAGAAATTCTGTCATGGTCACTCTTTGGAGTAAGAGGGCTGAAATAACCTCAGTCTAATGTTTTTGCATAGAAATACAGCTGTTTTTGATATACATAGAAAGTTTTGTCACAAGATATTTCTAATTTACAAATATTAAGTTTTATTCATAATTGATTAACCTCTAAATAAATTATATTTTGCAAACAAAATCATATGGGACAAGTTCTGATGCATGCCATTCTTTCAAACAGACAAGATGAATTTTTTCTTTAGGCATGAGTGCTTTTAGGAACACTTCAGTTATGTTATATTTGCAAAGTCAAATATTCTAGACCACCTTCTGATCTCCAAAACATTCATATGACATAAAGAAAATTTCTAGATGGAAAGGGACTCTGAAATTGTGAAAGATGCTGTACTTATTTCTCAGTTATATTAATATTCTGTCCATATTTCAGGGGATCTTTTCAGGCTGTTTGAACCGCTCATTGGCAAGAAAAGTATCCAGTATGCCAATGGTCCAGAAGGAAGAAAGAGAAGACAGTTGATGGACAGAAGTTTTAGTCATGAAGCTGTCAAGGACTACTATGATCACTTTGTCAAGGTTTCATACAATTTTTGCTTTGTTTGCATTTTGTTCAACATCACCAGACTCTTTTTTAAAAATTTTTTCTGCTCCATTGACAGAAGCAATACCTACAAATTGGACTGCACATTACAATACTAATACAATCTATGATACAATTCTTACAGTAATGCCACTAATGATGTTCTCTTACTTACAATACTACTAATTGCTATAAGTCAGTTACAGAACTACTGTCCAACTAGATCTACTTAAAATACTACACTTTTGTGGTACTTTTCATCACTAATGAATGCTACTTAGACTATAATTATTACACTATCATGTGACATTGTATACATACTAAAAGCAAACAAACAGACAAAAAACTGGACACGTTTACACCATTAACATTACAATTCTTTTTTAATTAATCAAGTCAATAATTGTACTAGAACAGTTAGTATGCTGGACTCAGGGTCACAGTCCTTTGAGCACAATAGATAAATCCTGTCAATCCATAGATCCCAAAATGAATTCTTCCCATTGTCTGCCCTTATTTCTAAGTTTAACTGTCAAAATTTAATATTAAAAGAAACAATCCTTAGTTGAATTTTTCCTGTCTGAGGAGAAATTACGTATTGATCACCCATGGCAAAGATGTAAAACTGAATCTTTAACCATTGCCTAGCAGTTAGCGTGTCAGACTCTGGGTTGAGAGGTACAGGGTTCAGACAAGGTTTGAGGGTCATGCTCTTAGGGTTTAGGGTTAACCCTTTAACCCCTAGGAATGATAAGTATCTAATTTATCCCAACAGTATCAGCCTTGAATCACACTTTAAGGTCATGAGAATGAAGGAAATGTTCACCAACTAAAGGTGCCTTTGATTTTTAGACAAATTCTCCTGGTAAATACTATAGGAAATGTATAGAACTAATAGCATGGAGAATATGCATACTGATGCTGCTAGGGTGTGAATGGCTAACAAGACATATAGCTCTTGCAGTACCTATCTCCACTCAGTGATGAAGATGGGTGAGGGAAATGTTTGGGAAGCCTGAAAAAAAGCTAGAAATTTCAGAATTATGAACCTTAATTAATTTATGAAGATTTTTCTTTCCTTCAGATTGCCAAAGAAACAGCTGACAAGTTTGCTAAGGGTGGTTCTCAAGAACATATTCCTTTGGGGAAAAGTATGATTGCCATGGCAATTAAAGCCATCTCTGTTGCAGGAATGGGCCGTTCATTTATGGATGAAAAGGAAGTTGACAAGTTAGCCACAGTATATGATGTGGTAAGACTTCTTTACGTATATAGTATGCTGTTGGTGGAGTGGAATTAGGAAGGGGTCATTACTTTACTTACTTGAGGCTAATGAAAATTTACAGCTCCCTGCTAAGAGTAAGTCTCATCACATCACATTGCAAACACTCACTTAGTTGCTGCTCCCTTGTCATGCCCACCTTAAAGTTCGTACAACTCACATGGTTGTCATGGCTGTGTTTACACTCAGATCCAACCATTGGTATCACCAAGTTCTCAGTTAGCTCTACCATGCTCATCTGCTGTCACGTAGTTTAAATACTTTTGAATTTCACTTGTAGTGGAAAAGTTCCCCTTGAGAAACTTAAATTGATGATGCATATTGTAAAGTTTTAAAGTTGTGTTAATGCATTTGTTCTTCATAGTGCTGGGAGGAGATGGAGGAACGTCTCACATCACCTCCTCCTGGTCCAGACAGTGACAGAGAGAAAAATTTTCAAAAAGGTACAAGCACAATATTATCTGGTCTAATGTCTGGTGAATATAAAAGATGTTGTTTTATTAACTTATCACAATTAACCTCACAACCCCTAAAAGTTGAAAGTGCTAAGGAAACTAGGAAGAAGTCTCAGAGTCAATGAAGTCTCACTAAGAGTGACCAGCATCTAAATTTTCCTTACAATATCACCCCTGAATCACAAATTTAGGTCTCAAGAATAAGGGAAATGATTAACTAAAGCAACTCTTGATTCTTACACAAATTCTCCTTGTCAGCCCCTTTGGAAATGTATAGAGAACAGTGTGGAGAATATGCAGACTGATGTTGAAGTGTAAAGGGATTTATTAATTTGCATGATGTCCTGATGGCAACCTTGATGAATTTTAGATTTTTCTTCTTTTCTCTCCATTGTTTTAACCCTCCGTCATCGTAGATCTTAATGTAAATCTCCTCTCTGTCAGCCATATGCTCTCTATATCATTTAAGCTCAGAGAATTTAGTGCAAATTAAACTTTATCCTCTCGACGATTTTTTTCTCTCTTCTCATTGCCATTCTGCTTGAAAATGGGTGGATGTGGTAAGGAGAAATTCTTTCTTGGTCGCCCCTGGGAGTGAAAGGGTCTACCATTGTGTAGTAATTTCTGGTGTGGTTTTTGTGTAAGTATAAATATTCCTTTTGGTTTATGGAAATTCTTCCTCTTGAGTGTACATTTTCCAATTATTTTCAGCCCGAGCTGAGATGCAGAAACTTGTCAGAGACCTCATTAGAAAGAGGCGTCAGGACACAGAAAAAGCTGAAAAGTTATTCATTGACTCCATGTTGGATAATGACTTCATGGATGAAGAAGAGGTAACTAATTTAACCTTGTATCTAATGACTATTACCTCATATTAATAATTAAGGAGGGGCAACAAAGGGTGTGCCTTTTGAGCTGTTTTTGTCTGTTAGGGTATGGGTCAAGGTGTAGAGTTCCAGGTTACCTTGTGAGTGGAGTTTTGGGGTTCAAGCCTCAGACCAGACCAACTCTTTCGGTCTTTAAATAACTGTCGAGAATCAGCTGCCTTAGCTATGACATTCTCGTGCTCTCTGATAAGGACAATTAACTGTAGGCCCTGTCACTCACATCTTCAATGTACTAGTTAGCAGGGGACGTTAAACAACTCACCCAGTTCTTGCAAAGAGTAGGGAACATAGCTCCTAGTGATGTGGTCTAACTGAACCTTTAGATTGATTATAAAGGCCCCCATTTAAACCAGCTGTAAGCTGAACTGAGCCAGCCTGTTTTGATATGGCAAATATATAAATAAATAGGTTAGTCATAGCAATCTCATCACTGATGTGATGTACAATTATTTGTTTAATATCACAATTACTTTTTTGCTTCTTGTGTGGCTTGTATCACACTGTTCCTTATAAATTTCTTACAATACTGTAGGCAGGATTTGCTTCAAACTAACAAGCTTCTCACTGTTTCCATTAAATTCATGAAATTAATGTTTGATTCAGAGATTCTTTAGTTGGTGATCATTTCAGTCCTTTATTCCTGTGACCTTAAGATTTGACCCAAGGGTGGTTTTGTAAGGAGTAATTAGATGCTAGTCACTCTTAGGGGTGAAAATGTAAATACTTGCATCTTTCGAATGAAAGGATGTGAATAAGAAACAAGCTTTACTGGTTGATGTGATTAAAATTTTATCCTTAGTCTTCATCCTAACTTGGAGAGTACTTAATGGTGAATTTTTCAGAAACTTCAACTAAAATTAATGATGGTTTTCATATGTATGTTCTTCTCTCCTTTATAGATTTGTGACCATGTTATAACCTTTCTTATCGGAGGATTCCATACTACAGGAAACAGTGAGTTCATATTGTTTACGATCCATCAATTGCACGTGTGCATGTTTGGTCTCAACACGCCATGTGACCAAATATTCCCCAGTTAAAACAGAGGGATATCGCAGGATATCACCTAAGTGATATTCCCCAATTTTCAAACCTTACATCCACTATGATAAGTGTTCATTTAAAATTTAATCCAAGATGAGAGGGTGATTTATGGTTGTTACAGACGAAAGAAATATTTGTTTGTTCAGAGTCGTACCAAAGAATACTCAAAAGAAAATATCCCATATCATATGACATCCAGATATCATCTTTGTGTCCGAATGACAGTCTGTCATGTTTTTCATTCCACGCTGTTGCGACTCTACTCATTATAATAGATGGTCACTTATTACACATTCACTTTGAGGTGGCTCTTAGCAGAGTGTGAACTTAAAACAAGATGCTGAACAATCAGGGCGTTTCCATAACTTTTTCCATAAGCGGTTTCCAGTGGTTTAATTGAAGACCGTGTCGGAGAAAGCTTAAAATGAGAGACTACTCACTGGCTAAACAGATGGCAGTGAGAAGTCTTATCGACAAAGGTAGACCACTGGAACCTGGGTTGTGAACAATTGATTTTAGAGGCCACTAGATAGGTGCATTTTCCAATGAGAGCAAATCTCTGTGTGAAGCAAAGAAGTGAAAAAAAAATTGTAAACAAAATTGAACGCTGGAAATGATCCCAATTAAGGAATTGATACACCAGCCTTAGAAAGGGTTAGAATTTGAGTATAAATTTTTTTTCTCCAACAGTGATGATTTGGTGTTTGTACTTCCTGACCAAACATCCAGAGATCCAAGAAAAAGTTTTTGCTGAACTGGAAGAAGTTCTGGGACAGGAGGACATCAAACCTCAAGTAGTGACAGAACTGACGTAAATAAAACGTTCCTTTTATGTTAATGTAAAATAACTTACAAATGGCTCTAAGTAAGAGATGAGAATTAGAAATTTCATTTACTCCTCATTTCTCTTGCTTTTCCTATCCCTTCACACCTAACATCAGTATGCACATTCTCCATACTGTTCTCTGTACAATTCTTAAGGCTGACAAGGAGAATTTGTTTAACAATCAAGAGCTTTTCTAGTTGGTGATCATTTCCTTTATTCATATGGCCTTAGTATGTGAATCAGGGGTGATATTTTAGGGAGAAATTAGATGCTAGTGACTCTTACGGGTGAAAGGGTTTTAAAATGATTCCTGTGTTTGCGAGAAAATGAGGAACGCACGCGTGAGAGACCAGACCAGACTGATTGTCGCGTGCCTGACTTCTCCCTCGTGTGTGCTGGTCTTAAATCACTCGTTGTCTTGTCCACACTTTACTTCAGGTACACTCGTCAAGTAATAGATGAGACACTTCGTGCTTCAGTACTCGCTCCATGGGGAGCCAGATTCCACGAGTACGACCTCCAAGTCGGAGAATTTGTTATTCCAAAAGAGGTAAATCCTTTGCAATTTACGGTCTAGCGTTAAGAAGTCTTTCCTGGAGTCAAACTTATGAGGAGTTCTTATTTTATAGACCCCCATTCTTCTTCCGTTTGGAGTTGTATTACAAGACCAGAATTTGTGGCCAGAGCCGAAAAGGTAACAGTTATAGCAGACAATGAATTAGAGTTCTCACGTGCTTAGTTAAACTGACTTTCTGAGCGGGGATCAAAACTTAAACCAAACAAGACTTGTTTACACGCTTTTTCTCGCGCTTTATGGTTTATTTGGTGTCGGATTTTCGACACTCGTTTGAAATGAGCTCCTCACTTCATTCAATTCTCCTGTATCAGGTTTGATCCAGATCGCTTTAGTCTAGAGAACATCAAACAGCTTCCAAGCCTTGCTTACCAGCCGTTTGGATTCGCTGGAAAACGCAAGTGTCCCGGATGGCGGTTCTCGATCGCGGAGGGACTGGTGTTCTTGTCTGTTCTCATAAGACGCTTCAAGTTCCATCTTGTTGAAGGACAGGAAGTGAAACCTGTTTATCGCCTTGTGACGTCACCAGCTGAGGAGGTCTGGGTCACAGTGACTGAGAGATGAATCGTTGGTTCAATTGTTTTTAAAGGCTGACTCTTGTAGCTCGATGATTCGTTGCGGCATATATTTTTAGCAGCGATTGGTCGCCTACTATGTTCGAGCCTCTAACTTGAGGGTTTGTTAACTTGAGCATAAACGATTTTTCGTGCCATCGAAGAAAAAATGGGTGGCGAGACTATGATGCACCAAACTCCTGCAAAACACTAACTATACAGGCTAAACATTGGAATGAAATATAATAGATTAATAATAATATTGATGATGATGGTAATAATAATAATGATAATAATATAAGTAATAGTTATAGTAATGTAGATGACGTTGTTGCTGATGATGATGATGATGATGATAGTAACATAACATAACATATTATTGTAGTAATAGTAATAAAAATATTTCAAGAAGCTCATTCGCCAAAGAGGTTTTGAGTGGGACCTTCAGAAAAAAAAAAAGATAAGAAAGATGAAGGCTTAGTTGGTAAATTTAAAGTTAAAGTTAAAGGGGCTATTTTCGCGTAAAACTAACTGCATGTGGATCGAAATTTAAATAATTTCCTTGAGATTTTAAATGACGAATAACGAAGCAAATCAATAAATTTTAGAGGTGCATATATGTGAATTTTACTAAAAAACTTGGAAGGTAAACTTGTTGGGAAGAAGAGTTCCAAAGCGAGTAAATATGACAGCGATGATAAAGGGGCAATGAACTTATGCAGTTGGTATCATGTCACAAAGAGATGAAATAAAAAAATTTTGTGCCATGCGAAACCTTAAATATAATGGCCTTGGCTATAGTCTTGACAATAAAGATTTTTGTTAAAGGTTTTTGATGGCTGTGTTCTGAGGAATTCTTGTATTTTACAGCCGAACCTGTATTAAGCAGCTTAACCAGTGTTTGTCGCTTTTGAGAATCGCATTTCTCGTTACTCCCAGCTGATTCCGTCGCTTTTAAGTGATATATTTCCATTAATTTCGCAAATTTTGCTTTTCGGAACTTACAGTTTTCATTTGAGCTTCAAATGGTACGGAACTACAGTCATTTTTCACATTATAACACTGATCAATAGTCTCCGCTTAAAAAAAAAAAAAAAAAAAAAAAAAAAAAAACAGCTAACTCGGCGGAATAAGCGACAACAGCGTACGCTTGTGACGCTTACTGTCCACTTACGTAGGCATGGCGTGTCAACCGTCCCAGTACATTATCTAGTCATAACCATTTCAATTTCCTCAAATGTGATTGTTTTACTAACTGAAAGAAATGAAGTCTCCAAGCGAAAGCACGGAAAGTTTAACATTGCGATTTAAAGTATTTATTTCTTCTGTATATGACAATCGACCCTGGCACTTCTTCCGTTGTCAGTTCTTCGTCTTTTTTGGTTGAACTTTTGCTTACCATTTTCTGGGCCATGTTCACAGGATTTTCTCGCTTTCTCGTTGTCGCAAGCGAAAGAGGCTTTTTATGCCTCTCCAAGAATTTGTAGTTCATTTCAAAACAGGGAAGAACCTCTGGCTCACTTTGAAAAACGCTTTTGTTTGTTTTTTGACTTATTAAAAGGTTAACTCGCAATCCACTCTAAATACTTCGCTTCGTTGACCAATCAGAATGCGAGATTTTATTCAATTTTGCGATTCTGCCATCGATCTTTTTCGCAACTGGTAGTGACGAACAAACAATTTTAATGCGAAATGAAAATCCTCCTTATGATCAAGTCCGGTTGACAAACTCCTCTGGAAGTGCCGCACAATTAGCAAGCCAATGAAAACACTGTGAAAGGCACTTGAGGCCATTACAGGTCGACAGGGTCAACGAAAAAGTGCCAATTCCGATCGAGGACGAGATGGTGTTTTTCCTTAGATGCACTAACAAAACAGGAACGGGAAAAAAGGAAACTTCAAGAGGATATTTCGTAAAAAGGACAAAAAACCGCACTTAATTAACATTTGCCACAAATATTGACGGAATTTTGTGGTTTATTCAGGCTAGAATGCTAGCTTAACACGAAAGACTTTATCTATACCATTTCGTCAAGTTTAAGTACATTTTTCCTTTGCATGGGATGTCTTTCCACAAATCAGCACAATTTATCGCCTTTCGAGTTCACATTGTAGGCATGAATTGACTTTTGTCAGGACCACTTATTGACGAGAATAATAATGAAAAAACCTTTGGAAGTTTTTTTTGTGTGGAATCGAGGAAAGAAGGAGAATAATTGGTGCTGGGCTGCTTGTTGCTTCTGCTAATTTATTTTCGGAAAAACCCCAGTTACGTCTTTGATTCCTGACAGCCACGTGTCTGTATTTCAATCAAGCCGCAGCAACGAAGAGTTAGAGGCAACCAAGATTATTTGTATTCTTCCATATTCTAATGTAGCCTCTTAGGTTTCGAGTAAAAAATGACAAAGCTTATGCGTGTCTTTTAAGATGTGTTATCCTCTGAAGCCATTTTGGCAAGTTTTATTGGTAACATTTTCAAAGTAGGGTGAACGTTTCAAGGTTCAATGCCTGCTCTCTCTGTCCTAATGTGTCCCTCGCAGAAGGCGGGGCTTTTTTGTAAGGAGTATATGAATTGATAGTAAGAGTTACAGGTACTCTGAGAATCTTTACGAAAACGTGACACAAATGTAGAATTGCTTCCCCAGTTTGTGATGAGTTATTGATGTTAGTTGAAGGTTGGGGCAAACTATGTCACAAAAAAAATGCGTCATTACCCTTAATGTTCTTGTTCCCTTATGCTGCGCGTACTTTCGCGAGACTCCCGCTCTGCGTAGAGACAGAAAAAAACTGCAATGCATGCTTAGAATTCACTGGAAATTCTCATTCACCAAAATTATTTCGAACCTCTGTTTAAAGTGATATTACAAGATTTTAGATCATCTCAATTGTTTGCATTTACAATCTTCATCCCTGATGTTCATGTAGTCGTAATTTTTGTTTACATCTCCGCACATAAATCAACTCGAGTCACTGCAGTCCTGGCCTCCAGTGCAGTGTCAAAATTAGTAGTACCAAATTCAATGTTTTACGAAATTAAATGGCTCATTATTGAATGGGTCACAAAATTGAATTACGGGTGGATTATTGCAGTTGGATTGTGTCAAAATTAGTAGTATCAAATTGAATGGCTCATTACTGAATGGCTCGTTACTGGAGTGAATTCGTTAACCTGTTCGTTATATGCTAATGAGAAGAACAACCAAGAACAGCTGTGAACATTTATTCAATTAATCAAAACTATGATAAAATTTAGAACTTGACTGGTTATCTCCAGTCTGATTTGAGCACTAATGGAACAGTGTCAGTAGATTCTACTTCCTGGTACCACTTTACATAGCGGGTCGATTGTGTCAAAATTAGTTGTACCAAACTGAATGGCTCACCAAACTGAATGGTTCACTGTTGAATGGCTCACAAAATTGAATGGCTCATAATTGAATGGCTCGCCAAATTGAATGGTTCACTGTTGAATGGCTCACAAAATTAAATGGCTCATAATTCAATGGCTCACCAAACTGAATGGTTCACTGTTGAATGGCTCACAAAATTGAATGGCTCATAATTGAATGGCTCGCCAAATTGAATGGTTCACTAATGAATTTTTACTATTACCATGGTAATAATTGTAGGAAGAATTATAGTGGTTATGATTAGTTAATAGGGACCTTAAGCAAACCACGACGGCGACGGCAACGAGGACGTGGAAAAACAATAGATTTAATTGGCAGAACAATAGCGCAGCACGTGCGTTTGAAAATTTTGTACATTTCTTAGCCGTCCCATGCAAAACAACAACGTGAAATCACCACAAATTGCGTTGTCTGCAAACCGAAACCGCGACGGCAAATTATTTTAATTTCCATTTGGAACTCAACGCTTCTTTTATACGTTATGCTGAAGTTAAGGTGTGGCGCCGTATGAGACGGTAAACACATGCAGCCATTTTTTAAATTCTAATTAACGGCAGAAATTCATTTTTTAATCGAAGTCTTCCTTGGCGTTGCCGTCCTGACTGCTTAAGCTCCCTAATGTATTGGGGTGGCTGACACGCCGTGCCTATGTACGTGGACAGTAAGCGTCACAAGCGCGCGCTGTTGTCGCTCATTTCGCTGAGTTGCTGGTTTTTTTTTCTAAGTGGAAACGTATAACCGATGTCCAATTTCTTTCTTGAATTTTTTCATAGTCATCATTAATTGGTAACAGGACTTCGTGTCGTCCAATTCTGTCTTTAATCATACTCGTGATTAACAAATCACACTCCTGCTTCGCGATCGTCCGATTTTGTTAGTTCTTTAACCCCCAAGGATGACTAACATCTAAATTCTCCTTACAATATCTCCCCTGAATCACACATTAGGGCCACAAGAATAAAGAAAATGATCTCCATCCAAAGAAGGCCTTGATCGTTACACAAATTCTTCTTGTTAGCACCTTAGAAAATGTATAGAGAGCAGTGGAGAGAATATGCAAACTGATGTTAGGGTGTAAAGGGTTAATCACTCGTATGATTACAGACCGAATTGGACTCGTCTCAGTCCTATTACACAATTAACCGATGCTGCAAAAGATAATGATTTTCGTCGGCCGGTGGTGACTGTAAAGTCACAAGAATCAGCAAAAAGGCAAGTACAGATTCAAAAGCACTGCACGTTACTTGTTATTATGTAAAGTTGAAGCAGCCAATCACACTAAGTCCGCTCAGCTAAATCCACCAATCACAGAATTGACCGCAGTAACCATGGCAGTAGCCACTCATCCGAAGTGGAGAAACTTTTAACTTTAAACATCGTCTCCACGAGAGACATTTGTTCTAGATGTAATTGTTTTTTCGGAAATTATAATGGTTATGATTAATTGGTAATAGTAATAATTCAATAGTGAACCATTCAATTTGGTTAGCCATTCAGTTTAGTACAACTAATTTTGACACAATCGACCCGCTATTTAAGGCGGTGTGATGACAAGACAGTACCAGAAAGTAGAATCTACTTACACTGTTCTATTGGTGCTCAAATCAGACTGGAGATAACCAATCACGTTCGAATTCATTCTAGTAACGAGCCATTCAATCTGGTAAGCCATTCAATAGTAAGCCGTTACAATTGGTAAGCCATTCTATCATTGGTGAGCCATTCAATCATTGGTGAGCCATTCAATCATTGGTGAGCCATTCAATCATTGGTGAGCCATTCAATCATTGGTGAGCCATTCAATCATTGGTGAGCCATTCAATCATTGGTGAGCCATTCAATCATTGGTGAGCCCCTCAATTCTATTTACTTTGCTCTCCATTGTTATATAATTGACTGGGAATAGCCTACGTGTAGCCGTGCCCTCTCTGCCAAGGAGAAACGGAACCATTACTCCTTGGGGGAGGAGAGGGGGAGAGGGTACGGCTACATGTAGACTAGCCAGGAACGGCCTTATGCAAGTGGTCGAATTTCATTTTTTCTTACATACTAGAGGTCCTGCCAAAGATGCACGAAGAAATTAACTACGAGGGTACAAAACTGAAATGTGACATCTATCATACCACCGACGATTCTGGCACGTGGTGTAACTGTCCGTTTCTGTTCTGCACCGGAAGCCAGGACTGTAGCAACTTAGGTGGATTAATGTGCGGAATTAAAAACAAAAATTACGATTACATGAACATCAAGGATGGAGATTGTAAATGCAAATATTTGGGATAATTTGGAATCATGTAATATCACTTAAAACAGAGGTTCGAAATAAAGTTGATACATGAGAAATTCCAGTGCATTCTAAGCATGCATAGCAGTATTTTTTTTCTGTCTCCACGCAGAGCTGGAGACCGGAGATGCGTGAGCAGAGCGGGAGTCTCGCGAAAGTACGCGCGGCGTAAGGGAACAAAATCATTAAGGGTTAGGGGACTGGGGGGGGGGGGACTGGAGAAAAAGCCTGCTACTAAGCCCAGAGATTTTCCCGACTACCGGTCATCTACGATTCGAACGAATGGCAATGAGGCGCTACAATTGGTCATTAGCCCTCCCCTCCCTTATAACCTAACCCTTTATTTTATTTTATTTTTTTTGCGCATTTGTGATCTAGTTTCAGAAACATAATCTTTCTCCAGAGGGATATTTTTATAAAATCTTCCACCTCATTCCACTAATATGTCGCATTTTTTGTGGCCTAACTTGCCCCCACATTCAGCTAAAATAAATAACTTATCACAAGCTGTGGATGCAATTCTACATTTCTGTTATGTTTTCGCAAAGATTGTCAGAGCACCTGTAACTCTTACCATCAATTCAAAAAGGCCTGCCTTCCGCGAAGGACACATAGAGAGCACAGGCATTGAACTTTGAAACCTTCACCCTTCTTTGAAAATGTTTCCACTAAACTTGCCAAAATGGCCTCAGAGGAGCACACATGTAAAAGGACACGCATTAAGCATAAAATTTGTCATTTTAACTTGAAACCTAAAGGAAGGCTGCATTTTAATATAAATAAGCCTGATTGCCTGTACTTTGCTGTTGAATTTCGATTGAAATGCAATCACGTGGCTGTAAGGCAATAAATAGTGCTGATTTGTGAAAAAACATCCCATGTAAATACAAAATGTACTGCTCGTTGAACTTGACTAAATGGAACGAATGAAGTCTTTCGTGTTAAGCTAGCACTCTAACATGAATAAACCACAAAATTCCGTCAATATTTGTGGCAAATGTTAATTGAATGCGGTTTTTTTTCCTTCTTACGAAATATCCTCTTGACGTTACTTTTTTTCCTGTTCCTGTTTTGATATTGCATCTTGTGCGGCGCTCCCAAAGGAGTTTGTCAACCGGACTTGATTTTCATTTCGCATTAAATTGTTTGTTCGTCACTGCCATCGTGGGAAAAGTTGTGAAGTTTCTCGAACACCTGCATACGATTTTTTAAAATTTACAGTTACGAAAAAGATCGACGGTAGAATATTTTTCTGCTATCTAAATACCCAATATTTAAATACCCACTATTTTCACACAACCGTGTAGTGCTTTTGAATCTGTACTTGCCTTTTTGCTGATTTTTGTAACTTGACAGTCACCACCAGCCGACAAAAGTCATTTGTTATTCACGAGTATGATTACAGACAGAACTGGACGAAGCAAAGTCCTGTTACCAATTAACGAAAACTGTGACAAAATTCAGAAAAGAAATTAGACTTCGGTCGTACGTTTCCACTAGGCAGTCGTTTCCACAGAACTTTTCCTTAGTCTCGGAGAAAGACTTAAAGGAAGAACTGTTCCTAGCATATCTCATAAGCTCCCCTTTTATAAAAGCTTTCTTGTTGTTAGAGGGGTGAAACGACTCGAAAGGTATGCACAAATATTTGTTAAAAGGCTCCTGAAAGTAGAAAAAGTAGGACGCGTGAGGAATTATCCCAATATAGACAAAGATCTAAGAAAGAAATGCCTTGCCCAAAAAAAATTTTCAAATTTTTCACTACTTCGCCTGTACCTGTTCATATGTCCGACCAAGCCTTCATGGTCATTGGCCACCGTATAGCCGCTAACTATGGCTTTTAAATGCAAGCGTTTAGTTTTAACTTGTAAAACCCCTTAAAGAATTTTACGACAGTTAGACGAAACCCGTCGTAGAATTAAGTTTTACAATTACTGTTCGCAGAGTGCTGCTCATCAGTTCAATTTAAAAAAAAATTGCTAAAAAAAATTAATTAAAAAATTAATTAAAAATGATTAAAAAATTTAAAAAAAAAAAAATTGTGAAAAACTAACTGAAAAATGATAAAAAAATTATAAAAATTAAAAAATTAAAAATAATTAAAAAACTAATTGCAAAAAAGTTTTAAGAAATTAATAAAAAAAATCACTTATAAAGTTTTTACAAAAATAATTAGAAAAATAATTAAAAAAATTATTAAAAATAGTTTAAAAAAATTGATTAAAAAATTATTTAAAAAATTATAATGATTAAAAAAATAATACAAAGCGGTGTATTGACTAGATAGTACCAGAAAATACAATCTACTTGCTTACAAAGAAACATCACACACCACTGACGAGACAAGTTGGGAAACCAAGATAAATGTATTTTAATTATAAAAATTATTTAATAATTATAATAATTCAAAAAATGATATAAAGCGGTGTATTGACTAGATAGGACCAGGAGTACAGTCTACTTGCTTACAGGTTGGAAAACCAAGATAAATGTATTTTAATATCATTATGTGGGCAAATAACTTGGTGTGCTCCCCTTTTCCAAATTTGATGCAAGGTTCATACACCAAGGGGCTTTCCATATTGCATATCAGTCTTAGTTTTAATACTAATAGTTTGCCCCTATTTTTCACTGAAATATTAGCCTCTGGCTTAGAATGATTTTGACTTTTAAAATGAGAGAATGAAGAAACAGGGCTGCCAGTTGTGATCGATTGTTCTAGCTGGTAAGACAGGGCGTGTGGTAGGTTCCTGTGACTCGCACACTCTGCACCAACCGAAGATCATCTACGGAGCAAGAGTCTTGCGTGGCGAAATGCATAAAAAGAATTCTAGTAAATAATAAGCTTGAAGCAATGAATACCATCGTTTATTACTACGGAATTGTTTTTCAGTTTAATTTTGATTACATTTTCAAGCTTTTCGTTTTCAGTTCACAAAGTTTTGTGACGTGTTAAACTTCCGTCGAGCAATGTTCGTTTAGATGTTTTTTTCATTGTTTTGTTATCTTTTTATTCATTTTCAGAAATTATGGCTTTGCAGTGCGCTACCATAGTTTTGTTATTTTCGCTTGTGTTCCTATCGGTCCAAGTCCAAGGCTCAAAAAGAGGTACAAATCACTGACTATTTTTGTCACTGAGTCAAAAATTATGTTGTGTTGAGTACAAGGTGCGAGGCACTACTTCAGAGTACGCAGTAAATTATTGGTGATTCAAACCTGGTGCTTTACCCTACTGCAATTTTATAATTACGTAAGAAGCATATTTACTCTCTGGGTCTACTGCATGCTGAAATGACTGTTTCTTCGCTTTTTAAAGTTCTCCATTAACTTCATCTTGTGTTTAAACGCTATTTTCTTTACATAACTACATGTCATTTTATTGTACGTTATTTCTTTTCATATAGCTACGTGCCTACTTGTCACTATGGCTTAGACTTTCTCAGAGGAAGTGCTATTTTCCAGTAGACGACCTAGACATCATCCTCCCCCACTTAAAAGATTTCACATGGAACTGAGTGTGACTGTTAGTCAGTTTTCCACGCAATTGTCACGTACTCAGACGTTTTCTATTAATCTAATTCGCTTTTAACTTCCTTGTACTTCACCCAATCAAGTGTCAATTATTTGTAAACAGCCCCGCATTTTATTCCGTATTCTGCACGCACAGGGCAAAGTCCAGATAGGCAACAACCAAATAAGGAGCCCAGGTTACCTTGCCCACGTGAAAACCTTTGAAATATGATCATTTTCTCTTTTCGTCTAATGTATTTCCACCTGTTTGAAGAATGGAGACTGCAAATTATCTATTGTTCGAGGTTACTAGAGATAAAATAGAGTTTTGGTTCGCTTTCCACAGCAAAATTATGTGGAAGAATATTTTTTCGGCAAGTAGCTGTAACTGAAAAATTTTGATTGGGAAAAGCAGTAAGCATTGTCTTAGCCTGCCATTAGGCCATTTCTTAGTCTCACCACGCAGCGGGGGAGAGAGCTTGTTGCGTGACAAGACTGAACAAGCGTGACACCAACGTAGTATATTTTTGCTAACAGTTATTCAGACACCAATGGCAATAGACCATAATATACGTGTTTGAGTTTATTTCAGATAGATTGGAAGTTTATTTTTTTGCTCTCCATTGAACGATATTTTTCATTGGGGTCTTTTGAAAGTAAACGCTTTATTTCTTTGGCAAAAATGCAAACGTAAGTTACTTCGTGTCCCTTTTCAACCTACCCATCCGAAAAATAGATCTCGCATGCGTAGCATCAATATGATATTGTTCTTTACTTTTTGATATTTTCATTTTGCCTTGCTCTCCATTGTTATATAGTTGGCTAGGAATAGCGTACGAGTAGCCGTACCCTCTCCCCCAAGGAAAAACAGAAGCATTACTCCTTGGGGGGGGGGAGGAGGGTACGGCTACACGTAGGCTAGCCGGCCAGGAAGGGCCTTATTTAAGTGGCCAAATTTCATTTATTCTTTCATACTAGAGGTCCTGCCAAAGGTGCACGAAGAAATTAACTACATGGGTCAAATATTAGATTGTGATGACTTTCATACCACCGACAATTCTGGTACGTGGTGTAACTGTCCGTTTCTGTTCTGCACCGGAAGCCAGGACTGTAGCAACATGGGTGGACTTATGTGCGGAGTTGTAAACAACGATTACGACTACATGAACATCCAGGATGAAGATTGTGATTGCCAATATTTGGGATAATTTGGAATCTTGTAATATCACTTAAAACAGAGGTTCAAAATAAAGTTGGTACACGTGAAATTCCAGTGCATTCTAAGCATGCATAGCAGTGTTTTTTCTGTCTCCAAGCAGAGCGGGAGGCCGGAGATGCGTGCGCAGAGCGGGAGTCTCGCGAAAGAACGCGTGGCAAAAGGGAGCAAGAACATTAAGGGCTAAGGGACTGGGAAGGAACTGTTAGAAAAGCCTGGTACTGAGCCCAATAGTCATTTACGATCCGAACAAATGGCAATGAGGGGCTACGATTGGTCAATAGACCTCCCCTCTCCAAACCCAACTCTTAATTTTTTTGCGCCTTTAAGATCTAGTTTCAGAAACATAATCTTGCCCCAGAGAGGGGCATTTTCATAAAATCTTCCACCTCATCCAATATAATGTCGCGTTTTTCTTTTTATGGTCTGATTTGCCCCGTCCTTCAGCTAAAACCAATAACTTGTAACAGGATGAGGAAGCAATTCTACATTTGTGTTATGTTTTCGCAAAGATTTTCAGAGTAACTCTTACTATCAATTCATATACTCCTTACAAAAAAGGCCCGCCTTCCGCGAGGGACACATTAGGACAGAGAGGGCAGGCATTGAACCTTGAAATGTTCACTCTACCTTGAAAATGTTTGCACTAAAAGTTGCGAAAATGGCTTCACAGGAGGACACATATTAAAGGACACGCATTAAGCATAAGCTTTGTTATATTTACTTGAAACCTAAAAGAAGACCGTATTTTAATACAAATAAGCCTGGTTGCTTGTACTTTGCTGTATTTCGATCGAAATACAAACACATGGCCGTTAGGAATCAAATAGGTAACTGGGGTTTTTACGAAAACAAATTGGCAGCCAGCAGCAACCAAATTCCACGCCCCGCACCAATTATTCTCCTTCTTTCCTCGATTCCACACAAAAAAAACTTCAGAGGCTTTTTCTTCATTACTATTCTTTTAAATAAGTAGTCCTGACAAAAGTCAATTCTTGCGTACAATGTGAACTCGAAGGACAACAAATTGTGGAAAGACATCCCATGCAGATCAAAAATGTACTGCTCATTAAACTTGACTAAATGGAACGGATAGGGTCTTTCGTGTTAAGCTAGCATTCTAACATGAATAAACCACAAAATTCCGTCAATATTTGTGGCAAATGTTAATTGAATGTGGTTTTTTTTCCTTCTTACGAAATATCCCCTTGACGTTACTTTTTTCCTGTTCCTGTTTTGATATTGCATCTAAGGAACAACACTGTCGCGTCCTCGATCGGAATTGGCACTTTTTTGTTGACCCTGTCGACCTGTAATGGCCTCAAGTACCTTTCACAGTGTTTTCATTGGCTTGCTAATTGTACGGCACTCCCAAAGGAGTTTGTCAACCGGACTTGATCATTAGTAGTTTTTTCATTTCGCATTAACTTGTTTGTTCGTCATTGACATCATGAAAAACGTTGTGAAATTTCTCGAACACCTGCATAGGATTCTTTAAAATTTACAGTCGCGAAAATATCGATTGTAGAATACTTTTCGGCTTTTTGAATACCTACTCTTTCGAAAAAAAATTTCTAATGAATGGACTCAACAATCTCTAAAAGGTAAAGTACAAAGTTAGTATTGTTTATTCAGTCATTTGTTAAGTTAGAGACAAGAATTTGCATTTTTGAAAAACCATCTAGTCATAATTAACAGCTTTGAGAAGAGATTTATTTTGATCCTGGCGCGACGTTGTAGGTCGTGTAGATGACAGGCTTAATTATTTACAAGAGATTACCATTAACAGAATCTAAAAGGGCTGTGGATCTCTAAACTTCCGCAGGCTATTGCAAGGTGAGCTAAGCACATTTCGCCTACGTTGAAGGTGTCAAAACACCGGTGACTATTGACTGCGAACATTGGTGGACTGAACCTGTTCACGCGCCAAACATGTTGCTACGAGACACATTTGACATGCGACGATTGAGGAAAATTTACAAGTCCTAACAACTGATAGTGACCTGCTGGTGTTTTAATTTTTAATATTTGCATCGTGAAGACAGAGATCTGATGAGTTTTCACCGCTAACTACCTGGGATTTTATTGGAAACATTTATCATCTTTGAGTTGGCATGCCCTATTGGTGTGATTCAACTCATATGTCATAATATTTATCATCTGTGCTAAAGATCAAAGGGATTCGGTTCGATATCATCGACTGGTACCACAATATTTCATCTCATTAAATGGTGAAGCGGCAATCTCTTTTATATCAGCCCATGTACGGAAATGCGCCTTAAACTTACTACTTTCTTCCAGTGATAATGGCAGGAGCAGACATGAATATTAACTCAAGCGAGGTACACATTCAATATCGTCCCATCGAAGCGGCGTTTCAGGCGACATCGCTGATTTCAATCATGGTGGTAGCTATTGTCGCCAATACAATGAATATTATAGTAGTATACAGAAATTCGAACATGCAGACGCCTCGATATATGTTTATTATGAATCTTGCTTGTGCCGATTTGGGAGTAACTTTGTTAGCGATGCCGTTTTCGCTCATCACATGCATTTCGCGTGAATGGATCATGAGGGAATCGCTCTGCAAACTCCACGGATTTTTAGGGTCTTTCTTCTTTTGTGTTTCAATCTTTACGCTCACAATTATGAGCATCGAACAATATTATGCGCTGGTGAAACCGCTCGCACGTGCAATCACGATTCGCCGAGCAAGGTACATGATCGGATTAGTCTGGATTGCGTCGACATTAGTTTCAATGGGACCCGTGCTGGGATGGGGACATTTTGCTTACAATTCAAGCACTCTCTCGTGTGGAGTTGCCTATCCAAGGACGACATTGGAGAGGCTCTACTTATTATTTCTCGTGCTAGTCGCATATGTTATTACACTCCTAATTATGACGATTGCTTACATAAGGATTTTTTTCGCAGTTCGCAAGCACACGAACAGAATTGCTAAATATACAAGCGGTGGGCTTGAGGTAATGAGACTTCAGCGAAGAATCATCTATACGCTTCTATTAGTTCTGATGGTTTTTATACTCTGCTGGTTGCCATTTGTGTTCCTGATTGTGTTAGCAACTCGAAACGTAGGCGTTTCCAAATTGCCTTACGGGCTCGGCGTTGCGGCATATTGGTGCGGATTTTGCAATTCTTCGATCAACCCCATAATCTTTGTCATCAGAAACGATCGCTTCCGGGAGGGATATCGCGATATTCTCAATGAAGTTTGGTACGGCTTACGTTGTAAACGACCTCCAAAATTAGGAAGGCTGCAATTTAAAAAGACATGGTATTTGACCAAGCGAACGAGTACAGAAGAGCAAAAACAGCATGTTGTGCTCCGGGCAATTCCTTCGCTGACTGCCATCCCGGATGTAGAATTAATGTCTGATCACGACAATGATGAAAATAGAGAATCATTTTCGCTGTGAAAACAATAACAAGTAATAAAAAAAATTGGTAATATTATACAGCGGTGAATTTCCGCCAAAAATATTAATTTACAAGGTGTGAATTTATGGAGTTTTCTGAAAGAAGAACCATTGTTAATCAATTTTTAAGCCAGAATGTAAAATTTAACTTATCATGCACATGAATTCATGTAATTTTCCGTGAGTGACAGGTGGTGTGAATAAATTCTTAGAGCTGTCGGGTGAAACAGTAAGAAAAAATTCAGTTTTGTTTGGCAAATGAATGACAACTTCTATCCTGTGGCTGGTTTGATGGCAAAAACATCAATGGTTAATTTTTGTATTCCTAGGTCAGCGAAACCAGAAATGTGGACCCTGATCTTAGAAAGAGACTGATATGATATTACCACCGCAAGCGAAATTTAAAAAGGGGCTTACGCCTCGATACGCGACGCGTTCGAAACACTGTTTTTGAAGTCGATGGAACTTGGTAAAAGTCGATCATAGAATATGCTTCTTCGCAGCCTTACAGCCAAAAAGATATTCGCCTGCTCTCAACCTTTTTTTGTCTTCCTTTCGTTTTTATTTCTTTCTCTCGTATTTTAGTGGGTTAAGTGCGCCAATGTGCTACACAAAATTTCCAAGAATTCACGGTAACTAACTCGAAATGTTCATGGAAAAACTAAGAAGGAAAAGATGTAATGGGAAAGAAATTCATGAGACTTTTCGAACGCAAAGCCTACATAATTATGGGCATTCTTCATATAAACCGTTCTACAATTTTGTCGGAGACTTTGTGATTCGTGCGTGACACGTGTCAGATGATGAGTGTGAACATTATGTCAAGAGCTAGAAGCACCGCCTTAAGTGATTTTTCATCTAGGAAATGAGGGAGAAAAATTGCATTTTATTCGGGATTACATATCTTTGTATAAGTTGATAAAAGCGTCAGAATATGCGTCAGAAGAGAATTCCATACGTTATTTTGAAAATAATTTGAACGCATCATAATTTAATATTTTAATATTTTATTTAAATAATGTTCGTTGCTAATATATTGAAATAGATAGTTGGGGCCAGTCACTATTTACCGCCTGAGGGGGGAGGGGGGAGGGAGATTGAAAAGGGGGATTACCATGGTTTTCAGGGGAACGGAGGGAATCAGTCGATGCTGCGTAAAGGGAGGGGGGTCATTAGAAAACTGACTGCCAAAGAGGGAGGGGGGGAATACTACAGAGCCTTGATAAATTTTATCGTAACGCAACCAAATAATTTCTGGATGATTTTTGTAAACAGTTCTTACTTCATGTCAAATTGAAATATTGAAAGTCTATCAAGTGTATCAAGTCACCTTACAAAAAAGAAAAACTTGATTTCGCTGTAAAATTTGGATAAATTTAAATATTTAAATAAAATAGAAAGCTATTCGATTGAGTGTCATAAAACCAAAACCAACGCAATCACAGTAGCCAATCAGAGGAAAGTAAAATACCTTTTAGAGCCAATGAGAACCCAAATAAATACACCACCAAACTGTCTAAAGCGCTGGGAAACGCGGGTGACCAAGTCGTGATTGGTTTTAGTTCGAATCTGATTGGTTTAGCTAGTGTCGCGAGTTTTCTGGACCAATCACAGAGCGAAGTAAAGCAAACACAAAGCTGTTCCAGATTACTTTCGACACTCAATTGAAAATGCTTTAAATTAAATTTTCAATGCGTGTGTTACCATGTTCCCATCGTATAGTATTAATTCATGGAGTTGAAGACTGAATAAGGAAAATTTCGTTCATAATTTCTACGTTCTCTTACGATCAAAAAGTATCCTTCAGCCACTTAACATGGAGCTGTAGATGAAGTCTCTCAGTCGCTTGTCGTTGTAGTTCTTCACGTGACATTTTCAGGCTGTCGCGCAATACTAAAGCAGGGATACTTCTGGTGTCTTTTGCGACAAAAACACGCGGATGTTCATCCAGATGTTGTTTGGTTGCTAAGGTCATGCGGCCGCACCAATTTTGGAATAGGATCGATAACGTTTGCAAATGATTGATAGGTGCATACGACAAGCACAGCAAATCCTGTTAACATTAGGCCCCACGCCGCTATCTGTTTAAGGTCTGGTCGAGGTGGGTGAAGGCGCACGCGCAGGTAAAACGCTGGCGGAAGGATGTAGATTAAAATGGTGGTCCCAATTGCACCGACAAATCCCCAAACCATGGCAACCTGAAAACAAAGACAAGGAAAAAAATTATATCTTGATACTCAGTCACTTAGCACAATGACCTTATTTGGTTTCATTTCGACATAAGCATGATTACGTCATGGATCCAAAGAAGGACTGATTGCTAGGGGGCACATAGATCTAAAGTACACTCAGTAGGTGATGTTGTTGTATGACTGGAATTCTATTTCCCCAGTGCACGTTCTCATCGTTCATTCTGGAGTCACATGACAATGAAAGTGGTTCCGGTCAAAAGTCTGAGCAGGCAATTTAGTAAAATCAATGACGTCAGAGGGCAACAGTGCCCTTTTACCGGCGAATGTTGACCGACGGCTGTCGTTGCACGTGAACAGGATGTGATCAAAGGTGGAGTGACATCTTAAGCATTGGGGTATTTACCGTCTTATGGGCTTATATGTGATTTATCAATAATTTTTCAACTTGTTTTTACATTGCAGCTTCTGATGTCTTCGTTGAGTTTGTAACAAGTCCCTTGATGACTGGCCAATCGGGAAACAGATTACTTTTTTCTCTTGAGTCTCAGTGTTCCGCTCGGCTCCCTCTTAGAAAACAAAATTAAAACCCGTCCGGTTTTCCGGGAAAAGTAGATTTCCAACTCGGGCAAGCTCGGACCAGTCGTTAAGAGTTTATTAAAGAACCGCTACGCACAGATATATATATATATATATATATATATATATATAAATTATGCTACTCGTTTTCCGAATTAGTAACTACTAAGTGTAAACGAGCATCAGAAGTATAACCAAGGACGAATGGAAGATAATTTGGCTATATCAACTGCGTTAACAACGTAAATTGGCTGCCCCAAAAAGTTTCTAGTTTCAGCTTTAGAAACTCTTTATGGTGGCCTCTTACATCATCATCTTAGTTGATAAAACCAAATTACGTTCTTATACTCCCCACCGACGCAGCACCACGGTTTCTTTAGAAACTTACCCCCTTTATTCAAGGACGAATTTAGTTTATAGAACTTAAGCAACTTATTACAACGGAAGAAAACTCAGGAGATTCAACTTACTTGAGGAATGTAATACGCCAAAATGTAACCAATGAAGACAAGGAGCCCAGTCTCTATCAGCCACATTAACTGAGAAGGACCTGTACCTGTAGCGTTGCTAAAGTACTCCCATGAGCGAGTCGTCATAGACGGCTGGGACTGGAAAAGAGTTTTGGACTCTATCCGCCAAATTAACTGTTACGAGAAACGAAAAGAGAAATGATGATGATGATAATAATAATAATAATACAAGTTTTGCGAAGATAAAAATCATACGGTTTGGTTAGCATACTTCTCCTTTCGATAAAGAAACAAAATATTTTGGGAAAATTTTTCTTTCAACAGAATAAAATCTTGAAAATAGCATGCAACTAACAATGGCCGCGAGCCCGTGGTCTAGACATAACTCGTTCCAACTCAGCAAGACGGACATTATCCACTTAACTTTAAGGAAATAACATGTTTTCTATCATACCCGGTTAATAACGTTTCTGCAAGGGAAGATAAGCAGTGGAAAACTCAGCAGAAGTGTTAGCGCTAAAGCCACACGTCCTACATTGACGAGGAAATCATCATGCGGATAATTTCTTGTGATGTCCTGGTCAGTAAACTGTCTGAACTGCAAACAAAAAGTTCAGCTGTTACAATAGCTATTTTGAATCAAGAATTGAAAAGTATTCCAGTAAAGCTTTGGGCTTGCTTCGTTTTTTCCTGCCACTGGTATAGAAAACTCGCCGCGGCCTCTCAGCTAATCAGATGCAAAACTGACCGATACAAACACGACTTAGTCACTAGTAATATAATACAGTTTTTTTGGTGTAAATCTGAGCTGAAAACGAGAGATTCAGTAACTTGCAGAACGAACCAAGGACGCGAGGTTAGTAAGATATTTAGCATATCTCTGAGTTCAAACAGAGAGAGAGGGAGAGAGGGAAGGGGGGGGGGTACACAGACTTTTGAATTTAGCAGGCCTTACAGCGAAACACGGCCCACTAAATTGACCAATCATACCGAGCACGTACTAAGTGAGAGATATCATGAAAGATTCTTATTCGGTAAATGCGCAGGAACTCAGGGGAAATAAGGCAAGCAAAACTACCAAACAGTGAAGAAACGTTTGCGCTAGAAAAATTGACCGAGGTTCTTCACATTCAAACCTCATCTTAAAAACACAATTTGTTAATCTAACTGCAGAACAATTTAGCTCACCTGACAAAATCCAAAGAAACTAACAAGAACGTTGAGAGTGTAAGTGATCCCCATGGCTGTATACAAAATAATTCTCTTGTTTGCACGAGTTTGATATCGCAGCTCTCCATGCATGGGTAGGATGTTGAAATGACATGAAAAAGTGAGGCCAGCGATGGAGATAGCTGTGAGAAGCCCGCCAAAGTCATCTGGCCACAATTTCAGTGGGTTTTTAAGACTATCGACCGGCCCTCCAACGTCGTTTATGATTGACTTGTAAATCACGACTCCGGAAAGAAAAACTACACATATGACGCTGAGGAGATTTAAAAGATATCGCTGACTGATATAACAAACTGCAACTGAAAATATCATTATCGCTTAAGCTACTGCATCGGTCAATTTCAAGTTTTTGATTCACTAGCATGGTATAAATGCCTGACTGACAGTGACCACAGTGGTGGATTCAATTCTTCCAAAACAGTGTTGCAAAACAGGGGTAGTAGAGCAGAGGAAATACACTTTAATCTCTACAGAAAGGATGTATTCTGCACTTCATCTTTTAGATATTGACATGGTAAGCAATGAAATAGTTAACCAATTAAATAAAATATCAAAACTGAGAAATGTAAAGTTTTCTTTTCCTTACCTTAAAACTGAGGTAAACCTTAGTGCACTCATACTTTTTAGCAGAGTGATTGGAAAGATGACCACTGTTGGTATAGTCAATATAACAATCTTTTTTGACCAGACGGAACCATGGCCACATAACAGAACAATTATTGGTTCAATCTATGGAATAAGTTAGAATAATTTTTTATAAAAGAAGCTGAATCAAGGACGCATTTGATTGGTTCTTACTCACAAGCTATTGAAGGCCAGGAACATTTGCTTCTTTATTATTCCATGTTGCCATGGAATAATCGCAATAAAATTTCAAATTGTGGTAAGAACACCAGCGACACACTTAGCTGTGCCTTAAGTGCCACTTTTTTGTTCTTGACCCTTTAACTCCCAAGGATCTGATTGTTAATTCTCCCCTCTAGCTGTTATACATTTCCTTGTAAAATAGCTGCAAGAATTTGGTGCTAGATCAAGATAACAACTTTAACCTGATAAGTTTGATATTCTTATTACCTTCTTACTGGATAATGTATGAATATTATAGGGAGAAGTCACATGTTAATCACCTCTAGGAGTTAAAGAGTTAACCACATTATGCTATCTGTTAAATAAGAAGTAGATGAAGTCCAGACCTGGCTTAAAGACTCACTTGATACTCTCCTATTCTCTTACTCCAGAAATCTTTGGCTCTTCAATAATTGCATAATTAAAAAACAGGCTCAAAAATTTTGTTAATTTTTTATTTGTTCTTCCAAAGAGAGAAAATGTAGACCTAGTCCTTAAAAGGTTCCTTGCCATTAATAATTTTTTTAACTTGATTCACAAAAATTTCAATCTTTGTACCACTCAAATTTGTTTATTCCACCGATCTAAAGAAGTTTAGAAGAAACTACTTTGACTGCATATGTGTAAATTCACACCTGATAGTTTTAAAACTGACAGAATATCCTAGTTTTTATTAACATAATTCTTAGTTCTATGTGATCTTAAGTTTTATGATATCCTTAGTATCTTGATATTTTAGCATTTTAAATGTCTGTTATTAGAATTATTGTAGTTCAGTTCCCTTCGGCCATAAGGGGGAATACAGTCTTGACTACTGAAGTAAAGATTTACTTGCTTACTTAATCACAAATTGTCATCAATTTTTTCATATCAGATATTTAACCCTTAACTCCCATGAGTGACCAAGATAGAATTTCTCCTAACAATATCAATATAATTATTTCAAGCAGACAAGTGATAAGAATAAAGAAAAGTATCAGTTAGGGAATTAAAAGTTGATCCAATACCAAATTCTCCAAACTAACATTACAAGAACTGTATGGCAGACAGTAAGGAGAATTACTATTGAGATCTTAGGAGTTAAAGGGTTAACAGGTGTGGTTCTTTAGTCTAAAATTATCTTCTCTCTGAGTACTTGAACAACAACAAGGACGAACAATAAGACATGCTACTGATAAATCTGTAATTTTTTTTTCAGAATTAACAAACAAACTTAAACTGCTGCAACACTAACCTGGTCTGTGATCAGAATCCAGTATGCAACTGAACATAAAAACAGTGTTACAATAATGACCATTTGAGTAAGAATCTGAAAACAAAGAACAATCAATTTACATCTGACATCACCATACATCTGATTATAAGAAATAGTGTCATTAGAAGCTAGTATGAACTCAATTAGCCCTGTAACTCTGATGAGTGACCAAAACAGAATTTCTCCATACAATGTGACTATGTAAGAGAAGAACTGAACAGTATTTCTTACATGAATAGTATATCAGAGACCACACAGTTTTTGTAGTGTGTGTTTCAGGGGTAAAATTAGAGAATGACTCTCTGAAAGTAGCATGTAGCATCTAAGGTGAGATTAGCAGAACAAAGTGTTGAAAATAGTCCAGTGTTGGCTAAAAATTTTTTAACACAACTTGATCAAGCAGAAAAGTGATAAGAATAAATAAATTTGAATTTAAAGAAAGCAACAAAACTTTTGAGTCTGTCAAACATGTTTCGACAGAAACTTCTGTCATCTTCAGTTAATTACTGTACAAAGCATTGAAAGTTGAATTATAGTAAGTAGAACAATGCTAATTAAGATAAATAGTGACAACAAGAAAAGAGGTAAAGCATGAAAGGGTGAGAATTAAAAAGATAGTTTTAGATTTACATGGTGTAATTGCTGATTCAAGGATGGTTGTTCTCTTTGAATATGAATAGCCTCTTTTATCTTAAGCTGAAAGCCGGTAGAGGCGTGATCTAAAACATGGCAGTTATCTGTAGAACACAAAGCGAGACAATGTGGAGAATCTTTCCGATGCCTGAAAAAGTGAGAGGCCATGTCACTGACTAAGTGCCCTCCAACACGTGTGGAAAAATGCCACACAAATTAGTAGATAATTAGATGATCCAATACCAAATTCTCCAAATTGACATCAAAAGAATTGTATGGCAGACAGATTCCTTACTGTCTGCCATACAATTCAAGATGTGAGTTGGAGAACAAGAACTCCAAGGGCTCCCAATGGGAGTCAACCCATGACAGATGATTAGTACTTTGGATGTTCAAAAAAAATTCACCATCTTCATTTACATTATGTGATGGAAGAATTTGAGTCAAACCTACTACAGATAACAAGTACTTTGGATGCTCAAAAAAGACAAAATTCACGATCTTCATTCACAAATTATTGTGCATGGGCATCACAAATCAACATTCCTATTCTAGCAGTATGTAGCAAGTTTGTTACCATGGACCTAGTTAAATAGCCCAGTGTCTGCCATGAGTTTCCAATAACTCCGTGGTAGAACATCCAAAGTACTAATTGGAAGGTTGTAGGTTCAACTCCTATTGGAAACACGAGGAGTTTTTTTTCTGTGCCTGTGTCATTCACTGACTTACTCTCCTTTCACTTAAAACACCAGAACCCATTTCTCAAAGTCTTAGTAACGTAATGGGCTTGTACAGCTGATCTTATTTTCATTCCAGATTGGGGTTTAAAGGTTTCAAAATGATACAAAAAAACTATCAATTAAAGAAACAAAATGGATCGGTTAGGGTGCCAGAAGCTGCTTCTCTACTGTTTTAATTTTTATTTCAAAATATGGTTTTGGGCCTGTTGAGTTACCTAGACTTTTGAGGAATAGGCCTCAGAGCCTACTGGTTCAAACGGTGGATAATGCTATCCAATGGATAAATCGCGATCCAGCTGATAAGTGTCAACAAAACATACTATGCTATCCACAGGATAGAGATTTATCCAGTGGATACCATAATCCACTCTTTGATCAACCAGGGCCAGGCTTAAAAATTCACCATCTTTACTTATATCATCAATCCATATGATGTTAATTTTACTCTGGTTAGTTGTAATTTTATCAAATAGTTTGTTCACTTAGGCTTTTATCTTTCACTATAACTCAATTCTTGAATAATCAAGATGAAACAATTAAACATACCTTTCCCTTATTTCCAAAAGCAATATTAGCAACATCTTCAATATTTGTTATTTTCCCTTGACAGTATCTCTTACTGTTTATGACGAGAAATGCCCCATGAGTGGATGCCATAAGAACACAGAATAAGATTATAGATGTCACGATAAAACCTCCTTCTTGAAATGCAAATGGTAATGAAAGAATCCCCCCTCCAACCATGGTTGAAACAAGAGTGAATATTGATGAAAACACAGTTCCTGTTCTTTCATGTTCCTCGCTATTTACAGGATGGATCAGTGGACTGGATTCATTCAGAGGTGATACCTCATCTTTGTCTTCAATCTCTGAGTAATCACTACATTGAAAATATACAGTTAACAATGAGGTGCTGTCGTTTGTTGTTCAACCAGCTGCTCACTTGATATGTGGTAGATCATGACACTTTGACTGTACACTGCTAGTCTTCATCTGACCAGGAGGTTTAGTGGTTGTACATTCTAAGGACATCACCGTGGGAGAGGGGGGAGGGGGTTAGGGGGAGGGAGGGTCTTAGGATTATAAACTTGTGTCAGCAAGAATCTTTTACCAAGATCTTTTTATAGTGCTTGAGTTGTTCGTCTGTAACCACCCAGACAGATTCTCTATCTGGATGGGTTGGTTAGTTGATAGGAGCTCACAAATTCTCTGGGCCTCATAAGCTAATTTCGATGTATGTGGTGTCCGCAAATTTATCCAGAAATTCTAAATTTAGTGATAAGGTCATAATTGTGCCTTACTTTCACCTAGATTACATCCTATAGATTAATCCTTCCTAGTTCGCCTGCAGGGTTTTATGATGTTTGCACTGACTATAGTTGTGAAAAACCAAGTAACTTCTTGAAAAAAGCCATCAAAATCCACTCAAGTGACAATAGAAGCTTTCAAAAGCTACTTAATCAACTGCAGCACAAAATATCGATTGCGTTACTTCCTCGAGGGACGATATTCATTGCGCAATCATCGATTACACAAATTTATGCATCATAGCTGATTATAGCTGAAGAGCGACAAATTGACATTTTCCAAGTACAGAATTAACGACAGAAGCATCATTTTTAGTTATAATTCTATAAAATCTGTTTACATAGGATGACCTCCTTTGAAACAAACAGAAATTTAAGAATGTCTAAAACACAATGAAGTGTTATTTAAGCGCGATAAAATCAACCAACACAATTTACAACAAAAATACAAGGAACTTACGTGCTTAGGTTTATAGCAGATTCTTCGACATTTAGTTGAACTTTTTTACTTTCCTCCGCCATTTAAATTCAACTTAATGAAGTTATTTTTCGTATAATTTTCACAGTCCCTCTTCCGCCTTCGTCTCACAGTAAAAGATGATTCCAGAGTCACGCTCGCGGTGTACTTCGCCGTAACTATTCCGGAAGTGACATATAAGGTAACAGGAAGGAAATAGATCTTCTCCGGTTGAATCACCACTAGTACGTAGTCCCTCTCCGTTTCTTATGACGTCTACCGGTCTCGCACAGTCGCTTGGTCGGTGAGGAAGGGATTAGAAGTGGAGTGGATCGCTGAGATTTAGTTTTCAAAATGAATGTTTTAAGAACGTGGAAACAGTTGTCCAGACTTGGACAGACAACGGTAAGCTTCTTTATAGTCTCAACTCGCTGTTGTCTAATTATATTCCGCAGATCTGTTCTAAAAAATGAGTACTTTGCGAATCAACATGCGTGTACTGCATGTGATAACAAGAGACGCCGTTAGCAGTTTCCATTATCGTTGTTACCAATATCTGTATTTTTTTACTTTGTTTTGCAATTATTATGTAGCAAACTCTTCCACAAGGGCTGATAGGCAGTTTGGTACGACTCCAGTCGACGCAAGCTCAAACTTTGGTACGTCCCATTTAATATCCTGATGTTGACTTCCTTATAATTAAATTGGAAACTTTCGCTTTGTTCTTCTCTGGCAATTCGTAACTTGAAAAATATCCGTTAATTTTCTTTTCCAGAGCTTGAAAGAAACAATGTATCGCATAGTCCCGGAGAAACAGAAGGAAGTTGCGGAATTCCGGAAAACTTACGGCGATAAATCTTTGGGGGAGTACACAGTTGACCAGGTACTTTTCACACTCCATGTCACGATTTAAAGAAATTGCGTCACATTTTCTGTTAGATTTTTGTCACGTTAGGGTATAAAGGCCTATTTTTACTATCATTTAAACTGTCTTATCCAAAGTCATCTTATAAGATCTCTGCTTCCCCGTTTGTTTTCCTTCGTTTGGTGTTAGATTTTAATACAAAAATTATAAATTAAAAGGTTCGTCGGTTAATTTTTACCTTCCAGTTCAATGCCTAGATCTATAGTTGAACCAGAGTACTGAAAGGGCAATCTGATTGTGGTTTATTGTATAATTTAGTGCTAATGGTCATACTTTTAAAGTGAATCGAAAGTTTTTTTACTGTTATTTTGGTGTAGTATTACTGTAGCTCGAATTATCATGATATTTGATCATTAATATTGAATATTAGTCAGTATTGTTTTGATAAATTGTTCTTTCAACTGGAGATTGATTTACCGGTGATGTAGTAACTAAACTTGCACAATTTTGCTTGTCCATCTCAAATTCTATTATCTTTTTTGGTAAAATTTCCGCACAGCCCCATGCTATTGTAAAACAAATCTGTTTTCCCAATGGCAATGTATTGTTATAGTCATTGTTTTCTCTAATCAAGAACTGAATGCATAATGAAGTATGGGGCTGTGCGGAAATTTTACCTCTTTTTTGATCCTTAAAATCTGATCATTACAACAGTTGCTCACATGTTAAGCAAAACATCAGGGAAGGATTTTGGGCAAGCTGTGGTTGTGGTTTCTGGTGCTGTTAAATGTGACATTATATTGTTCAATCAGAAACATTCAACTTAACACAACTATTTAAGCATTTATATTGTACCACTTCTACTAATACTTAACACTTTCACTCCCAGGATTAAAATAGTAATTCTCCTGACTGTTTTCTATACAATTCTTATGATGTTGGCTTGGAGAATTTTGTATTTGATCAACTGATAATCTTCAAATTGATGTTTTTCTTTATTCTCATTACTTGTCTGTTTGATTTTGTATTGATACTGAATGGAGAAATTCTGCCATGGTCACTCAATTGGGAGTTCAGGGTTAAACCTAGTAAATTGTAATTTTTATGATATAACAATAAAATCTTATGCCATTGATAGAAATTATATGTTTTATGATGCATACTACTTTAATTAGCAGTAAGTTGGGTTAGATTGACATTGATAAGGGTGCCCTGAATTGTTTTTTATAGGTTTATGGTGGTATGCGAGGTATCAAAGGTTTGGTTACAGAGACCTCACACTTAGATGCAAATGAGGTATTGAAAGAAAAATCTATAATAGTAATAGAACCAAGTGGAGTCCAATTCTGTCTTTAATCATACCAATGATTGACAAAATTAGACAATCGCAAAGTGGGAGTCTGATTTGTTCACACAAGTATGATTATGGACAGAATTGGAAGACATGCAGTCCTGTTACCAATTAATCAAAAGTATTACAAAATTTGAAAAAGAAACTAGACACCATTTGCTCTAAAAAAAAAAAAATTATAGTTAACTTGGCAAAATGCAAGACAACAATGCATGTACACGACTCATTCTGCTTAGGGTTAGGGTTTAGTCAAAAGTATTACAAAATTTGAAAAAGAAACTAGACACCGTTTGCTCTAAAAAAAAAAAATAGTTAATGTGGCAAAATGCAAGACAACAGTGCATGTACATGACTCATTCTGTCCACTCACGTAGGTATGACATGTTAACTGTCCTATTACACTGTCCAATTACAAGCATGATGCATACACTGTCCTATTTGTTTTCAAATTGGGCTGGTGATAACCAATCACTTCAAGAATTTTGTTATAGTTTTGGTTAAATCCAGAATAAAACAATGTTCTGTGACTATTACCCAACAGTCAGTAATTTCACTAATCATTTTTTCAACATTCCAGTAACACAGTTCAGTACGGTGTGCTATTTACAACACATTATCTACTTACAATATATATATTACAATGATCAAAATATACCGTGCAAATCTCAGAATACACTATTCCAATATAGTATTAACCTACAACAGACTAATTTTGTTGGTCTTGAGTTGGTTTTGTGAGCCATTACTATGGATGCACAAGAAAATGAGTAAACTGACTCAACGTTTGTCTTTTAAGTCTGAAGAGAACACCAACACTCTCAACATTCATATGAATAACTTATCATTATCTAATAACTGCAATGTATGGGTAAGGTCCGAGATACAGCTTGTGTGGAGTACTTTGGACAACTCATTGAAATCCGAATTTTGTGAACCTCTTAGGAAAAGGAAATTGGCTTGTCTTGGAAGGTTTGAAAAATTGGGTCTAAAACCATCAATAATAGAGTATGTTAGTCTAAATTCTGTTTAAGTTAGCAAGAGTTTCAAGAAACTGAGAGCATTAGAAAGCAGGATATTAACTTGATATTAAGTTTCTAATGCTAAAAGCTCCATTTTGAGCAATGTCTGATTTCCTTACCATACAATAATTGCATGTCAGATTAAAGTAGTCCAGCACATTTTTAAGGGTATGTAATTTTTCCTTCAATTTCTTTTAGGGGATTAGGTTCCGAGGCTATACAATTCCAGAATGCCAAAAGGTATGTTCTATCATTTAATGCATATTTGTATGTGGAAGCTATTTATTGTTTGCAGTTGTAAAGGTGACTGTTCTTGTTTTTCTCAAAAGAAGAGTTAAAAATAGTTAGTTAATTTTTCCCATCATTATAATTTATAAGTATTCACCAAAGTGGAGGTGAACAGTTGTGGGTATTTGCAGCAAGTTAAATATCCTCCAACTTCACCGACACTGAGATGAATGACTACTATAGTATATGCCACACAGACTCCAAAAAACTAGTTTATTTCTCTTGGTATACCAAAAAATTAGACATAAATTTAACTCTTGATTTGTGGTTTTGTCTCTTCAGCTGCTCAGAGGTGAACAGTACTTGCTATTCACTTTTGAGCTGGCTAATCAACACACATGAAAAACTGCTAGTATCAGATATTAAAGAAATGTTACAGAAAAGTAGTACTGAATGTGTTCCATCTGATAACAGATCTTCTTTTGACTTTCTCTGAAGCTTTTGCCCAAGGCAGATGGCGGTGAGGAACCTTTGCCAGAAGGAATATTTTGGTTACTTATGACAGGAGAAATACCAACAAAACAGCAGGTGCGTTTGATGAATTTTTATTGGTTATTGGATTGCAACTTTTCTAAAGGAAACACTGTAGTCCTGTGGCATGGGCACTGGTCTCAGGATGAAGGAGGCCCAGGTTCCTGTGTTGTATTTTTGGGGAAGACTCCTAACTTCTACAGTACATCTATTTACTCAAGAGCATAAAGTTGAATCTTGCCCTGTAGACACCTCACTATTACAGACACCTTGCCATTACAGAGAAGAGCCAGCCTCCCTGGCAAAATGCTTAAAGAAATGACTGAAATAAACTCCCGTTTTTATGGACACTTTGCTATTTTGGAAATGTGTGCCCCCCCCTCCAGCACAACCTTCAATTGTTTTTTTCCTCTTGCTTTAGTGGACACTTAATCCTGATTCACATAATGTAAAGTGACATTACCATAAGGGAAAATAAAGACTCCATTTTTCAGTTAGGTGCAAACATGTCAATTTCCTTCTTGTGGTCGCATCTTTTTCTGGTTCATGAGGGGTTCATCAAGGGGTTACAATGTAACCCCTAGATCACAGGTCAAGAGAAGGAAGCAAATGATTCCCAACTGAAGAAAGCTCATGATTGTTAAATAAATATAAATTCTCCTTTTCTGCACCCTAGGAAATGTATAGAGAACAGGATGTAGAATATTCACACTGATTAAAGAGTGTTAAAGACTAAAGAAGTGTCACTGAATTGTGTTTCGAAGGGTCATACTACAGATGATCTAATGTTGGGTTTTCATTTTTTCAGTCTCCATTATTAATTGTGCACAAACACATCCATAAACTCAAAACCCATAACTTAATAACATAACATACAAGTATCTCTATTTTTCTATCTTATATATTCTTGAAGGGGTAAAAAAAGACTCTTCATTAAATACTGGGCTGACAACACAAAGAAAATGGCTACATGGTAATACAGAAATCCTCAAAATGCAGCTTTCTATCCAAACACTGCCACTAACATATGGAATAATCCATTTGCAAGCTGGCTTATAAATGTCAAATATCACCATGATAACTATTTTTCCATTTAGAAACACTTTCTTGACAGATGGACAATGCTTACTGGATAAATCAACTATCCTCTAGAGAGTGTTGTAACTTCTGTCAACGCCATTCTCTAGATCGTGATTTATTCATTTAAAAGCATTATATACTTGGCCCAGGTAAATTTACAATGTGAGGGAAATGGTTTTGAGGTTTTTTTCATTCATTTGTAACCAAAATAGGTTGACAACTTGTCCAAAGAATGGGCTGCCAATGCTGACTTGCCGCCACATGTTGTGCAGATGTTGAACAACTTTCCTGAGACTCTGCATCCAATGAGCCAGTTTAGTGCAGCAATCACAGCCATGAACAGCGAGAGTAAATTCACCAAGGCATACGCAGGTGGAGCTCCTAAAGCAAAATACTGGGAGGTAAAGCCTGATGAAGATTACTACTAGTACATATCTTAAATTCAGGAGTTTCAATTGTAGCAGGTATTGAAGGGGGGGGGAGATCTACCTGCTTGTGAAGACCTGACTACCTGCTTGTAGCCTTCACATCAATATCACTGTACTCTCAACAAACATATAGCTATCTTCGAATTAAATGACTTTTAGGAACAAAGAAGTAACATGAGTCTGAAAAGACCTCAAAATACAGAAGAAGAGCTTCAAAATTTCCAAGGGAGCCCAAACTTGCCAAGGAACAGGAAGCCTTTAAGGCCCTCAAAACTACATGACTGCCATTGTAAACTCCCTATTTTTGCTATATTTCAAGGAAAGCACTATTAGGAGATTGTCAGTAGAGAATACACACAGTCTGACATATAATTTTATTTTGAAGTAACTTCTACTTTGAAATGTAGTTTTTCTTTCACCTGTAACCAGTGGTTTCTAGAACAGATTAGAAAAAACAAATACTCTGAGGCTAAAGATCAATAGCACAAGAAATTTTGTCTTATTTGGACCCAACACATTGACCAGCTCCCAGTTGGCTCATTAGCTCAGTTGGTAGAGTGTTACACTGGTATCGCAGAGGTCATGGGTTCAAATCCCGTAAGGGCCTGAATTTTTTTTTCAGGTCCTATTTTTCAATTACTAGTTCTGTAGTGTTCTTAGCTGCATGATCTCTTAATTTCATTTCTTCACCACAGAGCAAATATATGAATTTCATGTATCTAAAATCAGCACAAGAAATGGTAATGGAAAGCAAAGCAGAATAGCAAAAAAAAGTGAACAAACATTATTATTATTATTAAAATCTAGGCTTTATTTGTCACCATCCAAAAATATTGACATTTCTTAAAGTTCCTTACTCCCAAACCTGTGAACATTTGATTCTCTCTCCGCAGTTTACTTTTGATGACGCCATGGATGTGACAGCCAAGATCACAACAGTGGCAGCATACATATACAGAAATGTGTTCAAGGATGGAAAAGTTACACCTGTGGATCCAGGCAAAGATTGGGCTGATAACTTATCTAGCATGCTTGGTTTTGAGGATCCTATGTTTCACGAGATGATGCGACTGTACCTTGTTCTGCATGCCGATCATGAAGGAGGAAATGTCAGTGCTCATACCACCCACCTTGTTGGCAGTGCTCTATCAGATCCCTATCTGTGCCTTGCTGCTGGTATGAATGGTCTGGCGGGACCTCTTCATGGCTTGGCTAATCAGGTCAGTACCTGTGTTTTCAAATGAGCTCACAGCCACTGGCTGTTCACATATTTTTTCAGCCTACTTTTATGGGGAAAATAGCCCATTGTTGAAAACAGCACCATGTGACAAACATTTATTGACAAAAAAATGAGCTTTGTATCTGCCAAAATTTATAAAATGACATGTAAAAATAGAACAAACTTGCCTGAATTCAACAAAATTTCAGGAGTGATTTGTTGGGATTTGTTCTTTGAATCTTTTTTTCATTTTTGTAAAAATGAGCCTAATACTGGTATCTACTGAAGATAATTCTTGTTTCAGAGTACATGAGATGTGTTTTAGGTGGAAAGAAATACTCCTAACCCTTTCACTCCCAGATCACATTCGTAATTCTCCTGTTTTCCACACAATTCTTATAGTGTCAGTTCAGAGAATTTAGTATTGGATCAACTAAGTATCCCCAAATTGATATTTTTCTTCACTCTCATCACTTGTTCGGTTGATACTGTATTGATATTGTGAGGAGAAATGCTGTCTTGGTCACTCATGGGAATTAAATTGTCAAGGGGCATGCATAACTTGTCACTCCAAAGGAACACTGTAAGCAATCTTTTGAATTCAAGATGCATTGGCAGGGAAAATTTCAACCATGTAGTGTGCTAATAAATAACTGTTGAATATACATTCAATTGAATTTTGTTGGAAATTAAGTCATACTGATTTTAAAGTGTGCTTTTTTCACCTCTGCCTATGAATTTGATTGATGGTTGACAATAGATAATTAAAATATTACATACAAATTTCATTATATTACACTTTTTTGTTATTCAGGAAGTCTTAATCTGGACCACAAACATGCTAAAAGATGTGGGAGACAACCCATCTACAGAGAAAGTTAGGGAATATGTCTGGAACACTCTGTCTGGTGGGGTAAGTACCATGCAGGGATTTCTGCCACTTTACTTTTTGGTTGATGGGCACTGGTTGTTTACCCTTTTAATCATGAGTAAAAAAAAACAATCAAAATGGGTGTTTAATTCAGCTTATTGATACTGCATACAAATTGCATGTAGCAACCTTGTTCTTTTTTCCTTTTTTTTCTTAATAACAGCAAGTTGTGCCTGGTTTTGGACATGCAGTTCTGAGAAAGACAGACCCCCGCTACACAGCCCAGAGAGAATTTAGCTTAAAGCATTTGCCAGATGATCCCCTGTTCAAACTTTGTGGTCAGCTGTATGAAATTGTTCCAAATGTTTTGCTGGAGCAAGGAAAAGCAAAGAACCCTTGGCCTAATGTTGATGCTCATAGTGGAGTTCTTCTTCAGGTAATTGAAATGTATAGGAATCTGGGGCAGGGGCCTTGGAGTAAAGGAATTGGAAGGGAAGTTTGACACAGGATTGGGTGGGAAGCAAGAATGTAATAAGTTAGGAAGTTGAAGAAAGTGAAAAATGGCAAATATTTTTTTATCAAATATCTGCAGTGTTTGATAGGTGCCTTCCACATTGTTGGAAGACCTTGCCTTGTTTGTGGGTCAGAAAATAATTTTCCCCCTCAACAAAAATGATATCATTCTGTTAAATTATTATCATTCTGACTATTAATAACAACGATGATAATGATGAGTGTGTAATTGACAATTTCATGTAACTGTTTAAATGCTTTGGGGTCTGTTTCTTAAAAGACATGGTCACTTTATGGGCCAGACAGGATGATTTTTTTTGCCATGTTCTAGATCAAGATTTTGACAGTTTTGAACTTCAAACAATGAAGATATCAGGAAATGAAAACAGAATGACCTGGATTTTGAGCTGAGACCTGCAATTTCATGTGTTTACTTAGTCATCTTTTGTTTTGATTACAGCACTATGGTTTGACAGAAATGAATTACTACACTGTCTTGTTTGGTGTATCGCGTGCCCTGGGTGTGCTTTCATCATTAGTCTGGTCTCGTGCCCTGGGTCTCCCAATTGAACGCCCGAAGAGCATGACAACGGAATTGCTTAAATCAGCTGTTGGTGCTTCATAGGCACTCCTGAATACTTTCAAAACAAAATATGGATCTTTGCTGCTGGTCTGCTTAAAGGAAACGGAACTGCAACGATAAAACACCCAGTGTTGTTTTTAGAAACTTTTTTTTTTTTCAAATTTTCATTTTCTCTTCTCTAAACTTTCTTTTGTGTGCTTCAACTGGATATAGTAAGTAATTAATAAGTATACTACAGGAAAAATTGTATTGGATAATTCAGTGTTATTGACACTTTGACTGCACTTTTTATTAACAAAACAGAATAGACTCAAGTATTTAAGAGTGAAGTGTAGGTAGTGATAACACATGGATTGAATGATAAAGGGAAATCATATTGTACCCATGCAGTAATTTACCTTGATAACAGCATATTCTTCTCACAATTTATGTCCAAAGTTCTTGATATGATAATAATTTTGTACAAGTTACACAGAATTTCCCAAATAAAAACTAGCTCCTCACAATAGTGCTTTAATTTATCTTCTGTCTCACATATAATGGTATCGTTAAGTGAAAAGTTGACAGGGCAGGACTATGCAAACTTAAAGACGTTTATAAAAAATTGCAGGATGCAGCATAACAAAATTAACTGCCGTTACCAATCACTTTCAACACTTGATCAATTCATGTTTCCCAGCAATTGTGTAAACTTAAAAAAAGGACAGTTCAATCTATCAAAGTCTTTGCATCCTTCACAACAACCAAGAAACAACACACAATTAAAAAAAGATGATCATGAAAACAACACCAAAACTTTATTGAGGTCAAACTCTTGCCCTGTTAAACAACTGGCTTTCAACCAGCTCAAAAAAGCAAAAAAAAAGCGTACTTAAAATTAGTGAGCAGTATGCTTATTACAAATATTAAATAATTATAAAAAGACTACCTAGCTAGACTGTCTTGAAATTTTGTTTTCAATACTGAAATTGTGGCAAGGCTTTCCCGTGTTTAGAAAAGAAGTTCAGACAAGTTGTTTAACAAGAGAACACTGTACTTCACAATGATTAACAGTTTTAGTTATTTCACAGTTAAAGTAACAGTAATTTCCAAGAATGTGATTCTTTTCTTCTCTAGCAGCACCACCACTACATATTAATCAAATAGCAGCTGGCATTACTCAAAAATCCCCAAGATGTCAGTGTCACGGTAGATGAAGTATTCCTGTTAAGAAGAGAACATTCCTGTTAGTCCACACCAAGTGAATATGTCCAGCATTTAGTGCAACTTTGTTTTATGTACTTATTGACTAAGTGGCTGGGAGGGCCAAAGGTTCCTGCATCATGGCCCAAAGCCAGCTATTTTCTCATCTGGCCCAATGAAACGCAGTTAATAAGCATTTTATCCTATGGCCAATGCGAGATCAAAATTTTGAACCTTTTTTTTTTTTTTTTCAACCTAATTAGGAAGTACTTGCCAAAACTTTAATAACCTTCATTTCTTTGAGTAAGAAAAAGGAACTCATAAATTCATAGAGAAATGCAACTTGATCATTTTCTCATTTGCTTGGTCCAACTTGAAATCCACAATGTTCTTGTTCTCAGAATATGTAAATGCAGGTGCCGAGGGTCAGATGGCTTTTTTTTTTGAGTGGCTTGCGTCAACTTGTCCAGCAATACACACCCAACCTTTCTCTATGGTTTTCTGTGGGATAATGCACGTGGGGCTGTTTATATCATTTGATAATATGGTAATGCCTTATTTCAGCCAAAACAGGAAAAACAGGAAGATTACAGGCTACCAATAACAATGCCTACCTTTTCATCCAAATTTATTTTTGTTCCTCCATATTCTGGTAGTAAAACCTTGTCTCCAACCTTGACATTAACTTCTATCCTTTGGTTGTTCTAAAAACAAAACAAAGTATTTTAGTTTAACCCTTTCCACACAAACATCAATAAGAATATTCTCCTTACTGTTCAAATTCCATTTCCTAAAAAGCTGCCAAGGTGAATTTGTTGAACGATCAAATTCTTTATTCTTGTAACATTAATGTTTGATTCAAGGGTGATATGTCCAGGAGGAATAAGCTGCCAATCACTCTTAGGGGTTAAAGGGTTATTTCTCTGTACTGTTCTGTGGACATTTCTTAGGGTGCTGACAATGAGAATTTGCGTAACAATCAGGAGCTTCTCTAACTGATGACTATTTCCTTAAATTTGTCCTTGTGACCTTAAAGTTTGAGTGATATTGTAAGGAGAAATTTAATGCTTGGCACTCTTTGGGGGTGTAAGGGTTAACCCTTTCACTCCCACAAGTGACCAAGACAGAATTTCTCCTTACAATACTGATACAATATCAAGCAGGTAGGTGATGAGAATAGAGAAGAATATCAATTATGAGATTATTAGTTGATCCAATACCAAATTCTCTGAACTAACATCATAAGAATTGTATGGCAGGTAGTAAGGAGAATTACTAATTAGATCTTGGGAGTGAAAAGGGTTAAGGAGAGGGCAAATAAATTTGCTAGGTGCTACAGACTATGATGACTATCTCCCTATTTCAAAAACAATTGACTAGCTGTGATGATTTATTTCACTTTGTTAGCAGGGAAAAAGCTTTTACTTTGTGATCCCAGTTTCCAGGGCCAGCAGCCACAACAGTACCCTCTAGCACTTTGCCTTGGCCTTTCTCAGGAAGGAGAACACCTCCTTTTGTTTTCTACAGAAAATACAGAGTCAAAGATCAGTTGCCATCTTGAATACCGCCTGCATGTGTATGTTGTGGTTCAATTTTATCCTTGATTCAAATTTTTTTCTTTTGTTTTTGAGTATTGTAATGTATGATAATGAGTTTGAAACAAAGGAAAATTAAATTTGAACCAAGGACAAAATTGAATCACAACATATACCTTGAGTTAAAACTGACTTTGCCTAATAGCTGTTTATCAGTACTTAAATCAAGAAATAGCAAGAGTGGGTCTGAATCTGTGCCTACTCCATACAAGCTCTCAGTCATGGAGGGAAACTTCCTCAAACTTTTACTGATTTTTAATTTCTTAAGTTCTCTAATGATCACATAACTTCACCTTAGCATGAGGATTTCAATCTGAGGCAAAGGTTGATGATAGATTGGAGGGGGAAAATAGTTTTGGATGACTGTTTAAATTTTACCATACCCCTTATCCCAACCTCCCTATCAAACTCTTAGGGCTGGTTATTTACAAGAGGTCTAATCCAAACCATGGTTTTTATGCAAGCTGTGGGCCTCAGAGATGCTCTCTAATTAAATAAATGTCCTTCCATGGCTAGCTTTCAGCCCTCTTGACACTAGTCACAAAAATAAGTGTTCAGATAAAAGATTCAGCTTAATCAAAGATAGTTTGGGATGTGGTTTTGTTCAACAACAGCTAAACTTTCTTTAAATAACCAGCCCTTACAGTTCTTGAGCTTTCATCCCATCATTTATACCCTTCATTCCTTATTCTCCCAAGGCCCATCCAGCCCCCTTCCCTGCTGCCATTTTTTATGTTTGTGGACAAGTCACCTGTGATACTGTGCATAGTGGAGACATGCCACTACAGACGAAGGAATGTCATTTGAGGATACATGGAAAGCCTTTGATGTGAAAACTATACTTTATGCTTAAGTAAATTGAACTCATTTTCACAAGAAGGTTTTGTTCTTATCCTCATTTGGAAGGTGGGGATAAAAGAATTCAGAAATTGCCAATAGTATGAACAAAATATTTGATCCACTGTCTTCTCACCACTTCTGGGAGGAATTTTTCAACCAAGATCCTGTCAAAGAGAGGCTTGAATTTTCTTACATTAGCCTGGAGGAGAGAAAGAAACACATGGGAAAGATCTCTTATGCAATACTGTAAAACTATTGCACAGATGAATACAGTGCATTATACGCATAAAGTTATCTCTCAAATTTGTAGATTAAGGTACTGACGCGAACACTTTTTCCTTTAAAAATACGACGTATAAAAATAATGTTAAATATGTACAAGAATGAATTGAAAGAAAGCCTTGGGTTAAATATTCGATTACGTTATAAACCACTTCTGACTACATCACCAGCTACTCTAGTAACAAATTGACTTCAGTCACGTAAATCGATCCATAAAATTTTGAAAAATTTGAAGATCCTCAAAGTGAGACTTCATATCCGTCAAAATTTTAAACTTGTGATCAAAAGATGAGGAATTACTTACCATTTCACAAGAAAAAAAAAAGCGCGAGGCCTCTGCACCGTGGAAAATATTCTCCACACGTGTAAATCGATCGTTTACTGCGCAGTCGTCAATTGCATAAGGAGGTGTGTTATACCTTTCATTTAGGGAGGGGACTGTTAGGAGTACGTATCTTGAATTAGCTAACACTTCCGAAACATATTTTCAGAGAAACCATGTAATTTACCTGAAGATTCTAAGAGATATATTTAAAGCCTGAAGACATTAAATATGTAAAAAATATCAGTATTTGGAATATTTGTAATATTGTAAATTGCACATAAACTACCCTCCCTGGAGGAAAATAGTTGCCCCTGCACGGAGCATGCCGATTGCAGGTTCTCGTCTTCGTCCTTTTCTGCACGTGGGATAGCGAGGCACATTTAACCACCGTTGGTCTTCGAAGTTTGCACAATTTCGTGCTCCTTTCAAGTTTTGAACTCTAGATCGCTGAATAGTATACTTCAGGTATGTATTCTGATCAGTTACAACTTACTTTACAGAGAGTGAGAATTTTAAATGACAGTAATTTCTCGCAATATGTCAGACTCGGAATACATATGTACCGCACACGTGCTTCAGGGTAAATTTTTTTTCGGAAATCACGATTTCTTCTCTAGAGAACCCCGATTTTAAGCAGAAAATTTCCACAATGGTTGTGTTTCGTTCTTACTTAACCCCGATCTTGGTGTGAATTTTTTTTCGCTTTGTCATACTCTCTGGAAGAAATTTAAAAAGAACAACTTTGTAACCACTCGGTATAGATTTTGTTCGTAATCCACATAGAAGGTCGTATTTCCTCCAATGGTTTAAGTTTTGTAAGCGACTGAAAAATTATAACCATCGGTGCAGTCAAAACTTTTATGTTTAACACCAATCTTTCATTATTTTTTGGTGCAACCTTTTCGGTAGATTGCATAATACACATGACCAAGCCGTTCTGTCTTAGTGGTGGTTGGCTGAGTTCGTTGCACCTTGCAAAATTTTTTGTGGGTCTACTCATCGTTTTGTTAGTTCTCTGAAAAAAATTAGGAAGCCAAGATCCTAGACAAGATCTTTGGAAGATCACTTAAAGAAGATCTAACAGAGTAATTTCTTTTTTCACTGCAGATAATTCGATATTTCATGAAGGTCTCGGTAATATATCATTGGGGGGTGCAACCTTTAACTCCTAAGATCTAATTGTTAATTCTCCCCTCTAGCTGCTACACATTTCAATGTAAATTTTTTACAAGAATTTAGTGTAAGATCGGTGATGAGCATTCTTATTGCTTGTTTGCTGGACATTGTATGAATATCATAAGCAGAAGTCACATGTTAACCACAGACTAAAATCTCTTTTTCTTTGTTTTTTTTTAGAATGTATCGTCTATCAAGTGTGATCCGTCCGGCCAGACAGCTGTTCACTCCAAAAATCTTGGCCCCTCGGCTTGCTGTTGGGTTCAGCACCTCACAGCAACAGCAGTCTGCCAAGGAGCTCAAGTTTGGGGCTGATGCAAGATCCAATATGCTTAAAGGAGTTGACACCTTAGCTGATGCAGTTGCAGTCACTTTGGGTCCAAAGGTGTGGGGTTACTGTGGTTCCATGTTAGATGGCAGACAAGTCTCTCTCTCTCTGGAGTAAATTTCATTTTAAGATGAAGAAAGACAAATTTTAAGCTCTGCAAATTTCTTTGCAAAGGAACAATGAAAGATGTTCTCATTGGATTAAAAAGACTTCTGAGACTCATTAAATCAGTAGACAATTCACTCTTCCACATCTTGCTCTCATAAGTTTCAAGAGTTCCTCTCTCTTTAACCTGAGACCATGAGCAATTTTCTTGTTTTTTTATTTCCGAGCTACTTGGTAAAGAGAGGTTATGTTTGACCTCTGAGTTAACATTTTATTTGAATTTTTTTTCCTACAGGGAAAAAATGTTATAATTGAACAAAGCTTTGGAGGCCCAAAGATCACTAAGGATGGTGTAACAGTTGCCAAAGCCATTGAACTGAAAGACAGGTATCAGAACATTGGTGCTCGTCTTGTGCAAGATGTTGCCAACAACACTAATGAAGAGGCTGGAGATGGTACAACAACTGCAACTGTCCTGGCCAGGTCCATTGCCAAAGAAGGCTTTGAGATTGTTTCCAAGGGAGCAAATCCCCAGGAGGTTAGGAAAGGTGGGTTTAAAGAATAAATTTGATTTTGTTCTCCCTGAATTACATGCCTTCAAGCAATGTTTTTGTGGGGAGAATTTCACTGAAAAAAAGGATTGCACTAAATTTCCTTTAAACACATTTAGGTAAGTACACTTTGCTTTAAGCAGCTTACAAGTTAAATAGAATGGACATCAGCTTTGCAGGCATTTCTAGTCAGCAAACAATCTCACTTTGAAGAATTTGGTATTGGATCTGCTTCTACTTCCCTAATTGATATATTTCTTCATTCTCATCACTTGTCTGCTTGATATTGCATCAATACTGTAAAGAGAAATTCTGTCATGGTCATCCATGGGAGATGAAGTTAATTTAAAATTAAAAGGCTATTCTAGCATTGTTTTTCGTAGGATCATAGGTAACTACCAGTGTTGTCTGTTTGCAGGTGTTATGCTGTCAGTTGAAGCTATTGTTGAAAACCTAAAGAAAATGTCCAAACCAGTTACTACTCCAGAAGAAATTGCTCAAGTAGCAACAATTTCTGCTAATGGCGACAAAGGCATTGGAGAACTGATCTCCTCAGCAATGAAAAAAGTTGGCAAGAATGGAGTGATCACTGTGAAGGTTACTGGCTAATTTTACTTGTTTGCTATTGATTATTTACCTTATATCATATAGCGAGAAACATGAGAACATGATGTAAGGTGATTTAATTTTTTTTTTTATCTTAAAGGATGGCAAGACCCTGTATGATGAGTTGGAATTGATTGAAGGAATGAAGTTTGACCGTGGATTCATTTCTCCATATTTTATCAACACAACAAAAGGTAATGAATAACTTCAACCTGATCTTGCAATCTTTTCATGAAATCTAACTTTTTGTTCTATCTGTATCCACTTGTAGGACAAAAGGTTGAGTTCCAGGATTGTTTGGTTCTCCTGTGCCAGAAGAAGATCTCTTCCATTCAACAGATTGTTCCTGCGCTTGAGCTGGCTAATGCACACAGGAAACCTCTTGTTATTGTAGCAGAGGATGTTGATGGTGAAGCTCTGACTACACTTGTCCTCAACAGGTAGTGGCCTTCAGCCTTTCATCATTAAGAATTTGAATTGGTGTTAACCATATTCATGGATTGTGTTCATTTTGTTTGTTTTAGCTTCTCTTTGGATTGCAGATGGCTTGGAAAAGTTGCCCTCTTTTCCCAACCAATGCAACATATAACAATCACAATTTGGTCACTTGTGTTTCCACTCTTTATGCCTTAAACTTTCAACTACATCAATTTCAGTCAAAGATTTTACTCTCCCTTATAGCCTACAGACTTCAAACTTAAAAAAAGTACAATACTAAGACAAAAAGAGAAATGCTCATTTACTTACATTGAATTCTGATTATACCAACCAAAGGGTTATGTTGCTAACAGGAAGGGTTAAAATGATTTTGAACTGTTAGTACAATGGCACACAGGGAGGTTATCACATTAACTACTTCAAATCCACTCTCTAGGCTCAAAGTTGGTCTCCAAGTGGCTGCAGTGAAGGCGCCAGGTTTTGGTGACAATCGCAAGAACACGCTGCAAGACATGGCCACTGCCATGGGTGGTATGGTATTTGGAGATGATGCTCTGGAAACAAAACTTGAAGATGTCCAAATTCAAGATCTTGGTGAGGTTGGAGAAGTGTCAATCACTAAGGATGACACACTGTTCTTAAAAGGAAAGGGTAGCACAGAGGAAATTGAGAAGAGGTGCGCTCAACTCAGAGAGGAGCTTGAAAATACAACTTCAGAATATGAGAAAGAGAAAATAAATGAACGTCTGGCCAAGCTCTCTGATGGTGTTGCTATCTTGAAGGTACAAAGATACAGGCTTGATTTGATTGCTATTCTTGTTCTGAAGATTTTCTACCAAAGTGATTTCCCTTAGCATTTAACTCACCCTATTCTCATCACCTGCGTTATAGGCTCTATATGACATTGTATAGTTCTTCACAATGGCTTTCTCGCATACATTTTAGGCTCTAAATTGCCCTCCATTTAGAGTGTCAAGTTTCAAATGGGCTCCCTTTTGCTAAAAGCTCCACTCCTTCCAAATTAAATCTTGTTAGATATTAGACGTCAGTAAGGCCATATTTGCAATTCAGTCTCAAAGTGTTATGTAACTAAAAGCTTGTAATATATTCTTTGAAATACCAATGATATTCTAGGTGACAATACAGAAGAGAAACTAGTAGTCACATTTTGGCATGGGAGGGGGTCTTTTTAAGCCCTTATTTGGTTAACTTACCTCTCCAATAAACCCCATCCTCTCATTCCGGGAGATTGACAAGCTCCTTCAAAGCTTGTAAGAGTATTTATGGCACACTTGCCAATAATAATCATCCTTTTGTAGATTGGTGGTTCCAGTGAAGTAGAAGTGAATGAAAAGAAGGACCGGGTAACAGATGCTTTGAATGCCACTAGAGCAGCTGTGGAAGAAGGTCTTGTGCCTGGGGGTGGTGTTGCCTTGTTGAGATGTATCCCCAGCCTTGATGACATCAAGACAGAAGGTGAAGACCAAGCCAAGGGAGTAGACCTTGTCAGACGGGCTTTGCGCAAGCCATGTCAGACTATTGCAGAGAATGCTGGTGTAGAGGCTGCACTTGTGGTGGAAAAGGTGGGATTTGTTTTCAAGAATGTTTTCAGGTTAACTCAGTACTCAGCAAAAGGGTGCTAGGGTACTTTGATAGCTGTTTCTCTTTTCATTTTGGTTCTACAAGCAGTTTTCTTTGCACACCAACATGGTTATTTTACGTTTCCTCTTTAAGGTGGCCTCTATGGAAGGTAACCAAGGTTACGATGCCCTTAACAACACCTACGTAGACATGATCCAAGCAGGAATCATCGACCCCACAAAAGTTGTCAGAACAGCTGTGACAGATGCTGCAGGTGTTGCGTCCCTCTTAACCACAGCAGAAACAGTCATTGTTGATCAGCCCAAGGATGACAAGGCAGACATGGCTGGCATGGGTGGAATGGGAGGAATGGGAGGAATGGGCGGAATGGGAGGAATGGGTGGAATGGGTGGATTTTAAATGAATGGATGAGATATTATTCAATGTGCTTTGGTTCCCTAATTTCACAACTTGCATATCTGGAAACATTTATGTTTAACAGTAGCTCATAATGCTCTGGATGTTCAAGACTGTGTGATCTTTGAACTGCAATCTCCCTATACTGTTTATGGATCAAGTGCATTTTCTGGAAAATCAGACAGAATGCTGGCTTGCAAAGACAGCTGATTTGATGATCATAGCTAAAACACCAGCTAAAACAGAAAAAAAAATTGGCTGGTTCAAATTTTGCAGGCTAGCATAGCATGCACATTGTAAAAATTACATTAAGACTGAATTAAAGTTGGGTTTATGCATAGGCCTCTGTGCAGAGAATTCAGTTTTAGCTGTGTAGATCCATGCAATAGCTTGGGTAAATTAGTTCATGCATTATGAATTTCTGGTGCTCCATCTCAATAAAATCGTTTTTTGTCGTACTTTGTCTTTGTGTGAGTCTAGGGATGATGATAATAATGATATTAATAATAATGGTAATAATTATAATTATAAAAAATAAAATAATAATGATGTTTTCAATAATTTAGATAATTATGATAAAAACAATAATAATATTAATAGGTTCTTTTTAAAGGGTGATGTTTGACGGTAGTAGAAACAATGATAAAGCTGTGACCCTTTAAACTTTACTAGATTGAAAATCTTCAACTGGTAGGAAGCAAACCATTTGGCTTTTCACAAATTTGGTGGACAAATGGACACTAGGACTACGGAGAAACAGGTCCATATCAGTAGTCAGAGCGGCTCTCGAACGTAGAGTTGCGCCTTAAATGCTGCATTCTGCTAGGTGTTAAAACAAGGTAAATGAATTGCGGTTAGATTGCACCATGGTTAGATCGCTACCAGTTAGATTGCTTCAACTAAAAGTTAGATCGCCCCACTCGAAAGTTAGATCCATCCAATAAGTGACTTCGTTCTCAACATAATTAACTTCGCTCCATGTAGAAAACTAAGGTAAAGGTAGCAAAACTAAGGTATCTAAACTGATAGTTCATTAAATGACGTGCATATCTTACCGAACAATCGACTAATATCGCTCGCGCGCGCTTGAAATAAATCCGAGCTACGCAGAAAGAACAAATAAAGCCTCAAGAAAGGGACTCACGAAGTGCAATCTACCTTATTTATTAAAGATGGCGGGTATCAATTTCCTTACATCAAACAGCAAAAAAGGCCACACTGGATAGTATTGGTATTTGAATTCTAATAATCAGACTATAACGTTATAATTTATTCCATCATCGCTATACATCATGCATCGGTAGCTCGGTGGCTAATCTGAAGGACAGAGTGAATATCGGTGAATACGATGTACTCGTATCGTCCCAAGACACATCATCACCCATAAACTTTAAAGATCATTGGTAAGTAATAATTCACTTTACAACACGAAGCGAAGTAACTTATGTTGGTACCGAAGTAACTTATTTGATGGAGCGATTTAACTTTCGAGTGGAGCGATCTAACTTTAGGTAGGAGCGATCTGACTGGAAGCGATCTAACCATGGTGCGATCTAACTGGATACCGTTTAAATGAAGGTTGCCGGTCCCATCGCCGAAATGTCAACTCGCCGACAATAATTTGTGTTGCTTGATTTGAAATTATGTCGGTATAAATGAAACGGTAAACCGTTGAATCCGTTACTCTCAAAAACAAAGGAACAAGAAGTCACACCTTCTTAGCTCCAGCAAAGCCTTAATGAAAGTCACAAATACAATAATAACATGGAATAGACAAGTTTCTTTCCGTGAAGGAGTGAGGTATCGATGTTAAAAACTTGAGATAAGTTCTAAAACAGTTTCCGTCTTTCCGCCATGCATTCACCGAAGTTAAGTACTGATCAATGTTTCCACGTATTGCTGTTCACTGAAAGAAGCCATTACTTTCAGTAACTCACTATCGAAAACAAATAACACCAATTGTTCGCCGAACTATGATTAAAAACACCTACAGTTAATATCTTTGGGAGAAGAGAAAACTTCTTAGTTCCTAAACTTAGCCTTAATACGTAAAATAGAACGCGTGTAACATTTTTTTGAAAATCGCGGGCAGAAATCTTTCAGATGGTGTTTTTTCTGAAATATTATCATCATCATTACATTTAGCGAAGTTATCTGACTGTTCAAAGAAGTCATTTACCTCACTCTGAGTGGAAATTAACCTCAGATTAAGATCTTTAAGCTTAAAACTGAATAGGTTTGACTATGTATGTCGGCGCAGTGCAGTGACCGGTATATCAGCGAGTTGATTAATGTGGACTTTCGGCGAATTGACCAAAGGTTTCCGCGAGTTGATCAATAGGGTCGGCGAGTTGGCTGCCTGCGAGTTGACATGTCGTGTGCGGCAAAGTGAACGGGTACCCAAGAAAGTGATCTTACTTCCTGCTCACAACTTGACACCAAAAAGTTTTTCGCTAAATTTTATAACGAAGTCACATTTCTGTTACGGAATTTTTTTTTGTTCAGCTACGTAATTAATTATTGTTTGAATCAGTCCCTGAAAATCACTGATTAGAGATTTATGGTTTGGGTTTCTGTTTATCCAAACAGAGCGTGGGAGCGAATGACAGAAGAGATTTGGTTTTTTTTTCCAATTGCGGTTTTTAACTTCGTTCTCGTTTATCATCCAGGAAAAAAAAACATTTTCCGGGTGGTTTAAACATATTTCAGACCGAAAGCGGAAGAAGAAAAAAAACTCCTGTTGTGACCAAAAGCATTTAACCATTTTTAACACATTTTCGCGAAGATATGGACAGCTGAAATTGTTCATTGTCCTTTTTTAGTAATAAAAATCAAGACTGCTCCTGTAATTGAATGCAAATCAAACGTGGAAGTCTGATTATTGCGCGCGTAGGACTGGATGTGAGGAAATACGTCATAAACAGGGGTGGTGACGACATGAGACTTAGGCTTTACTATTTCTACGGCCATTTTGGTAAACCGGCAACCGATTATAAATTTTTAGAAACTTTCGGAGATCTTGGATTTCCTAGCAGCAATTCAAGAATACTGTGGGAAAGAATGGACATTTTAGACAACATACATTGACTTTTAAGGTAAGACTTCCGCGGTAACGTGATTTTTCGGAGGCGCGAAACCATGCATAGACTTGCACGTTTTCGAAGGTATCTCTTTGCAAGGATCTAAAAATTTGTGGAGATAAATGCTTTCACGTTAAGTCATTAGATTTCTAGTTTAGTACTTAATCCTGACACGGTGAAGCTCGCTCCGTCGATAACGAACTCTGATAAGCGTTTCCCGCAATGAGAACACGATCAAATTGCTAAATGTAAGTAGTTTTCATCTTTGTATACAACCAGATGACTGCGAATTCCCAGAATTGCAACTTATAGTTGTATGACTTTTGCTACCGATAAGTCATTCTTCTACAAGCAATTTAATCATCTGAGAATTATATGCACAATAACATCGTATTTTTTTAGGTAGCACACCTGGACTTGAACACTTTATTTTGTCGATAAATTGTGACATTCCTTATTGAGGAAATAGTTGATTTCAATTTTGGCTATCGTTCGGAGTGTTTGTCCAGCGTCGATTGTAAAGTGTCATTTCATTAATTTCATGTGAGTACATTTCTAGCATTGCATTTTGTTTCCTATATCCGTATGCGTCGAACAGAGAGAGTGTCAATTGTCTAAGTACCACTAAACAGAATGTTTTGCGCGAGATCGAAACCTTCCTAGCGGAAGTGATAATGCTAGTCGAGCAATATTTGATTCGAAAATATGCCCATCACAATTTTTCTATTAAGTTTCATCGTGATATTTCATCAGATTTCAATTCTCAATGGCAAAAGTCAATTCTTTACGTCGTTGATGTCCGGAAATCTTGTTAAACAAAGAGGATTTGATTCATGATGAAGAATTCTTTCTACATGTATGCAAGTATCAGTCTCGAAATATCTTTATGTCGCCTAAGTTACGTGTTAGAGTGCGTATGATATGGAGACAAAGCTGATAACTTGTCATTTAAATGCGTTTGCAAGAGCTTAAAAAACAGGCTGTTGCGTGTTTCTTTCCTCAGGATCCAAGAAGTATAATTTTTTTTTCGTATCTACTAACCCTTCGTGCTTCAACTTTTAATTGGTATCGAGCCAAAAATAGTGAAATATTAACGAGAATGTCAACTTTTAGTTGTATTTTTCCTTTTAAGCAAACAATGTTTGCAAAAAAATAATTACCCACATTTATTAACCAGCAGATTTAGCTTGCAGAAGGGAGGTATCTTGAAATATTTTTTCCAAGCAGTGGTTTTTTTTAATAGAGTTAATTACCAATTACGAATAATGAGGTAATGTAAATTGCATTTAGCATATCTGATCAGCTAACAATTTATTAGATACCTGTAAGATTAAGATACTAGACTTGGTTCAAGGTTACATAACAGAATAGAAATTATATGCAGTGGTGGTAATGAACACAGTTATGTTTGAAAAGGGAAATGGACTGGGTGTTTCCTGGTTATTGTTGTTAACTCAGAAATAATTAAAATTTATCTTCTCCCTATAACATTTATACATTATCAAGTAAACAGGTAATTAGAATACTCAAACTTACAGAGGCAGAAGTTGTTATCTTGATCTATCACCAAATTCTCGTAACTAATTTACAAGGGAATGAGTAGAAGCTAGAAAGGAGAATTAAAATCAGATCTTGGGTGTTAAAGGGTTAACAAAATACTGACTTTGAATGAGCTTATAGAGGAAGTTTCATCAAATGGCTATGTACTTGGACTTAGATGTGAGAAGCTTGCTTGCTTGCTTGCTTGTTAGTCAAAAAGCTTTCTTATAATGAATGGTGTCTTATATGTTACGCCATTATATTAATTTTCTCAGATTCAGAGTGGTAGATAATTAGGATGCCTGATTTTTAGACCTTATATAACTCTTAACATCCAAGGACTTATTAATGAGTAAATTCTCCTCACAATTACAGTACATTATCCAGCTAACAGGTGACAAGAATAGACCAACTGATCAGGTGGAGGTTTTATCCTGATATATCATCAAATTATCATTACTAATTTACAAGGAAATGAATAGTGGTTTGTAGAGAGAATCGCTCATCAGATCATGGGAGTTAAGAAGTTGTAGCAGAGGACTTAGGTCAACATGACAGTGTTTTTTTCAGATGACACTTGTTTGTTATTTCCTTCTTCAAATTACCTTGTTTGCATATTGATCTGAGATGGATAATGGCTGCACAGTTTGAATGAAAGAAACTAATGCCTTATTTATTCTTTTCTCTTACAGATACTAAAGAACTTTGTAACAGGGGGAGTAAAGTGAATCAAGGGAAAAATGCCTCCTCCCCCTCCTCCCCCTCCAGGACCACCACCTCCCCCTGCACCCAGAGCTTCTGGTCCACCTCCAAAATCCTCTGGAAAGCCTCAGAATAGGGGGGCCCTGCTAAGCCAGATCCATCATGGCGCCAAGCTGAAGAAGACAGTCACAAATGATCGTAGTGCTCCTACTGTATCAAGTAAGTTACCAAAAACAAATCCAAGGAATTTCTAATGCGAGTTCTTGAAAAAAAATTAGAGCATGTAAGAGTTTGTAAGAAATACTTCTTACTAATTGATTTTGGGGTCCATAAATCCACTTTGTTTGATTTTTTAACAAAATGTCTACACATATTATATGTTAAACCATTGGATAAGGTATTTATTATTCCTTGCCAGTGTTACTTCATTTTCAAACATTTTGGCTTCCAGTTTTTTAAATATATCCTATCAAAGGATAGTATTGATCAAATGTGGCCAATGAAGTGCTTTTGATGACTACCAAAAAAATTTCATGCACTTAAAAGTTTTTTTGCTTTCAAATTCAAGCCTAAAAATGGGGAAAAAACAAAGTTGGGATCATACAGTTCACCATTTTGTTCCTTTATTTTTCTGTTCGTAAATTTGATCCTGTTTTGCAATTTATTTCTGTGGCATATTTTGCACATTCTGTTGCCCTATTATGGTAAAATGGCATATTATTGGAATAATGATGTGAGCCATGAAGTGCTTAGGTCATACATCAAAGAGGGAAAAGCAAAGATCCATAACTTATTGTATGGATTGTGAATACATTTTTAATAAGGTATTTATCGTGCCTCTACTGTGTGTCCAACAGTTTTCAGAAATGTTTTGATTTTAAACTGTACAGAAGAGCAAGAAAGCAAAACTTTTTAAATCAAACAAAGTCAGAAACAAAAAAAAATTAGCTTTCATTTATCAACCAAAGGCAAAAACAACTATAATTTGGTTGATCAGTAACTGAGAGATTTATTTTTAGGATTTAACAAAACATTTACAGTTTAAAATGGGTACAAATAATGGTGGCTATTATGAAAAATATTGTCAGTGATACATTACAACCCAGCTTACTTGAACTCAGTTAACTTTAACCCCTTGGTAACTTGTAGAAGATCCCATTTCCCTTCACCCCATTTTTTCAGTCATTAACTATCAGCTAGCTTGAACCCCCCCAAACTCAAACCATTTTTTGTCTCCCTTGGGATTTCTAGGTAGTGGGGTAATGTACCACTGTATTCAGGGTTCTCAATAGATTTTTAAGTAGGAGGTGATCACTGGTAAAGTAGGAGACCTCATTACCATGTTTCACTATGAACACATAGACTCAAGTAAAATGGCATTCATCGATCGAGTCCAGAACTGTACAAAATTTCCCAGTTTTGTTTGGATCACAGTCATGCAAGAAATGGAAGAGAAATTCAGAAACAACTCAAGCAAACTTGCAGAACAAAACAAAGAAAAGAAAAGCGACTTAAACACAAAGTAAGCGGCTATAAATCCCAAAGTAAGCGGCGATCAATCGCCGGGTGCCACCTTCTATTGAGAACCCTGTGTATTTCCTTTAACCCTTTAACTCCCAAGATCTCATTAGTAATTCTCCTTACTGTCTGCCAAACAATTCTCATTATGTTAGTTTGGAGAAATTGGTATCGAATCAATTAGTAATCCCATAATTGATATTTTTCTTAATTCTCATCACTTGTCTACATGATATTGTATAGATATAGTAAGGAGAAATTGTGTCCTGGTCACTCTTGGTAGTGAAAGTGTTTAACTCTTAGAAGTAATTAACATGTTACTTCTTCCCTTAATATCTAAACGTTATCTTTTAAAACAGGAAATGAAATTAATCAAACTTTAAGCTAGAAGTCATTATCTTGATCTAGCTCAAAATTCCAATAATAAGTTACCAAGGAATTGTGTAACAGCTAGAGGGGAGAATTAACAATCAGATCTTTGGAATTTAAAGGTCTAAAAGGATCTAAAATTGTCCCAATCATTAGCAACTGCAGTTTATTTTATCCAAACCTGTGGAAGCACTGTGTGAAAAAAACATGGCACACTGACTTTTCCTTCATGAACTTTCCTTCATGAACTTTCCTTCAAGATAAACCAAATCCAAGTAGTAGTGGTGGAGGTATTGGAGGCAGTAGCAGTAGCGGCGGTGGCAGCGGCGGCGGAGGTGGCATGGGTGCATCCCCTATGGGATTAGGTGGTCTCTTTGCTGGAGGAATGCCAAAACTGAGACCAGCTGCAGAGAGGGGCAAACCTGGAACAGGAGGTATGATTGTATTGTATATTCTTTGTGATCAAAAGTTTTGGCTGGCTTTTGGCTCTTATTGACAGCTTTGGACATTACTTAGTGTTATTCAACTTGATAAAGCCAGATGTATTTTTAGGCATGTAAGTGTACTCTATAGGAAACTTACCTTCTTAATTTCCACTCATTCAATTTAAGAAGTAGATTCTACGTTGTGGTACATCTGATCTATAGTAATAGGTCACAGATGAAGTGGAAATTAATGTTGCTAATTTGAGTTCAAATGTCCTCAACACACTGCAATCATCTTTCTTCTTAGAACTGTTAGAGCAAACATTGCACTCCAACATGACACTAGTCAATGACCAAGGGGTCCAACAAGTAATTCCGCTTTATTGTTCTGTTTTTATGCTTTGCTGTCATTTTAATTTGTCGCTGTTGACCCCAATTCTGTAGAACTGCCACTCCTGGTGGGTGAACATTTTTTACAGGTTTAACTGTATCCACAGTAGCAAACAGATTATTGTGTTCATCAGAGGGATATATGAAACATTTATTCACCTCAGTGTCAGTGATAACAGGGTATATTCACCTCCACTCTGGTGAAGGATGATTAAATGTTATTTCAATAAATATATTTTTTGTTTTCTGCAGGAGCCAAAGGGCCAGCTATGCGACCACCTGGCTTCAAACCACCAACCCCAAATAATTCCAGCTCATCCAGTGGTGGCTCAAGACCTCTCCCCAATCTACCTCCAGGTCCACCCAGTAAGCCTCCTGGGTATACTCCACCACCCCCACTTCCATCCAACAGGCCACCAGGATCTGAAAACTCCAGGCCATTGCCACCACCCCCATCAGGGTCAAGTTCAAGACCATTACCCACTCCTCCTCCGACAGGTCCACCAAGACAACCTCCTGGAATGAGACAGGGTCCTCCACCCCCTCCACCAGGAAGAGGAGGTGCGCCACCTCCAGGAAGAGGGAGTGCACCACCTCCACCCCCACCATCATCATCAGCTCCAAAAACAAGTGCTCCCCCTCCACCAACTCCCACAAGGAGTAATCCAAGTATGGCTGCTCCCCAACCTCCACCCCCACGAGGAGGTCCTCCCCCACCACCTCCATCAAGAGGAGGGCCACCACCCCCTCCTCCAAGTAGAGGACCTCCTCCGCCCTCCTCAAGACCACCATCCCAAGCTCCTCCTCCGCCTCCCAGTAAAGTTCCATCAAAGCCAAGTTTTGGTCCTCCTGTACCTCGAGGATCAGCTCCTTTGCCACCACCACCTCCTTCAGGTGGGCAAGGGCCCCCACCTCCCCCTCCAGCCAGGATTCCACCAGAAAATAGGAGATCAGGGCCTCCGCCACCACCGCCCTCTTCGCACAGTAGGTCGAGTAATGTGATGATGAATGGACCAACAAGAAGCTCTCTTCCCCCTCCTCCCCCAGAGCTACTGTCAGACCCGGAAGGTAATTAAATAACTTAATATTTGATAATTTGTACTTATTGACTGAGTGATAGGGTTGGATGATACAGGACATCAAGGTCTGTGCTTCTTCACCAAGAGCTATAATTTTTATTGTATTAAGCATGCTCCTTCTGTTTCTTCTTTTCTTCTTTCATCCAGTGTCTTGTGAGGCTGAACAGCCTTTTCCAGGCCTGCTCAGTCCATTGCCCACAGGCTCATGTGGGAATCTTCTCTATAATGCTTGTCTTGGGAGGTGTGGGCAAGGCTGTATCAGTCTTTTGTTAATTTAATTTCATGTCATTGATTTGAAATGAAGTGAGTTTTTTATCCATGGTTCCACAGCTTAGACTGATCAATAGATGCTCCAACATTCATTTGCTTTGGTTCTTTTCCAGATGATTTTGAATCAAGATTTTCATTTAGTAAAGATCTTCCCTCACCTGAGCCTTATGTAGATACAACAAGATCATATCCAAGCAAAAATCCAAAGAAAGGTGGTATGTAGTGATGCAAATCCTGTTAAAACTGGCAAATGTGCTCTTGTTTACAATGGCTTCATTCTAAACCATCAAACAGAATGATTAAGATATTTCATAAGGTCATAAGGGCTGAACTTAAGGGCTACAGATTTACATGCAAGATTTCTTACTATTTCACTTGTGGTAGGAGTGCACCATGCAGGTTAAAAGCCTCCTTTCTCAACACTGATAGGGGCAAGGGTGTTGTGTTACAATAGTTACCATAGATGTGTAAAAAAAATCAAAAAATGTATAAAATGGGGCATCTTTTCTTGACCACAACAAGGATAAGATAAGACAGAAAAGTCAAAACTGGAAAAGGAAAAATTTAAATTGGCAAATGATGAAAAAACTGAGATCAAATTTACTGTCAATACTGAATAATTAAATTTGACAAAAAATTGTTCATTGAACAATCTGGCATTGACAAATTTGAAAAGTATTCATTTGAAACTTTACTGAATTTTTATTATTATTTTCAGGTGGTTCAAAGTCTTCTGGAAACCCAAGTGCAGTTAAAGCCAATCCACCCCCTCCTCCCCCATCAAGAGGAGCACCACCACCCCCACCCCCTCCTCCCAGGAGATGAGTCTCTTACCTAAGTTTCTTAACAAATCTAGGAAGACAGAATTTTTTACAATTAAAAGAATTATTGAAGCAACTTCAACCTTAAAAAACATTGATCCAGAGGTGTGGACTTTGTTAGGTGACATTTGTATGCAGAATACAGAAAATTTTTTAGAGCGCATTTCTTCAACCTCCATGTTTACTGAGAATGAAGATAGTAAATTTGTTGGTGTTGCAACAAGAACTGATAAATGCTCACATGAGTAGGAGTATGAAAACCGCATTTATGAACAAATCATTAGTGAAAATGAAATTTATGTTTTGTATTGTATCTTTGTTGTAAATGAATTGTGTTAAGTATTAGTTAGATATCCTTGTTTAAGTGCATTTGTGGCGAATCTTTTTTTTCAGAGCGCATTTTTCTTTCTCTGAAAGAAATTTTGCTTCAAATGCATCTAAAACGATAAGGAAACAAGGAAGGTTGAACCTACGAGAGGTGTTTTAGGTGAATAGCACAATCTTTTGTGAAGAGTTAACCACAAACTTGTGGTAGTGTTGATAATTCCAATAACCAAACAATAATAATAGACGAAAATACAATGCTGTGTGGTGATTAATGATAATTTTTGGAATTATTATTAATTGTATATTATCATTTTAGAAATAAAAGAAACTGTTCTGCGAAATCTCAATAATATATTTATTTTAATTGTTTATGCTGCAGGCTTACAACTAAGGGCTCTGGTAATTAAAAGAAATTAAATTTGGGGGAAGAGGAAAACAAATTGGGTAAATGGTTTGCTTCTGGTTGCAATTAGGGATGGTCTTTTGAAAGCTTGAAGATCAGCAATCATATATTAGCTCTACACGCTTTGTTACAACACAAGACCATTTGGGGCGAATTTTGGGGCTGAGATTAGCCAAAATTTTATGAACCTATATGCAAAGAACACACTTAAGAGCAAGAGACATTGTTGAGTGCCCTCGAAGGGACGGTGGTATGTTTTTTCGTTTAGTAATACGAATCAACGTACAATTTGAGTAAAACTATACTTAACAGTGCAATCAAACCAATTCTTCAGAGGGATTTTCGATCGCGCGTCACGCTACAGAACATCTAAATTTTAGGCGTACGTAATCTGCAATCAAGATAATTACCAATGATCACCAAGAAAGGAAACTAACCAATTAGTTTTTGAAACACTATACCAAAAGGATCATCTTAGAATCGTTTGTAACCTAAAATCTCCAACAAATAAAACGTGAAGCCTTAGCCTAAAATAAGATTATCAGACAAAAAGGGTACGTTTCTCGCCTTGTTCGGGTTTTCTAGCATCAAGTTCATCGCTGATGGATATTTAAGTTATATGATTTTGACGGGTTATTCGAAAAGCCGAAGGGAAGAATGAGAAAACTGAGGCTTGGAATCTCGTATTTGTCGTCAAAAGAATATGATACACTGGTTTTTTAGTTGTTTACTAGAATCAGTTCTAAGAAGTGAGGCGTTCTACCCAGTCTAATTCGTTGTAACAAAAAAATGTTAAAAACGCGCGTCCAAATTTCCACGATGTTCATTGGCTGTCGGGTTTTGACAAATGGCGCCTAAGTTATGGCGTCATCGTTACCAATGAACTGAACTTGAATGAGGTTGAAGCAGCTATATCAGAGAAAAACGGCGAAACGTTCATTATGAAAAGCTTATGGCTCTCAAAGTTGTCTGATAAACTTGAGTGAATGGCAATGCCAGCACCAAACTGAAAGACAAAGACCGTTTTGTGGAACCTTGTAATACATGTGGATGACAGAAAACAAAGGTTTGACTGATCGGGTGCACTGACCAACTGAAGTTTTTACATGGACAAAGGTTAGTCACCAATCTTCTGTTTCTATTAACTTCCATTCACATTATTCGGGTTGGTGTAGCTACTCTTTTCAGCTCCGCTGATGTGCAAAATTCTTCGCTTTTTACGTGGGAAAGTGATGAAGTGCTTGTTAAGTCGATGTTATTTTAACGCAACGACGAACTTCTAGACTTAGACCAGTGGTTTTTTGTAGTCTGATTTACAAGCTATGATTTCTGATTTCTTTCCTATTGAAAATACCTTCATTATTAAGTAGACCACACTTCGCACTTCACACTTTTATTTTTATTTTCTTATATATTCACAAGATATTCCTTTGACCCGCAGATGACAAATGCTAATCGTGGCGGGTCAATTTTTTTTCTTTTCTATTTTCTCAACTTAATTTAATTACTCTGGAAATAAAACGGAAATGAAGAAATATAACATAAAAAGACAAAAAGATACACAGGAATATAAAAATAGGAAAATGATAGGTGTTCATTGTAAAGGAGAAAAAGTCCTATAGTTTCTTATTGTACGAAACATATTGTAGAATTGGTTCAATGTGGTTCAGTTTTGCTGTGTTTGATATTAGCGTTATTTCATCAGGCTCCATATGAGAATCTTCAGTTTCTAGAATATTGAGAAGAGCTCTTTTTATTTCTTTTTTGAAGGATTTCTTTGACAATTTTTTATATTAAGTAGGTATCTCATTCCAGACGCGAAAAAGCCTTTCTTTGCATTTTAAGTCTAAAGTACTTAACCCTAAAGAGTTTTGACGTTGATGAGCGAGTAGTATATGTAAGGATGTTTGAAGTTCTCGTAAAAAAGTTTTATGATGTTGGAAAAGGCACTGTCGTTATGAACATCGAGCATTAGTTTACATACAGCTTCATAATATAAGAAGGTAATATGCAAAACTTTTGCATTTACAAATAAGGGGATTGTATGTTCTTTTCTATCAACGAAGTAGATTAGATATACTACTCGCTTTTGGAGAGCAACAATTTTGTTTAAATAGTTTTAAGATGCATTACCTCAAGCAACGAGTCCATAAGGTAAAATAAAAAGGGAAAATTAAGGATTTATAAATATTTATGTGTACAGATGATGGAACAAAGTGTCTCAGTTAGCCATCATTCCTGTGGTCTTACTTATGACACAGTCCAAATGGTTATTCCAAGAAAGAATTTCATCGATTAAAACACCTAAATGCTTGATGTACCTCTTATGTTCCAAACTGACTCTCTTTTTCACTCAAATATTCTTATTTGTGGAAGATAATGTGCTCTTATTCTGGAAAGGTTTTCTTACAAGGGAGAAAGACAGGAAACAAAATGAAGAAATGATGTGTGTGATTTGGAAAAAAATTTCTTCTTTAAACAAGGCAATAGGGCTCTATCTTTTCCTAAACACAAGCTCAGTTTTCTCTGCTCTTTCCCTAATTCTGTTATTGGCATCCTTATATATCCTGTAAGTAAACAACTAAAAATAATTTTGAATTTGGTATAATTCAAATTTTAATAGTGAACTCTCTGGCACATGGTTGTTAACTTCAATTGAACACTCTCTTAATTTAAACTCTCTTCGTGTCCTTTTCTTTTTTTTTCAGGGGAATATGCATCAAGGTTTACATTCGGCCAGGATCTTCCACCGCCTGAGCCCTATGTAGAATCAACAAAAACATATCCAAGTAAAAAATCTCAAAAGAAAGGTAGTAAGTTCTATTTTATAATTCTATAATAAGTCTAAAAGGCAAACAAAAAAATTCACATACGAAATATGGTTCTTGCTACTGAACACTGCTTCTCTGTTGTGTTCTTGGGCTGAACACTTTACAGTGCCCCTCTCCACCCAGGAGTATAAATAGTTACTGGAAAATTCTTAGGGAATCCTAAAGAACTGCTGAGGGGTAGCCTTGTGATAGACTGGTATACCATCCAGGGGGTAGTAGAAATACTCTAGTTGCTTCATGCTTTGGAAACAGGGATAAACCTAAGCTGGATGGGCCCTTAGGCTTGAGTACAAACTTAAGCTTTTTTATATAGTTTTCCAATGAGAAGCAACAAGTTGAGTTGGTGTGAATCATTTGATTTCCAAACAGTCGAAGAAATGAACATAGTGTGTACTGATTATGAAAGTAAAAATTATAAAATCCTGGACTGGCATAATCTATATATCAATGCTTCACTCTATCTTATTTATGTAGAAAGTATGCACAACCATTTTATTTCTGTTTTCAGGTGGAGCAAAGTCTTCTGGAAATAAGGAGGCAAAATCCAAGGCTCCTCCCCCATCAGGAGAAGCTCCACCAGCCTCGGCCTCAACCACAACCCCAGCCCTAGCCCCAGCCCCAGTCCCACCCCCATCCCCACCTCCACCTCCTCCTCCTCCATAATGACTATATCTTAAGTTTAATAGCAATTCTAGGGGGAAAGAATTTTTTACAATTAGAGATCAAAATATTGGTCCATTCTTGAGGACATTATCATGGGGTCTTGTATGTTAAGCAAACATTTTGTGGTGCTTGATAGTCCTTCAACCTCATGGTTTATTGCGGCTGGAAATAGGAATTTTGTTGTTGCAATAGAACCCAAAATCTGCTCCAAATAGGAACAAATCACTTGTGAAGATGAAATGTAGGTTTTTTATTCTGCCTTTACAGTAAACAAATATTGTAGTGGACAAGAAAAAAATTTCCTTCTTGAAAAAATGTATATTGACAAAATGCTTGAGCCCAAAAATTATGTTGTAAGTGAATCTCATTATAGGAGTCACTGCTTGAAATTTGCAAGTTTCAATGTTATTATGAAAATTATACAATGTTAAATGTTAAATACCGTTTTTGGAGGTATTATAAAAAGTGTAATATCATTTTACAGAATAAAAGAGACACTTGTGCAAAACCACACAAGTAAACAAATTTTAATTTTCTTAACTCACTGTTGGCTTCTAATTGTTTTTTACAGCACACTGTAAATGGTTTAACCTCTGGAGAAACAGTTAATTACATATTGCCCTTATTTTCCTCTTACCCATGTTGGGTAAGAGTAGTCTAGAAGAAAATTGTTCACAATGGCACTAGCCTATTCCAGGCACAACAGTATCAGAGGAGCAAAACAGCAAGGGAGCATTGGGTTGGGTTTCATATCAAACATCCTTTTCACGATACCACCCGACTTTCCTCATTGCTCCATTTGACTTAGTAGATGCCTGGAACAGGCTATAATGACAGTGACTAAGTAAATAAACCAAGAAATTATTAATTGTCAGAGTCAACGATGACGATGACTTAAATTATGACTTCCTCTCTCGCTGTCAAAATGGTAGACAAGCCCTTAGCAACATAGGGTCTATTCAGGACTTTCCCAATCAGTATGATCACAGTATGCAATCATATTTATTTTATTTGGTGGTGCTTGTATGTTCACCTTGCCTATATACAAAGACTGGAGAAAAAACTTAAATGTCTTTTCGATTTTTTTCTCAACTTCATTAGGCTGTAATATGACCCCTTGATTCACTCTACATTTTTGGTTGTTACAAATGAAAGAAAAGAGAGCCAAGTTCTTGGTGTTCACAGAAAAATAAGTCAACATTTAAAACAGGAGCCTCAATCTTCAACTCGCTTGGCAAATGGTTTGTGTGCATTCTTTGTGACTCAAACAATTATCAAATCTTTAGTTATGGCCTGGATGGAACTCTGCTTGATGTCCTTTGTGACTGTAGATCTTTAAGGGTGGCTAGTTCTTCCATTCTCCTCTCATGCTCTTTTTCTTCCTGAAAAAATACACCAGTAGAGGGCTATTCATTCTAGGGGTTTCAAAAATATATCATTTTTCCATTTAAAACATGATGCTTCACCTCAAAATTTCTAGCCCACAATTTAAAAACCAAGGAATTCAAACTGAGGGAATGTCAGACCAGAATGACCCAGAGAAGGCCAAATATTTAACCAATGTAACCAGAAGCATGTACTGGTAAACTAGAAGTAGGCCCTAAAGTCTTGTCTAGCATTCTTGAGATAAGTTCGTATCCAGAAGCCATGTACTACTGGCTACCAAAACACCAACTAAGCAGGCTTGAAAGACAAATACGTCTTCACAAAACCACATACAGTTTCAGAGAGTTTTGTGCCCCCAAAATCATTTCGACCCAGATCACCACCTCTCCTTTGAAAAGAAAATATTACATCTGAGTGTGATTATGTAGCAAGATGTACCTTCACTGTTCTTATTTTGGCTCGTACCAGTATATCATTACAGTGCTGATGGAGAGAACCTAAAGTAAAAATTAAAAAATTCAACTATGATTACCAAAGATAATGTCAATGTTCTGGCTACAAGTTAGAAATACAGCAAGTTGAGATTTGCAGATTAATCATTGGCAAATTCTAGAAATTCTTAACCCTTTGATTCCCAGAAGTGATTAACATGAAATTTCTCCCTATAATATCCATATATTATTCAGCAAACAGGTGATGAGAATATTCAAACTTATCAGGGAGAGGTTGCTATCTTGATTGAGCACCAAATTCTCATAACTAATTTACAAAGAAATGCGTAGCAGCCAGAGAGGAGAATTAACAATCAGATCTTGGGAGTTAAAGGGTTAATTAAAGTGAAATTTAATGAATCCAAGTTTGAAAGGTTACATTTTCTCTGCCATTCGATACTGTACAGGTAGGTGTTTCTGATAATTTTTATAGGATGTACAAAGTATCCCTAAGGCCTGCAGATCACACTGACTCTAACCACCTTTTTTTTCTTTTCCTCTGTCAAGGTCTGATCCTCCATATTCTTCTTGTTCATCACTATCTTCGTCAGACTCACTTTCCCTATTAAGTATCAATTTTACAACAATTTACACTGCACCACCAATTGTAATGTTTTACAACTTAAGTTTTTATGGTCTGAAGTTGATGTGAGATAACATTTTCATAAAACACTACTGGTGCTTTGTGGTTTTCCTGTTTAAAAATTATCCTCATCTCCTTGATTGCCTACGTATTAAGCCTTGACATGATGCTTGAATCGCCAGAATGCTGCTTGCTCCAAAGACAAGCAGTGTGGTCAAGGGTTTCAAATATTATGCAATGGTGCACAGAGTGTCTTTTTTGCAACCAGAATTTTAATTCTGCCAAGCACTTTATAATGTTTGGTCACAAAATGGCAACTTTGAATAAAAGCTCAGCTTAGAGCCCTGATATAGTAGCTTATTGTCACAGCAACATATCACATAGCATGTAACATATATATTGTCAGAGATATTAATTCAGGCTTTGCCACTTTTCACTGGAAGTGGACTCAATACAAGACAAAGAGTATTAGTACTTACACGTCACATCCAGCTTCCACTCTGTCCTGTCTTGTTACCTCATTGCCATCAAGCTGCTTCAGTGAAGGAAGGGCTGCAAGTAATTTCTTCCTAAATTGCAAAGTGGTGCAAAACAAATTCCAAGACAAAAATCAATCACATTTTGTAAACATGCCATATTGAGATAATATCATAAATTTCAACAATTTGCATTTTATTGGACAACATAAGTAGAAATCCAAAGATGACCTTAGAGATAACTCACTTGTATTCTGCATTTTCAGTGCAGGGATTTCCTTTCAAAAGTAATATCACTAAACTTGATGGTAACTCTTCTGTAAAGAGGTTAACAAAATTATTAAAATCAATATATTTTTGAAAATTTGTCACATTACTTTTGAGTAAAAATTCAAAATTCAATATTGTCTCAAAAAAAAGAATCGCAACTTAATTCAAACCTGTGTCAAAATTCTCAATGCTATTGTCTGAGAGATCCAAGAACTTTAAATTAGTGAGCATTTTCAGATTTTCCAGCTTGCTTATCTTGTTTTCAGCCAATGTCAAGAATCTATGTATTGGGGGTAAGAAGATATCCTAAGTTACAGTTTAAATCTATCAACACTGTAGAAACATAAAAAGAAAAGTTTCTATTTTTTTACTTACTAGACTAACATACCAAATATAAATTTGTCAATTTCTGACAAACTCAAGTAACCATATTATCTTGTTATAATTACATACCTACCTCAATTTAGGAAGAACTTCAAGGTTTTCTATTCCTGTAATTTCATTCTTTAATAAAGAAAAAATGATAACAAAGATAATTAATTAAAACTATATAGAGTTTATGATAGTTAATTCATCTTATGAAGACTAGAATAGGCCAGGTTAAATTAGACTAGGCTGGGTTATACTAAGTCAGAACAGACTACCCTAGACTAGGCTGGGTTAGACAAGGCTAAACTAGACTAGCTACAGTAGACTAGGCTAACTAGGTCAGGCCACAAACTGCACAAAACCTCGTATAATAAACATTAACTTACTTTCTGTAAATATAAATTTGTGACTGGCCCAAGGCAATCCAAGTTGTCAATTTCACTTATCTTTTCACGGTCCAGGCGGACATGAGTTAACTTCAGTAATTCAGCAGCTCTGTGATGTAAAACACAATTCAACATTTAATGTCTCATCATCTACCACTGTCGTGACTGAAGCTTTACAATCAGCTTTTTGATAGGTTTGTGATGGAAGGAGGGAAATATGATGGGTGATTCTGGGTTATTGATTGTAAGATCAGAGTTGCTAATGAGTTGGAAAAATAAATAGTGTACATCAAACCAGTGAGATTGTTTGACCCAGCCGTCCAACAGTAGAACTTTGCAGGTCACAAAAAGCTAAGATGCTCTGTCAGGGATTCTAGGTACTATCAAATTTAAATATAACTTAAGCGCAATTTACATAATCGTGTTTTGATTTTTATCGGTTTTATCGCTATTATCCTTAGGGATAGTGGGTCCACATCAGCTGTTTAATTGGCTACTTTATTGACCTGCTTTAATTTATAAACTAAATATATGTATGTATGTATATATGTATCTACTTACGTGTCATCTGCAGATCTATCTTTTCTATTCGCTAAATTTCGTCTCGCAATCAAGGAAACAGATATTTCTTGGCATTTCCCTACAAATGCGAACATTTTTGCATGGTTTCAACAAATTTTCTTCTGTGGACAGACATGGCAAATGATTGAGAACCCCAAATTCATCGAATAATAATAATATATCATTTCTTCCAGTAATACCTGCCATTTTCTCAAGTCCTTGTAAGCGTCATGGCTATATATCGGTGAGTTTTACAGCTAAGTAATCGCAACTGTCGTGTTTTCGTCCGCCATCTTGTTTTTCTTCCAAACTTTGTAACCCTGCCTTTCGAGCTAACTGCAGTGCCCAGATCTCCGCCCTTGAAGGGGACTGAATCAAGATGAAGAAGATGATCATCTCTTTCTCTCCATTATCCCCTTCGCTGTGGTGGTGCCAGTCTCTCCTGATCCCACTGTTGCACATGAAAGATAAGATACAACCAGGGGCTAATAAGGTTTGGTCTGTGGATATGAGTGACATGGCTCCAGGTGGAATATCCAACTATCTGAGGTTTGAACCCAACAATGAAAATACTCAATTTTTTCTTTTCTCTTATATCTTTGTATAACAACAGGAATCAGTGACAACTTCAGAGAAGCATTTTTGAAAAGAATCACACTTTTTATTGAACTCCAGGTGCAGCATATTATTTATTTCCAGACACAACTATGTTCATTCATTATAGTAAATGTTTTTTCGCTCTTTGTACAAAATATGGGAACCAGCCCACAATCACTAGCTTTAAGGATCAGCATCAGTATAGCATCAGCTGATCCTTCATCCAAAAAACAATTGAATCATTTGCTTTCACCGTCTGCTAAACCATCAGTGCATTGCCAAGCTAATTACAGGGGTAGAGCTTAAGCAAGGTCCTAGTGTGTCCATGACCTCTTTGTAAGATAATATGTGTTTTTGTCATGAACAAGCAAATGGTATAATTCAGATGTGGAAAAAGTACAGATACCAGAGTAAACACTGTATGCATTGCTCATGCTCATTCAAAAACATGCCACACAGCTGGAAGGATATTGAAACAATGGTCAGGTAGGTACCTTAGGTGTGACAAGGTGTGACTCCCCCCCTTCCCCCCCATTTGTAATTTCCTTGCTACATCCCAGTAAACTGACATTTTGACACTTTGCAGGGATCAGTTGTGAAGGTGGACCTGGCTGACTGCATCACAAATTATAATCCCTGTGCTGCTCATATTCATTAAGAGGGTTCCATAGTCCTAAGATTATATCTAAATACTTGATCAAAATTTTTTTTCTGTATTTATCAGCTCACCATCTGAAAACATAGATTACCTAAGAGCAATTCAAGTGCATGGCTTGTGAGATACTTTAATTATCTACCTAAAGATTGTTACTTTGAAAATCTTTGAGCAAGTTTATCCTCACTGAAATCTAAATTCCACAAAATGTTAACTCTTCAACCCTTTAACTCCCACAAGTGATCAAGACAGAATTTCTCCTCAGAATATCAGTACAATATCAACCAGATAAGTGACGAGAATAAAGAAAAATACAAATTTGGAGATAATTAGTGGATCCAATAATAAATTCTCTTAACTAACTTTATAAGATGTGTATGGTTGACAGTAAGGAGAATTACAATTTTGATGTGGGAGTTAAGGGGTTAACTAATGTAATATACCTTAACATTGACAAATGATTATCTGATTCTTGTTATTCACAGGACACTACACACTGCTATAATAAATAGGTCCTTTTTTCTCACTTTGTAAATATAATAATGTTATCACTATTCAAAATCATATATATCAACCTTAATTCATAGCTTAAGTCCAGCAGAGTAACATTCAGTCATAAGTATTAATAATATTACAATATTATCAAATATCATCATTGTCAGTATTAATAATAATAGTACTAATAATAATGATTTTAATGATACTAAAAACAGGAGACTTCATCATGCATATGTGTCTTTATCACTCACAACTCAACCAAAAAAATTACATTTTCTTTTCAAAATGTTAAATGGCTCCTTCAAATACTTTTATATTTCACTAATCATCAGCCAAGGGAGTAAATAAAGAAAATATTCATAAAATTATTTTTTCCCCTTTTTTCACATTACAAACAACAACAGCAGCAGTGTTCAGCTGTTAACCTATGCACATTCACTCAGATAGAAATGTTGCATGACGCAATAGAAAAAGCAGGTTTGCAGATCAAAATGTTTGATGATGTGCTAGAAAAATCCGGAAGATGGTGATGATCAGTTCAGACATGTATATTTTGTATTTTTTCAACTTAGCTCATTGGGGTCATGTCTAGATTCTTGAAAGTCTTGAACAAAGAGCTTTCAGATTTAAAACAAAGCAAACCCTGAAAAGACCGTCACTTATTGATAACTAACAGTTGCTATGATTTTAAATTACTAGTAAAATCCTAAACTGCGGCTTAGCCTGAGAGCAAAATGGCAGTTAAAATGACACAACAGGTTGATAAGCACTGATAGAAAAGATGAAATTCTTAAATCAATATTTCACATAATAAAATTGCATCAACTTAATATTGTATTGTCAGCAAAATTTACTCTATAAGATCCTGTGGCCCTAGAAATCCAAAAAATTAATAATATGTTCGCTTTATATCCCAAAGTGAAAATAGTATTTGTAAATAATAATATTTGTTGATACCATACAAGACATACATGAGCTATCTTAGTGCACATAGAGCAATTGACCCATATGCCTTGTGTTATCTTGCTCCTAAAAGCAAAAAATTAGATTAATAGGTGATTGTAATAGTCAGTTAAAAATGAAATTTAGGCAATCCTAAACTCAGGGAAAAGCTAACCTGCAGAGTCACACACTAATATAGGGTGATTGACTTGAGACAAAAAGAGAATGGTGACCTTCTTTCTCTATTGTGATAAGGATGAGCTGTAAAACTTTGGGGCTTAACTGTGACAAGCTGATTAAGCATATGAATCAAGAATCAATTGGTATTTTATACTCAAACTCACTCAAAAATCTTAATTAACAAATCATTAAGATGTAACTCTCCTCTCTGCGACACATGTTTCTAAACCTGTAAAATATTCCTCTGCTTGGTCAGAAAATCACAAATATTATGCCCAGTAAAAATTTTAGACATCTCCAACTCCAACAAATTTGTTCATGTAAAAGACACCCCAAACAATGGTCAATCCATGAAATAAAAAAGACCTAGAAAGTTTCTACACCACACACTACTGTTTTGGTGGGTGCATAGCCTCCTTAAAAGTAAAAGTTTTCCTCATACCTGCTGGTACTGGTCTAGATTTGTTATTATGCAAGTGGCCTGGTCCGTAGAGATAGTAACATCGCTTTTCAAATGCCTTCACCATTTTTTTAACAACTTCGTCAAAGAACATGGTTGAAAGCTGAGAATGAAGGATTGAACGAAACTCAAACTCAACCTACAAGAAAATAAATTTAAAGAGTTAATGAGAAAATGGCCAAACAAGACAACAACAATATCAACACTGAACAATTATCTTGGCTGAGCCACATGTGCATAATTAACATTTTACTGGGAAAAAGGTTAACATCTGCTCTCGAGCCATGGGGCCCATCTAGCCGTAGCTTATCCCAGTTCCTGTAGCATAGCGTGACTTGGAGTATTGCCACTCCCTCCTGGATGGGAAGCCAGTTCATTGCAGGTTAGCCGCCAACATTATGTCAGACTTTCTTGACAGTTTGACAGTATCCCTTTTCACTCAGGGTGAAGGGAGGTACCAAGAGAAAGATGTGTTCAGGAACGCAGCACAATGATCAAGTCACACCTCCTACCCGACCTGACCCCTTGATTTATAGTTCAGTGCACTAACTGTTGGGCTCACATCTTCCAAATCACAAATTAAGACAGAACTTTAAAAATGTTATTAATAATAACGACTTACATAAAAGTCCAATGTACAAGTATTAGGATTTCCGGGTAAACCTTGACTAAATTTCCAAATAGTCTTCATATAATTAAACATCTCTCCATCTGTACACTCTGCCTGTGAATCAGAAGCAATTTTATGACAAGATGTAAACAGAAAGCATATCTTACCAATGATATTCATTTGCCCAAATAAATTTACACTTTATCTCCCAAGATCTCATTAGTAATTCTCAATACTGTTCCTTGTACAGTTCTTGTGATGTTAGTTTAGAAAGTTTGGTATTGTATCAACTTATAATCCCCTAACTGATATTTTTCTTTATTCTCATCACTTATCTGGTTGATATTGTGTTGATATTGCAAGGAGAAATTCTGTCTTGGTCACTCATGGGAGTAAAAGGGTTAAGCTTAACTTGTCATGAAAAGTCAGCTCTCAAGCCTGTTTGCATATTCTAGAGATCTTATCCAGTTCAGTGTGCCAACCTACATATCTACATATGTGTGATACATAACTATATAAAAAACTTAATTACACAGATTTAGTACCTTCACTAGGTTTGGTGGGGCCAAAGATACAACAGATGTATACTTCTCAACCACAGGTGGGAAACCAACAGCTAGTTTAGCTTTAAGGAAGCCTGGTTTTCTGGCCACAATTGTAGAGTCCCTACACCAAGGGACAAAATGTCTATAATCCTCCACATCTGATACCACTGCATACATATCCTCCATTGAGTAACTATAAGAAGAACGATGTTATCACATAAATAACAGTACAAAAATAAGATCACTTGAAATTAGAGTAGTCTTTTAATTCTTTCTGTGTATCCTTAATCATAGAAAGAAAACCCTACTCTCAGTGCTCTGCATATATCAGTAATATTATCAAAATAATATTGCTGAAAGTGTTGTTGAAGGAGTATTGTTGGAATCCATTGTTCCAAGCCTTTATAAGAACCTTCCAAACAAGTAGGTTGGAAAGCCTTAGGAACATAAATTTCTCCTAAGATTCCTGTGAAAAAAATAAACAGTTCTTCCAAGATTTGATTGCTTATTCTCCCCTCTAGCTGCAGCACATTTCCTTTTAAATCAGTAAGGAGAATTTGATGTTAGATCGTATCAAGATAACAAATTCTACCTGATAAGTTTGAGTATTCTCATTACCTGTTTATAGGACGATGTATGGATATCATACCTTGGAGAAGTCACAAGATAATTGCTTCTACGAATTATAGGGTTAAAATCTTTTGAAACCCTCAACGATCAAACACAATTATATGAAACTATTAGAGACAGAGTAACTAGAGTAAAGCATATACGCTCATTTTTTTTTCATATACATTGAATTCTTAGAAACGAGTGACGGACTTTGTACGAAGGTGCACGTCAGAATAATTTGTACATTTTCCAGGTTTAACATTTTTCCTAAAATAACGTTTTACTTAACCAGTTATGGAGCAGTCAAGATCAAAAGGGCTTGAAAACTCGTGCGGATTGAAAATGTATTCTAATGATCATTTCCAACCAAACAAGGGGGTTACAATATAGTATAAACATAAACTTATTGAACCATTAAATTTACTTACCCAAGCAATCTCCTCTCGGAATACTTTCTCCTCCGCGACGTATTGAGGGGATTCGGAATAATGGATCCTATTAACGTTCTCCTTGGGATTACGTTTAAATCGTGCTTGTTTACTTCACGAGAACTATTCATCTTCTTCCTCGAAACAACTTCAATACCGGGAGAAAGCCGGCAACAACACAAACTCAAGGACCTAAAGATAAAGAAAAAGTTAGAGTCGATAAGCTTACATAAAAAATGCGATCTGTTCACTTTACCTCAGGAAAAACCAAGTAACTTGTTTCATTTTCAAATAAATAGTTCTAATTACCTGTTGGCTTGCCAAATACCTCTACAATGTCGAAAAAGCGGCAAGGACCTTCGTATCCCTACCGCAGCCATCTTGCAAAAATGTTGAATGTGTCGTCATTTGATGAGTTTTATTACTTGATATGGCCAGGTCGCTAAGCATAACAAATATGGCGGACGGATATGAGTTTGGCCGGGTGGCACGAAATAACAACAATCTTAGTGTAGCGAGAGCTCTTGGTAAGGAAACCAACAAGTGATCCTTAAAATAGAAAAAGTCACCCTTTAAATTATTTTCACCGGGAGACTTTTTGTCAATTTCTTATTTTATTTTTTCCCTCAGCTTCTTCTGTCAAAACACTTTTGGGACCTAACAACGGGTAAGAGTACGATTCTTTGACGATTTGGACTTTATTTTCCTTTCTATAAAATTTTAATTCATTTACAATAGCTATAACGTATTCTTATTCTTTCAATTATCGCTACAGGAACAGTTTTTTCCACGTATTTATAATTTAGGTTAATATATTACCTGCAACCTTTTCCATGATGATGAAATGGGTGATTTCTTTGAGTTTAAAAAGAAAAAAAAAGTTCAAGAACTTCCAAACTTAACAAATAAAAAATTTCCATGGAGACCTAAACTTTGCTAGAGAATCCCATATATTTTGTAATAAGTGCTGTTCAAGCTTGTGTTATGTAGCACTAACAACAAAACAGCTGATAAACTGATCCACCAGCTGAACAACTTTTTTTCTGTATTTTGTAGCTTAAAGTGCTGCAGTTCAGATGATGAATCTGTCATATGCAGCAGTGCAGCCAAGTTGTTGCAGTTCATTGACATTCAAGTGAGAGAAATAACACACTTGCATTTTATGTCTATGTACATTTTGTCTCAGTTTCTTCTTTTGGAAATCACATCCCAGAGAAGTTTAACATTCAAATTTATTTGGGAGAGGGGGGTGAGCAGGTTCCCAGACTCCCCCCTATGAAGGGGGGCCACCTACATTTACCCTACTTAGTTCAGATCAAACATCTATTACATTTTCTGATAAAAACCCTGTATCCAGTCCTGCTAGAATCTCAAACTTGTGAAGACCATAACTGGAATATTCTAACTCTTCTTCCAAACTTGTTTACTGAATTTCCTATTTTATCAACTTGCTGCTGACATTTTGTCCAATTGTAACTGGACAAGAACTTGGTAATGTCAATTATAACATATAAGGACACTTGTGATAAAAATTATTTTCAATCACCTCTGTAGCATCCAGCTGGTTTTATCCTAAATGATGCTTGCCAAGGCCAGTACAAAAAATATAGAACAAACTGCAAGACTCTCATATGCATGGCTGGTTTCTGGAGCAGTGCAGTGGAGGATCTGCTAGATCAGGTGACTTACAAAGCTTTTTCACCTATGCAGGAGGTGCACCAGTCTGAATTGTGTGGGAGAATCTGACTGGAAAGTATTGATTGTGGTGAAAATAGTTGTAGGGCTTTATGCACCAGGTTGAAAGAACACCAGATGTGAACATCGTGGGTCATTTATAAAGGTCAACATAATGATGCACCAGATCACTCTATCATGTGGATAATATGAAAATCATAATATGAAGGGTTGATTCTTTGCTTGCCAATAAAAGCTGCAAAAGCATTAGTCTGATAGGTCACTTGGCATATACTGGAAGGACCTAAAATTTGTCAGCTCTTCACAGTTGAGTTTCTAAAATCAGTATTCATATTCCCCATACTGTTCTCTATACATTTCCTAATCTACTTACAAGGAGAATTTGTTTAACAATCAAGTGCTTTTTTCAGTTGGTGACCATTTCCTATATTCTTGAAACCTAAATGAGTGATATAAGGGTGATATTGTAAGGAGAAACTAGATACTGGTCACTCTCAGGGGTCCAAGGGTTAATCATAAATCTACTGTCTTATTTTTTTTTAATTGACTGTACATGATAATTTCCAGGGTGTTCCTATCCCGATCATTTTACGTCTTTTTGATGATGCACTTCAAGTCTGTGAAGAGGTTTGTCATCAGACGTCCATTGATATAACCGAAGCTTTGCAAAGTCATCAGGACTTGAACCATCCAGCCAAAGATAATTATGGTGACAAAGAGAACAGCCAAAGCATCTCCAAAGAGATTTCTTGTCATCCAGTTGCTGAATTGGACATCTTGAAGAAGACTGATCTTATTGACGCTGTTGACGCTGATGACATATCATGGTATTTTGATGGACAAAAACGGGGAGTTGATGATGGTTCACCATGGGGAGATTTTGACATTCCCGGGGCACGTAGTCATATCCCAAGGATTCCAGGGTATATCACAGCAGCTGAAGAACCTATCCCACGGACAGTTAAGATGGAAACTCCAACCACCAAGATGCCAGAGGTAAAAACTTTCCGAAATAAGAACTGCCTTGATCTAAAAATCAGTCGAAATGGAGATGTAACAACTTGCAACGAAAACTTAGACAAAATTGCATCACGATCAGAAAGTTGCAAGTCACTAGGAGGAATTTTAGGTGCAAAAACGAACGTCAGTAATATGTCTCCTCCTTGGGTGAACACGGGGAAGCCAGAAGATTTTTTACAAGGAACAAAAACAAGATTATTGCTTGACGAACCGGAAAGTGGAAATTCACAGTTTTATCCTAACATTCAAGGAGACACGTGTTATGGAAATAAGGCTTCAAGAACGCCTCTAGAATCAACAGAATCTTGGAATAAAAGTATTTTCTCGCGAAGAGAAGACAAATGTGTAGATGAATTCGAGACATCTCTACCAGAGGCTGTTTCATACACCGCAAATGGAAATATCGCTATTAAATCACTAGTGTCAAAGGAACATAATGAAGACTTGAGATCCTCTGGATTTTTGGGAGAAAACTTCATTAACGCCCATACAGACACGAAGCGTACAAAGTTTCAAAATGTTGGGGCGAAATCTTTTGAGCCTCTGAACAAAATTAATTTTAATCCACTCCCTCTTACTTCGTCGGATTGTAGAGACATAAAAGGAGACGACAGGTTCTTGTTTTCCCTCTCGGAGAAACTGGAAAGTAAGAATGTAATTGTACAAAGACGGGTTAAACTGTCAGAAATTTTCAAGGGCAGTAGACATTTTGTGAACAGTTCCAGGAACAAAGCCTCGCCAAAGTTAGTAGATGTCGAGAACGGACCCAAAGACTCACCCAAAGGAGAGCCTGAAAAATTGTCTACTGGCACAACTCCTAGCAAGTCGATACCAAAAACTAGGCATTCAGGAGAAACGGGTTTGGTCGATTCAACACCACATGATAGGGAAACGTTATCAGTTCAAGACGGGGTTAGTTCTTCTCCATCTCAACTCAATTCAGTTGAAATAAAGAAGAAGTCGTTGTTTGAACTTGGAAGTTGCCTCTCTCATGGTAAAGATCTCGAAATGAAACTTGCAGTTGAAGTAACAAATTCCTTGCCAATCTCTTCTTCATCGTTTAAAGACCTTGACATTCCTCTTGGAATGATTCACACGGAGTTAGTTCTTGGTCCGCCAAACTCTTTTTCTTGTAGAATAGATGGTCTTCTATTGGAAAACACTTCAACTTTTCAGTTTTCTTCTTCAAGTCAGAATCTTCCTGCTTGCAAACTTCTCCTGGCTCTTATTAATGGAGATGTCACGCCGGAATTTCGTCATGCGGGACTGAACAACGAATTGCAGATTCTCAGAATTATCAGGAATGAAGATTTCAAATCATCCGTTTTCAATCAGGAAAAAGACTGGTACCGAAGCGTTACAGCAAGCCTCAGTAATCACAAAATTGGTATCCTTGTCGTCAAAGGAATCGTTCATGATTCAGTGTTAGATTATTGTTTATCACACAACATAACCGTGCTTCAAAGCGTTTCATATCCAGTCCTTCAACTCCTTTCCTTTGCAACCGGCTCTGCGATAATTACTTATCTCGCTGACTTGAGGGAACAGGATCTAGGAGGACCTGTTACCATAGAAACGTGGGAACTCGGCTGGGCGCCATGTTTAGTTAGACACAGCAAGCCAAAAGGCAGCAGGGATGGTGACGTCAGAAGGATGAAGACCTGTCAGTATGTCCTTGTTAGAGAAGTGACGGAGGCGAGTTCGGATCGCGAAGGTAAGCAGTAAGGATTTGCTTTTCCATCGGATCACTGTGTGAAGTCCCTTCGCAGTCCCTACTTTTCATGCGTCACAATAATTCCGAGCGGTACACTAGCGTCAACTTTTTTTTTCCGCTCATTTGTTTTGAGTCGCGCAACGGACTCTGCCGAAAAGAGGAACTGCTCGTAGTCTAGTACTTTCCTTACATCAGTTTCTTTTACTGAATTTTTTTCTTCCCGGTATCTGTTGCCCTCAGATTTCAACAGTCCTTTACAGACAGTACTTCTCTGTAGCCCTTGTAAAGATGTCCTCTGTGATATGGAGGAGAGGTTCTGGAATTCGATCTATCGGTTGAAAAATACCCTCTCCTGCGGCCGAGTTTTACCTGGAGCGGGTGAAATTGAAGCTGCCTGCATCCGACGGCTGACTGAATTAGCAGGTATGTAAACCATAACGAACGGCTGCCCAGTTGTTTGTGAGCATTTGCCGATTCTTGCAAGAGAAAGTGAAAGTGGAAAACTGTTCCGAGCACCTGACACTGTAGATAAATAATGTAAACTGGTAAGGTCGGCACGAGTGTGGGGCCAGACGGCTTTTTCCTGGACCAGCTCACGTCAGCCCGTCCGACCTTACACACATCAGCTTTCACTATAATTTCTTTTTGTATAAGATTGCGTAGGCGGGATCGCTCGAGTCATATGATAAAGCTTAGGATGTACTTGCAGAGTACTTTCTTATATTTTTGATATCTTTTTTAACAGACAAACATGCTGCACCGGCGTTCTCTTCCAGTCCTCTCCCTGGATGGTTACAGGAAAGTTTAGAGGTATTCAGGCCTTTGGTTTACACGGCATTTGCCCAAGGACTCAAATACTTTTTGTGCAGCGTTCTTCTCAACTCTGGAGACTTTACTTCGCTCAGCGGTACGTCTGTCTATGTTGAACAGTTAGTCAACGAAGGTTTGACACTAGATGTTCTTGAGAAATCTAAAGACGATCATTCCGATGATCATCGAGGGGAACCTCGGAGAGCTAGAGGAATCAAAGGTGGCCACGCGAAAGATCGCGTTCCTTCATGCGATCCCACGGGATTCCCCGCCGAAAATGTCCGAGATCCCTTTGACTCGAGGCAAGTAACTTACAAGGTCAAAAGCAGTGTATTTGATGATTACACAGCTAAGAAAGAAGCATGGCGGCGCGCTGTGGCTGTCATAAGAATTCTTCTTCAATCGGACATGTTAGTAGAGACAGGACTCATAGTAGGGCAAAGCAAAAGCGAAATAGTTCTCTTTTAAGGGGAAATTGGTAAAGCCAACAAAGAATTATGGTATTTTCGATGAAGAATCGGGAGTAAATCGGGATCCCTATGATCTTTCTACGTTTCGCTCTGTGATTGGTCCAGAAAACTCGTAATAGAGTGTCTGTGACTTGGTTTGCGGAACCCGAAGGTCCGAAGGCACGAAGGTTTGATTCCGCGTCGGAACTCGGGATTTTCCCTTTGTCCCACGCTCATGATTAGACGAATTCCATCTGTTTTTTTTTCTTTTTTAAATACCCATCGGTTGACTCATTCATTCCCAAGATCTCATTGGTAATTCTCCTTACTGTTTTACAGTTCTTACGCTGTTAGTTCGGAAAATTTGGTATTGAATCAAACTAATAATCCCCTAGTTGATATTTTTCCTAATTATCATCGCCTGTCTGGTTGATATGGTATAGCCTTAGATATTCTAAGGATAAATTATGTCTTAGTCACCCATGGGAGTTCAAGGGTTAATCGTATTCAGTTTTTGTAGTAAAAAAAGGTGCAGTTTATGTTTACCCACAAAAATAACAAATTCAATGACCTGCGTAATCGTGCGTGAAAGTGACGCGTTCCGTGCGATTACACACGCTAGGAGAGCAGACTGTACTTGTACATTACAAATGTGACGCGTTTGTTGTCTTCTCCCTGCTCAAATTTCGCTGCTTTGAATCGATCACGTTCGATAATTCTGTTGTTGTTGCCATTAACACAGGAAATATTCGGTTTGGCTGTAACCAAGGTTGACCTTTCATCGGTTTCTAGGCTCTTCTGTCTATGGATTGGGGCGAGTGAATGGGCGATGACGTCAAAAAGCGCACATTTGAACGTCTTATAATGTTTTCGCTTATATAATAATCTTTCTAAACACGTCGTGTGGGAGTTGAATCAAAATTGAATTTATCAACTCAGAAAGGTCTGTAGCAGTATTATTTGTTCCTTGCTGCTCCTCGGAAACTGATAGTTTTGTATAGTTCACCTAGAGGCCGCCGCTGGAAAGAGAGAGAGATAGCTTTAAATTATTACAAACGGATGGCTAGATGATTCAGTAGTGACAACTGAATATTGTGAAGTGATGCAGAACTGGAGTTGTACGAAGGTGGGTTTTGGTATTCTAGTTGCTATTCTGTCAGACTGTGATTTTCCTAATCCTCCGAAAATATAGAAATATTAAAGTAACCAAGGAACAGAGAAGCCGAGTGTATATTCTTTTGAATTAAGTGCTTCCAGTACGTAACACCACGTAGTAAGGTCAGAATCTTTCCGGCGTGAAATGCAGTGGTACTATTTATTTACGGACAAAAAAGTCTCGCTTTACTTATTCAGAGATGATGAATTTTTTGTCTGTTGGCGTACTGCAGTAATTAATAAAGAACACACCAAAAAAAACACATTTTGAGCACTACTTCAAACAGCTCCGACCATAGAATTTTAGTAATATTATTAAAGTATTGCTTATATTGAGATAATAATAAGGAATTATTGAAAAAGAATTGAATGTCGAAGATGAGAAAACATTCAGCTAGGTGTTGACTCAGTTTGCCTATAAAATAAAAACTCTAAACATCAGGGTATCAGTTTATTATTTTAATTTCTTTGCATACTTAGGCGTTTTGTAAAGTGTCAAAATGCACTTTTAACCTCTGAAATTACGTCATAATTCGAAATTCGATCATTTGTGTTTGACGGCGTTCGCTGATAGAACCAATATTTCTTAAAAGCCTTTTTCAAGGGAAACGATATTCGATCGACCTTTACGTCTTTTGAGCTGAACTGTCAACGATTTTTTGTAACCTCTACAGCACAAAATATACTGAAAGATATTAAAGTTTAACAACTTTTTAATGAACGTTTCGTTTGGGAGAGAGGGAGGGCGCCCACTTCATCACCAGAGTAAAGTTACAGTGCGATTTTTATCGCGGGTTTTTTAACCAGCGATCGAATTGACGCAAACCCAGCCGAGAAGCTTTTTCTAACTATGGAAAATTGTGCCAGAACACAATTTGAATTCACCGCACTCAGTGACTTCCGTGACATTTTTTCCGCGATACAATACCTTGACGTCAGGGACTGGTCCACCCCTAAGGGCATTTCACCATATTTGGTGTTGAGTGGCAAGGCACTGACGTAATGATGATGTAAGAGGAGTTGTCAGGGTCGGTCCACCCCGCAGTAGCTAGCAGCTCGAGTGGTGACGCCACAGGTGACGCGACTGCTTCTCGCGAAGAAGAAGAAACACAACGACACGCTGGCTGCGTAAAGAAATCAGGGTGACGTAGAAGTGACGTAGCATGTAAGTTTCATTTTCTTTTTTTCTAGATTCCAAGGAGGCGACAGCGAACCTATAATAATTTTAGCTAGATTTCTGTCGATTCATCCAGTGGATTGTGTGGTGGTTTGTTTGCGTGGTTATCTCGAGCGATCGCGATGTGGACCTCATCGCTTTCTATTCCTATCTGGTTCTTTGTAGAGACCACGAAACAGAAAGCTTTTCCTTGCTCCAACTTTCCTTATCCTACAGCACCTTACGGGTGTTTAGATTACCATGGAGCAAATCGAAGAGCAATCCAATGTGACCGAAATGGAAAACGGGAGTACTGTGACCGTTCAACAAGGACAGGTTTTACAACAAAGCTCACCGCAAACTTCTATGCCTCCACCGATGCAAACTCCTTCAGTGATTCAAGCTAACCAACAGTCCGTCATACAGACAGCGCAATCCATTCATTCCGCCTCGCTACAAGGTCAACAGATCAGTTTGGCCCAGGCTGTCCAAGGAGTCAATGATACAGAAGATCCAACTGGTGGGGTCTTAGATGAAGAAAGCAAAAAACGAAGGGACATTTTGTCCCGGCGGCCATCTTACAGGTACGCTTGACTCGGCGAGGACACCGAACGATCGCGTCGTTTTATGTAAACACTGTGATCCAAAGAGACTTGTGAATCGCTATATATAGGGTGATATTTCACGTGTTACCCACCATTATAAAATAAACCAGCGTGTTCTATTTATTTCAATCATAAATTTCGAACGAAACGTACATGGGGACGTAAATGCTGACGCACGATATTGCGCGAAGGCTCTTTTTTTTTTGCACGAAATGTCGCCATCACTTGTTTCCGTTACTCGGAGCTGTTACGTTACTTTAACTAAGGTAAGGTCTCCGATTACATGCCATCTCGTTTAAAATAATCTCTCAGGAGCAACCGTGATTGCATTTACTTCGCGATCCTGGTCAGTAAAGCGAGACCGCTTTATATTTTTATTTCTTCGCCAAAGTCAAGATCTGATTGGGCTTATTTGCACAGTTAGCTTTTGACTTTCTGGTAAAGTTGTGGTGGACGGCCTATGAATTTTTTACACAAACGTGCGAGTCATAACCTAAGGAAAGTTTGTCGAAAGTAACCAGTCATTTTTTTTTTTTTTGAACAAGAACTTCGATCTGCGTAAGTGAAATTATAAGTTTTAGTTGATATGCAATCAAGTAGAAATCAGTATTTTTAAACATAGAGGATAAATGTTCCCATGAGGCAGCTTGGTTCGTCTGATACTTCAGCATATTTGAAAAATATTTTGACTATTTATATCCTGTTGGAATGTATCAATGAGAAACTAAAAGTGTTGATCTAATACGCTGTATGACGGTCCCAACAATATTTGTGAACGTTTTTTTTAATACGCTTGATGTCATATTTATGTAATAATTGCATTACCACGAGTTAATGGGTTTCAACTGGACATAAAATATTGCATGTTGTTGAAGATATTATGTTGATCTTTTATTTTCACGTCCCAAATTCACACATCTGTTTAAACTGAAGTGTTTTACCATGCATTTTAAATGGTTAAATTTAGATCAGTTGATTCAAACTCAGAGTTTTGCTTGTGTAACAGGAAATGATTTAAATTTTGCAGGATGATTCAGCGATTTTTGACATCTTTCACTATTATTTGTTTTAAAATGTAACTTTGACTTTCTAACAGGAAATTATCATTTCTTGTTGTAAATCTGTAAAGTAAGCACTTGATTTGTCATGATAAGCAATCCTTCCTATGTAAGCTACAAACTGCTACAAAGTAATGGAAAGCTTTGCTTAAGTTTTGCACTTTGCAGCCAGTATGAACTTTTCTTCATCTACAGTTGATAGAACTCTCAGAAGATGGCACAGAATACATGGTGGTACATATATATCTTGCATAACAGTGGAAAAATCCCCCTTATTTGTTCAGTAGTCAGTGAATAACACTTTTATGTATTACCTTTGGATCTTTCCGTAGGAAAATTTTCAACGAGTTATCTGGTTCTGAAAGTCCAACAAAGGTAGAGACAATATCTGAGGACATCCAGACCCAAAGTGAAGGAACAGAAGGTGCCTCTCCAATTGCAGTGATAACCACAAGCACTTTAAACTACCAACAAGCTCCGCAAACTGTGACAATTCCAGGAACTATTCAGATTGTGACATCCGGTGAGCCACTGCAGACAGTGCCCATGGCACAAAATTCTTCAGGCACAGTGGTTCAATATCAACAGCAGCAACAGGTATAATTTAACAGCTTGTAATGTTAGACTCTCTGGTAGTTGGAGTTTCTAAGCCAGCGTATGGCCTGTGAACTTGTATGATGATTGTGGCTGGTTTTACTGCTTCTGTTTGCAACACTTACAATCTAGTTTTCACAACATCATTAAATGTGAGAGTCATAGCTGGAATTTAAAGAAAGTGGAACTGTTCTGATTTTTGCAAACTTTGTTTCTATTACAGGTAATTTAGTGTTAACAACTGAGTTGAAAGTGTAAATTGGCCACTGTAAAGAGTTTAAAGTCTGATTTTTTGAGGGTTAGTCCTTTGTCAGAGCAATTGGAGGAATTGTGGGTTGTGTGTGAGTTTATATGCAGAAATTGGTGGGAATATGGTGACAAAAAAACAGGAATACATTGGTTGAATGAAAAGTGCTCATTGATACTGTGGGGATTAAGAGTGCCGATATGGAAGATAAATTTTTGTTCTAGTGTTTTGCGGCTTTCTGCACTGCCTAGATGTAGGGATAGGCCGCAAACTGCTATATGCTGTTTTGAATGATTAGGGAGATTAAAGTGTCTAGCAACTGGTTTGAATGCATCCTTGTCTTTTTTTGTTTCTTTGCAGGAAAGGTGTTTCTATTAGCCTTATAGCTTTGCCCATAAGAATTGACTTTTCAGTCAAGATGAAGTGAACTTCAGTTGATTTCATTTAGATTGTGGGAACATTGCAGTTGTCTCCTAACAACAAAAATCCTTATCTGGCCCATGCCCCATGCCATGAAAAAATTTAGTTTGTGGGAAAAGTTTTAAAACAAGTGATTGTTATGCTGTTGCAATGTAAAGGAAAAGCAGCAATATTTATTCAGCTCTTACAGATTCTGTTTACCATTTTTTGTAGGACGGTCAACAATATATTTACGCAACTAATCCAGGAGAGGTCCAAGTACAGGTGAGAGAGAGCAATATTTTTTATCTTTAGATGATTGAGACATGTTTTACTATAAGACCTGAAAGTAACAATTTTCCTGAGCTGATCCAGGGAGCCTCTATTAGCACTTGCAGTCCATGATGTGTGTGAGATGGTGGATTGAAATAACCTGTGTTAGCAACAACTGGTATATTCAATTTTTTTTTTATAAAGATATCAAGAAAGGGGTTAGTGTGCTAGACTGCAAGACAAGAGGTCTGTGTTAAAGACTTGGTTAGCTTATCACATCCCAGAAAAGACACTCAACTCTAAAGCCACGTTCAAACGGTCAAGATAGTTGATGAAAGTTTCAACTATCACATGCTTTTGAACATGAACTATCATGAACTATTACCAACTTTCATCGACTATCATCAACAAACAGTAGCTTGGACATGTTCAAACGCAACATGATAGTTGATGAAAGTTTTTGCCCTTTGAACAAGCGGATGATAGAGAGTGACATTTTTTGAGTCAGTAGTTTTGCCAAAAACTCAAAAGCTCAAACTAAAATGGCAAGTGATAAAATGGCTAAAATTTCACAGAAATTCTCATAATTCATTCTAATCATCTCCAGGTAGGCTTCAGTATTTTCAACTAGCAATTCTTGACTAACAAATGCCGCAGAAATTGCAGACCTCAGTGCATCCTATACTCTCATTGCATCATTTTTTTAGCTCTCATCATTTTATTCTCCTTGTCAAGATCTTAAAAAATATATAGAGAACAGTATGGAGAATATAAGTACTGATGTTAGGGTTAATAGGTTGAGGAAAACTATCAAGGAAGCCAGACAAAATCCTGGGGGAGGGGGGGGGGGGCAACCTGAAATGGACTGGCATTCCATCCAGGAGGGAGTAGAAGTATTTCCTTGTCACTTCATGCAGTGGAAACTAAGGGCGGCCACACACCTAGTGATTTTGTGTGCCTATAGGGAATAAAATTGCCAGGTGTGTTGCTGGCTTAACATAGGCTCCCGTGGTATTGGGCACTTGGATGGATTGCTGACTTTGACTGTCTTACACTTTTTTCACTTGTTTCTGTAGCAAGTCCAAGTTAGTAACACCGGTACAATGTACACAATACCTGCAGCACAACAGCAGTACATCCGTGGACAGTTGCCTCCAGGTGTTGTTCTTAATTCACCTGGAATTGGTGGAAACGGCCAACAAATCGCTGAAGATGCTTCACGGAAACGAGAAATGAGACTGATGAAAAATAGGTGATTACCCTTTGTTAGATAAGAGTGGTTTTGTTGAAGCTTTTATAGGATTTTTTTCAGCCAAAAGTTCACCAAATCAGCAACCTCAATGGACTAACTTGTACTCAAATGTCCTTGACGTGTGACTTTCAAACAAATCACTGCAGCTCAAGTACTTGCAATAATTGTGCATGCCACTTGTTAGCAAGCTCAGAAACTTGTTTAAGCATGCATCACACTTATATGCTTGTCTTCTCAACATCCTCCATGGATAGAAAAACATCCTTTATTGATAGATACTTCAAACAGATGTGTTTGAAGTATAACCCTTAAAACTAGAATTAGCACTCTTTCAAGCTGATAGATATTCTTAAGTTTGTTACTATCAATGGCCTTTTCTAGCAAATTTTCTTGTTTTGGTTTGCTATGACTTGATTATACCAGTCATTTCTCTGACCTACCATCATTTACATGTGAAGTGTGAAGTATGTTTCCTAAGAAATGAAAAACAAAAAGTTAAAAATTCAGTGGCCTCCTAGGTTTCTATGGTTGACATGAACCAGGCTGAAAATCCTAGTTTGGTTGTCATTTTTGTTGATACAGCAAAACTTGCATATTGTGTTCACATTTATAACTTTGCTTTCTTCGTTCTCAGAGAGGCAGCTAAAGAATGTAGACGGAAGAAGAAAGAGTATGTGAAGTGTCTTGAAAACAGAGTCGCTGTCCTTGAAAACCAAAATAAGACGCTAATAGAGGAACTCAAAACACTTAAGGATCTTTACTGTCACAAGTCAGAATAGATTCTATTGCTCTCTACTGTAAAGAAGCAGAATTTAGAGAAAATTTTTTCCAGTGACTTACAAATACTCCTAGAAGTTTATATTTTGTCTCGGTGTGAGCAAAGCTTAGGTATTTGCTAAAGAATTACAGAAGCAGTTTTGAATAGAAAAAAATCTAACTCCAATTTGGTTTCTTTGGCAAATAAGTCAGTTCCATTTTGTTTTTGTGTTAGTTGTGATGGTTGCCTGTATCAACCTTCATTGTTGAAATTGCATTTCACGAGTCATTGGAAAAGTTAATATTTATACATGTAAGTAAATAGCTAACCTTCAGTCCAAAAAAACAGCAGCGTTAAGGTTGCATGACATTGTAAATAGCTCTCGATATTTTAATCATTTGTAATAATGCAATGCATTCATGATTTTCTACAAAAGGAGAAAGTTTTATGCTGGTAGAAGTTTTTTTTTTACCATGGCTAAGTTTTTTTGTGTGTTTATTAAGACTGTGGTTATTATTATTATTAACATACTGGTAGATGAAAATGATGTTGTTGTCATTACTCTTTCTCTGTCAATGTCATTAAGACATGGTGTAAATTATGGATTAAGACATAACAAGAATAACACAAGCTTTGTAAAACTCTAAAAATGTGTGTTTTACTCCAAGTAGTTCACACAAAATTTATTCCTATGGTTGAATTAAAACTAAATGTTAATACATTGTTCTATGTTACTTTGGTCTCTCACTTAGCCTGAAAAACAAGGAATTGACAGGGAATGCAAAGGGCAAGTCACATGAGGGAGGAGAAACATGAAAAATTGCTCTGACTCTTAGTCACCCCTCACTTACCTTCACCCTCTGAAAGATGTAAAAAAAAATGGTGTATGAGAGGAATTTGGGTGTTAATGAAAAAACAAAGGAAAACAGAACAGAATCAAGCAAACCTAAACCAAAAGAAAAATTACTGGTAATAAGAAAGAAGCCTAAGAAGATATTTCACAAAATGAACCTTTGAGTGATTGCCAGTGGCCCTATGCGATAAACTCAAATTGCTAGACTAGCCTCAAGGTGATTCCTCAGTATTGCACTGCACATAAAAATCACATAGTTAGGTGAATAAGCATGTGTTTTCTGAGAACACAGTATTGTTTTTCAGTAAATGTATCAGGTAAAGAGGTACAATGGCCTTTAGCTCATGAATGAGCACAACAACCTACATTCTTTTTTTGTCCTCTTTAAATTAGAGAAATTTTTAAAAGAATTCAGCTAAAAAGTGTAAATTCGGCTAAAAGTGTACACAGAGTCCCCTACCTGAGGGTGCAAATTATGATCTTGAAGCAATGACTTGAGGAATGTTTTGATTCAATTCCCATTAAAATTGTACGATTTTTTTTACAAATTATACAACTAATTGTTCCATATACTTGAGACTTTCAACCAATCAAGTTTTTTTTAAATACCACTTTAACAACCCTTGATTCCTGCTACCTCAAAATGTACCATGAACCGCTGAAATGAAGCTCATGATTGGTGTCAGAACAGGTATAGGTGGGGTAAGTTTGGCTCATTGTATCTCTTAACCCTTCAACTCCCATGAGTGACCAAGACAGAATTTCTCCTTACAATATCACTACAATATCAAGCAGACAAGTGATGAGAATAAAGAAAAATGTTCAAACTAACATTGCTAGAACTGTATGACAGACAGTAAGGAGAAGTACTAATGAGATCTTGAGAGTTGGAGGGTTAAACAAGCATGGTGAACCATCTTTTAAATTGTACTTTTTGAAACAGACATTGGTGGGAACATTTATGGAACCTTAAGAAGAAATTTGATACATTTTTTTGTTAGTGGAATCACCTTAATTTGGTTTCTTTTCTCATACTGGTATCAAGGACTGATAAGATCTGATTATTGTAGAATCTTTAACCCTTTAACTCCCAGATCAAATTTTTCATTCTCCTTACTGTCAACCATACAATTCTTATAATGTTACTTCAGAGAATTTAATATTGGACCAACTAATCCCTAGATTGCTATTTTTCTTTATTCTCATCACTTATCTGGTTGATATTGTATTGGTATTGTAAGGAGAAATTCTGCCTTGGTTACTCATGGGAGTTGAGAGGTTAAAGTATCATGAGATTTAAAATTTTCCATCACACTATTTAGTAATGTTTATTGGAATCTATATATTAAGGATCTTACACATTTCATAAATTTACAGGTTCAGAATAATTTGCCACTTAAGGTCCATTACTCAAACATCAGATATAAGAAAGATCAAATCAGTGAGCCTACTTATAAACTTGTTTGAGAAAAACAGAGTTCATTTTGACTGCTTCCCTTATTTATCCTACTGCATTGCTGTATGCATTTGGGGGCCAGGAAGCCACACAGACTTTAATTGATTAAGTTCTGGTTTTACAAAAGCATGCCCTTTGCCTCATAGATAGACACGTTATAGGTCACTTGTCAGATGATTCCTCTTTTCCTCTCCTCCAATACTATATCAAAGTGAATATGCTTATTTTGAATCTTTTCCAGTTGAAATGCACGATGTTACTTATGAATATTACTTATCTTTCTAATTGCTCAAAAGAGATACCTAATCACAATTATATATTAAGATTCTCTTCAGCCTGCAATTATCAAGTAAAACATTTACGACCTAACTTACAATCTAAATCTTTCTCAAGACTAGAGGCCAAATTATGGGATACCATCCCCCAAGAACTACAAAAAGTCCTGAAGCATGTGTTGAAGACAAAAAATATACCTCGTGGTATTTATTTTTTGTTTATTCTTTTTTTTTTGTGAAGGTGTCTTAATTTGCTAATTGCACAAAGAAAATTGGGTCCATAGCACTTTATTCTAAATATTTCTAAAAAACAGTTTGACCATACCACCTTCACAAGCAAAGTCAACCTTTGAATTAAAATTTATGCCCATTTTTTGAGACAAAATACTTCTAGCTCACTAGCCATAAAATTCTTGTTACCACAAAGAAATGTAGAAGGAGTGATGTGAGGTGGGCATTCATAAGTATTTCCCAAGGAACTGTAACTGTTGGTGGCTAAATTTGCTTCATCACAGATAGTTAAGTCATGTCCACCTCCAAAGGTTGGGCCTAATCCACTGTTGCAGTATATTCCATACTTGGTTCGATTAGGTATTAGGGGCAGTTTGGTTGGTCCAGTATCAGATGGGTTGACAAGGCTAAATATGAATGACCCATTGCAGTATTTGTGGCCAGTAGAAGCTAAAATAGATAAAATTGTATTTAGGATTCAATGTTGCTGTGTGTCTGTTCAGCAATAGATCAATAGTTCTATGATGATAAAATGTGGTAAGAACAAAAAAGTGGCACTGGAGGTGCAGGTGGGTGTATCACTGATATTCTTACCAAATTATGACGTCTTCTGTGATCAATTACTAAACAGACCTACGGCAACATGGGATGTGTTTGTTTTCTATAATAAAAAGGCAAAATGTTCTCAATGGAGACTTGATCTATGCTAGTACTCCAAGAGATCATAGGTAAGAACCTACCAAAAGGGGTGTATAACTCAGCTTACAATATAATAAGGAATTAATTGAACAGCACTTGCGATGAGACATAAATATTGAGAACTACTTAAAAACCTCAGAGCAGGAACGTGCACAAATTACTTACAATCCCATGACTGCTCTGTGAAACCTCCAAACACACTGTGCTCAGTTTTTACCACTACCACAGTTGGCCCTCTACTGTCACAAAAGGCGTGGAAAGCAGCTGACGACCATCCATCGCGAGAGGCACGATAGAGCAGCACAAAGGTGGAGTGAGGAGACTTCAGTTGATCTGTGAGCCACTTCTTCACTAGTATGTCCTTATGTTCATCGGATAGGATGTTGGACTCTAAAAATGGTGGAGGACATAATTCATCGATGATTCCACGTATCTGATAGAACTCAGCTTCTTCTAGCAGTTCCTTTTGCACCAATCGATCCTCTGGTACAAGGAGCCGCCCTGTTCGAAGGTAGTTTAGAATATACCGGAAGTGTGTTCCATCGCGGTCAATGAAGTAAGTTCCATCCTCAGCTGGTTTTGTGTCAAATCTTTCTGAAAACATGGCGTGTAACATCGAGCCTGGATCCTTTCTCAGCGTTTGTAGGCTTGTACTGAATAGCTGACCGCCGACATTTAACTTGACAGTAGAGGCAAAGTTCACGTGTTCCAGTTTCTTTGCAACAGAATCAAAGGCTTCTTTCTCTTTTTGAACTTCCAACGCCTCCCCTCTCATGATGTCGTAAGCTTTCTTCATGCAGTTCAGGGCTTCTTCCAAGGCCTTATAACTTGGTCTATCGATCTCTTCTCCGTCCGCGGACATTATTCTTTACTGAACGAGTAAAACCACGAGCAGGAAGTGTTACAATGTAATTGCCAATGTCAATCAGAGTATGAGTGTAGGAGTCTGGGAACCACGCCTCGGTCCCAGTACTCTTTCTGCATGCGGTTGTAAATGTGCGGTGGCACAGCTGCACAACATGGCGGACGTTTGACAGCTTCTAAATATTTTGTTAGATATCTTTTTGTTAATTTGGGACTATGGATGAGGAGGCACGAGCTGATTCTTCTGGAGCGACTGTAACAGTGCGTCTCATAAGGTCCTTTGAATACAGGAATATCAAATATGTCGTATTTAAAGATGTGTCATTGGAACAAACAGCCAAAGATTTCATGGACTTTGTCGTTTCGGGTAAGTCTTTATCCTCAAAAATATCTGATAGGACCGGTATGAATGAAGGGTTTTCGTCTCAGAATATACTCCAGGGTCTCATTTTAGAAACAAGCCCACACAAGATAGCATAATGCGTAAGCTTTCTCCTTAGAGTACACACGAATATGTAGAAATTATGAATTTTAAAAAAATTAAAAATTGCTCTTTTCTTGGAGTATTTTTCAAAGAGAAGTTACAAAATGGGGTGTAAATTTTGATGATGATGATGCTACCTTACTACTTTCTTGGAAAATGTGGTGTGGTAATAACTTTTGCAAAGACAAGAGCAGGTACCTTCCTATGCGATAGAAGATTTGTACATGAGATTTGTAAAGCAATGCAGGAGAGTGCCTTCTGTTTGTTTTTTTTTGCTACTTAATTCAGACACATGCAACTAAGAGTCAGTGAATTGGAAGAATCATTGCAAGTTTGCTAAATTTGACCTGAAATCTTGCTCCAAATATTTAACACTTTAACTCCCAAGATCTCATTTAGTAATTCTCCTTACTGTCTGCCAAACAGTTCTTGTAATGTTAGTTTGGAGAATTTGGTATTGGATCAACTTATAATCCCCTGACTGATATTTTTCTTTATTCTCATCACTTGTCTGCTTGTTATTGTATTGATATTGAAAGGAGAAATTCTGTCTTGGTCACTTGTGGGAGTTAAAGGGTTAAGAATAACTTTACTAAGTGGACATTCTGATCTCAAGGAGGAATTGTGCCCCTAAAATTGTTGTGACACATATAGGAATCAAGGGGCAAACCTGAGAAAGAAATTCCTTGTGTTTTTAGTCTTTTTTTTATGTTCTCAGAATTGCCTGTAGTAATTAGAAATCATGCTTGTTCCAACAGATATAAAGAAAAGATCTGATGTACCCCTTCCATTCAGGACCTTTGCATATGGTCTGTTGCTCTGATAATAATTGTTCTTTTAATGGGACAGGTCATTGATTCACTGGGTAAAATAACATCTTGTGACCTTCAGTAAAGAAGTTCTCATTTATTTTCAGTTGAGACTGAACACAGTCACTTTTATTTTATTCTTAACTCCCAGATCAAAATTGTCACCCTCAACCATACAACCATATAATCCTTACAGTGTTAGTTCAGAGAATTTAGTATTGGATCCACTAATTATCCCCAAATTGATATTTTTTGTTATTCTCATCACTTATCTGGTTGATATTGTATTGATATTGTAAAGAGAACTTCTGTCTTGGTCACTCATGGGAGTTAAAGGGTGAAAGGCCAATTGTGTATAACCCAATTACAATAAAGGTCCTTACATGGGACCAAACCTCAAAACAGAAAGACCATTAGTTTCTATGTACAAAGATGTAATTCACTGAAAATTCACCTCTAAGCCTCCATTTCACTAAAATGTTCATGAATCCTTGACACTTCCTCATTGTTCTCACCAGGATTTGGTCTTGGTGTTACATCTGCTCCTTGAAAGCAAAGCTGGAAGGTAAATTTTTTTATTCCAATATAAACATGCACAAGACCTAATACCGTTACTGGTGCATTTTAGTTTTTTTATGTCTGATAGGTTTTTTGCTTTAAACCTTTAACTCCTATGAGTGACCAAGACAGAATTTCTCCTTACAATATTAATAAAATATCAACCAGATAAATAATGAAAAATATCAATTTGGGGATAATTAGTTGATCCAATTCTTAATTCTCTGAGCTAACATTATAAGAATTGTATGGTTGAAAGTAAGGAGAATTACAAATTTGATCTGGGAGTTAAAGGGTTAACACAATAACCTTGATAATTTTGTTATTCTTACTCAGTTTTCTGAGTTTCAATGTAATTTTACAACATCCAAACTTGCATCTTTGTCACCCAAATAATATGCTGGTATCCAAAAACATTTTCAGTCTGGAAACATTTATGTTTTTGGCTCTGCCCATCTCAAGGATAGAGAGGTTTTGATGAATTGTTTGGTAATTGTTGTCTTCAAAGAAAACAACACAATTTGGAATCATCACACACACTCTCACAAAATCTACCCTTTGGACTTTATTTTGAAGTGGAGGGTTCAGACTCTACCCTAACCTCAACCTGGGAAGTGAGGGGAGTGGGGGAGAGGAGGGTAAAATGAAACATCTTCACAAGAAAGAAAAAATTAAATTTACAATTGTTCAACTGATTATTTTGACCATTCTATCGGTGTATCTGTCAATGAAATATCTAATTACTAATACCAAGTTGTTTTTAATCCTCTTTCAACAATGTTAACAGACACAATGAAAATTCAGCATAAAGCACATGGTGCCAAAGTAAGTCAACTCTTGTGATGTGTGTCCCAATTAGACAATAGTTAAGTGGATAACTTCATATGTAGAGAGCAAAGATGAGTTTATCAACCCCTTTTAATCAACAAGTTACTTCTCCCTATAAATAGAGGATATTACATGGCCACACAGGGATACAAATTTTATCTTCGAGTGCTGAAAGTATCTCATGTTAGTAACCATGGCGACTCCAATATCCTCACATGTTAAAGATAAAAATAGTATCTTCACTGTGTGCAATGAAGATATGATTTTTTAGTAAAAGGAAAAATCCTGGTATTTCATCAGTAACTATTTAACAAATAGATTCCAAGTTGCCGTGTGTCTATTCAGTAATAGATCACAAATGATGTCAAAATGTGGTAAGAACACCGAGTGTGTCACTGAATAAAGAATTAAAAAAAGTTTTAATGATGACGTCATCTATATGTCTGTCCTCCAATAGATCATAAGTGAGAACCAATCAGAATGCATGCATAACTGAGCTTATTATATAAATAATAGTAGAAGTTGTCAACTTGATCTGACACCAAATTCTGGTAACTAATTTACAAGGAAATGTGCAGCAGCTAGATGGGAGAATTAACAATCAGATCTTTAAGATCGGAGTTAAGTGGTGATTAACACAAATTTATTTTAATAGACAAGCGATCCAGTGATAAACACAGAAAATGATGAGATGCTTATGCTTAGACAGGATTGCAGTCTTTCCAAGAATGGAATTGGTGAGTTCCCCACAATATTTTCGCTTAAACCTGGTTTCCATAGCATCAGCAATGTTGGGTAACAAGTTGAGTGAAGTCTCCCTGGACTCCCCTCCCAGTAAAAAATTGGTGAAACTGCTGCACTGACTTAGTTCTGAGCATTAACCCCTTTACACCCTAACATCAGTATGCATATTCTCCATACTGTTGTCTATACATTTCCTTAAGTGCTGATAAGGAGAATTTGTTAAACAATCAAGAGGTCCTTTAGCTGATGATCATTCTCTCTATTCTTGTGACCTAACTGTTTGATTCAGGGGTGATAATGTAAGGAGAAACTGAATGCTGGTCACTCTTAGGGGTCCAAGGCCTGGATTAAGAAACCATAAACCTGTTGTGAAATAATTAAATGTTCAACATAACCTTAGCAGAAATTTTTTTTTTCGGTTAATTGTATCCATTTAAAAATGAACATCCTCTACTTACTTTTGTTCATAACCATAAAATCTTCTTATTTCCTAACAGGACATGAAACAGAAATATCTTTCTTCAAGAAAGAAGATTATGAGAGATACAAAGCTAACCCAGTGCTGAAATGGTAGAGAATGTAAATAAATTTAGATGATGACTAATAATTCTTCTCTTTAGGATATTTATCTGATGTTATGCTCACCTAGAGTGACATTTTGACATTAGGGAGGGAGAGAGGGGGGAGGGGTTGATGAAAAACTTACAGAGGGCTCTGATAAAAAAAAAAAAAGTACTGTTTTTTTTCTGGATTGTTACTTAGAATTAGTGAATACCTGACATAGTTTGCATATCTTTGTTTTGAAAACCTATGGCGACTGAAACAGAAGCTAAGACAGGCTTTTTAATGGAAAGTGTATGTGCTTTTCCCAAAAGGTTTTAAGTCTTTGCCCCCTTAATTAGTACCACCTTTAATGAATTTCGGGCAAAAGGTTCGAATATTAAGTGTACTGGAAAGCTTGCAAAATAAGAATTGGCAAGCAGATAGATATCGCCATCAAAACCGGAAGTCCCTGCATGTTTACTTTCGCTTGACCAGCGGTTGGTGGGTCTGGGGCTGGTGGGTCTGTGGTTGGTGGGTCTGTGGTTTCTTGCAGAAGAAGAGGCATGACATTTTCCAGTGAGCCATTGTTCGGTTGAGGCACAATTCCAAGAAGTTGACACATCAGAGGGTAGAGATCGAGTGTCTTGAACGGCGCAATTTCGAAACCCTTTTTAAATGCGGGACCACGGGCAAAGAAAATTGGGTAGCTGCGACTCTCCTGAGGCGGCCAGGCGTGTGTCCCGTGAACCCAAGACACGCTCGTGTTCCCGCGGGATTGCTCGATAACCCAACCCACTTCGGGATTGATGAATATAGGAGGGATGCGGCGATTGTGTTTCCAGTGGTACTCATCTGGGATGTCTTCCTTCTTGTAAACTGTCATGTGCGGGTTTTTGGCTTTAGTGAGGTTGTCATAAATTTCGTCCAGTTTACCATCTTTCGGCCAAATATGTACGAGTGCCCCAGATTCCGTCAGCATGTACGCGGACTGTTCGATGTAATCGTCGAGAATTATGAGTCGCTCTGAAGAGACGTTGTTAAAACTGTGATCGCTGACGAACATCAAGTTGACTGTGTCTATAAGCTCTTCGTCACGCAATCGATCAATGAAATAACCCACAACATCGCGATCGACTTTTTCAATGGCTCGTTTGTATTCATTTGAATAACTGCCATATTCGTGCCCCTCCCAGTCCGGGTGATCGATGTACAGCGCCACAAACTGCGGTGGTTCGTCCGATTTGAGCCAGTTTATGATTTTATCGATTCGGCTCTGAGAAGGTTCCGTGTAATTGAAGACACAATGAATGTATTTGTAACCTAACCACGACGGATACGTTTTGTTACGGTATTTCGGAAGATCTTTTGGGTCAATCGCGCTGCAATCGACTTTGCAAAAGGGCTTCTCGTAGAAAATGGGTTTTTCTGGATAGCCGCGGCTTCCCGGCCAGAAGTAAATCCCGCTACGTCCACCCTGCTTTTGTAGTGTCAACCAGATTGGTTCGGAAGCGTTGTAGAACTTCGGGTCGCTGTCTGAACAATCATAATCGTAAATAAATTTTTCTTGATAAACAGGATCCCAGAACTTATTTGAGACAATCCCGTGGCTCTCTGGGTAAAGTCCCGTCATATAGGAATGGTGATTCGGCCAAGTTTTGGTTGGGACCACATTGAAGAGGTGCCTTGCACGGACGCCTTCCCTGCCGACCTCGTCGAGATGGGGAGTGTCTGCAAACTGGCCGCTGATAAATTGCCAGCCTAATCCATCCATGGAAACCAAAATGACCGTTTCTTTTGCTTGGAAGGTTCTTTTTGTTTCGACGAGGTGAGGTCTGGAGATGAGAACGAGGCAAGTTGCCTGTAGGAGAGCATGAATGGCATCCGTTTTCCTCATGTTGGATTTGGGTTTCGGCTGATAAACACACCGTGGTCGCTGAGAATTTGTTCGAGAAAAAAAAACAATAGTTAAATTATTCGTGGTAAAGAAAACAATAACCTTAAGAGCCCTTGTCATAAGTCTGACCTTTTTCATCCGCGTAACTTAACAAGAAATCACGAAAGTCAAAAATCAACTCGAACTTCTTCAAAGTAAGCTAAATATTACAAAATAACTGTATTAAGAGCAGTTTTAAGGAATTATAGTGCGAGTGTAAACTTTTAAGCCATATTTCATATTAGAAATGTATAGATAACAATAAGATTATAACTCGAGATCTCTACCGAGTTTGTCACCATATATTTCGACGTCCTCTGTGATCTGTTACTGAACAGACCTAGGCAAAATATTTGGGAAATAGACAACGAGAAGCGTGGTGAATTACATTACAGAAAAATAACCTGTTACAAATCCTGAGGCGGCATCGTCTTAGGTACACAATTACATTGATCTTACGGTCATTATTTACTAAAAACTCTCAGACATGTCTAATGCAGTTATGAATTTTTTTTTACAACCAACAGTGCCAGCCACTTCTTGGGGAGTAAAAGCGTGAAAAAGAGCTTCTTCCGCGCGTGTTGCCCCACTCGCGTGCAATGTTCAAATTCACTTTTGCGTTTTCGCAGTGAATCTCACGCATGTGGATTGAAAACCCTGATTTCGCGCTAGCTCAAATCTGCTTAACAATTATTTTCCACGCCCACCGCTATCTCAGCCTTACCTGACAAATTTTTGGAGAGATGAGTGGCGTAAGATAAACTCGAATGACCAGAAGAGACGAAAAGTCCTCGCGAATCGTAGGCCGAACCGTTCGGTTGAGAGCGGCAGAGCTCTGAAGTCGCTTCTGTGTTTACCACTCTGGGTAAGAACAGAACGTTTTCTAAAATATTTCATGTCCTTTGAAAAAAAAGTATTTCATTTCCTTTGAAAACAAAATATTTCATTTCCTTTGAAAACAAGCGTTGAATTGCGATTGCAAACCCGTTGGTTTTAACACGTGGGTCATCATAGGTCATCTAGAACCAAGAGAGACAGCGGTATGCATTCACAATTGATTTGGATCCAAGCTCTTTCCTTCAACATCACGCCATTCGTTTTAGTTTAGACCACGTTTCCTCCTCAAATCAAGTTAGTTTTTGCACGTGTCCAATTAATTTTTTATATAAACTAGGTAATATCACATTAGCGCGATCTTTGCGTGCGAAGTGCAAATAAATAAATGATACAACGTTACATCTTTTGAAACGTTACGAAGTGTTCAGCTTAGTACATGACATAACCCATTTTTATATAGTTTTTTTCCACAGTTTCAAATTATGCAAAGCCGTGTGATTGAAACAATTGCTAAACTCAATAAAAATAACAAAGTTCAAATGACCCCTCAATCAAGGAAGCCGAAATCCAATAAAGCACTTTGTTTTGAAGGTATGATGTCAACGTTTTTAAAAGCCGCCATCTAATCTTCTAAGAATCAGCTCTCGGGTGTGTCGCTTGACCGCAGAAACAGACAAGACGAAAATAAACAAAAATGGCTTCGTTTTGGGCTAAAAAGGCCCTCCTAACTAACTAAATTTACTTCTAAAATTTATGCTCATTTTTACACTTCAAAATCTCTGCAAACAACATGTACAAGAACGGCTCTGAATAAAACAGGACAAAGGGAACAATAAATTGAATAGTCAACTAATGTTCATCCACTTTTTTAAATTTCGTTTGAATCTGTTCTGTTGATGTCGGTATCGTTTCCAAAAAGGTGGTTAGGTAACTTGTTCCATTCCTTGACGATCCTCACAAAGGAGTCTTTTAAGGGGTTCATTTTAGCAGATTTCTTACGAAATCTTGAATGGTTTTCGAGATCTAGAATTTTTTGGTACTTTTCTTGTAATTGTCGTGAAAGTTATTCCCATTTAACTGTCTTAAAACATTCTACGAAAGGGAAGTCAGCGCTCTATTAGTTCTAACTGTTCTGGTGTTATCGCCATGGCAACTTTACTGACATATGTATGACAGCTAATGGAGGCCCTCTATATGCCCCATCAAAAGGTAGTGTTGTTCTCCAGTGTCTGATTGTTTTTCAAATCCACTTCTGCCGCTATCCTCGCTTCGTTTTTAGCTGAACAACACCCCGTGAGGCTAAAAGATCGCGTGGTAGCCACTCGGGTTTTATCCAAGTATGCTACAATCGAGTCGATCAAACTGGACATGAAACACAACCCGGGTAGAACAGTTATAATGAAAACATACAAGTGATCCTCAAACGGAATAATGTCTCCAAATCCGACAGTAGTTAAGGTCACAAAAATGGAATAAGAGTTCGTGATAAAACTTTGTTTTGATTCTAAATGCGTGTTCAGTGCACAAGCAATGATCCAGGTTACAATGCAAGACACTAAATTGATGCAGGTATTTCCAGTTTCCATAAAATCGCAGGCACGTTCTTGGCAGTTTTTACTGTGAAATTTCCTATGCAGTGGTCGGGTCACCGATTTTAAGGCTTTGTTTACAAGTTCTCCAATTGATTTTAGAGCTAAAACTGTGAGTGGAATTCCTACCAGCGCATAAATAACGGTGAGAATTTGACCGCTTTCTGTCGTGGGCGTTATGTTTCCATATCCTGGCGAAAAAAGGGGAAATGATACAAATGAATTAGTAAAAGAAAATGAAGGAAATATTTAATGAATAAATAATTTAATAATGGGGCAGTCTGTCTCAGTGTTTTGGGTATCGTATGAAAGAATTAAGCTGAGCGCCACGGCAACAATAAAAATTTGGCTCTCGATGTTCATAATGGAAAGGTGGTGATATCTAGTGATAAAAAATGATAATAAAGATGTAAATAATGACGATAACAGTAGGGGTGTCAATCATTTTTTCCATGAGCGGCTGCTGATAAAGTCGCAGCCATCTATGCCCGTAAAAGGAACCGTATTAAAAGGCGAAACCCGATCACGACTGCCTGATGGCAGGCTAAACAGACGGCAGTTAGTGGTCTTGTAAGCAGCAGTAGATAACTGCTCCGCTTTTATTGAAATCCTAATTTTTTTAGTAGTAATAGTTAACAACAGGAGAACATGTCTTCTAGTTAACAATTATTCACCGAAGTAGTAGTAAATAGTACTGGATATTTACTGAGCCGTGAAGCGGCGAGGTTAATATCTATCATTTTCAACGACACTGCGGTGAACAACTTTTTTAGTTTATACCACACAGATACAAAAAAATTGGTATTAGTTTATTTCTTTCAATATACAAAAAAATGGTCGGAAATAAGCCCTTGACACACGAATATGTCCCATCGGCTGCTCGGAGGCGGATAGTACTTGTTATTCACATCCGAACAAGCCGATCAGCGCGCGCGAAAAGTACTATTTACTAGCGTGGTCTATACTAATACTAACGATAATGACAGAACGGTAATTATAATATTGATAATTTTGAGTGTAATGATAATAGAAATAATGATAAACTTATATATGCATTTTTTTTTAAAAATGTTTAAGTGCGTGTGACAATTTTCAAAAGGAAAAGATTCCTATCGATGAAGAAGCTAGGACTCTAATGGAAAAATGACAAATATACAGTAAAATATAAATACAAATATACAGTAAAAATCTGTGGTTGTCATGCCGGACGTAAAAGGTGACATTTTACTCTTCAATTGGAATTAGCGATGGTATCCACGCTCTTTGTTGATTGTAATAGCGCGTTCTAAAGTTTCGTTGTAGCACAGGTTGAAGACTGGTCATTTAGGCTGGCTTAAAGGTTGTGAGTTTATCAGGAATATGTTGTTCCACTGGTCCAATATCTGTGTTTTGGATGGGAACTTTCATATCGAAAGAAAATGTTCAAAATGTATTTAATTTGCATCGCACCTCGATGAAATAACTCATTCTTGTTAAAAATATTTCTGCACCTGCAGTGCCTAATCTGATCACAAAAGGTAGACGATTTTGGTGTAAAATTCACAACTATTTCTTTCTTACCAATTGTAGTGACAAGCTGTAAAACGTAGAAAACAGAATTTAAGAATGTCCATGTTGGCTTCGCTCCATTCTCCCTCGTGTCGTCGTAATCTTTAAGCAGATTGGTGATATTTTCTTGGGACAGATTATACGTGTTACTCCACCGACGTAGGAAGTCCTCTAATGTTTGACTCTTAGAGTTTCTGCCTGTTTCCTTCTCGATCTGCATAAATATGGCTCCTCCGATGAGGACATAAACAAGAAGCCCAACCACTCGGAATGCAGACCTTGTGCTGCTGTTAGTCGCCATGGTTTGCCAACAGGCTTTCTGTGTCGAGTAGACGAAGTTCCTCGACCGATTGCTGTGTCACCCTTTGAACAGTGCGGGCAAAGTTCTCGATTAATTTGTCGTTCAACTTCACAGTTGAAGCCAGATCTTTTCCACTGATTATAACCTATCGCTTGTTAGCGACCTGGAATAATAGTTGAACTACCGAAAAATTCATTGGCTGATTACGAGGGTTTGCGAGTGTCTGTCAGTTATCTGATGCAAAAACTCATCCGTTTGCAAATTGCTTATCATAACAAGTCGTCCTCATCCATATTGAGGTTTTTTTTGTTTCGGCTCGGTAGGCAGCTGCATAAACAGCACCAGATAGCCATCATTTACTAAAACTTTATCTTCGAAATTTTCATCATTTCACCAGGGAAACGTCAAAACATTGAAAATGTGCTTAGATACTTGTGCAATTTTATCTGAATGCCTTGAAAATAAAACGTAACCATCTTAATTAAAACTGCGCTGAAAAGATTAGCGCTATAGGAGCTGTATCTTTTAAATAAGTCTCGAATTTTAATTTTGCAAGAAAAATGTTGTTTTTGACTCATGTCGAGAATCGGAAGAACGCTATATTGGCGTTTAGAGCAGTGACAGTTAGCACCTGGTTTTTCAAGGAAACCCTTAATGAAACCGCAAACTTCTGGCGCTGAAGACCATGTGATCTTGTTCCCAGGTCCCGTCTGAGATAATAACCCCGGTTTTCATGATAGAGATTCTCTGAAGGCTTTGATCTTTTATTTTTCTTTTAATGACATACAAATGTGACAGATTTTTAAATCTAAGCTACTCCAAGAAAGCCGGGTACTTGTCAAGGTTATACTTTTAAAAGAGCTTTTAGTTTTGCCTGAAGAAGTGCTCTGCTCATTATAGCAAAATTCAAACGTGGTTACCTTTTCAAGTATAGTTGGAAAGAATTCCATGGTTAATATTGATTTGCAATATTTTTCCCTCAAGGGCACCTTAGCATTCGACATTGTTCGATTTATTACTCCATCATACTACACAGCAATGTTTCTGAGCGCTTGAAATCTCCAAGACACGACTTGCATGGCTCATATATTCATTTTCATTTTAAAAAAGTAGCCATTCTAAATCGTTTGTTAAGCAGTCACTTCGGTATCAGTACAAGGTTCTTCGACTATCTCGCGCTGTCTGAGTTTGAACCGTCGCTTGTATGCCTCGTCGGCCAGAATATCAAACAGATATCGCTTGGGCCTCCCTGTTAAGAAACAATTCGGTTGAAGTTAATCAGAGGCGAATTTTATCTTCAAGGTAAACCTAAGGGTGTAGTTGCCATTATGCCTTGCCCAGCATATTGGTGTTTCCTTACCCTGACTAGTAATAACCCTTGTCTCGTCAGGGTAAGTAATCATCGATATGCTGCGGCAGTTAGAGGCAACTACGCCCTAGGGCTTTTATAAGACGAGACATGGGTAACTAGTCAGGATGGGTAACTAGTCAATTAAGACTCTATTAGATACCCAGAACTCAAGATCCAGCGAGCCACAGGCCGCCACTTCTGCCCTTTTCCTTAATGATTTTATTTAAATACAACGCAAAACGTGAGGTTTCGTTGCTTTAAAATAAATTTCATTTTTACCTTTCGGTATCGTATTGTTGTTTATTTCCGCTGTGTCTTCTGCAAAGTAACAAAAAGCCATAATCACGATTCTGTGAACAATAACTCACTTTTCGACAAACATTGTATCAAATAACAGCAAGGTATCAATCACAAAACACTGAAAGCCAAACTTATGTTACCTGAAGGTTTGAAGTTGTTTAGACTGAAAAACAACGAAGAAAGATAAGTCATGACGCTTTGTTCATCCGGGACATCCATAGACACCAGATCTCTCGCGTCCAATAAAGCGGGGACACCGAGCTGTTCCTCTGCTACCTTAAAAGCCTGGTAACGAGACAAAATTTGTGTGTTAAGAGGACGTATTAATTTTTGAGACGGTTTTTTCCACACAAAAAAACGATATAATTGACTGATCTACAATAGTGGCAGACCGCAGGAAAAAAAAAAAGCCCACCTTTTGCAGTAATTTATTTTCAGTATAGCCACCTCTATTTGATGTAAAAACACAACTTTTTTCGACTATAGGAGGTCTTCCTTCCCGGCATGCCTCGCACTCATTTCATTGACATCATTTCAACCCCAGCATTTCATCGCCCAGTCTAAAGAACGCTTAGGACTCCACTCGTTTTGCAATCAAAGTTACTTTTTTAAGCAAAGAGAGCAAGATTAGTCTAAATTTTTACACATTTATCTACCAGGGATTGCCTTTATCTTCAGGTGGGTGTGGCCCACCTAACATTGTTGCTGATAAAACATCATTCTCATTATGATGGTCATACGCTGACATCGAGCCAAACTTTTGATTAATTTTGTTTTGACCAAACTCTGATAGTTGCCAAAAATTGGCATTATTACAATATCAGACAGGAAGAACTTATCAACATTTATGCTGACAGGCTTTCATTTTCTGTCACAATTTCAGTAATAATGAGAGAAAGAGAAATGTTTAATATTCTTCATGCCGAAGACTGTTTCAAAAACATACAATGAAAATGCATTATAAATATTAAAAATAGTTCAGCTTACCAGTTCGTTATTTTTCAACATGTCTTCCTTCGATAGATTCTGAAAATCTCTGAAATAAAAGAATGATCGGTATTACAGCTTGAGTGAAGACCGAACACCGACACGGAAATTAAGTTAATACTCGATTGCGACTTATAGCGAGAACGATCATAATCGATTAGAATACTGCTATCGAAAAACGAAGGAGATGAATCCAGCTTGCCCGTCCTATGACCTTTGATCTACTTTGCAAATCTCCTTTCCAGCTACGGTACACTAAGTTATAAACTGATTTGGAGAATTTCGTGGTCTATATTGTAAGGAAAATTTACACGTTCATCGCTTGTAGGATGTAAAGGGCTAAGTGAAATATCTACATCCGATAGTGGACATGTGGGTATTCCGGAAATCTTCCGCAAACGTGACGCATTTTAGCAATCACGAGTCTTTTGATTGCGCTTTTTTCTTTTTCATTTTCTTAATTTTGTATTTCCTCCGATGATGCTATGTTCTGAAATTTTCTGAAACCCAAACCTTCTTGAAATCTGCAATTTAGGGCCGGACCTGCACACGTTCGGGTTATCTGTAGTTTGGTTTCATTATAGGCAGCTCAAATTTCTCCGACATTTAAAGATATGTTAATAAAAACAAAGCTTACATCACTTGTTATGTTTTGATTGCGTCTGAAGTATGAGTATTCAGACGCAAACACTAATTATTGTTTTTGCAATATCTCACATCAAGTGTAGACATAAACAGCGCTTAGGAAAAACGTATTTTGGCATAGGATTATTTTCCAATATTGTCAGAAACAGAACAAGTTTGCATTCTACGATTACGAATTTTGTGAAATTTAGCCCATGATGATTTTGTTATATGCAGATTGCTTTATCGAGGTTTGAAACGTTTGCGATCGAGAGCTGGTAGTCAATTGAAATACATCTTAAGATACCCAATACTAAATGGGAGATTATAATACTGTTTCGAAATTTGTATTTCTTGCAAATTTGTATCAAGTGCTCGATTCAAACGCAACTCGTTTATGCTACAAAACCAGCTTAGATCGAGAGTTCAGATTAAATTTCACCTTTTTCACATTTAAATTAACATACGATATAATCTGAAAAACTCAGGGAAGTCAAGAATTTTTGTTTCCTATCTTAATGTGAAGTGAGAACATGATTGTTCTTACATGAGGTCCGGCTTGTAGCGGTGTATTATAGCACAAAAGGCTAATCCATCTCTCCATGAGGTTGTCATGTTAGACACACGAACGTTCTTGTATCCCACCGTTTGTCGCTTGCACCACTCGAGTAACGCTTCTTTCCCGCGCAACGTGCCAGCTGCGAGATTTTTTTGTTTTTTGGACATTTTTGTTGGATCCAGCGACGAGCACTTAAAATATTTCCCGATCTAGGCATTCACATTTGTTCAGCGAAGGTTTATCACACCGTATGGCGGAACTACTGGCTTTTCAGCGCAAAAAGAGCGATTTGTTTTTCAGTTTCGTCGTCTGTCGATCGATCTCACGTTTGCAAATGACGTTGTCATAATAAACGTACCAGCAATGAACTATTTCCGAAATACTCGTGACCAGAATGAATGTAAACATTAATGAAATCTCTCATTGATGTACTTATAAATTAAAATACATGTTAAAAAACTGTAAAAAAATATTGCACTCGAAGTATAAACAAAAACGATGAAACGTAACTTGCAGAATATGCAAGGATAACTTGTGGAGATAATCAGTGAACAGTTGCGTAATCGAGGCAGAAAATGTTTGATTTTTTTTGATGAAAGGAAAAGCTTCAGGAAAAAAAAAAGTGACGCTGAAAGGGTTTATTTTGAGCTTATTAGATTAAGCGTGTTTTCCTCTCGCAGTTTTTTTTATTAGAATTCCTTTCTTCTCTCTAAAGCACCTCAAATACAGAAGTTTGCTATGAATTTCAAACATTCTTCAGCGAAACATCTGCACTGCGCCCGTAAGTGATTCTCTGACAAGAAAACTAATGACATGCCACAAAAATTCACACTGATGTCATGATTGGTTTTCACCACAAAGAAGCCGCCGTCAACGGGAAGGATTCGAAAATTGAAAGAGGTGTCGAGCGTTGTAATCAATTCTACAACGAAATGAAATTCTGGCAAATTCAATCACTTTACATATGGAGAAAAAGTCACTGTTGACCTTCAATGAATGCGATTCGCATTCTAAAGCTGTTTTCAAGTAGTTGTAGTCGTGTACGTGCGAAATTTAGTTGTCAAAGGAAACTTCATCTCCACTAATGAATAATTATTATTTTTCTTTAATTTCTGGTCTACACTTCGTTTTGAACTCTAGGCTCTCCGTGAAAAAAACATCAGGAGAGTGCTTTTGTTTTTGTACCGTCGTTAAATCAAAAAAGCTTCAGGTTTTATTTGAAAACAGTCGAAAATTTTAGTAATAAATGCACGGAAGCTAGCACTGCGGCGCTTTCAGAATAATTTATCCTAAGAGATTTTTAATTTAAACGTTTTTATAGCCAATTGAACAGCAGTCGACCACACGCATTGCAATTTCGTTTTTGCGGCTTTATCTGTATTCTCCGTCATTCAAACAGTCATGCGCAAAATTTCCCACATTCCATGTGCCTCAATGAAAGTCAGGGGAACCACAACGCGAGAACGAGGGTAAGGAGTGACTTTGGGGAATAATAATGTGAATAAAACTCTTCCCTTTGAACTGCTGTTTTGACGAATTTTTTACGGGAAAACTCTTAAAGAGAAGGAAGAACCAAGATGAAAAAGAAACCAAAGCACGATTGAAATTTTTATACTTTTAGACTTCAAAGGAAGTCTTTTAGTTGACTCCAATGTGTCAAATTTAAACCAGTTTCAACTCTGGATTCACGTTCAAATGTTTATAGAACGCGCGTGAGCTATAAAAACATCATATTTAGAGTGGGGGTTATTGCTAGATCAAGATAATATAACTGAACTTTATAATCTCTTGTGCTAAATCAAATGCTTCAAAATGAATTGATGCAGGGCATCATCTGGGGCCCAAATAATTCAATAATCTTCCCGGATGTGATTCTATTCTGCCGTATTTTGGAACCCTCTTTTCCACCTGAAACCTTGATTCCATCGTTGCATTAAATCCGCCCCGTCCCACTCCCCATTAAAATAGCGGCTTTTTCGAAAATAAACGAAACCCGGTTTATTTTTTCCAGCGACGATGCAGAAAGTGTAATGCTACAAAAAACACTCATACAACAATACTGAAGCAATTTTTTAGCCACTTCTGTCATGTAAAGAAGAGTTAAATTCAGGCGATTTTGATAACAATATCGCACTTATTCAGTTTCTATCCGAGAAACAAAATGTCTTAACCCAGTCAGGCTATGTTTTCTTATCTCTTCTGGGGCTAGCTCTTAGACGCCGAAGATAATGTTTCAAGCTTGTAAATACTGAAGTGTTTTAAAAATCTTCATGGGTGAAACTTATTGAAAGCCTCTTGAAGTGAAACGCTGCAAATGACAGTATACCATATGCACAGAACTGATCCTGTGAGATAAAAGAAAAAAAGACGACAGAGACAAGTAATTAATTTTTTTCTTATTCTTAATTTTTAATTCTCAAATGAATGCGGTTAAAAATTCCTTAACATTTAATATAATTTCATAATAAACAGTAAAACTCTTACGACTACTCACTAAGTTATTAGAAAGTGAAAAACAGAGGTTTGTCATGCATGCGCATCTAATATCAGTTGTTAGATTTTTGTAGCAGATTTATGGAAGATATCATTTATGGAATCTAAAAGCTGATATACCTAACACTAAAAGGTGAGAAAACGTAGGAAACTAACCTACTGGTGGTCATGATTTAGTTTACATCATTTTTCACTTATTATCATTATAACTGCTATTATATCTCTAATATCATCATTAATATACTTTCGTTAATAATGCTATTAACAAAGTTATTATCATAAATAAGAATGACTAAGATCCTTAACAAAAAGATCAGGTCATATCTCTCGATTTTAACGTTTATGGATGCTTTTATAGTTGACAGTTCAGCAGATTACCTGTTGGGGATGTATGAGCTAAACCTACTCGATGTCGAACACGAATTAGATTGCAATTGTTAAGTCAACATCTACACTCAACTTCACCTTTATGATTTCAAAGCCCTTATTTAATTATTAAGTCTGTGCCTTTCTTTGCACTTTATATCAATGCTCGACCCAGACCTCCACGGCTAGTGTTGACCGAGGCAAGCCTAGACTTGAGCCCTCCTGTCTCTAAGTGCCTTCTAATCAGCGGTTAGAACATAGCTGACCAGCCCTCTGACTATTCAAGGCTCCTTAAAGATTGACGAGATTAATGTCTAGTGTAGAATGATCATTTCAGATCTGAGGATGTGCCAACAGTAGTGCCACTCCTTCGGCCGAGACACGACAAGCGTCCATTGGGTTATTTCGAGTCCTTGAGCATCTAGCATCATCTTGTCTGCATTTGTTTGTAAGCCCGTCTCCAATCTGCTATCTCCGCTGACTTCTGATTTGCTGCTGCGCCTAAAGCTTAGTCTCTTTCCGATATCTTTCAAGGTGAAGGATGAGCTCCGCTTCATGTCGTTTGGTCCTCCTGCAGACGATTTCTTCAAAATCGTCGACTTCTGTGGTAGACTGTTTTCGCTTTCAGGATTTTCCGTTTTTATTTCCTGAGTGGGATGCTTAGAGTAATGTTTGGGCTCTTCTTTAGGAATTTCTACCGAGTTATCTGTTTTAGTATCAGTAGGATTCAACCCTTTTTTAGGAAAACTTTCTTCTTTCGTAGCGCTTCTCTCATCTGTACATTGATCTTCATTGTCTTTGTGTCCATTCGATATTTGATCGGGTTCCGTTCGGGAATTTTCGGGTTCATTTGTTGGCAGATTTTCTCTATCGGCTATATGATTTTTGATCACATTTAGCAAGTCTTCAGCTTGGTCGCTGCATCGTTGAGTTTGATCTTCGTTCAAAATGTTCTTCTCTTGGACATTCTTGCTTTTGGAATTTTTAGTTGTATCCAATGAATTCCTTCTCCAACTTTCATTTCTTGTACTCTCGTCTGCTGTTTCTACTGCGTTAGGGGTTGGATCACTAGTGTCTGCTTCTTGCGAATCATTATTTCCTTCATCAGCGCCGTTGTTGATGCTCTGAGTGGAAATCTCGGGAGATTCTTGCTTTTCAAGTTTTTCTTCAAGTCCTTTGTCTTGTTCTTCGCTGGACTCTGACTGCGTTACAGTCTGACGTGCGGCGAGTTCTAGGTGCTTGATAGATGCCATCACTGCTTCGAAAAGGCGTTGCTCAGCCAAGCGGTTTCTGGTGTTATTCGCCTTGGCCTCATCCTGAGAGGGATCTGGGACAGGGTCCGTCGCCATTACTTCTGTACTGGCAGACGATGCACTTTGCGGTCCATTCTCGTCAATTTCCTGCTTTGTCTCTTCACTTTCATCTTTACCATTTGCCATGTCAGTGACAACACTTTTTTCATCCACTTTGTTTGCATTTCCTGGCGTATCTATCGTTTCTGTGCCTTCATTTCTCTCCTCTTCTGTTGCCTGTCCTGTGTCATCCGCCACAAGTTTCCTACCACTTGCTCTCTTCCATTTACCAAAGTTCGAGTTCACATCACCACTCATCGCTTCCTTTCCTTTTAGAAACCGCAGCACCTGATTAACTTGCTTGGTTTGCGCAGCCACGACTGCCTTGTAACCGAGACTGAGCCGAACACCCCCGAAAAGCTTTTCCTTTTTTCCGCTGGAAAAATGACCGTCGGCGATGCATACTTCGAGCGCTCTTCGCTTTATGTCATGATAATTGACGCCAACGATTAAGAACTGTTCGTTCCAAAGAGGATCTTTGCCTTTTCGTGTTTTTGTTCTGCACTTGGTTGATTTCTTAGCATCGCGCAGAAGGTAACTGTGGAAACCAATACAAGCACAAAATAAAGGGAACGTTCATTTTCTATCGCAAGGAAGGTGGGGGGGGGGGGCCGGGGCGGGGCGGAGGATTTTGTTTTTGTCACGATATAATTTACCTGATCTCCATAAGGCTTTGTAATATTCTTACGACCCCCTCTCCTCACTGGCAGTCAATTTTCCACAATCCCCTCCCCCCTTCGTTAACCCTTGTGGTAATGTTCTCGCGATTCAGCCGGGTTAGGAAACTACCCGGGGTCATGAATAGAGGCCTTAAACCTCAACACTTTAACATTATCTGGTGCTCACATGGAGAATTTCCTTAAAAATCAGGAGCTCTCTAAATTTATGATCATTTCCTTTATTCTCATGACCTTTACATTTGATCTAAGGGGGGTAGTTTAAGGAGAAATTAGAAGCTGGTCATTCTTAACTGTTAAAGGATTAAAAATATCTTACCATTTCGAGAATGTTTCTTGAGGGCTCTTCTTCCCTGCTGGCAAATCCATTCCTCGGAGGAGATGAACATGGAGAAATCCCTGACCAGTGTTGGTTGTATTCTGTTTGTAATGTCGTGAATCGACCTCGATCTCTTGCGAGCTGCTGTATAAAAGCCCGATAAGAATTCTGGGTTTCCCCAAGGACTCCATTGGTTGCTAAAGAGAAGAAACAATAAAATGTATCGTAAACCTTCCAAATCCTAAGGTCTAAACGTCTTTTCGACCAATTAAATACAAAACTAAAACCATTTTCGACTTGGTCACGCGCATTTTCTCACGCTTTAGGTGCCCACTCGCGTTTTCCCGCGCTTTTAGCAGTCTGGGTGTCCTTTTTTGGCTCGCGTTGAGATTATCTTCCGTGCTCATTGGCTAATGTGATTACTCGTGGTTGTGGTCTTACGTCCTTAGAGCAAGATTCTCTGGGATTGCCTTAGTAACCAGGCCTATCACTACGGCTGAGTGGCTTAGCCAGTTCATTTAACTGAGAGACCAGGCCAATACACACCTTTAGAATAACTTTTAAGTCCAGTGGGTATCCCATGCCCCTCAAGATACTCTGTGGAAATAGCCGAGTGACCTGGCCTGGCTCCCCGACGAAATGAATGGTCAGTGTCAACTCCGTTGAATTCTGTAGCTCGGTAAATGTGACATAATCACTACCTGAAATGACACTTGAATGTGAGTAACAAACGTAAAAATAAAAAAAGACGTCATTGTTACGATGATTATCATGATTATCGTGAAGTTGTTTGAGTGTGTGTGTTAGATGGAGTTTCACCTGAAACGTCATGCGCTGTTAAAATCCTGCGAATTAATGGTTTGTGAGGTTGTTTTTAACTCCTGAGGGACAACTTGGTTCTGAAAACCTAAAAGCACTTGTTAGACTGCCTCTTAATTGCTTCAACGTTTTCATAAGCGCAGCTGTATTCACACTGCTTAAGACTTTCAGCAAAAAGACGTCCTGTTCAAGAAATTCCTTTCATTAAGACCCAAGACCACAAGTACCACACTCTGTACGGAGGCACATACCCGGCCGGGTCCAAATAATGGAGTGCCCCCCCCCCTTAAAAATAAGGTTATAAGTTTCCATCTTATTACGATGAGTGACGGCTAGATGCTATTCGTGTACTACAGTTTAAAAACTTCTAAAAAACGTGAATTTATATTAGATGACTGGTTCCACAGAGTCTTTTCGCACACCTTTGTCCAAAACAATGTTTGAAATCCACCTTAATTGTTAAATTACCCAATTATTATCGGAAGTCTATCCGAAAAGCACGTGACTAAGTTCCAGTCTCCATTCGCGGCCCATGTATAACTAATCACTTACCTATAGGATATCGAACTCGTTTTTCTCCCGGATGACCAGTTAGTGTAACAACAATCTCCCCCCCATAGTCTTCTAAGCATAACAAGCGCAAGGTGACCTCATCCACCTGGAGTCCGCAGCAGCCGAAGTTGATTCGCCAATTGATGTAACCTGTATTGGACCCAGGTATTCTCTCCAAATACACCTAAAGCGATGGAGGAGGGAATATTTTAGCCTTGGCGTTCAAAAATACCGAAATAATTTGGCTTTTCGATATTCCTTTAGTTTATCATTATGTGAAACACTTTGACCCCCCTTCCCCTTTGAAAAACCTCAGCTTCTCTACTTGAACCATCCTATATCTTCAAATCAACTGAGAAAATAATTAAAAAAAAGACTCAGTAGAGCCAAATGACCTGTCCAATTTCTTCATTGACTGTTCGGCGAACGGAGTCCACTGAATACAACACTTTGTCCCATCCCGAGATGACCCCCTGTGCGGATGGGTCTATGGCATCAGACCAGTCCCTATAGTAACTGTTACATGTGGTGCTGTAACGGAGCCTGAATCTGGCGGGAAAATAACGAACTGCGATTGGTTTGATTTGAATGAATGTGTGAGTGGTGGATGAAAGGATGGATGGATGAACGAATAAAGAAATGAATCGATGAATGAATTAATCAATGAATGAAGGAATGAATGGATGGATTAGTGAATGAATTAATTAAGGAATGAATAAATTAACGAATTATTAATTTATTAGTTAATTAATGAATTAATGAAAGAATTAATTAACGAATGAATGAAGGAATGATGAATGAATGAAATAATAAATGAATGAATGATTTGTATCTTAGTATACGGGAGAAATTATTCAAAATTAAGGCATATCAGTTCCATTATGCCTATCAGTTGACCACTGATATAATCCCGTACCCAGAGCCTACCGTGTAACTGTATTTGCCCCTTGGCCGTGAAAGGCTTGGGTACGACACTACCAATGATATTACATGATCTTCTTCTGGATAATTACAGAAATTTTCGCAAACAATTATATCCGTCGCAATTTTCCATGAGCAATTTTGTTTTATTTCGTGAACAAAATGATAGAATATCTTCTTAATTGCTTTCCTTTTGCTACTCAGGTTGCCGTGTTTTTTCAGCCGTTGAAAACCTAGCACTTATTAATTAATGTAACTTCACGTGGCTTGAAGATCTAAGCATGAAAAAAGCCTTTTGTCTTCTTTGCTTCCGATAAATACGCTTGTTAGACATCGAGTGGCAATATTTATAATCATCGAAAAAATTGGTATTGAACTAAAGCCAGACTTCACTTCTCATGATAAGAAATGTTTCGTAAATAAATCTTGAAAGTGAAAATAATCTGTTTCACTGTTGTAAACATCTTTACATGTCATTTTAATTTTTGACTCGATGAAGGGACAATTATTTAGCCCTACTTCTTTCATGCATTTTCTTCTCCACATCACGGCGGGAGAGAATTCATTGGCACAAACACAGAGAAATGACACCATTGCAGTCCTTTCAGGTTTAGGGTACGAAGTAATATATCCTGTTACGCATTGCAAATGAACAATTTGCATTTGAAATAGCGTTTATTTTGTCGAAGTTTTCCCCTGCCGATCTCGATTTCTCTCTGGGATAGGTGAAATAAAAAGACAAAGTTTATAGAGTAAAATTGCAAATCGAAAAGATCTTTTAACTGAATCAAAGGAAAAAGCAAATGACAAAGTTACTCACCTTGAATCAATGACTTCCTCTTTGTTTGGGGTGAACGTGTAACTCGAAGGCTGCTAAAAACAAATAAATTGGTAAATCTTTTAAGCATAACATTAGAATTCTGTTTAAAACGACAGTTTTGTCATTTCTCTTTATTTTACAGAAATCAGCTCCTTGTGGAAGAAAGCGTCTCACCATGGGTATCATACTTTTTCGACAAGTGAGTATTTTTCCAAAGAGCTTTACATTAGTCCGTTATTGTACAACACTACTGCAAATGGTCTCCTCCTCAAGAGTTCCTCATTTGATGGCCAAATGCAAACACGAAAAGTGCAACTTGAAATATAAATATTCGTATAAAAATTCAACAAAACTTGCAGTATTTTTGCCGCAAAACGCCGAAAACGGCTCCCTACTTCAAAATGAATTAGATTCAGAATGAATTTTCGATGTCTTCCAGACCTAATTTTTTTTAAATGATCGATAATTCGACGCATGTATGAACGCTTTCATTGAAAAAGTCTATTCAATATGGAAATTATTTCCGGGCCTCGCTTCCTAGCAAAATAATAGCTGGTTCATTTACACTTGCCATCATAGAAGATTGATTTTTCACCTAAAATATTTATGACATTTTACTATCGGGAAAACCATCTCGAGATAACATTAACACGTCTCGAGAACTTAAGGACACTTTACAAAATGAGTTTTCTTTTCTCATATCATCATCGTGTTCGATAATAGCTAAAATGTGTTCCTCTATGGTTACAGCGTATTTTAATTGAGAAAATTTAAATAGCTTTAAACCTCTTTCTCAATTATTTTTCACGTCTCAATATGGGTGACAACTGTGAAGTGCATAGAGCTCGAGCGTAAAATAAATGTCGAGGATTTGTTTTCATTTAAAAAGAAACGATATTTTCTCAAAATGGCCCAGCAAGGTGTTTTATACTTGTGATTTGTTTGCGCCATGAAGGCGCTCAAAGGCATTTGTTCTTATTGAGCTTTTAAATGCCACGTTTATATTTCCTTAAGGAAAACTAAAAAAAAAGGGTTGTGAAGCGTTTTTACTTGCGATAAATGAAATAGCAGAAGGAATAGAAGCCAGAGTGAAAAAATAGCGTTTCTAGTGTTAAATGCTTGCTTTTATCTTGGCAGCAATAAAATAGAAATCCTGAAATACTACCCCGGACTTTGCACTCAATTTGACAAATGAATTGAAAATGATAAAACCTGTGAAATGTTTGTCTGAGAGAAAAGAGGAATCTAATCTTCCGGATAAAAATGATGAGCGATAGAAAAGTAAAAACTAGTTTTCGAATTCTATTTATCTCAGATAATTTATTGAGACAAAGGGTCCAAAGTCCGAAGTCCATGAACATGGCACGGTGTGAAAGAAAGAGGACAAAACAAAACTAGGCAACTCTACATAATACTTCGAAAGTATTTATAAACGCCTCGGGTGACGGAGAAAAAAAACACGAAATACTATTGATAAAAACAAAAGGAAACAGCAGTTTCAGTTATTTGATTTCCAACAGAATTTGACACTGATAGAAGAAAATAAGAAACATTATTTTCCAAGGTCATGGTGAACAATGGCGAAAGAGATATAATTTTTAACAACGTCTTGTGGGTTTAACATGTCTTGATACAAGCGGTGGCAACAAAATTGCGAAAATAGTTCATTTTTCAATAGATCTCTTAATGAAGAAACGATTTACCATGCAATATGAAGACCTTTAAACGTTAAGGTATGATGGTGTGAACGTTAAGGCATGATGGTGTGTTTGAATGTTTGAGAGCATAATGAGTTCTGGAAGAAGTTTTAAAATACTCACCACAGATGGGGCCAGTGCTTTAGAGCGAACAAGAGAAGACACCTGTTTCCATCTTGACATCATGGTTGAAACAATTCTTCTTCAAGTGGGTTATCACCGACCACAACAGTAAAAGAATGTGTTCTCAACCGGGACAGAAAAGAACTTTTTATCAGCTTCACATCGTCGTGTGAGAGAGAAAAAACATGAATGAAATAGAATAATGAAAAATATAACAAAGTGATGGGAAATAATCACGTGAAATTGGTGTCCGCATTGAGAGAACCGAGGACAAAGATAAGAGAGGTAATATTCTATTCTATGCTCGAACCAGTTCGCCCACACTTGCAATGGCGCAACAAATCTCAGTTTAAGCGACAAGTGGTGTTGCTGTACCCAACAAGATGGGACGATAGTCCTTTCCCACTCAATATATCATCAGGTTTCCTTGGCAATTCATCGAGAACTCATTTATACTCCTGAGAGGAGAGAGAGAGGCATGCATGCCAAGAGATAAGTGTCTTACCGAAGACTCGAAGCCAGGCCTTCCAATCCTAAGTCTAAGGACGCGATCTATTAGGCTGTCCGCTTGAGTTATCCGTCAAGCACGCGATAAGACTAAAAAGAAAACTCTCAGCATGGGTTGGGATCAGGAAAGTGTAAAAGTGTCAACGCCCCTGCCCCTCCCTGTAATGAGCATAATTTTGTCCTCTCTCAAGATTTCCCGTCATGCAACACCACAGAGGACACCTGAAGACTGGCATTAGCGTAATAGGCCTGAACATAATAAGAAGGAAGCTGGAGAGACAGAAAAGCGGAGTTTATATCAAACATGGAATACAAACCCAGCTGGCCAAAGATAGGCCCTTGAAAGACCTTAAAGAGTGCGCTAACAGAAGGCCAATGGGATGAATGAAAAATCCATCGAAAGAATTTAGATGAAAGTTTAGCAGCGTCACAACATTTACGAAAATTTTGAGAACATATGAATTCAAAACTATCGCACACAGGAAGAGAACTATCACCGCATATAATGTGTACCCATAAAATTGAACCTACACTTAAGTGGTAATTACATGACGAGAAAACCATCCTTCACAATAACTGAATTTCACGTGCATTTTGTACGCAAATCTCCGTGCGGTTAGTTTGAAAAGAAAACAAGCTTTGTGGTACGACAAACTATTCTGTTAAAAGGAGTTAAGTGGGGATTAAGGTGGTTTTGGCCTGCCAAAACATTTCAAAGGCAGCGTTTTAAAAGCAATTTACGAGAAAAACACGATTGAAAACATAACTGAAAAAGCACATGTATAAATCAAATGCACTTTAAGAAATCGATCTTCTTGATTTTTAACAGAGCTGTACAAGCGCATTTGTTCTCGTCTTAAGATAAGAAGAACCGTTTTATTTCTTATAAAGTTTCCAAAAATCTTGGGAATAATTCGCTCTGCGAGAATGGCTGAACTTTATGGGTAAATAGTTCAAGAATTCTCTCTCTTAAGAAATTGTATACATCGGAGACCCATGTAATATCCAAGCACGAATCGCTGGCTCTTTTTTTCAACACTGTTTACTCCATCTTGCATTTGGCTCTGCGCTTTTAATTGTCGTGAAAATTGTTGATTTTGTTCAAAGCGCAAAATGGCGATCATACACCGCAGAAAATACTCCGTCTGTTGGGTAGAAATATAATAATTTGTCATAGCCTTAATTCTATGGGCTATTTGGAGGAGGTCTTCGCTCACTGCTACAACACGACAGTCTCTTGTAAGCTGTAATTTTATGTTTTGTGCCTCTAAGTAGTTGAATTTAATTTGTTTTACAAAGCAAAAAAGGATTGTTACCCTTTTTTCCCATGTTAAACGTATCTCTCATGGACGAATTTAAAATCTAAGCGGATACTGATTTCATGTTACTTAATTCGATTTAAACTAAAGATTTCATTTTCAAAACATTTCCTTTCAAAAAACAATGTTATCTTTAACAAATTATCTGGATTGATTCCACAAAACGCATTAACTGGGCAATAGAGCAGGAATCATGCTAGATGGTTGAAATTGTTTGCGAGTAGCTGCATTATTCTAGAAAGTTTCCTTAAATTGTCAGGTTTTTACTCATTGAATAATCTTTAAGAAAAAACCCGCACAACCTCTGACTAATTAACTCGGAAAATGGGTCAATTAAATTTGTCTTCCGAAATGCTCGAAATCCTAAATATTATTGTGAGAAAATAGTTCGCTGTCAAGCTTGAACACAAACGATTTGCTGTATCTTTGCTATGCTGATGACTGTCGATTAGAACATTTGTTACACTGCACGGCAGAAAAAGAAAACACGAAAATATAGTGTAAAAAACATCCTGTAGGCGGATATCTTAAAACTACATCTCACCATAGTTTGAGTGCTTTGGCGGCTAGTTTCCCTGGGATCTCAGAAACTTGAAATGGTGCCGCTGATATTGACAGTTTTCGCTGGAAGTCCGTTCAAATGGCCTCACAGAACATGAAGTTGCAACTTAATGCAGTGTAACAAAAGTTATGTTGTGGTTTTTAATTGCTTGTAATATGGTTTGCCACCTGCTGCGGGGATAAACTCAGGTGGTCAAATGTCAACAAATTATATGCAGAAAGCTGTTGCTTAAAAACATCCACAATATACTGCGGTTCAGTTCGTTTTATCGTCAGGCGCAGTCAAACGTTGACTAAAAATTTAATTTATCTGGCCTGGATACTTGTTAAAATGTACAATTTAGAGCAGTATTTTATATTCAAATCGTTTGAGGGATAAATATTTGGAATATATTCTTAAGCCATGGGTTTTTGGTTATAAAAACACACACAATTCTATCGTTGTCTGCAATAAAAGGCTCTCTTTTGGAAACGGCTTTATAAATTTCGATTAAAATTCACATTCATTTTTTGTCTGAGTTTTTGATGTTATCGTTACAAAGAAAAGAGTAGATCTATGGTATCTTTAAATAGTGTCGCAGTTTTACGTACAAAATTTACCTTTTTTCGAGAGGAATTTCTCTTCGACCACAAGATGTTAGATGGTTAGATCACCAGCTCAAACAAATACCAAAATAGGCATAAAAGAAAAATTCATAAAAGAACTGAGAATGTTAATGACATTATAACAGGTTGTAAATGAAGATTTGGAAAAGTATGGATCAATATTTGACAAGTGCAAACCGCTCAATTTGGTATGCGACGCATTAAACTGTTAACTCTAGTTTCGTCAAACAACGTTCGTATTTTTATCGAAACCAATAAACACGAAGAAAAAAAACATTCGCGCTGTTGAATTAACGCGTTTCTTTGTCTAATTAACACGATTGCTTGACTAGTCTTCACCTAAATTCATCTAAGGGACACATTTCGGGACTAATTGTGTCGTATTTTAGCTAATTATGAAAGAAAATATCTTTTTGGTGACTAGTGCAACACAGTGGTCAAACGTGGGGGCATTGTGTGCTTTCAGGCGGTAATAATCACGTTGTCTTACAGAAGTTACCAACAACCTCACAAGCCAGAAATTCAAGGTGTTCTAAAAGCGTATTAACTTTTTGATCAAGTTCGAAACTGAGTAGTAAACCAACAGGATACCTGTACTTGATTACGCTTGAACTTTGATTACACTTGAACTTAACGAGACAGCCATTTTTTTACTAATAATCATGCAAAAATTTCAGCATGCTCATTAACTAAGAATACGTCAATTTATCTCATGCAGTGCAGAAAGTTAAAATTAAGTGTAAATTGGACACGCCCTACAACCTCGTGCAATTTGGTTAGCCTTTGAAAAATTTATGAGTACCGAGCTATTCCAAATTTCACATCAAAGATTATTTCCCAGAATTTTTGTCAGGTTCAAAATTGGAACCCAGGCCTTTCTCCGGAGTTTAATGTGCTAAACTTCAGGCATGGGGGCCTTCTTCTCATTCTGAATAGTTCTCTTCAAATCGTAGTACTTTAGAAAAAAATTTAGTAAGTTTAATTTAGATTATACTTAATCTATAGTGCAACATGCGAACTCGTAAGACTTGAAGTCGCAAAACGGCTTCAACAACCAGCTTTAGCAAAAACTTCTCTATATTCAATATCGGTTTTTTCATTTCTGATTACCTTTTGAAATTCAGATCTCACCAAATCTAAACAAATCCATTTAAACTCTAGTTCACTTTAGATTCGGCGCTTGATTCGTCAAAGGCTGTCTTTTTCATTAAATTTTCCTTGAAGAAATGGCTGTCTCAAAGATGAAAATCCATTGTCAAAAAATGATTTAAATTCAAGGCACGTTTCCTGATTTTAAATATTCAATGACGTCTATACAACAGTTCTACCGACACTTTCAGCAACTAGCAAAGTATCATTTGTCTTCATGAAAAACGTTTCCGATGAAATAAATTGGAATTTGTTGTTATTATGGTTTCTAGATCATTCTTAATCGAGTAATTTATCAGTTCTAAATATCATCTTTAACGATATCTATTTCAGGTCACTTAGTTCAGGCTTGTTATTAAAATTAGGAAATAGCATCAATTGATCCTAATACAACCATGGAGCCAAAGCCTCTTTTTCTTTAAGTTGATTCAGTCGTTTTTAATTTTCTTTTATCTTTTTACCCTAAATTCAAAAAAAGCAACTCGTGAAATAATTAGATTTTTCAAAACCTTTTTCAGTCAGGCCAAAACCCCGTAATTCATTTTTTTTTCAATGTGTTCCTCAAAGAACTTGAGTCAGTATTTAAATTTCGGTGTTGATATTATGCGAAATATGAAATAAATTCCAATTCATCTTTAAAATATATCAGCAATTGGAGGATAACTTTCTGGGAATTTACGGGAAGAAACGCACGTAATAAAATTGGATTAATACTTTTTGAGTTCTCATTACTTTAGCCTGATTAACGTTCACAGCTCATTTCATAATCTGAACATTTGATTATAAATTGTCCTAATATTAAGATATCTTTTTTAAATTTTACCCAGCCACCTCGATTCCTTCATTTTACATCGTTTTGTTTTCGTAATATTAACTTTTTTTCCCTGATTATCTTCTCGAGATTGTTACAAAAATAAACTCATGGAAATCGTTGAATTCATCATCTTTCTGCTGTTTTCATAAAATGTTACTGGAATGATCGTATGTTTATCGTAAACAAAGGTAAAATGTTTGTTCAGAGATAAATTCGCGAGGTTATTCGAGGTCTCCTTAAAGTTCACAATTCTTTTCTAGAATAATCGAAGGTTGTGACTTGACTGACACACACTTCCTCTTGAATTCAATTATTTCAAATATCAGATACATATCATTTCACCCCGAGGCATTAAGTTTCCTACTGACGTCGGCGCCTTAGCGACAAACGACATAGGTTTTGAAAATAAGAGTTATTGTAGTTAATTTACCTCGCGGCGCGGTCGGTACGATCTTTTGTGAGCTGTGCTTACAATCCTTAATAAATTGAATTGAAGATAAGGCAATGGTAAGACAAAGTCTTCCCAACCGTGAGGAAATGAATTTTTTTTAATACGTCTAGCAAAAAAAAAACCCTTCGCGGTCAAACAAAATTTACAATCGATGTCTTTGTTGAAAATACATCCATTCAGTTGATTATGATGAGGCATGTTCTATGCCTAAAACATTTTCGATGCCTAAAACGCTGATATCTTTAAGTTAACGCATTGGACAAGAAAAGAAAAAAAAATTGTTGTAATCATTTTAAGATGCGTCGAAGTTTTGTCAAAGCTATGAAACCGCCAACACACAGATCAAGAAACGAAGGAGGAATGCTTTGTATAACAAAAGTAAAACAGTTCAACTGCAAAACTTTGGATTCTTCATTTACCCACTGGCCGATGCGCTCGCGAATTCAGGCATACTAAGGATTAAGAGCCCCCACATTGTGTTACGTTTAACTATGTTACATTTTCCTCCGATTTTGCAGTTTTCAACGCGCGCACTAATAATGGTGCATAGCAAACCTTTCACAATACAAACGAGATATTTCTTCCAAACCAACCAATTCACCCGCGATATACAATAGAATAAATGGGCTCACTTACCTCGAAGTTTTTGCCAACAGTATTCCTAATTAATGTTCGTTCAAACGCTCTTTATTTCAGTGGAGTCTTTTAATAAGAGCCCTCGCTGCGCGCTCGCCATAATATAATATTCCTCAGAATCAGCCAATGATATTCACAATTGAGCTTCCTAATATTTCACCTATAAAAAGCGTAGAAAATTCGATAATTTTCCGCCACCTGTCTGTTGCATTATGTTCTCATGAAAAAAATATGTAAAGGAGAAATAAAAACCACGAATCGATCCCTTTAAGAACTTGTTATGAACATGTTTTGGGCAAACAACTGTTTCGTGCATTCAATTCGCTGCATTGCTATGATAATCAATTTCTTCCAGATTTTGCATATTATCACTGACCTCACAAGCCTAATGAAAAGAACAAAATATTGCCCGTCAAATTAAAACAGTATTCTGCCCGATTGTTTCAAAGGGCGTTTTTAACTTGAAACCATCGGAAAGATGGCGAAACTAAGCGGAATCTATACGATGATAACAAAAACCGATCTAAATCAGATATATTCAAGTGGAAACCACATAATGTTAATAGTAAATAATTTTGAATGAAACCGCTGAAAAGGAAAACATAAGAATCGACTGCTGTCTTCCAAATAAACGAAAGAAAACTGAAACTTTCTTAGAAATCTGTAGATTGAAATAAAAGTAGAAAAAGGAAACCTTGAGAAAGCATATTTAAATAGAGGAACCAATTTAATTTATCATTCATACCCTTTTAAAACACCGTGAATTACTGGCTTGTGTGGTTCCCGGCAGTCTGCTCAACCAGGTGATTTTGTGGTTCGATAAGCTAGGAATTTTTTCACCAAAAATCAAAATAATTTTAGAATCACTTGGATTATCTTAAAAAGCATCAATGGGCTTATTTTAGGTTTTCTGTAATTTTTCCTTATTTCCCTCACTGTCACGCCAGGCAGTGGTCTCGAAGACAACATTCTACGAAACCAACGTGACCTCTCATGAGTTTTGAAATGTTTATGTGTTTTTTAGTATGGTACGTCCAAGCTTGACCACCTAAAAAACTAACGCAGTTCTTAGAATCGTTTGTCATTTCTGATACTCAATATGCTTGTGTGAAATTTTAAGTGGCATTTTGGTGAAAATTTTCAACTGCCGGGCATTTAGTCCATTTAAGACCGTGCCCGGCTGTCTGATCAGAAGCGTGCAATTTCTAAGTGTCGGCAATCAAGCGATATTATAGTATGCTCAAGCCCGGAGCATTTGTCAATTTAAAAACCAAATGCGGACAATTTGTTTTTAATGTGGGTGGACTCCAATTTATTTTTTGATGTGACACTTGGCTCTTGCACTTTCCTTAACAAATTTTGTGCGGGAAACTGGCGCGCAACCGGCCAAAGTAAATTCATTGGCGCATGCCCGATATTTGACCGCTGTTTTACTAACCCCCAGGCTCAAACTAAATGCGTGGGTCCTTTTCTCCAAGTGGCATATCGAGTCTAATGAATGGCCAGCGATGTTTCTAGAGCGATTATGAAATTCAAGGATATAATTCAACCAAGAAAATTATTCTTTAACGAATAGGTTGTTTTTGTTTTGCAATATTGTTTTTATACACCATGTTTTTTCTCTCTCAAATTATTTTTGCATGTGGGACCAAATAACCAGCCGAAATGGAGGCATTCTCGACCTCAGAACTTCTCTACTGCGCATGACTGTCGAGTAGAAACAAGCTCTCTTTTGTTCCTGCGTAGCCATACAAATTGAGGCCGCTTTGTTAAAATAATCAAATAAAACCGTTGAACTAGCCAAACGGTTTTTAAGACGTATTACCATCGGAGAGGGGAGGCTGGGTGCAATTTCGTCCAGTCAGTACTATAATAGTTTAATGCTCACTGGCCAGCAACCAAATACGTCAATCTATGTATAATTTTATGCATAAATTTTACATCTATTCAGCGTTTTCCATGATATTTCTACAGAGAGGTGATTTGATCACAAGGTTATTGATATTTTGTTTCTGTTAACAACACAGAAGTAATAATAGTTATCGCTCAAAATCTAACATGAAGGTTTAGAAAGAAGAATAATGATCGATAAAAAAAACAAGAAAAACAACGGTACCATTATTTTCCTTTGCAAAAAAACTTACCCACTCTCTATCAGCTAAACTAACAACTCAGATGAATAAATTAGATAATTAATAATAAAAATTATCAGAAAAATTCCATAAGAAATCTTGAGTAATACGAGAGAAGAAAAGATGAACTATTATACAGAAACTTTTTAATTACAGTTGTTTTAAAAACAATCGACGCTAGAATGACGATATTTTGAAAAGCTTCATGGTAAAATTTTCTTTTATAAATCTTGATACTATTTCGATACATTCAAACCTCAACTTAGACGCCCATCTTTGAAGTACTTCTGATTTTACATTTCAGGACGACATTATGGTAGCTACGTTCCATACGTTTTTCGATAGATACTTTTAAATAAGTTTGTACAAGTCGTCACACTCCGTTAAACTTGACTCTGATTGATCTAGCCACTTGATTGCTACATGCGATCTGAGTTAAACCTGCAATAACAGACATTACAGTTTTATTAACGAAATAAGTCCTTCTAAACGCTTATTTCTTGTTCCTCAACTTCAGCCATTTCCTCATCCCTTAGCGAGCCCGCGGTAATACGTCTGATCAGCGGAAGTGACGCAGCCCCATGCAGGATATTTGAAACGGCTGCCAGCCCGAGCATTGTAAGAGGTACGCTGATATACCTCGCGAGTGGTACCAGATCTCCAAAACCCACCGTCATGAAGGTGATCGTGTAGAAGTAAAGACTATCTCCATAACTCCAGTCTTCGGCCAACATCTGAACAGCAGCTCCCACAAGAAGCAGCAACAACCAGAACAAGATGGCGAGCAGGAAACACTTATGGTGCAAGTGGTGGGGTGGTCGGTTTCTTCTCAAAAAACGTCCCTCGATAGCGTTGATGAGTCTCCTCTCGCTGTGAAGCATTTCCAAGCCAATAAGTCGCAAGAGTAGAATTGTCAAAGGGATGCCAAAAATGGCGTACAATATGCACAGACCTTTGCCGAGACCTGTCTTGGGTGTCACATCACCATAGCCTATTCGAGATAAAAAGGAAAAATAGGTACCATTAATAATTCCCTCGGGGGGGAGGGTGGAAGAATTTTGGGTGGATCACATGGTTTTCAGGGGGAACGGAGCGGGGATCACATCAGTCGTCATCAACAGAAAAGAAAGGAGAAATTGACCGCCAATTAACTGCCCGGGGAGGATCCCAAGAGTATATACAGAATCTCATGGCGGGATCAGGTACATGATTTTATCGTGTCCCCTCCCTCCCCTCCCTGTAGGAGATGAATTAGAACCGTTTCCAAAATAAGCTTGTGTTCATGAGGAACATGTAGAGGCAGGCAAGTGAGATTTAGAATGGAAAGACATCTGAGCCGATTAAACGGCAAAGAATGTTTTAAGATGCGGTACATTTATTCCTGACTACCCCAAGAGTGGGCGCGCGGAGGACTGGAGCAGAGGGAGAAGACTCTCGTCGCTGGTTTCCGCTGTCAACAAACGATAAGCTCTTCCCGACAAGTGTTTTTGTAAAAGACTTGTAGCTGAAAGAAAACTAATTTGATAATTTGTTGAGACCGTCAATGATTATCAAGTGAGCCAATTAGAGCTCTTCCCCGTTGTGCTACGAGATTATGCATGGTAATCACAAGAAAAGCCGAATTAGTCAAAGACAGCTGGCTTCGATATTTAGTGACTAAAACCATGGGCTACCTAAGACGCTGAGAGGAAGTTTTCATATAAAGCACAAAACAGATGCACAGCTTGACTTTTTAAAGGGGCTATCAGCCATCAAAAATTCTAAAATTCATATAAAAATTATGAATATGTATGAATTTTATATTCAAACAGCGACGATGAACTGTCGAATCTGGTAGCTTCATCGGTGGTTACATTAGAGTTTTAAGCAGGTGAAAATTATCGCTTTTTCAATTTGCAACATACATTTCGTGAAACCGATAAAACTATCCTCTTGAAATAGAATTCAAGTTTCCATAGTTCTTGGCCTTTGTTCCGTGAGTGAATCAAGCCGTTTATTTTAAGTTTGAATGATAAACCTTCAATTTTTCGCAAAATATTAATTGTGTCTCAAATTTGGTTGATTGTGTTTTGAAAAATGAAATAAATTACAAAGAAAACTTCAAACGAGATTCATCATTGATTTTGGGTTAGTATCAAAGAGTAATTCAGTGAATCTTATTTTGAAACTGATTTACGAGAAAACTTCATCCTTTCAAGAAGCCTTCAATTTGCCGGTAGAATGGTAAATGAATTAGTTTTGTTTTGATTAGGTCGAGCATCCATGAAATCGTCGAAAACTTTGTTACTGAGCATCGAGGCATCTCACAACAAAAATCTAAGGAAGTTCGACTCGCTATGTCTGGCTCTAACTACTTACCAACAGTTGTCAGTAATACGAACGAAAACCAGACAGAATCACCGTGATTCCATTTCGTCTCCTCTTCCTCGACCTCGTCTTTGCCTTCCAATGCAGTAAACACAAGCATTCCGAGCGCAAGATACCCACACCATAAAATAAAGAGAATCAAAAGTAGTTTCGCTTTTTCCGCGAGTAATGCCATCACGGCAAACTTTAATAATGCTACAGGTTTGTTTTGTTGGTGATCTTGCGATTGTGAAAACCCAATAATTTGCATGTACGTCACTTTTGTTGCTTAGGAAACCTTTAAACCTCAGGGCTTAGACGTACTTTGCGTGCTCATAAATAACATTTTACAGCTGTTTTGCAATCATTAGAGAATAAAATTAGACATAACTATAACAGTTTGACAACAGTTTCAATAAAAACATTGTTACATTTACATATTTGAAGTAGGTGTTTCGTGACTCCAGCTGCGAGTGGTATTCGAATTAACTTTTCTTTTGACATGATGAGAAAAACGGTCGTCTGTCCGCTTTGATTTGACATGTGCCTCGTAAAGTAGTCCATATTGATTAAAAATTGAACGTGCTACTCTCAAAGATATCAATACTAGCTTTTATTTTTTCCGGATACCTATTCTTGAAATAGTTTCGAATAGTTTTCAAAATTGCTCTGCTGGTCGCAAGAGGAAACTCCTATTTAATCTCAGTAGAATAGATCGATTTTAAATTCAGAGTTGAAAAGAGCCTTGGTTTTGATTTAATTCATGATGTGACCGATCCAGAAAACGCACCACTTTCTCATCCAATCAGATTCAAACCTAAAAACCAATCGCGACTCGGTCACTCGCGTTTTCCCGCGCTTCAGCGGTTTGCTTGTTTTTGCTTCGTGATCTCGTCGGCTCCTTGCGTTTTTTGTCTTGCTATGATTGGCTGTTATGATAGCTTTACCTTTGGTTTTAGGACATTCAATGGAAAGGCGCTCTATAGGCAAATCTTGATATTACGTAGAGCACAACAACAAAAGCTAATCGAAATTTATTTCATATACTTTTAGGAGTTAAGAAAATGCAGTATATTGCTATTTCTTTGCGAATTTTTCATTTCTACATCAATCCACAGAGAGGAGCAATTTTCTCTAACGTATATGTTTTGCGTTACTATTTTACCTCCAGTGCATATAACGAGCATATATGTTAAAATTTAGTCCCATTTGCTTCTATTAGTAAGCAGACCTTATAGAGGGCAAGAGTGACTACTGGGGGGGGGGGTATCAGAGGGGCTGAGGAACCCCCCCTCCTGTCACAGGATCGACTCAGAGGTTAAAACTTTGTCCGATGTTTAGTTTGATTTCCTTCACTTACATCCCCAGCGCTTGTACACAACGAAGGAATTTAATTTGCTTTCCCTAATGCACACAAACTAAGTGGTGCAAGACCCAGAGCGAGAAATTCCTGTCCTTCGTTAAATTGAGTGTCTAAGTCAAATTAATTCAAAATTGAGTGTCTAAGTAACTAAGTCAAAACGATCAAGGATTACCTCAAGTCTCTTTACTTCGCTCTGATTGGTCTAAAAAAACTCGCCTCACTTGTGCCACCCTCTCGACCAATCAGGTAGCGAGCTAAACAAACTCGCACTGGACTTAACTATTTACGTTTTCCTGCGCTTTTCCCAGTTTGTTCGTTTTTTTATTTTACTTATAGTTACCTTGAAAATAATCTAGGCTGTTGAGATTAACTTTCTTTGGGTCTTACGCGACTACACTTCTACACTACTTTCTACATTTTCAGCTGATTGTAATTATCTTAATAAGTATACTTTTAATGGTTATTCTTGACATAGGAAGCTGTTTGAATCGACAGTACGTTTTTCCACAAGGTTACTTTTCATCTTTTCATCTAAACCTCAGTTCCTTTCTCTGTTGATTCCGTCAACTTCGTAGTTTCTTCGCTCTCGTCTGAGCCCGCAGTGACACGTCTGACCAGCGCCCATGCAGCAGCCGCGTGAAGAATATTCGAGATGGCGGTCAGACCGAGGAATATGAACGGTATGGTGACATGTCTTCCTTTTTGAGGATACATATCTCCGAAACCGACGGTCGTGAATGTGATGACGTAGAAGTAGATGGATCCCCCATAACTCCACCCTTCCTCTGTTACCATTGAAGCACCCGCTCCCCCAAGGACCAATATTAACAAGTATAGACAACCAAACGCGAAACATTTTTCGTTCAGGTGACACGGAGGCCCATTTCTTTTCAAACAACTTCTCTCAATTGTGGAGATCAGCGCTCTTTCTCCGCGTAGCATCTGCTGGCCAATAAATCGCAGGAGCAAGATGGTTATAGGGATGCCAAATACGGCGTACAACCCACACACGACCTTGCCAATGACCGTGACTGGGTACAAGTCGCCATAACCTGAGTGAAGTAAACACGGCGTTAAAAGGGGTTTTCTTAATTGAGTGTCGCAAGTAATACAGGGTTCACTGAATTTGTATTTACTTCGACCTGTGATTGGTCCAAAACACCCGCGCCATCTTCTCAACCAATCAGAAGCTAGATTAAAACCAACCGTTAACGTGTCACGCTGCTGACATTTTTGCGAATTACTTCGCAGCATTCAGTGGCAGAGCCTCACAATAGAGCAGTGAAGCCGTGACTTTAAGAGTGCATAACAACCGCTGATTATGCAGGCAGATTCGCTTTTTAAACTTTGATTTCTGATTGGCTCCTTGTAATAGAATATTTGTTCCGATTGACTGTTGTTATTTCTTTGGTTGTGATTACAAGACACTGTGAAAATGCGCTTCAAATGGGAAAGGTCCAGTTATTTTAATGCATTCTGTTTGTTTCAAGAGAAAATTAGAAGACCGAGAAAGCGGATCCACTAAAGCAGCAGGTGGATTAATTCACTTCCACAAAATTTACTCCAAGACATGATCTCGCAAACGATAGGTTTTTTCTTCGAGAGTTCTTCGCGAAGGTTAACCTCGACATGATCTATGTTCTGAATTAAAGTACGCATTGGTAGATTTTCTCATGACCAAGGCAGAATTTCTCTTTACAATGTCGAAACAAAATCAAGCAGACAAGTGAAGAGAATAAAGAAATATATATATGTAAATTAGAGGATTAATAGTTAATCCAATACAACGATCTCCAAACTCCCACCATAAGAATTGTATGGCAGATAGTTAGGATAATTACTATCGAGATCTTGAGAGTGAAAGGGTTGATTGTTTTAAATCCAGCTGTCCATTCTCAGAGTTGATGACACTTTTATAAAAACTTGGACGAACTTAAAAAGGAAATGGGTTTACGTTCCCATAAATAGTGCCGGTTATTTCGATATTTTTTTCCCAAACAGTGATAGTCCTGAAATAAATTTTTATGTTGCTTCAACTGATCTTAAGCCCTAATTTTCACTTTTATTGTTGCAAGATATGCAAATATTCAATGGTTACTTCGGTCTGTTTATGAAAATGAAAGAAAACTACTTGAAAAGAAATGAAAACAGTAAGAACTTTGAAATTGCGACTGAATGACTACGTGTTTCTTCCATGTAAAGTATTTGAAAGCATGTTTCGTGATGCTTTGCAAAGAAAACATAAAGTTATCAACAGCTTGATCTGATACCTTTTCAATCATAATGCATGGAGCAATCTTTCTTTATTATTGTTATGCCATGAAAGAGTCATGTCTAATTAAATAAAAACAAACCCAGCCGACGCCTTAGTTCCCTTGTTATTTCTGAGTCGTGAGGACTCACTCGCGCCGGGTTGACTCGTGATTTTTGCATTAATTACATCAATTTTTTTTTTTCCTTACCAATAGTCGTGAGGAGAACGACCACGAACCAAAATGAATCTATGTAATTCCATCGGCGTTCATCGTGATAATCCTCGTGCGAGTTCGCCACCTCACGAATTTTCTTCGCGAGGGTCTCAAACTCAGCTTCGGTCATGTTGTGTTTCTCCATCGTTTCAGCTTTCAAGCCAGTCATGTTCTGTCGTTCTCTTCGCTCCTGAGAATTATGCACCACATTTCCTTCTGTTGCAGCAAAGACAAAGATTCCAAGGACAACATAGGCGCACCACAGGAAAAACAAAATTAAAAAGATTGCACCTTTTCCAAGCGTTGCCATTTCTTATAGTCTAGTCGTGAAGTGCAGCTTTGAAAGGTTTTGTGCTACAGCTGTTTTCGTTATCACTTAAAAAAGAAAATATTCCAGCCCACGTCACTTTGTTGCGATAGGCTAGGGAGATGTTAATGAATGCGAATAATTTTCTAACCGTTTTAATCGAAACACAATGATATTACATAAAGAAAAAAGCTGGTTGCTGTCAAATTTAAAAGGCAGTGGAAAAATAAAAAACAACACGACGTTGTCAATCATGATTTGCAAACGCAAATTTATATAACTTAGAGCACGTAAATCGAATCAGACCTCAGTGATCTGGAACAGTCGAGAAAAAGTTGGAACTCAATCCTTTATGACCTCAAATTTTAGTCATTTATCAATAACTTTGAATGTCACGACAAGGTTTCGTCGTTTTAGAGTTGGAGCTAAAATGTTCTGTTTTTCACCTAGATGTCGCGAGAAATGATCTAAATACAGGAAACTTTTCGCTCATATCTACGTTTTATCGCAGAGCATCGGGTTAGCTTTTAATTAACCATTAGCTTGAATCATGTCTGAGTTCTCCCTTCCAGATTTTTGACAGTCTTAATGAGAGACGCACGGAAAAACTGCTGTCGTATTTTAGAGTCATCAGTCAAGAGAGACTCCTCTGAGATTTTCTGTCTAATAAAGATCAAGAAAACCTGGCTTTTCGAAGGAAGAAAGAAGATGAAACAAAAAAGGTTATAAGGTTTAATTTCCAATTTATTCTCAAGGCCAAGCATTTCCCTGAGGTAGTGCGCTGGGATCGGTGCGCAATACATCTTTCACGGACAAAACAAACAACCACATCCGTTTCATGTTAAATCAAGTTTGATCCCAGCGAGGGGTCTGCAACCCAGACCTCTAGGAAACCTCTCCCCGACTCGTCTCAAATATTCCCGCGGTCGGAGAAACGAGCGTGTTGCAGCGCTGATAATCTGAATGAGAGCCTACTCGCAAGTGAGGCCACTCCCAGAGCAAGCGCGCACTTAACGAAAGCGAAACGCATATTAATTTTAGCTCCAATTTGACTGAACGTTAAGTGCAAACAAGGCGCGTATTGCAAAGTTTGCACCGAAATCTAGAATTCAAGGAATGGTCATGAGAGATCTTTCGTCATTTACTGTGCCCCGATGGGGACGCCCTTAGAGTTTCCCTGCAATATTTGGCTGATGTTCCTGTTCACCTAACCAGCAAATCTTTTTGAGTTTGGTCTCTACTGACTGTCTTCAGACCGTTTTCGATTTGGGAGGTGACAGCGCCCTCTCATCACCTGTGACTCGCCCCTCGCGCTCACCTCGCGTTGTTCTTGCGTTTACCTTGGGATGTTCTCGCGCTTTTCACTTAATCCTCTCGCGCTCTCTTCGCGTTCTTCTCGCTTTTTCCTGCGTTGGCCTCGCCCTTGCCCATGCTCGCCTAATGAACCATGAAGAGTTGTCACCTGTCCTACAGGCTAGCAAAAAGAATCGTTTGATGAGTATACTGCTGAAATACTTCACTTAACGGTCGTGTTGTGAACATCAATCCGTTTTTTATTCCCTTTGCCACGCGAAAAACATAACCTCTTAAATATTGACTACTAGTCGGTTGGATTTTGAACTTTTTTTAAAGTTGATTTAACATGTCAAAACGTACTAACATTTCTACTTAAGTATGTACAATCTGTATCACAAATCTATTCAAGACACTGAACTAAGCTTATTCAAAATCTCTTCGCAGTCGTTCTTAAGCTCTTCAGCAATTGCCAACAGTTGTGCTTTCAGAGAGTCATCAAGTGGAATGTTGTCAACAATTTTCCAAGAGCCCTGTCCGAACTTAACTGGAAAAGAAAAGAAGATTTCCTGAGGGAGGTCATACCAGCCTTCAGAGGACACCCCGAGAGAGTAAATCTCTGACGATGTCCCTTGCCACAGATCACGAAGCTGAGTTAACACAGCGAAGCTCCCTGGCAAGGGAGGGGTCCCTTTTGGGCTTTTGGCAGTATTCATGGGCTTTTTTAAGGTTTCTAAAAACTCTCCTGCCAGCCATTTGTCATCATGGACCATTTCTGGTACGTGTCGGGTGAATCCAGGAATATGTGGTCCCCAGATGGCACCATCAAAGCCATGGACCCTGGCATTTCTAGGGTCTGCTGTAGTAAGAACACCAATATTACCCCAAAGAATGACATCTTTTATTCCTGCGGTGTTGACATTCAGTTTTTTGGCCAAGAGCCCTTTAGACCTATTTTCCACGAGACGAGCCAGGGCACAGATATTTTTCTTAGGTATTGAGGGAGCAAATTTACTGGCGACAAAAGCGTTGACACTTGCCGGCCCCCCTCCGATAAGCACCTTCACGTCTTTCTTAGCATATTGATCAAGGGCCTCTCCATGGGCCTTAAAAATTTTAGCATTAGCGAGAAGTTGCTCCTTTTTATCAACTCCTTCTTCAAGGGGAATGCCATCGAGCAGAACAGCCACGCTGGCATCTTTGAAAGCGATCGCTGGATCCGATGTCTGTACTGCATCTCTGAGCAAAGGCCATGCACAATCTTGGATCTCCATTGCTGTACCTTTAAGAACTTCCTGAGAGTCAGCCTTGTCGAGCAGATAAATACTCAATTCTTGGTCGATCCCAAACACTTCTCCTTGAGCTAAATAACTCAAAACACCATAAGCAAACGCGTTAGATGCTCCAGACACGCAAATTCGTAACGGATTAATGGCTGCCTTTCTCTGTTCCTCTTCGGCATCAATTTCGATCTTTGTTTGAAGGTTTTCGTCAGCGATATTTAACAGTTCGTCACTCATTTTAACCGAAGTGATGCCATAATAACCTCTGGCCATTTCTAAGAAGTCATCGCATCCGCCAAGAAGAATACCTGCTCCACCTCGATCGACAAGCTCCCTCCAAACAAGAGGAGAACTAGAATGTTTCCATCCTTTTTCTTCGCAGGTTTCTTTTAGCCAACCTTCCCAATCCTCTGGCTGCTTGACGATCTTGTGGACTTTAAAATCTGGTAAGTTCAACGAAAGTTCATCGGCAAGAAGCTCTGCTTTAGAATAAAAGGGGCAATTTGCCTTTCCAGCAATAACATACTTCGCCATTTTGTATTCCAACCTGAGCGGTTTATTGTAGTTGTCAAGGCAATGGTTCTCTTGTAAGAATTGCGGGCTCGTATATATTTTTACGTACATGCGCTCTACGTGCACGTGGTAAAAATTTGCAACATGGCGAATGAAAACAACGAAGAGGGTAACACGAAAGAAATGGCAACTTTAGCTCTTGATTCGAACAAACAGAAAGAATTCGAGGATAGAGTAAAAAGAATAAGTGCGACGGTAAGAAGGAGATTGTTTTATTTTGCAGTTAAGAGAATGTTGTCGCCTGTTTCTCTAGTTTCTTTCCTTACAACTCTTTGAACTATTTGCTTGACGAAAAGATTTCACGTGTCCCGTGCGTTTGCTCAGAAATAGATCACAGAAGTACTAAAAAGTGGCAGATGATGGGCAGCCAAGTGTGTCACTGATGTTCTTGCCACATTTTGATGTGACCCACGCCACGGCAACACGGATTCTATCAGTTTTTTAAGATGTGCCTCTGTCCTTCCATAGATCATACGAAAGAACCAATCAAACTGTGTGCATAATGTGTTTGTAGAGAAGTTGGAAAATTTTTGGGAAGTTTCTGCAGTCAGTGGTTTTGAATTTGACAGGACTGGAGCCAAATATTTGGGGTTTTTATTAAGCTAAAACTATTCAGTGAACAATTGCTTGCATCCTGGTGAAGCTAACCTAAAGCTTTTGTGTGTCATTAGGAAATGGCGAAAAATTTTGGAATGTGTATGATCTATCTCAAGCCGTTTCCTTTAAAAAAAAACTTAATTAGTGATCATAGCAATAATTCTGAAATATGAAGAGGGTAGTACATGGTGACGAGATGATATGAATTTTATGTTCAAGTTGCATGATTAATAGCTCACAAATGAGCCATTATTCATGCCACAAGAACTTAAAAATCACATCTTTGAGCTAACTCATATTTGTTACATGGACAATTAATGTACATGGAAGAGATTGAAAACTTGGCTTTAATGTAGATACTTTGTATCAAACGAAACAAAACACCTGGTGCCCAAATTACAAAAGGTTTACATGTAGGACCATCAGTTACACTGAAATACATGTGAACTGGTGTTAAGAGCTTAATGAAAATTCAATTACTAACTCTTAATTTGAATCATAAGATAATTTTACATTCACTCCTACTAAAAACCTTTGAAGGCTGTTTAGCACAAGCAGAATAAAAACTTACCTTTGACTTGTTACAACTTTTCAGAAATTCCTTGAAAATCTTAAGATCAAACAGGTTTTCTTTTAGTGTTTTTGTTGTCTTGTTGTTAGGAAAATACATATACATCTTCACTTACCACAAGAAATCTTATGACCATTTAATATTCCAAATAACAACAAACCCCAAGTTCATTCAGTGAAGTTTGAAAAGGCTGGAATTGAGATGTTGTTTCTCAATATTGCCACTAGATTGTGTTCATATTGATTCTATGAGTGGTCTAGTTCTCACTAAAACACTCATGTCCACATAATAAAAGTATAAATTTCAGCACACATGTAATGAAGTGATAACTGAGGTCCATACTTAAGTTGCAGACCAAGTTTTTTCTGCTTAGAGCAGAAGCATGTGGACAATAACACCTAGCAGAAAAAACAAGGTTCTTTAAAGTATAATATGAACTGAGAAAATGAGGTCAATGATGTATTTGTTATATCTTTGGGTTCAAAAAGAAGTGGAAGATTTCAATTCAACCAAACTTTTGAATTTAGTGGGCTTCCCACTGGAATGTGGCCTTCTAAATTGACCAATCAAAGTACTTGTACTAACTTAGCGTTATGATAATTTATCTTATTTTAGGCTAACGACTTGACACCTGGTGTTATCTACCTCGGTCACATTCCACATGGCTTCTATGAAGGTCAAATACGAAAGTTTTTCTCACAGTTTGGCACAGTGAATAAAGTCAGATTATCAAGAAGTAAGAAGGTGGGAGGCTGAGATTTCTAAGAAGAAGCCTGCAAACAGAAATGTTTATTATACTGTTTAAATGTTTATTATACTGTTATTAACCCTTAAACACCTTAGAGCCACTAGCTTCTAATTTCTCCTTACAAAGTAACCCCCAAATCACCCAATAAATAAAGGAAATGGTCACCAACTAGAGAACTTTGGATTGTTGAACAAATTCTCATTGTTAGCACTGTAGGAAATGTATTGGGAGCAGTTTGGAGAACATGCATACTGATATTAGGGTGTAAAGAGTTAAATAGAATGATAATCCAGAGAAAGGTGATCCTGAAAGCAGTTGTTATTGGGGACAGTAACAGATGTTGAAACAAGACAAGGAGAAGTTATTTAGCAAATTTATTAGTTTTTCAATAGATTACCATGCTATGTCTGCAGGCAGTTGAAATTCATTGGTGAATTATAAACTATAGGGTGCTTAACCCATGAAAACTCTCTGTAGCTGGTAAGCTTGTCTGCTCTCAGAACCAGTTTGCCAAATAACATATTGGAATTGTAACAGGGATGATCCATGCTATCAGGTCTGGGAGTTTAAGGGTTAACCCCTAAACCTCTAAGAGTGACTAGCATTTAATTTCTACCTATAATATCACATCTGAATCAAACATTAAGCCCAAGAGAATAATGGTCACCAACTAAAAAAAGTTCTTGATTGTTGAATACATTCTCCCTGCCAGCACCTTAGGGAATTTATAGAGAACAGTATGGAGAGTATGCATACTCATCTTAGGGTGAAAATCAAAGTTACAAATTTTGACAAGCCAATATTTTAGCATTAGCCCATTACTGAAGCACAAAGGACTCAAAGATAAGATAAGGTTGTGCTCTAAGAAAAATTGAAGGGAGCCCAGAGCTCTGAAACTATAAATCAAGGGTGCCCAGCATATGCTTTTATGGAAAAACTAAAATTCCTAAGTTGCCCATGAGCAAAAGTTAGGTACTAGGGGCCACTGGGTGCTGCTAGACCACAGCCATGATGAGATTAAAGAATTTATTTGTTCCCTTGCTTTATTAATTTTGTTTTGTTTTATTTTTTTGTCACTATATAGACTGCAAGGTCAAAAGGATATGCCTTTGTAGAGTTTTCCTGTGACGAAGTGGCCAAGATTGCAGCTGAAACTATGGACAACTACATGATGTTTGGGAGATTACTAAAATGTAAGTACCGTTGGGTAATGTGTCACTAAAAAAGAAACCACATTGATTTGAAGCAAAGATTTATCAAATTATTATCACACAATCAAATAATGGGATTAAGTTTCTAAAGATACTTTAGTGCTATGTTGGTGGGAAGTATTAAAAGATGATTTGATTTTTTCAACTGAGTGGATAATGTAAATTGGCCACCATAAGTAGTTGCTACGTTATGAGACAAAGTATCATTATTTGTTATTGGTGAACAGCTCAAAGCTGAAGGCTGTGGTAAAAATATGATCTGCACCACACTGAATTGGTGTTTTGTGATGACTGCATTTAATAATTGTTTTATAATTTGATTGTCAAGTTTATTTACCATAGTTATTTTCAGGTATCTGTTGATACAACTAAGTATTTCTTGAGTAGCATACAGTTTGCAGGGAAAAGGTAGTAAGAAGTTATTAAACATGAGCTTACTATTATTTGTCAGCAGTAACTGGCACATCATGTTACACACATTGGCCCAATGGCCAGTGTGCAGGACTCCATGACCAAGAGGTCCAGCAGGGGCTTAGCCAAATTTTTCAAAAGGGATGGGGGGAAGAGGGGAGAGGGTGTTGCACTGCAACAAACAGAGGGTACTCACCAGTTTTTACCCCCTGAATATTGCATACTTGCTTGAAAAAAAAGGGGGGGGTCTAAGCCGGCAGCTGCCAGAGTTCCAACTGCTACTTGATAACATGTTGCTAGTTACTCTGATTAAAATAGTTACCTAAAGGCCCTTAACCCCCCTAACTCCCAGAAGTGATTAACAAGTAACTTCCCCCTACAATATCGATGCAGTATCCAGCAAACAAGTAATGAGAATACTCAAATGTGTCAGGTAGAAGTTGTTTTCTTGATCTAACACCAAATTCTTGTAACTAATTTACAAGAAAATATGTAGCAGCTAGAGGGGAGAATTAACAATCAGATCATGGGAGTTAAAGGGTTGATGAATTTTTCACAGTCACATACTATTGTAGAGTCTGATGCCTACTTCAAAACATTTTCAAATCCCTGCAGAGGAGTTCATTGTATCTCGGTTGGTAGATTATTCAACTTTCCAAGAGCAACTGAACAGCATCCAAATCTTAATTGGAGGTTAGATTTTCCTTTTCCTGTTACCCAAAACAAAAGATCAACCTTTTTCCTTTGCTTGCTTTTGTGTTTACAGGCAAAGTAGTTTCAAAGGAAAAGGTTCATCCAAGGCTGTGGAAAGGATCAGAGAGGAAGTTTTATTCTATACCGCGGCAGCAAGAAGAAATAACAAAGCACAATAAGGTGTGCAGTAGCTTAAGTGAAGAAGCAAACAGGACAATTATTTTCTTCTAAAGAAGCTGCAGTTGTAAATGACTCATGATGAACACATGCATGTCTTGAAAATACCTGTTTGCTCCTTGGTTATAAGATGGTGAATGTGTATGGTGATGATGTGTAATGGTTATAAGAAATGATTTTTTTCTGAAGTATTTCAGCTGGCCTGAATCTAAAATCCTTGATTTATGCAGTTATGTGTGTAACTGGCCCACAGCGCACTTTTTGTACTGTGTATCAAGCACTTGTGGTAGTGTGTGGGAATTGAAGATCCTTTCTAATCAATCAGGTGGTAGTGCTTGATGAGGAACTAATAATGTTTTACCCTAAAATTTTTCATAATATGTATCAAATACTTGAAGTAGTGTGTAGGAATTGAAGATCCTTACAAATTTTATTAGCTGGTATTTGACAAGGTACTAAAATTTTCATCTCATCAATATACTTATTTTCTCTACCAAACAGGTGATGGTCTTATGTAAGATGTCTTTTTGATTTGCATTTACAGGAAAAAAGTAAAAAGGAACATGAAAAGCAAGTGGAAAACATTCTCAAAAAAGAAAAAAGGAAGAGGAAGAAGATCAAGGATCTTGGTATTGACTATGACTTTCCTGGATATGTAAGTATGCAAGTTTAATTACTAACTAGAGAAATAATTAATCACGCGTCAAAAGTGCTGCTAATGTTAACAAGATGGTATTGATTGATTTCACCTTCCATTGTGGTTGGCATTGAAATTAAACAGTTTATTAGCAATAACGGATTAAAAGGAAAAAACTAACAGTGAAATAATTTCATTCAATCCTCAAACTTCCCATTTGTGGCATGGCAAAAATCTAATCAGTGGGGGGGAGGGGGGGGGAGAAACTGAATTGATACAGTCAAACCTTGATTATTCGGACTTGTTGGGACTAGATGAAATAGTTCGGATAATCGAGTGTCTGGATAATCAAGAATATGAATATTAATGAGGAACAAAAACTGATTAAAATTAAAAAATAACATTTAAGCGTAACAAAACATTTACAAATCAAGGACATAATGATCTTGAATAACCATTTGAGATGCTGTGTAGAGTGTGAAACCTCACACAGCAACAAAGCAACTCTAAGCCAATCAGACCTCATTCTAATGTTCTTCGTTAGTTACAACGCATTACAAGGCACTGCTTTTGCTTTTTGAAAGCAAAACAAACCCAACTTTACTTCACTTTTCAACGCTCTAGTTTTAAAGAATATGGCTATGCGTCTTGATCATGACTAATAAATATTCAGGACAAAACTGGGATCAGAGAAAAAGTCCGGATAATTGAGAAATCCGCATAATCAAGGTCTGGATAATCGAGGTTCAACTGTACCAATCAATTTTGAACAGTTGTAGAAAACTTTTGCTTCCTTGTCAACCAATTAGATACAAAACAAAAGACAGTCCAGACTTCACAGTTTGAACCCAGGAGAAATCATTTAGACTGATTGTCTAGGGGGCTGTGAGAGAATTTCTGAATTTCTTGTTTATGGCGCTTTTGCCTGATGTTTCAACAACCTTAGCAGAACTCTAACTTTTATACATGAACCTCAGAACCCTGATTCTGATGATAATTTCAGCACAGGTTTTCAAAATATTTATCTTTGTTCTGGTTGCCTATTGGGGATGTGATTTCGTTGGCTTTGATTTTAAGATACTCATGCAGAGAAGACTGGTAGACAAATACCTTCCCAGCAATAGGAGTTGAACAATCTCACAGCAGTTGCAATGAAGTGCTTTCACAGCTGTGCAATTCTCTCGCCAAACCTGTTACTCATGCCAATATTAAAGACATTGCGACTCGAAGTACTAGGGTAAATAATGTTGTTTTTTTTGTTTTTGTTTTCCTCAAAGGCTTCAGAAGTAAAGACAAAACTACCAAAACATACGAAATTCAGTGACAAGTAAAGACCAATTGAGAAGTCTGTCTTTTGTTGTGGAACTCCAGCAGAACAGAGATGGCTAGGACTTCATCTTTTACACCCTAATTTCATTATTCGTATTTCCACACTTTTCTCTTTACATTTTCTATGGTGATACAGAGAGAATTTGTTTGACAAACAGGAGCTTTTTAAAATGGTGATCATTTCCTTTATTCTTATGACTGTTACATTTGATTCAAGGAATGTAATGTAAGGTAAATGTAGAAGTCAGTCACTTTTCAGGATCAAAGGGATAGTAAATGTGTATTCACGGGAAACTAAGCACTTAATAATTCTTAAAAATGCGAGGATGTCCCATCCCTGCTGTTAGCAAGGAATTTGGAAAATTTTGATTATCTTGTACCCAAGTTAAAAATGCTTTCGTGCAGTTTCACTTTATTTCTTTTTTAACGCACGTGAGGTTTTATTTCTTTTCTTTTTCATAATATTTTTCTTATGTTTGATTAAGTAACCTCGTATCTCATTCCATTGGTAAGGGGTTCAAGCAAATGGAAATTTGGTGTAAATAAATAAATAATATGGAGAGAAATGCTACACTTGCAAGATTTATCTTTGGTGAGTAGCTGGTTTCCTTAAAATTGAGCTGATTTCTCCAATAGTCTTGAGAAATATTCAAGCTTTCACAACAATTACATGGAATTCGAGAATTCCCTCCTTTTTTACAGACAGTTTTTCCACTTTTGTTATCTAGGTTTCCTATACTTGCACTGAATCCAAATACGATACATTTTCAGCTGCCGGCCGCGATTCACTTGAAGTCGGCGGTCAACATAGTTTTGTTCTTCAACAAGGCCGGCTTCTTGGAACATTTGGGAAAGTTCGTCTGAAATATTAAAAGGAGGAGTTAGAATAACAAATGTCAGGTGACAAAAAGTAAAGCGAGGGGTCTGGAAACAAATGCAAATAGAATGAATTAATTTTTGTGTATAAAATTTAAAACTTCTTAGTTTACTTTTACAAAACCATTATTTTCATTTCTGTGACAAAAAGGAAATGTAGACAGAGGATTTTACTCAACCAAGACAGGAACCAAACAAAATCATTCTGTAGTAACCATAAAATTATCAGAGAGAAGGGAGTCATATTTTAGCATAAAATATTATTTTTACTGGCGCTGCACACAGCTAAAATACGGCAAAGTACGGACAGATTTTGTCCTTCCCAATTTTCTGGAAGTTGTAAATTGAATTTACACAGTTCCTAGACGTCCAAATTAAATATTCAAACAAGACTGACACTCCTTCTCACACTTTACGCAGGCAACTGGACAAGTGTTCTTTGCTCTGCAAATTGTTCGTAGGTTGGCTAAGAAAGTACGAGCAAAATTTCTTTTCGCGTGCAATAGAAACCTTCTTAATCGTTTACAAACATCTTTCATTTTCCGTACAACTGAATGATTATCATTAATTTTTGTTAGAACTACAAGCTAAGTAGTCTGAACTGCTGCGATAATATCAGACGAGGTCAGCTAATTTTAGTTAAGCTTTTTAAAGAAGCAGACAGTCGCACGGACCGAGACAAAGAAATATGTTCGATTTCCCTTTGTAGAATTTAAATTCTTTAGACACTGTCACTCAAGGTCAATTAGCCAAATGGAACTGGCTTCGGCCATAGTTGTTTAAAATGGACCCAAGTTTCTATGTTCAACATTGCTCGAACAGCCTAAGCATTGCTTGAGCAGCGGAACGTTTAAAAGATGAGAGCTTATTGCTAACCAAACCAAATTTCCTAAAATGGCGTTGGCATAAGCTGGAAAACCTCTGCAATGCTAAAAACTACCTGTTGTAGTCGTGGTTAAATTGTGACAGTGTATAACTAGGCAGTTGTTCAAAACACAGCACATTATCTCGCGAAGCGTGATTCTGAAGAGATGATTTGTGGAAAGACCACAAAGTTGGATATCTTGTAAAACCGATTCTGCACTCAGCAAGGCCGGCAAGGTTACAGCCCCTTCCCCCTTTCCGTTCATTCTTCCGCCGCCCCATTAACATATTCAAGTTACGTTTTTTAAACTATATTTCAATTCACCCTTAACAAATTCACACAAGGAAGGAAGGCTGTATATTCGAACTGTTTCAAACATCCAACAAAAATCATGTACGCACGCGAGAAACTGCATGAGTGGGCAAAGGAATTGATACAAAAATATCGCTTTTCAATTTTGATACTTTTTATCTAATTAGACCTGTAAATGTATCAACATTCTCTAAATACTAACGATTGATTACTGAATTAATGGTTTCCGGAATTTAATTTCCCCAGACTTATGCAACACAATTGATTTCTTGTATCATTTTGGATCATGTAAATGATATTGTTCATCTTTCAACTTAAAAAAAAATTGCTTAGACTATCACTCAATCTTCAGGCTGAAGTCGAAGTTACTTTGGTCACTGTAAAATGATTAATACGGTGAGAATTTCCTCGTTAGTCACTCCCGAAAGTGAAAGGGTTTCTTATTACAGTACAAGTTTTTGAAATCTTGCGTCGCCTGAATTGAAATGAATTCATCTCAACACGAGGAAATGATCAGCGTAATGACTAGGGTAGCGCATTCAAAAATCAAAGTAAATCCCTACGAGATACAAATAACCAAAATTGTGTAAAGGGTTAAGTTTCTAAAGAAACTGTGGTGCTGCGTCGGTGGGGAATTGTAACAAGATAATTTGGTTCTATCAACTGAGTAGACGATGTAAATTAGCCACCATAAACAATTTCAAAACTGGCATTTCGTGCGTTAGCCCTTCGTCAAAATTGTATACCGAGCGAATTCAAATTAAGCGGAAAACTAAAATCTTCAAAATACTATTCATAGTTTCCCAGTGTTTGGTTACGACGACAATGAGATCAAAGTTGATTTTTCTAGTAAGTGTTGCATTTAGATAACAGACCCTTAAATTTGCGTTTTAAAACTGTTGGCCGTGCTCTTTATTTGTTCTATTTTGTAAATTTGCTTCTCTGTATTGGATCGAGTTCCCTCCAAAATGCGTCTCTGGTTTTGGGGTACACTTTTATACTCTTTCTTCTACTTTCACGGTTTTGAGTTTCTCTGAAAAAATGAGTCCTTGAACGCTGTTGTAAAATTCCGCAAACTACACCTTGTATATTCCGCCCAGACTGTGTCATCGCATTCGGCTATTGTCAACTGAATTATAACAGGGAAACTCACTAAAAATAATCCAGCTTGTGTCCAAATTTGATACCTTCTGAGTTTTAGTCCGTTTGTATCGACCACACTAGAGAACAGTTATTACAGTTATGTCTTCAACTCTCTTCTGATTAGTGCGACATAGCGGCCACCCACAATCTACAATTCTACAAGGTCTGCTCGACTGTTTTTTGTTGATGGAACTCAGAGTTAGGTTTTAATCCCACTTCAGGAAGTTTCAGTGAACTGCAAATGTTTTTACACGTAGCAAGCACCTTTTAGTCCAAAGAACTGAGAGGTTGGACAAACACACTCTACTTCAAGGTTACACGGAATTCAATCACCCCGTGTAGCATGAAAATTTTGTTATAGTTTTTATATTTTGCGGAAACAAATCTTTGCAGGGCAAGATGACTCACACTTTCGCAGAAAAATAACATTTGCGGTTTTCTCAGAGTTCAGACAGCAGAACAATACCAAGGAAGGTAATGCAATACTTCCAACATTTCTCACTTATCGAGATGTACTGAGAAATAGCTTTTACATGATTCGTATAAGAACACTAAACAAGAAAGCGGATTTATTTTTGTTTGACTGAGAGAATACACATTTAAAGCGTTTTATGTTGTAGGATTTTGATCTTCAAGAATTTATTTTTGCAGATCAAGGAAAATCTTCAAGATCCGAAAATATTAAAACCCGGAAAATATTAATGCCACACAAGTACAGTCAATGTTTTTCGAGTCAATCAAGTTTGAAACACACAGATTAGCACCGCGAAGAAAAATTACCTCAGTGACTTGAGATAAGTGAGGACGGCTGGATATTGAATGAAAAACGTGCCCCGACTCAGGCCTCAATAGAGAAAAGAAAGGAAAGTTAATCGAACAACGAAGATGCACACTGCAAAATGGCAAGCACGCCAAACATACCTCACGCTGTGAAAGGCCGAGTGCGTCCCAAGGTGAAACCACAACAACGCATTTTAAAGCACCTTTGAGCTTTTTTCTCCATTGTAACAATGTACTGTTGCCATACTTGTTTCCAGGCAAGGATAATCGCTCAGCATGCACAGCTAGGTTTAGTTTTAACTACTTTTTCTTCCCTGTAAAAACAGTTCGGTGAAGGGATTTAAAGTGTGGGTCAAAGTTTTAAAATCATTGACTTCATTGTTCAACTTCCTGAAACTCTCACATGACTATTAAGTCAATACAACAACAGTTTTCACTTGCAACGCTGGCATGAAAAGTGAATTCTTGTGGCTTTAACTAAATATAAACGAGGTTTGTATTGATAGGCGACGCCGAAGAGCTATATACTACAAAAAAAGTTTTGTTTGCAACCAGACAATAAACAATTATTGCCAAGCGACTCGCTAAACATGTGAGCTTCTTATGTTCACAAACATGTAGAATCAATAGACGCGCTCGACTAAACGCGGTGGCTTTTTTCAGTCAGTGTTCCCGCTGTCAAATCACCTGGCATTAAAAAGTGCTCTCGGTATCTGAAGCCAAATCATTTTTGATAAAAAACGCGTTAAGAAACAGAAATGTCGTCATTAACCTAAAATTTTGCTTTGACTGCTTTTTAAATCACGTGAATTTTAAATGTTTTCGGTTTCACAGTTCATAGTCCGCGAACAGGTCACTAAATATATTTTTATTGAATTACAAAAGAAAATAATTCTTCTTGCTGCGAACAAAAGATTACACTGGGGTTCTTAGACAAGAAAGACTCCATTGGTCGAGAGAATGGCGTCACTTTCCCAAAGTGATTGTTTGCCTTCAACGCTAGAGGAAGTCATTTATCTTCAAAAGAAAACATATTTTGTCGCAAGGAAAACTGCAAAAGCACGTCCCGCAATAAGGGAAGAGCTTTTACCTCGCGGTCATTGCTAAATTTGGAGCGATTTCAGTCAATTTCCTCGTTATAAATTACAATTAGACTGTTAAATTAAACGACAATTAAACTCGATGCAGTGAGTCCGATAGACATTTGCAAACTTACTTCCTTCATTTCAAAGTTAATTTTAAAATATTATCAGAGAAACGCCCATCTCAGGCACTCAATTAAGAAAGATCCAGAAGCTCCCATTCAAGGTGGCTGATCTTTTGAACAATTAACGCCTTATTGGGTGAAATAAGAGCTTTTATCGCTACGAAGCAGCCGTGATGGTTGCCTGTCAGGTCAGGCATGGTCATGGGTTTCCGCTGTGTGCTAAAACTGATGATGTCTCTGCTTTTTTGTTTAGCAGATCAAAATTCGAGATGGGTTAATCAGTTTAAGCTTATTACTTTTCACCCATACTTTGCAACCCTGCTGTATTCTTGTTGATCTTGTTTGAATCGAGAAATCTGTATGTTTTTGAAAACATCTCCATTTTTTAAACCTATACAACATAACCCCTAACACGGGACAAAACAAGGGCTCTGATTTTGAAAACTTCACTGTGTTGGCTACACAAACAACTCACACTTATGAAGTATATTGCTCGAGTTTTGGTGGCGTATAATAAACATCTTATTGCTTTAACGAACGATTTCAAAACTTCGGTGACACATTCACGACATAGAAATGGAAAGCCTCGAAACTAATCCAAACGATAATTGAATGGAAAACCTCAAACTGGTACGAAAACACTAGAAGAGAAAAACAGCTTTCATCATACAAATTCACCACAAGAACCACTTCATATCTCTGAGTATTTTTCAACCTGATGAAATGGGCTTTCAGCCAAGAAATTCTATTCTCTTCACAAAAATAAAACACTTTCCAAAACGGACATAACCTCTATAAAAAGAGTGGGGAGGTCCAATTCAGGAATTCGAGATCAAATTACCCGAAGGCTAACAACATTTTTTCCCCATTATAAACTCGACAGGTTCTTATCTAAGTGGAGTTCACAATATTTAGGAGATTGCAAACCAAATTCCGTTCATTGTTCCAGGAAAATCAACAACGAAAAAAATTAACGTTCATATTGCTTTCATTTTCTGCGTAATCCCGAGCCGAACCAGGATTAACAAAGATGATTAATTTTCAATCGACGCCCTGTAATAGTTAAGATTTTAAATCCAACTTAGCGCTATGATTGTATTTTCTGATAAGATTTGAGCTGGAATGCTCTTACACACAGACACTTTCATCTTAACAATTCAAAAATTCTTCAGACAGGTCGTTCGCTGGTGGGAAAACATCCAAAAACATGCCTCGCTTTTAACCTTGGCATTATGATTTGGTGAGGTTTTTAAATTGTCTTTATCCAAAATAATGAACTGAAATGTAATATTCATCATAAGATCAGTAATCTTGGCCTCAATGTTATTTATTTTTTTGATATGAAACTTTTTTAAAGCGACATGATATTATTGAAAGGCTCGCCTACTCGCGTCACCTGCCAGGCTGACAGTTTAATTCGCGGAGCCGAATTTGTCCCTTGCAAAGAAAACCATTTCGACGAATGAATACATTTGCAACGCTTTCAGCCGAGAAAACAAAACAGAAAGGTTTCGATAACATTCGTCTCAGCGCCCATAAAGATTAAACAGATACCTGGTTAACTTGACAAATGACTGTTATTTCGGCTGAGATGCAAATTTTGGTGCCATGAATCGATACTGTTTGCCAATTTCTGATTTTAGCTGCGACGAATATTGAACTGTTATTGTTCGCGTTTGTTAATTATCCCCCTGTATTGACTTTCATATCATAACAATGGCCGAACAATGGCAATAAAATGCCGTCACCTGTTGTTTTTTTGCTCTTCAGTTCAAACATCGACTGACTAACACTGAAGCCAGACTCTTTCTAACGACATCGGAATTTCCTTTGGCTTGTACTTCTTGAAATCGAAAGAATGGGTGTTGGCAACTTATGCTTCGAGTTAATGACGCTCTTGTCAACTCCCTGTGTCGAGGGGTGGGAATTTAATGGGGTTTACCCTGCTCTACAAATAGGGAACGGATTTTTTTAATTTTGACCCAAAGCCAGCCCCCTAGTGCGGAACGGTTCAAAGTGTGTTACACCTGACGGGTGACGTCACAGATGAACAGCCAATAAAAGCGAGTGAAACGCTTTGAGCTGAATCGCTCTCTAAACTCCCAACAGTATACACGGACTACAGAACAAGTTCTGTTGTCGCAAAAACAACATCAACATCATCGTACACCTCTGCCTGACTAGGCTTTCGAAAAAATGCCGAAAGCTTTCTTAGTGAAGAAGAAGACAGAGAAGATCAGAAAGCTGCCTTCGAACGCAATTATTTCCAGCCCGAGAGAAGGTGAGTGAAATATTCCAATCCTATTGTATTATCTTTGATGCACTTGTTGTCAATTATATCGGACAGGTAGCAGTGCGCGCAAGAATTCTTCCTTAGCGGGCTTCGTTCGCTCGCTCGCTACTTTCCCAATTTGCGTGTACTTTGCTGCATTGTATCGCCGCCCGCTCAGTGCGGCTGCCTATTTGCTGAATTTTTGAGCGCTGGTTTCTAACAGCAGGTAGAATTTGTAAATCAGATATCTGATTTCTTATTCTACCATGTGTTTTTTCATCCACGCATGCAACAGGTTATAATCAAGATTTACAACATGCTACTACACCGCCGCTTATCAACACAATGCTTCACATGCCGGTCGAAATGAGCTGGGAAAAGAGACTTTTCACCTATCCCGCCGAAGTTTCGAGCCTCAGCGTACTGAGAGAAATTCCAAAGAGTGTTTCCGTGGAGTCTAACGAAAAACAACCAGGCATAAGGAGCGTTGATGAAAATGGCAATGAGATTGCCCAGGGGCAAACAGCGCGAAATCACTACCAGTGTCAGGAGTGCTGCAAAAATTATTCATCGCTGACATCGCTTCTGAGACACCAACAATATCATTGTCATCCGCACCAGAAGCGACCGTTCCATTGCAAATACTGCGACAAACTTTACGTGTCGCTTGGAGCGCTTAAAATGCACATTCGGACACATACACTGCCTTGTAAGTGTCAAATCTGCGGGAAGGCATTCAGCCGGCCGTGGTTACTTCAAGGACATATTCGAACACATACAGGTGAAAAGCCCTATAAATGCCCGAATTGCCAGCGCGCTTTCGCAGACAGATCGAATCTTCGTGCGCATCTACAGACACACTCAGACGTGAAAAAGTACAGCTGTGGTCTTTGCTCCAAATCTTTTTCAAGAATGTCACTACTGCTTAAACATGAAGACAACGGCTGCCCTGGCAATAACACTTAACACGAAAACCTGATTAACTGTATTCCAGAACTTTCGATTCGCTAGCAAAGCTCACCAAATCGCGCCACGATAAGGTTAAATGGCTTATCGGTGCTCAAAACAAAAAAATCACAGTTGTGACTAAAATGTTGGAAATGTTTCCTGAAAGATGTTTTTGTTCAAACGCAAGATGACAATGGAATCGACCCGTAGAGAAGCCGGTCTTAAAAAAAAAATTTTTTAATAGGCTCTGGTGTAGAGAATAGTCCGATTAAAGTAATAAGATCGCCAGAATTTTACAGAGAATAAGATTGACTTTTCCATAACAATTGACAAACAATCCAGTCTTTGCAAATGCATTTAAGAGCATTTAAACTCTAGGAAATTGCAACAAGGAACTCGTCACTAAAAACTAACTTCTATCAAGAAAGGAAATCGCAGAGATGTTTTCCATTTCAGTAAATTGTACACCCAAAAATCGGTAGAATGTAGGTGCAGAGAGATCGTTTATAAATAAAGACTTCATTTCAAGCGAGTCTGTACGTAATCTTCTGTCGCCATTGCACACAAAGAAACCGCATTAATCAGTGAAGATATTTGACTATGCTTAACACCTGTTGAATCAAAGTTATCTTTGAATCAAGAAAGCTCGTTCGCAAACACCTGGAATAAAATTTCACGAAAATGCTCTTCCGTCTGTCATTACGAGCTTTTATCGCTTCCACCCAAGAACGCATTATAAGGATATTACAAATCTACAATTTGTTCAAAGCCGAAAATGCGAGCTTCAAAATCTCGTAACTGCCCCCCGGGAGGGACAATATAAATAAAAGTCGAGACTGCATGTTTAGCTAATCTAATCAGAGCATAGAATACCATTAGTGATTTTTTGATTCCGTATAAATTTCTCAACGATAAGAAAACTGCTTGGGCTGAATGGCGTTAACTTAACTAGACAGGATGCGAAGGAAAGTCTGCTAAAATCTGAAAGAAAACTAGCTAAGTTTTTGAGCTACCGAAGAGGATGAGATGCGAAACGAGCTGTTTTGATAGTGGCACACAAAGACAGTTCTGCCTCCTCAAAAGGTCTTTGATAAAGGCCAAATCTTCGTTACCATATAACAGGTAATTTTGACAATATGGCATTTTAAGTCTACCACGCAGCCAATCAGAGGCGTCTGCCAACCTGTCGCTACAGAGAAGTGTTTAATAACTCTCTAGCCACGGGCAAGTTTATTTGTCTTCGCATGAAAACCACCGTCAAAATCAATCAATCTGCTGTAATTGGTTTCCCCGCTAACTCGGCTCCACACGACGGTCAAATTGTGACGTGAATTTCTTTCAATAGCCCCTCAAAGCAACGTAAATGTGGTTCGTGCTAAACTTCTCACATCCATGGATAGAAAAGCGGAAGACAAACAAAAATAACATGTGAATTAGATTGAACAAACGATCTAATGCATAATCACAAAACAAAAGAAAAGCGCTTTGATTTACTTCGAAAAATCTGCCAATTACGCCCTAAATGTATTTAACATTTAACATTGTGCAATATCTGCTTATTAAAGAGCATTCTTTACACGGGATGACGGATGGAAATAGCATCACGTATGTTTGACAAAATATCCTGATTCCTGTCGACAGCAGGTGATGCAAGATTGACCCGACCGGCCTGGGAATAAATTAAGAACTGGTTTTAGACACCTGTTGAAATCTGCGCTTTTAAAGCTTGCCAAAACACCTTGCTGATAAATATGTGTCCGGCTAACTGAACACTTAAACTACTATTGTTCATTATAAAGCCATATTTGTTCGTTTAGAATAAAGTTTGCTTTGAAATGTTAACACTGTCCGATTAGATCGTAAACAGGAACTCTAACATTCTAGGAAATCAGGAGTTGGAAAAAAACGCACGGAAGTTGGCACAGGCCGCAAAATACAAACGGAATTCGGATCATCGAGCGATCGTATCGATAGACTTATAACACCATCATTGAGAATGTACTTTAGAAGTACAACTTTTTTCCACAAAAAATGATTAGCTTGCGTTATCTTGTCTTAAATAGCAGTGAAAATTAATTTCATAAGGACAAAATATTGCTTGAGCGAGCACAACGATTGCAGACACTACATATGGTTTTAGTAACAAAGAGATTTAATCAACCGCGAGAAAAAAAACATTCAGCGAAGCACGAATTGTACTCTTTATAATCTTTCTAATCTCATAAGATAAATATTTCAAACTTTGCCTTCATTAATGGGCTTGCAAGTCACTCAAGAAAGACATTCACTGAGTGAGCAGTCTTAAATTCTCGTAGGCGAATTGCACTCTATAATCTTTCTGATCTCACAAGATAAATATTTCAAACTTTGCTTTCATTAATAGGCTTGCAGGTCACTCAAGAAAGATATTCACTGAGTGAGCAGTCTTAAATTCTCGTGGGCGGCCTTGTTTACCACATCTCCCAAGTTGTATAATGCTGCGACCACTTGAAAGGGTTGATAGATTTTGTGGTTGTCAAACTCATTCAAGTGATTTACTGGTGAAGAATATTTACTAATTATAACGCTTTATAAACTTTAGGACAGTTTGTTTCAAATGAATCCGCCCTGTTTCCCTTGACAATAACCCAGAATTCGCATGGCACAGACAAACAGAGATAAATACAGATGAAAGCTAATGTTTGGCCCTATTAATTTTATCTTGAGGTAAATGATTTTATATAGAGATTCTAATTCAAGCAACCTTGGCGAAAGGCCATTAATTTTTTTGAAAAATAAATAGTGTTTCTTATACATTCAATCAATCATATAATTAGGAATAAAATGTAAAGCAAGATTTCACTCGTTTAGAGAAATTTTTTTGAGTTGAGTCATTCAAACTTTGCAATTTGTTCAGTTCACATTACAAACAAAAAAGCATCAACTTAAACCTGCGAAAAAGATGTGCTATACAAGAAATCGAAAATTTACTAGGTTCCCTTCATATTCAAACAAACAATTCCTGAAAATAAACCTAAAAAAAAAATTAATGCAATTTTCGTGGTCGAGGGCAGAAGAGCGGATGGGCTGAAAATGAACCACGCCCACAGTTGTTTTTGCACCTAACACAAGAGGAGTATTATCAGCTGGTCACGTACGATAGGAGTGACTCAACAAATGTCGAATCATCTCGATATCAAATACTTCAGTTTGTTTTCGAACATAATGCTAGATTTCCGCTTCTTAATCATTAAATTACCTGCTGGCGAGCAGGTTTGAGTATTGATTTCTTAGCACGTAGGCCATCAGCTCGAACAGGTAAACAAGTTTTATTGAGACATGTGAACAATGTTCTGTTCTTTTCACCCACAAACATCCTATTCGTTTGGTGGCTTGTTGTTTTTCAGTCAAAAGGTATTCTTGTTTTGAACTCAAATGGTTACACTAACAGGAAACTTGTTTGTTTTTTTTCAAACCCGGCACGTTTGTTCGAAATAGCAAAAAAGCCATTTATCACAATTAAGCGTTCGTACAGTACAAAGAAGTAATCAGCACGTTTTCGATTTTCAAACTAAATTGCTTCAGTAAATCCTGTCATGAAAACACAACACGAAATTCAAATTACCTTGAAAAAATACATGCATTTGTAGTTTTCATAGTCACACATTGCATGTAATTTCTGCGGCTTTAAGGGTCGATCAAAATTCTCTCATACCCACACAGGGCAAAAAAATTTGTTCCCACGATATGGCAAGGTGTTCAAGTGGCTTCATTAGAGAGGGTTAGCAATTTCAAAAGACCACAGAAATACCCTAAAACCCACAATGTTACTTCACCAGTATGTATCGTAAAACGGAAAAGTGTAATTCGCCATAAAAGGTCAGATGTGAAGATCTTACAGATTCCCGTGGCGTCTGCCATCAGCGCAATCGTGGAGGTATTTTGGTCGGGTTACGGGAAGGTCGGCGTAAGCTTATGAGAAGCTTAGAAATTAATCCGGCATGAAAACCTCAAAACGGCTTCATCACTCTTGTTTTGAGCATAAGAAATGGCATGTTTCTTATTAATTCAACTCTTAAAGTAATTCTGAGCATTTCCCACGGTGTAAAGCGACATTGAGCGGAGAAACTTTGCAAGAATAATTTGCCAATCAAACGAACACACGTCAAAGGATTTTAAGCCGGTATAATTTTGCGCATAATGCTATTATCAGAGCATTGAGCATAATTCCGGCATGATGGCTAAACTTCGTAAAAAATTCCCTTGATGCTGCAGTTCAACAAGAGATAAATTCTGTAGCCTGAGTACTGTCAACAGCGAGCCTGCTTTTCTCGTTTGCGCTTCGGTAAGCATTTTATTCTAAACAAGTTTCCCTAATATGCTAGTGAAAGAAGTGGCAGACACCAGCAGAAATTTGTAAGGTTTTCCCAGCGCTTCTCACCTTCACACCGATTCTCATTAAACTCCTTTGTGGACTCAAGTACGTCGATTATGAGGCTCACAACACGTAAGACTACCGGGCAAATATCTCTCGTAAAACCTCAAGTGTGTGCGTCTGTAAATGCGCACGTTTTAACTAATTTACTTATTAATATTTCTATTTTTAACGCTGTTAATTATAAACGTCAGCGTCACGGGACGAAATCAAATCTAACGGCAACCACAAATTGAATGAGCTACTACATTGAAATTTCTTACCTTGTGTGAAGAAGTACACCCTTGTACCATCACCGCGAACATAAAAATTATCGGACAAACATTTACCTAGGGAAACAAAAAAATCAAAAGAAAACGTACTCATAACTTGGTAGGGAGAACTTGTCCAAACGTGACAGAAAAAATAAATTCGATCAAAGTCCATGTTAAGGCACATTTCTATAAAACAATCCTTCTAAATATATCGAGGTCACTCAGACGTACATTTAGGTCAAAAATAATCCTCTAAAATCGAAAGATTATTTGAGACATCACAAGTCAACCATTTAGTGGATCAAATTGTGCACATCTATTTACATCAAGCTGTACATAAATAAATGATTCCACTCCAACCCCCCCACAGGAGAAATTTGGCTTATTCTCAGATCTCTTTCTCTTCCTCCATCTCTCTCTCTCTCTCTTTCCCCTTGTAAAGCATCACAAATGCAGTCTAGTGGTCGAGGGCCCGAAAGTTTTCGCACAGAAAATAACGGAGCCGTTCATAGTTCCGTCTCGCAGGAGTGGCTGGATTTTAAAGGACAATGAGCCAAAATGCTTGTCGAGGATCGGTGAAATCTTAAATTAAGAATCAATGAAAGGGTAGAGAAAGTATCGTGTCAAAAATTCTTTACGAAAGAACTCGAACCTCAGACCAGCCGCTATTCCTGGAAGAACAGTTTGTCATCTGAGCTACAGTGACACTGTGAGTTACTTGAGCCACATACAGTTACGTACAAGTCATGCACAGGTCAAAGGTAAAAAGGAGGGAAAGTTGTAAAGAGACTAGAGAGCCTGTTACGAGCAGTCAGTCTGTCGGGACGAGTGAAAAAATATCAAGGGGGAACTAGTGGGAGGAGAGAAAGAACTTTCCTTCCTCGTCTTTCACTCTGAAGACTGCACAAATTTACTCGCTCGCTCACAATGCCCAACAGCCCAAGCTATAGTAATTCTGACAATTAGGACAGACAGAGATTTTCGGGTGACTGGCAGAGACTCTTGACAAAAAATTCATCTCTAAAAAGTATCTGCAATATTTGCAGAACTATGTTAAAGTCATGAACCAAATATGGCGTCACTTCCCACCTTTCTTAAACCTGAGCTGAGCCATATCATATCGACCGTAGTCTCGAAAGAGAATCAGTCCACCTGGTTTGAGAAGCTGGAAAGGAAAAATCAAAGATGTTAGTCGAGGATTGCATCTGGTTGAGGTGTCATTTCTTTCTACAAATACCTACAGCTGTACATGTGTTCTTCGTCACTATCTTAAAGACTCTAGACTTTTACCAAAATAGTACCAACCTTGGATAATCTGCAAATAACGGCTGGCATTCTGCAAACAGAGAAGGAAAGAGAAGGAAGGAAGTCTAAATGAGTATTAAGTAACACCCACTTGTAATACAACTACCAGGGAGGGAATTAAAAAATTTTTGTGGGAAATACCCTTAGTCTTTCCACAAGTGGCAATTTTAATTATTAAAAAAACATCAGTCCATTTTAACTTGTTTTAATGGCTGGGGAAAAGATTCATATTAGGGAAGGAATGTTCTTCATGGATACATTGCAATGCTAAGAGCCAATCAGATTGCAAGGATCATCAGTGACTTCAACTTGGTTTTACCGGATAAAAGGCAAGATCTATGAAATGTTACAAAATTTCAACATACTTGTCTGGGTGTACTGCTGACAATACAAAAATGAGAATTATGATGTCAAGGCTTTCATTGGGAAATGGAAAAACAAATGAACTGTCTGTGATATCACACACAAAGGCAAGGCATCTGTCCTCACTATAGTCTGGATGTTCCTACAAAAAAGAAGACAATATGTACGTTACACCATGGAAATGAAAATTCTGATGGCAGCAAATATCATGGATGGAAAATGACAGTTTGTGCACTGAAAGTTCAGATAAGCACAATCTAGGTGAAATGGTTAACTCTGTACAAAACATATTAAATGTTTAGCACTGCAACTGATTTTGTCACCATGGTGAGTGGTGAAAAATCCAGGCAACTAGCATATTAAATATATATATATATATATATATATATCTTTTTGTTTTCTTTTTCAGGAGAAAATAAAACATTTATGTATTTATATACATTTTCAAATTTGCAACAATTTTAAAATGTATACTTATAGGAAGTCTGTCTTTCAATTTTTCCATAATACAGTGCTTGATATGGAGATGTAGAGTGCAATATATATTGAGATAGGGGAAAAAAACAGAGACTATACTCTCATCCCTACAAGCCTGTTTTATGATTACTCAATAATCAGAGGATTTTATCGTTTTATTTTATTACAATAAAATCCCCTGATGAGTGAGTAATCATGAAACAACCACAACTGACAACTTGTGATGAATAAAACAGTCTTGTCTACAAATGACAAAGATGGGTTCTGAGAGCCGTGTGAACTGCTGTGATTCTGGCACTGCACTTTGAGCAGAGTGAGTCACTTTTATTGCTGGTGCTGAGACTTACAAGTGTGGTGTTTAGAGGAAGCTTTGCTGAATTGGTGCATGAGAATAGAAGATACCAGAGTAATAATACACAGGAAAATCTGAATCTCTAACTCACCTTCACCAAATTTATAGCATTTGAAGAGAAATCACAGCAGTAAACAAATAATGTTGGGTCACTGGAAGATATAGAAATATGATTATAACATAGCCAGCAAATTTGTCTAATCAAATTCAATTGCGCAAGCGTGCTTCATATCCCTACCGTGCACACTCATGACGTCAGCAAACCTATCCCTCAATAAAAAAATTTTCCATCGAGTTGAAAATTTTATAAAACAATTGGTTCATATGTCAGCTGTGCATTCATCGAGCTATGCCTCAAGCAACTCTTACGCATCTTTCATGCTCTCCGAACTTCCTACGTGTTTCATATCTTGATGAATGCACGCTGACGTATGAACCAATTGTTAAATAGGTCAATCCATACTATTTTTGTACTATGATAATCCAGAAACACGGGTTGAAACTCTTTACGGTGGCCAATTAACACTATAAACTCAGTTAATAATACAAAATTACCCTGTTATACTCTCCCACAGTTTCTTTAGAAACTTGCCCCCAATAATCCTGAAACTGTTAGGCTCATAAAGCCTTTTCCTTCGTCAAAAAGGAAAAATCACTCAGAAGGCATGATTGACGTTATTCAACAAACTTACTTGTTGGCCTCTAATATTGGAAAAACTGTGTTCCCCACTCCACAACCAACCTGCAAGAGAGGAAATTAAACATGTGTATGCGAGTGTGACTCATCCCAAAAATGACAGTGACTGCTTAATCACCTCATCTGGATATAAGGTTGTAATGAGATGTGGTTACACAATTTCATACCTCAAGAATCCGTTTCTTTTTTCCACAACCAGGATATTCTTGAACACAATGTCTGCTTGATGTTAACTCATTGTCTGTCATCTCAGTAACTGCTGAATCATTTTTGCTGTCAGTTGATGGTTGTGTTTCATTCCCTGGAGACAAATTGTTTCTTGACATCCTTGAGGCTTCACCCTGATCTGGAGTTTCAGGTCCTGATAATTCAGGAAATTCTGTGAATAACCAGTGGCGATCTTTGAAAAACCTGCATATCAATACAAAACATGATGAGGCAAACGGCAGCACTTTGGAGAAAATTGTTTACAATGTAATTTGGTAGCTGTGGTTTGATATTCCTTTCTTAAATTACTCACAAATTTATATAATTTATACAAGGTTCTAAGTACTTTACGAAAGACATAACAGATTGTCTGATACATTTGAAAACCACTTAACCCTTGAACTCCCATAAGTGACCAAGACAGAATTCCTCCTTGCAATATCAACACAATATCAAGTATGCAAGTGAGGAGAACAAAGAAAAATATCAGTCAAGGGATTATTCATTGATCCAATACCAAATTATCTGTACTAACATCACAAGAACTGTATGGCAGGTGGTAAGGAGAATTACTAATGAGATATTGAGAGGGAAAGGGTTAACTCTTAACACTCTTAGAGTGACTAGCATCTAATTTCTCCTCATAATATCACTGCTTAATTTAACATTACAATCATGAGAATAAAGGAAATGATTGCCAACTAAAGAAACTGATTAACAAACAAAATCTCCTGGTCAGTACCATTGGAAATTTATTGAGAGGAGTATAGAGAATATATTTACTGATGTTTGGGTGTAAAGCAAAAGTGACGACAACTACTAATTTGAGGTACAAGCCCCCTAAGGAAGTCTAGATGGGTTAGGGTTGATGAGAACCCTATTGACATTAAAAATTGACCTGTAACCAGGATATGACATAGTGAAAAAGGTAGAGAAACGTTCTCTGGTTAAAAAAGGTTTTAAAATATGAGCTTTCGGCTATTATATATAGCTTTAACAAATTTTAAAACGTGAATGGAAATATATACAGGGAGGGTGTGTGAAAAAATTAAAAACTTTAAAAATGGACAATAGAACAAAATCAAATTACAATAAGATAGAATATTGTCAGAGTTAACAGTTTTTGCGGTATTAATTGCCTTTGTCCGTGATTGTTTTACGCGTGGTTGGCAATTGACATTATAGTTTTTAAGATTTTGTTGATTTCCTTTCTTTGGGTTTTGCACTGTTCTCCTTTTCAGGCAGTAACTGGTAACATTTATCACCTGTAGTACCTCTTATTAACATTTAAAATTGCTTGGAATTCTTGAAAATTCAGCAGGTAAGAAGGATTTGCCAGTTTGAAAATTTATTTTACCTGTCATGCTTAAAATAAGGGAGCACACTGTGTTTTTTAAAACCAGTTTTACCTGTTTTGGTGTTGCATGTAAAATTCATCCCAGAAGCTACCAGCTTTATCCTCAAACAGTGCTAAATGTAGATTGGACAGAAAAGTTTAACACCTTGAGCCACTGAAACCCTTGTTTAATAGCTATTGTTATTTGGGGGGAGAGAAAAACTGACTTCTTGGTTTACGTTTCTTCCCTAAAAATATAACTTTCTCATATATTTTCATTGAAACTTTGTACATTGTTGAAAAATGTCAAGGAATTGATTTGATTGCTCAAAAAGGGAAGTCATCATCCTCATTTCTGTGGAACAGACCAATTGAAACATTTTCTCCCATCAAGTCATATTACGAATAACTCTATAACGCTTTTAAGTGACTTGCATCTAAATTCTCCTTACAACATCACCCCTGAATCATACCTAAAGGTCACAAGAATAAAGGAAATGATCACCAAATAAAAAAGCTCTTGATTGTTACACAAATTCTCCTTTTCAGCACCTTAGGAAGTAGACAAAAAACAGAATGGAGAATGTGCATACTGATGTTAGGGTGTAAAGGGTTAAAGAGTTCATACATTTGAAACTCAGATCAGAAATTTAGTCCCTTTAAATGAAAATTAAAACTTGAGTTCTGTGTAAGATGTTAGCAAGAAGTACCTTGTTCATCCTCTCCGAGTTTAATACAAGAATTTTCATCTATCTTCTGTTGTGCAGCTTTTTCTTGCTCACTGTCCCATTCCACATTGTCCCTGTATAAACTGTAGCGTCAGTGACGAGCAGAAAATGGAAATCCCTGATTCAAACATTCGCGCCAAAGCAATTCTCAATCGCGACAAATTAGTTCTCGCGGCTGTTTCCTGAACGCTTAACCACACAACATCATCCTTGATGATGTATAGAATAAATAAAATCTCATATATGTCTCACCAAGCATTATGCTCAAAAACTTTGGCTGGATCAGAGAGGAATCGATTTCCAAACTGGGGCCTTGAACAATCCGCACCGTCCGCCATCTTGAAAGAAGTATTCAGACCAATTGGTACGCGGGCTCAAGGAATAGATTAGTTCTTAGACTACCGACAAATGAGCACTCGCCCTTAACTAGCCGTGTAGATGATGTATGGATTAGCACTTCCTTTCCGGAGAGAGAAGTTTCCATTTGGTTTAGTAGATTAATTTTCAAATTGACCAACAAAAAATGGTATTCGTAATTGATCATTGTTAACCGCATCTATACTCGTATTAAAATAGGACACGAAAGAAATAGGTTTGGTCTAAATTTAATTTTTTATGACGTCTTTCTCTCGTCAAATTATAGGATCTGTGGTCTTTGAGAAAATGTCCTCTCTCCTCCCCTCTGTAGAAACGATAGCGAAAGTCATGAATCATAAACCTCAAGCAAACAAAAGCCTTTCTAGATTACGAGCAATACTTATTTTTCAGAGAAGTCCGTCGCGCGTTTAAAAAACTGAAATCAGTGCAAAAAAAATTGATGTTAGCGCGTCGCGGGAAGCTCTTAGAGTAAGTCGCTCGAGCATGGTATATCACTATATAGTAAGTGTTTTGCTCTCCTTTCCGTTTTATCTAATTTGCGAAAGGTACTGTTTTAAAAGCGATCCTCGACGATAACTCATCAAATAATTCTCAAAGTTTCCTGCAGTGACAGTTTCCCCGAGACTCCACACCTCGTCAGAAAAATTGCGAGCTTTCTAACGATCCGTATTTAACAAATCTTTTTCATAACTCTTCAATCAATATTCTACTTCATGAGAGAGATGAACCATGCTATTCACCGGCAAAAAGCAACCAGTCATAGCTGGCAAACTTTTTGCTATTCGCTTCAAGTCGTTTTCACGCCAAAGTGAAAGTAATTTTGCATTTACAGTGGATAAAGGTTTTCTCCGCAATTTTTCTACAGGGTCGACATAGGAATTGTAGAATAAGTACACTCAGGGTCCATTTTTTTCGTCGTAATGATCAAGGTGAAACTGACTATTGACTCCTAACTGTGAACAACGCCTAATAAACGATGCATCGAATTCTGTGTTAAGTATTTTAATTCGTACGCCAAAGTCAGTGAGACTAATAAGAAATGCTTTTCGTGCTTCCATACGGGAAGCAAGCGCTAAACAACATAGGGTAGCCGATGGTCAACATGCATCAAGTCAAATGAGTACCTTAACTCAAAGTTCCTGAAAAATATAGTGGCCTATGGGTAGTTGTCCTTACGAGCAAAGGTGATCCATGTTTGTCAATGCATAAGAAGGCAGTTATTCGCTAAAAAAAATACCGCAATGACAGTTTTTTTTCCGTCAGGCGCAATCCTGAAGAGATGATTAGTGAAGGGATAACAGGACTGAATATTTTGCCAAAACAGTTATGCTACTTCAGCCATAGTCTCCACACTGAAACGTACGGGGGAGGCTCTACCTCCCCCAAATTTTCGTTTGAGGATCTACAGCACCCCATCCCCCATCCCCCCCCCCCAAAAATTCACCCCCCCTATGTTAAGACGGAAAGCGCATATTTTGATCCATTTCTCCCTGATTCACGCAAGCTGTTTCGGTTTTCTGACACTGACCGCTTTAGACTATTCTTTTAACTCAATCACACGAGAAACCAAAACGTTTTTAGCGTTCCTTACGCTATGGTTTTCGTTTTTCAGCTTTCACATGGTACTTGAGCTGTTTACAATGACAATCTCGACAGATTTGCTATTCACATAAATACAGAAACTAATAAATATATTTGTTTCTTTGTTAAAATGACAACAGGAGTGAAGAAGTAAGTTCCTAATCGATCAATCAGGAAAAGGAGCGAGCAAAGGTGACCATCAGGTCACCCTTCATTTTGCTTAAAAACGAAAACCGCTGGCTCAACTATTCTCTACTGTTTTGATTTCGACCAAAAAATTACTTGTGCTACCTAATTTACGGACAATTATCTCTTCTATGCCTTTTTCCTTGCTTTTCCATAAATGCTATCCAGTGTGAGTCCAGCGAAAACCAAAAACACACCAAGCCATTGGCGGGTGATAAGCGAATTTCCAAACAAGAGCACTGAGGCGAGGATTGTAAAGAATTTTCGAGTTGTGGTGATTATGGAGCAGGTCAGTGGGCCAAAGTTAGCCACAGTCATGAAGATGAAATTCTGTAATGGAAATAAAATCAGAAAAGAAATTTAACACTATTTAATTCATGTAGTATTATTGATTACGTTTGTTAACCCTTAAACTCCTGGGAACTAGCTGTTAATTCTCCCCTCCAGCTGCTACACATTTCCTTGTAAATTAGTTTTGAGAATTTGGTGTTAGATCAAGATGGCAACTTCTACCTGATAAGTTTGAGTACTCTCATCACCTGTTTGTTAGATAATGTACGGATATAATAGGGAGAAGTTACATGTTGATCACTTCTGGGAGTTAAAGGATTAAGGAGGAGACCACAGCACCCATTTGCCTCGCTCACAAGATGAGGCTTCGTGGCTCCATTGGTGGTGGCACCCAAGTAGTGTATGAGAGGCGAGAGGTTTAAGCCCATGCCTTAATTCTTTTTCCCAGGCTCTTTCCGAAATTTCCTCTACTGAAGTTTACCGCACAGAAAAACTCCTGACTCGTTCCCAGTCTAACGGCGGCAACCGACGCAGGTAGAATGGGAACGTGAAGTGTAATGGGTAGCGTGAAAGCGAGAGAGGTCTCCTCGCCTTCTCTCCTACTTTAGCAACGCAAACACTTTGGAAACGACTGAGGACGGTCAAGAAAAATTGGTAACTTATGAAACACACTTTAAAATATGATTCACTTCATATGTTATTTTCTTGCGAGACACTAGCACTACCCTACTGAAGGGCGTTCGTTTTGGGAATACAATGGTGATCATGAAGCAAATTCGACCTCCAGGGTAGGTCAAGTATTGCAGGACTCTCTGATTCCCTAACTGAAAACAAACTGGCGTCGGAAAAACTTTCTTAAATCCCTGCACAAAAATTTTGCAAGAACGAACTGCTCTGTTTAAGTTTCATATAAGTGCGAATTCATGAGGTTTTTCGGTGTACCTATCGAAGTAGGCTATGATCAGCCCTTCCTTTCCGTCATATTCCGTCGCGATTTCTATTGGCTTGCGGGACGAGATACGCTTTATAGGGACACCTCGTTGTTTACAACCGAAAACTTCTGGTGAAAAAGAACCCACGATTTTCAAGGGTTTTCAAGTGGAACCGCACGCGAGTTAGTTGGAACGTACGGGCATTAGCAGAATATTTTGTGATAACAAGCAAAAATATAGGGAAAACATGAATCACGAAAAGAATTTCCGAAACATGTGATAAAACAAAGAGAAAACGCCATATGTAGCTCTTACGCAAACTCAAGTTTGATAAAAGCTTACGTAAATTGAAACACGAGATAAAAGCTGAATAATGAAGCGTTAACGGAACTAAAGATCTTGATTTCAAGGGGAAAAGGTGACTTACCAATAAACAGAGATGCCTCTCACCATATCATGCAAGTGCATATGAATCTTAACTCATGTAGGAACGTGTGTGGATAACTATTGAGTCTCGCAAAACATTATTCTACTTAGAATGTACCATCTTTAGCCCCAACTCTCTTTTTTTCATCGAATTTTTTTTAGCTATTTTGAAAATCGCGTTGTGTAATGACCGGACACTAGATTGGTAAACGATAGTTCTAGAGTTTCGCTGCTTGCTGATTAGATAGGGTCAACTAAAAGATCAGAATATCAATTCTTTTAAACCGGCCGCCTTACACTCTTTTCCAACAGTTTTTGTTGATTAATTTGTCACTCTTTTTCCTCGTGCGCTTGACAGTAAGTCACATGTGCCAAGAGAACTTGGACATTACTTACCATCAGGAGGTGACCGAGATGCAATTAGACGAGATCACAACTTTTCCAGACAGATTCTCACACAATCTATTTAACTCTAACCATAAATTTCAAGTATGACACCTAATCAAATATAGCACAAAGTGCCGCCAAATCTTTATTTACGTCATAATATTCCCCAGTAATTTCTTTCCGCACTAAACGTTAATTTTCTGCTATTCCTACCGGCTACAAGTCTAATTTCCCACCATCATCCTTGGGACACAAACCTATTTTCAACTAAAGCCACTAAATTTATCGCCTTTTTATTAACGTAGCACGCTAAATTTCCCGCTATTTCCACCGCGTACAATTATAGTTTCCCGCCATTATCCTCGCGAAGCGAATCAATTTTTCAGCTAAGGTCACCTAGTTTCCCGCCATTTTTTCAATGCAGCATGCCAAATTTCCCGATGCAGGGAAACTATACCAGTTTATTCCCGCTATTTCTCTCCTACAAATTATTTCCTCAATATCAGACATGATTCCTGCCTTTGTTTTCCGCAATCAGACAGAATTCGCGCTATTTTCTGACAATCAGACACAATTTCCCACCTTTCTCTTGCGGCTTCCTGTAAAACTCTCCGCACAACTAATTCAAATGAATACGAAAGGGCTTATCTACATTATCGGAAATAGAATAATTTTTACAGCCCACAAAAAGCATCAAACACAGTTCACCAAATACCCTCTAAATTCACAATCAACAAAGGCGAATTAAAAGTTTTAATAAAATACAGAACGTATCCCCCTCTGTCACAAACACAGGCCGAAAACTTGAGTGACTTAGGAACAAAGGGATTCGTCAATATTGTTATTGCAAGAAAAAACTGAATTAAGGTTAATGACAGTCTTGAGGACCACTTGGTTTCCTCCGGCATTTAAACCAACTGTGTTTTATCTTAATGACGTTGATAGCCTGTCGCGATATATTTCGAAATATTCAGTGGAAAATGAACCTAAACGATTTTATTTCTCTATCGCATACAATCGAGAGTTTCATCGACTTCCTAATCGTAACGCAATTTAGCGCCAAATTAGATGTCGTATCTGCTTGCGAAAAATTATCTCACCTGCGTAATTCGATTGGTTGCTGCACAGGAAGCAATAACAGTTGCTGGTTATAACAAAAGGCGCTGACAGTAACACATTAAGAAGACAAATTTGCAACACAGCTACCACCACCAGAGTCCTCAACTTGCAAGGGACAGTGAGTCTTCAAAAGCTCGAAAACGCCGTGGTTTTAATCAGATAAAAGCGGAATAAAACTAAAAACCACGTTTTAAAGTCGACAGGTAAGAAAAAAACTATTGCTACGTACTTTATGAAGGAATATCATACTTCATTCGGCGACTTTTCCCACAAGAGCATGCAAAGTCCTCCGAATCGAATCCAAATTCAATTTCTGGGCAACGTTTTCAAAAGTCAGTGGAGAAGTAATATCAAACTGCGCACGCTTGTTGAAGTTTTCCAAGCTACATACTACGCAAAACAAACAATAAGAAAGTAAAACTTTAATTGCGAAATGTCATATACAGGCACAGATACCAGAAATAGTGAAGGAACGATACTGAAATTCAGTGAATTACGCGATATTCTGCTCGAGGTTACGAAAATAAAAGAAAGCGTCATGTATCGGGAAGTCTTTCATCTCACATAAAAATTCGTCATATCGTAATGATAATCAAAACTGCTCGCCTCGAGCTATAAAACGAGACGCAATTTAAATATTACTAAAATATCATCACAATAGAATAATACCGGCCGAGAAAAAACATTTTGTGCTTAGTCAAAATGCCTTAAAAGGCACTTGCATCAGAGAGATAACGCGTTAAATCAGTAATGCGCCAAAAAAACAACAGTTCTTGACTGAATTTGAGCTTAGAAGAGCGATTACTAAGGACCAAAAAAAAGTCTTTTCAATGACTAAATGGTAAAAAAGTGCAGATGTCAAGGCATGGTTAAATAAGTCATTTCCGCACCACAAAAGCAAACGCCATTAAAAAAAAAGTAAACTTTGCACAGAGGACAAAATTGAAAAATTATTTAATAGGAAATTAACTGCATATCGAAGTGAAATTTATGACCACTAAATGCTCACTTTTATTTTGTTTTCATTTTGCTGCATTGTTCTACAGTTTTGACTTTTCGTCGAATGTCATTTCGCGGGAAAACGAAAACGACGTGAAATGCTCTCAGTTGACGAAAAAGTCAATAACATGTAATTGAACTGAACTGTGGAGCTTGGCTAAAGATCAGGCAGAATTTCAAAAGTGTCACGACGAGAAATATTACAGTTATAATCTGTTTGAAACAGAGGCGAACTGTCTCGTTAGCTGCCTCCTTTGTGCGCACAAAAAATAGAAAGAAAAAGCTAGAAAAAAAATTTTGAATCAAGGACAAAATTTATATGTTAAAAAAGAGCAAACAAATATTTAGTTGCTGGATGAGAGCCGAAAAAGTAAATCCGCCAATTTAGAACGAAGTTCACCATGAACACATGGTATGCAGTTTCTAATTCAATTTCTAAGCTCTAAAGCCGTTCTTCAAAGTAACTACATTAATAAAGAACCTGCCAACCTCATTATTTTTGTCCTACTTTTTAGAAACGACTTTTAAATAAAAGTTTTGCAATTTCGGGAAAAATGTAAGAAACCCGGAGACTCCCAAAAAGTTCCGAGGACAATCGTTTACAAGTGCTGTTGTTTCAACAAGTTTACACGTTCCTTGACCTTACCCACATTACAATTATTTTTTCGACAACCGCCAAAGTTCCTTCGATTTAATAACTGCCACAGACTGTTATTGAACATACCGAGTGTGAATTTTATCACTGACAATTTGACACTTCCACCTTAAACCAGACGAACGAAAAATCCCGCAGATGTCAGAAATAAATTTGCGGTGTGCGGTCACGTACACAAAGTGGTCCAAAATGATTGCAGGAAATCCCACCTAAGAGCAATTTTTAGCTAAGTATCGGAATTAATCTGACATTTCATTGGTTTTGCATCACTGTACTCCGTGATTGGTTAAAAATTTGCGCCAATCTTTTAGCCAATACAATTTTTACCAAAAAATCACTCCCGACTTACTCGCGTTTTCCCGCGCTTCAGGCTCGCTTGCTTTGGTTTTAGACTTTGTTTGCACAGCTGAATTTCGTTAGAATTATTCCTTCTTGTGTTGTGTTCTCAGGCAAGACAGGATATCCTGACAGTGCCTTTCCCCACCCAGGAGTAAAAATGGGTACCGAAAACTTCGGATGGGGGGGTGGGAAAGAAAACCTGGTGAAATTGTGGAGAAGAGGGGGTTGACCTGTGATGGACTAGTACCCTACCCAGGGGAGGGGGGAGTTGAAACCGTCTGGGATATGCTTCAAGTGCTATTCTAGTCAGTCTCGAGTGTGACTTGAAACAAAGATAACATCGAAATAAATCGCTCTGAGTCGGCTCCATTAACACACTTTGCTTCCTGTTTCTAGACTACAATAATCTGCCATGAACTGCCATGAACCTGCCGTGAACGTCACGGATACAACGAACAACGAAACAAATCAAGGCGAACTACAAGGTTACATGTCAATACCAAGCTTACTTGGCTGGGCGATATCGTATGCTATTGTAGCAATAGCCATCATCGTCGGAAACTCGCTGACAATCGCAGCATTCAGCACAAACAAAAAGCTCGCCAACGCCCGCACCAACTACTTCTTAGTGAGCCTGGGGATAGCGGATTTTATGGTTGGCGCATGCTCAATACCGATGTACGTAACTGAAATGCTGTTTTATTATCTACGTAAAAACGAGGCCAGAATCCGGTTTAACGAGATTTACCTGCCTATCGACGCGTTTATGGGTTTCGCGTCAATCTTTGCGCTCGTCGCTATAGCGCTGGATCGCGCATACTCTGTGTTCCGCCCTCACAAGCACAAAACTATCACCAAAGCGACTTATTTGATGGAGATCGGCCTGGTCTGGTTCTTAGCGGCTTGCGTTGCTGGGATTCGCGTTCTGAGCAATTTCACCAGCAAAGACCTGCTAAAAACTGTCTTCAACTACGCCGTGCTTGTCTGCGTGTTCACTTCATTGATTTTAATTTCTGTCGCTTACGCTATGATTTGGCACAAGGTTAGGAAGCCTGTGAGCCAAAACCACAGGACAGGCACGAAACAAGAAAAAAAGCTAGCGGTAACGCTGTCCTTAATCACAGTTGTGTTCATCCTCACGTGGGTCCCTTTCTACATTATGAACATTATCATCATGTTCTGCAAAGACTGTTATGTTCTCCAGTTGATTTACTTCGCAAAGTTTTTGCACTACAGCAATTCTTTCGCCAATTTCATCATCTACGTGCTCAAGATTCGAGAATTCCGGAAGACCGTGACGAAACTCTTACGGGGCAAAAGAAAGAAAACCTCCCCAAGTCCACAAAAAAGTAAAACCTTGGTTAATTCTAAGGAAGAACCGATCTCCATGCAAGGCATACGACTTAGGGGATTCACTCATCCCCTGGAAAATCGTGACCTTGATTTGATAACTGCTCACCAATCAGTGTGAACTTGGCATGTCTTTACAGCCAATCAGATGCAGCCTACACTATACAAGCTCACTCTTGTTAAATTGTTGTTACTGCTGTTCATTTTCGTTTTTTTTTTAGTCCCATAACTAATCACTTTTCTGAAACTTTTGACCCCTGAGTCACTAGTATCGAATTTCTCATCTCTCAATCAAACATTGAGGCCATGAAAATAAAGGAAATGATCACCAACTAAAGAAGCTCTTGATCGTTAAACAAATTCTCCTTGTCAGCACCTTAGGAAATGTATAGAGAACAGTATGGAGAATATGCATACTGAGCGGCCCGAGAATCTGTAATACGTTCGTATTAAAGCAAATTTCAATTGAGTGTATAAAGTAACCCGGGATTGCTCTGGCATCGCTTCAATTCGCTTTGTGATTGGTCAAGAAAATTCGCACCACTTTTTAAACCAATCAGATTCAAAATTGAAACCAATCGCGATTTGGTCACCCGCGTTTTTCCCGCGCTTTAGGCAGTTTGATAGTTTTTATTTTGAGTTCTCATTGGCTCTGAAAGGTCTTTTCCTTTCTTCTGATTGGCCGCTGCGATTGCTTTTGTTTTAGTTTTACGACACAATATCGAAAAGAGCCCAAAAAAGACAGTACCTAATAAGGATTATACTCGCTCTTAAAACTGATCATACCTGTCCTATAGCACTAGCCAGACTGAATGTAAATATGTGTAGTAGAACGTAAGGATACCGCTGGCAAAATGCAATGAACTGGAAGACTTCACCACTAGTCAAGAGAGCTGTGGACGTAATAAGAAAAGACTTAACGGTGGTTCTTCAAAAGTAATAATAAATCTCAACTGCAACTGCTCAAAGAGTACATCAAGTGCTATCAGTTAAACTAAGGACTAAAAAGGCTGCAGTTTACGATTTCCCTCGAAATATAAGTTGACTCAAAAGTCACTTTTAAAAAATATAAACGCCAAGGAGAAAAAAGTAAAATGTGCGAACTAAAGTTTGCCAAGTCCCAGATCACATCCAAATCGCTTCAAAAATTGCTTTGAAAATGTTTTACAACAGTGTTCTGTATGCTCCAAAATCCTTACGATTGAAATCCACCATCAAAAGGTTAATATAAATATGAACTTTCCACCGCGTTTTGAGATTCCAAACAAGGGGCTACATGAAATTGTTCCCAAATTTTTTTGTCCAGGTGTGTAAAACATTTCACCGTGAAAGCCGCCATTTTGAACAAAAGATTTTGACCTAGCCACATATGAAAACCACGATGCGCACAATGGAGCATACTTCTCCTCTTCAATTGTTCAGTGTTGAACTTGTGTATTTAAAAAAAAAAGCTAGCTTTGCTGTTACTTACTTATCGCCAAGATACCAATTGACCAGAGATTCATGTTAAACATCATATGGTGTGACTGGACGTGGTGTTCTGCTCTCATTCTGTCCTGCACTGCACCTGTCAACCCATCACATGTCAGAGATACAAGCTGCAAAAAGAAACAAACTATTAATTTTCAACCACCTAAAATTTAATTCCTCGTGCAAACATTTTACCAGCAAGAGTTGTTAACACATTTTGAAAGCCTGTAATTCATAATGCTTTACTTCAACCCTCTCTCTCTCTTTCTCTCTCTAGCTCACTCGCTTTCAGCTGCTCATTCATCAAACCTTCTTAGCTTTACAACAAAAATGCACAAGTTTTACTTTAAATAATCACTATGCTGGCCAAGACACACATTTGCAGCACTTAATCTTTTTTGAATATACCAGTAGTGTTGAAAGTGAGGTGGCCTCTCCCATAAGCCTGATGGCTTCTTGGGTCTCCTCATCACGTAGATAAATTTTTTGTACTGATTGAAAAGCAAATAAAATGATGATGATGATGATGTTTGTATGGTTGTTTCCTATGTTTTCCTTTGAAATTTTGCACACTAAATTAGTGCCCAGCTGGCCAGAATTGATTCTCTCACTCATGCCTACATTTGACCACTGCATTAAATTGCCATCAAGTCTAAATAGCACACCTCATCACCTAAGCAGCCAAGCGTTTACAACCTAAAACAGCTATTGAACCAACTTCCCACCTACCCCCTCCCCAACTCTCTCTTTTCCTCTGAGCTCCCTTCCCACCCCACCCTGAGCCCTACCTGTTTGACACTACTTACCAAGAGGAGTTCTCCAAATCCAATCCAGCTTCCACTGTCATTTGATACTTGTTTCTTATTCTACAATTAATCATCAATTTGAAAATTTAGTCTTCTTTTGGTAAGTTTTGAACTTGGTCAGAAAAATGCTGAAGATAGTTGTTATAGATACAAATAAGGATGTAAAATCCAAAAGTCTGAGGCTTGCATCTTCAGATATATTTAAATTCCACTCTTGTGACAAGTTTGTAATATTTTTCTATGTTTACAGCTTATCGTCTCACCTCTTTGTACATGAACAGAGCCACTCCACAAACAATAAGAAAAACACATAGGTATTTCAGAAGGGGATATCTTTTCCTTGCTAAAAGAACTCCCAGAATCATAACTGAAAGACAATTAGAAACATATGAATGAAAATGGTCGATTTTCAGCCTAGTGAAAGACAATGTTATTCAGTGAATAAAACACTGGCATACTCAAAAGAATGCCCTAATCACATTATTTTCTGAAAACATCATCTTTCACCAAAAGACCAAGCTTAAAATCTAACAATATTCATGAACATTATCAATGCACAATAGCATCACACCTAAACATTCCTTTCCTAGCAGTATGCAGGAAGTTTGTCAACATGGACAGTACAGCCTACCACCCCTCTCCTACAGCTCACTCAATTCATTACTGATCTATGATTATACCTAAAGCTCCCTGGTAGAGCATCCAAACCACTAACTGGCCTGACTCCAATTGGGAGCATTCAGAAACATGTTTTTGAGTATTCCTGTGTCATTCATCGAATAATGAAGTCTTCAAATTAGAAACAAAACTAGATTAATTTTTTAATAGTGTGGTTTGATCATCCAGACAAGTGTAGTCCTAAGAAGGACTGTTTTCAGTGGTGGTGACTGACATTTTGACAACCTGAGTGGAAGTCATTATCAGTGTCAACTGAATAGTTGTTTTCAGTCTTATGTTCTTAGTCCAGTTTGTATGAATTGATTGGTCAGTTTTGCTGTGATGTTATTGGCTGTCAGACTCAAGTGGCATAGTTCAGTCATGATTGGTAGGTATAAGGTAAGTTTGTAGCTTTCTTTGATTAAGAATTATGACAATTTATCACAAACACAGCCATGAAAAATGTTTCGACTCAGATCAATTTTAAACTACAACAAAATTCTCCTCTTTCTAAACTGTTCTATTTATCTGCAATTAAAGTTAGTATGTACATCAATTCATTCCTGATCAATGACAATACCTGCTCTATGTTATCACTCACCTGGAATAGGTTTACATGACTTCCCTAAGACCTACCAGCAAAACAAAATTATGATTAAGTTTCACTTGATGGAAAATAGTAAAACGAATTATTAGAGTTTATCAGATTAAATTTGAAATATATGGTGACCCTCGCAACCTGGCTTTTTCAAGCAACATTTTTTGCACCAAAGTGAATATTTTCTCAGCCTATGAAAACTGAGTCACTGAAACAAAATAACCGATCGTATTGCAAGGATTGATCGAGAGGAATTTATACTAACCTGAGTTGGATAGTTCACCCACTGAAGAGCCTTATTACTGGCCAGCATTGCACCAATATAGGTTGTAGCACAGATCCCATACCAGCAGAATGGAGTTGTATCCTTAGCTTCATTTCTGTACATCAGTTGGATAACTAAAACAGAACAAGAGCAGCATAATTAGTTCACCATCCTCCTGATTATTTTGGTTGCTTAGCATTTTTCTAAACTGGTGAGTCAGACTGATAAATCCATGAGGAGAGTTTTTTTATTAATCAGAAATTTTTGACCTTGTGTGGAAATTCTCTAATAAATAAAGTGATAAAAAGAGGAATTTATCCTCGAGAGTATTAAAAAAATTTCGAGAAGGTGATAAGAAATAAACATTTGAAGATATATATTTTTTTTTTACTTAAAACCACATTTTCCGGGCAAAAATTGAAATAAATATATTGTTAACAAAGTGAAGAATTGATTTTAGATCCCAAGAGTGAAAAGGTTAATGGATCACAGATGCAAAAATATTTGAAGTACACACTCGTTCCTTTGGCAAAAATCACTGCAACTATCTTTCACTTCATGAAACACTGTCAACCTACCTGCTTTAGCAAAAAGTGCATTCACAATGCACTGAACAAAGACCAAGGAGAGAGCATACACAAATTTCTCTTTGTCTTCGCCATAAGATGTTCTTGTTCTGTCCGAGAATATAACACGTATATTGAATTAGGACATGAAAATAAAAGGACAAAACCTTGAACAGGCTATCCTCAGACTTCGAGAAATATTCTAGGCTTGACCACAAAAGAACTCATAAGCCTTGGATCCCAGTTCAACAAAAATATCTTACGTAACTTTAAACCACAATTCCAATTAGGAAGTCAACCATTGAATATTGGTATAAAACTACGAACTATCATTGTAAAGAGATTAAAAAATACAGACATTGGTTCGTGCGATTGGGAAAATTTAAGAAGAAGGAATACCGCACTGGTTCTTTGATGAGTGAATGGCGATGAAATTCCTAGAAATTAATCAATTTTTTTCAAAAGTAGTTGAAGACTTGCGTGTGAAAGATCGAAGAAAGTTATCTCATAGTTAGGTGACCAATACTCACATTTTCTCTTGTATAATTCCGTAGTAAAAGTACGATATAAATATTCCCAAGAAACACACTATTAATTTCTTTCTATCTGTAACATACGGAGCCATTTTCGATTCAGAAGATAGTGAGTTTCCAGCTTCAACATCGCCAGAAACCATCTGGAGGTTTTTTTCACTACCGGTTTCAAGGAAGCGTGGTTACCTTTCATTGGAGAGCGAAAAAACACGTGACCGGAAGTAAATCTTGGAAAGCTGTTTTAAAATGGTAAGGGAAGGGAAGGTAGGGGCATTTGCAGCTTGCTTGGGTTGGAGAGCATAAAAAACAAGGTAGATAGATACTTTAAAAAGAGAATCTTAGGATAAAAAACTTGATATAAGTAAAGATCAGAGAAAGGGAATGATCTATAATGAATCCTTGTTTTTTCAATCTCTTGTTTACATGTTTCATACAAAAATAAAATAAATTCAAATTTTCATAACACAAAGTTGTGCTTTAAATTTAAAAATGCAAGGCAAAATATTCCTCTCAGATGTACAGTTTTAATTTAATGATATTTCTCACAGAATAACAAATACATTTTAATAGTACACCTCTACAAGAAAATACATACATAATTATCATGAAAAATGTAGGAAACAAGCAACTGTTAAGTACAAATTTGATTCAGATATTTTTCATTGTAGAATATTCTTGAGAATCTTGCCTTTTGAAAAGTTCAAAGTTAATATAACTTAACTACTTTCAGACTGATCGAAAACAAAACAGTTGACTCACTGCACATGCAACAGAGCAATAATTAATTGTTTAGACCCAGAAAACATATTTATATAAGCTACATATATATATATGAGCTATCCCCATTGTTTGTTCTCATAATGATTCAACACATTTATTATCTTGAGCCTTACTACCAATACACTTTACAACTTGTTTCAGGGATGTGTGGATCCATTTTTTTTTCATTCATCAATAAAGAAAACTTTTCTTGTGTTCAATTTTTCTTTTCTTCAACTAGATATGTCACTAGTTCAATGCCTTCACTAATGGGCTAACACTTTAAACATAAATCTAAACCCTTTTGTCGCCCTCTTGTGAGATACTATCAGAATTCCTGCACACTTTCATTTAAAGGGATCCAGCAACTGATCAGACTGACTGATAGGGAAAATTAATTCCGTGTTAAGTAGCATCTCATTGTTCACTGACTGATAGCAAGAATTCCAGCTAAGATCAGACAGCATCTTGCTTTTGCCTGTTAAGCTCTTCTAAATCTTTCTTAGCATCTTCAAGCTTTTCTGGAATATAAACAAAATACTTCAACTCATACATTTGCAAACAAAGCTCAACTCAGTTTTGTGTCTCTATTTGCAGTCAAACTTGTCTCAATCCCTAACCCTTTAACTCCCAAGATCTGAGTTTTAATTCTCCTCTCTAGCTGCTATACATTTCCTTTTCAATCAATTAGAGAATTTGGTATTAGATCAATAATAACATCTTCTACATGATAAGTTTTAAAATTCTCATTACCTGTTTGCTGGATGGGGTATGGATATTATAGGGAGAAGTTACCTCCCAATCACTTCTGGGAATTAAAGGGTTAACAACCTGAGGTAGTCATTCACAGAAAGATAGGACAAAAATTCATTTTTCAAATGTGATTAATGTGCAACTTCTACTTAGAATATCAACAAATCTAAGCCTGATAAAGATGAAGTCAAAGAGACTATTCTACTCCATTATCTTTGCCTTAAGCAAATATTTAGACAGTATAATTGCTCAGGTACTTTCAAATTCTGTTTAAATTCATTTTCAGGTTGAAACCATTCTGTAAATAAAGGAAGCTTTGCATATAGTATGCTATGATTGTTTTGATTACTTGTATCATGATAGGCATTAATTGAAGCCATGTATGGTCATTGTGATGATAAACTCATCCAAATTTCAATCTACAAGAAGTTTATTTCACCTTAAATTAATTAACAACATCACTGAAAAGGATTATTAAATTTCTCTGTGTATAAAAGTACAATAACTCTCTGTTGATCTTACTTAAGTAGGAAATAACTTGAAGAAGGAAATTATGGGCTAAGAAAACAAATCTTCCAACGTGTGTTGAGAGCTGACAAACCCATCAGGTGACTGGGTGATCTACGCACTCTTCAACTAATCAGATCTTAGAGGTAGAAGGGTTGATTCCTGTTAAGTTTTGTAAAACTTAACAGGAATCTTAACAAGTTACGCGCGTTTATACTTACTTTTAAACTGGCCAACCACGAGTGCACGATCAGAAAGAAAAAACACATTCCCAGGTCCTTGCCTTGTGAATACTCTCTTTAAATAAAACGAATAAGACATATCTCGTCAACATAGCAAAAAGGGGAAACACTGTCGTAGACGAATATACAACTGAATTACAAACCTTTTTCGGTTGTAGACAGCTGAGTTCGTGGTTTGTAACTTCCAGTTCTTTTATCTACAACCATAGAGGGTACATTTTAACATCAGAACCCTTAACTGACGGAAATGTTGAGCGATTGTACCTCGTAAAGAGTCTGTGAAATTTTAACATCTAGTGACTCCAGTCCTCTCATCAACTTTGCTTCTGGACTATCCGCCATATTGGATGTGGGGTTTATTTGGGATCCAGTCTTACTCGTTTTTAGTGCGACTCGAGACTTGACGATGACGACTGATATGATGTTGTCTCGCGCTGTCTCGCGCAAGATATAGCGTGTTAAGCCACGACTATGACGTCAATATTTCAGTCTGTTTCGCGGAACCAAGCCGAGCGCTGTTTTTTGGCGAGAGGAAAAAAAACATCGTTACCATGAAGAGAATAATGAAATTGCTCATTGCGTCGGCATTACTGCTTTCGTTGACGAAAGCTGCACAATCTGTGAAACAAGACGGTAAGATTCATTCCCTTATAAAGAGGATTTCAAGGGTTTCTACTTTCCCCGCATCAAAATGTTTCCGCCACGTTTTAATGAAACAGTTTTAAGCCTCTTTCTTTCCCCGCGGAAATAACTGTTTTACTGGGTGTTCATTTCCAAGTGAGAATATTCAGAACAGCCTTGACAAAAACTCAAGGGGTGCTTTGCCAACGGTTAATTTTTCAGACTTTTCAAAACCTTTTGCAGGTTACAAACGAGTTTGCAGTTTCCATAGTAATTCAGCTGGTATTACGCGCCAGCGCCGAGAGCACGTGCGCACTAAACGGCTCTAAGTTATTTTTGAAGCACGCGCTCCGTCACCTCTTACTCATTAAGATAATCCACTGTTTTACTTCTTCTTTTTTTGTTTTTACTTTGTTTGACCCAAAGGGTTTTGTTGTGAATCCCTAAGGAAAAAGTTCATATTTGCAAAACGGCTATATTTCATATCATCCACATTTTGCAATGCAAAATAGTAACACGCTATGCTGATGATAATGCTGGTGATAACTATATTTTATTTTTTTCTCTGCTCAAACAATTTTCAAGTCAATGAATGGCAAGAGCTATCTCTCAAAGATTTTAAAGAAGAAACGTCCGTGGTCGGAACTTGGAACGATAAGGTTGATTAATTACAGAAAAATAACTCTGATGAATGATGTAATTGTTTTTATAAGGCATACTTTAAGTAAAAAGAGGAACAAATTCCTCCCGGATTTGACGAGAGTTAAAAGAAAAGAAAACAACAAAAAGAATGTTTTCGAATTTTGGACTTAAGACGTCGCCATTTTGAATTTTACTTAACAGTCTGGGCCGAGTTGTTCAAAGCTGGGTTAAGATAACTTGGGGTTAGAGTGAAATTTGATTTCAGATCTGAAAGCTTGAAGAGCAAATTCAGTTTATTTCTTTTTGACTACAATTTGATGATTGAATGCTCTAAAAACAATGGGTAAAATTATTCCAAAACGGCTTTTGAACAGAGAAATATAGAAACCTGGACTAAAATTTAACCCTGGGTTAGCGCTAATCAGCCTTTGAACAACTGGGCCCTGGTTACTAACCACTGAGGTTACAAAAGTATATTTTGTTTTCAAAGGGAGATGTTAAAGAAATTAAGATACCCGCTGAAAGTCATTCTTGACGCAAATAATGAATTTATCGATTACCGGAGCAGCGGCTGTTTGTGAACTAGTTCTAGAAAGTCGTTCACATGCGGCCAGGTTACCAGGCTGTTTTCAAAACGGCGGTGGCCACCTTTGAATTTTTTGTGTATTTGAAAACAATTTTGCAACCATTAGGTTACTCTCTAAACTATCAAAGCGCGATAAGTGGTAAATTTATGTGGTTTATAGACATAATTCGTCATTAAACATCCTTTTTGCCCTACGGATTATTCTCATTTCTTAAAAGTAGTTTAAACGGTACTTCCCATTTTTAAGGTGATTTAAAGACAAAAACTTTAAAATAAAATGCCCTATCTTTGGCACCTGAGTATAATGTTCTTCCTTTGGTACAGGAATATGCGATAAGGATTCAAATGTCGTCTCTGGATCTGGATATGAAACTCGTCTTCTCCGAGGACCAAAGCGCTGAAGGCCATGGGAAGGATTTATCTAAACTGAGAGAGGTATTTTACAACGTGCTTAGTTTACGGTTTCCTGTGTTCATTTTGTTGACATCAAGTTTATAGCTGGAGATTCGTGATGGAAATTTCATAGCTCACCATCACCAAGCTCTTGGTAATTGTAATTGATATTAAACGTAAAACAATGAATGGCCCGGAAAGAGTGTATTTGGTACATCGATCCCTTGTGCAAGCTGACGGTAACGAAACGGTAAGTATTTGCCGTCCCAAAGGGTAGATTTTTTCAACAGCAACAAAAGCAACAACTTTATTTGTATCCAACAGTTACAGGCAAATTAAAGCAATTATAAACTATTCAGAAAGTGGAACGTTTTGAGTCTGGTAAATGTGGATAGCCTCTCGATAAGGTGCTTACTTCAACATACTCACAGTCTCTTAACGACGCCCAACACGTATCCTTGATTTGAGTCATATCTTAGACCTTTTAACGATGCCAACATCCCAGGATAGAAAAGATTGTATGAAATTCGATGGCAAAGGCTATAAAAAGCCCGTTAGCGCCACTATTTCCTAAGGTCTAAATGCGCATGCGTAAATCGTGACGTAGCCTCTTAAAGGTCCTTGGCCGTGTGAGGTTTTCAAGTGTACTGCAAGAGCGTATCATGATTATTTGTCTGTCAACTTCAAAGGAATAATAGAGAAAGAGAGGTAATCAAAATATACCAGCGCTTATTTAATAATCTATTGATATATTTTGGTTACTTTTACTTCTTTTCTTTCCCTCTTTATTTCTTGTTGTTTTTCTGTAGTTGCTGTTTTTTACGCTACGGTTTTTAGTAATGTAAGAATCAGACTAAGTAGCTTCCATTAGTAACGTAAAGTAGCGCAAAAAGAGTAATTAGTAATAAGTGATAAGCAAAACGACTTAACTGAAGTGTTGTATTGTAGATTGTATTAGTATTGTATTGTCTGCTTCGTAAGTATATTTTATGCATAATGATGATGCAAATAAAGATGGTAATGTAGCCGGTATCGGTTTTAAAATACAGGTGGGGGAAATTGCGAGTTACAGGTTACACTGGAGACAGTATTACTAAACGTTGCACAAATAAAACAATCAAGCTTTTTTTATCTAAGGCCTGCATGCCTTAAGCAGTCTACGGGTTTTGAGAAATGATACTCACTGCGGCAACCTTAAAAACTAGCTCTTCATCCTGTAAAAATGATTGCGAACCCCTACCCTTCCCCCCTACCCCCTCCCCGAGTTTCATGAAAAACAAATAGGTACCTTGAAACGCGGGTTAAAATATACTCGAGAGGTCTTTGACAGTTAAAACTCACTTGCCCCCCCCCCCCCCCCCTTTTTTTACTTTCAGATCCTTAATTGCAAGGAACTTCCAGAATATCCTCGGAACATGACTTGTTCAAAGTACAACGTCTACAAACGTAAAGCACCAGGACTGATCACACAGGCAATGATGATGATGAAAAACACATGGAGCTTTACGGTCACAAAACTGGCTCTAGCATGGGAAAAGAGTTCTGACGGAATTGGAACTATGGCTGGTTTAATGTGGAGAGGACTGAAAGGGTTATTGGGTTTGGTCGGTAAAATCTGGAATGGACTCTTAGGGTTGGTGGATCAAGTCTGTGAAATTTGGAGTGGACTGACAGGTTTGGTGGACTGGATTGTTTCTTGGATCACACGGTTGGCCAAAGGGATGTACAGCGGTAGTTTCTGGTTGGCTGAATCGATTTGGAACAATGTCGTATATTTGCCACATCTAATCTGGAATGGAACGGTGGGGATGGCGGAATGGGTAAAGGAAAAGATTACATGGTTGGCCGAGATCTCACAGAAAATTGCTTTATGGTCAGCTGGGAAAACATGGAGTGGATCTAGATGGTTAGCTGAGTGGACTTGGATGGAAGCAAAATGGTCTGCGGAATGGACCTGGAAAGTGATTGAAAGGAATTGTAAACCAATTGAACCTGTGCTTGAATACCTTTTGGAAACAATTGAAGTTGTCACTGAGTTTTACAATGAATATGTTCACGGTGAGTAGAAAGACCAATGAGAAATACCCCGAGCAGTACCCTCTGAGGGTATTTCGTGGGACTACCCCCTTGAAAATACACCTTGAAAATATTCCTCTGTGATAACGACCCAAGATATTATCTCACTTTTAGTTGTTTCATCGGTACGTTATGAAAATTACTCCGCGTCGATAACATTCATACTATATTTTTGGTTTTTTGTCATCAGAACATGTTATCAAGATTCAGAGCCACATCGTTTTCTCGACCTGGCGTGAAGCCGGTTATACGATCTCGACCGTCTTGGTTCTGAACTGTGTTGTGGTTACCGTTTACATGTTGATTTCGTGGCCTGTAAAGTCGATCTGGCGAAGATGGTAAGTAGAGAAATTCGAAACATTAAGAAAAACACTTAGCTAAGATATTAAGTCAATGGACGGTCCAAAGGTTTTCGCCTATCACTTAAATGAGCGCTTTTAAATCGACTTGTATTCACTTACTGATAGTCTGGCACTAACTTTCAAATGCTAACCTTTCATTTTTTTTTATAGATCCTTGAACGGTGTGTGCGATTGTGAATAAATATTTTGAGTTTGTTTAATGTTTTTGTTACTATTTTTCTTGACAGGCAAGCTTACAAAGAATGGAAGGCAGCCGAAGAAGCTTCCTGGAGATTACCTCCTAGACGTCAGCCACAACCAAATGAACGAGTCTGGGAAAACCCCAAAAAGAAAAAACTCCACAGAAATAAAAACGAATAAAAGACTCCAGACGTTTTTTCTTTTTTCATTGGTAACAAACTTTTTTATGAAAAATTTTGTGTGGAGACATGGTAATCCGTTTATTAAAATGCATTTATTGACTGTTGAGACAGCTTTAGCAGTTTTTAACCGTCAAACTTTTTCCTGCTTTGATTATGGATGGATGGATGGCTTTATTTAAAAATAAAAATAATGACGGAATTCTGTAATAGGCAAGAAGTAATCTTGCTTACTTTGTATTCCTCTATTCCAAGATTCCTGCTAAACTCATTGCTAATACTCCTTACTGTCTGTTATACAATTCTTATGATGTTAGATCAGATAATTTTGTTTTAGATCCAGTGTTATTGCCTTCCAGTTTGCGTGATCCGGGAAAACTACGAAAACAGGAAATCATCAATGTATATTCGTGGAGGTCTCGTTTTAATCTCTTATTGACATCATTATTTTTAATATCTTGAACAATGACACAGTTTGACGAATTAATCGGTGTGCTTAACTAGAATTCTTACACTTGATTAAGCGTCATAGCGAGTCTACCCTTCTTTAAATCTCTTCCGGCAGTAATTAATTAACGCTTTCTACAATCTGTTTACTTTACCACCTCTTTGAACTGAAAAGTAAGCCATGTTATCTTGATTTAGTAACTTTATGGAGCTAAATCATGATACATTATAATAAATACGAAATGACATCAAATTAGTTTTGGCAGAAAAAAAACACAATTACTCTATCTACAACAATATTTACCTCAACTTATTACATGTTTATTTGCTGCTAAATGTAGGCGTATAATCCGTTGATGGTACGCAAACATTGTGGCATTTTTCAGGTTATTAATGTTTACTTTAGACGTATTGCTGTAAAGTTTATAACAATTAACTTACAATATGTAATTTGAACGTTAATTTACCCCCAACAAAGTTTTTGACATCCAGTTTCTAGTTAAAGAACTAAAAGATTGGAATGTCGGTTTTTCAGCGTTTTCGATCGTAATTCTGTACTGAGAAATGCTATCACGTAAGATTGAACATAAAGGCCGTACTGTAGTTAAGACGGCTGTTCTTATTCCTTAAAAACTCACAAAAATGTTACTTTCCATTTCTTGCCTTCGTCTTAACTTGCCCTTGTTCTTCCTGCTTTCCTCAAGAACTCTGATGCCAGCGAACAGTCGATCGCCGAAACTACGGTGCGCCGGCCTCGCAGCACTGAGCATGTATATCACCGTATCCTGACGTCTTATTTTCTGTCTGCCCTAACAAAGCCATCTTTCAGTCCTCGATCAAAAACAGTGCATATTCCATATTTATTTAAGAGGGAAAAATCCTTCCTTTGGAAACTGGTACAGACGGTAACTTTCTCCTGGACTTAACATTTGTAACCTGTTCCTTGTGAACTTCTTGAAATTCGCGATCTGTCTTTTGTGCCGGCAAGTCTGCAATATAGCAAGGCTGTTCAGAGACACTTAGTGGCTTTGCCATCTGGTGTTCATCGCACTGATAAGAAGCCATCCGAAATCGACTCTCTTCTATGTCACGTAGATTTTGAAAAATCATGCCCAAAGCTTTTTCCATTTCCTTTTCATAATCAAAGGAAGAGCTGCTTTTCTTTCGTACTCGATCTTTTGCGTCCATAGTCTCAAAGTTCTGCATTAAGTTACGCACTGTTGAAGAAGCACCTGACCCTTATCTCTCACTAGTAACCAAAACTTGAATCCTAATTAACTCTTTATAACCTTTTGTCAGCAAGTGTCAACTTTAAAACTTCTGTTTGCCAGTCTTTGAATTCAGGCTAAATCAGTGAAAACAAAGTCTTTTCAAATATTGTAAAGCATTTAAGAACATGAATACTTCCCATAACTGAATATTTTCCATATCAAATTAACATGACAGTCACGATTAAGCCAGATTATGTTAACATCACGCCCACCAAACGCGCGCTACTCGATCGTGCGTGTATGCATGCGAACCATTGGAATGCATCAGTAAAACCATTCAGTTCTCGCTTAGCAAAGGACTGGAGTCTATATTGTTTTGTCTAGAAAAATAGTTAAAAAAGACATAGTAAATAACGCCGCGGGTTTCATTGTGTGACTGTAATGTTCGGCTACACTTAGATGATTTAGCACAACATTAACAGGTTTTCAGAGCCAAGTTTTCATTAACGTTCCCGGCATGACATCTTTGAAATGTCAAGTATGTCTTGAGTAAGTAACATTCCAAATTAAATTTGATTTCCGCTGGTGGAAGTGGAATGGGGGTTTCCATGGTGACTTAAGTTATATCGTTGGAGACGGGAGAGGCAGGAACTTGTAAGCAGACAAAACGACACAAAAAAACTCAGCAAATTGAAGAAATGAATGAAAGCGGGCCCCACTAGACAGCCGCATTCTTGCCAAGCACTTATGTAATTTCCTCTGAACTTGTGATTCGAGGTCAATTCCCATTTGGTCTTCCATGTCTCCAGCGCTCGAGGCCATCTTCAAAAAATCCATCAGGCTCTCATTTCTAACTCCTGGTGATGTTCCTATATTTTTTCTCGGATTGGCCGATATAATTAGCCTATCGTTATCCATCCACTTTACGACAATAGAGGGGACAGCGAATTCTTTCTGATGTGGTTCCTCAAGAGAATATGAACAGTTTATAATCTCTTAGGTCCACCCATCACAAATTTTCTGTTTACCTACAAAAGCAATATGTCATGTTCCCTTTATGCAATCAAATAGCTTTAAAAAATGAGGAGAAACTTCCCCTCACTATAAATGAGCAGAGGAATACTTTTGTCAAAAAAAAAAATTTGCAGGTTCATGATTTAATGTATTTATTCATGAGGGTATTTTTAGATGCCACTCGACTTTTCTGTGGCTTTTAAGTATTTCACGGTCCTCCAAATTGTTGCAAAGTAGGACGGCCTTAGCAGTTCAGTTCAGGTCACGTCCACTCGTATAGCATTGTTTAAACGAAGACGCTCCTTAAACCTGTATTTAACTGCATAAAAATCACAAGAAAAGGATTCCATCGGATTTCCTGATCTTCGTACATCTTCGGGTTTACGAATTGTGATACGGTTGGTAAACAGATCAATACGTTTAACTACGTGTTTCCGTGTCAGACAGTCGTGAAGCTACAAACACTCACGTCACAGCTTATCCGTTCAGTGTACGATGCCTCTAATAATTTTACATTTAAGCTTTTCTTGTGCAATTATACTAGGCAGTTGCGTAACTTCGGGCACGCGTTCAAGGAATCTGTAAGCGAAAAGCTATTTACATTGTACTTACCGCTTAGTTCAATGAATTCGTGTGGAGGTCAGAGAAACGTTGTGTCGTATGACAGATTAAATGCAATAGAACGTATTCCAAGAGCTAAAATACCATCAACATGATTAGTTTCAATCGGTGATCTGTTGTGGGCACTATTTCAAAACCTCATTCTTGGTTGTCAAGGTGGCTGTTAAAGCCGGTTCAAAAAAAAAAAAATTGAAAACCTTTTAACTTCGAAACAGATTTCCTCATCAGCTAGTTTGGAACAGTTAACGAGTTTTGCTTTCGCTTCCAATTCAGTCTGGGAACGAATGTTCGACTGTAAAAACCGTCCAGGGGTCTATTTACAGTTCTTTAGCGGACGTTGTACTTCCTGGAGAAAGTTTAGGCTCCATGTAGACCAATTTTATCTCGTTCATTCTTTACAGCAGAAGACTTATGAACTGTTGTAACTTGTGCCAGGCGAACTAGCTCCGTAAGTAGCGTTATTTGAAGTTTCCGTGCCGGCATTTCGTTCCTTTTTCACCTCTTCACACCTCTGTGGAACACGAACACGCCGAATTTCCTCTAACGCGCGTAAATTGCGAAAAATCGAGTTCAAACATTTCTCCATTTCTTTTTCGTAGTTCATTTTTTCATTATCCTGATTGCCAGCTTTGTTCCTTGCATTCATGGCCTTGTAAACTATCATGGCGTAGATTCAAAGTTTAAGGTGAGCCAACTTTCCTCAAGCTGTTATGATCCGCATTCACTTTTTATATCAACCCTGTCAGTTTTTAGGCTTAAGCTTTCACCTCGGTCCATTAGTTACAAATTAATGTCCTTCAAACTCTACAAAACGTGAAGTGTAATTAACGTCTATACGGCGCTGTGTAATGGTGCGAAATTCTTGATGCACGCCATTGCAAGCCTCTCTCTTCCCAGTTAAAAAAGTCGATGCCGTTGTCTTTCTGTAAAAAATTAATAAAGCTACTATCAATAAGCAAAGAGTTTGTCAAGATGAACATTCAAATACTGACATATGTCTTGAAATGATTTCGAAATTTAAGAACGTGATAACTTCAATAATCTCAGCTTATGCATGTTAAGAGTTCAACTGTTAGATGAACTCTAAATGAGAGTATGGAACCGAATACACCTATCAGAAACGATAACAAAACATTCTTCATCCTCCACAATATTTTCGGGCGCAAATCTCGCGCTCGTCGCGCGGACGTTCGGAGTTTGAGCAATTTGAAACTTCTAAGTAGCTACTTGCTAATAAGTAAAGATTCATTCCCGGCGGGTTGTAAACCCACCTCTTGAACGCGTTCATGGCTTGAACCGCACCCATATGGGTGTCATAAATAATCACTTGCAACACAATATTTTCGTTTAAGGGTTTCTAGAAAGAGCAGGATCGTAATTAAATGTTGATATAACTTTCCATTTCCTTTTTCAATTAAGATGTTGTATTCTTTTGCATGGTAGACTGATTCAAAGTTGCTGCCTAAAATGCACGTCCTGACTTCTTATAACATCAGTCCATTTATCAGAATGAACGGTTATCGGACAATAATTGAGACCAGAAAACGTGTTCAACTCTACAAGCGACTCGATATTTCGCGTTATCGTTCTAAAAAATAACGTTTGTGCCCATTGATCGCCATTCGATTAGTTATCATCCGTATCAAGTTAATTTTTCGGCGTTGTTTTTGCGTGATAGCTCTATGGCTTACAAGTGATATCAATCACTTTACCTGACAGGCCATCAAGCAGGGATTTATATAACTGTTTCCATGCACGGCTGTCGACGATGGTGTGATAGGCGGTAAAGACAAAGCTAAGCGCGGGAGCCTTTCCACAGGCTAAACAGAGGGCAGTAAGAGGTCTTATATGCGGAGGTAACCGGTCAAGTCAGTCAAGTCTTAAATGACCCACGTATAGTCGAGCTTTTGTGCTTCCGAAAAAATATTTGCATATCTTTTTAAAGTCTGTTTGTTATTCCTCCCACTTTGGTTTTTTTTTCTCTTGTCAAGCTGATATTTTTGAGAAGTCCGGCCGAACTTTGTAGGGGATTAAACTTCATCGTCAAAAACTACATAATGTTGTTGCTACATAATGTTGTTACATACTCCTTCACAAGCGAACCCAAAATAAATGTTGTCAGTGCATGTGTGGTAGCCAAGGCAACAGGCGGAATATTCTGCAGACAAAATGGCTACATTTTATTTTAGGGAGGTGAAGTAGGGACTGTTGTCTTCTTGGTTGTATAGGAACAAAAGCCGTTCTAGGGAGAAGCAAAATAGTGGAATTGTAGGGTTCATAGCCATGCATAGATAGTAAAAACACTGAACCATGCACGAGAAGATTCTGATGCGGTACGTACTCGACAAAATGATGTTTAATTGGTTTTTAAGTGTACTTGTCATATAGTGTTTCTGCACGGATTCAAATGCTCTAACAATCTAATTAGCTGAGTGTGTTTTAATTAGAAGATCAGAAACTTTTCCATGTTAAATAAGTTGTATTAATAAACTCACTGCTTGTGCCTGAGGCAGTTTTTCTAGAAGACGAACGAATTCAAATTTAAGAAGGCGTGAAATAAAGACATGCATCTGAAACGTCTAAATGCCACAAGCCATGACTTGATAAATGCTCGAAGTGGAATTCGATTGGCTGTGAATATTGTCGGCATAAAGAATAAATTAAGCTAGAGATCAGTTTTACAAGCCAAACCATTTCAAAGTTTTCAAGCGTGAAGCTGGCTGCTTTGAAATACACCTGCAGTGACAGATTACAGTTCTCTCGACAAGATTTTCGCTCAGTTTTCGATTACATCGTCATGAACAAAGACAAGGCCAAGAAAGAGACACAAATCAACTCCAGCGATGGGACAAGTTTTGAAAAGGCCATGAGCGATGCATTCAGTGAAATATTTCAGAATCTCAAGGAGATCAAAGCAGACACTAAAAAACAGCGAGAGAAAATAATTGATCTCGAGAGAAGGAGAGGTAGTGCCCCTGCCGCTTTGATGAGACGATCGTCGGAATCTTTACAAGAACCAAAGAAACAAGTTGAATTTGACAGGTCATTGTCTTCACCTTTTCACGACTGAGTCAGCTTTTCAAAGGGTTTCCGTGATGAATCGGAAGGACAGGGCGGATTTTAAAATGGACCACTGCCGCCATTGAATCTAGACCATCGACTCGTACAAACCCTGGAACTGCAAGGATAGTTGGAGGTTTCAGAGCTCATCTTTATAGAGGGCGTAGATCTTTGGCGAGATATCTTCTGCTAGAATAACGCTAAGTTTTCAATGATGTAAAGTAAAGTTTGGCTTACCTCACTCAAAGTTAACCCACCGGCGAAATTTTAGCTTACGGCTATGGAAGACTGATAAACAACCTTGAATCATGATATAAATAGCTTTAAATTATTTCGCCCTTGCTAGATTCATTTGTCGTTCTAGTATTGAAACATCCTATCGTAACATTTTCGTAAGTTTTTCTCCAATTTGATGACGGGCAGTTTTTTGCTTAAATGGGGTAAGTTTCTATAGAAAGTGTGGTGCGGCGTTGGTAGGGTGATTACATCATAATTTAGTTTCATCGACTGAGTTGAAAATATAAATTGACCACCGTTAGGAGTTCAAGCAGACGTTTCGGGTTTTAGCCTTTCGTCAGAGCGAAGGACGTAGCTCTATATATGAGATCATTATTTTTTCATCTGAGACAAGAAATTTCCAGTTACTTTTGACGAAGAACTTTAGTGAAACTGTGAGGATTGCTTTACTCCGAAAGTCAGAGAGTTTTTTTCTTCAATAAGGCGTTAGGAGGTTTTGCTAAAACGAATATCTAGTTACTTTTGATGAAGAGCTTTGATGAAACTGTGAGGAGTGCACTGCTCTGTATAGAAGAAAATTCGTTTCTTTCATCAAGTGTCAATATTGTTATGATTATCGAGCGTACAAGATTGAAGGAAAAACTACAAAGTGAAACCTACGGCACAAATTCAACTAGATTTAACTTTCGTAGGCAGGTGAAGAGGTAGATATGGTTATATATGGATATATATTTGTGAACGCTCTAGTCAGAATATACCGAGAAATCTGAACAATTTCTGTGAACAAGATATAAAACTTGTAACATATGAAAATGTTATTGGAAATCGAAGAAAACGTAAAAAACTATGTGCAATAACAGATAAATTGGTGTTCGTGCTGATGTATGTAAAGTAGAGGAAGTTAATTTTTTTTTTTAGAAAATGAAAAAATATTATTACTGACTAGACAAAGGTGGTGGGTTTGTTGTTTACTTCTTGGGGGGCAATGAGGCATAGAACAGGCCAAGCGCTAAAAAAAAGTTGATAAATTTAGAAACATTCATCATATTGTATCGGCTTGAATTCCTCTTCGCTAGGTTTTTTGTGTAGCTTGTCTGGCGACTGACGTTGATCACTTCGTTTCTTTTAAATGAAGTAATAAACTGCCCGCGGGCTGAGCTATGATTCTCGACATCAATTGCCTTATAACTGTCATCAAGGATGTTTATTTTTAGACTCGTGTGCACGATTTCTCTTTACAAGGAGCTGGAGCTAGCTGGGATGGGTTGTGGAGCACAAATTGCTGAACAAATCTGTCACAGATTCGAGAATTTTGAAGTCTGCTTGTAATATAAAGAACATTAATCAAACCACCAGTTAGGCGAACTAAGTAATGGTTGCGGTAACGTATGCAGAAGAAAGGTCGCACCACAGTAAGGTCAGACGTAAGCGAGTCGGCACAATACATGTCGGTAATAAATTCCGGCGTGGGCTGCTCGAATATGTTATGAGTGTACCGCCGGATCTTCAACTTTGAAGCCCGTTTTAGAGAGAATTTGAGATCAAAATGATCCCTCGTGCAAAATATGAGTCTAGAGACTTAGTCCATTTCAAGAGTGTTATTAAATGAATAGGTACAAGACAATGAAGTACAATACAGTTCTTTCTGAGTAGGGGTTAAAAGCGCCCCCCTGCCCCCTTACTTAGTGGGGGCCTAGTATATTTTTTCAAGCAAAAAGGAAAGACAAGTTTTTTTTGGGGGGAAGGGAAAAAGCGCCCCTCCCCCCTCCTTTTCAGAAGCAAGTAAAGTAAAGGTTATGACATTTTCAAAAGTAGTTTATTCTTTTATCGAAAATGAGCATAAGTGGTGTTATGATTGACAAAGCGTGGATGACGAAGGACTGAAGAAAAATTGCATGTATTTGAAGTTTTATAGGCATAAAAATAGAACTGAGATTTTTTTAGGACTTATCCTGGATAAATTTGTATAGAATGCCAAATTACCCGTTATAGCACTTTGGGATCAGCTGGTCAGTCTCCAGCTACGTGTCAGGGCATCGGACTTTTTACACCCCATTGTTCACCACTTTCACGTAAAGTAAGAACATTTAGTCGATCAAAAGCAAAGAAGAGGCTTCAAATTGTTCTTCATATCAATGAAGTTATTCTTGCTCTTACGATCACCAAACTATACATGGTCCGCGATGCGAACAGCTTTCCTGAGAGCCTGTTACACAGGCTCTCACTGAGTAAAGACGAGCGAAAAATGGCAAGTTAGCCGGCGCAATGGAATCGTTCTTTAACTGTTGAAAATAGCATATGCTTAAGTTTATTCCTTTCGAGTATTTTTTTTGTTTGCGAGCATAAGCGAGCCGGCACCACTATTCTTGACGAAAGCGGATGAAAGATCGAAAGAATGCGCACTTGGTTGCTCTTTTCAATTCCTACAGGGATCTCAACGTCTGTGGCGACATCGATGTGGGCTTGTCTCCGCTCACCAATGAAATCGTGCACACAATCATTTCTCTACCGTGACCAGTCGTCACACCCTATTTTCACTGACGCTGAATCACATGGTTCACTCTACTCTCCTGTCGGCAATCCTAGTCGTATAAAATTCACAATTCATCAACTCCTAGTCTAAAATTGAATGCAATTCAAGAGGTCTGGCATATTTTTTTCCTTCTCAAAATTTTTTCTCGAGTCCTGTTCTTAAAATTCTGCACAAAAACTTGGCAAAAGGTCAAAATACCGAAGAGAAAGCTCAGTGAAGTTATTTTGATCGAAGGTTTTTTTCCCTCGTGACGATTCTCGTGATCGACGAGTCTCGACGTCCTCTTCTTCAGCTATTTGAATCCACTCAGCTCAACTTTTTTTTTATGCAACGATTGCATCATTGTTGTAATTTGCCTTGAAGTAATCGAAAAGGGAAGTAGTGTTTCATGAAAAAGATCACAGCGTGATGTCGATTTGCGCTTGAAAATAACATACTACAACCGTCAAATAAGTCCGCCGTATGAATAACGTGACTAATGTCGAAATTGCGTGATTACAGCTTGTTTATCGCGTGAAGTGCACTCCGTATGTAGGTCACGTGGGTAGCAAAGTGAGTCATATATAGTACGGCGTGCAACTACAATCATCGTTGTAAAAATTTTAAGAAGCTCGAGAGTCACAATCTGTAGTGGAAGGAGCAGCGGATAAATTCAGTGGAAAGGTAAGGCATCGTTGTATTTTCATAATGCCAGTTTCTGACCCTATCACTGAATCAACTGGTATTTCGGTCGCTTAGGTAAAGTAAGACATTTGTCATTTTTAGGTGCGCGCCAATTTAAGGGGTCGTTGTTCATATGGTTTTAAAGTTTCAACGAATTTTTTCTTTAATTGTAAACAAGGTTAGCCGTTTTAAATTTAATTCACTAATCTTATCTATAGCCGAGCAATACCTACCTAAGTTCAGGAACGGAAAAAAGGCTATTGGAGAGGAGGCAATGTATCAAGATGGAATCTCATTGTGTGTGACAGAAACAGACCTAAATAATAATTTTGAAATACGAGAAAAAATGGAATTCGAGCGGCGAAGAAGAGTTAGTGCACCAGCCAAACCGTACGGAGGTTCAGAAAAGCTGGAAAACAAATTGAAACATGGGTTTTATGGAGGCGGAAAAAAGCTATCACAGTCAGCTTTGTTAATCTCGCCATCATGGCAGAGTTTTGATAGAGAGGATGTCGGCGGTGACCCGCTTGACACGAGTTGGGACTACATTGAAGAAATGATGAAGGACAACAAAAAAGCAGAGACAATTAAGCTTTTGAAAACACAACAAGTCAGAGGTTCCGTTAAAGCACTCAGTCCAAGAACTACAGCAGAAACGACGACAACTTTGAAGCAACTAAAAAAGGAGATTTCCAGGAAGTTTTCTCGCGCACGTTCAGACTCAAAATACTCGTTGATACCTTGGATGGATTGTAGTGACTGGGAGGAGTCTTCGGGAGATTTCATTCCGGTTGAATTCAATCTAGGCTTCTTGGATGACTATATGTAAGGGTAACATGAAAATTAATTATAAACTCGTTGCTGTTGTTTATGATTCAAAATGCCCATGAAGGACTGCAGCCAGATCGGTGTAGAGTCCTTCTTGGCCATGACGAGGTCGTGCTCCAGTTTTTTTTAAGGCAGGACATATTATACTTTTCGTGCGCGCCGATTGCCCAGTTCTCAGGAATACATTGGTAAGCAATATTCACTTCCGAGGAACCGCACAGACAGAATTGCGCGTCAAGAATTTAATTTGCGACAATTTTTCGGTATGTTGACAGAAATAATCCAATTCTGTGGTTTCTGTCTGCTGGACCCTCCCAAGCAGTTAATAAGTACATGATTCCACTGCCAGCGTTCAGGTCCTTTTTAAAAATTGAATTTATATTTAATGAGTAACATTTAATAAGGTACTGAGCTGGGTAGTTACATTTAATTCAGACACGTTTAATTCAGACACATTTCGCAGAGAACAAAATAGTATTATTAGTTACACTGTAACACTTTTGCAGCATGTGACGAAATCACGCGACTCTTGCTTCGTCCATTATGAATCATTTTTACTCGTGTCACGTGACAAGCGAATAGAGTTGTTTTCATAGCAAAAATTTGTTTACGGCAAGGTTTTCAGTATGCTAATTTTTCAGTGTTTGGTACACTTATTTGGTCGACTTGAGTTGTCATGTTAGATTCACGCTGCATTGCAATTCCAAAACATAAGAGTTCCCTGAGTCACAAAATTTCGAAAAGCCGCAAAGAGGATATCAAGATTATTTACTGTTTTAGTACAGATTATTTGTAACTTAGCGCTCATATGAAGTGACTTAAAGGTTTGAGAGAAGGCAAAAATGAAATGTCATTTTAACATTACACCCGCACCACTGGGGGTTAAATGGGAATGAAAAACCTGTCAGACTAGTTTGGAGGGGTACTTTAAAATATTGCTGATGTTTTCATGCTTTTGTATTTGTTTGTGTACAATATCTGAAATAGAAAATGAACACAATGATCCTCGATCGAGAGTCATCGGCTTTGAGTTTTATGATGTTAATGTTATTTAAACTGCATTATTGATTAATTCAATAAAAGTCTAGTAAATAATTCCTAAAGCGCTTGTTGATTAATATTTGCATCATAAACTTTCAGAGAATTGAATCAATCGATATTCGATTTACCGCCCACTTAAGTCAGATAGCTTTCATCGAAAACTTTGGTCGCGTGGCAAGCACTCTTGGGGGAGGGCAGGGGTTGATAGTCTTCAGGCGTATGATGAACAACCAACGACTCACGCGACTACACGTATAGCGTGAGTCATCCTCGACGAACACACGTATCTAATCGCATCTTTTTTTTCCACCTCTACCGCGCGTCTTTTAAAACAAACGGGCTTTTTGAAAAGAAAGTTACATAACTGCTCATACTGATAAGTTATTCTGCATTAAAAATTATCTTATTTGCAATAAGTGTCATTAATATATAGTCGCTACACACTCCGGTAAGAATGACGAAAGCGTGATTCGCAAAAAAAAAAAAATTGAAACCAGCGAAATTTTAAGAAGACGAAAATTTTCCATCTTATCATATCATTGTCAACATTTAGTGTATGACGGAAGAGATTATGTTCTTTACGGAACGAAAAAAAGACAGCGGGATGAATTTTGATATTTATCTGAGCACTATCAGTCGAAAGGATCGATCACGCGACACCCGGTCAGGTGGACGATATTTGGCGTATGAGGGGCCTAAACAGATCATTAAATGCCGTAATTACATGAAAACATTGATATTTTAGGCACGAGAAAAACAAACGTATCATTAATCAAACTACAAAGTTCATACATATCGTTAAAATACGACAGTTTCCTCAACTATCTCCAATCGGGTGGTCCGTTTAGCTAAGACGGTTTCGTGGTTAGAAATATTCCATTTGGGTTTTTTCTTTTTTCAAGTATTCCTTGAGATGAGGCCCGAAAAAGGTTCAGAGAGGATGCGCAAAAATGGGGGGAGTTTTGAAGTACTCATGAAAGAAGCGTTTAGTGAAATTTCAGAAAATCTAAAGGAAATCGAAGAGGAAGGTGTGAAGCAAAAGCAGAAAGTTGATATTCAGCGAAGGAGAAGAATCAGTGCACCGGTCACATCGTTTGGAAGACTAGACGCTTCGGAAAAAGATGTGGAACTCATTTTCCCTAAACGGAAGAACACTCAACCATCTTTGGTCATCGCTTGGCCCGAGTTGCAAAGCGTGGAAGAAGAAAGCGAGGAGGGTGAAGACAATGAAGTTTTAAAAGAAGAAATAATCGCGGAAATTTATAAAAAGGAGCAAAACCTGAATGAAAATCTCCCAAGAAGACGCCGGGTCAGCGCTCCAGCCAAAACATTCACAGAAACCGCAGACATGTCAACTTTTAAGCAACTCAGGAAAGACATTGGAAGAAGATTGTCAAGGACGAGATCTGATCCAATTTTTTCGACCCTGCCCTGGTTGGACTGGATTGATGAAGAACCGGAGCCGGATTTTGAACCAGTTGAGTTTAATTTAGACTTCCTTGAGGAGTTGATCAAGGGGTAATTGAAACTTCTTCAGCGCAAGGAAGGTGATTTGTAACACCGCTTTCATTGATCGATTACGTAAGATAAAGATCATTTGTACGTACGTGGCAAAAAAATAATAATAAATTGGAACAGTGGTCGAGTGGATGAGAGACATTTGGATTTTTTAAATTTCTTTTTGGTAAATTTACTACTACCACCTCAGATGTTGTCCACGAGTGTAATACACTGAATAAATCATAATGTACGAGCGTCGGTTACGTCTGCAAAATTTTCGGTGTATTATACATTAGCCAATATTTTGACTTAGTATAATAAAATCCTTTTGGAAGGCCAAAGTGACAATCCAAGCTGGAAGTTCCGACTCGTTTTACAAAACTGATATTAATTCTTAGTAGAGCATCGAAACAATTTTTCTGTAGGGTTCAAATTCTAGTCGGTTGTTGTATTATGAGCGCAAATCTGTTAAAGAACTTGCTAGGATCAAATATTCTTTACTTTAACAGTGACGTCATATGCACGGATTACGTGGGTTTAATTTTCCTCGTACCGTAGTCGTTAAATTTACGACCGAATGGTACAGTAGACATCAAACTCTGATCGCCAATATTGGCTGGTTGAATAAAACTTATTATCTTTGATATTGAAAGAGTTGGCCGGGAACAATATCAAGAGGTTTTTTTCTCAGTTAAATCGCATGTAGGATTAAACTCACAATATCAAAAACAATAACTTATGATTAACTTTGGGAAAAATAAGTCTACGTTTAAGTCACGGCAATGCCTTTTTCATTTAGTAGTACCTAATAAAATCAATGGAAATGAGTCACAGAATTTTGTAATACTGCATCGTTTGTTTGTTTGTTTGTTTTCTGTTATAAGGAGATCATTTGGAAATGATCGCTTGAGGCCCTTGAGAGATTAGTCCACTGCATAAATCTCTATCCGGTGGAGAGCGCAGTACGTTTTGTTAATAATCACCCGCTTGATAGTGATTTATCTTTTGAATAGCGTTATCTGCCATTTGAACAATTAGTCCTAAGATGAACTGTCTTAATCTGTGCCTAACTTTGGTCCGGCAATGTTCTTCGTGAAGAGATTTAAGATCACTTTTTCGTTTTGTTTGCTTTTTTTCTGTTGATTTTCTGCAACGCATCTAACGAACAGTGACGAGGCTTCGAATCGTCAACAACTTAACTCTGGTTTTGTATATTTTTACCTCCTAAACATTCTTCTCTTTCCTTTAATTAACTGGTTGATCCCTAAAAGTGACCAGCATCCAATTTCTCTTTACGATATCACCCCCGAATTGCACATGAAGGACACAAGAATACAGGGAATGATCACCACCTAAAGAAGCTCTTGATTGTCAAACAAATTCTCCTTGTCAGCACCCAAGGAAATGTTTGGAGAACAGTATGGAGAATGTGTATACCGACACTAAGGTGTCAAGGGTTGACAATGAAGGAATTCTCGGTTTTGAATCTTGAAATCTCTAACGTAGTTTGATACATTTCAAGTTTGCCATCTACATTCTCTCTATTAATCTTCACCGTCTTAAATCACACTTGTTCGGTCTTTTTCGGTCCAATCTCTAAAGACACCGGATATTCCAATGTTTTATCACACTCAAGTCATTTCACTTTCACGCTCAGAATGACTCAGACTATCATTTCATGACGTAAACTTCGTTTAAGGCTGTCATGACAACAAATGATCATTAATTACTACTAACAATAAAATTTGAACAAAAATAATTCTAGACCCAGCTCTCTAACGGCTATATTTTAATATATGCTGGACTGGACCTAAGGATGAATGGTTCGCCGGATTGACAGACAATAAATCTCCAACAATAAATTACTGCCAGGCATTTATGACAACGTCAAACAGCTGTAATGAACTCTTATTTTACAACTTTTTAATCCACAAATCAGTTATGCAAGGAACCAAATAAAATTCTTTGTTCACAGGTACCGCAGATATTTTCAGCCGAAAAGAGAAAATAGCTTTAGCGGACGGCAAGAAGTATAGTTTTCCATGTGCTGGTGCGGTCTTACACGTCAACCTTGACTTCCTTAATATATTAAGAATTTTAGCAACAAGAATTCCTCCTAAAACGATAGCCTGAAATTCTTTTCTTGAATCTTAACTAGCGTTTGTTTACAATTTGTGACGTTCTGCATTAGAACGCACATTGCAGAACAAAGCAAAACCGTTAATTCAATTTGCAATAGCTTCTTTATAGTCGGCACTGGAAAGGATTTGATTGCCATGGACTACTTTTCTATGATTGGCCATTTATCACAGATACCTGAAAAACACTCTCGTTGCTAAACAACTATACGCTTCAAAAATTAATCTTCCCTTGAAATCACTGTTTTCAGTTGACTTTACAGGAGACATAAGACGGAAGTTGACTTTAGATGAAGAAGACTCAGGAGTGCTCCGTCTTTGACGTGTAGACAACCAACAGAGGTTTCCAGGCAATAGAATGAGGAATTTGGAAGGAGAAAATTTTCTAAGCCAGATGGCATGGAGCCAACTTTACCGGCTATGAACTGTTTTTAATAACAATATTGTTACGAGAAGGAGGACTTAGAACCGGTTAGCTTAAGTCTGCATTATTCGAAGATGTAGGAGAGTGGAAACTGAAAGCTTGAAAGCCCTAGAAATCTCGGGGAGCTGGTGTTTACAAAGGAGAACAATCCAATGATTGATGAGATCTTTAGAAGTCACCAAAGACTTATCCGGGTATGAAATCCACAAAAGTTGTTCTTAGTTAAATTGCTTCAAATAACACCTTCCTTTTTAAGCAGGATTGTTTACAGTTGTAAATACACTTTGTGAGAGACATTCTGCACTTTTGCTTCGGAACAGTTTCCTTCAGTTGCAATTTCAACGCTGTAGATGCTGCTCTTATATAAACTTATTCATCCCCTGCACTGTTATAACAAATGGTGTTTCATTGAGTGTTGGAGCAGCGCCTCACGGTGAGTGTGACAGGCAAGCTGCGGGCAGTTTTTGAGTGTTTAAGAGTCGAGTATTTTGAACTGAATTCATACAGACGATCATGCAGTATGTGAAGAATGTAATAGACACTTCAGATTTGTACGTAATTTATAAAAAAAAATCTTGAATAAATCTTATGTTAAATTATTTATCTGATCGTGTCACTCACACTGTAATAGCGTTGGTTAACGAAGTAGTGGAAACAAAGTCACAAAAAACTTAATTAACTGCTTCGGATATGCATCATTCTTGTTTAAATTTCTTTGCAGCGACGTTTCCTTGATGTCTCAACAATTGGACCCCACTGTAAAGTGACTCAACTTGAAGTGAATAAGGCTCTCAGTGAAACCAAATGATCAAAGAAGTGAGATTGGTCAGAGAAGTTTAGCTTGTATCATATTAGAATATTCGTTTGCCGTGAACCATCCAAGCGTAGTATCTTTGATAATATAGAGATGTCAATAATTGTATTGTAATTGTGAGATTTTGTGTTTTAAGCTCCATTTTCATGTTTTTATGTGGTAAACGAGTCTTTACAGGACCTCTTAACGTTTCAATTACTTGAATCGACTTTGTAAGAGTCTCTTTTCTCAGTGAATTCCAATTTGATAGATGGCCGCGCTCTAAGAATGTTATTTACCAGATAGGCATAAACAAAACTCATGTATCTCCTAAATATTAATCACAAAAGTTGCTCCACCTTTTAGCGTCAACATGCCGAGCAAATTGCCTGCCCGTACTTTTTTATGACAAGATAAATTCAAGGAAATTGGGAGAATGCACTTCGATCTTCTCTAGTCCAAAAGCATCTTTGTTCAAAGTATTTTCATTTGATGCGCACAAATAGTTCGCTTTTTTCAATTCAGTTATACAATTCAGTTATAGTTGGCTAGCCAGCGGACTGCCGCACCACGACAAAACAGCCAGGGAATAGACGAAATAAACCGCTGGAACCTGAGACTAGATTATTCTGTGGTCAACCACTTAATTTCTTTCTCTTCCATATTTCTGTTACAAACTCGCAAAGCTACTTTCTGTTTGGAACGCTTTCCTCTCTGGAGTTTTTGTCCACTGGCTGTTCGATGGCTATTGAATTACGCGAAACAATCTTGAGGTAGGTATAGCCTTACCGAACCTTAAGTCGTAGCCCTAGGTTTTCTTCAAATTTACATACCTTTTGGGATATCTTAGGTTATTTTAAATGTTCTTCTCGATCTACCGTTGGACGAGAAAAGGTTTGCAAATATACTCATTTTAAAAATATTTACGAAGCTTTTCGTAACTCTGCGACAGCAAGAATCGAGGCTAAGCTCAAAACTCTGACGTTCATTCGAACCCACTGACCAGTAAAATCGCGTATTCGTGTGGTTTCTCCGAGCATAGCGTCTTGAGAGTTTTCAATACACTCCTTCAAATATTTAATTTCTTTAGCTCTTTGTAGTCTGGTGCCTTTTTCAATTACTTTGATGTTCCTACATACTAATGGAAACAGGTTAGAAAAAAACTAAATACGAGATTAATTCCCGGCAGAAAATATCATATAAATGTTATTTAAAAGTTATAGCAAACTCAAACAACTAATCTACAATTTGGTTAAAACTTACTGAACAAGTGAAAACTACTTTCTCAACTGTAGGAGATGATCAGTGCATTCCTCTACATCTTGCTGAGTATGATAGGCTTATGGTAATAAGCGCTTTTCTTCAACTCACACTTTAAAATCTATAGGCAACAAGTAAGTTATTAAAATGACATACACAGAAACTTCCGATTGGCGGCCATTTTGTCTTTTAACAATGTTCAGCAAGATACATCAAAATCTATGAGGCAGTGAATGGTCACAGAAATTTCAAACAAAGAAAAATTCAATGAAAAAAAAAAACAATGAAAAAAAGGGAGACCACCGAATATGAACAAAAGTTTTATAGAAATTCAGTGTTTCTAGACGATTTGCGATAAATCCTTCAGCGATGGAAAAAGCCGAAGTTGTTTTAGTCATACCTGAAGTTCTCTGAAGGACAATGAAAGAGGTTTTTGTATTACATATCTAATTACTTTGAAGATTACTGGTTCTTTTGATGATAAAGGTTTATCATCCATTCAAAGAGCCGGTCTCAATGCGTTTAACCGTTAACTACCAAATGGCTAAAATTTTCAGATGTTAGGCGTAAAATTGACAAAATTTTACCTTTAGCCGTAGAAAATGTTATCAGCAAACATTTTTTCATATCTGACGATGTGTCATTTTAAAAATGTCATAAGCTTTGACTTTGATGCGTCTTTTCTTATGGCTTATGCCGTTACGATGATTATATCCTAATACCGAAAACAAAGACATTTGCGTCAGGTCCCACCTTGCGGGGGAGGGTACGGCTAATCGTTGGCTTTAGTCCCACAGAGTCATATTCCGCGAACCGGAACTGTCAAAATTTTCAACCGTTAACCGTTCAAGCCGACTCTTGAGATCCTCTAGAAATAATTTCACGTAAGATAAAGCTAAGATAACGAACATTCCTTTCAGCGAACTTATGGAATCTTAAGGAGCTTTTTTTAACAAGTAAGGTATTTTTGACACGGGAAGCGCAGTTGATATCATATCCTGCAGATATAAGGACGTTTCATTTCTGGGGAAATTGCGGTAAGACTACTTAGAGAGGAATATCAAAGCACATATGCTTTACTCTTTTTGCAATTCCTGCTCATATTATATTATCCAACGACTCTTTTCTTCGCAAACATCAGCTGTGTAAAAATTTTCTTTCCAATTCATCGTGATGTTGACACAACTTATTACCACAAAATCACGTGTTTATGGTTCATTACACGCAGTCACGTGCTTCTGGCCTATTGACCCAGATTAGATATCAGTTGATAAGTCAGTCGGAAAACAAAAGTGGGTGACCCCTTAACATTACTGAATAGGTCATAAATTTCTTTTCGCGATAGATAGACGAAATATCAGTGTTAAGAACGAAGGATTTTCCCTGTTGTAAGGAAAAGAATCTCTATCTGTCGAACAGATAGGGGTAGATACTGAAGTGAAAAAAAACTACAGTTGAAGTGTGATACAAAGATATTGAATAGCGCAGAATTTCCGAGTTGTTATTGATGAACTTTTACTGATGAAAAATATAGACTGTCCGAAGCTAAGCTGTAATTAAGCGCTCTATAGCGATTCGTTTGGCAAAAGCAGTGATGCGTTCCAAAGATATACGAAATTTATAAATGAAAGAGTCGAGAAATTTCGGAAATGGCCCTTGATTTATTTAATTGCCGGAATATTTGCTAACGCGATGCACGACAAGGTTAACCTCATATGTCATCTTCGTTAACAAGACTTTTAATTAACCGGCTTGGGTGGTTCAATAATTTTTAATTGTTTTCTGATGAGTGGGAACGAAATTCCTGGACAACCCTAACCGCATCATTCGAAAATGATCAATGTATTTCCAATTTCTGCTCACATTTGCTTTCCAAGAGCAATCATCATAGATCCAGAGTGATATTTCAATATTCAGAACATAGACTCCAATAACATTGCATGTGGTTAACAGAAGTTAATTGAAATTCGTTCGCTCAATTAGCCTTCTTTTTGCCTTTATCTAACTCTTTTGAGAAACACAGAGTTCACCTTGAGTCAAAAAATATAGTTTCGTGATTTTTCTTTACTATTAAATATTTAATTTCTTTTGAATCAAATAAATGACTTTGTTCTATTTGTATACATTCAGTATATTGTTCCAACGTCTCTAATTGCTTGCGAAATACAAGATAAACACTGCCCTCGGGGTAAGTCGGTAAAAACAGTACGTGAGTATGACTGTATACAGCCTGTGTTGTTTGCTCAAATTCATCCATTTTCATAGAAAACCTTAAATGAAACTTAAAGATGGTTTTTTCGTTTTACAAGATCGAAAGCTCAAAATTCTTTCTATATACTCACTGAAGTTCTAATACCATTTTAGAGTTATGTAAATCACTTGGTTTTAATTCCTATTATCCGGGACGAACGACTTTGTCTGCTGTTCATTACGTTTTCATAATCCTTGGATATAAAAATGAATTGTGCATGACACGCTATATTCATAGTGTTGTGATCAAACAACATAGTTCCAAATTTGTTTGCCACAATTCTTCTCCTTCAAAAAACTTTCTGTCAGTAGTTATCCAGAAAACTAAAACTTGAATCTATCACGTCAATCTCCTCTTCCTCACAGCATTGCATAACCCAGTGCATTGTTGACAAAGCTGAAACTGCTGGAAGTGTGTAAGATTTTTGCTCGCCAGATTTTGTTCTATCAAGTTGTTTCTGTGGTTGTTTCAATTGATTCGTCTTGGTTCCAAAGTTTTCCTTCAGCGTTGAAGCCGGCGCGCTGTTTCGTCTCTGCAGCTGTTCTGTTTTTAATCTTCGTATTTTGGCGTCCTCTTCCAAGCCTTTTAGATTTTCAAAGATTTCGCTGAAAGCTTGATTCATGGCACTGTCGAAATCCGTTCGCTTCTCAAGTTCACACTTTTGTCCTTTCACGTTCTTCATTGCAACAATGTGCGTAAACTTAAATCTCTGAAGAAGTTTCGACGTCTTCGAGGTTTAACTTTCACTGGCTTGTTGAACTGAGTGATAAAAGTTTTAAGTCAACGTGCCCCCTTAAGGCGTAATATTGTTGACGTAGCCAATCACGTGATTCGTTCCACGAGCACGAACTTCACGGTATATTGGTTAACAAATTGACTCAACGTGCCGCAAAAGGACAATTTCATTTCCGCGCGTGAGCACAGGGCTGAATATTTCTGTCAGGGTGGAAAGCATATTTTGGAATATCCGGGGACAGATACTGGACCGCAGAGAAAATTTAGGAACTCACAAATAACAACGACTTCGAGTAAAAAATGTTTCCCTTAAAAATCCAACTTTTCAAACAGTATCTTCTTACAAGCAGAAACTAAAACGCCCCCAGCAAGCTACACGGTAGTGTACTATTGCCATTTTAACAAAGATGTCGTCCATACCTTTTTTCATAATATTCATATTTGTGGGGTAATTTACGATTATCCGTGAGTGGGTGTGGCTTAAGGGCCTATATTCCTGTCTCGTCGGTAGAAGCTATATTTGTCGGTAGCATGTGATCTAATTTAGCAGCAGACAATTACAAGCTAATGACAAAATCCTCAAAGATTTCCCTTAAAAAAAAAACAACAACAGCTGAGGTACAAATATACAAAAGTACAAGATCAAAAACGCCGGCTTTTCCCATGATACCTCTTATCGAAAACGACTAAATGGTTAGCTAAGATTTTTCAAAAATAAACAAAGCTGTATTTAGTTTGGAGTTTCGAACGAGTCTGCAGAAACCTTCTCCTCCACGGGTAATAATTTTCATTAAGACCATATTTTTACAGTTCATCGCCTAATTCTTCAGTCCTCGCGAATGCTTTTTTTTTTTTTTTCGTTGAGAGCGGTAACAATGAAACTAATTCGGTGCAGTATCAAGTTTCGTGACTTGATGATTCCGTTATACATCACTCAACTCACTCAAAAGCCCATATAGCAAATTCTGAAAGCTTCCGCTTCCATTCAGAGCGGAATACCTTAAAGTTTTTCTCAAAAGTGACACCCTTCCACACTTTATGTAATCAGTCATACCAAATTTTAAATATTTTTCTTAGTGGCAGTGCAACTCAAGCTTGAAGAAATCATTCCCACGTGTTGTCCTATTCCTGTTCAAAGCAATATCAACATGTTGCATGGAGCTCAACGAAGTCTTATATAGACTTTATAATGTCAGAAAATATCGGCAGGGATTTACCTCGCTCAAGTTTTTATTTTTGTTGTTTTTAGGTTGTTTTTGGTTTTCTGGTTCGCGGTATTCTTACTTCACTATATTTTTCCGCTAGAGAACGATTACGTCTTCAATGGCTGAAGACGAAAGGAAAACAATATCCCCTCCTTCTCTAGCAGTTTACTCAGCTTATAACGATCATAACGAACATAGCTTCCCTCCCCTGCCCTCCCGTCCCTCCTTTCTTTAAAATCTTCCTTTTAATGAAATACTGCTGACCACTAGGCTCAACAGTTTTCAAATATGGCGGACGCGCCGGCAGATATACCTAGCGATGAATCGTGCCATCAGAAGTCACCCAATGGCCGTGTTGATTATGTTCGGGAGGAATATAAACGTTATAAACGAAAGAAACCTCCACCAGACTTCAGCGAAGTAATCGATTTCCGAGATCCTTCGACATTTCGTGATCGTGTCGAAAAATTCCAACTGCAAACACAAGGAAAATGCGATAAAAGTGATTCGAATTTCGGACTTCGATGTGTAAAGGAATGGCAAGTGTACGAACTTAAGTCGTGCTCAGGGTTTATTTTTATAGTAAACCCGTTTTTACATGGAGCACAACATTACTGGACAAGACGATGTATTGAAGATTTTCCCCGCAAACCAAACGTTTGTAACTTGGATGCGCATATGACCTTAGACACGAGAGAAACTGTGTGGAGACTCAGTCAGAGGTGAGAGACCAGACCAGTAAACTTTCTGATATCCATTTTTATTACAGTTTAATTGCTTCAGAAATAATAAAGCTCAGATTTTGAGATTAGGATAATAATCACAAAAGGAAAAAATTTTACTTCGTTAAATTTTCGAGATGTAGTAGAAGTAATCAAACACCCTCATGGATTGCCACCATAATGACCTCTTAAATAAACAATTTCTGATTCTTTCAATTTTCCACTTCTGCTTATACTGAGCACAAAGGGTAAGTGAGTGAAGTTCAAAAGTCACCTTGTTCTGTGTAAGGTGTGTAAAATTGTTAGATTATAGCATTGAACACAAATACTTGTCAATACTGGTATTTGGACCTTGGCATTTTCATATTATATAGCAGCAAAATTTTGGAAATCTCCAGTTTAAGTGGGAGACAAGTGCAAGATGAACTTGGGATTTAGCAGTCCAAGCTTTAAACCTGCAGGGTAGTTGTGCTGTGTTCTCTGACAAGCACATGCTCAACTTGTACATTTCTTCCTGTCACCAAGAAGGTGATGCAGGAGGTGGCTTGGTCGTAATGGACTGTGGGACATCTGGCAAAATGCTGAGGGTGGGAAGGGGAGGGAGGGTAAGGAACTTGACCTGTGATAGACTAAAATCTGATCTAGGCAGTAGTAACAATTTTTCTGGTCATTTCATGGTTGGTTAACCCTTTAACTCCCATGAGTGACCAAAACAGAATTTCTCGTGACAGCATCAATGTGACATCAAGTAGACAAGCCATGAGAATCGAGAAAAGATATCAATTAGGGTATGATTAGTTGATCCAATATCAAATTCTCCAAACTAATGTCATAAGATTTGTATGGCAGACAGTAAGGAGAATTTATACCAATGAGATCTTGAGAGTGAAGCATTTAAATGGATCACATGTATTGCATGATTTCATGTTTTAACAGCAATTTCTTAATTCCTCAGGAATAATGAAAACAACAATTTAATGGACAAGCTCCGCTGGGTCCACCTAGGATATCACTTTGACTATAACATTGTCAATTACAAGCCTGAACGGCATTATAACTTCCCATCAGACCTAGCAGGCTTGACAAAACACATTGCTAGTGCAGTTGGATACCCAGACTACTCCCCTGAGGCTGGCATTGTTAATTACTATCCTCTGGGGGGCTCCATGGGGGGCCATACAGATCACTATGAGTCTGATTTATCATGGCCTCTGATCTCATTGAGTTTTGGACAAACAGCCATTTTTCTTATTGGTGGAGCAACTAGAGATGTACGACCAGTTGGTGAGTTTGTATCTTACTAGTTTTGAGTCATTGGAATATGTAAACTGCTCAGTCTGGGTGGATCCTCATGGACCAAATCTTGAATAAGTTATAAGTAATTTTTAATAGTTTAATGGTCATGGTATGAGAAAAGAAAACTGATAGCCCCTAAACATTTTAGAGAAGGCTCTTCTACCAACAATATCACCTCTAAATCAAGCATTAAGCTCATGAGAATAAAGGAAATGATGGTAAACTCAAGAAGTTCTTGACTATTAAAACAAATTCTCCTTGTCAGTTGTTATCTTGATTTAACGCCAAATTCTTGTGACTAAAATACAAGGAAATGTGTTTCAGCCAGAGGGGAGCATTAACAATCCGATCATGGAAGTTAAAGGGTTGAACAATTGTAAGGAAGAATCACTTACTGTGAGAATTTTCTCTTGATGCTATGTGGGTTTTCTCCACAGGCCTGTTCACTGTAATAAAATTTTAATCATAATTTTGAGACATATTGATGTGTCAGCATTGTGAGAGACAGTGTTGTGTGACTGTTGAGAAAGTTATAAAAAACAATTCAACCAAAAATTTTATATTATCGTTAACTTTTTTGCAGCTTTATATGTTCGTAGTGGGGATATTATCATCATGTCAGGAAAATCAAGAACTGCCTTCCATGCAGTTCCGAGGATTATTAAAGTGGGAAAGGAAAATGAACCTCCATGTTGCCTCAAATGGGAAGATGGCCTCTTTTCAAGGGACGTCACTTCGAGAAACCCGGATGAATCAGGTGTCCTGGATGAGAGCTCAGTAATCCCGGGTGCTACAAATAAAGACATAACCATAACCTCTTGTTTAAATCGGACACAGCGAATAGAAAAACCTTTGTTCCAAAAATTCGGTGATGATAAAATTATCAGAGGATTAGAAGAGGTCGGTATTGATGAGAGAAGGCATAGCGAAATCGACGAAGGCTGTCGATGCGACCAACCTAATTTTTTTGCAAAATCTATAGAAACTCTTACCCTAGAGGAATGGAGAGAGTTTGAAATCTATCTTTCGAAAACACGCATCAATGTGAATGTGCGTCAAGTGCATGAAAGTGGAAAAACAGTGAGTTCATCTTAATATGAAAACTCAATTGTGAGTGGTTGATATGACTGTTTAAATATCAACCTTGGTCTAAGGGAGGAGCGCATTTCCAATCTTGTTGTCTTTTTAATTGTTTTTATCCGAGACGTTTAATGGCTTAAAACGTACTTAAAATGCAGTTTTAGTAAGCCCTCTCAGAGCAGAACAACTCACTGTGTTGCTTGTCTTCAAAGACCTGCGTATGTTTTTTTTTTTTTATAAAAGAAAAATAATCAATAAAAGAGCAGGTTGCTATTTTTAGTTAATTTTGTACAACGACAGTTGTTTTGATATGCAAAGTGATCAATTGACAACAATGTACACAACTATTTACAAAGCGCTCTGTGTTGGAAAACCTTCCAGTTGCTATTTTTACAGTTGCTCTTTTGAAATGCCTTGAAAGTAGCATTTGAAAGGTTTAATTACATCCACTTACAAGAACATCTAACTGATTTTTTCTTAGAAAGAGTATAGTAAAACTTAACGAGACATTTTTTTTTCATTATTATTTGAGCTTATCATAGAATTTGCCTCTATTTACAAGTTTGTTCATCAGTAGTTTTCCTTGGCACTGTAATCACAGATTAGGGGCCAGGTTTCCCATCGAGTTTCAAAATGGCAGTGTCAGTATGAGTGTTGCACAAATGTTTTTGATGCCAAATTGGATTTCGAACTCTTTCCTTTCTGACAAGTGCAATTGCCAAAAAGACATCCTCGTGAATTAGAAAAGCGTCAGTTCTTGACGACTGCACCTGCTGAGAAAAGCTTGCTTGTGCATGATGAATGCGTCATGTACTAAAAAGGTAAAGGTAAAGGTCAAGAAATTAGCTCGTGTATGATAACAGCTTTAGGGATCGATGACTGAAATTTCCAAGAAAAACTTGCTCGTGAAAAAAGAAATGCGTCAAGTGATGACAACTGCAATTGCTAAGAAAACCTTTCTGGAAAAATATATGCGTTCGGTTCTGACAAGGATAATTGCAAAGAAAAACTTGCTTGTGAAAAATGAATGCGTCAGGTTTTGACGACTGCAATTGCGAAGAAAAACTCGCTCGTGAATAATAAGTACATCAACGACTAAGACAACTTGATTGTGAAGAAAAAATGCTAAGAGGAACTTGCGCGTGAATAATAAAACCGTCAAGTATCGACGACTGCATGCCGAGAAAAACTTACTTGTAAATAATAAATGTGCGAGATAAAAACCAATTATAACTTTTGTTAAGTTATACTGAGCGGAGTTTTATTTATATTCAAATTTTACAGTAGGACACCTTTCAATTTTCTTCTGTTCATCTCCAAAATTTTAACATTTTACTCACAAAATTCGATGGTAAGTAGACGCTTATTCACCAGTTGATCTCGTGGCTCTTCCTAAATCGTTGAAAAAAAAACTTAAAAACAATAAAATCTAGCGAAGAAATAAAAGTAAAAATTAAATCATTGCGTTAAGGACAAAATTGATAGAATGTAATCCTCCTTAAGCCCCTTTCAATCACTTTCTCACAATATCTTTAACAATTGACCTTTTCAGAACATCTGCCGTCGCAAATTTCGTTCTTAACGAGTTTCTTTGACTATTCAGGCATATTTTCCTTCTACGATTGTCAGAAAAAGTTTCTAAAGGAAACTTGTCAAATAAATGTTTGCTCGTGTAAATACAGCTTAACGTTCAGAACGAGAGTTGTTCGCGTTAACTTTCGAACAGATAGATTTAATGAATCAACAGCTTTAGCTCGCAAAAAAACTCTGCTGTTTATGATAATTTTAGTCCAAGAATACAAAACAATATCACAAAAGACTGTATATTGTTGTACTCTCTGTTCTTTGATTAAAAATAACAAGAGAAATAAGCTAATTTGGATATTATTTCTTTCTGTAAATAGTCTCGGAAATGACAAATTTATGTTTACATTGCAAGTTTCTTTGCAAAATTACTTTTAATTTTTTCTTTCCCCAAGCAAGTTAAGCAATTGGCTTTGAATATCTTCTGGACGAAACAAAAGAGGTATTATAAAACAATCGTCCCTCTACCATGGCAACGATAATTGCTTGATTATAATTTCTCCGCTGCGCGCTTGGCATGATAATCGAGTTAGCAGACTATTTCTGAACAAGAAGAAATTCAGATGGCTGGAAGCGGAAAGGCAAAAACAGTTCTGTATTTATTCCTCGTCTGGGTAATTTATCTGATTATTGGAATGTTTGTGTTCAGAGCTATTGAACGTACTGAGAATGAGAACAAAGCACAAGAGGACGCCAAGAAGCAGTCCTTGGACTCAATTAAAGACAATGTGACGACTAAGTACAACATGAGTGGAGCAGAGTTTGATATCATTGTACAGCAGATTGAAACAGCTTCATCGGATTCCAGTGGTGGACCAGAATGGAGCTATACCGAATCACTTTCTTTTGTGATTCAATTGGCGACAACAATTGGTAAGTAGGACAACTTCGTTTGATTGTTTTGTTTGTTTTCATAGCTAAACTTAACTGAACGATAACTGGTCAATCGTCACAGCAAGTAAAACGTTTCTCACCAGTTTGAAACAACTCGAACGCTTCCATTCCTCTCGGTCGTGTTGCTCGATCTTCATTTTTGCCACAGTAAGAGCAAGATCGTTTGATCGTGATACGCGAGTGTCGTCATTTGTCATTTTGGAATGTTTGGAAAAGTAATCTTTGAAATCATCGATTCCCTTCACTACCTTCAACAAAGAATGAATTTCTCCTTTCAAGATCAATACATTTCAAGCAAAGAAGTCATGAAAAAAGAGAATAATATCTAAGACAAGATATTTCCTTTAACTTTTCTACTCTTCATAATTTCACATAAACCCTTCAAGTCACGCAATTCCAGCTGTTCTCAAGGATGTCACGCTTTTCTTAGCGGGAGTTGTTGCGTGATAATAATACTTGCAAGCAAGGCGCACGGGAGTTGACGTCACTTCAACAGCGTTTTCCTTAGATACGACTCTGCATCATTTCTAATAATATCCGGTATACAAAAACGAATACTGCCGTTTATCATTTCAGTTATTTCATATTTTGTTCTCTTTCAAGGTTATGGTAACATCACACCAGTGACAACAGGTGGCCGAGTACTTTGCATAATCTTCGCCCTCATTGGTATCCCGATCAACATCATATTCCTGCAGTTACTTGGAGAAAGAATGCTTCGCGGCGAGCATTTTCTCATCATGAAATTCGAAAAAGGCTGCCTGAAGCGAGAGGGAGCGCCAAAATTTATGAATGAAAAATGCTCTTTCGTGGGTATTCTACTGTTGCTGATTATATTATTTGCAGGCGCCGGGAGTCAAATTGAGATGGAAAACTGGACATTTTTTGAAGGTTTCTATGCTTACTTTATAACTTTTACAACAGTAGGCTTTGGTGATCTGATCCCAGGGTCAATGGCTGGTGGTTCTCCAACGGCAAAGCATGTGCTTACCATCTTCTTTATCCTCATGGGTTTGGCGGCCATGTCGAATGTGATCAATGGACTTGTGAATTGCACCGAGAGTATGGAATTGTTCCGGAGATTGGGCGCGCGCTGCGGTAAAAAGAGAAGTGTGGATATTTCTGAAACGCCAAAAACTAATGAAATGGAGTTAAATGAGAACTATGCTCCAGAAACGATTTGATTTTTATCTCCGCTATTATGACAGTGACGCTTTTCTAGTTTCCCGAAAAAGTGACGTAACTCTTCGTAAATTGTCTTCAAATTAAAAAACGAACGTCGCCATTTTGAATCTTGCTCAGCAGCCCGGCCGCTTAAACGTGACGTAGTAAGGTCATACATAAAAAAAAACACAAAAAGGAATTCTGGAGTCAAGTTATTTCTTTACGTAGCAACCAAAGCAGCAGCTAAACTGCAAGTGCTTCGTGCGTTGTATTTTTGCTCGTGAGGCCTGGTTACTGAGTTGTTTCAAAATTGCGGCGTCCCTGGTTGAATTTTCACCACATTCGAAGGCAGATTTTGAACATTTAAGGTACCCTCAGTAGTCTGCAAGTAACAGATCTTTTGGGAGGAAATAAATCTTTTCATGAAGATTTTGATAATGGAGATAAACTCTTTACATATAGATTATAATAGTGACGATAAAAATTTCTTGTCATTCTTATCCATTGAACGAATAAATTTACAAAGGATTAAGGAATATCATTTTGTAGGCCACTTTCCTTTCTATGTGTGAGTGAGCTGATCGGGAATTCCTCTCCTTAAAGTAATAAGAGGGGTAGCCTTGTGCAGAACCATCCGGTTTTCACGCTCCTGCGAGGATCATAACAGCATAATGCGCCGGAGTTTTGGGTGCTCAAAATAGCAGATGGTGATGAGAAAAATCACCATCGTTCTTGTAGAAAATCTCAGTTTTTTAATTTCACGTGACAATTTGTCTCTTTCTCCTCCCCCTTCATGTTCTTCTTCGGTTTTCTCATGAAAAGTTTTATCGTGAGTCAGGAATTATTTGAGTATAATCGACGGTAAAACTAAGTTCAGTTAAGTCTGGAGTCGAAAGGTTTTCATAGAAAATTGTCTTTGCCTCGGTGGTTTGGTCTCGGTCTTCGCCGGAAGACGCGTAGCCTCTGCTCTGTGTTAATTTTTTAAGCATGTATCTTCTGCCATCCTGAGAAGCTTTTTGGAGCTCGTTAGGAGTTAAATTTATGCAAGCTAAGAACTACGCAAAAGCCCCTTTAAATCAAAGTAAAATTAAAGGAAACTCGACCATTTCAAATAAAATTTCGAGCAAAATGTGAGATTCCTTTTTATTGAAAAATTAGCTGATTGACTCCACATTAGTGACCGATAAACTAAAACCTAGTTGCTGCGCTTTCCGCTCTAACAGCTCGTCGGCTGGCTTCTTCCTCGTACGCTGACCAAAAGGATCGCAGCGAGATAATCATTGTCACGGAACAACTCAAGGAGGGATGATAGCGTGCTGTGCATCATTGAGTCTGATTGAGTCACGCGAAAATCTTAAGAGATGAATGTTCGAAATCAACTGATTTTATTTCTTCTCTGGTTCTTTTACCTCACCATTGGAGTGCTAATTTTTAGAGCTGTGGAACACGATGGCGAAGGAAAGCAAGAGAAATCCAAAGAGCAACGGCTAAAGATAGCCAAAGACAAAATAACATCCGCGTACAACATGAGCGAAGCAGAATTCTACAATATTGTGCAGCATATTGAGGCAGCTTCGTCTTCGAATGGCGTACCAGAATGGAGCTATCTCGATTCTGTTTCTTTCGTGATTCAACTTGTGACAACAATAGGTAATTAGATGACAGATCTTCTAATTCAAATATCCTTAGATACCGTAGATCAAGCTATGCGTGGATCAATGTTGCGTGATGTTGTAAAATTGTGAACACCTGTTGGTTCGTAAGTACTTGAGGATGCATGAATAATGTTATAAATCTTTGAAATACGGATAAGAATTGACTTCTGTAAAATCAGCGTCTGTGTTCAGGTATTTTCTTCATGAACCTATCAGTTTCGAGATGACGTAATTGTCTCCAAAACCACTTCCGGGAACTATTATTAGAAGTTTTATGTGTCCACAGAAAACATTAGTGTAGTTTGAAATTTTCGGTTTTAACGAAAGGAAATAAATAAATTACTAAGAACTGATTAAAACTTATCATGGCTCAGTGGAGCACCCTGAATTTATTCGATCTTTTGCAATCACGCGACCTTTCTTCTATTCAATGTGTCCATTTTGTGATGGGGCCTTAAACCCTGCAAATCATAGGCGTGTTTACTACGCATTTTTAATTTGTTTTCAATTTCTGATCAAGCGGCCATAGCCAAAGAAGAGAAGTCAAGAAATCTTCCTTCGTTTCATTTAATTTTATTCATTTATTATCATTTTTTTCTTCGAGGTTATGGTAACATTACTCCAGTGACAAATGGCGGTCGTGTGTTTTGTATAATCTTCGCTTTCTTTGGAATCCCGATAAACATTATGTTTTTGCAGTCCGTTGGTAAAGGCTTGCGTGAAGTCGAAAAATATCTCATCACGAAATTCGAAAAACGCTGCCTGAAGAGGAATGAAAAGCCGAAATTCCTAAATGAAAAATGTTCTCTGTGTGCAGTTGTGCTCTTCGTTACTTTGTTACTTATTTCTGCGGCTGTCCAACAAACGATTGACGAATGGACATTTTTGGACGGTTTTTACGCCTATTTCATCACGTTTACAACAGTTGGATTTGGGGATATGATACCAGGAGGCAGTTCAACAGAACATCCCGTCAGGAACACAGTAGTTCGTATCGTGTTCATCATCCTGGGTTTAATGGCCATGTCGAATGTACTGATCGCGGTTATGGAGTCTACTGAATGTCTACAATATTTGAAAACTTACATGAATTTTTGCAGAAGAGGGGAAAATGTTGATATTCCTGAAACAAAGGAGAGCGGTGGTGGAGTAGAGTTAACTGAATACCGTAACGAAGATCCGAAAAACAACGATTCGCAGCTTGCAGCGCCAATATGAAGTGTATTGAGAGAGGATCATTTGAATACTACAGGGTGAAACCCCCCTCCCCCCCCCCGCGATAAATAATGACCGTTCCTCAGTAGGGAGGCATAGGGAATTCTTTTCTATCCTCCTACTTCTACAGCACACTTTGGGGAATTTAGGACATGAGTGAAAATTACAGTTCTTTTTTTGCTATTTTCTGCTGCTATGAATATCATGATCAAACCTACATGGCTCCTACATCTAGCGAGTTCGAGCAATTTAGAATCCATTTGTACTTTAAAAGTGTATCCATTTGATTTAATATATTTAGAACTTTAATAAGTTTTATTAGGTTCGTTTATGGCGATTTCTGTGCGGTTTAAATAATTTTTGTTTATATGCGCCAAACACAAATGGAACCTTGTGAAAAATAAAGACCTTGACTGCCTCTACTTCCCCTCCCCTTCAGAATCCAATCCTTCCCCTCCCACTCCCACTCAGGAAGTTCCACTTGGCCTAGATGAGAGCTGGTATATGCTGATTATTCGGGAACGTGAAGTTTATAAGTAAATGGAAACTGGGCAAATTAGGGTCGGGAAATGAAATTTAGATTTCGTTCCCCCCCTCCCCCCTAACATTTCTGAGACTCGAGAACAACCACCCTCCCAATTGGCCAGCACCTAATCTAAATGACAGATCTCATTTGAGGGCGTTTTTGCAAGTAAAGTGAAACAATACCATGTTGAGTAAATGCAAATATTGGAAACATCTGTAATTAGAGGCAGCCCTAACGTCACGGTTTAATTAACCTACAGTTTTCAAGCTCGAAATTTTCAATTCGTGTGAATCTTAAACGTCCTCGTCTTTTTGGTGTGCTTTTTGTATCTCTACATTTTTTGCCTTATTCAAAGCATTCCTTGAAAGCAGAAGCTAAATTCCTTCTTGTTATGTGCCGTGACGTAAAATAAATTGAAGATTCGTCTCACAACAACAGATGCTTATCATGTCACAGGCGGCCCAAGCTCACGTCTCGAGAAAAAGCCAACGATGAATTCTACCGTTTTAAGCTTGCTTTACCATCACTGCTATCCATGTCACGGTCGAAATCAGAGTGTGCAGCCTTGACTTCGTCTTTTGACATGGATAACAGTGATGGTAAAGGAAGCTTAAAACGGCAGAAATCGCCAGAAACTATGACGGATACACAGGGCATGAGTAAGTTTTATTGATTTTACGAGTAAAATATTCATATTTCGAAATATTTATCGTTGTAAATCGGCCATATTTCGTTCCCCATACTATTCCTTATAACGTGTTCAAATTTTCAACGGTTCCTCCCGTAACTTAACACCGAGTCACACAACGCGTGACGCGTTCATGAATTTATCGTTGGCTTTTTCTCGAGACGTGAGCTTGGGCCGCCTGTGATCATATTTGATATATTAATAAAAATGCATTAACTTTTCAGGTCATTTGTCACAATTATAAGAATTGCTAAGTGTTCAATGATTCAAATTCGGCGTTAACGAGCTATTAGCTCGACGGAATAAAACGCCACTGAAAGAAAAAAACTCTCAGAGATGGCGGAGTGCGGAAAAAACCGAGTGCTTCTGTATTTATTTCTTCTCTGGTTCATATATCTTATGGTTGGCATGTTTATATTCAGAGCTGTTGAACGCGACGATAAACCCGACCCCGAGCAATCGAAACCACAGCTATTGGAGAACATTAAAGACAATATAACAGCCAAGTATAACATGAGTGAGGCCGAATTTGACAGCATTGTGAAGCAAGTTGAAGCAGCTTCGTTGGCCTCGAGTGATGGACCAGAATGGAGTTATCGTGAATCGATATCTTTCGTGGTTCAACTGGTAACAACAATCGGTGAGTTGTTGAATTTTAAGGAATTCCCTCTTATGTTATTTTCCTTCTCCCCCAAGATAAAATTAATTGCTTAAAAACTTGAAACGCCTTATTCTGAATGTTTTCAATCCACTTAATTATTTAGTATCTAATATTCCTTAGGACAGGAACGATTGCAAAATGTCGATCAAAGTAATTGAGCGGGGGCATTCACTCCTAATTGGAAATATGCCTTGTTATCTAAAATATGCCTTGAAGCATCGTCTTAAAACAAAATAATAAAAGATAGAAAAAAATCCGTCGGTGAGAGATCCTATTTGCAAAAGCGGGGCATGCATTAATTCTGGAGTGAAAGTCGAGCTTAGATGAAGTGTTGAAGCCTTGCATACTCGTGACCATGATTTCACCTGGCCTTCACTCATTGTTTAGCTTAAGCTCTGTGAACGGATCTCTAGAGCTTTCATCCTTCAGTTTTCTTTTTTCGCTAACTGTGCAAACTTTTCAGGCATCTACATCTTATGAATACTCTTTTTTTTTTCTTCCTTGTCGCGTGACTTTACCGCTTAAGAAAACTTAGTAGAGTATTTGTGGTCACGCAACATCTGTCCAACGTCACGTAATTCTGAAACAAATCACCGTGTCACAGAATACAGACCTTTACAGTTTCAGCTGGTTTTCTTGTGCCAAGAGACATCCCAACCCACCACCCCCCCCTCCTCATACACCCCCTTACATCCTCGTATCCTGTAGCTTCCTGTTGAAGGGCCCTCACTCCCCCCCCCCCTCCCCCGAACAGGTGGACATACTCGCGTCTAGATTTTCTTCATGACCACATGATCTGTTGCTTTGGAAAGTTCAGAGATAAGATTCAAAACTCTAGATTAAAAATGTGTTTTTTCTCTTCCAAGGATATGGCAATATCACTCCAGTGACCACAGGCGGCCGAGCCTTTTGTATAATCTTCGCCTTGTTTGGTATCCCGATCAACATATTGTTCCTGCAGGTGGTTGGAGAACGAATGCTACGCAGTGAGCGACTTCTCGTCACAAAATTCGAATCCCGTTGCCTTAAGAGAGAGAGCAAGCCAAGACACTTGAATGAAAAGTGCGCTTTTCTGGGTTTGATGTTGTTGATAATAATTTTACTTGTGGGGGCGGCAACTGCGGTAAAGGTCCAGGAATGGACTTTCTTTGAAGGTTTCTATGCCTACTTCATTACTTTTACAACAGTTGGATTTGGCGATTTGATCCCAGGAGGTGGCCCGTCAAAACATCCAGTCTGGAATACAGTAATTCGAATCATTTTCATCATCCTGGGTTTGGCAGCCATGTCGAATGTAATCAACGGACTTGTTTCGGCACGGGATTGTAAAGAGTGCAAAGAATTTTTCAAGAATTTAAAGGCTCGGTTGGGAAGAAAACAAAGAGGTAAAAATCCTGAAACGATGGAAAAGATGGGAATGGAGATAAACGAACAAACCGAAAAGCCTTTTTAACTTTGAAGAACAAGAAGCGATTTGTGCATATTGAATAATTAAGCTTAAGATTTTTCAAGTTTATCATTTTCAATCCTCTCCATCCTCCGCCATCCTTCTTCGTTCTTGTTTTATTATTGCCTCTTTCGTGTTTTTCTATCTTACTAAACCAATATTTTAAAGTCTCATTCAAGTTGAAAGTCTTTTTTGCACGTCAAACAAATTGACTCAAGTTATCGATCTTGACGTAAGTCCTTCGGACCGAGGGAATGACATTATTCCATAACAGACCTAAATTCAAATTTATCTCCGCCATTAAAAAGTATGAATAAACATTTGCGACTCACCGCTTTTTGATATTCCAAGAAGTAATGTAACAGCCTGAAAATTGTCTTCAAATGTGCTAAAACTTCAACAATCGGCGCTGCCAATTTGAAGACTCGGTCACTCGGTCAGTTGGCCGCATGACGTCCCATAATTCAACTCATGGCGGGAACCAGAACGCGCGTAGCAATGCTACGCTCATTAACGTTATTGGTATTAGACCGGATTTATCAGTCGGATCTTCAATAAAAATTTCTCTCAAAACGCGGTCAGTGCATTAATTTCATATTTACTTTTTAAAGGTACAGATGAAAAGTGTGTAGTTTCTATAATTTTTTAATTGTCGGCTTAAACCAGAATTGATGGATGATTATAGGCTTTATGAAGGAATACACCAGGAGAGGGGAGGGGCGAGGGATGGAGAGGGGAGGGGTGAGGGGTGGGGAGAGGAGGGTCGACAATGTCTTAGCTTAAAAAAACGAATGCAAGTAAAATTCCTTCTGGTGATTATAACCCGCTTTTTTTCTGGAGAAGGAAGGGAGGAGGTTTTCTTAAATAACACGAGTCAAAAACATCCGTTTTAAAAGACAAAGCTCTTTCCTTCAATTTTGCCTTTTCAATGGACTGTATTTTTGACAATCCAACCAAAAAACATACTGAGTTCACCCTTCATTTCTAAATAATTAGATTTGTGATTTATCTTACATAATTATCACAAATTACTGATCAAACTACCTCACAAAAAACTTTATTCACTCAGTTACCAAAAACCAAACATATACGTTTTACTATAGCGTATTAAAGGGTATTAGGAATTACATGATATAAATATATAATTCTGGACAAATCTAAGAAAATGACATGTAATCTATCATACTGTATATAAAAATTTCAAAAACTATTTTCTCAATTAAACCTCGTTAAGCATTTTTGCCCAACATGGCCATCACTATCACATCTGGATAACGCATGAAATGTAACCGGAAACTATGAGCTCTAACGAATACTACTGTCACCAAAACCAAACCAGGTAACACACTGTCACTGCAGCTTCAGATCGTTTAGTGTTCAACGAAAAAGGACGTAAAACGAGCCGATCGACAAGATAAGAGAAACTGGTCACACCAGTTAAAACATGTTCAACGAAGGGTGTCAATACGTTTGAAAGTAGAACCATACGCAAGACGCGGAACTCTCTTAGTCAGGCTGTCCACGAAATTCGCACGAACTATCAAGCTACTTGGAATCTTATCACACATCTAAACCTTTTACTGGTAAATTATGCGTTCAATTTTACTAAAAAACCGAAAAATGGCTTTTGTGCAAATTTTTTTTTAATTGCATTTCAACAATTGTACGATTTTTCTTCCGCGCTTGTAATAAAATGTGGTTAAAGGTGCCGGATACTCTTGGCAAACTAGCAAGTGATTTTGACCGGCTACCGAAATTTATTGACAACTCTGTCTACTGAAAAAAATTTAAATGGAAAAGAAAATGTAGAGGTAGAGCCCGACTGCAAGAATGATGACCACATTTATGTTGAGGAACGTTTCCGCTCTTGGATCTCGTTCAAGCGATGTGATCATGGCCAGCCGCTCGTGTTGTTCATGAGCTGCTTTCTTTGCTTCTTCTGTTCCAGCCTCGTAGCCGCAGAACCACGAGTACAAACGCTTTATTTTCGATTCTGGTGGATGCCCTGAAAGGCAAGATGAAATGTGAGGGCAGTAACAACAGTATACTAGGTAATAATTAGATAATGAGCTCGAGATTTCTATAGCGTAATGGTTGGTGAGTGCTTGGCACAAATTGACACGAGAGAGTTTTCCTAATCTATGATTGGTCCCGAAAACTCATGCAACTCTCTCAACCAATCAGATGCAAAATTAATAGTAATCACAACTAAGTCAAGGCCATGTTCTCATCCGTGCTGCAGGCAGTTTGTTCTCTTCATGCAGATTGCTTTGAGTTTACGTTAACTCCCCTGATATTCCCTTTTTTTCATCAGATTGGCGTTGGTTGTACGACAGAAAGTGCTCTTGCTTGTTCAAATTACAAACTGGTGGGAAAATTATGTTCTCGAGGGCGATAAGTGACAATGTCAGGACCGCGTTTGGAAAAATAAAATTTATAGGTCGTTAATTCAAAGCTTTGAGTCAAAACATTGAAAGTGTAGCATCAAAAACAACAGCAATAGTAACTGACAACTTCAAGTGTTCACTCACTCGATGGTCTCAAAGTCACGGTCGGCGTTTCCTCAGTTGCTCCCTTCTCCTTGTCTTCATCTGCCTCTATCTCTTCCATTTCTATGTCATCCTCCTCAGGAATTTCTTGCTTTTCAATCTCCTCGTCCCTGGCTTCCTCCATGACGTCTGTGTCCGATGGCTTCTCGTGTAATGTCCACCAGGTCAACCGAGCAGTCTGAGGTTCAGTAACACTTAAGTTAGCAACGCTTTACTTCGCTCTGTGATTGGTCCATAAAATGCGTGCAACTTTCTAAACCAATCAGATTCAAACAATCAACCAATCGCGACTTGGTCACTTGCGTTTTCCCGCGCTGTGAGAATTTTTTTTTTAAATTTCTTTGAGTTCTAATCGGCTCCATAAGTTATTTTCCTTCGCTTCGGTTGGCTGGAAAGCACTCTTAATAAAAAAAAAAAAGGCGCAAAAACATGCATGCTCGACTATTTTTTTCGTGGATATAATAGAAAGTAACTCTTTATGCAAAGGGGGTAGTGCTGTATGGCCAAAGGGCTATTCAACTTGTGACCCTGGCCCTGTTTTCTGAGAGCAAAGCTTCAAAATTTGAGCATATCCTTGCGCTAGTTGGAAATTATTACTTATCACTCAAATATTTCTCTTGCGTCTGGAGCAAAACATTTAGACCAAGTGCCGCGAAATTGGTGCGCAATTCAGTGCGCGGCTGAACAAAACTGACCATTTACGCATGACCCACGTTTGACCGCTGAGTTCAGTAAATGCATACACACACTGTTCTACTCACATTTCCTTCAGGCCTCGGCTTAGTGAAGTAACTGATCACCACAATAGTGAAGACTGTGATCCAAAAGAGGATCAGTGCAAAGTACATGTAGTGAACCTTGGCTATGATGCCTGGTCGAGTGTCCTCTTCACCACAACGAGGCTCTAAGTGAGTGAAGTCCAGGATCATTCGTATTGCACCCACAATGAAGCCCACGATCATACCCCAGAATGCACCCTGAGATGTGCGCCAAAAGAAGAAATTACATAAGCAAGTAAATTAGTGAAGGGAATATCTCTTGTAGAAAGCTAAACACTGCCGCTGCTGCCTTGTAAATCTATTCCGCAAAACAGGTGCAAATATTTACGAGTAAAATTTCCCTACCACCCATTACTTAACCACTACGAAAACAGTAGATTACCTTTGGGACTTATGCTTTGTTTTAGAATACAGTGGTATGGGGATATACGGAAATTCTTCCAGTTTACTTCCTTCGGTCGAAAGAAAAGCTCCGCATACGAGTGAAGTGACACAGTTGTTTTTTCATGTTCAGACTAACTCAGAGTATTTATCCACTAATCACCTCTGTATAACTCGACAAGTAAGAAATTTTAAAAAGAATACCTTTCTTTCCTTGTTAACACTTTAAACCATTACATCAGTATACATATTCTCCATACTGTTATACATATATTTTACACATATTCTAAGGTGCTGACAAGGAGAATTTGTTTAACAATCAGTCACTCTTACGGTCAAAGGGTTAACTTGGTCCATCTTGTTGTGTTTGTGATGAAATAAAAAGGCACGTACGATGACAAACCTTCTCCGTTGCCTTCGTCCAGAGGATGGAAATCAAATACAGGGCTGCTATTGGCGGGGAAAAATATGCACTGACAGCTTGGATGTAGATGAAAAGCTGACCTCCCTGTACACTCTGAACCACAGGGATCCACAAGATTCCTATTCCTGTCATTATTGCGACCATAATCCTATAAAATCACACAGATGTTTCGAATAAAGAAATGGCCGGCCCTATTCAAACTGCCGTTTAGGAGCCATCGGAATCGAGATGACAAAGAATCGAGCCTTTTTATAACGCGCAACTCTATCGAAAGTACGCTATTTTTCATGTAGAAAACGCTATTTTTCGTCGCGTAGCTTTCGACGGGTGAGCAAAATCCCACAAAAATTTGCTAGATTCTCTCCCAACATGAAACCTTACAACTCAGCTGATGGTAGCTGACGTGCCACTATGCTGTGGAGGTTGGAATCGGAAATGCTTGTGAGATATTAGCTGATTAACCTACGTTCAAAAATCCGAGAGGAAATCAAGTATCTACTTCAATTTCATAACACGCTAACGTACACACGCAATTTGATTGGTTCCTCCTTATGAAATATTCAAGGACAGACGCACAGATGATGTCATCATTAACAATACTGCTTCCTTATTATAAAAAAACAAATGAATTTCACGTCATTGTACGTCTGTTCGACAATAGATCACAGAAGATGTCAAAATGTGGTAACAAGAACGGTGTCAGCAACTTTTCCAGAAGTGGCTTTCAATGGTGTAGTAACTCGCTGTGCCTAACCCCAACACGAGAGCCTGCTGGCAGGCTAAACAGCGGTAGAATGTCATACAGAGTCTTAAGGAAAATTTTAACAATTATTGATTAATTATTAATTAGTTAATCATTTCGCGTAAGAAACCACTGTTACCTTCCCACAATCATGAGCTCCCTAACTGAGGCCTTTTTTCGAAACCTGCCGTACACATCAATGGTGAAGAGCGTACTGGCGCTGTTGAAGATTGAGGTCAAGTCACTCATCAAAGCAGCCATCATTACCGCCATCATCAATCCTTTGAGACCTAAAATTAAGAGAACACAATTCAAATTTTCATAGAAAATTTTTTAAATAATTTTAAGGAGATAGGGAGTATGATTTAAGGAAGACAATGACACACGGATAGGGTTTTGCAAAAACGTGTCCAGGAAATTTCATATTTAATCAGTAGAGGAGACCCTATCCAGTTTCATTTTCGTTTCAAATCCTATTTTCCTTACTCCAAACTCACTATGGAGCGCCTTTCGATTGAGGATCCTTAAACCAAAACTAAAGCAATCACAAGGGCAATCAGAGTAAGGGAAACATCTCTAGGAGCCAAGAAGAACTTAAAGTAAAGGGGCACGAGTTTTCTGGACCAATCACATAAAGAAATAGCAAAAACAAAGCAATCCAACATCCAACACTCACTGAAAATTTCTCAAATACATTTCACAACAGGTACTGCATACCCTAGAGACCTATCTATCATTGCGGAAGTTCATCCTCAAGTTTCCCAAGCAAAAGGCAGAAGGAGTATCGTCATTCCCTCTGAATGGGATGCTAGCTCAGATTCCCCTCTAAAAAAGAATGATAAAAAAAACTCCAACCACAGCATCTCTAAGGGCATTGATAGTCACCTGCAGCTTACCTGTTGGCAAGAGCTTGAGAACAAGCTCTGGGTATGCAATGTTGGTGCAGCCAACTTCACTTCCACAAATCTCCATGCACTTTTCTGGGACACTACATGCAACACGGTCTAGAGATACAACCAAAGCAGCAAATTGGTAAGAAAAGCTGGAGAAATAATGACTTAGATAAATAAATTGATGTCATACCAGCCAATATTAAAAAAAATTTAACAAATAGTCTGAAGAAACCTCAAATGTCAGAACAAGCTGCTGTTAAAATGAAGAAAATGTCTTATGTTATAAAGATTCCTTTAAAAAACTAGGAAACAAGAACCAAAAACTGCAAACAAATACAAGCACCAAATATTGGATCAATTTCCCTGTAGGTGCCATTTTGACTTGTATCACATTATATGGTTGCTGCTCTTTGCATCAAACAATAGCTATTTTGTTTGCATGAATCCTATGGGGATCAAGTTCTCCTTGTAAATGCCACAGAAGATGTAACAAGAACAGTGTGGAGAATATATACACTGATCTTATGGTGTAAAGTATTAGGAATGGATAAGTTCATTTAAACCCCCTCTCCTTATACCCTCTCCCACACATCTCCCCCTCCCTTACCTGGTGACAACACCCTGCTAATCATTCCTGGCATAACCAGGGTGAAGAGAGGCAAAATCTTAATGTAGCTAGCCAACAGGCAGGCTCCCTGGGCATGTGACAAACTTTTGGCAGCAAGAGCTCTTTGCACAATGACCTTGCATAATAGAAAACAAACAGCTAAATACTAAGCCGAAAGGTGGTTGTTTAAATTTGCACAACCTTTAAAAATTCTAAACTGTTGCAGGCATTCTGTTGGTGAAACAATGCAAAAAGGAAAATAGCACAATAGAAACAGCAGAGCAAAAAATGAGGGAGGTTTGACCCCACCCAAACCCTCCGCTTCTTCTGTCTAGAACATACTATAAAAAATACATGATGCATGAGATGTAGGCAAGACCTGGTTTGGCCCCCCATCTAGGTAAAGCTCCCTGATAACAGCATTTCTGAACACAAAAGGTTAGGATTGGGACTCAATCCTGACCAATTTGTGGCTATAGAGATTCACCATTAAGGGCTGAACCTTGAACCTGTTTAGAAAAGAGGAAGCCAAAAATACCTATGATTTGCAGAAAACTTCCAGAGAATCCTTTAATAACAGGTATTAGGACTTGATTTGTTTTCTTCCACAATATTTGTCAACAAATTTTATTTTGCTTTGTACAGAGCAGAACAGGTTCAAAACCCATGCTCCTTCTATCGAAAAGTTCTATATTTACAATAGTCTCTTCAGTCTCTAGTAGGTGTTCAGAAAGTGCATAGAATTAGACACTAATTTATTGGCCTTAAACATTTCCTGCCTGAATATAAATAACTTCTACTCACTACTTAACATAACTTCTACTTTTATACAAGACACTTATAACAAACCTGGTCTGCACACCAATACCAAATTGAAGCAATTGTCTGTCCAAAAATGAATCCCGCCCAAGGCATGTCGGAGTTGACAGGATCTCGCAGCATGACAAAAGCATCTTCCCTTGGCCGGCCACAGCTGCTGTTTGAGTACAAAGTATCATTTGAGACTGCCATCATATATTTTTGCTTTAGACCATCATAACCACCAACTTCAGCAAATCCTAAAAATAAAACAAACACAAATTAACAAATTGGTTCTCTAGAATTCATAGTCATGTACAGGCAATGGTTTTCAAACCAATTACTTGGCCAGTTTCACTGGTACCCTTAAGAGCTGATATCAAATTAACCCTCCTACTCTCATGAGTTACCAAGACAGAATTTCACCGTACAATTTTTATACAATGTCAAGCAGACTAGTGACAAGAATGAAGAAGGATATCAACAAGGGGATTACTAGTTGATCCAATACCAAATTCTCCTGACTAACAACATAAAATTGTATGGCAGAGAGTGAGGAGAATTACTAATGAGATCTTGGGAGAGATAGGGTTAAACTCAATATGATGGATGATGAAGCAAAAGCAACCATCTGCAGTTAAATAATGACTTTTAACTTTGAATCAACTTGGAGGCTGTCTGAGCATCCTGCAGAAGTATTAGATCCAAAACTCTTCCATCCTTGGAGAAAAATCCCCAGGAACAGAAAACTCTCAAATTTTAAAAATAAAAGTTAAAAGTTTAAGATATCAAAAATTTTAAGCAATTTAAAACACCAGAGGTCCCAGGGAGGAGGAGGGGTACTTCCTCATAATAAGTGTACCCCTGAATGGGGTCACATTATCAAGACTGGATTGACCATGAAGGAGTTACATTCTCAATAGAATGGTATTTTTGAGATTTTGAGGGGTAAGAAGATTCTGGTGAGGAGGGATTATAAAATGGGAAGATTTAGGGTTAAAGATTGTTACCATTTAGTGCCAAAATTTTTAATCCTTGATAACAGTAAAAATGGTTTTCTTAGCCTTCTTCAGCCACAAACGAAACAAAATTACCAAGTCCCATGACTGTCAATGATCCAGTAACCATGAGGAAAGTACAGAGAGTGTCTGTGTAGATCACTGCTGTCAGTCCACCTGTTAAAATACCAGAGAATAATTTGAGTGGGTTATTGCATTGTAACATCAAGTAAAGCAAATATACTTGCAGATGAGCTGCAATTCTAGCAAATACAGACAAAAAGCCTGAGAAAATTCAGGCTTCAATAGAATTTGAACACTAGTTGTGCCTACATCCATCTAAGCTACCAAGCTATACCCTACATTAAATGTGGGTTAACCCTTTAACTCCCAGGATCTGATTGTTAATTCTCCCCTCTAGCTACCACACATTTCCTTGTAAATTAGTGGTGAGAATTTGGTGTTAGATCAAGATAGCAACTTCTACCTGAGTAATCTTATTACCTGTTTGCTGGATAATGTGTTGATATTTCAGGGAGAAGTTACATGCTAATCACCTCTAGGAGTTAAAGAGTTAAATCCCAAAGCAGAAGTGAAGAGTGGTAGATATCTATAGAGTGGCAAACAGAAGAGGTAAATATCCACCACTTTGAAGTGTGTATCACATAGAAACCACAAAATTTGTTTATTTCTATCAATATACCAAAAAATGGTCAGAAATTAAGCTTTTGATGCACAATTTTTTTTCTCTGCAGCCACTTAAAGGTGAGTGATACCTGCTAATCATTTCCAAATGAACCAATTACCACATGCAAAAGCATTTATATGCTTACTATGCATGGTATATGCTAACTATCCATGTTATTTTTTTTCACTCCCAAAAGTGACCAGAAAGAAATTATCCTCACAATTCTGATAACTGTTGAAGCAGGTCGTGAGGAACAAGAAAAATATCCACTTAAGGAAATTTATGAAAATAAAACTAACTTCTCAGCACTAATATACCAAAACTAACTTCTCAGCACTAAATCTATATAAAAATATTTCAGGGAGCCCAAAGAATTGATATTTAGAATTTAGAGGTGAAAGGGTTAACATAACGAAAGACAGTTTTGTCAAAGTTATGTACAATCTCCTCTACCAATGCAAACAAGTTTTTTCTCCTAAATGTAAGTTACAGATTTTTCCAATCAGGAAAGCTTGGGAAAAAACTCAGAAGGTTGACAGCCTAATGGCCACTTGAAGCCTTCCATTCTTTTCACAGGATACCCAGCCACTGATGAGTGGATCCCTTACTCAACTCTTCCAGGTTACCCATCCCTTAGGACAAAAGAGCAAAAACAAAATCCTAACCTGTGAGAGTACAGAGACAAGTCATTCCCAGCATCAACAAAATGGCCAAATACAAGTTCCAACCAAGAGCCAAACGGATAAACAAGGCTCCAGAAAATAAATTAACCTGAAATCAAAGTAAGTGAAGTATTTTTATACCAGACATCCATCTGACTTTTATCTCACAGCTCACATCCTTTTCTTACCAGATGACTGAAAAGTTTTCAGATCGTGTCAAAACTTTAAAAAGCTCTTGAACATGATTGGCTATGACACCAGCCCAATTTCAGTACTAATATGATAGTGTATTTGTCATGCTTGTAATTTGACAGTGTACAAGTTATGCCTGTAGAATTGGGCTGTATGCATCATGTGCAGGTGCTGTTGTCATGCATTTGACTGAGTTGACTGTTTTTCTTTAATGAAAATGTATAACCAATGGCTAAATTGTTTCTCAAATTTTTTTTAATTTTTGTTCATTGGTAATAACGCTAGTAGTATTTTTAAGAAAGTTCTTGTACATTAAGTGGTCAATCATGGCATAAAATGGAATTTTTTTAATTGCCTTTTATAATACCTCTTTACCGTGGGACCTGTGCTTAGTGGTCAACCTGAATTTAGCAGTCACCTTGTCATTCCCCTAGGTGACAGCTTAATACAGGCTCAACTGTATTAACCATACCATATTTGGAAATCTTGGAGTCTTCTGGAGAAGAACCTTTTCATTAGCTTATTCAGCTTTTGCTAAGGAATCATGACCCCAGCAGAGTTTTATCCTCTTCATTTATAGCCCTATTCAAATTGTTCATTTAGTACAAGGCAAATTTCTAGACTCATCATTTCATCTAGCCTGCCTTTAAGATGAATACCTTAATTTATAAATGGAAAATTTAATTGAAGTATGGCAACAATGACATCAACTTACAGATATCTTTGTGAAAATGTACAGAAGAAGAGATAAAACTGAAAGCCACATTCTAAGTCTTCTTCCTCCATAGCGACGGGAAATATATTCTGGAAGGGTACAGATCTGCACACAACAAAGAAAAAACGATAACATCCTGATGTTAGTAATTAACCCTTTGACCCCTCAGAGTTACTTAGCACCTAATTTCTTCTTACAGCATCACCCCTGAATCACACATAAAGGCCATGAGAATAAAGGAAATGATCACCAACTTAAGAGGCTATTGATTGTCAAACAAATTCTCCTTGCCAGCACCTTAGGAAACATATGGAGAACACTATGGAGAATATGGATACTGATGCATCAGGTTAACTGATACTAGTTAGTGAGTTCAGGCATGTCATTTATGGCAAATGACAAAAAAAGACTCAAATTTTGATCAATTTTCCTCTGATTCTTAAATAAACACTGAGGAAAAACTGCAAGAAATTGTTTGTTCATTGTTAATTTGAAGATCTTTACTCTTAAAAGCCGACAGTAACTAGTTCAGTTTTGACCATTTGTCATTTGCCAGTGTCTAACACAGCATCTCAAATTGTTGCTATTTATTAACCCTTTTGTATTGAAATTGTCGTCTCTTGTGTTGCCAGCATCAAGCAATTTTGAAAAGAAAAATGAAAATGACACATTCATTTCCTAATTAGTAATTCCTATTTAAAGCCATTCCATTCAGGGCATTTTCTAATATAATACTATGTTTGTATAAGAGGCCATTTCAAAGAATTCAGTTACAATGGAAGAAAGCCAAATTCTATCAAAATATCTTGTTATGTGGCCAGAAAAAAATAATTAGCTATCATTGGTATTTAAAGATGTCAAAGCTTTTTCTTTTTAAGAGGAAAACTCCATACATCTTGACATAGTTGTTTGCTTAAGCAAAATTTTTTAATGAAAACTTACCCCACCAGCAATATAAACTGGTAGAAACACCCAGCCAAGCAACTGTAGAAGAATTATTGCCTAATAAAAGAACAAACAAAAATCAGAATCACTGGTCTCAACAACTCAGTCTACTCCAAGCCTTCAGATACTATATCTACCAACTTTTTTGGAGTAAAAGGTGAGAGACTTTCATCTTTGAAGTGTCTGCCATTTCATGGAGAGCTCATGCAGTTATATCAGATTATGCAAAAATATCTGCTGCACCTTGTCCTGTACAAGCATAGGTTTTTGCTAATTCACAGCATTTTCCAGGACAGTCACACTGTCTCTAATCTTAATTCTGCACAAAGCAACCCTCTAAAACTCACAACTCAAAGGCTCAATTGACAAACTAATTTTTTACATCAACAAAATGCTCCACTCCCATCTTTGCATATGAGGTTTTTTAACTGTTTGCTCCTCATCAAAAAATCAAACAGCATAGAATTTTTAAAAAAATGACAAAATCTTGACAAACTCTTGGTTTTTGTTTGTTTGTTTGTTTTGTTTTGTTGTGGTGCACACTTACTTCCACTCCTACAAGTTACCAACCAATTCCATTGGGTATTGGTAATGAAACACCAGCAGTTATTCAGATATTACAACTCTATCCAAATCTCATCTGCTTAAATTAACAAATTAACTTTTGATAAACTATTTACATTGAACTCAAATGCTCCAACTCCAATTCCGCCAGCTGCTCCTGATCCTGCTAATCCAATAAAATGTTCACTGCCAATGTTGCTTGCAAAAAGTGATGCACCAACCTATTTTCAAAACATATTTTCCATTAACATGATGTTAATCTCAACTGCCATTTGATAAAATAATTATTACAGTTCACCACATTTAGTCATTTATCAACCCTTCCAAGCTGCCACTATTCTAGTGGCCATGGCAAGCAGAAAAAAAAAAAGGATTGGAAATTGAATTTTTGGCAAAAGTAGCATAATATGGGCACCTGACTATTCAGTTTTCAAAAAGTGAGCCATAACATTTTAATTATTTAATTCTTATAATCTCCAGGTAGGTGAGATACACATTTCCATAAAACATATATTGATGCTTCAAGGGTATAACACAAATTTATAGAAAATATGAAATTTAACCAAATCCAGAAAGGAGGCCTTCTGGGAGATCAACTTACCCACTTAAAACAAAAGTAGTTTAAAGGGGCTAAACCCCAAAAATCATACTAAAAGAGAACTAGTTGCCACTAAGATTATTCATAAATGTTTGTTAAAATATACATTCCTATTACAGGTCAAATGAATGCAAGAAAAAATGACAGAGAAACCCAATAACAACATGGAACAGGGTTTTATCCCTTTAACTCCCAAGAGTGACCAAGACAGAATTTCTCCTTACAATCTCAATACATTATCACACAGACAAGTGACAAGAATAAAGAAATAAATCAATCAGGGGATTATTAGTTTATCAAATACCAAATTCTCCAAACTAATATCATAAGGATTATATAGTGACAGTAACGAGAACTTGGGAATGAAAGGTTTATCAATAAAAGCCTTCTTTACAATTAAACAAGATAACTTTACATACTGGAAGCCAGGTCATAAATCGTCCAGCCAAGAAATAGCCACTGACAGTTCCACGGTTGGACTTGAACATAGCCTGTAAGAAATTATACAAATTATTGTGGTCATCGTGAACAGTGGCATTCACAAATAGATTTAATAGAAGTTATAAAATTTCAGCTGAATGCATCCATAGTAAAAGGATGTTATCATTAGTTTTAAGCATAGGACGAAAAAAAAGGACACTCTGCTAAAATTCAAACCTCTGCCCTTCTGATTTCTCAGTCTGATGCTCTAGCAAGTACCACTGTCCTCCGGGGATGAGATAAGAGATAAGATAAACTTTATTTATTTATTCACGGTGGCCCATTCAGCTACAAAGCTGGTATCTATATAAGCTTGGCTATCGTATATTCTAAGTTAATATGTGATAAGCATCTCAGACAATTTTGAAATCAACAATATGTAATGCATAATATGAGCGTAACTAGGTAGTAAAATTTTAGCCGGTAATTGAATAAAGAAAGGTGTTTTGTCACAATTAGGGAGGGGAGAGAGAGGTAACATAAGAGTACCCTAGAAGGGCAACATAGTATATTGCCTGTAGCTTGGACAGTGGTAGAGCATTTGACTGGGAAATTTTAAGGATCCTTGTTGGGCACTTGTTGCTATCCTATATGAGTGACAAACAAGAACATCTTTACTGACCAACAAGGTAAAATAGTGAATACTTAGAGCTTATTGTTCCCCATCACTTATGTTTTAGTATTGGACTGTCACTGATTGACACAATTTGTGAGTATGTTACTACCAGGAAACCATGTAATTGATAAAGAAGGTCTATTTGTTTTAATAAATCAACCTGAGAGAAACTTATGCGTAACATAATTGATTAAAGGATCTGTATCATTAGTTCTTGAATGCAAATTTCAAACGCAGGCATCCTCCAAGTATGTGCTTGAGTAATTACTGTCTGGATTAATTACAAAAAAAAACACAATAGACGCTATTGTTATTCAATGACATGTAAATGAGTTGCGGGGTATTCTGAAGTTGCTCCACAAAAAATTCACAGAGACTCATGAACAATCAGTTCAGGTTTGTGTCCAAGCTTTACTAAAAGAATGTATCTAGTTTTCTGTTTTGCTTTACAGTAAACCACATTAGAACCAGTGTTCAGTGTTAATTGGAAAACTTTGTGAAAATCATGGGTTAATTTTCACGAAGTGTTAAAATGTTTTCACATGATTTTCAAATATTTTTTCACATGCCTTTCACGTAGCAGATTTCACACGATTGTCGACTGTCATGCAATCACCTCGTATCACATTATTCTAAAGAACCAATCATTTTCGTTAGCGTCAGACGCTTCTTCTGTGTCAAAGTTTATGCACAAAATTTGCGTGTGGAGCCCTCACCCAAGTGATAAACTTTTTTCCTTTTTTTATTGAGTTCTTCCCAAACAGTAACTTAATATTTGTTTTTAAATTAGCACACTCGACAAAACAAAAGATTACAGAGAAATAATACACAAGTATTAATGTTACCAGCCGCAACAGCGGAAATAGCATTGTTCGCTAACTACGACTTATTATCGATGAAACGTACGATAAATATTAGAGTTAAGGAATATCTAAAACCAACAGGTGCTTTGGAAATTTTGTTATCAAATAAATATGAAATAGAGAGGTAATCACATGAATAATCAAACATTCTTAATTCGTGTGATTATGTCTAACCCACCGATATTGTAACTCTCCGATGAAAGGAATTCGCTCTCAACTTACGTTGGTTAAATGTGTAAACACTTGAGACCACGCGTTTGCAATTTCCTTGTGTTTAAAAGTGTATCAGTGATCTAGTCTGAATTTCGTTAAGATTTGAGAGACCCGTCTGCAGTAAGGCAAACTCAGAAATAGTTGTCACCTCTGAAAGCGCAAGGTGTACGATGTTTAGCGAGATCATAAAAACCAAACAAGTTAATTACTGTTATTATTATTATTCTTTCCGGCCGAGAACACGCTAAAAGCCCGTCAACAAAGGTGGAAATTGCCGAGATATTAATGCCATTAAATTGCAGTTTTAGCTGTTCAAACCTACAAAATAATTCGAAGCTGTGACATTCATACCCAATCGAGCCGACTTTGAAATGAACAAAGCACATAGCTGGGTGTTGGGCCAAAGAAACAGCTGAACACAGGCTTCGCTAAGCTCAGCTTGACTCAAAAGATAAACAGCAAACTGAATTGAGGAATACTCACGAAAAGTCCAACACCAAGTATGACAATAAAATACAGCACAACTATCACAATGTCCCATGCCTCCAGTCCGGGCGGTTTGTATTGAGTTTCAGCCATAATTAACACCACCCAGCTTCGCCTTAGACGCAACCCACACTGGTGTAAGATGAATGATTATGCCAACGTCACTCTTTTGGTTTAATTTTTCGCAGGATTACGAAGTCACGGAATAACAACGTTGATTGGTCAACAATTGTAAACTGGTACCATAAATGTGTGTTCTGATTGGTTCCCGGAAAAAAAGCTTTAGATTGGTGTCTGATTCCTAACAAAACTAGTTAGAGCAAGTAAATCGCGGGGCAGGAAGGTGTTGTCTGAGCTCTTGATTTACTGAGCTGTGTTCTTCTTATTGTTTACTGAATCATCGTCACAATGGAACCAGGTATTTTTCGACGTAATTTGCTTTTAACAATTATTGGAGAGTCAATTTTTCTGACGATAAGTATGGACTAGTGTTCATAATGAATGCGGCTTCGATGTAAAGATCTGAGATTCGAAGTGTGTTTGAAAATCTTCAAGGCTCGTTAGTTTTAAAGGATGGCCTGCTACAATATATCGATCACGGAAAGATTTCCATATAAGCCCATACATCCAGAAAAAAACCGTAGTCCCAAAGCTAATCTATCGTTTTCGCCATCGTTTTGATTCTCCTTGAGCTGTATGCTTAATGAAGCATGGGCCTGTGCAGAAATGTTACCACAGTCACGCAATTCTCCATGTTTCTCTTCGTCATAAGGGCACAAAACAACGCTGAATCTTACTTCGTGAGATTCACTCATTTGTTCAAAAACAGATTGCTCGAGATCTAAGGGATTGGTGGATAGTTCAATCCTTCTCGTGGCGGACATAGAATTCGAAAAGAACAATGCGCTTTCTAGCAACGCTGTTACTCACTTGGCGCAGCAGGGCACGGTCTCAAAATGAAGAGAAAAAATGCCCGGCAGTCAGAAATTTTCACATAATTTCCTCTGAGGGGTCTTTCAAACTTCTTAAGAATATGAAATGTTTGTTGAGAAATGTCAAGTGATTCAAAAAGAAAATTAAGTTGGTTTTCTTTAGCAGACAAATTCTCTAAGCCTATGCATACTATAGTATCGCTTGGTTGTCGACACTTGGAAATTCTACGCTTCTGACCAGACAACCGGGCACGGTTTTAAACGGACTAAATGCCCGGCAGTCAGAAATTTTCACCAAAAGGCCATCGATAATTGATCTAAGAACAAACTTGACATGGTTGTAAATTATTCCGGGTCTTGAGAAATGAGTTCGTCTTAGAGAAGGTTTCCTGCTCTTCAGACTGTGCGCCACTCAGCTTGGTTTTGAGATGACGTCGCCATTTGACCCTGATTCCAAGGATACAATGAAGGTTTCATTTTTCAAGAAGTTCCTCTTTGAAAAATACATTTCTTGCATGTTAAACCGTGGAAACGCCAAAGGAAATTATCGAAAGAACTTTTAAGCGAAAAAAAGGGAAAAAAGCCGGTGTCAGTATGTCAGTCCATGTTGGGTACGCGTTCATCACTTTTAGTAACGCTTCAATGTAGTGAAGAATAGATAGTACGTTTTGGCGAAGGGTGTGATCATCAAACCATTTTGAGGATGCATGATGGCGCTGTAGCTGAGTTGAAAAAATGAACCTTAAACCAGCAAAACGTGAATTAGACTGTTCCGTATAATTGATGTGATGCCAAAAAAGGGAAGAAAACATTCCTCTGCTTCATTTTTTTCAATGCTTCAATTGTTTTTGTGTATGTGTGCGAAAGGTTTGACGAGAAAAATGGTACGAGCACTGCCTAGAAACTGTTAGATCTTGTCGTTCAAGGTTCATGCTTTTTTAAGGATTCAACGTTTTTGCAATTCAATATGAACATAATTCATATAACACACAATACACATAACTGGTAACACTTTATTTTACTCCTTCGAAAAGCTAACACTTTTGGGGTCTTTTAAAATTCGCTGAGGAGGCTTATTTACCTTTTGAAACCTCTAACATGATCTTCAATTCAGAGTTTCACTTACTTGCCAGCACAACAACAGTTTCTTTAGAAGCTGGTAACTAAGCTTATTTGACTTGTTGCCCTCTGCGACCCGTGCTGAATATTTCCTTTCCAGATCGCTCCCATTTGCCTAACGAAAAGCTACCTGAAGTACATGACGTCGACCCTGAAGAAACGGACGAAGTAGCAACGTTGGGAGAGCATAAGTTACCTGATTTCTCCACAGCAGTTTTCTTCAATGAAATAAATTTTGATTGATTTCTTTACCTCCAAGCTCGAAGTCTACTTCCTCATATAAGGGCTGATGAATAACTTTAATTTCATTTCCATTGTCTTCTTGAGGATGAGGTTCATACTTATTTCGCCGCTGCGCCGCAGACTAACTCGAACATGAATCCAAACTCGAGTATGCCTTGTTGAAGAGAGCAATAGAAAATAAGCTCAAAAAATAGCTCTATGGCAGCCTCTGCCGCAAAGGCCGAGTGATTGACGTAATTTCGAGAGTTGGCGTTGATAAAGAAGGTAGGTTTCTAAAGAAATTGCAGTGCTGCGTTGTTGGGAGAGTAGAACCTGGTAATTTGATATTATCAGCTGAGTTAATGACGTAAATCGGCCACCGCAAAGAGTTTCAAAGTTTGCGTTTCGAGCGTCAGCCCTTCTTTAGCCCTTTGTTGGCGTTAAAAGTCGAACTTGAGGTTTTGTGATCCACAACGTCTGGTGCAGCTTCAGAGTTTCTTCTTCAGAAGTAAGTGATGTAGCGTCATCCGTTTTCGAAGCACTGTCTGTGATCCTTGAAAAGGGTCAAAAGTTGAAAGTTCAGCAACTCGAAGATAAAAAAGATTCAGGCTGAGCTTTGTTTGATAAAATCCTTAGATGAATGCCATCGCCTTTGTTACAGAACATTGAAATATTTGCTTCTCGATCACATTTTGAACTCTTACCAGATAAAGATGGCCAGCTTACACCATGCTTACGTCCAGAAATTTAAAACACCCTTTGCGGATCTCGGTCGGACAGACCCAAAATGTGTTTTAGATGATCTTGGTTATCTCTTGAGCAATTACTTGGAATTACCTACCTTCTTTTCACACAACTGTTGTGTTATCACAAAAGATGGAGAAGGAACACAGGCTTATTTGGATTATCTCGCAGACGCGACTGATCTTGACCTATCGACGTTACCACTCGTAGATATGGAAGTGCGTTATTCGTACAAGAACTATGATTGGCTAGACATGTTTGCATGGCTTGAATTCCAAAAGCGTTGCCTCTTATTGCTGATGGAGGTGCTTCTTCACGTGGCAAAATTCCCACCTCATAAAAAATCGTTTCCTTACTTCCATAGAGCCCTTACAGCATTTTTGAGAAACAACACCGAAGGAATTTGGCATGAAGGGAAAAAACACCACGTGCGTGTTACGGGAAGGCCTACAGCTAAAGAATGGGTCGACATCATACCACACTTTTCTTCTAGGTTCTTCATCCCTGCCTTCTAACTGATCCTGGAGGAAATCAAAGCAATCATTCCGAATGCAGAACTTAGTTATAGACGTTTTGTTGGGTCGGCCTTTCCTATCCGGTTATGTGCGCCTTGCCCAGTTATGGGATACTCCCAAGCTTCTGTGGGATCTTGCCTGTTTTGCAAAGGTAATCTTGTGATACGAATGGGAGCAATGTGCTTTTTCGCTGGGTTAGAGGGAAAGTCCTGGGTACCCGTTGCATTTGGCAAGATGTCCCTCATTGAATCGCGCGAGGCCATCGAGCACGGTCTCAAATAGACTAAATGCCTATTAAGGTATTAAGAAATTTTTACTAAAATGCCACTAAATGGTTCCTTGAATCTTCTAAAGCTAGAAAGAGAATCAGATATTTGTTTAGAAATGTCAAGTGATTTCAAAAGTTAATTTGGTTTTTAGTGGAAAAATTATCCGAGCTTGAACGTTCTGGAATGTTTATGTGTTTTAGTATGTTACGGAAAAACCAACATTACTAAACAAACATTGAATATACTCAAGAGGTTTGTATGAGGTTTTCAGTGGCATTTTTGTGAAAATTTCTGACTGCCTGGCATTTAGTCCTTTTGAGACCGTGCCCAGTAGTCTGATCAGAAGTGTAAGTGTCAACAATCAAGCGATATATATCATGAAGCCCTGTTCAAACGGTCATGATAGTTGATGATAATTTGCGATAGTTTCAACTTCCATTTAGTATCATTGACTATCTTGTTTGCGTTCGAACGGTTCACGATATTTTCTGTTAGTTGCCGAAATCACGCATCGGGTTCGCGTAATCGGTTAACAAATATGGCGCGCGCTGAGGTCAGCAAAGCTCGGTGGCATTTCAAATTTTAAAAAAGAAGTTGCGAGTTGAAGATACTGAAGCCTACGAGGAAATGATACGAATGGACTACGAAATATTTTACGGTTACTTTAGTCATTTTACCATTTCGGTTTGAGCCTGTTTTTGGCAAAACTGCTGATCATCCGCCCGTTCAAACAGCAAAAATATTTCATCGACTATCAGGTCGAATTTGAAAATGTTCAAACTACATGGTTGTTGGTGATAGTCGATGATAGTTCTTGTTTAAATACGCCTGATAGTTGAAACTATCATAAAAAATTATGACCGTTTGTACGGGGCTTAACACTGAAACTGTAATCTTCTCCTCCTCTCTCCCCTTTAAAACATTTTTTTCATTCACACATGCCGTGCACCATATGAGAAATTTAGCCAATCACAGCCACAGATTTTGAACTTAAAATTGCAAATTGAAGTAGACAGTTTCATGTACTCTTGTTGTTTTTTAAGAGTTTATTTGAGTTTTTTAACTTTTTAATCTCAAATCGGTCACTTTTTTAACATGAAGTGATATCTTTCTAAGTCTTCATTTTCGACAAAATGTGGTAAATCTCTATTAACGATTTCCCGGGTGAAACTGTAGGCGGGATGAAGGAAGCGTTATACGCTGATGATACCAAGCTGTATAAAAACGTCAGCTCCGTCAGCGATTGCCTGTCTCTGCTGACCACTCTAGCGAACTTGAATGACTGGTCAAAGAGAAATAACATCAACTTCAACACCTCGAAATGCAAAACGCTTAGAAAACCCCCTTGATTCACGAGTATACTCTAGACAACACACAACTTGTGCGAGTGTCCACGGAAAAAGTTACAATTACGAGTACGTTGTCTTGGCGCTCTCATATACACCATCACCACTAAAACCAACAAGCTCCTTAGGCTTCTAAAGTGGACATGTCCCATACTAACTGACGTGTCTACCCGGTGCACGCCATACTTATCGCTAGTCAAGTCACAACTCTGCTACGCTACTCAAGTCTGGTCGCCTGCCCAACCAAATTGAGTGACCAATGTACTTGTCGACAAAACATCGCTTTTAAGAACTTTCCTTACGGTGATGTATTAGGTAGTGAAGGAAGAAAAGCGCTGAATGCTTGTGTGAAAGTCAAGATTTACGGCACAAATCGAGCGAGTGCAGCGGCGCGCTACCAGATGGATCTTACAAACCCGGATTGGCGAGATGTCAGTATAGAGATAGACTTAATACCCCGAACTTACTCTCTCTTACCTACGACAGAGAACGGAAAGACCTGGTATTCTTATATAAGTTCTTATTTAATCATACTCACCCTAATGTACATAGTTTCACAAACTTTATTTCTCACGGCCGTACTAGACCAAGTAACCCCTTAAATTTAAAAGCACCAATCTGTAAAACGAGCACTTTTCAGGCCTCCTACTTTAATCGCATTGTGAAACTTTGGAATTACTCTTGTTCATTGCTCCTTCTTCTAGTTTTTCTAGTCCGCTCTCCTTCCAGCTTTTAGTTAAACAAACACTTTTTGACCACCTGAGAACGTCCTTTGACATTGACTGGCCCTGCACGTGGACACTAGTTAAAACTTGCTCGTACCACAAGCTATAGGTGCAGCTGACAACACACAGACTTGTTGTATAATTTAGATTTCTTGTGTTTTATTGTATTTTAGCTACAGGGCGGTGCCCCGCATGGGACGCCGGTCCCGTTCGCACCTGCCCTTTTGGGTTAGAACTATTTTTGTTCCCATCTTTATTTATTTATTTTTGTCTCTATGTAATATATTTTTGTAGTTAGTACTATGTTATAAACCCAATAAAGTGGTAAAAATAAATAATTTGATAATTTCATTGCGTCTTCTATCACGGAGTTGGATTTCATAGCTCTAGCCTCTTTTTTGAAAAAAAAAAGTTTTACACCCCACTTGTAGTTGTAGTTGTACACTCTGGGTAGAGCATAACGTGACATCCTAAAGAACTTCGCTCTGACGAATGACTAACGCTAGAAACGTCAGCTTTAGAAACTCCTTATGATGGCCAATTTACATTATCAACTCAGTTGGTATTAAAGCAGTTTGTCTTGTAATACCCCTCAACCGACGTAGCACCTCAGTTTGTTTAGAAACTTAGGACCTTTCCGCACTGGCGAAAAAGTTGTTTATTTAGAAAAATTTTCTGTCATTACCAACATTTTACAAGTGCAGATGGTTTGTCGCGACTTGAAAAATTTTGGCCGAAGAGGACAAATCTTGAAACGCACCGTCGACAAAATTTGTCCGGGTAAAAACTGGACAAAGTCGACTAAATAAACAAAACCGTGATAAACTTGTCAATCATTTGTCGCAAAAACTACGACCAGCTTGTAATTGAACTGAAATCAGTTTACTATAGAGGCAAAAATTGTCATTTGTTGCAAAACTCGGGGATTCTAAAATTTTATCACGACTAAGGATAAATTCTGTAAACTGGAGGTGGAATCCCATGCCAAACTATATTGGCCGGTCTTGTGAACAGATCAGGCGCTGACAGAATTTGATGGCTTTAAATTTTTTTCATGCAGATACAACAGACGAAACAAAAATCTGTCATGACAAAATTTGTCTTTTGATTTTGTCAGACAACTCGGCGTTTAAATTGCGCGGCTACCAAGGAATTGCACCATTTTTTGGAGGAAGAGGAGAAAGGAAAGTGCGTGCGATGGTAAATACTAATCTGCGATCTAGCAATTGCCAAAAGTAAACGAAGGAGATCAGGCCTTCATTCTTTCACAAGCCCAGCCAAAATGAGTGACTATTGTACTTGTCGACCAAACATCGCTTTTAACAACTTTCCTTTCGGTGATGTGTTGGGTAGTGAAGGAAGAAAAGCGCTGAATGCTTGTGTGAAAGTCAAGATTTACGGCAAACCAGAAGTTCGGAGATATGACGCACTCTCAACGCGGAAGCGATTTTGCCGTTGTTATGTTGGGCAAGAGGGACTAGGGTCACGACATGTCGACAACGAATTTAAAATACCGTTTCATACTGATAAAAATGCGAAAACTTACAATATCGTTGCTATTCACAACGCACTTGTTAAGTTTGATAACATGCCTTACGTCGAGATATACCCAAAATTAGGAACCGGCTCTGACGAGATAAAAAAGTTGATTGACAAAAGAAGAGGTGACGTGGAAAAAGAGTGGAATGAAGCTAAAGCTAATCCAGGTGGAAGACAGAAATATTCTTTGGCTGTTGCTCAGCGCCGAGTTAAAGATTGTTATGCAGGAAACTTTCGATCGAACCGTAGGTTGTTGCACCCTTCTACCTTTGGAGAATCTTTCAGCATCAAGGACATTTATGATTCAGTACAGTACAATGATGAAAGGATTCTGGAAACATGCTGTTACCAGAATAGAGACGTGTACGAGCAAATCAGGGAACTCAGAGCTGATGTTGAAACCAAGTATAACGAATCTGCTGCTTCTACAGGAACTCTCCACAAATATACCCAAGAAGAAGCAAAACAGCTTTTGCAAAATTGTTACTATAGTTATAGGAACCATTGCCCCCCAAGAAATTCACTGATGGAAAAAGATCCTGATGGTTGCGGCATATGTGGAATTAAACCTTTGGTATGTATTTTTCAAATTCATGATTTTCTTCGCAAATATGACAACCAAATGCAGCAGTTTCACAAATACCCTGAACAAGGACCTGGATCTGATGAACTAAAGAGATCAATTGATGCACACAGAGCTGACTTGAAAGAGGAGTACGAGAACTTTCGCAAGGGTGGTGAATCCAGGCCATCAGCTTGCAAGTATTCATATAGTGAGGCGAATCGTCGAGTTGGAGATTGTTATGCCAGTACCGGTCCTGGCACTGTTGACTTATTTCCCCAAAAGAAAGATCAGGTTGGAATGCCAAGGATTTACCAAACTTTTGATATATTTGACATAAAAACATCTCTAGATTATTTTGACACAAAATTGTTTCTGGAAAAGTATCCAGACAAAGGACATATTACTGATGAATTAAAAAGAGAGATTGAAGAAAACAGAGCTATCATTGCACATGAGTACAAGGAAGCCACAGCTATTGATGAAGTTGAGCATGGCTCTGGATTTATCATCCAAGATCACTTTGTACTCACTAACAGGCATGTGATTGAAACCTATCTAGATGATGAACATAGTTATGAAATTCGCTTTTCCAATGAATCCATCAGTGAACTGTCATGCAAGGTTGCTCATGTTGATCCAGGTAAAGATTTGGCATTACTGTATTGTCCAGATCTTAATTTACAAGAAAGTGGAATTTGTCCATTGCAGTTATCAACCCAGCCATTGCTACCAGGAATGCAGATATTTTCTTTTGGTTATCCCATGAGTCACACTGAAGAAACTGCTCTTTTTGTGAATGGAAATGTCTCTGGTTCAAAGAGGACCCTATCAGGCCATTCTATGGCAGTGTTGAACTGCTCACTGAATTCTGGGAATTCAGGGGGTCCAGTTCTGTCCTGGGTAGATGGTGAGGTTAGAGTAGTTGGTGTTGCAACTCAGAAACATTTCAGTAGGATTTTAACTCCTGTTGAAACGAAGGTGATTGGAAATTTGAGAGAATCAATGCAAGCCCAAACTATTTCTGATGTGCAAGAACGTGATTTAAAAGCCCTCTCTAGGAGATGCATAGAGGAACACATTCCCAGGTCCTGTCAGGATTCAATAAATCTGCTCACTTTAAAACTGTATGATGCTTTGGAAACACATTCTCAATTCAATTTAAGCAATGCATTACCTGGAGATTTGGTGGTTCAGTTTATCAAAAACTTCATCTCTGAATACAATGGAGAGCATAAAGAAGAGTTGATCAAGATTGTTGTCGTTGGACATAATTTGTAGTAAAAAATGAGAAACACTTTTTTAGGAGTACTAAGGTCAGAGGTTGAGATTCAGTCTAAGATGGATCAAAGAAATGTGACAGCAGGTGGGCAATGAGTTTAGTATAACTGTCCAGAAATGCCTGTTTTGTTAAACAGGCCCTGCTACTTTTAATGGCTCATAATTATTATTTGCATTTGGTTAAGTTTGTTAATTTTTTAATAATTATCTCTCTCAAAGAGAAATTTGGTTAATTAAGCAATAATGAACTGTATGAAGAAACTATGAACTTTGTGATAATGGATTATCATTTTTCATTACTGATTCTCTTGAACTATCATCAATTTAAAGTGAGTATTATTGCCCCCGCAGGGTTTTTGGCCCCAGAGGGCCAAAAACCCGAGGAGGCACCTTAGGACTCCCCGCGTAATATAGAGGAAGACTGGAGAAGAGGGAATGTGGGTATTTTCGGTAGATCATAACCAAAAAAAAATCTCGATTTGATCGCTTGCACGGCCGCAAGGTATCAACGTTTTTCCCTAAAATGGTCATGGGCTGCCAGTAAAAAGACACGCGTGAGGACTTTTGGGATCGGCGTCTTTGACAAAGAGATTTGTCCTAGTATAGAGGAAGACTGGAGAAGAGAGAATGTAGGTGTTTTCGGTTGATCGTAACAAAAAAAAAATCTCGATTTGAAACGGCCGCAAGGTATCAACGTTTTTCCTGCAAATGGTCATAACTACACAACTGTAAACAACAAGCCCAACTCAAAAAAAAAAAAAAGAAAATGGTACTGTAGGGTGGGGGCAGCTCTAGTGAGAACTATAACTAGTGTAGTAATAGTGTTGTTTGGATTTCTTAAAATAATTGTGGGATACCTTGGGGCTCTTAAAACATAAATGTTAAAAATGTAAAGTAGTATCTGCCACCTAATAGTGGTTCAGAATTTCTATCATCTGTGGTGGATAAAGTCTCATAATTTTTTGAGAACTCTCATACTTAAAAAGACTCTGTTTTAGAGAAGTTTGTTAAATTTAGCAAAAGGAGGACAAAAACTTTAAAGAAATTGTGGTATCACCAAAAAGGGCTACCATTTTGTAGAGATAATTTTAACTTGGACTTCTCAATTTTTTGTTTTTCATTTTATCATATATGCAAAGTTTTTCTCTTGAAATAATTGTTAGGTGCTGTGAGGCACCTACTAAATAATCTGGTGTTGCTCAGCTCTTAAAAGCTATTATGAAAGCAGTTATAAAAGTCTCCTAGAAATAAAGTGAATGTCCTCTACCACATGGGTTCCACCAGAGCATAGCTCCAAACAAGTGTAATTTAGCTTATGCATATCTTAAGCATTTCATAATTTTTTTTAACCTTAAGATGTATTTTTAATTTTTTTTATCAAGTTTACTGTTAAGAAGTGCAGTTTTGATGTATAAATTGTAATGTTCTTGTAATTGAACTATATTAATTTTGTTTCTTTCACTTATGATATTTGTTTCCAGTCCTTTGTTTTGTTTTGTTTTTTAACTCAGCTTTAGTATCTTTATACCATAGACCACACTTTTTATTGGTTTCCTAGTGTAATAACCTATGCAGGATGCTGAGAGAACACAAGCAAAGTTTGTGGATATGAGCCAGAGGCAAGTGATTTACAAACTTTTCTTGTGTTTCTCTAACAACCCAAGTGGGTTATTATGCCAGTAAACTGAGGGAAGCTGCAGTCTATTGTGCTTTGAAATAAACTCATTTTTTTATTCTATGGGTTTCCTTGTGCAATTAATGATTTGTACTTAACCAATCAGGGCACTTGCAGTTTTTCAGTTATTTCATAAAAATGCAGAAAAACTATTTACATAGTTTCAAAATCTGAATGTCAATTTTATATACTAACAAGACCTACCTGTTTATGAGTGATAGACTTAATAATGCACATTTGCGTTCATCAATCTTCTGTTTCAAGCAAAGAAGTGTAACTAGCCATTTTTCAGAGATGCCAAGCTCTACTTTTTCTCTTTACTTCTCTTTTTTTGGACCAGAACCCCCCCCTTGACCAAATTTGCCTCCACCAAGCAATTTTGCAGGAAAAACATGGATCTATCTGTCAGGGACTTCAATTGGTTGAATACTCATCCAATCAGACTCTCCATTATATAGGAGTAAGAAAGAAGAAAGCATCTTCTTTTTGCTTACAATGAACAATGTGCATCACGCAAGAAAATGAGGCCAGAAACCATAATACAAGCATAAGAAGCCAAATGATTTTGGAATATATGTAGCCTGAATCTTCTTTGTGGGCAACTGATCCAAACTTCCTTTTTATCCAGGAGTTCTGGTCACCCGTACGGGAGAGTGGGAGATTGGCTGTGTATCTAGGAAAGTTGGCATATATGATTTTTGGTTTGTAATACCATTCTGCACGTTGCCAATATAGAGTGCAGGGGGAAGGGATGAGTGAAGTAGGCCAATGATTTGATGAAATTGTGTTTTATTACTGCTAAGGGTTTCTTAGGTATGCAGTCGAGTCCTTTACCATAAAATGTGGTGAATGTATTCATGACATTATTCTAACATTTCATGAGAAATCTCACCACTTTGAGAATTTCACCACCAAATGAAAAAACATATCCCGATGGTATGAAGTTCGTTAAGACATTGAGATGAGCCTTGCATACATACATACTTACATGCATACTGGTTTATTGCATCAATACCCTTAGTTATTAAGGAAAAAAGAATAAGCTACTCTTCAGGTATTGCCCAGACATAAACTGAAACAGAACGAATGAATTTATAATAATTATACAAACTGCGTTGGTTGAGTCACAAGCACTGCACTTGAGTGGAAAAATTCAATAGAAGTCTATTTCATGAAAACATTACTGTTCAGGAGAGCGCCCTGGGGACGAGGTAGCCTCTCATTCGCGGCTACCAAAGTATTGCACCATTCTTCAGACCAAGTACAAGAATTTCGAAAAGAGGACATCGGTAGAGTTTGACTACCAGTTTACGAACCAGCGGTATATTTGTACGGTGTTGGCTTTCCTATTTTGCCTACATATGAGAAGAAACTCTCACTGAAGAGCAGACATCGTTTCAATGGGTAGTTATTTCTCCACTCAATCCCCACCCGACAAGGTGGACAACAATGATGTGCTAGGAAACAAGGGAAGAAAAGTTTTGGATGCCTGTGTGAAGGTTAAGATTTACGGCAAGCCAGAAACACGCACATATGATTGCGAAAGAGCACGGCAACTATTTCGGGGGTGTTACGTGCATCAAATGGGAATAGAATACGATGAATTTCCGCAAGTTGAACCCGATGATAAGGCAGAGAAAATATACAGCATTGTTGATATTTACAACGCAATGGATAAGTATGACAACATGCCCTACGTTAAAATACATCCCAAAGAGCCTGACGCGAAGAAGATGAGAGAGTTGATTGATAAACGAAGAGCTGATGTTGAAAGAGAGTTGGAGGAAGCTAGAATTAACCCTGATGGAAGAAAAATGTATTCTTGGACTGTTGCACTGCATCGAGTTAGGGATTGCTATGCTGGGAACTTTCCAGAGGATAAAAACATTTTTTATATGTTTAGACATTGTAGTATCGAGGACATTAAGAAAGTTGTTGATGAGTATGATGGAAAAGCCATAGAAGTATTTAGTGACCAAAGCAAAAGCATAGACGAGAAAGTCCTTTTACATAGGGCTGACATTCAAAAGAAGTACAACGATGCTCTCACTTCTCCCGGCACTCTCTACAAATGTAGTGAAGAAAAAGCACAGGAAAGTTTAAAGAATTGTTACTCTGTTGCCCATGATCATCCGGATCTCAGACCTTACAACAGTTGCTACACATGTCATTATGAACCTGATTTCTGTATTTTTAAACTTCATAATGTAGTTAGCTGGAATGATATCAAATTGCTGCAGGTTAGCAAATACCCTGCTGAAGGACCTGGTTCTGAAGAGCTGAGGAATTCAATTGAAAGACACAGGGCAGATTTAGAGAAAGAATATCAGAACTTTTGTAACAGTGAAAAATCCAGGCTACCAGTTCATGAATATTCTCATGGAGAGGCACAGCGCCGTGTTAGAGATTGTTTTGCTAGTGCCATTCCTGGGGATAGTGATGTATTACCCACAAAGGAGGATCAGAGTGGAATGCCAAAGTTCTACCAAACTTTTGATATTTTTGACATAAAACAATCTCTGGATTATTTTGATGCCAAAAAGTTTCTTGAAAAGTATCCAGAAAAGGGACACATATCTGATGAAATGAAGAAAAGTGTTGATGAACAGAGAGAACATATTCTAAGGGAATATGAGATTGCCACTACCAATGTTGAAATTGAGCATGGTTCTGGATTTGTCATCAGTGACCACTTTATACTTACCAACAAGCATGTGATTCAAACCTGTCTATATCAAAAAGGCTTTGAAATTCACATTTCCAATGCTGCCATTGGTGAATTACACTGTGAGGTTGTTCACAGTGATCCTGGTAAGGATCTTGCATTACTGTATTGTCCAGGTCTCAATTTACATCAAAGTGGAATTTCTCCATTGCAATTGTCAACTCAGTTGTTGCTGCCAGGAATGGAGATATTTTCTTTTGGTTATCCCATGAGTCACACTGAAGAAACTGCTCTTTTTGTGAATGGAAATGTTTCTGGATCAAAGAGGAAGTTATATAACCCTTCAATGGCAGTATTGAATTGCTCACTGAATTCTGGCAATTCAGGGGGTCCAGTTCTGTCCTGGGTAGATGGTGAGGTAAGGGTAGTTGGCATTGCAACTCAGAAACATTTTAAACATATTTTATCACAGGATGAAAGGATTGCAATTAAAAATATTAGAGAATCATTGCAAACCCAAGCTATTTCTGATGTGCAAGAGCGTGATGTAAATTACCTCTCTCGTGGATCCTTTCTTAGAGGAATCCCCACTTCCTGTCATATTTCACTGCATCTGCTGACATTAAAACTGTACGATGCTTTGGAAACACATTCTCAATTCAATTTAAGCAATGCATTACCTGGAGATTTGGTGGTTGAGTTTATCAACAACTTCATCCCTGAATGCAATGGAGAGCATAAAGAAGAGTTGATCAAGGTTGTTGAATTGTCTCATTGAATCAATCAAACATTTGATATTCAATGTGGATCCTTTATGATTGCATGTCTAAGTTTTTTTAAGATTGTTGTTGTGGGACATAATTTGTAGTAAAAAATGAGAAACACTTTTTTTAGGAGTATTAACTGTCCAGAAATGCCTGTATTGTTAAACAGGCCCTGCTACTTTTAGTGGTTCATAATTATTATTTGCATGTGGTTAAGTTTGTTAATTTTTTAATAATTATCTCTCTCAAAGATAAATTAGGTTAATTAACCCTTTAACTCCCGTGAGTGACCAAGACAGAATTTCTCCCTACAATATCAACACAATATCAATCTGACAAGTGATGAGAATAACAAAAAATATCAATCAGGTAATTAGAAGTTGATCCAATACCAAATTCTCCAATCTAAAATTGCAAGAACTGTATGGCAGACAGTAAAGAGAATTACTAATGAGATCTAGGGAGTTAAAGGGTTAAGCAATAATGAACCGTATGAAGAAACTATGAACTTTGTGATAATGGATTATCATTTTTCATGCTGATTTTCTTAAACTATCATTAGAGTGAGTATTATAAAACAATTCAAATAGTACGCATGCTCTGATTGGCCATAAAACCATTTTACATGAGCGTATGTAAACATGGTTTTCGTTCCTCTTTCATTAGTTATTTTATAAAAGAAATGTAAAATGGTTTCCGTGTTTACATAGCCTGATGTAAACACGCGGGACTTGATAAGCTGGAAACCACTCCACTTCACGTCGTGGTTTCCAGCTTATCTCGTGTTCTCCCAACCTCCCGCATGTTTACATCAGGCTATGTAAACACGGAAACCATTTTACATTTCTTCATTATGTAGTAATAGTGTTGTTTGGATTTATTGAAATAATTGTGGGATACCTTAGGGCTCTTAAAACATAAATGTTTTTAATGTAAAAAGGTATCTGCCACCTGATAATGGTTCAGAATTTCTATCATCTATGGTGGATAAAGTCTCACAATTTTTTGAGAACTCTCATAGTTAAAAAGACTCTGTTTCAGAGAAGTTTGTTAAATTTAGCAAAAGGAGGACAAAAACTTTGAAGAAATTTTGGTATCACCAAAAAGGGCTACCATTTTGTAGAGATAAATTGAACTTGGACTTCTCAATTTTTTGTTTTTCATTTTACTATATATGCAAAGCTTTGCTCTTGGAAAAACTGTTAGGTGCTGTGAGGCACCTTCAAAATAATCAGGTGTTGCTCAGCTCTTAAAAGCTATTATAAAAGCAGTTATAAAAGTCTCCTAGAAATAAAGTTAATCTCCTCTACCACATGGGTTCCACCAGAGCACAGCTCCAAACAAGTGTAATTTAGCCTTTGCATATCTTAAGCATTTCATAATTCTTTTTTTTAACCTTGAGATGTATTTTAGGTGGATGTATCAGTGGTTGGTTTTTTTTTTTAAATTTTTGTTATCAAGTTTACTATCAAGAAGTGTAGTTTTGATGCATAAATTGTAATGTTCTTGTAATTAAACTGTATTAATTTTGTTTATTTCACTTATGATATTTGGTTCCAGTCCTTTGTTTTGTTTTGTAACTCAGCTTTAGTATCTTTATACAATAGACCACACTTTTTATTGGTTTCCTAGTGTAATAACCCATGCAGGATGCTGAGAAAACACAAGCAAAGTTTGTGGATATGAGCCAGAGGCAAGTGATTTACAAACTTTTCTTGTGTTTCTCTAACAACCCAAGTGGGTTATTATGCCAGTAAACTGACGGAAGCTGCAGTCTATTGCGCTTTGAAATAAACTTATTTTTTTATTCTATGGGTTTCCTTGTGCAATTAATGATTTGTTCTTAACCAATCAGGGCACTTGCAGTTTTTCAGTTATTTCATAAAAATGCAGAAAAACTATTTACATAGTTTCAAAATCTGAATGTCAATTTTATATAGTAACAAGACCTACCTGTTTATGAGTGATAGACTTAATAATGCACATTTGCATTCATCAATCTTCTGTTTCAAGCAAAGAAGAGTAACTAGCCATTTTTCAGAGATGCCAAGCTCTGGAGATCTTTTTTTGGACCAGATCCCCCCCCCTCAACCAAATTTGCCTCCACCAAGCAATTTTGCGGGAAAAACATGGATCTATCTGTCAGGGACTTCAATTGGTTGAATACTCATCCAATCAGACTCTCCATTATGTAGGAGTAACAAAGAAGAAAGCATCTTCTTTTTGCTTTCAACAAACAATGTACATCATGCAAGAAAATGAGGCCAGAAACCGTAATACAAGCATAAGAAGCCAAATGATTTTGGAATTTTGGAAGATATGTAGCCTGAATCTTCTTTGTGGGCAACTGATCCAAACTTCCTTTCTATCCAGGAGTTCTGGTCACCCATACGGGAGAGTGGGAGATTGGCTGTGTATCTAGGAAAGTTGGCATATATGAGTTTTGGTTTGTAATACCATTCTGCACGTTGCCAGTATAGAGTGCAGGGGGAAGGGATGAGTGAAGTAGGCCAATGATTTGATGAAATCATGTTTTATTACTGCTAAGGGTTTCCTAGGTATGCAGTCGAGTCCTTTACCATAAAATGTGGTGAATGTATTCATGATATTATTCTAACATTTCATGAGAAATCTCACCACTTTGAGAATTTCACCGCCAAATGAAAAAACATATCCCGATGGTATGAAGTTCGTTAAGACATTGAGATGAGTCTTGCATACATACATACTTACATGCATACTGGTTTATCGCATCAATACCCTTAGTTATTAAGGAAAAAAGAATAAGCTACTCTCCAGGTATTGCCCAGACATAAACTGAAACAGAACGAATGAATTTATAATAATTATACAAACTGCGTTGATTGAGTAACAAGCACTGCACTTGAGTGGAAAAATTCAATAGAAGTCTATTAGCTATTTCATGAAAACATTACTGTTCAGGAGAGCGCCCTGGGGACGAGGTAGCCTCTCATTGCGCGGCTAATAAAGTATTGCACCATTCTTCAGACCAAGTACAAGGATTTCGAAAAGAGGACATCGGTAGAGTTTGACTACCAGTTTACGAACCAGCGGTATATTTCTACGGTGTTGGCTTTCCTATTTTGCCTACATATGAGAAGAAACTCTCACTGAAGTGCAGACATCGTTTCAATGGGTAGTTATTTCTCCACTCAATCCCCACCAGACAAAGTGGACAACAATGATGTGCTAGGAAACAAGGGAAGAAAAGTTTTGGATGCCTGTGTGAAGGTTAAGATTTACGGCAAACCAGAAACACGCAGATATGATAGTGAAAGAGCACGGCAACTATTTTGGGGATGTTACGTGCATCAAATGGGAATAGAATACGGTGAATTTCCGCAAGCTGAACCCGGTGATAAGACAGAGAAAACATACAGCATTATTGATATTTACAAGGCAATGGATAAGTATGACAACATACCCTATGTTGAAATATATCCCGAAGGGCCTGACGCAAAGGAGATGAAAGAGTTGATTGATAAACGAAGAGCTGACGTTGAAAGAGAGTTGGTGGAAGCTAGACTTAACCCAGATGGAAGAAAAACGTATTCCTGGACTGTTGCACAGCACCGAGTTAGAAATTGCTATGCTGGGAACTTTCCAGAGGATGGATACATTTTTCCTTCTTTTGGATATTACAGTATCGAGGACATTAAGAAAGTTGTCGATTTGTATGATGAAAAAGCCATTGAAGTATTTAATGACGAAAGCAAAAGCATAGACGAGAAAGTCCTTTTACATAGGGCTGACATTCAAAAGAAATACAACGATGCTCTCACTTCTCCCAGCACTCTCTACAAATTTAGTAAAGAAAAAGCACAGGAAAGTTTAAAGAATTGTTACTCTGTTGCTCATGATCATCTGATTCTCAGAGCTTACAACAGTTGCTACACATGTCATGAACCTGATTTCTGTATTTTTAAACTTCATAATGTAGTTAGTTGGAATGATATCAAATTGCTGCAGGTTAGCAAATACCCTGCTGAAGGACCTGGTTCTGAAGAGCTGAGGAATTCAATTGAAAGACACAGGGCAGATTTAGAGAAAGAATATCAGAACTTTTGTAACAGTGAAAAATCCAGGCTACCAGTTCATGAATATTCTCATGGAGAGGCACAGCGCCATGTTAGAGATTGTTTTGCTAGTGCCATTCCTGGGGATAGTGATGTATTACCCACAAAGGAGGATCAGAGTGGAATGCCAAAGTTCTACCAAACTTTTGATATTTTTGACATAAAACAATCTCTGGATTATTTTGATGCCAAAAAGTTTCTTGAAAAGTATCCAGAAAAGGGACACATATCTGATGAAATAAAGAAATGTGTTGATGAACAGAGAGAAAATATTCTAAGGGAATATGAGATTGCCACTACCAATGCTGAAATTGAGCATGGTTCTGGATTTGTCATCAGTGACCACTTTATACTTACCAACAGGCATGTGATTGAAACCTGCCTATATCAAAAAGGCTTTGAAATTCGCATTTCCAATGCAGCCATTGGTGAATTACACTGTGAGGTTGTTCACAGTGATCCTGGTAAGGATCTTGCATTACTGTATTGTCCAGATCTCAATTCACATCAAAGTAGAATTTCTCCACTGCAGTTGTCAACTCAGCCATTGCTGCCAGGAATGCAGATATTTTCTTTTGGTTATCCTATGAGTCACACTGAAGAAACTGCTCTTTTTGTGAATGGAAATGTTTCTGGTTCAAAGAGGACCCTATCAGGCCATTCAAAGGCAGTATTGAACTGCTCACTGAATTCTGGCAATTCAGGGGGTCCAGTTCTGTCCTGGGTAGATGGTGAGGTAAGGGTAGTTGGCATTGCAACTCAGAAACATTTTAAAGAGATTTTAACACTGAAGGAAATGGATACAATTGAAAATATAAGAAAATCGTTGCAAACCAAAACTATTACTGATGTGCCAGAGTATGAAATAGATAGAAAAATAACAAAACAAATCCCCATGTCCTGTCAGGTTTCACTCCATCTGCTCACATTAAAACTGTACGATGCTTTGGAAACACATTCTCAATTCAATTTGAGCAATGCATTGCCTGGAGACTTGGTGGTTAAATTTATCAAAAACTTCATCGCTAAATATGAAGGGGAGAATAAAGAAGAGTTGATCAAGGTCATTAAAATTGTCTCAGTGAGTTCATCAAACAGTTAAAATTCTTTGCAGATCCTTCTTTATGATGATTATATATCTGATTTTTATGAGATTGTTAATAGACATAATTTGTAGTAAATATGAAAAACACTTTTTTTGGAATATCAAGCTCAGGAGTTGAGATTCAGTCTAAGATGGATCAAAGAACTGTGACAGATCCTTCTTTATGACGATATATCTAACTTTTATAGGAATGTTGGTGTAAGGTATAATTTGTATTAAAAGATAGGAAACACTTCCTTAGGAGTATTAAGTCCAGTCTAAGATGGATTGAAGTACTGGGTACTCATTTGGCTTTATATTGGTGTACCATGATTTCAGAATACCTGTCCAGAAAAGATTTCTGTATTGTTAAACAGGCCCTGGTTCTTTAAATGGTTCATAATTATCATCTGAGGATGGTAAAGTTGTGGAATTTTGTATATAGAAAAATTTGTAAGTAATCATGAACTGCATGAAGAAACTATGTTGAAATTGTAGTATTATAATACATATCTTTTGAACTCTCAACAAAATAGTAGGAGCATTGTGTTGTAATAATATTTGGATTTCTTAGAATAATTGTAGGGTGCCTTGAGGCTTTTATAAAAGAAATGTTTTTATTGTAAAAAAAGTATCTGCCACTCAATAATGGTTCAGAATTACTATTGTCTTTGGCCAGTAAAGATCCATAATTTTTTGATAACTTTCAAACCTAGCTAGATTGTGTCAGGGCTGTTTGTTTAGTTTAACAAAAGCATGACAAAAATTGTGAAGAAATTTTTGTATTACATCTTGCAGGAGTGAGTATTTCTATAAATAATGTTATTTCTAGTTGTCTAGTTTATTGCCATCTATTTTATTAAATGGGAAAAGTTTAATAAAAAATAGTTCTTTAGTTTATTGCCTTCTATTTTATTAAATGGGAAAAGCTTAATAAAAACTAGTTCTCTAGTTTATTGCCTTCTGTTTTATTAAATGGGAAGTTTTGCTTTCAGAAGAACTTTAGGGTTCCCCAAGTCTCTTACCAGAATATATCTAGGTTGCCCAGCACTTAAAAGCTCTCACAGAAAAAAAGTTTAGTCATCTATAAATAAAATTTATAAATAAAATTTATTATGTAACTTAACTATAAAATATATGATTATATATATATATCTATAAATAAAATGTCTATCATAAAACTCTTTGATAATTCCATGTCTATCATAGTACTTTGATAATTCCTTCTCAACCTCAAGATGTATTTTCAATCAATACACCAGTGTTTAGGTGGCTTTTTTGTCACATGAGCTGTTGAGAACAGATTTGTTGTGTAAATTGTAGTGTTCAAACAGGTGGGAGAAAGCCTGAATATATAATATTTTATGTAACCTAAATTTACTTTTTTTTTTAGCCCAGTGAAAGGCATATGTAGTGTTGTAGGAATGATTGAATTAAAAGCATTTAAAGGGCATAAATTGGTCCCTAAAATTTAATGAACACCAAAGTTACTTTCGTGCCCTGCTTCTGGTGGAGTCCAACTTATGTCTGGATGAGAAATTGCATAGGCATTTGTCTTACATTAGTCCAGCCAGTTGATTATGGCATACTGATGGCCCTTTGCTGTTGATATAATTGTGAACATATTAACATTACAAACTTTTGTTAAGGTCCACTTGTACTGAGAAATCAAATTTTCATGTAGCAGATTCTGGTCCAGCATCCCCATAATGTTTGTACATGAAAAATTACACAAACCCTTTAGGTTTTTCTTCTTCTCTGATTGAATTCTTAATTCTATGAAAAAAGGAACTTTGCTAAAACAGGCTTCATTACCCTAATTGTACAATGCAGTAAAGCTTAAGGGAAAACCAATAAGATAGAGTAACTCAGATCTCACCACACTCATGAGCAAATTATTGTTGAACCACCCAAAACTTTCAGGGCTCCAAGCTACTTTTTTTTCAGTCACCATTTGACTGCCTAATATTTAAAAATGGTCTTTGGAAATGATAGTTATATCAATTTGCATGCAATTGGTTTTGGAGATTCACAAGACATTACAGGACTAAATCTGGGATGACCCAAGTATTTGCCTCAATAACAATGCAATATCCCACAAAAAAGTTTACACAAGGTGCTTTATTTCAGACCATCACAGTTATTTGTTCACAAAATAAAATTAGCACATACACACAACAGCCCTTCCAGAAAGCCATTCACTAAAAATAATGGCAGGAATTCATCACTTCTAGATTGGGTATACAGTTTACAAGGCAAACAGGATTAAAAATGCCATCATCAAGCAGAAAAGACCCATAGCTTCAGACAAAGCAAAGCCAAGAATGGCGTATGAGAAGAGCTGTTGCTTCAGGGAAGGATTCCTGGCATAACCGATGATCAGACTGCCAAACACTGTACCAATACCAGCTCCACTACCTGAAGAATAAGAAAAACAATTTCAAAGTCAGAAGACAATTTGAAAAGAGGAAACAAAACTTTTAATGTAAAGCAAGCAAATGAAATATGCCACATAAAATATTTCCAGCCATCCTTTCCCAAGACACTGGCATGATTGAATTCAAGCTTGCTCTACGGCTGCTCAGCACTTAGTAGTGCAATTACCATAGTGTCAGAGTGTTACCAAATGGGCTTCTGCTTTCATGTCAGTTTTTTTATTACCCTACCTTTCCTAAGTTGCAAAGGTTTAACTCTTCAAGTAATTGACTGACCTGCTACACCGACAGTAGCTGCTCCAGCACCAATGAATTTAGCAGCAGAATCAACATCCTGTACCTGAGAACTTGTCTGAAAGCCTCGGCAGGCCACAGATAACATGGGAGAGGAAGGGAAAGCCTGAAAAAAGAAAAAGAAAAGAAAAATATATCAACATATACAATCATTGTACCAAAAAAGCATTGTTTACATGTACTGTTGCACATAGTCATGCCAGAATGGTTACTCAGTAACTAAAATCACAAGGTGTCTTTTAAATCTTCTCCAACAAAAGAATTACTAAGAAACTGGGAAGCTGACACTTCAGCTAGATGGTATTACTTCATAAAAAACTGCGTCTCTAGGAAAAGGAACTCCTTATTTGCCACAGCAAACTGAATGCCACAAACCAAAGTCAGTTTTTTACAAACTTTCAAAAATGACTAGAGAGAGTTACTTCAAGGGTTTTCAGTTATGACCTCTCTTGGAGAAAACCAGTCCTTGACTCACCTTCATTTGAACATTATCTTTTTGGATACCTGAAAATTGCACAATAAGGCAACAATCGTTATGAATAAACAACAGAAATCAAGAATATTTTTGTCTTGAGACAGGACATAAATAAAGATACAATCCGCTTACAAGGAAGTAGGTGGTTATCTCTAAGAGAGAAGACTGGACGTATTGCTCCATTTATTTAAAGTCAACACAATATTACACTACAGCCAAACTTACTAGGAAACTGACTTGACATGACAGCACGAGACAAATTAAAGATATTCCTGAAAGCAAAAAGTTACAGTAAGGCAAAATGTGACACCTTATCATCTAGAATAATTCACTTCCAAAACAAAAAGCCAAATTTTTCCAAAAACAACATTAACATTATCAATAACATTAAGAGAACTGATAATCCGATATTCTAACTTAGAACACATTTTTTTTGTCTGGTCAAAATGACAACATTGATTTCTGCAAAGCAGTTTGGCAATTTTTAGATCATTCACTTCCAAATCATGATAAAAGTAAAAATACATAACAAAAGTAGACAGAATTTTAAGGGTGCCTGCTACATGGAGGAAAACCTCAGCTGAAAACTGATCAACCAGCAGTCTCTTCCCTACACAATTACTTTCACCCTTTAACTCCCAAAATCTGACAGTTAATTCTCCCCTTTAGCTGATTCACATTTGCTTGCAAATTAGTTATGAGAACTTGGTGCTGGATCAAGATAGCTGTTTCTACTTGATAGGATTCAATATTATCATTGCCTGTTTGCTGAAAAATGCATGGATATTATTGGGAGAATTTCATGTTAATCTACTAGGAGTAAAAGGGTTAAGAACAAGCCATACTTACTTTGGCGTGGATTGAACATTCTGAAACAAACCAAAAAGACTAATCAACTCCAAAATTGCAATAAAAGTAACAAATTGAATGTAAAAAAAATCTTCTTTATCTTAAGATCGACACAGAAACTTTACACACTGTTTGTACATTTTCAAAAAATATATTAAATTGCTCACTATTCTGTGAAAGTCAATTGTTAATTTTCTTTGGGAATACGTTTAAACTGAGTAATTCATTTCACATAATCTTGCTTGCCTTATAAATATTCGTTTGAACACTGGAATCAAGAGTGCAACATTAAATCCTATATTGGATTCTCTCGGAATCCACCCCCAAGACTAAACGGCGAAAATGCTGGTCCAAGGGTGGCAGAGACTAGACTAAGCAAGCTATAACATTCCTTAAAGACGGTTTCCTACACTGCGAGGCTCCTATAGTTTCCCGGTGAACATTCCAACATTTCATGACGTCTAAACCTAGTATATTACACGTGCAAAATCAGCGACCAGTTGCACAAGCCGTGCCGGTTAATACGTTAAACGGCAAATCTGCTCAACACAACGATAAAAAAATGACCCTGGGTGAAATTAACATTTACTTGGCGTTTTTAAAGTTGTTTAGTTTAACCTCAAGCACTTTTACGGGGTACATACCATTGCCAAAGCTTGTGACTGGGGACGAATGGCCGTAGAGAGCGGCCGCGATAGTGCGCGACCATTGCCAACCTACAAATATTAGTGTATTTTCGTAAATTTACACCATAAACTCTGCAAAATCCCACCAATTTTTTACTTACAATACTCCTAGCGACTGGGGAGGTAAATTTACTGCAAGAAAACATCTTTTAGATAACTTCTTTGCCGATTAAGCCACGCTCCGTAATACTCTCCAAGATGGACGGCGAGGAGGGACGACGCTATGCAGGCTGGGAGATTCACAGCGACCGCTTGGTGTTCTGGATACTACCTCGCTTGTGTGTTCAGGGGATCGAGGCTGTACCTTGATTGGTAATCACGAGTAAGACTTTCATGGTCTTACAACGAATTTTATGACACCTAGAAATGACAATTTATTGATTTGTTTGTCGTTTCTTTTTTTTTTTAAGAGGAAATTTTAAGACACATTTACAGCATTTGGGTTGTGCTGGAATTTTCACAAGTCCTTTGTACCTGCCTCTGACACATTTTAGAGAAATTGTTCCAGTCGAATGAATCCTGGGAGGAGGGGATGGGACTAGGTGTAAAAGCCAGTGGTTGGCAGCAGCATCTCCCCAATCATCTCCCCCCCCCTTATTTTCTCCTACTTCATCACAGTAATACGGCTTTATAAGTAAGAATGCTTGTCCGTGTTCATGATTAAAGTTTATTAATTTCTTCAGTAGAAATGATTGTCCCTCTTGCCGTCTGAGTTAACTTTTATCAGTGCTCAAAAACTAACAGCCTTTCATGATGTATACTCAAACAAAAAACAAGAAGGTTTTGCTTTCAGGTTGCCTTTCATATAGAAGTGACTGCGTTATTATTATTTTTTGTCTGTTTGTTTATAAGCCCCCGTCGCGTGCATAATTTTCAGGAAATAATTTTTCTAATTTATCTAGTGTCCGAAATATTTTCGGTTCAAAATGAATACAGTTCCTTCGTATTTCACAGGAAAAAAATATTAGAACGTTCTAATAGACTATCTATAGTTCATCAGAATGAATTTCGGTAGTTTTGCTGTTTTCTGACACTAATTCAGCCTCGCTATCAGAATCTACATCAGCCACAATCTCCTCAACATCCTCATTGTCAGCCGGTGATTGAGCCTTCGTTCCCGTTTCCGCTGATTTCTGATCATGCACAGAGCTTGAATTCTGAAGATGTATCTCGCCTTCTATTTCAGGGGTTCCATCGAAGCCCATGTCCATAGCTACCCCTTCTAGTACATCCTTGCCATACATTGAAACCAGTTTCTTTAGGGCGGTTTCATAAAGTTCCTCCGGAATAATGTTTTCAAAGACGTCAGCCAGGAGAACCTCTCTTTCCTTAAGAAATTTTGCATCAGTCATGGCACCCTCGAAGAAAAATATCAGCGAGTACAAAGCCCTTTCCCAGGTCATAGGCTCCCAGCCGAGTAAGAGCTTAGCCTTACTGATATCTAGGGGACCTTTGGTAACAGTAGGATAAGAATACCACGTTTCCTCATCTTGAGAGATGAATTCCAGCTGGTCAATGTTCATTTTATCTGCCATGTCTCGGAGAAGTTTTTTCAATGTAAAATGCTCATCAAACGCCACATTGATGGCTTGATTGTGTACAGCGGGACCGACATCCAATACTTTCTCAATCGCTTTGGCGGCGTCTTCCACATGTATAAGGCTAAATTTTGTGTCGGACACACTGCTGGGCATATGTACCGGGTGTTTGATGTCTTTATGGATGCGTATCCACAACTGGTAGGTCCAAAACCGGAAGGAATTATCACGTGGTCCAATAACATCCGGGAGTCGCAAAGCCACATACGGGAATCCACTAGACTTTCTCTGTTCCTCGAGGACTTCCTCGCAAGCCAACTTGTCATGCGCATAGCCTTCTTCTCTCTTAAGTTGCAAGCGTTTTTTCCTGTTCTTCGGTCGCACGGCATCCTCTTCAACACTGGGCCCGGAGTGCGTTTTCTCGCAGACTTCATAGATAGAATCGGTGCTGATGTACACGTAAAGACCGACACGATCGTGCAGTATTTCGACCACCTGTTTTAACTGTCTTGCGTTGTACGAACTGAAATCGATTACAGCATCGTAATAACCGGAAGTTAAAATCTCCTTGCATTCAGTTCTCATTCGCATGTCTCTATCACAAATAAAATGCTCTTTTACAAATGGTTTGATTCGCTCGTCAGAATCAAAGTACCAATTCCCACGATTCACAATGGTGATCTCATCTCCTTTGTCTAAAAGTCTCCGTACAGCTTCGCTTCCAATGAATCCATTCCCACCAAATACCAGAATTTTTCGACCGCTTTTCCCATTTTTTCCTTCTCCTATAGATTCTTCGCCACAAGTGTAATGAAAATAGACCAGAAGATATGCTAGAAGCATAAATATTTCTCTAATCGCGTTCATCCGCATTGTGTAATTAGTGAATCTGAGCTAAACGACTTTCTATCACTTTCTTGCTCTTTTAGTAACGGAGAAAGTTCAGTTCACAGCTGTGTTTACTTTCTAACCGCGTAAGGTGTAAGCGATCCAACCACTAAAATAAACGCACGTTGTTTGCTTTTGAAAGCGAATAAAATCATTCTACGTTCCTAGAAATTTCATTGTTTTCTGCATAAAGATAACGTGTCCTTTTAGCGATTAATAGCCTTGAGTAAATTTTTGCGGCGATAGCACATGTGAGGTTATCGATGATCACACCTGTTCGCAACTCTATTTCTCTACGCGCGGTTGATTAGTAAAGCTCATCACACTAATTCTGCGTTAAATCGAAATGACCAACCTGTTAACGAGAAAGTCTGAATCGTGATGAATATTAAGACTTCTACCCGTTTCCGTGCTTATTTTCAATTCCCCAAACCTAACCTTTCCGCTCCCAGATCTCATTAGTAATTCTCTTGTGGGGAGTAGGTTATATTATTTTTGTGTTGTTAGTTTGAAGAACGTGTTTCGTCCTGGATCAATTAATAATCCCCAAATTGATATTTTTCTTTATTCTCATCACTTGCCTGCTTGATAATGTGTAGATATTGTAAGGAGAAATTCTGTCTTGGTCACTCATAAGAGTGAAAGGGTTAAGGCAAACTACCTTCAAACAGCTTGATTTGTAAACCATAAGGTATTATGCTAATTGTAGCGTGTTGAAAGCGAAGAATAAGATCTGAGACGATTACACTTAAGTGATTACAGTCACAAGTAAAAAAGCGATGATAACACGATACTGGTAATTCTAAAAATCAGTAGAAAACCTCATTTAATTTCACGACAAGCTCTGGTTAGTCGGTGATTAAATTTTTTTCCTCCACCATAAATGAGTGCAAAACGCTTTTAATTGTCCTAATTTTTGTGTGGCTTTTGATCTTTGGAACAAATTCTATGATCTCCAAACGGAAGAATTTTGAATTATCAGGATTTCTTTTCGGGACACACTTTTTTTTTCAAATTTGGGACACTTCTAAAGCGTCAAATTAGACTTTGACAGTGCATGCAGTTAAACTTGACCGCACAGAGAACTGAACAATGCCAAATGTTACATAAGTAACCTCTGAAGTTTGAAGTTGATATCTTTTCATGTACACAGTGAAAATAAACTTTGATACAGCTATGTAGACATTCCTACATTTACCACTTCTCTAGATTAAATGTTCAAAGTGCGAAAAATGTTCGAAAAACTTTTGGACCAAAGTTTTCCGCTCGAAATTCAAAATAATGGAAAGAGGGAAGATTAAGTTAATGAGTAAAAACACACACAGACGCACTCGTTTACAGCTCGATTTTTCTTACGGTTCATCGTTAACCCTTGAACTCCCAGAAGTGATCGACATGAAATTTCTCCCTATAATATCCGTACATTATCCAGAAAACAGGTAATGAGAATATTCAAACTTTTCAGGTAGAAGCTACTATCTTGACCTAGCACCAAGTTCTCATTACTAATTGAAAGGAAATGTGTAGCAGCTACAGAGGAGAATTAACAATCAGATCTTGAGAGTTTAAGGGTTAAAAAACAATGGTAACCTGCAAAGAGGAGAACTAAGGATATCACGATGGAAATCTCTCACGAGTTGTACACGTGTAATATTCTGAGGTGGACTACGAGAACGCAAGATTAAGTGGTTTTTTCCAATTTTGGAAAATACTACTTAGCAACATAGTTTCTAGTATTCAATTCTATCGGGCTCAAAGTTTTGCGAAAACCCGCAAAAATAGGATTCATGGATCAAAGTTCTGTTTAACAAATCACGGAAATTATGGACCCTGTACTGCTTGAATTTGACCACCCGTAAGCAGCAGAAATCAAAGCGCTCTCCAGCTTCTTTATTATACTGCTCACGTGTTCATCAGGTGATAGGCAAGACTTTGAAGTGTTTAATAACCCGTTCAATATCGACCCTAACATCATTCGTCTAACAAAACCATAATTGCGTTATGTTTCGAAGTCAATCAATCGTTGCAAGATAATAAGTCTGTCAAGACGATCTGTTGTTTCTCGGATGATTCGAGAGATCAATTCTTAACTTTGCCGGAAAACGCGTTACGACTGTATACCAACACAACAGTAGTATTCAGACAAGCTTGAAATCACGACAAGTTTTAGCCTTATCCAAGGGCTACAATTACAGCAACTTGTTTGAGATTATGTAACACTACCACGATAGTAGAGGGCAGAGAGAGTATGAGATATTAAAGCGAGACAAATAAAGTGGATTACACATGCTCGGCGGACTCGAAAATAACAGCTTATCTGTTGCGTGGCCTCTTCATGGTGTCTCAAAGAGATAAGATCCGCTTTCAAATAATGGAAACTCAACTTAACTCCATTTCTCAGTTTAAAGTTTGCAATCCGTCAGAATCGTTCCCACCTTCGACCATTTCAGACATAAACTAGCCTATTTTAACCAAAGCTACTTTTCTGACAGGTGTGAAAATGCTGATTAGAACAGTGACGATCAAATCTTATTCTAATTGACTAGCAATACATGCACAAGCAAGTTAATTCAACGCCGCAGCCAGTACTAAAACAAACCAAGCCCATAATATAAATCAATTTATTCACAAAGTTGTTATTTCTGTTGTAACCAAACCTCTACAAATCTATGGCAATGTTATTAATATACACAGTGTTTTAAAACTCATAAAATACAAGTGTTTTATTTGAGCGCAATATGTAGGCTATATACAAACGTGACTTGTGAGAAGAAAAATTCTCTCTCGACGAAAGAATGCTTGCGTATAAGGTACATGCATTATACCCACTTTGCCTTTTTTCGTTTTTCTTTTTTTCTTTACTTTTTTCCCCTGTTTTCGATTCTTCAATCACTCTTAGACTGTTATAGTGTCAAAAATCGAGGTTTGAACTTTAAACACACCCATCCGGGAGCAACAGACAACAAACTACACCTTAATCAAGAAAGAGCAACTAAAGGGGAACCAACAAAACCTTACTGCGCCTACGATAACACGCTTGCTCTAAGAATCTCTTTACTTTCTTTCGCAACTTTCTTTTCAGGAGTTGGCTCTCCGTTTCACACAACCAGCACTTCAAACCGTATTCCCAACCAAAAATATATACATTTTTTTAACCAAAGCCCTTTCTTGACATCTAAGGAAGCTAACTGCCTGGAAAAGCTCTTTTTACTCTTAAAATCCACTTCTACGATTTCTTTATTCTATTATCTTTTTGCTAGTTTTAAAACAATTCCTTTTCGAGGTGCTCCGCCAGGGTCGCTACTCGACCCCTGATCTGTAACAAGCTTGACTGTCCATTCGTTCTTCTCGCTACTTGCGTCAGAAGCCGGGCTTGCTAATGGAGAACACATCGGGCTACCGGGTGATGAGGCCGAAGGAGACGCAGGTACAGAAGATGCAGGTGTCGGAAGTGGTGTGGGCAGTTTGAGCGAAGAGAAATCCGATTCGGACAACGGAAACGTTCTATCCGGCCATGGGGGCACAGGTGGCCAAACATCTTCCTCATTCAAAGATTTTTCAGACCTTTCGGTCGAAGAAGACCTTCGATGCGGGAGCTTAGAGTCCGAGAAAGAGCGATGGAATTTCTCCATGGATGATACCAGTGTAGGCGTAGGTGTGGTAGTTGCAGATGGGGACAAAGACGATGCAGGAGGGTAGGGTATCGCGGCAGGAAAAGAGTTTGAATGTGGAAGAGAGTTTCCAGTCAATGTCGGTAATGGTGTGCTGCATATAGGTGTCCCGGGAGGGGTTCCTCCCTGGCTGTCTGGGTACCCTAGAGGGGATTGTGGATCTGAAAAGCTGATTTCACTGCTTTGCCTTGAGGTGCGCTTCCTTTTCTTTTTGATCAGTCCCAGAAACCGTTTACGTTCTTGCTCCTCACAGAGACGATGTCTTGAGATATACACATCATCTGTTGTATCTTCTGTTTCCTCCTTTTCAGTCTGATCATGATCCACCTGTGGAAAAGAAGTAATCTGCTTAAAGATCAATATGAACATTCTAAAACATCCCAATTCTATAATAAGTTATCAATTGTAACCTAAGGTTTCTAAAAAGCTACATCATGTAGAATGATTAAACCACAAGAGAGAGAGAGAAAAAAAAAACACCACACTGTTCAAAGGGATTGCAGGCTCAACTCTTCGTAAGCTTGTTACAATATTTAACTTCTGAAGAGATGGTAGGGATATTGTTGAAAGAAAAAAACCCAAACAAATCTGCAGAAGCACTGTTTCAAGATAAACATGCGGTAATGCTAAAACTTTATCATGCATACCTTAAAATCCACCCCCTCAGAAGTGAATTGTCATGTACCTCCCCCAGCCCCCCACCCAAAAAAAAAAGAATGAATTCTTTTTTACGAAAGCTTATCTTATTATAATCAGTGGAAGTTACCTCCATTTTCAGCTCGTCACCTTCAGATATCACATCATTTACACGCCAGCTAGGAGTTGGGATTTCTTTGTACTGAAGCTTTTCCACTCTTGTCGCAGAGGCCATGGAGTATGGGATAACAATGTTGTTAATATCAAATGCATTGCTACCTTTCTTCTTCTTTAACAAGGAGCTGAGGCTGGCTGGTGGCATAGACTGAGTGAGGTTTGGGGTAGGGCTGGGAGTGGAAGTCGGGGTGGAAGGAGAGGAAACCACAGTGGGAAGTGACAAGCTCCTTGCACGTTTCTGCAACTGGGCAGCTGTTGGAGGTAAATAAACCCAACTGTTACTACATAACTCCCAAGATCTCATTTGCCTTACAGTTCTTATGATGTTGGTTAAGAGAATTAGTAATTAAATCAAACAATAATCCCCTAATTGATATGTTCCTTTGTTTGCATTACTTGTCTGCTAGATATTATAATGATTTTGAAAGGAGACATTCTGTCTTTGTCATTGATGGGAGTCAAAGGAAATCACAGATGGAACAACTCTGGGTTTTTTCAACATGAGCTAAAATGAAAAAATGAAAAAATTGAGGATGCCTAAAAGATGTAAACTAGGTCTACTATCTTAAAATCTACTTCCTTCGCTCACATTTCTTACCAGCACTGATTGCAGCAGCTCGCTTCTTTCTGGCACCTTCAGCCTGACTGATCCTACTCTCAGAAGCTCTTGATGCACTCTTTGGTGTGGAAACAGAGTAGCCTCTCTTCCTCTCATACTTCTGATTGTGCAATTCTGAGATAACCAAAATTAAAATTAAAAACACACAACCATTTTTGACTCCTACTGTTTAAATGTTATCTTCTCAATAATTGTATAGTTGAAAGATACTATAACAAGTTCATACTCCAAAAGCACCAAAGACCCCTCATATGAATCAAGAAAATTTTATTTCAAAGCCACGAAAGTCTGATTCTCAAAAAAACAAACTCTGTTTCATGAAATTAGGATAGAATTAATGTTGCCACCATGTTTGGCTACCATTCCATGGCAGGTTCACTTGATCCTTTCACTCTTATGAGTGATCAAAAAAATTTCTCCTTACAATATCAATAAAATATCAAGCAGACAAGTGATGAGAATAAAGAAAAATATTAAGAGGATTAATAATTGATTCAGTACCAATTCTCCAATCTAATAAAAGCATTGTAGGACAGAAAGTGAGGAGAATTACTAGTGAGGCTCACATATAATATGTACAGTAATAACACCAGCATTAAGTTATCAGACTGAACAAAATATATTAATTGCAAATTAAATTAGGTCCTGGGATCTAAAACTTTCTAGCAAAGAAAAATAGCTTGATTGGAAAAAGTTTTTAGTTAACAACAAATTACACTTTCAAATTAATTTAGCAGAAGTCGTGCAAGGTTCTTCACACTGGATTGAATGATATGCAACAAATCTGCAAGTTCTCAAGATGTAACTCTATTGCATCATTTAAGAGACTGTTTATCTACAACTGGTATACTTTTTTTTCATAGTATTTGTTTGTGTAAATTTGTTATGTTAATGTTGTAAAGCAGCAAAGAAGTGCCAAAATCACTGAAATTGAAAAGGGGTTTTTATTTTACTGATCCAAGAGATGAGAGTCTGTGAGAAATATAATTTAATGATACTTCCATTAAAACTAGGACAAACGTAGTTTTCCAGTTCCACATCCTTTATTGTTCATTCCACTGGGTGCAAGAGGATTCATTTTGTGACTGACCATTTTATTATCACTATGGGTTAATTTGAAATGACAACAGATCAGTGAGTTAAAATAACTTACTAGTAGAGGACAGAAGAGACGATGCAGTGCCCTTGGCCATTTGTCCATGCCTCTTTCCTGTTTTGGGTACTACAGGTGCTTTCCTGAAAAAAAAAAAAATCACACAAGGTTATAGGTTACAGAAAAATGCATCACAAAATTTGCAAAGCTACAGCCAAGTAACACTTGAAAGAATTTCATCCCATATCTGCTTGTTCCTTAACTAGTTTAAATCCTGAAACAGATTCCCTTGAAAAAAAGCTAGATGATGTCATACTGTGACATCATTTGCACAAAATACTGTTAAAATTTGCATTAAAAAAAAGATTATTCAAATCATCATGACAACATGTCTTAAACACAACTGCATAAGAATTCAATGCTCTGGTCGATTGCCTAATATCACACTTAAAAATTTATTTTTGGAATTTGTTAAATAGAATTTGCCACTTTTGTAAAAGTTATGACCACACAATGGATCCAACTGAACAAATGTTATGCCAGCTGACGACACAACAATGATGAAAATATTTTGCTATTTTTAGTGATGACAAAGTCTTATTTGGTGCTTAACTAGAATGGCAGGTTCTGCATCACTTGAGTACCACAAAAATTTAAATTCTCCCTGTTAAGTTCACAAGACCTTTTTCATTGAAAACAGTTCAAATTCCAAAAAATATTTGGGTAAAAACAGGTCACTGTTAAAAACACCATTTTCATCAAGTGAGCTTAAGATTTTGTAGATAATTACTAGCCAGCAGATTTAACGCTTAATTTCTCTGCCATATATTGAATGACTAGCAGTAATGCAAAAACAAACAGATACATCTGCTTTGATAAATGCAATTGTGATGCTAAGTTCTAGAACTTCTTCTGGAGGCCATTCTACTGAATATAAAAAGTGGGCACAATTAAATGGCCCATTTAAAAAAGCAACCCGAGGCAGTTGAATTATTTGCCATGCACGCACAAAAGGTGTTACAGATACAAATACTTACTTTTTCTCAACAATCTGGGATGTACTGCGTAATACTTGTGGTTTGGTCCTCTTTTCAAAGCCACCCCGCTGCAGTAATGCTCCAAAGTGCAGCTGAAGAGGTATATCTACTTAAAACAAAGAATGATTTTGTTTTAAGCACTCTGTTTAAGTTACTTTGACAAAAAGGAATTTCTCCTTCCAATGTACAATGTTACTGGAAAGGTGGTGAGAAAAATCACATCCACTTGAAGATATTGTTTGATTTACAGTGAAATTCTTATGAGCTTAATGTAAAATGACTACAAAGAACCTGTGTGGAAGTTTATATTTATAACATGGGGGTAAAAATTATTAAATTGGGTTTCCTCTGAGGGGGACTCACCATCTTTATTGACCAGACATAGACATAACTTGCTTACCTGCTGCACATATCTCAATAGAACATTGTTTTCCAAAACACACAAGCTTATTATGATAATTTTGACCTTAAACACATACACATTTGTTAAGTAGTAAACAACTGAAGCAGCTGAAAGCTTTGTCTTGATTTAGTTTCAGTTGATAATAAAAATCTCACAAAAGTTTACTTGATCAAGAAAAATAAATGTAACAATCTCGTTGGGACTACATACTAAGCTATTTACCTGTACAGAAGGAGAGGACTGGGTGGAATGAACCATCCAAGGAAGCAACCCTCTCAGGTGTTGTCTGGCTGAAGCTGACCACCGGTAATGTTCGTGAAGAGTTTGAGCACATCAAACATGGTGTTGTAGGAGTTACACAGCCACAGAGCAATGAATGAGGTTTGGGCTTTTGCCGGATGTGCGATAAATGCACTAAGCGCCGTTTCCTGACAGGATACACTCCTCTAGTCCTTGCACATTGTGGAAAAACATCATTTGAAGCAGACGAAAAAGACCCACACACTTTATTGTCAGTAGAGTCATTTGTTGCAAAGACTGCCCTATAGCGCTTCATTGGGACATCCTCCTCATTCAGTAGTGAACTATCAAGAAGGTGTCGCTTTACTCCATTCAGTACATGATTCTCTGGATCTTTGGGTGAATCTTTACCATGATCCACATACTGCTTAGACTTTGCTACCTCCAAAGAAACAGAAACAGCACTGTTTTTAATACCCTTAATGATACCATTTCCATCAACATCATTACTTCCTCTTGCTATGTTTGCATTTGTGGTGCAAGCTTGAAGTTTAACCATGCCTTTTCTTAATCTTCCTCCTTTGTATAGATCATCATAGCGCCTGATCTGCCTTTCAACATTTATAATCTGCGACTGAAGCCAAGACCAGTGAGAGGCAATAATTCCTTCTTCCACATGATACTGCCTCCTTAGAATTTTGGCCCTGTTTGGGAAAATGCAATTTAATTAAAAAAACAACAACAACATCAAACTGAGAGACGCATGTAAATCAAAGGGATAATCAGGATAAAGCCCAAAATGGTTTTAGGTGGTGCATTTACTTCTCCCTTTACTTCACAAGAAATACCAGACAATTTGAAAGAAGGATCTCAAAATTGATCAGCAGTCGCTAAGCACTTTTTACCAAGGAGCCCTCCAACTGAGTGAAACAATTAAAAGGCTAGTAAGGAGGTTAACCACTAGATAGCTCTCATACACAAGTGATGCTTTTTTAATTGCCTTCCTTGACATTGATCGTCAATGCAAGATACACACATTTACAGAAAAATACATAGAAACATTTCCATGAAGTCCATCATTATAAAAGATGCACCCATACTTTAATCAAGTAAACATCAATTCTAATAAGATTACACAATTAAATTACTGTACCTATAGGCAATGTAGCTTGAAAAATAGCATAAATTGCAAACAGTCCTTTCTCTTCTTGTGTAAGCTTCTATCAAAGTTAAGTGTAGTTGTTCAATAGCAAAAGTAGCCTTCAACTTCTGCATTCACACCCACTTACAGTTTCAATGACCATAACAAGAGTGGTAAATTATTTGACTTGATGCAAGCAGGCCACATTTCACTAAAAAGGTTGCCCAGAGTCCATGGAAAGTACAGAAAACAATTGAAAAAGCAGATCATGATGAAAGGAAGTTACAAGAACATAGATGTGTGTGAACTGTATCTTATTCATTCCAGGATTGTATCAAATTGAAGAATCTTTATTATAAAATTTGAATTCCAATTTTTCCTCTACCAACTTCACATGCCAACCTAAGTGATAAGTGCTCTAGCAAACAAAAATTTTTAAATTTATCTAAAGAAAAATTTTCAACCAACTGGCTTAAAATGTTGAGTACAACTCAGTAACAAAAATCCAAGCAATTCTACAGTTTCACACCTATGTACAGGGAGATTTCAATTTAACAGTCTTGTACCAGGTTACACCATAATGACGCTTGTCTTTCATTCAAAAGACGAAAAATAAATTATTTATTTTTTCTGTCATATGGACCATGATTTCAAATATTTACTAGGCACAAAGAAAAGAAGCCCCAGTGGAAATAATTCATTCACAACGAGTACAAACTAGAAGACATAAATTTTCATCTTTTAGCTGAGAAAAAGTTAGCAAACTCTTCCTAAAACATTAAACGAAAACCACTTAACACTGAAAAGTGCAGATTTGTGAGTCATCTTAAATGAAAATGGGTTTAGGAAAACTACATTCTTAAAAATTAAAATTTCCTTTTCAACCATCAATAACATGTATGCAAATTTATCCGCACAGGACAGAAAAAATGGAAAATAAACAAGATACAAACCTGAAGTGAGATCAACACAATCAACTGTAAGCACAATTTCACATGAAGTTATTAATACCGTTTTCGAAATATGGCATAACACTTGTCATCGAAAGGTTTTGAACGCTGTGGTAGAGATGCAATCGGTAAGATCGAATTGTAACGTCAGGGAAATGAGACAAAAAACGATAGCCCCACAAGCCGGTGTAAACTAAATTCCACACGACTAAAATTGGAAAATCGTTGTTTCGCTGACTAGCGATTGCTCTCAATTTGAATGGCTAAGGTTGTGGTGGTATTTCTTTTACATTTTCGATAAAAACGGGAACGAATCGAAACTTGACGAGATTTCCCGCTTTCACCATTGCGCTAGTTCAGTAGTAAAAAATTGTCCGCGAGGGAAATTTAAACTCTACTCACTCTCATCGCACACATTTAATTCGTACATAATTTTCGTTTAGAAAAGGAAAGTCCTAACTTGGCGTAAAAAATTGAATATGATCTGAATAAAACTCCGAAATGGCAGACACCCATGAAGTGCCAGTATTGAATGGATCGGAAAAGTTTAATCGCGGATTTCGAGGCAGAGATTATTTCTCTCCCACGCTATTCCTCCGTTAATTAGCAAGATGCGAAGAAATATAGATATATTTCGTTTCTAAACAGCCTCTAACTTTTGGCAACATAGTAAATTTTAACTCACCGTTCACTACGTAATTTCGTTTTCCTCAATTCACCTTCCTCGTCGCTTTCTTCGTCCGAACTTCCTTCTGTCACATCGGAATCATGAATGCTTTCCAAAAATTCGATTTGCGAACTCCAATTTTCCACCGAATTCACGGCATCCGCTTGCTGTCTCAAATTAGTCAGGATGTTCCCTTCCCCGGCGTTAAATGATTCAGCAGAAATGCGCTCCAGCTCTTTCACTACGTTATCCACAGTCGTTCCGCTGTTATGTTTAGCCCGGGTGGCAAGATTTCCAGGCACTGTCGACTTTACGCCAGCGCGATCTGCTTTTAATTCCGTACAAACATTTGACGCACTTTTACTTTCGGGGATAGCACTGACTCCTGAATTCCGTGTTGGTTCGAGATTACCGATGGAAGAATCGCACGACTCACCACGCTTCTCTGCCAAATTTTCCAATTGTTGAAGCACATGGTCTCTCAGTTGCCGCGCTTGTAGTTTACGAAGGCGCGTTTCAATTCTTTTCGCCCGGCCGTCCAGCTTTCCTTGACGTCGAAACGTCTGTGCGGTTCTTTGAGAAATGATAGCCTTTCCACAATCTAAGTTAGCTACCGGGTGCTGCGAAACTCGATTCCGTTCTTCATCTTCACTAACAGTATTGCATGTACCAGCCGAAGTCTTCGCCGTTGAAGCACATGTACGCGAAAGATCAAGGGAAGAATTTCGCTTTTCTTCTGTGGCAGCGGAGTAGCTCGACATATCAGTGGCACTCTTTTCCAGTTTATCATCACAGTGTCCGTTTGGCATCTCACTTTTCCCTTTAAAATCTCCGTTGAATCGCGAAACTATGGGTGTGTTCTGCTCCGAAGGCTTGATAGTATTTGAAATGTCTGCAATGTTATTGTCACTTATCAATCGTACAAGTCCGTTCTGGGAAACCAACTTTAAGTCCAACCCTAGACCCGAAGTTTCTTGCTTAAGTTCCCCTTGTAAAGTTGAAGAACAGTGACGATCCACTGAATTCTTTCTCGAGGACTCCGGAGATGCGGTTGCCTCGGTCAGAGCGGGAGCCATTTGAGCCATCTACCATACTTCACTTCACAATGACTGCCGATGGCAACGAGGCCCCGTTGAAAGCATTTTCGCGGCTGCTTACAACAGGGAAATAGAGCAAAAAAATAAAATGTATGTCGAAATTCAACCAAAATTCAAACTTTTTAAAGTTCATTCAAGGGTAGTAGAGAAAACGTTTTTAAGCGCGATGAGCACGTGACCGCCACGTCTTGGTAGTGCGTGTTCTAATCTCGCAAAAGAACACACCAACGTTGATATATGCAAAAAACGCCAAATTTTCGTCGTTGATTTTCCTTGCAGAATCTTCGTCGAAACCACACCAAAACGTCAGTAAGAAAAGACAGAGGTGTTTTAATCCTTCGAAATGATATTGCAGTCAGTTTTAAAACCAAATAGGCCACCCCAGAAGCGAATGAAAATTCCTTTCTCGCTAACCAAAATGGCGGCGCAAGAATCCACTCCAAGCTTCTTGTATCAGCAAAACCCTCGTGCAAATATCACATGCTCTAGGCAATTGTACCAATACTTAGACCACCCTATGACTCAAATTTCGTGATTGGTGGAGAAAACAAACAGCGCCATCGTTAGACAAAGGGAAGAAAGGAGAATTCATTATTTCATCAGGAAAAATCGAAGTGTAGGATTTCCTGTGCGTGTTTAGAACACACCTCCATCGCGAGAGACATCGCGTTCAGCGCGAAACCTTTCCTCTCTGTGGTATCTATAACAAAAGGAAACCGAGAGAGATTATTGTAACTAAAAATCAAGAATTACTTTATAAACCTTAAGAAAAGATTTAAGGGGTAAGATGGGAGAATTTTCACGTCGTGGGGTTAAACGATTCCAGAACATCGAAATGGCGGAGAACAGGAGCGATCTTTTCATCCCCAATTCGCTGAAATGAAATTCTACGTAGAGATATCTAAAGAACAAGTATTCCCCATTACTTAACGCCTTTTCAGCTGATGTAACGTCCTAAAACCACTCGTTATCCGCCGATCGATCGATGAAACAGCGAATATCCAGTTTCGTTACGGCAGTTTATTGACGCAATTCGCAGTCAATTCATTAGTGTTGCATTGTTTACGAACTAGTATTTTCGTGATTATAATTATCACAAAAGCCGAATTTGAACTCAAGAAAGAGATATAATTTTTGAACGAAACATAAGATTTTTTCCCTTTATTTGCATATTTGAGCTCTTGTACCGGAAGTATCCCAGCAAGGAGTAATTTTTCCCAGCTTCTCAGTTATTAACCACATAACCTTCTTTGTTTTCATCAGTGAATAGTATCATAAAGAGGAATCGTAGATAAATACATATTTTGCTATCAATTAAAAGACCCTGTAAAAAATCTGTCCATTTTGCTTGAATGCTTTTAATCACCTATGATAGAAGGAACAGCTTGTCTACTGTGTGCATCCTGTGTGGCAAAATAAAGAAATGTAATTTGTTTTCCGAAATTAATCAACTCGCTGCCTTTTAATTGTAAGAAATTTTGGTGTCAAAAGCAGAATATGTGCATGTCTACCAAAAGAGGCTGCAGTGTATCAACAAATATCTCCTAAGGTAAATGAAAATATTTTGGACAAAACATAACTGTAAACTTCCTGAAAAGGTGAAAGATCACCAAACTCATTTTCCGTCTCGAAAACAGGTGATTTACAAACTTTCCTATTGAGAATTGTTATTTTAGACCCTTAATTTCAGCAACAATTGGCACAAACTTCTCTACAATCGTGTGTCCAGGATCGAGAGCAGACACAAAACTCACAAAATAAACATTAAGATTTTTTTTTAGGATATTCCTTGAAACTCATCTACATATCCTTAAGAAGTCTTGAAGAGGGACCTCACTTGAATTACCAATTAATCATTCAAACTCGACCTTTCAAAATTTTGTCATTTCTACAGCTTTCACAGTATTCATTTATTTCAGGCCTTCTATGGAGAGAACTGTTCTTAAAACACTGTATAGTTTTTGCATTTTTAAATAATTTTTCAATGTTTGTGTCTTTCATAATTACTTTAACCCTTTAACACCCAGATCAAACTTGTTATTCTCCTTACTATCAACCATACAATTCTTACAATATTGGTTCAGAGAATTTAGCATTGGATCAACTAATTATCCCCAAATTGATAGTTTTCTTTATTCTCATCACTTTTCTGGTTGATATTGTACTGATATTGACAGGAGAAATTCTGTCCTAGTCACTCATGGGAGTTAGAGCGTTTGCTATTTCTCAGTATAACTTGATAAAACAGGTCACAAAGTAATTTGATTTCAGATTCCCTTATTACAGTTCCATTATTTCTTGCAGCCTCACACCCAAAAAAATATTTTATTTGTCCATCACTCTGGACAAAAACAGTGCCTGCAATGAAATTTTTGCAATAAAATATGTGTTTATTGTTCATCGTGGTGTAAGATGGGAGATGAACATTGATTGTTTGTCTCACAATAGAGTCACTTTAACCCTTTAAGTGTTGATTGCAATGTTTCAACAGCAATACTGCTAGCAGTCTTCAGGATACTGCAGTCAAAATGTTGCAATCAACATCAAAAGTGACTCTATCCTGAGACAAACGAACCCTAGTTAAATCTTTGATTAGTTTCAAACACACACAGGGTAATCAAAAAGAGGTTCTTGATCAAGTTAATCAGATCTAAAGAGGCAAACATTTGAAACCCTAAAAGCTCTCTTTCTTAAAGAATCGTAGATAAACAAACAAAAAAGAAAAAAGCAAGAAAATTCAAGGATTACGAAACTTGCGTTACTCATACGAGTAGCGACAAACGTTCTCCCTACCCCACCCCGGTAAACCAATTTGTCACGCATTATCATTACCACGTAACAACCTGCTTTTGAAAAGTTGTCGATCGCAGAGGCAAAATAAAAGTAAAAAAAAAATCGCCTCTGCCCTCTGCGGGATATCTTTTAAGAGTGAAATATTTTTCCTCTAAAATCGACAATAAAAATGGATGATTCTACCGTCAACATGTGAATTGAGTCCCTCTCCAGAATTATCAGTTACAATAGCTAATAATCTCTTAATCAGCGCAAGCGAAACTATGAATCAAGTTCGGGATGTTGTGACTTTTCAGGGTTTGTTTCTGCATAGCGGGATGCGCGGAGTTTTTTCATATCAAATACCTTAAGAATAACATTAACTCTTGCTTAATGAAGAAAATTTAGCCTTAAAGGGAATCATACCTTTAAAGAAAAAAAGATTCCGTGTTTCTTCAAGACCTGTTTTGTCTTGTTCCCAGTCCTTGGGCCTAGACGTGCGCGTTCGTAAACACCATAAAATTCCTCCATTTTCTTGATGTTCCAACGTTTTTGTTCACCAAAGCTAGTCACAAAGTACTTTTTGCCAAATTTTCGAAAACTTGGCATTTTCCAAACCAAACAGAAATAATTTCTTTCAGTGAGCGCACGAGAGGGCCTTCCCCATCACAATCATGGCAAAAAATATCTTAAGAGGCCTTGTAGCTCAGTAGCCTAGCCTCTGTTAGCAATTCCTTATATGGGGTTATCCTACAAAGATCCTCGGGACGGGATGGAAATGGCAAAACGGGATTATTTAAATTTTGGTTAAATGAAAATGACTTTTCAATTTCTACATCTGAAAACTGTTCTTTGCAGAATAAGATACAAAAAAAAATCATTGGCAACTAGTAGTGTGGTCTTTGAGAGGTATATGCACCACAGATTTCTCTTATTCAAAATATTAAAAAACATCAAATTTAAAGCAATTAAAATACATACAGCAATGATTATTGAAATAATTTTGTTTACAAATTCATCTAGAAGTCTTAACATGATCAGCAGCTCATCCACCTGTCCATTTTGTGTTGCTACCACTTTGATTTTGTCTTGATAAAGAAATCAATTGGTTTCAGGCAAATTGAGTTGTTCTTGGAAATATTCATACTCTTCCCATAGAGAATTTTGTAGTCCAAGCCCCCAGGGGAAGGGGAACAAGGGTATTGGGGGGAGGGGGGGGTGGGTGCTGCGAAGCTGTTAGCACTCTGACCCTGTGTCGCGTAAAGATCAGTTTATTTCACTTTCCAGTCATCAAGACATGATCCATAGAGATTGTGGCGCATTGACCTTGACTGTGTCTTACTCAATTTGACACAATTTTAGTGAGTGACCACCTTATCTACCAGTGCCCACATTATTGAGGTCACACTAAACTCCCCTCTTAAAAGACGGTACAACCTGTTCACAAGGCTTGAACTATGACTTCTTAGAGCGACTAAGCATCTAATTTCTGAATTACATATTAAGGTCACAAGAATAAAGGAAATGATCAACTAAAGAAGTTCTTTATTATTAAAAAAATTATCCTTGTCAGCAGGTCAGGAAATGTATAGAGAACAGTATGAAGATGTACTGGTATAAAGCTGTAAAAGGCATAAAGACTCAAAAGCGCAAAGACACACCCTGTTTGGAAGCACACACTCATTTTGGCTCGGAGAAGAAGGGCTACAATATCTCATTTTTGAAACCTCTTACCTCCTTACAAACATTTATACCTTGCAATATCTGCATGCGAAGAACCATTACAAGTTTCCAAGAACTTCAATCTTGGTAGATAATTCAGCTTAGGTTGTTATCTCAAGCACTGATCTACAAAGGAATCCAGGCCTCCTCTTTCTAGACCAAAATCCAAAACATGATCTAAGTAGTGGCCTGACCCTCCTTCCTATGATCACTACCTTATTTGGCTTGAGCAGGTATGAAGGTATGAGCTGGCAATCACGGTATGAGCTTTCAAACAGTGTATGACTTATATTTTCAATATTAACATTTATATAAATCTGCTAGTAAATATTTCCCTATTACACTAGATAAGGCTGGATGACATATCCTACACATGATATGTATACAACTCCAGCCAAACCTCCCCTAGGTGTGTCACTCAGATTAAATGTTTGGCACACTAAAATTAACAAGAAGAAAAGTCAAACAATAGCCCTGTTCCCACTTCCCAGCATCTGGCAGCCTAGGTCAAATCTTCTCCTAGTCATGTGATAAAAGAGCACTGTTTCTTACTCTTGCTGATAATGCCTAAAAACCTAAAGAGAATATACAAACCCTTTTTGGCAAACATTTACCCTGACCTCTGACTGGTTACAAACACTATCACTTGAGCCTCAAACTTTTTTATAGCAGCTGTGTCTGATTAGATATCATATAATTTGAGCCTAAAAATTGAGATGGAACTTATCCGCACTTCTATTCATCAATATATGAATTAAAAACAGCTTCCATGTTGCTGTACGAATAAATCAATAGATAAGAAAACTGATCACAAATGATGTTGAAATATGTCTAAACAAAAGGAACAGAAAGTATATGCAAGTGCACTGCTGACTGTTCTCACTACTTTTGGAAATTTATGGGAATAAAAGATGGACAAAAACATGGGATCTGACATTTTGTCCAAAAGGAGCAAAAAATCTCTGATACCATGGTCACATATGTATCTATTGGCAGATACATTATTACATTAAGGCAAAGCCCAGTAATACTAGTTGCCAAGCCTTTATTTGAAATGGCACCTTGTTGTGATAGAGACCAGTATCCAATTAGCATGACTAATTTCAGGTTTGTATCATAACAATTAGCCTACTCCTGTTCTAGGCTAGGCAAAACTGTATAATAGGGATTAATACTTAGGCTAGGCAAAACTGTTAATGGCAGTTACTAGGCAAGGAAATTGTCTGATGATACTGCAATCAGTTGTTTGACTGTTATCTTCTACTTTCATGTCCTTTAAATAACAGATTGATTTAAGGTTTCAATCCCTTAGCTCTGGTGTCAATGCAGGTTCATCAGTTCAAGCTAGAAATTGGCCCAGAACATTGCAACAATTATCACTGATTGTTCCTGATGATAACCCTTTCAATTGGGGAAGTGACCGAATATGAATCTCTCCTTACATTATCCTTATATTTTCAAGCATAAAAGTGATGAGAAGAAAGATAACATCAGCTACAGGATGTCACCCCATATTCTTAGATCCAGAATGAAAATAAATATATGGATTTTACAGTGGAAAGTTTATTTTTTATAATAAAAAGGTTAAGCTTGGTAACAGTGAAATGGGTCACACATAGAAGACTGACAGGAAATGTTGGTCAGCATTAATGTAAGAGAAGGTAAGGCAACAAAAAAATCAACACCGTACAAAATTGATTTTGTTTTGAATCTCCAGCAGCTTCAACCAAACCCTATCCTTGATTGAGCAGGCTTTTAGGAAACAAGAATCCTTATTTTAAGATTTTAGAGTGAGTAATATTCATCATCCTATAACTCATTACATACAATCTAGAGAATAAGAAGTCTGTCTTTTCTGGCCTCGTCCTTTGAGTGAGAAGAAGTTAGCCTCACATGAAATCATGCCGCATAAATCTATTATCTCCAGTTAGATTTTTTTTCACTATCTCTATATGCTAAGCAGGAAATGATAGACTGTGGGCACTCTTGTGAGCGAAAACAAGTAAAAATTTTATTCTGAGATCCTCATCATCTTAGTGCAGAGGGTAAATGCACCAATCATGTTCTTACACCCACATGCCCCCTTTGATCTAAAGATCAATTCTCCCCTCTGTCCACCAAACACCTCTTACAATTGTAGCTCTAAGAATTTGGTATTACATCAAACAGTATTCCTTGGCTGATATGAGGGAGCTTTTAAAAGTACAAACATTTCTAAGACGCAAATGGCAACTGGAAGTTTTCAGTTCTCATTCCTGATGCTCACTGCACCATTTAGGTCAGCAAAGTTTGGTTCAAAATGCTAAAACAAGACCTTGCCATAAATACCTTGGTGTCAAAGTGCACCAGAACTAGTTTTATTTTTCTTCTGGTTTCCATGTGTTTCAAGATTGTATCTATTCAATTTCTCTTTTTCTATTCCTTCTCATCACCTTTCTCCTTGAAAAAAATCCATACTACAAAGAGAAGTTCCTTTTTGGTCGCTCCTGGAAATGAAGAGTTAACTCTTTCACTCCCAAGTTCTTTCTATTTATTCTCCTAACTGTGTACCATATACCGGTGATTCTCTTGATTTTAGCTTGGAGAATTTGGTCTTACATCAATTAACAATTCCACTAATTGATAATTTTCTTTATTCTCATTGCTTGTCTGCTTGACATTGTATTGATATTGTAAGGAGAAATTCTGTCTTGGTCACTTGTAGGAGTTTAAGGGTTAACTAAGTGTCTACTGGTACTAATATCTAAAAATTCTAACGACCATCTTGTCTCACAGAAATGTTTCACATCCTGTTCCCAAAGCAATCCCATAATTTATTAGTTATCTTCTTTTAATGACTGACTGAAAGTTGAACGTAGAAGAGCTTTAAAGTACATTCATCATATTTTTAGTATACTACTCTCCATTTTGATGGTTGTTCACATTTTCCAAGCTTCTTATCTCCACAGAGACAATTAAAGGTCTTGTCACCATGGAAACCTAATATATCCCTTTCTTCATGAATACGAAATGAAAATGTTGATTCACATGTCCCTACAAAGTATTGAGCATGTGCACAAATCCACTGGTCTATTATGGCAACTCCGCCATCACCATAATTATGTAGAATTTCCTTTGGTGGGTCATATTTCACCAGGGGTAGTTTACTCTTCAAATATGTCACCTCTGAAAGACAAAACATTTTACCAGGGCTAATGTTATAATTCATGTATTTTTCACAGGGTAATCAAGTACATTGTTGATGAAAAAAATCCAAAACCTTTTCCAAACTCTTATTGGCATTTTCTGTGGACTCTAAGGCAAAAGCAAAGTCTATGATCACACCAAGAGGCCAACTCAGCTGGAGCTCATCCCAGTCTCCTCAGCATGAAGTGACCAGGAGTATCACTACTCCACCCTGGATGGGATGCCAGTCCATTGCAAGCTTCCCTGCCAGAATTTCATTAGGCTTTCAAATAATTTGCCAGTACCTGTTTATACTCCTGGGTGGTGAGAGGCTAGCCTGTAGCCTGTTTTGCCCAAGAACACAACACATTGGTGTGGTCAGGTCTTGAGCTGGATGTCTCAGCCCTCAGCCCTCAGCCCAGCCAGACCTATCAGCCCTGATTCCAGGACACTGGTCATCACACCTCTGCATCCCCCCCCGGACTTAAGGCAGTGCATCAATTTACACAGCCTGATGATGATTTCATTGCTGTGTAAAGTTTGAAAATTCTTTTACACAAACTTCAAAAATTTTCTGCCAAACATTTCCAACCCATTACCTCTGAAGACCATGGTATGTCACCAACATTATTGTCATCCTCCATCTTCTTTTAACAGAGTTCAGAAACATTTGTATGAGAAAAATGAAGGAATTTTTTGCAGGCTTTTCTAAACAAACATCCTAATTTTCCAAACTCAAGGGCTTACTTTCAACTAGTTGCATGTGCCTCACCTTTTTTATCAGCATCTGTTGCAAGGAATACCATATCAAGCTTCTCCTTTTCAAGAATATCCTTAATCTGCTTGACAGCATTGTCAAGAGATGGAACGCCATCAGGGTGAGCATAGAGAAAATCAGCTCTTCTCAAGTGAACTGCTAAATATGGGCCTCCTTTAGCAGAACCTTCTTTTTTCTGATTCTTGGTCCAGTCTGGATCCATGACTGTAGCATCCCTCTCATCATCAGATTTTAAGAGTTCTCTGCGAAACTTGTCTCCTTCATCTCTTAAGTGTTTGGCAAATACCAAGCTCCTCCTTGCCTGAAAAAAAATTAACCCTTCCTAACTGAGTGAAAAAAAGATTTAAATTCTGTTTATCAATCAACAATGCTTTAAACCACAAACCCTTTTCATTTTAACATCAGCATATAGATTCTCCATACTTTTCACTATACATTTCCTAAGACAAGGAGAATTCACTTCCCAATCAAGAGCCTCTTCAGTTGCTGATCATTTCCTTTATTCTCATGACTTTCATATGTGATTCAGAGATGATATTGTAGGGAGAAATTAGATGCTTATTACTCTCAGGGGCCAAGGGGTTAAAAATGAAACTCTCTGAACTAGTTTATGAGGAAATGTATAACAGCAAGAAGGGGGAGCAACCAATCAGAAATCGAGAGTAACTACTGAATAGGACAAGGTCCCTTCGCAAAACTATAAGAAAATTCAGATTACCTTATAAAATTCCACCTGACCATAACGAATGTGCATAACCTTTTCAAATCTGTCAATAAACACAGACCTGAAACAACGAAAGAAAACACAGAAAAACTAAGTTACAGTACCTCCCAATAATCCTTTTGTCCATAAATGATGTGCAACACTTCCTCAAATCTCTCTACAAACACTGATCTGTAATGCAGTGAAATAATTAAAAAAGGACACATTAATGACAAGTTGTGAACTTTGTTTACTTTTTTTTGGTGAAAATGTTAAGATGGTTCAAAACACCCTATAGATAATTTTTCATTTTGAATATCTGTATACACTCTCCTGGAAGGTTGGTTCAAGCTTAACCCTTTAAATCCCAAGATCCGATAGTTAATTCTCTCATCTAGCTGCTACACATTTCCTTGTAAATTAGTTATCAGAATTTGGTGTCAGATTAAGAGAACAACTTCTACCAGATAAATTTGAGCATTCTCATTACCAGTATGCCTAACAATGTATGGATATTATAGGGAAAAGTTACATATCAATCACATCTGAGAGTGAAAGGGTTAAGCTCAATCATGTAAGAGTGTGCATGGGATGTTAGTCTGTTAAGGATTTACCCAGTACTTTGTCAATTTTCTCTGAAATTTTATAACCAACTATTTATTCTCCTGTGTGGAGAATGGTACTCGGAGAGTAAAGTGCCTTGCCTAAAAATACAACAGGAAGACCCACACAGGTCTCCAACCCAAATTTTTCAACACTATAGGTAAAACATAAATATCAATTGAACAGTGTTGCAAATGAGACTCTTAAAGGTAATAAAGAAAAACAAGGTTATTTTCCTATAATTTTGCCCCCAAGTTTCCAGATCAATACATAGTAGTCTTGGGAATCACATCATTGGTGAAGAAACAAAGAAAATTGAATATTGCAACAATGAAACCCTAAATGTGCACTCATAAACATGTACAATTTCCATTCAAAGTCTATAGCACTTCACTTCACTTCTTGAACAAAAGTTTTTCAAAAAATAAGAGAGAATTTTGAGTTGAAAAAGTTTATCTCATTTTCAGGTAATAAAAATTTAATTTCACAGAGATGAAAAGAACCCCATGGAGTTTTGTTTGTACTTTTGTACTGATATTAATTTAATGCATTCAATTTATACTGTAAAGAACTTCAGCTGATTAGTTAGTATGTTGACGACAATTTTCCCAGTAATATTTCACAGTTTACAAATGGAAAATTTGTTTGAAGCCTCTGTGATATATGGTACTTTCCACCCGTTAAGAGAATTGTCTGTAACTCGTCACAACATACCAGCTAAAACAATGAAAGAAAAGTACACGTGTAAATGAATTATTTTCAAGTGCCTTTGATCTCGTCCATTCGACATAAATATTGAACTTTAGGTTATTGTGACGAAACACTACAGAGAATGGAGCCCAAAAAGTAATTCAAAATAGCGAATTCGAATTAAAGACATTCTTACTTTGACTTGGTTTTCTCCAGAAGTGTAGGCACTAGGATTGCCGAAGTGCCCTGTACAGAGACACATTTAAATTTACGCGCGAATATGTCTTCCATTCCCCAGAAGTAACCTCTGTAATACCCGCTTTCATCTTTGTGGTATACAGGTCTATCAATGCAATCTCTATCGTCTATTTTTTCTTCCCAATGTCCGTCTTTCCACCCTTCAGCGTAACCTTGTAAATAGAGGATTTCATCTATGGCTTCTTCGCCAGTTTCCCTCACGAATTCTTCAAACTCAATGACAGGCACGTAACGATTCAAGCTTTCCAGGTCGAAAAATGTCCGCCAAGGAAGGGCATTTTGTTCGATCGCCGATCGCCAGTGGTAAAGTTTTCTCCAAGGCGGAACGACAAGGATCCAGTTCCGTTTTTCTCGCAGAAGCTTCATCATATTTGCCGTGTACTCTCATGTACACATCCCGTCTGAGGTTAAATCCTTCTCCAGGATTCACATCATAAAGAAGATATCTCTTATCGAATTGCGTGTCATTATTAGCTTGTAATGATTCTACATTGAGCCCATGTTGACTGGAAGTGTCAAATGCAATAGAATCATCGTCAATATCCTGACTGAAAACGGCAGAGTTTCCATGATTCAGTAATAAGAATACGGCTACATACAATCTTCCCACAGCCATGTTAGCAGGACCGCGGGAAAACATTATTGTTTCGAAATCCTCTACAGACAATTCTTCAATCTGATTGGTGTGGAGGAGATAAAGATTATTGTCAAAATACACCAATTGTCAATCAACACGATAATGAACAATAATTATGCTTTTCCTTTAATACAATATAATTACCTTCTTATTTAAACAAAGTTTCGTTACGACGTTCATGGTAAAGTTACAAAATAAATGCAATCTCATTTCACGTTAACTTTGCGGAAGTTTTATTCAGGGGTCAGTTGCACTTACATGAGGTCGATGCATTCAAATTGGTAAGCGGTGAAAATTTTAAAAATCATTCTTATGATTCAGATCCCTTGTTGACCTCGATTTCATACTTATTCAGTTAACTTTTTCAATTCATTTCTTCCTTTTTGCTGGTGCTGCATTTCAAACCAGTTTTTCTCTTTCCTCGTTCTTTTTTTTTTTCGTCGCCTTTCGCCTGCGTTCTCTTGTCTCTGTTCATTCTTTTTTTCGTTTTCTCGTCACTCATTCATACATTTGTCCACTCATTTCCGGTGTGGGAAAATTGGGGTTCCGTGGGGTGCAACCCTTCGGGTAGTCCACGGATCTGTCCTTGTGACGCCAGGTCCTGGGCTTTACTAGTTCATCCGGTTTAGGGGAATAGTTTCCTAGAAACGCAGGAAATGAAGGAAAAGCTTTCTAAAAGTCAATATCACGTGGGCTAATGATGAGTCGATTGGCCAAACTACACCGACACAATCAGCATTATTAAAATTGTTTCCGACAGCAAAACTTTTAGCCAATGAAAATGTTAGTTACACTTTCTTCGTCTTAAAATTCATTCATTCTTCCCGTATTTTTGCCTGAAAAGGATTTCAAGATCCCGCATTGTCGGCTGGAATATATCGCTACTAATTCTTACCAGCTGCCTCTTTAAATCTGAAGTGACGATCAGTGCAAGCTGAAGCGAATTGGAAGTACATAGAGGTAAGAATTATCAGACATCGCGTTCTCACAATTAATCAAATTCAATTCTGCAGAGAAATAGTGGTAGCTTTCATTTTAGTTTCAATTGGGATTCAAGTGCGTTCAAAGAAGGATCATTGTTTAAAAAACTGTTTGAAGGTCATCAGGGTGAGTTAGCTATATAGGTTTGTGGTTAAAAGTTGTAAGAAAGGTTCTTTTCCACAACATCCTCGGAGTAACTTCACTTCATCAAGCCAAAATATAAAGAGGAATCAAAGGCTGGTAATGATTGTTCACAGCGATTGAACGGTGCGGAATCGATTTGCTCTAAACGGAAGTGGGCCTTCTTCCATTGCTTTGAGAAGACTCGTTACATTTCGTTTCGCCTTGGTCCCTATTTTTCTTTTCTTTTTTTCAAACCGTCCGATGCACAACCGAGACAAGATAATTCGAAGAACTCTGTACGTAACAGAAAACCAGAACTGTGGCAATCTCATTTTTTTCTCCATATCTCTGTCCATTTTCTTCCTAAAGAAAAAAAAAGCCATTACAATGCACTTTCGCTATCAAAACGGGATTTTCCCCGAATTCCCCGAAATTATTCGGAAACCTGCCATCGGAAATGATTGTTTTGGGGGGAATTCTAAATCCATACTTTCACTATGACGTGTTGTGACAAATATCAAACAATGTTTCTCAGAAATATCCTTGTGCTTTATTCTTATATTCTCCAGAAAATCTTTTCCCGGAAGTGGTTGATTTCTGATAACTAAGAGGCAAATTTCGCACCAGGTGCATCTCAGTTAAAGTGTCTCGTGAGATTTTTTTAATTTTTGCCACTTGCAAATATTCTTGAATCTTGAAGTTGCGACCTTTCTTCGAAATTTGTGAGAAAACCCATTCAGAAATGGTTAATCCCTGAAGTCTTTAACGAGTTGCTTTCTGACCATTTCAAACTATCCTCACAATCTTGGCTTTTTTATCGTCGGGGTGTGGGGGGGTGAGGTTATCATTGTTCCAAGGGAAAACGTGGAGGGGGGGGTAGTCATCGCTATCGAAGCATAAAGGGGATACGATGCAAAGTTGACTGTCAATTGACTGCTAATAAGATTATAAGAATATTACCGAGCCAAAAGTTTTATCATGATAACGCCGAAATCCTCCGATCCTTCCCCACCTCTCCACGTGATAAATACTGACCGGTGCCCATATTCCTTCCCAAGTCATTGGTCTTTGTTTTGTTTTCATCAAATTGGCTGAATAGTAACAAAACCTTTAGCCTCACAGTTTACTAAAGTTTTAACAGTTAATGTTTTCAGTATTAGCGTTATTACAACATTACTACAACATGGCAGCTCCTGGAAATAAAGTTGAAGTTTCTAACGACTTAACGGATGGCAAGGCTGTTAAACATCCCAGTGGGACCACTTCAAGTGTAAAAGGTCCTCAAGTCGAGGTAAATTCTTAAAAATATGCCAGATCAGCCTGAAATGGACCGAGACAGCAGCTTACCATGATTAGACGATGAACAGTCAGCTTTCTCGTGCGGCGCCGAAATATTTCCTTCCTTACTGACTTACGCGCATGACTTAACTGGGAAAGAGGGATTATCCTTTGTCAAGTAGTTAGAGCGCTTTTCGATTGAGTGTCGTAAAACCAGTCTTAAAGTTATCGTAATGGTCAATCAGAAGAAGGGAAATACTTCAAAGAGCCACTACCGATAACTCAAAGTGAAAAACAACAAAACTGCCAAAAGCGCGGGAAGCCGCGGGAAAGCGCGGGAAAGCGCGGGCGACCAAGTCGTGATTAGTTTTCAGGTTTTGCATCTGATAGGTTGAGAAAGTGGCGAGAGTGTTCTGGACCAATCATAGAGGAGGTAAAACTTGGATTAGTTTCAACATTGAGTTGAAAATTTATCTTTTTGATACTGGCAAAATACTCTGCAGGTTTGGGTTCGATAACCGTTTCATGTGCCATTATAGAAGGGTAAGCCGTCTAACATCCTTATACAGTTTCTTTGTCCCGCAATCAACATCAGACATAATGATTTGGTATGGATTTGCAAAAAATCGTTACGAACTTATTGCTTTTTTTTTTTGTTTCATTTGTCCAGTCGATAATCCCAGATATGGATCCACAACACTGAGTTTTTTTCAACAGCAATAACGAAAGCGACGCGCTGATATAGGTCATCAAAGGCAATTTTATTTTGTCAATAATCTCGGACTGTTGTTAGCAAAAACTAGCAAAATACCTGAGGGGCTGGAAAAAGAAGATGATTCCGAGTGGATCGCAGCTGAAGAGTCTTGCATTGATGAGAGGCAGTGCATGGTTTGTTGACCAATCTTAGACCGAAACTCGGTTGATAATCACTCTCGTACTAAAAAACTAATTTAGGTCGTAATTCGGTATCATCCCGGAAATCCGCCTCAAGCGTGGCTCATATGTCGCTTTGTACGTATAGGTAATAACATGATTTCGAGTGCAATTTGCACGAGAAAATTTTTCAAGACAACAAAATTGCATAAGCCTGTGCGGCGAGTGCAGTTTATAGTCTTTACAGGACTAATCACATGATTTTCTCGTGCAATTTGGAAGAAATAAGCACTTGTTAATTTTTTCAAAGACCACAAATTTCACTCACCCTACGGGCTCGTGCAATTTCTTTGGAAAAATTTACTCGTGCTTATTTATTCCAAATTGCACTCGAAATCATGTGATTACCTATACCAACGAAATTTTGACAGTGCGCACATGCTATTTGTAATTTGCACTCGTTTTGCATGCACTCGTGTTACATGAAAATTGCACTCAGTTTCAGCCAATCAGACGCGGGTAATGTTTTATGCACATTATTATCTGTGTAATAAGCTTCTCTTGTCTTTGAACCCATAGGCATCTGCAGCCAAAGGAGACTTCACTATCCTCATACTGGGAGAGACTGGTGTGGGCAAGTCCACGTGGATTAATGGTATTGCCAACTATGCAAAGCATGAGTCTCTCGAAGACGCCATGAACGACCCTGATTTCACTGTACTGATTCCATCTAGGTAAAAATATTTGAACGAGATTCAATGCTCAATTTTGTGTGGCGATCCTCTCTACATGACGAGGCCCGAAAAGCAAAATTTCCGCGTGAAGGTTTAGAACCATGACAAAGATATATGTATTAAATTTTCAACTCCGAATGTTGCACTTCTAGCGTTCTGATTTGTTCATTCAACACAGGTGATCAGCTCGTATTCCGAGTCAACTTATGCGGAAATGCATTGCACCGACTGTTACAGGGCTGAAAAAAGGCTCCAAACATCCAAATGTTCAGGATTTAGTGAAATTTAATAAAACAATTATTCTCTTCGTGCTTGTTGGATACGAGATTGGTTATGGCCAACTCGCCACTGTTGGCAATTTACCACCTCATATCCAACGCGCGCTCATGAATTATTGTCAAATATTTCATTATTATGCTAGGTTTACTTTCACGAATGAAAATGGAGAAGGGATGGACATCGCCTTTGGGTCTGCTGATGATAATGAAGTTCTCTCTAGTGGTCAATCTGCCACCCAATTCCCTCAGGAGTACCGACTGGAGACCAACACCTCAATCTTCCATCTTATTGACACACCGGGCATCGGGGACTGCAGAGGCATTGAGAAGGACAAGGAAAACTTCGATAATATCTTGGCCTTTCTTACTTGCTATGACAAGATCAACGCCGTGGTTGTGCTTCTCAAGCCTAACAACGCAAGGCTGACAGTGGCTTTCAAGTTTTGCGTCTTGGAATTGTTGACCCACCTCCACAAGTCCTTAGTTTCCAACATCATGTTTGCCTTCACCAACTCCAGAGGAACATTCTACAGACCAGGAGATAGCCTTCCAGTGCTAAAAAAACTCCTCGATGAGAATAGTATCGGAATAGATGTCTCTCCTTCGAATTATTTTTGTTTTGACAACGAAGCTTTCAGGTAATTTATGTTTACTTAAAGTAAAGGAACGCATTCTCGAGATATTTCGAGTCATTCTTTGCGCCGTGTAAAATTACCCTCAATTTACTAAAAAATATTACTTCAGTAAACAGAAAATCATAGCAGTGTGGAGAAGATTAAAGCGAACTGCAGATAACGAACTTGAAAATAGGCTGAATAATTGAAGATAGACCGTTAGGTTGACTTCATTTTCTAGTGATTTACGAGATTTTGCAGGTTCCTCTTAAGCTTAACACGAATCACCCGGAATTGAATTTAGTTCGTATAGTAGATTCGTGCTAGATTATTCTTTTTTTTTTTTTTTTTTTTTTTTATTCCTTCATCAGGCTTCTGGCCTGCCACAAGAGTGGAATTAAGTTCACAGCTGAGGACGTAGATCTCTACGCAAAAAGCTGGGTGAAGTCGTGTGATACCACCTGCAGACTTTTCGAACGCGTGAAGAATATGACGCCCCATGATACTAAGAAGACCCTAAGCCTTAATGAGGCGAGGGATTGCATCATCGCCCTGAGCAAGCCAATGGGTCAGGTTGTGGAGCTTATTGAGATGAATCTGACGAAGATAAAAGATGTGAAAGACCAGTGCCAGGCATTTGAAAAAGACATCAAGGACTTCCAGAAGGAACTCAAATTTAAAGGCTTTGACCTGGAGATAGAACCCCTCAACTATCCCATGACAGTCTGTGCCGCCTCTGCTTGTAAGAGGTATGTACCCATCGGTAAATCAGGCCAGCAAAACACCGTTTACGAGCAAGTTTGCCATGATTACTGTAATCTCTCGGGAGTGCCAATCGAGACAACCAATAATGACCAGCTTCATGGCTGTTGGGCTATGACTGGTGGAGTGTGCAGACTCTGTGGACACAGCTACAGAGAACACATGCATATCCGCTACACAGCCAAAGTCGTTGAGAAGGAATTCCTGTCTGAGGACGCTCAGTCGAAAATCAAGCAGAAGGCCGACTTGAAGTCCCAAAAGCAATTGTTCATCAAAGAGTTAGAGACAAAAATCCAGGAACTTGAAAAGGAAAAGCAGTGCATCTATCAATGTGCCAGCTACTTTGGTGTCTTCCTCAAGCAGAATGCCATGATTGCCTACAACGACTCCTTTAGCGAGTACCTGGACATGCTGATCAGAGAAGAGGAGATGAAAGAAAAGGAGATTAGAGACGAAGCGAAGATTGACCAAATGAAGAGGGACAAGAAGACGTATGAGGAAAAGAAGAATGTCATCACTGAAAATATCAAGAAAGTCCCAACGGAATGCCACAAGGAAGGGGTCATGCCCATAGACAGGATCTATGAAATGAGAGAACAACTTTGTTCCTTGAAACACAATGGAAAGACTTTACGAGAAGCTTTAGGTATGTTGCTTACATTCTTCCTTTTCTGCTTCATAGCATTCGTGGCATGGAAGCACCGTGTGGGAGAAAGGTTACCCATTACACCTTGCGTACCCTTCCCACTTGTGTACTATGAGGACGACTGGGTATGAGTCAGGCATGAGGGATGCTCTAGTGTAATGCCTGACTTTTTTTCTAGTCTTTTTCAAGGCACTCGTAGCATGGAAACACAGTGGGTGATAAAAGAGCTACCCATTCCACCTTAGGCACCCTTCCACCTACGTGCAATGAGGACGACTGGGTATGAGTCAGGTATGGTGAAGTTAGGAAGTGTGCTGTGGCTGAGCCTCCCACTTCTGTCTATGCAATGCGCCGCCATATTTTCCTTCATTTATCAAAAAAAAAAACCTTTTTTTTTTGTAGAAAGACTAAGAAGAATACTCACTGCTCATTATGTCCGCTGGCATGTAGGGAAGCAACGAAGACTCATCACCGCTGACTATCTTGACTGACTTTTTAATAGCGTTTCAATGTATTGTGGCTGAGCCTCCCACTTCAGTCTGTGCAGCGCACCACCATGTTTTCCTTGATTTATCACGCATTAATGCATTAATGTTTCCTTTATTTTTGTAGATGGCATCATTTCAGCCAGACAGAAGAATCACAAAACCAAAGCAGCAAGGTAAGAGCTGTGCATTTATCCCTTTTTTGCTGGATATAAAAGATTTCATAACAGAGTTAATTACTAAAATTCGTCAAACTTATTCCAATTTAGCAAGAGCTGCGTGTATGCCAAAACCAACAATTCCTGGCTTCCTGAAATCTTCAATAAGATAAATCCATTTAGATGGGGAAGCAGAAGCAGAAGCAGAGGCAACTTAAGCATCTCTCAATACTGAAAGATTACATTACATTGAGGAGAAAACAGATTATAATATTCATTTGTGTGTCTGTTACAAGAACCTTTCACGGATGCATTTGAAAGTGACAAAAAGAAAATGTTTAGTAATTGCTCAGTTATTTTGTTACGCTGGTTTAGTGTAGTTTTCGAATTAGTGTCTTAAAACCAAACCAATCCAAACGGCCCAATAGATTAGTGGTAGATAGCGCAAAGAGCTAATCAGAACTTAAAGTAAGTGTACGTGACTGGCCCCCAGCGCGGATAAACTGACCTGACGCAAGTGAACAAGTCTTGACCAAGTCACATTTGGTTTTAGCTTGAATCTGATTGGCTGAGAGGTTTCCGTTAGTTTCTTAGCATATTACAGAGCGCGATGAAGGGGAAATTTCCGTGGAGGCTCAGTAAGGACTTGCTCTACTTGGCAAGTAGAACGTTTTTCGATTGAGTGTCCTAAGATCAAAACCGGGAAAACACGAGTGACCTTGGTGCAATCAGTCATAGTTTTGCGTCTGTTTGGTTGAGAAGATAGCGTGGGTTCTTTTTCACCAATCAATGAATGGTGAAACCAGAGCACCATCGAAATACCTGCGACACTCATTTGAAAATTTCTCTCTTAGGAGAGAACAGTATAGAAAAAAATTAATGTTTGTTTATAATCATGTAATTCTGATTTGAGTGCCCTGTGAGTTCAATGTAACCCCAATCAAACATCCCCTTGAGAATACTTTAAGCTACAATATATTCGGTGCGCTGTCCAGTAATGGACCGATCATCATTTATCGCCTGGGGTTGAAGGATTTTGGGTAAGTCTATAAGTCTTTAAGTCTATAAAAGTCGTACCACATGGTACAATCAAAATTACCAGATGCCCCTCCTCATTTTCAGTCCCCCCTTAATACTTTTAGCGACGACTGAGCCCCCCATGCGAAGAATCATGACTGATCTCTTATCAAAAACTATAGGACGATTTTGGTAAGCAAGCATTATGGGTGGATATGACTCAATTGATTAGACATATATATATATATATTTTTTATTTTTTTTTTTTTTTGACACAGTTGTTTTTAACAGTTAGCCAGGGAGTAAAATCCCGAGAAAGTCTGCGTAACTAGAGCCAAAGAAACATAATTGACCACGCCCGAAAAATGTAGTTCCACTCCCTTCAAGGGGGCAAAGAAACCGCCAACTGTTTTACGTTAGTCTCCAGGGATACTCAGGAACTGCAGTCACTTGTGCTCCGCTATGGATGATAAAATGCTAAGTAAAAGAGATTGTTAGGGTAGGGTTAAATCGGTTGAAAATAAACTTTGTTCAAAAGTAACTGTCGTTCTGAGTCATGGATTTTCTCTGCTTAACGTTTCGTTGAATTTGAGCGTGTGCGTATTTGCGTATTTCTTCCATTCAGGCCTCTGTTTCCACGTACCATCTAGCTTCTGGATTTCATTAGAGACCCAGAGCCACAGTTACAATAGTGAGGGTTTGGGTGGGGGCGGTAGCTTTATCTTTACCATGCTAGAAGTTTACCGAGAGGCAGGGGCTTTACGGGTTGAGAAGCACGAAAAAGAAATTATGGAATACTCCGTTAATAATTACGACAGACGAAGCAAACTGAATGTTTTTTTTCTATGATGACACAGCATTCACACAGCGCATTATCCATATGAATATGCTCTGATTTGCTTTACAACACTTTGCGGGGGACTTTGGCCTTAATAACCGAGAAATAGGCCCCTTTTATTTGTCTTTGAAGGCATTAATTTCGAAAGAGCGCAATACGGAATCCCGGACTGACCAATCAGGAACGAGGTATTTGTTGGGTACATATATATATATATATATATATACTCAACAAAATATCGCGTTTCTGATTGGTCAATGATGAATGCATAAATAGGTTATAGAGTGCAATAGAGGTTATAGAGTGCAATACGGAGAAGTTGCCATGGAAACACCGGGGAAGCGCCAAATTTGAACACCAAATTATAAAAAAATGGCTGACAGCCGGTTTGCTTTGTCAAACCAAAACATCGTTGAGCAACTTAAAGAAAATACGAAAAACAAAAACACGTTGAAAGCTACACAGTCCTGGTTAAATGTCTGGCAAACATGGGCGACTCAACGAAAAGTAAACCCAAAAATGGAAGAATACGAGCACGAACAACTCGATAAAAGTAATTTTGTCGAGAATATAATAAATAAAAAATCGTATGAACCTGCTCGTGCATTTCGTGATTTATGGTCACTCGTGATGTTTTGAAAGTTCTCAAATTGCACTGGCCTACGGCTCGTGCAATTCGTTCATACTATACTTATATAATGATACAAACGTCAGCGATTTTTCGTTCAGAATTAGATATGACGTCAAGTTAGCACGGCCGAAGTAGCCTGGAAACTAGAACTTTTCCCGTTCCTTCGGCATTACATAACTACAACATGGACCCATCACAACAAGCGAATGTCACCCAGCCTCTTCCACCAGCTTATCCAGGGCCACCAAACTATGGTGCTAAACACACTGGAGTGGTTTATCCCCAACAGCCCGGCTTTCAAGGACAGGCAGGAGTTACAACAATTATTCATACGCAACCAACTCATATTGTGATGGGGATGAGATTTTTCGAAGACCCGACTGCAATGACATGTCCTTACTGCCAAGCTAGTATTGTTACAGGCACCACTTACGTTTCGGGGACTCTAACCTGGATTGCTTGTGGCGGTGTTGCACTTATGGGGTAATCTCAAAACTTGGTTCAGATTCTTTTTTCATGTCGACGACCTTTTTATCAAGTTATTGTACAGTAGTGTTTTTTATTATTATTAGCATACTCACTGAATTGAATTTATTTAAATATATTTACCATTAATTCGTTTAATTTTTTATTTCACTTTAAATGTCGTCTTCATGTTGAGTAAGATTGGCGAAGGTTTCGATAGTTTGAAAAATAGTTATTTTTGAGATTGCAGCGGAGGGAAATTTACGGTAAAAAGGGAAAATACATTACTGTTGGTTATTTTGAGGTTGAAACACCGGTAGTTTCGAAATGTGAAAACGTAGAAATATACCGTGATTCATTTAAGTTTTGTGTGACAAAATGTGAACTGGAGTCAAGGCTTACACAGCTGTTTGAGCTTTCAACTTGACGAGGTTTTTTTTAACCTTTTTTTGTTCTGAATTTTGCTATTCCGATTGCCGAGACGATATTTACGGAGTAAACAATGCAATACTACTAAATACAATCTATGATACCTACAGCAATACTGCTAATTTTGTTACCTAACGTACAATAAGGTACTAATTACTCTGTTAGTTACAATACTAATGATTATGTTGTGCAAGGGCCTTCCTTTTTCCCTAATGATCAGTTCTTGTGGTGACCAGCTGCTCACCCTGCTTTGCATTTTACAGCAATCATTACTTTAGCAATCTTTTACAGCAATCTTTTAATTAAACAATTCTTTTATTTCCTCACACAAGAATATTGATTCAATCCAAATAAAATTCAGGGCATTCCAATCTATTCTTGATCTAGAATAAGGCCAGTTGAACTCAATCCTCCATGCAAATGTAGTGATCTTTTAAATAAATAAAGTCATTAGATTTGACTTGTTTTGAAAATTTTTGTTTTGTCCTTGCAGTGGTTGGCTTGGATGTTGCCTGATTCCATTTTGTATTGATGCTCTCAAGGATGTTATCCATTCCTGTCCTAACTGCAACCGTCAAGTGGGTGTCTACCGCCGAGTGTAGTAGGACACCCAACCAGTAGATGCATGACACCTGGATAGTGCTGTGGGGTTGTAAATTGTTATTTAACTCCTATATGTCTACTGCAAGTTTCATCCTCTGCTTTGTGTAATTATCAATCAAAACTATAAGCATGCAATATTCTCACATGTGATTGGTTATCAGTAGCACAATTTTTAGCAGTAATAGGACAGAGTATACATCATGATTTTAATTAGACAGCATGATGGCTATAGAACATATATTGCATCTTGCTAGTCGTGCCTTTTCATTTTATAGTAATTGCATCAGCTGATGTGTTTCTACTTATGACTGAATGTCACTGACAAGTGTTTTTTTCTCAAATTTTGTCAGTTTTGATAAACTGGTAAAAGTAGAATTTGTACAATGTGATTAGATGTACTGGACTCAGTAGGGTGTCTTGGGCTAGTAACAGATCCAGTTGTTCAAAGCTGGGTTAAGGTGATCCAGTGTTAGTGTAGAATTTTTAGATCTGAGAGCTTTAAAAGAAAATTGAGCATACTGGCAATTCTTTTTGTCTTTAATTTTATAATTGGATGCTCTAAAAAGAATAGAGGAAAATAACCCAAAAAGGCTTTTGAACAAAGGAATAAAGAAACCTGGATTAAAAGTTAACCCTGCATTAGCGCTCATCGGCCTTCAAGCTACTGGGTCTTGGTGAATAGTAATTCTATCTGTAAAAATACCGAGCCCAGTTTTTCAATGAGCAGATAATGTTATTTAATAGGGGCCTTGCTATCTGGTAGTTAAATGCCAACACAACATATTGCGCTAACAATGAGATAGAGATTTTAACCAGTAGATAGTGTTATCCACCCTTCAAACAAGCTTGGCCTGGTTACTGATAAAAGGAGACTCCCTTTCTTCTTTCAAATTAATTGTATGCTCACAGACTGAATCAAACTGTACTATATCCAATTACTGTTATTGACTTAAGACATTCTTCTTTGTGTACACCAACGCACTATAAAATTGAAAATGGGAAAATTATTTCTCATGATATATTGCTACCTTATTTCAATTATTTGAATAATTTGTTCAATTTTGTTTTTTTCACTGGTGTGTCAATACTAGGGACAGTGGTAAATTTCAAGTTAAAGAGAAAAATTGATCTCAAATTTTTATTTAATATTAATCTTATCAAGAATATATCTTTTGATATAATGAAGGTTGTATGACAAAATCAAATTACTTTTTTAAGCTTTTAGTTTTGTTTGTTACTCTTAAACTTCTAAACTTCTGTATGTTCATTACTGTGGAAATTAATATGCCATTTTGCTCATTGCGTATATGGTCTGCAAGATTTTTTTTAGTTATAATGCTGTTTAACATTGTTTGAAGGGTTTAGGGGATTTGCATTTATAGTGTTCTTGCTATTTTGCCAAGTCTGAAGAAATTTTTAAACTGGTAAAGCAATCCTTTTACCTGCTGAATTTTCAAGAATTCTAGGCAATTTCAGGCAATAATAAGAGGTACTGCAGGCGGCACTTTTTTATTGGTTACTACCTGAAAATAAGAACACTGCATTGAACACACGATGTCTACACTCTTTTTGCCTTATAAAACTTTCCGTTACTTTCCTTTAACTGCTTTAGGACTATTTCGATGTTCTGGTTTACTGTATATTTTTTTGTGCTTGTTCTCGACATAGATTGTAAGAAGGTCAAGGTAATAATGAGAGAGAAAACAGTTATATTTGACTCCCATTAGATAAAGTTACTGAATGAATGACTGTAAATAAATGAAAATTATGTGTGAACTGCAGTTGAAGAAACTTAAATGGAAGTGATAGTCGCAGTTATGAACACCACTTAAGTAGTAGTGAAAATAAGGCCTGAAAAAAATTCAGGCCTGTACAGGATTGGAACCCATGACTTCTTTGATACCAGTGCAGTGCTCTACCAACCAAGCTAACAAACCACGTAGGGGCTGGCCATCATGTTGGTTCCAAATAAATCCTTGAAGTGGTGGATATATTACTGTAAATATATGAATATCATATATGTGAACTGCAGTTTAAGTTGTTACTGTTTAATGTCATCACCATTATATTGTTTGCAATGCAGATGGCAATTTCAATTTGAAAACCATCAGGTAATAACAGTACTTTTTACTTTGTTCTCTACAGTATATTTACAATAACTTTTTCTGATCCACACCAAAATTCCATCTTTTCCCATGTCAAAAAAAAATTGTGAAAATTCCACTACTTTCCAGGTTTTCCAAAACCTGTAGGTATCCTATAAGATCCACTGTCATATCTTTCAGTAAGTAGGTGTGCTTGGATTGGTAAATCTAGCACAACCTACTATATTCAAAATTTTGTTCAAATTAAAATTTTCCTCCTCTATTAAAACCCAGATGTGTAATAAATATCTTGCTAACCTGATTTTCTTGGTCTAGGTCGGGTTGTTCAAAGCTGGGTTAAGATAACCCAGGGTTAGTGTAAAATCTGATTTCAGATCTGATAGCTTTAAAAGAAAATTCAGTCGAATTCTTTTTGTCTAGAATATGATTATTTGATGCTCTAAAAATAAGACAGGAAATTAACCCAAAAAGGCTTTTGAATAAAGGAACAAAGAAACCCAGATTAAAATTTAACCTTGGATTAGCCCTAAACAGCCTTCAAATAACTGGGCCCTGGACAATAAGTTACCAAATTTCAATTTATTTTTCTGCTTGCATTTATAGTCTGTGCACTTCACACTTGGGAAACGAACCAGAACAGAAAAAAACTTGTTTTGTAAGTTGCAATACATCCAAGAACCTTGAACTCGGTTAGCAAGAGGTATTCAAGACAAAAGGTTGGAATCCCAATAGAAACAACTTTATTTTATCCTCTCCATTTCTTGACTACATACTAGCCAGAGTGTCATGATAATTATGATTAATATGATAAAGACGAAATGAAAAATCTTAGAATGATAAATTCAAACAAGCAACATGAAGCATGCAATTCCATTGATTCTGCTACTAATTTTGAAGGAGATATAACCATTTACAAGCAAGGTTTGCAAAGTAGTTCAATAAACTTCAAAATTATACAAACCTGTAAAATTGAGATTAAACTTATGCATACACAACTACTCCTTCCATCAACACAAGATTCTCTAGGTGGAAAATTACAATATTTAAAATGAACTTTGAAAGAATAATCTTTGCTGACAACATTGAAGTAATCTGTGAGATTTACTCATTGTTTACAATAAATACTAACAAACTCAATGACTTGTTAAGTTTAGATCTCGACTGAGAAGTGCTAAGAACAGTCACACTGGAAGGTGGCAGATACATCAATATTACTTATTGCTTAGACTTTGGATGATTGACACTTTCACCTAAAGACCTTGAAAGTAGTTTTCTACACTGTCTGCCATACACTTTGTCACAAGACAGCCCTGGCAACTTGGTGTTCAAATCACAAGCATTGATGACAAATCAACACTGTGAAGACAATTTACATTGCTCTAAAAAGACACCTGAATTTATTAAGATTTATTCAGCTGCTTTATTTATATGGATATTCTTACTTCTGACAAAACAACTCTAAATTGATCCAGGGACCTACACTAAAAAAGCCATTGCACATCAAATTTATTTTAACACGATAAATAATCATGTAGGGTTGTTGTTAACACTTTCCCTCCTTGATCTAAACTTACTGGTAAGAACAAAAAAAATTAATAGTAGAACACAAAGACTATAAACTAGTTTTTATAATTTACAAAAGAGTATCTAAAATTTCACCTCACTGTGATACAGCTTTGAAACCTCTCTTTAAATTTTTTACCAAACTATCCCTTACAGTGAGATAATGGGGTTCACGTTCCTTCCACTATGTCCACAACTACAAAAGGCATGAGAAAACTGTACTCTGAAGCTACTTTCACTAGCAGGACATAAGTGGTACACCAACGTTCTCATATTTCTCCACCAACAAAAAAATGCAAATAAATATATTTTTTTCAACACTGATCTCAAAAATGTTCATAATATAATGTTTAAAGTTATGATGCACACATCTCTAAAGACCAAGTAAAAATGGAAATTAGAAGCAGAAATTTCTTATCATGTTCCACTGCCCATATTTACATTCCCCATATGCGATATGATTCCACTAATGAATTATGAGTTAATGGTGAACATGAAATTTCAAGAGTTGTAATTTGGCCTTACATATTGTTTTTCTGAGTGTAGCCATGTCTTCAAGACTTAAGTAACACCAAACACCTCTACACCCTTGTATTAAATTAACATCTTAGCCTTTTAACTTCTAAGGATAATTAATAGGTAACATTTCTCTTTCTTCAAATTTCATTGCCAAGGAAATGGCTAAAGAGATGAAAGAAAACTCAGCTAGCAGGGGGCGTTAGCTCAACAAAGACCAATGTTTAGAGGCTAAAAGTATAGATCACTGGTCAGATATGCAAAATTAAAGAAGCATGCTTACGAAACCAGATAATTTTTATCGCTGCCATTTCAAAGTATATATAAAAATTGCTGGTACTGGCCATGTTTTAGGATTTCAAAGAGTAACCTGAATATTCAAAATGGTCTACAAACATGCTAAAAATTCAACTATGGTTGCCACCATTTTGAAAACAACTCAGTAATCTGAACTACATGAACATAAATTTACAAGCCCAAATGACTCACAGTTGACAAAAAAACGTCTGTTTTGAAACATATTGTCAAGAGATGGAAAAGATAGGACCAAGTTTTTCCTTATGAGCACAATTAAGACAATTTTTTAAACCATCAGCTTACTCTTCAGAACCTTAAAAAAATGATCAGAGTTAAATTCCATTGATCTATTTTAGAAGTAGAGATAAAAACTATATGATTATCAAAGCATATTTCTTCATACGCCGTTGTTTAAATGAAGTGACAATGATAACTACATGTCAATGTGGCTTGAGCTTTTTTCACAGTCCTTCAAAACAAGTATCTGTCAAACTTTAGAGATGAAAATCCTGATAATAAGTTAACATCCTGTGCACTGAAAGCTTTACAAATTAATTCTTATCATTTAACTATGTATTTATTTTGGCAAATTGGAAAAGACCTTCAGTAATAACTTTAAATGGCATCTTACAGTACTCCAATTTAAAAAAATTCTTCAATAAATATGCTTCTAAAACTATACTCTGACTCTTAACATTCTCTTTCAAATAACTACTTTACTTTTTTGGCGAACAAAATATTTCTACATTGTCCAGAGGATTACTTTTCTGTTGCATCCTTTGTCTTGCTGTTCGTTTTGCAGCAGCTAACCTTTGTCGTGCTGCTGCTCGCTGCTCAGCCTCAGAAGCTTTCACTTCTTCTTTGGATTTTTGCCTCCTTATCGAACCTTTCCCTACTGATGATTGCCTCGTTAGTGACGACTGACGTGTTAATGAAGAGCGTTTTGAAAAATCAGTCTGTAGAGTAAAAGTATACACATACATAAATACAACATAGTGAGGGCTAAACTTTTAGACTGCAAAACTTAGTCAAGGAAAACATTTTTCACCCTGAAGTACAGACAATTAGTGACGATATTCTACCTCATCAGTAGATGTCTGTGGTAGGATCCATCCATTTTTACGTAGTTCATCAATCTTGGAGAACATGCTGTTCACATCATCAACCTACAAAAGAGGATATGATTTCACAATTTTATTTGGGTTATAAAAATGCATTGTGCATGTGTAAGGCATGGTGCATGCAAAAAAGTTAATTCGAAACTGGATGCGGTTCCCGACCAAAATAGGCTTTGGACTTCATGTTATCCTGTTACCATAAAAAAATAGTAAGAGTCATACCTGTATCATAACCATATCCCAGAAACCTGCAAGATCCCCATTGCTAGGCCTTCTACCATTTGTTTCACCAACACCCTAAAAAAAAAGAAGCATGAAATAAACTATCAACCAGTCAGGAAAGGAACAATCTTCTCAAAATATTCTCAATTGGAAAAACTACCATTTGCTGTACTTTGTTTGAAAAAAAAAAAAAAAACTAAAATACAGTTTTGGTCATGAAAGATGACTATTTAGTAAATCAATAAAAAAACAATTACTCAAAAATCCAAGCCCACAGCTAGACACTGAGTTTGCCTCAGCATAAAAATCTCTGAAATTCTTCATTTTTTTTCCTTTTGTTAATCACTGTTATTTTCCTCAACTCTACTGTTTTGACTCAGTGCTTGTCTTTGTTCAACTTCACTTGTGAATGGTTCTTGAACCACGGACAAGTCCAATTGTCGCCCAATGTATCTGTTACAAAGCTAATATTGGATTGTGAAGGGTAAATATCTTAGGGAGGGGGGCTGTGTAAAGTTAGCCTTAAAAAAGGACTATTGATGAGACAGCAATTGACTGTTGCCTTAAGAACCTAAGCAGAAGTCATCATCAGAGTCAGGTGGAGATAATTTGTCTTGTAATAAAAACTCTCCTGCGACCTTTAACAATCAGCTACAAGGCTGGGTGTAACCCCTGGATTTAACCCTTGTGACATACAGTCAATATTATAGACTGTGTCAAATTTTCTCACAAAGCTTACCAAGTTTGTATCACATAGTCCTTTGAATTGCTTGAACTTTTTATTGACCAAAAGCTTGGCCTTGCCATTGGCTGCTCTAATTTTCCCACATGCTTGGAGAGAAAGAGAGAAACAACACATAAATATGTTAAAATTGTTAACAGTTGCATGTCACCCTGGTTTTGATATCCATTGAATACTCAAATGAATTTAACCACTCCATAAAGTACTCAAAGAAAAAAATTCATAATTGTGCATTAAAAATGATTTTTGAATCAAGAATTTGTGATTGTCAAAAAAAAGTTGATACAATTTTATGAAATGAAATTTCAAAGTAAATAAAAAACAGAATATATTGAATCAATAGCTGTCTCAATATGTAATATGATATTCAGCATCTAATGAAACTGGAGGAAACAAAAAACCACAAAGGCAAAAAAAAAACCTTTTTTCAACATCACAATGCATCAGTCTGTGTTTAATTTAAGCCTTCTCCTATCTCAATATACTGGCTCAAAAATATTTTGGTCTAATATCAAGCATATGGATGTTAAATTGTATCCATTTTTAAGAACGGAAAGAACATTACAAGTCCATACATGTATGTGACAAGCATGGGGCAATATCACAAATTATTTTAAAACACATCTTGAGTGGAATTTACTTGTGGACTTGACAATAAAGTTTTGTAAAACAATCATTTCTGTCTTTCCATGAGGGAATTCAAAATTCCTAAACCTCAATATCAATACCTAAAGGGAAAACTTTAATAAGATGCCGACAAAAATGAATATTTGATAAAAACCTTTAGAAAGTACAATATCACAAATTATTTTTTTATGTTGGCTTTAAATATTCCAACAAATGTCTCCTTTTTTTTTTTACTCTCAAAAAAGGCATTCAAAATTCATAAACCTCAATAATACTCACAGGGAAAATATTTCTCATTTAAATACCAACAAAAATTATCTTAAACAAACCTAGACTAAAGTAATATTTAAGAATTCAATATTTAACTCTGAGAAAAGTGTCACTAAGAAAAAATCCATAGTAACAATGCTTTACAGGAAACATGTCCCAAGATATATATTGAGAGCGACAATACAAAATATGGTATCAGTGATGAAACACCAATTCTAAAAATTTAGCCCCACATTACAGTGTGCCAAAATGAAAAGGTTTAAAGTATAAATTCTGACAAAACATTTGTATTATTACGGCTATTTTCCAAATAAATGGATAATATCTCCCAATAACACAGTAAAAAATTAATGGCTATTACTATAACATCATCTTAAGCACTACAACACTGAAGGTGACCAACACTATCCACTATATAGTAAAAATTACTGTTCAGCAGAGAGTTACCTTTGTTTTGATGACAAATCTCAATATGAGAGTTGGTTTTGGCATTGCTTAAGAGACCTACAGGGGTATTGTTAAAGCTAAGGTCACTGGGATTGTCTAATAATTGTCCCAGAGAGAAAAGCTTGTCGGAATGGCATTTGTGTACAACAGAGATTTATGTAGTTTCCATAAAAAGAGTCGATGAAAGATTCTTTCCTCAACATGCGAGAGTCACTATCATAATACAATTATCGAGAGTTGATACAAACCAAAGAGCTGATTGTTTGATTTAACTATCCAAGCATGCTTAATTTGGTTTTCATCAACTGAGTTGATAATGTAAATTGGCCATTGTAAAAAGTTTTGAAAGGCGACATTTCAAGGGTTAGCTCTTCATCAGAGACTAAGGTCGAACATAGTGGTAACCAATTAACCTTTAGTTAATGATTCCATTGATAAAACCAAATTATCTTTGATGCCCCCTTCCCCCCCCCCACTGATACAGTGCCACAAATTCTTTAGAAGCCTACCCCTTTTATCCATTTAACCCTTTAACCCCTAAAGGTGACTAACATCTAATTTCTCTCTGTAATATCACCCCTGAATCAAACATTGAGGTCATGAGAACATTGGAAATGATCAACAAGTACAGGAGCTCTTGATTGTTACACAAAATCTCCTTATCAGCACCTTAGGAAATGTATAGAAAAAAGTATGGAGAATGTGCATACTGATCTTAGGGTGTAAAGGGTTAAGTTTTCTTTAGCTACAGTTTAGTTTGTCAATTTTTAATTTTGTATCTGCTCTTTACAAAGACCTCATGTTCCCATTTACCCAAACTTTCTCTAAGAAAATCTGTTTTGATTTGTTTGAGACTCTGTTTTGGTATCATTAAGAGCCAGATCTGTAGAATGAGGCAACTTTGTAAGGTAAAATCTGAAATTCAGGTCAAGTGAAGACTTAGTAGACAACCTAGCTCCTTTGTGATATATTGCAACAAGTAACCTCAAATGCACAATATCAATTTATGAAAGCTTTCCTGTACTTTTTTCCTTTGAAGGATATTCTTTGAAACTTGTGATAAACCAGTATAGGTAAAGGAATGGTATTTTTATGAAGGTAAAAAAATCTATGCAGCTGATGGTGTCTGGAGACAAACAATCACGATTACACACATCTGGTGTTCATGAAAAAAATTCATGAGCAGAAATGACTGGAAGGAGTCAATTGCTAGTTGAAATGTCACTTTGACCAA